CCTGTAGTGGATGTACCAGAATACTGTTGAGTCTGCCGCAGCGGCCTGTCGTATCAACGTCGTTCCGATTAGATGTCATGTGCGAACATTTCTGCATTTTCTGGACCATTAAAACCGTGCTACAGCCCGGGTGCGAGTTTGGTCGAGTTTCGAAGTGTTGCTGAGCGGCTTATGTAGTATAGACGAGTGGGCGAGACATTTCTTCTACAGAGCCGGCAAGAAGAGACCGCCTCCATCTGACCTGCACCCAAAGCACTGCAAGTCTACCGCCCCACGCCACGCCGCCAGCCCGACGATCTCCGACGATCTCCGACGATCTCCGACGATCTCCGACGATTTCCGAATGGGAATGTCGTTTCGGATCCCATCTCGGTTCAGCGCTCTGGGCTTGGCAGGGTTACTCGGTGTGTCGCCCTCCAGCGTCGAACAACCGGATTTCATCAGTGCACGAGCAATTTCCCCTGCACTGCGATTTGGCGATTTTGACCCCGGGTCGCCTTCCATCCTCGAGCAACCGGATTTCAGCAGTGCACGAGCAATTCCCCCTGCACTGCCACTTTTCATTTTCACTGGGGATTTGGGGTTCTAATCCAAAACGTAAACCGGAATTGGGCTGTACCCCACCTATGATACCTATATACTTGTGGTATCTGACACGCTGGGCGCGCGGCTGTCGAATACCACAAGATGCTCGCGCGAGCTTCTTTGCAGGCTAGGCGCGGGCTTGTCAAATAGCACAGGGTGCTCGTGCGAGCTTCTTTGCAAGGGTCTCTCGGGAGTCTGTGGTATGTGGTATGTGGGAATTGCCCATATATATAGGGGTGCAAATCGCAAGCGAGAACTCAGATCGAAACAGCTCACTGTGGGCGGTCTGAGCGAGTCGTCCGAGGTCGAGCAGTTCCGGTCGCGATGGCTCAAGTGAGCAAGTGACATAGCCCGGACGCAACTGTACGTACCTTCGAGCTCGTTATCGAGTCGTTGAAAGCCGATTGGCGATGCTGAGGGTGCTGCAGTTGCTGAATGGGTTCCGCGCTTGCCTCAGCCGGCTCGGGTTCACACTTCAAGTGCCGGGTCGAGTAAGGTCGAGCCGCATGTACCGGCCAAGTCGTGTTTCACCATGGCGAAGAGGTGTTGCGTCGTCGTGTCTTCGTGCAGTGAGAGAAAAGACGAGTCGAGTCGAGTGGTGCGAGGGATCGGCGAATATCGAGTCTTTATCGAGTCTTGGGTGGCGGAGGCAGCAACGGCAAAGATACGAGCTTCCACCATCCTCGACGAGCGATCTATCGCACTGAGTTTGAAGTCAGGGCCGATTGAGAGGAGATCAAAGTCGAGCAGAGCAAGTCCCCCCGAAGAAGTCTGAATCCTCAATTGGAAGAGTCGACGATCATTTATCCATGAGAGCTAGAAACGGTTTCGAGCGAGTCAAAGTTTAAAGAGTCGAGTTAGGCGCAGGCCGGAATGAGACCTGGTGGAGCGAAAGAAGAGTCAAACATAAGCAAGAGGGCACAGACTTGCAACACGCGGTGTGAAGAGAGTTAAGGACGTCAGGTTGAAGGGCCGCACTGACCTTTCGGATGTTTGCTCGCTTTGTGACTGCCAAACGAGTTCGTCGACACCCAGCGAGGTGAGTGCAAGCGAAACGAGAGGAGATGGAGCGCCATGCAACGCCGATCGCAGTTCATGACCGCATGTCCAGGGTTGCCAAAGATTGTACAAACGCGCAAGTCGCCGAGGTGGGACAGTGATCGCACGTATCAAGCTGGTCGAGCGAATCGCCAAGATCGATTGTCGCAGGATCGTCACGATCCAACGCCGAAACCGAGCGCCGAGAGGTCCGGAGAAGCCAGTCGTGATTGTACGGTTCAACGTGCGCAACGGACGATGGACTTTGAGTAAGATGTGAAGCGATGAGGTGGCGTTCCGTGGCCAATCTCGAGAGTTTTGCCGGAAAGTTGATTAGATGGTGCGATCGACGAGGTTGAAAGCCAGCGTGCAAGTCCGATCGATTCGAATGGCGAGGAGGGCGAGCAGGAACGTGGGATGTTTAGCACGAGATGAGACTTAGTGGCTTTGGATGGATGATTCGACGAGCTGGACGACGAGCGCGGGAGGTTGAGTGATTCGCGGCGCAGTCGAGACGGGGTGAAAGTGCTTGTGCCGATGAACGTCTCCGATCTTGACATTGACGAAATCAGTCGAGTCGTGCAACAGATGTTCCAACAAACCCCAAGCTAGCCACGTCGATGAGACTCTTCGACTCGATCAAGAAAGAGATGTGAGGGAATGCATTCGTGCGATTGGTTGACGTTGACGACGCGGGTGCACGATGTGGGGGTGGCGGAGGAGATCGTCACTGGTCGACAGTGGTGTTTGGGGGTGGGGCGACGAGGATCGAGTAATGTTTGCATCGATTCATGACCTCGGGATAGTTGAGCGTCTTGTCGATGGTGCTGATGCGCAGAGTATGACCATACCAGTCAGAGCGGTGTGGTGCGAGGCTCGGATGGCAGCGAGTCGGCCAATGTCGAGGGCGCGATCGGGGTGACCGAGCACGTGTCCGACCGAAAACGCTCGAGCGATGCATCGAGGCAAGCTAGCACGCTGCTGAAAGTGACCACTCCCTCTCAGATAGGATTGCCCATCGTATCGTGCCGAAAATGACGAGGTTGGAGGTGTTGATAGTCTTGTCGTGCGACGTCGCACCGTGCCCGCATCAGCCGGCTTGAAGTGACACGTTGAGCTGTAGTTGAGAGAGATCGAATTGCATCTTGCGGATTGAATGGCGCATGTGACGATGTGAAAGCATGTGAAGTCGAGGTGTGGCGTGGTGCGATCAGTGCCGAGTCCGAGTCGAGGCCAGTGGTGCGAGTGGTGCGAGTGGTGCGAGTGAGTGGGGAGAGGGAAAGGAGCGTCGGCGCGCGTGAAGTCAAGCCAATCAGCTAACCGCGCGAGATTCCGAAGCTCGGCGCACTCGGCCGTGAGATCGGTCTGCGATTGGCTCAGGTCCAGTCAACCTTCAAAGGCGTATATCTGTTTGAAACTCGAAAAGGGGTGCGAGAAAGCCTCAAGGCTAGAGAGAGCGAGTAATTCCGAGTTCAGCGCTTGGCGGCGGGAGTCATTGCAGTGAACGAGTGAGTCGGCCGGCGTCCGCGGCGAAAACTTGGTCGATTCGTCCAGGTCACTGAGCATGCTTGTACAATTGACATTCCTTTACTGAAGGGCTGTTCTTCGCATGTAGACGAGCTATGTCGGAAGATTTGAGGAAAAGACATCGTATTCGGGAGCACATTTTTGATCCGAGTACGGGCGAGATCATCGCGCGATGGTTGACGAGACTCCGAGTCAGAGTCAGCCGCCGGGCGTGTCCCTGGAAGCATGTCTCACAGGCAGTCTCCCGCAGACCGCACTGCTGTGATATGAATGAAGAGATAATTATACCTGGTAGCGTGAACAGAGCCTGAGATTGGGCTTTCTTTAATAGAACGTCGGTGAAAAGGTCGGCACTTCGTTTGCGCACAAGTTCGGTCACCCGCCTTCGACGATGATCGCAATGCTCTGTGAGGTCGATCTGACGCCTTTTTCTTCCGTGAAAAGGGATTCGTTTGCAAAAGTACAGGGAAATGATGATGGCGCGGAGAAGATCGTCCACTTAGCACTGTCGGCGAAAAGGGGCTCGATCGTCCGGCGTTCATGACTTGCACTATACATGGCCTTTGACGGGCAAAATCACCACTCGAAGATGATTCCTAGGTATTCGTTGATGTAATGAGGTATTAACAAGGTTTAATCTATACAGCCACATGTCTTCTGTCACACTGACTACTTCGGAGCGAGCGAAGCCGCGGCGTTGCAATTGGTCGGATGTGTGCCAACATCTCCTAGCCATGTCCGTACCGCAGACCGCGCGACCGACAAGTGGACGGACATGCGGTGGGGTTGCGGTACGGACACGAGATCTGCGGTACAGACATGACAATTTCGATTCATCATGAGTACTAAAATACCCATGCTATCATGTTCTCCTTGCAGACTCAAAGTGATTCTACTCATATAATTGCTCAACAGCATCAGTATTATCTGATATTATGGACCTAAAATCAAGGGACGGACACGTCCGTACATTTGTTCTGGCCCGACGACAAGAGGCAGTGGACCGCGCGCGGCAAAGTCGTCAAGGCCAAAACGACTAGTGTAATTGAATACACTCAAAGCACAATGCATAATAGCACAAATTAAGCATGTACACACCAGTTGGGATCGGTACAGATTTAAAATAAACTTATCTACGTCTACAAGTCCTCAAGTCTGCCGTGCCTCCGCTCCAGCGATACACCGAAGCCCGAAATGGGAAACCCATTTCGGAGATCGCGAGCGCCGGTGGCCGAAGGCTGCGAGGGCCGGCCTCAAGTGCGCTGGTGGGAGGCATTTGCCCTGGTATGGAAAGTGCCCAAATAGTGAGATCTGTTTCGGCACCGGACGGTGCGGGAACAGGAATCGGCACCGGCCGGTGCGGGAACAGCAATAGAGGCAATCTCTCTGCATGGCCACGAAAAGTTCGAGCTACACTGGGTCGTGCTGATGTTGAGTCGATGCAATGAAGATCAAAAACACAACATCACGTGACTTTTTTGCCTCTGGGGCCACCACCTAACTCCAAGAGCTAACTTTTTTAGGGGGGGGGGGGGGGGGGGGGGGGATTTACCTATAATAGACTTGTGCATCTTGATGCCGTGAACAATGAGTGGGTAGATCTTGATTGGAACGGTCTTGAGTTGGGATCCAGGCCTGCCAGTTTGGGGATCGTAGTCCATCTTCCATGTTGCAGTCACCGAACCAAAGCCACCGCCTAGAGGACCAAACATTGGATAGGTTGAGCAGGGATACCGGTTGGCTGGATCTTTGATGTTGGTGTCAGGTGGTTGTCGGCGAGCGTAGAAGATTGGGATGAAGTTGCCACGGTAGTTGCAAGCGAGATCAAAGCAATTCGAGTAGCTCAGCGGATGAGGGTTCTCATTGCCAAGTCTTGGTATGTAGCAGTCAATGATAGGACACTTCATTCCATAGCAGGTGTCACGAATGGGAGTTTCGCCACTCCAAGTTCGGCCTCTCAGCACCCACGTCATCCGCGTGACTTGGGCCTTCCCGCGCTTCGGACCTCCTCTCCCCGCTTCGGCACCTGCACTGCCTTCTTCTCCTCCAACTATACGCTCACAACCCTCTCGCCCCCGACTCTTACGTGAACATCAACCAAGCTCTATTACGTGATCCTTGGCCTCAACACTATTACGTGATCCTCGTGCCTCGCCTCCTCAAGCTCGCCACCTCGTCCCCGACTCCTCTGGTCTAGTTTCCCAGTTCCGTAGCTCACTTCTCTCTTTCCCTTCTGCAACTCGAATCTCGTCAAAGGTCACATCCTTGCACTCGTCCCTCGTCCTCGCCTCTTGTGAGAAGTCCCTAGAACACCTCTCAACTCGTCACTCGCCCTTGCCCTCGTCTCGAGCCCCTTCGTCCGGCTCACCTCTCCTATCTTCGTCCTTCGTGATAACGAGCCATGTCGTTTCAAACGGTGGATAGTTCTCCCCTCCCATTGCCCGTATATTCCACGTAAATACAACAGATTATCCGTCCGCAAACCCATCCCATCCCTCACCAAAAGCTCAACCCCTCTTCTCCTGTATCCCTCCTAACCACTTGCCCCACACCTCTTGCTGTGCACCCTTGGCGGTTCCCTCCATCAATAACCTCGTCAACATTCTCTCGAGCTCGTCGATTCGTTGAGGTTTCAATAACGGATCCGAACTAGCCTTGGTGGCTGATCGTAATCGTTCGATGCACTGAGCGAAAGGAAGTGCGCCCACCGAACCCCCATCAGTTTCCATCTCCCCCTCGAGACCCGGGTTACGTAGTCTTTCACCAACTCACCAATCTCGCGGCCGTCGCGGCCCTCCTCCCCGCGCCTTGCATCCCATCACTCATCTCGACGACCCTGAGGAACTCCTTGAAGGCCAAATCGTATTGGCCGAGCGTGTAGGCCGTTTCGGCGTGGTGAAGGAGGTGGAAGGGGTTATGCGGTGCGAGGAGGAGGAGGTGCGAGAGGGCTGTTAGGGATTGCGCATAACTGTTTGATCACGAGATCGAGATGAAGAGGATCAGATTGGATCGAATCTCTCTTAAAAGAGAAAGCACGATCGCTAGCGAACGTACGACCCCATCTCGGCATACGTTCTAGCGGCCATACTCCACGCCTCTGGGTCCTGATAGTACGTCTCGAGGTATTCGACCAACATGCGCAGACCGTGTTCCCGATTCGGCTCGGAAGGCGATGGGTCTGCTTTCGATAGAGGCGGTGATGATAGTTGATTCGAGCTGAGGTGGAGGGCGATGAGGCGTTTCCTCATCGTCTGATCGATCGCAGGGACAGCTGTGCTCAATTAGCGCGACACTCGAACGCACATGCCGACGATCAAAGCTCGACTGACCACATCCGCCTCGTCCTTGGTCAGCCATTCTCGATAGTGGGCCCACGCCTTGTGCGTTTCGGCTCGAGCTTCGTAGAGCATGCCTTGTACGGCGGCGACGCGGTTCGAGTTGGGGAATTGGGACGAGAGGCGTTGGACGCAGACCTGCGGGAAGGGTATGGGTGAGATATAGGTTGGGTGTGGGGACTGGTCGTTGCAGTGACCGACAGCTGACCTGAGCCAAGGAGACCTGCCCGCATTGCAGCGCCGCCTGAGCGGCCTGTTCCAAGAAGGCCCACACTGATGACCCAAGACAGCAATAAGTTCCACGCTCAATACTGAGAAACGGTCGGTCCGGCTGACGTACCATCATCATCATTCCTCTTGGCGTACCCTCGCTCAATCAACGCCGTCGCCAGCGTGACGACTCTGTGCGGATCATCGACGTTGGCGTTGCGAAGGCGTTGCAGTTCGTGGATCAGCACCGCGGTCGAGCTGGACGGGGTGGCGAGGGTGGTCGTAGCCGTCATGGTCGGTGGGGGGGTGCGCTGGGGTGCGTGCGTGTAGGTCGGTGGGTGGGGGGCAAGAAGGAGAGGCGCGCGTATTATGTATTCCAGCTTTACAAAGCGTGGTAGCGAGAGATTACGAGCTGTTACCAAAGTCGCGTTACGTCCAGGCTTGAAGCGCGGCGCTTGTGCCTGTTGCGACATCGCACCGGACTGACCACTCGCGACTCGACACGACAGGGGCCACGACCTGCCACGACCCCGTCACCGCGTTAGCAAGTGCGCATCCTGCGCTCATCGTCGCCTCTTTGCTCACCGCTGACCGCTTGTCACCTGTGTCGCAGGCTGCCTCCCCACATGGCTCCGCTGCCCCCCACTCCCCTCGCCCCTGTCGGCGCAGTGTCCTCCTCGCTGTCCACCTCTCGCTACCTCCCCGCCAAATCCCGCGCCTCGTCCTTCACCACCCCATCCCCATCCACCTCCACCTGGACCCCGTCCTCCCCGGCGGCGACCCCGTCGACCGTGACCGCTTCCGGGCTGCGTTCGCTCGTCTACCACGGCTCGCTCCCGTTGCAGATCCACGTGGCCGCCAACGAGCTGCCGAGCAAGGTCGACCCCACACTCATAGCAGCCTATTACGTACGCGCATCCTCCTTCTCTACTCTGTTCCAGAGCTAATCAATAACCCCCTCACACAGACCCAAGCCAGTCGTATCAGCTACCTCCCCCTCTTGCTACACGACATCAAAGCCCATTTCCTCGACCTTGCCCTCGACCAAGCGACAGCAGCCACCATCAACTTGCACGATCTCTGGTTCGAACACAACGGCGTCCCTCTCAAATGGTGCGTGTTCCGAGCGAGCGAACCACGTCCTTACTCATAGTGGGCCATATCTCTCGTGCAGGCACTGGCCGATAGGGCTCCTATACGACTATCACTCCGCCTCTTCCGCCTCCTCCTCCTCCTCCTCCTCCACCTCGACACAACCTACTTCTTCCTCCCCCTCCCCCTCCCCGACCTCCAGTTCGACGCGCGCCTCTCCTCGCTCTTCCCCAACTCGCGAACTGCTCTCCGTCCCTCACCTATCATCTTCCTCCCCATCGTCCAGCTCATCATCCAAACCCTTCAAGCCTCTCGAATTGCCGTGGAAGCTCACCTTGCACCTCAAGGAACCCCCCAAGGATGCGTTGTTGTTGGCTAATGGGGTCGAAGGTTGTCGGGCGTGTTTTATGAATATGGTCAAGGTCAGCCGACGAAGGGAACGAGAGCTTGTAGCTCGAGAAAGCGTGAGATGAAAATTGCTGATCTAGCTTTCGAAAAACCAGGAAGCGGATTACGTGCGATGGGGGTCGGTCAAGCGTGTGACGAATCTTCGTAAAGAGCAGCAGGACGGTCTGTGGGAAGGTGTCGTCAACAGTGTGTAACACAACTCGGGAATCGGGGCTCGTTGGATCCTACACAGGCTAAGACGGTTCTTCTCGCCCTCACAGACGACCTCGACAAATTCTGGAGCATCGCCTCTCGGCTCGTTCCACCCCCACCGCCGACCCCGACCCATAACCAACCCTCTTCGTCTTTTACGACCTCCTCGAGAGCCTCCGCCCCTTCTTCAGAGACGTACAACTCTGTCAAATCAGTACCTCTACGCCTCTACCTCCCCGACGGCGGTCCAGTTCTACAAGACCAATGCCCGCCTTTAGGAGAAAACGGTAAGTTCGCTCGCTCTGCTCAGATGAACGAATCGAGTCTGACACACCTCCCTTTTCCCTCCTTGACATTCGGGAAAAAAAAAAACAGGCCAACCTCTTCCCCTCCTTAGCCACCTGCAACATCTCCTCCCCCTCTTATTCCCCCCACCACCCTCGCAACTCTCCTTCGAGGCGCCCAAACCCGTTCTCGCAGAATTGATCGTTCAAGGGGTGATCGTACCTTTGGATACGGAGGTCGGTTGGCTGGGCGCTTGTTTGGCCGGCGCGGATGGGTGGGTAGGCGGCGTCGTCAGGATTTTGGGCTAAGGGAGGGGTGAAAAGTTTCGTTCGTTCGAACTCGGAGCGATCAGTGGGTGTCTTTGAATAGTCGGTTCACTGTGAATGTAAGACTGGATTCGATATCGGTAGAATAGAACGTTTGGAGAGATGCATTCATGAATGGGAGCCCTACGGAAGCGCTTGAGAAGTTTTGACAGACCGAGACACGTGCGACGGCGGGTCATCGTCCGCAGTCCGGAGCGCGAACCGAGCACGCCGTCCTTGGCTTCTTCCCCCCATCTCGCTCGCTGGCTTGTTCGGGCTCTTCAACTTGCGAGTACGTCGAACCTCCTTCTTCTTTCCGCCGTTGGTTAAGCGTGAGTCGACTGTTACCGAAAGTGACGCGTCGGACCGAGTTGGTTCAACTGGACCGCCTCGCCTCGACTCGGAGCGCGCGACGGCGGTGCGACGTCGTACGGTCAGCGCACGATGATGCATGTGCTCATCCCTGACCTATCTTCTTTCTCCATCTCATGCGCAGACCAGACGCATTATGTCCTCCCCCTCCCCTGCGACGCTAGACTCGATCCGAGCGCGCTACGCCGCCGCTGACCAATCGCACGTTCTCCATTTTTACGACACCCTCAACCCGACCCAACAACACTCCCTCCTCTCCCAACTCTCCACGATCGATCCAGAGCGCGTGAACCGCATCTGCGCCAAAGCACGCGAGATGGACGCATCAGCTTCCTCTTCCTCTGCTCCAAGCGAAAGCGAAAGCGAAACGGATACCTTCTCCCCTCCTCCCCGAGACCGCGTCGGCGTCATCACTCCCGACTCGTCCAATTCCCCCCAAGTACAAGAATGGACCTCTCAAGGCCTCTCCTCGATCCGTCGAGGCCAAGTGGCGATCCTCCTGCTCGCCGGAGGACAAGGTACCCGTCTCGGTAGTTCGGCCCCGAAAGGTTGCTACGACATTGGTCTCCCTTCGCACAAGAGCTTGTTCCAATTACAAGCCGAAAGGATCAAGAGGTTGCAAATCGTCGCTCAAGAAGTGGGTGGAGAAGGAGTGGGGGAGGGGAAGAATTTGGTGTGGTATATCATGACGAGTGGTCCGACGAGGGGACCGACGGAGCAGTTTTTCAGGGAGAATCGTTACTTTGGATTGCAGGAAGGACAGGTCGTCTTTTTTGAGCAGGGTGGGTCTCAAGTGTGGCGTTGAGGTGAAGTACGACAACCAAAAACAAGCATGCTGAGCGCCACTGATAGACATCCACAGGTGTGTTGCCGTGCCTCTCGAACGACGGCAAGATCCTGCTCGACACCCCGTCCTCGGTCGCGGTCGCCCCGGACGGTAACGGTGGTCTCTACTCTGCTCTCGACTCTCCTCTCTCTTCCACCTCCTCGACAACGGTCCTCTCGGATCTTCAAACCCGCGGCATCAAGTACCTACACGCTTACTGTGTCGACAACTGCCTCGTTCGAGTCAGCGACCCGACCTTTCTCGGCTACTGCATCTCTCAGAACGCCTCATGCGGCGCCAAAGTCGTGACCAAAACTCAACCAACCGAATCCGTCGGCGTCGTGGCGCTCAAAAACGATCGTTACACCGTTATCGAATACTCCGAACTGCCAACCTCCCTCTCCGAATCGCGCGACGAAAAGGGGGAGTTGTCTTACCGCGCCGCGAACATTGCGAATCATTTCTACTCTCTCGATTTCCTCAGCTCGATCCGTACCTTTTCGGACCAATTGACCTACCACATCGCGTCCAAGAAGATCCCCCACATCTCAATCCCTTCCGGCAATCTCGTCAAGCCCACAACCCCAAACGGTATCAAACTCGAATTATTCATCTTTGACGTCTTCCCCTTCGTCGAACCCCCCTCATTCGCTCTTCTCCAAGTTTCACGCTCAACCGATTTCTCCCCCCTTAAGAACGCCCCAGGAACGGGAAGTGACGATCCTTTCACTTCTCGACGCGATCTATTGAACGAACATCGAAGATGGTTGATCGAAGCGGGAGCGGAGCTCGAAGAAGGGGTTCAAGTCGAATTGAGTGCTTTGGTCAGTTATGCGGGCGAGGGATTGGATTGGGTTAAGGGGTGTAAGGTGAGGAGGAGTGGGAGGGTTGAGAAGAGGGAGGATTGGGAGGGGTTGTGTTTGAGTGGTTCGGGGTCGTTGGTTTGAGATTGATGGAGGGATTAGGTACTCGACGGATGGGGTCAGATAAGAGGGGGGGAAAGGGAAGAGAATTCACCCAGAGTGCGGTGATGCGGAAATTTATGATCCGGATCTCTCCTCGACTTGGGATGACGTTCTCGTGATGGAAGGCGTGATTGATATCAGGATCAATCTTGTTCGAGCAAAAAAAATGTTTGCGAGGAAGAGAGAGTATGATTTTGACCACTTTCTCTAAAGCCGACTTGTTCGCTGCTCGTTTCGCGTCGACCTATTCCCAGTCAGGAAACTCGACCCCAACGTCATTCTAAAGAAAGATGCATGACACCGATGCCCCATCCTTGAAAAGTCCAAATCACCCCTTACGCCCTCTTGAAAACCCACCCCCCGACAACGTTATCCTATCCCCTTCCCAACCAAAAAAAAAAAAACCCTCCCACCCTACTTACCCTCCCTCGCGAGCCTCGCCTTCTCCTCCTCCTCCTTCTGTCTTTTCTCCACCGCCAACCGATTCTTCTCCCTCATCTTCTCCGCGTCCTCCTCTTGACGTTTCTTCAAAGTCGTGCCCGATTCTTTAGGACCCTTGTTCATCGACAGAGCTTTCTTTTGGGCCTTTTTTTTTTTTTTCGTTATCAAGGGGCCGGGGGGGGGGGGGGGGGGCGGTTAGGTGAGAAAGTGTTGATGATGAGCGGGGTTTTTATGTTCTAGAGGGTGGTGGTGGGGGGGGGAATGACGAACACACCTTGGCTCGATCCTTACCGAGTTGAACGATGGGTTCATATAGAGCGGCGTGTAAGGAATTAGCGAAAAGGCCAAGACGAGACGTCGACGCCGAAAGTAGTTAGGCGAGGTCGGTAGAAAGAACACGCGCGTCGAGATCGGCGAGAGATGCGTATAGAGGTGCGATTACGAACGAAAGTACGATAAGGAAGAAGAAGGAAGGGGGGGCAAGGGGAGGGGAGAGTGGGATCAGTTTCCTCGTTCTCCCAACACTCGTTCAAAGATCGTCTCGAGCAGAACCGCGATTCGGCCAAGACGAAATGCAGTGGTAAGTTTTGCTTTTTCAAGGGGATGCCTTACATTCTCACGTTGATTACCGCCTGTTCCGATCGAGTTGAGATGGGGTCGTTCGTTCAGGAAGAAAGGCGGGCAGTTGATTCGAGGATGAAGAGGGTCGGTCCGGTCACGTGGTACGGCGTGAAGTACGTCCAAAGGAAGGGACGTGGGTCCGAATGGCGTATGAGAACAAGGTGATATGGGACCAGGACAAGGGTGAGTGTGAGCATACACGAGAGACGAGAGCGTCGCCAACTAGCGCTGAGGAACGTACGCGCCATGGCCTCTTCTCCCGGGGGTTGTCGGTGCAAGGAAACGAGTCTGGGATGCTCTATGGTTGCTCAACGTCGACGCGGTGTGCTCTTCTCGTCTTGCTCACGTGCGACTCCCGACCTCTGACGTCCCGTTCGTGCGTATATAGGGGCTGAGGTGCTCGATCGGCGGCGGCGGGGTTGTATACGATCGCAAGTAAGGCGCCATAGTAAGGGTCGAGTCTAATCTCGATTTGGCGCTCGACTCGGCGCAACCCCGCTAAGCCAGGCCAAGTCCAGCTAAGTCGCAGCTGAGCGAGCTCGACCGGGGCGCTGGTCTGCGCTTGAGCTGGCGAGCTGGTTGGGCCGAGCTTCGCAGGCGCGCACAGACCGCCGCGAGCCGCCGCGCGCAAGACGTCACTCACTCGCCGCAGCGTGCGATACGCGGGTCAGCACCCACCACCCTTTCCAACTACACACCCAACCTCCCACCCGCGCACCTCCTACTCCATACCGCCACCTCGAGCTTCACCTCCCCGCCACGATGCGCCAAAAGCGAGTCAAGTCGTACCGCAAGGTGATGCAAATGTACCAGTCCAGCTTCAAGTTCAGGTCAGTTACCCCAGACGGTCACCCTTCTGCCACCCAACCCTCGTGATCTGACTTGATCTGCTGCTCGTCCCGCTCGTTACCTCGTACGACTTGCTACAGGGAGCCCTACCAACTCCTCGGTGCGTTCTAGTAGGCACTCTCCCTCTCTCTTTCTCTCCCGCGCCGTACTGAGCCAACCTCCGTTCACATCGTCTACGGCTCTGCAGTCGACGCCGAGTTTGTCAACGCAATCGTCGCTCAAAAACTCGACCTCCAAGCCCGCCTGACGGACGTGCTACAAGCGACGTTGAAACCCAGTCAGTCCAACTGCATCCTATGCGATAAACTCGTCCACTGATCGCGTCTCTCGCTGCGTTGACCCCGCCGGCCGCGACAGTGATCACCCAATGCTGCATGCAAGTCCTATACGACCTCGGACCGTCGGCTCAACCAAGCGTCGAACTCGCCAAGGAATTCGAACGACGAAAATGCAACCATCTCAAAGCCCGACCGGCAGAAGAATGTCTGACCGCTATGGCAGGTGAGCCTTTTTTTTTTCACCCCGAACCTTCTCTCCCTCGGATCTCCTCGCTGACACCTTTTCACTCCCCACCTCCCCCCGCCCAGGCAAAGATAATCCGCACCGCTACGTGATCGCGACCCAATCCCTCGACTTGCGTAAACACCTACGCACCGTCCCCGGTCTACCCATCGTTTACCTCAACCGTTCAGTCGTGCTACTCGAATCCCCCTCTGACCAAACGATGAAGAAAAAGCTAGCCGTAAGTCTTGCCCCTCGCCTCAGCTCGAAACCTTTCCACGAATGTGAAGTGTAACATTCAAAAAAAAACCTGTCCTCACCTACACACACAACACAACACAGATGGAGAACGCCAAACTGCACGTGCCTCGCATCGAACTCGCTACTCTAGCATCGCAAGGTTCGATCCCGACGACGTCGAATTCGAGCTCGTTGATCGATTCCTACAACTCGTCGAACCTGACCAAAGCTTCGAACGAGGCTTCTACTTCGACCTTGACCCAAGAAGAAGAAGGAGGAGGACGGACGATGGAAGTCGTAGAACGGAAGAAGAAGAAGAAAAAGGGACCTAAAGGTCCGAGTGGTCCGAATCCTTTATCGATCAAGAAGAAGAAGAAGAAACCCGGAATCGGAACTGCCAACGCTAAAGCCTCCGACCCCAACTTCGGCTCGGGCTCGGGCTCGGGAAAGGGGAAGAAACGACCACGTTCCGAAGACGCTTCGGAGCTCAATGAAGTGACGCAGAGTGGTTTCGATCGTAAGAAGAGGAGGGCGGAGAATGAGGCGGTCGTGGTGACGAGTTCGTCGAGGAGGGGGACGGAGAGAGGGGTTGTGGCGCTTTCGGTGGGCACGAGTGAGGCCGGGGAAGGGAGTGGGGAAGGCGCGAAGAGAAAGAGGAAGAGGAAGAGAGGGTCGGGTGTCGTAGCAGGAACGGCGGATAAGGTGGACCCTGGGGATACGTAGGAATGTGCAACTGATTGGCCAAGGCCCGTATCAATTCGAGTTAGAGAATTCGCAAAGCTGCTCATCGCGAGTTATTTGTTTGAGTTCCTTCGAGCTCCGTGTCTCAATACACTCTGGTGAGATCTATCTCCCTTCATTGCTGTGAATCCTGCGCTCTCAGCGAAATGAATCGCGAAATGTTCGACCGACTCGGACTGCTGCGGAAGATTCCGCTCCGGCGGGACTCGATTCGGTTCCGTAGCCAAGCGAACGTACAAGAACAGACTCGCATAAGCTCACGAATGAAGGTGACGCCCAACCAAAATCAAAGGAAAGTTGTACTTGCCTTGCTGTGGCGCGCTCATAGGCGCGCAAACTTTCTTCCGCCTCGCATCTTAACGAGTTGGAGAAGAGCCCAGCCCGTTTCGCGTTTGAGTTCCGCAACTCCCTTCTACTCCTACATTTTAACGTATACGACCCTGCCTACCCGTGTTTAGAAAGCTACCGAGACTTATACGGCCCGCTCAAGAGGTTGGACGTGTTGGGCGGCCTGCCGAGCTTAGGTGTCCGACTCTTGCCACTGCAGTCGGTACTATTCGCTGAGCAAACGGCGGCATGGACTGGGGCGCCGTACAAAAGTGCGAGCCCCCAAGTGTGAATCCATAGGCAGGTCGTCTCACGCTATCAGAATGGAAGATAATACTAACCGTCGTACACTCAGTTTAGGCTGCGTCTCATGGTTCAACATTTGCAGCCCCTTTCTAGTATCCCCAGCTTCCTAATCCCCCCCCCCCCCCTGTTTCACCGCAGTGCTGCGTGATCGAGCACTGCAACAACTTTCCGCGTTCTCCAACCGCCCGGGATCAAGCAATTCAGACACAAGGCGCTGTTCAACTTCCTAGTTTTCATGGGAAAACGACCCGCGTCGATTGTAAGGTTTGCGACTATGGTTTAGCAACGCGGTCGATCAAACATGATAGAGAAAGATAAGGGATAAGGTACGAATACTGAGCTCCTAAGAGACCCAAGACGAGAGAGACGAGAGCCGAGAGACGAGAGACAGGAGTACGAGAGCCTCGAAACGAGACTGGGACGCTGAGGCCGGAGACTGGAGAAGGATGCAAAACGAGACTTGAGAACTCAGAAAGTGTGAGCCCGGCAAGATTTGTATTGGTTCCTGGAAGTGGTCTACCTGAAAACAAGAAGCAAACTCCCCTCCCACGTCCCGACCGTTCAAACCGCCGCTCTCCTTTCATTCCCCTTCACCCCTTCATCCGCACATCCGGCCCGGGTCTTCCGTCCAAATCCGGCCGCATGCCTTGTCGTTGATAGTTGATCCTTGAGCCATCCAAGTACTGAGTTTACCCGGAAGCGCTTTCTCGGTGAGAAGTGTGCCGAAACCGGTGTCTGACCCTGCCGGAACCGGTGTTGACCTTGACAATTTGAAAATGACTCCAAAACTCGGCCCCGCTACAACCGAAATGACTCCTGAGCTCGGCCCCGCTACAAACCCACTGTTCCCTTGACGATTTGAAATGTTGATTCCGACGGGGATCCCGAGTAACACACGACACTGATCCGCCGGCATTATCGATCGTCGGCCTGAATGTGACACCGAGGCAGCAGTTTCGATCTGAACGACATGTGCGCGGATATAAAGGATGCGACGGGTGCAGCAACGATGCTCAAAAGGGTATCAACAAATTCTTTGAATGCCCTTGTCAAGTATAAACTATTGGTAGGGTATGGTCGACATCAGTGCGCGATCGGAGTGGCAATTGTATTCTTTCGCATGCGTTGAAGATGCTCGGGGTCAAATGTTGGCACCCAAGTCGACATCGGCTCCTTCATTGCCGTTCCAAGCTTAATCAGTCTTGTTGACACATGAACTGCATTCCAGCCTCACCGAGCTCCCCACACCCACCGACTTAACACCTACCCACCTTCAATCAGCCATACATCTCGCTCCTCCTCTGACTACCCAACTCATCACCCATCAAACCCAGCTTCCAACTCTTCGGGACCTTCCACTCCGTCCCACTCCCTGTCCCAGCGAGATCACTACCGTCACTCCCAACGATCAAAGACCTAACCACGTCCCCCAATCCTTTCGCCAAGGCCTCGTTCTCTCCTTCGGCGGTATAGACCAACAACGCTCCGACGGTTGGGAGCGACGCTCCGTCCTCCGAGGTAGACAAGTGTTGCAAGAGGGATCGCGTGAGACCACCATGTGGTATTGCTGGAATCGTCTTTTTCGATGACGGATCTGATGCTTTGAAATAGGGTCGTACGGATTTCGATAGTCGTTCGAGGAGGGGTGAAGGGTCGGTGCCTTCTCGGATGGGGAGGACGATCGATCGGAAGGGGTTGGTTCTAAAGCGTCGACACAACCTCCCACCTCATGAGCAGTTTGATCAGATAAAAACGACGACCTCTAATCTGGCAACTCACTCCCTCAAGCCGTCGTCCCCACGCATCGCTGCATCGACAGCGCCAACGATCAGGACGTCCCTGAACTCGGATTGTCGTATCCACGCCGTCAACGCATCAAAGTAGTGCCGTTTCCTCGCTTGGATGATCGGTGCTCGAGGCAGCAGCAGGGTGATCGAATCACCGTTACTTGCGCTGGAAGGCGTTTGATAGACTGGGTGTGGGGTTGCTCTGACTGGATCAATCCTCGAGACCTCTCCACATACCAGCTGAACCGCACCCAAAGACGGACCTTGTGTAGCCCAACTGAAACCACCTTGTACACTCTGCCTCTGCTCACCCTCGACGACATCGACCCCACCAACACAGGGTATCGTATCCCTCAACGCGGCACAGCCGACGAGCTCGAGTTGGAACGTGTGCACGTAGAGATCCAATGCGAGTTGAGGGAGGGAGCCTAGCGAAGGTTGAGGCTGTTGTTGTGTAGGCATGCGAATGGGGTGGGTGGGAAAATCGACGACGCGTCAGCCGCTGCTCTTCTCAAACCGATGACGACGCAAGACCCGGATTGACTGAACTGACCAGAACCAATGACGAGCCTTTGAAATTCGTTTTTGCGCCTTTCAAAGTCGGCACGAAGAACTGCGTATCCAAATCGGGTAGGACCATACTGAACTGAAAGGGAGTCCCTTTTCGAGCCGGTGCGACTCGGAGCGGCGTCGCAAAGTGGGCGGACGGAGCACAAGCCAGCCTGAAGAGGCCGTCGCACCGGCAGGTCCATCCGGCGCCGATGCTTCCTCGGCCCGAGTAGGCGAGATCCGACAGATTCAGTGAGGAAATTCCGATGCTAAATTATTCTCATTGCCCTTGATCGCCTTGAGCAGCTTTTCCAGCTTTCTCTCGACTCTCGCTCTCTTCTCTCATCGGCTACCTAGCTCCGAGGAACCGGCAAGATCACCAAAGCGACAAGCGCATCGCACCTCGACTCGACTCCGAGAGGAGAGTGTTTCGGCATTCGGTGATTTGTTCGCCGCCATGGCCATGTAAGGGCCGTGAGCCATGGTCAGTAAGTTGCCGGCGATACATGATGTCATAGTACTTTTTGTATAGAGCAATCAAACTCGTGAATGTGGTGGTGTCGTCAGTACACCTATTCCAAGTGAACGTAGTCATGTAGAACGCCGAGGCCTGAGAAATGGGCCGTCGAACCTGCAGCGCCTGAACTTTGAAGCCTTTTCAATGCTCTCACAGCTGCTTTCAAAAGGCTTCGAGGATCTTGACTACTCAAATAAAATTATATCAATCATTCACCATAGGTGGGGGCACGAATAGCTCGAGTAAAGCACCTCGGAGCTATCCAGTTCACCCAAGTTCTGCCACGCCAGAGGCTCGGAATCTCGAATGACACTTCAATCTCGAGGACCGTTTCGTCGCGCTCGGATCCGTCAGAGCACATTTTGGATTCTGAACACCGTCGCACGATTAATTACTGGAGGTGACATGGAGGAAGAAAAAGCTCCGGGCGATCGTCTTGCTCTGGGCGCCACGTGACTGTTGGGCCTTGGCTATGGGTTTCCCCCCCACCTTTGCACCAACTTCCCCCACGCCTTTACCAACCGGCTGGGCCTCGCACGCACGCGCGCCTTAAGTTGACAAGGTTGGCACTCCCTAGACAGCGCCAGCGCCCCTTTACGTAATTCGCGCTACGGAGGCCTTAGTCATCCCATTCGTGGGCCGAGGCCAGGGCCCAGGCACACCCACGCGCGCGTTGCGTCGACTCGCGGTGAAGCTCGGCAGCGCTTGCTTGCTCCTCCCATTTATTTGCCTATTGATTTTGGAGTGTGACACCTCTCACCACCTGGGAATCGCTTCTTCCAACCGAAAGCTCGAAAGCTTAGCTTTTTAGGCACACACCACCACAATCCAGACTGGTACCACCCGTTCATCCACCATGTCGGACGCCGCTGTCGGCGTCAAGGACAGCAGCAGCCACCACCGCCGCAGCTTTGGCTCGAGCTCTAAACCCAGCACGAGCCGCGGCGCCGGCGCCGGCGGGATCTCGGCGTTACAGCAGCTCAGTGAGCTCGCCACCGCCCGCAATAATGGCAACGGCACCAATCACGCCGGTGGTCACATTCACGCTGATCAGCGCTCAACAGCAACGCATGGACTCGCGCAAGTACAGGCCAGCCCTCCCACTACGATAGACACTACTTCTACGCCACTCGATCGCACGATGGCTGCACGACCAGCGACTCGGAATCACTCCGCCGCGATGACGCAGACCGGATCGGCGGCTCACCTCATGGCCAGCACACCCAACGCCGCGGATGGCGCAACAGCACGATCGAATGTGCTGACTCAGCCAACGCCACCTGCACCAGTAGCCACCACTTCGGCCATCTCACCTGATCTCAACCCTTTCGCACCTACGTCGCTTGTCCCGTCCCATGATTTCTCGCCTACACTCACACCGGCCCCAATAGCCTCAGGCACCTCGGTGTCCCCGAACTCGACCTCAGCGCAGCAGCAGCATCACCATCGCCCCGGCCTCAGCCACACAGCCTCAAAACACATTCTCATCCCACCTCCGTACTCGAACTCCCTACCTTCCCACCCCAACCCACCCCGGCCGATCCTCCCCTCCCCTCGATCCCTCCCGCTCGATCACCCTCCGCTCGAAGCCGCACCCCCACCTGCGGGGTCCAGCCCAGGTTCGACCAGTGTCGCCGCGAGTCAGGACGACGTCGATCTGTTGGATCCGAATGAACCGTATTCGAAAGCAAACCCCTCGGGCGCGGGCTTGAAGACGAGTAGTACGTTCTATAAGTAGACGAGGGATCCTATGAGATAGTGGAGCGGAGCTGACCCCCCGAAGATTGGCTACTTTCTTCAGAACGAGCGGTGCAGAATCGTGCAGCGCAGCGCGCATTCAGGGAGAGAAGAGAAAAGCACATGAAGTGCGTCATTATTTCAAACTTTCAATGATGATCCTGAACTGATGCCGCCCCTTGTGCTGAGTGCTGAACAGGGATCTCGAAACCAAAGCCGGCCTCGTGGAAGAATATCAAGCGCGCGAGCGAAAGCACCTCCAAAGCATCGACCAACTCGAACGTGAACTTTCCTACAAACCACGCCCACCTTCCTCTTCTTCCTCTTCACCCTGTTCAAAATGTCACGCCACCGCACCGGACCGAGATCTCCCCAAAGCCCAACCTTTCCCACCACCTCAACACCTTGCCGAATCACCTCCACCCTCGACCTCCTCTGACGACCCCTCCCTCCCCTCCCTCCATCACGCCCTCCAACAAAGTCGTCAACACGCGCACGACCTCGAAGTACAAATCGAAGCTCTCAAATCCGCTTTGGACGAAAGTCGACGGATTTGCTCTGATCTGAGAACAACGGTTTGGGAATTTGGCAATAGGGATGGGGAAAGGAAAGAGGGGTGTAGTGGTGGGTTAGGAGGTGAGGGGAGATTTACGGCGAAAGGAAGTGGAGCGGACGTGGATTTGAGCATGGATGTGAACGTGGACGGGGACGGGGAGACGAAGAGGTGTAGGAATGGGGAAGGGGTGGATTTTAAAAACAGGGCCCAGGAAGCAGGGCAGGGACATCTGCAGGTTCAGATGCAGACTTTCCCGATGCCTCTGAGCAAGAAGGCGAGGGTGTGGGAATGAAAGACGCTATGACGACGAACGCGAATGTTATTCTCAAAATCCATGCACAAGCAGAGACGCGAGCTACGGGAATGTCGAGAGAAGATCTAAGGATCGCCGCAGCGAAATAACCCCTCGGGCCTCGGAGCGACTCGTACGGGGGCCCCTTTTTTCAGCCTCCAGGGCGCGCGTTGCGGCTTACGTCGCCTTACCGAACCACTTCTTGCAATCCTGTTTACAAAGGTCGCATCCCTTGTGCTGCGAATTGGGACCGCTCCTCCTGAAGAAAGGGGGGGGGGGAAACACCCCAATCAAAGTCAATGGAAACCCTCTCTACAACGGATAGCCGTCCCCGGTCTGAAAGCAGTACTGACAAATTAGCACAAGTTTTGAAATTCAAATCGCACGTCGTCATGCACTCGTTCTCGGCGAAATGGTTACGCATCGGACCGAACGAGCCGATACAGTGATCAATGCATTGCTTACTATAATTTCCATCACCGAGAGTATCAGTATTCAAGACAACGCGGTTCCGGAAAAGGGGGGGTTGCGGCGAGTTGAACGGTGACGTTACTTGACTTTACCCATTTTGGGATCATGGCACGTGAGTTGACAGAGCCCTGAGCAAGTTGCGAGTTCGCCGGGGGAATTGCCGAACCTTTTTTTTCGGACGAGAGAATGAAACGAATGGAATGTAAGGTAGTGTGAGAAGACGTTGTCGTTTTTTGGGGGGGAATGAGTACGATTACGTACATGCAGAGAGACCACGCTTGGATAGGGGTCGAGTGAGTGACGAGCCACGCGAGGAGGGGGAGGAGGGCGGGGAGTTTCGTCGATCGAAGCATACTGCTTGCTCAGTGAGTACTTGGAATGCGACCGATGAAGGCGAACAGCACTGAAAAAGAAGGAGAGCGCAACTGCGATTGGGAAATGTGAAGGGGATGAATGAAAGCAACGACCGGGAAGGAGAGACAAGACCTCGTCACATCGGCCGACCTTACTTGACTTGCAAGGAGTGACTCGAGTTTCCGCTCAGGGGCATCGAGGCGCCTGGCGCTTTTCGTTGGACAATAATACGGCGGGGCAATAATCGGCGGCCCGCCGGGTCGTCCGCAACCGAGGCACATCGATCAGGGTGCAAGAGCCCCTGAGCAAACGCGAGGACGGTGCGGTTGATCACATGACGATACTCCTACCGAAACGAAGCGGTGACGAAAGAGATTTCCCAAGCGGATCGATGAGCTCAGACGTTAAGCGCCTCGGGGATTCCACCGAAGCTCGGTCGCTTGAACGATTGATTTTTGTGAACGGAGAGAGAGGAGAGAGAGAGCGTGGAGGGACAAATCGATCTTTTCTTCTGTCGGGAGACCCGTGCTGACACTTTCGAGGGCATTTGAAACCACGAGAGTGATGTATCTTGGTGTGGAATATCACAGGTCAACGACCACTGATCCAGTTAGTAAGCTTTCAATTTGGCATCACGATGGAAACGTGCAATGAGAGTGTGCTCGGGAAGCGAATATCAGACGAGAGTAGGCATGAATGCATATAAGTGACGGGATGGGAAATAAACTTGGAGGATGAAAGCTATGCACCAAAATGGCCTTATACCGACCCAATGAAGTTTCAAAGTCACATCGGAAGGCGCCCCTCCATCGATCAATGCCTCCTAGGGCGGAACCACGAAATGCAAGCTTCGAAGCAGTGTGCGCAATAATTAGGTCCTTTCCTGAATTTCAAGAATCATGGAATGTAACAAACGGAACAGGACCTATCATCAGCTGACATCTTCGACCTGAGATCATGCAGCCTTGGAGGGGCTCAAAGGACTCACTGGCGGCACTCTTTATCGGGGATGTCACACTTGTCACTGCAATCATGCAATGCATCATTGCTCCTCGACGGGCCATGTTCGCCGATACAATGATCCAAGCATCCCTTCCTGGGGAATGAACGTTCGGCAGTGGATTAGCGTTTGGTCTTCCTTCGAAAGAAGGGCAGGCGGCGGGGCTTTGGCCTCACACCTGTGATTTGCAACTCACTGCTTGGAAGGTTCGAGATTGTAGCACGAAAACTGACATATTCCCGAGCACATCGCGGAGTTCATGGGCGGATCCCCGAACTTGAACCTAGGGGCGGATCCACAAGCAGAGTAGCGACAGCTTCAGCACCAGCATCCGAGAGCAACGAATTCGGAAGCTCGGGCCTTGGTGCTACGAAGCACGAAAAGGAGACCCCCATTTCTTGACTCACGGACAAATGGCCCAACTCGCGACATGGGGAAAGTAGAGTGTGACGGCCAGGACCAGCATGACTTGGATGGCGAAAGAGGCTCGCATGATCGATACCAAGTGACAGGACTAAAGTGATGAGGAAGACAAGAAGCGCGGCTCCGGCGCTACGGTATGACCGAGCATGCACGGCGACAACTCTGAATCCGACGGCTCTTCCGGCCCAGGGGCATATGCGCGCGTCCTCGGCTCCCAAAGGCGAGGTCGGCTCGGCACTCGGTGAAACCTCGCTTTTCCCCGCGTTTTCCACGGCTACAGCGAAGCGTTGAAGCTTCAATAATGACTTCAACGATCCCTCTGGGGTTTTACTAATGCGCGCCACCGATGAATGCATGACTCCCGAGGCGAGGATCCTACCGGCGGGGCACATTCGGTCGTGTCAGGAGAACTCGTAGAACCGTTTGAAGTGTCCGCGAGTTTTGATCCTTCGTACTCCCGTTGGAGGAAACGGTGGTCACGTGTGGGAGATGGTCTCCACTTGAAGTCCAATTCCACCAGCTTAAGGAAAGAAAGCAGAACGCCGGACGAAGCGTCGCACGTTCAAGCGCGTTGCGCACGCGCGATAATTTTTCCAAGGCTTCGTAGCCGGAATGAAAACACGGTGCAGTGATTCGATCCCAATTTTGTAGGATTAATCCGTTCTCTGGCCAGGCTTCACAAAGCCGCAGAGTTGATTCAATCAGACTCGCATGGTTCAAGCATCCTCCTTGATCTCACATTGGTATGTGCACTGCAACGAGGCTTTCAACGCCACCTCCCCTAATACAGAGACATGGCTTGCTGGGCCAATTGTCAAAACTTGAGCGTCATGCAGACCTCTCGAAACACGCGAAACCCACCAGACCATGCGTCGAACGGGTAGAAACCGCAGTCTTCAATGCATCTGCTGAGCCGAGCCTGCCACCGAAAAGGTATTTTTACGTTGGGATCGAAAGACGGACTCGATTTATGCATTCATCCGAGAGCAAAGAGTTATTCTGGAATTGCAGAATGCAGAACGCGCGAGTACCGAGGAGAGGAGGGTGAGGGGTGGTTACATCACCGAAACGTTGGCCGAGCGGGCTTCCTCCGTGGTTCCGTCATGTTCCCTGGTGTCGCCAGTGACGCAACTTCAATGATAGCCAGTGATATTGAGGTTAGGAATGAACCAATCTATACACTTGTCACGACAGGTCTGGCATTCCCGGTCGATTTTCGGGTTTTGCCTATTTGTGCGCCGTCGGACTCGAGAGCAACGTCAGCAAGGCCCTTCAACAAACAGCTTCAGCTCGGGCGAAGGGGGCCCCGCCAGAGGCACGATTGGCTCACCTCTTTTCCCGGCACACCGAAAACGTATTGCATTGCTTCGTACATTCATCCGCTGCTTCACCCGATCTTGATAGGTGGTATTGTCCCGTGCAGGATTTGATGCGCGTCGGGCTAAGCCGTCATTGTGAGTCTGTCAGCGTTTGATCGATCCTTCGGGGCCGGCTCTGAACTCAGGAGGGGCGCGGGAAGGTCACTCACTCAGCGGTTCCCGAATTCGGTTCGTAGCAGCCCAGTTGACACAAGCCCGAGCAGATGGCCATTGGCTCATCTTTGTCTCCAAAGCTGAGAATTTGAAGAATCAGATGAAGACCAAAGATGACGCAGGTACCTCGCGCGCTGCGGTCGAAAAAACTCACGGACAGAAAGCCCACGCCACGACAGGGCTCGAGTAGAGCACGATCACAGCGAAGATGAGTGCCGCTTGGACGATCGAAGAGTTCCACATGCTGGTTTAAGGACGATGTATAATCTCGGGGATATGAAGGTCAAAGGTTGTGGGACTAAAGTAAGAGGCACTCCCGTCGGTGGCCCCGAATATGAGCCGGTTCAGCTCAGGAGAGCCCTGGACCGAACGGCGATTTACACAGCCGCCCGGCGCTCCGCCCGGCGCTCCTGAGTACCCGAGTCCTGACATTTGACTAATCAATTCGCCGGCGGTTCGCGGAAAATCCCACTTCACAGGAGGGGCCTTCGGGCATGAGGAAAAAATGGAACGTTTGGCGCCATCCTTGAAGTACACGAGTCCCTGGAAGAATTCGAATGGAAGTACATGAGAGCGGCCTTCGCGATGGGCCGCGCCCCAGGCTCAACAACTTCCCCGTAGCTCATCATCAGCCCCTCGGACCGCCCCGACCCATCCTTCGCGGCGATCCAACGCGACCGAATTCAATCCTGAGCTCTCGAAACCCATTCCTACATCCTGCGCTGTGATTCCGTTCGAGAAATTCAGCTCTGATCGCTCCGAATGGGTAAACGCGCGCGCGCGTGCTTCGTCCGGTTGAAGCATATTGGGCTAGTTGGGAGGCGACGACTCGGATTGGTGTAGAGAAGATTGGGGGAGGGAAAGCGTTGTTCGGTCGATGGCGTGAGGGGTGGACGTTGGTGTGATTGGCGGTTTGAAATTGTGGGCAGTGAGGTTGGGAAGTCGTTGGTTTGGAGTCGAGTGCTTAACGCCTACGGGGAGAAAGTCAGGAGCTTTCTTTACACTGGCGCGGCTGGCGTGTCCGACGAAGAACACGCGCCCCCCTCGGGAACGAAGACGATACGTAGCTATATGGATCAGAGCACGATAGGAGCATCGAGGTCCGATGATCTATCTCCATCTCGGTGCCGGCCGTCGTATGGTGAGAGATTTAAACAAGCTTGCTTGGCTGCAGTCTTGTCTCCGCGGTTCTCCCCATTCGTTTGTTTATCAGTTCCTCTCTTGCAATGACCGAAAAGCATCAATCATCTCTCGAAAGAGTATCACATGCCCTTCCAGATTGACAGCGTTGTTGGTAGGACAATAGATCAACGTCGATTGCACTGATCCGTTTACACGCTATGGACACTTCCCTCTGAGCACCGATGAATCCCCACTGAACGCCGAAGCGTTCACCCACGTCCAACGAACGGCATCTTGTTCGCCATAAGAGTCTACGTCACCACAATTTCAACCGTCAGTTAAGGTTTCTGTAACGAATCCCCGACTCAAAAAGAAGCGCACCTGGTTGAGAATGTTGACGTCGAGCGGCAAGCTCGCCATGTAGACGAGCGTCGCTCCGACATAATCGACGGGGATCACGCTGTGATTCGTCGATCGACCTATCGCATCAGCAGCCCGAAATATGGCCATGGGGATATGGTTGGAAGAAGCGAGAATACTCACGGCTCGTCCCTGACTTCACCAAAGGGCTGCAACTTGCCCGCGTTTTCCTTGGAGGCCATCTTGGACTCGGCGTTACCTACAAATTCGAACAAGGACGCAAACACATCAGTCCACTCGCCCGAGGCCCCATCCCAGGATTTCCCCTTAAAAAACATCCGTGCTGAGCCACTCACCAATATCAATCTGTGAACACGCGATATCATGCTCCCTCCCATCCAGCGCCGTGCTCTTCGTCAACCCAGCGACAGCATGCTTGGTCATGGTGTACGGTGCCGAAAAAGGTCTCGGGGTGTAAGACGAGATGGACCCGTTGTTGATGATGCGCCCTCCTTTGGGGGATTGGGTCGACATGATCTTGAAGGCTTCTTGGGTGCAGAGGAATGGCTGGGAGGATGAAAGCGATAGGTTAGGTGGGCGAGTTCGGTGATGAGCTTGGCACGAGTGAGGGACGTACGGCCGTTACGTTGATGGCCAAGATGGACTCCCAATCCTCATACGGCGTGTCCTGCAATTGGCAGCCAGCGGTCGCGCGTCCAGCGTTCTGGTGAGGCCAGTCGGAATAGGGTGGGGGGGGGGGGGGGCGCGGGGGAGTTGGGATCAGTTTTCGGTCAAACTCACCTGAACACTCTTCCAGCTTTGTACTCACGTTAAACAAGAGATCTAGTCGGCCTGTTCGTTTTTTGTGCAGCAGTATTATAGGAGCGGTTGCGACGACGATGTTCGGGAACGCCGGGGACGGACATCATGAGAAAGTGGGGAGAGGTGGGGATGCCCGAGACAGGGACGGTTCGGGAATCGACACCGGAATGAACGTGGGATGAATGGGGTAGAACGCGACGTACATCAGTACACCATCACCTTCAATTCATCCCCGGGATGTATCTCAGACCTCCTTCTCGACTGACCATACTTCTCCCTCACGAAATCAAACAGCTTGATGACATCCTCCCGTCTTCCCAAGTCTCCTACGACCCACGTCATCTCCTTGACCTGCTTCCCCTCCTTGGCCCTCTTATAAGTCTCTTCCAATTCCTTCTCTTTTCGTCCGGACATGACGACGGTCCATCCCGCGTGGGCGAGGGCGATCGAACAAGCTCGTCCAATGCCGGAGGAAGCTCCGGTGACGACGGCGATACCGGGTTGGGTCATGGGCAGGGACATGTTGGATCCAGGTTTGGCTTGAGGGTGAAGTGTGTCTTTCGAGAACGACAAAGTGCGTGAGGTGAATGAACTAGTGGCGGGGAGAGGGAGAGGATGAAGAGGGGCAAGGCAAGGCGGAACTGTCGATTGCTGTCCGGGACATCTGATCGGCCGAGCCCGCGGGGGAGCGTGCGGAGCAAAAGCGGCCCGACGCCGCCCGCGCCGCTGAAGCGCTCAAGTCGGGGGTTCCTCATCACGTGACAAGTTTTATAGCGTGGGCGAAGCTTGCAATTGGGGCCCCACTCTACCGCCTCTCACAACTCGTAGAACCTCGACGAGCGTCACTGCCCACCCATCATATAGCATATTTTATTTTCATATGTAATTCTAATCAGGTTCTCACCGTCCCCACCGTTCACCACCATCCCCTCCCTTCAGTCCCTCTTCTTGAACAAATAATGCCCGACCCCCCAACTCTCGCCCTCATCCAACGCGAAGAACTCGGCGCACGCCAAAAAGAACACCCTGAACCTATAGAACGACTTGGAGCCTTCCGTACTCCTCTCCTGCTTCGAAGCGGATTTCGCCGCCGGTCCGGTGACGAGTTCGTCCGATCGAGGCGACGACGAGTTGAACCATTTCGAACGGTGCGAGTCTTGCAATTTGAGCCAGTCCTCGCAGGTGCTGAATGGGACAAGATTCGAACAGCGAGAAGGTCAGTCGGACGTTTCGTCAAGGCAAAAAATTGAACGCTCGGTGAGAAGTCTTCGACGCACCGTCCGTAGTGCTTGCCGTTGATCCACCACGATCGCTCGAGCGTCAGATCGGTTTGGAAGTGCGTGAACAAGTCGAACGAGGACATCGTTCCGCCTGTAACGAATCGGGGACAAGTGAAACATCAGCTCGTGATCCTATGCACTTCCAAGCTGCGTGTTCTGAGGCCTACCAGAGAAGAAGTTCTTCGACATCCACCCGTCGTTCTCCTCAAAGTGGTACCTAAGCACATCCGATCGATTCATGGATCAGCATCTCAAAGACGGTGTCATTTTGGGCTACAGTTTTGCTCACGGTGTGTCCCGATGGCAGAAGATGTGGACGAAAAGGAGCGCCTCGCCCGTCTTGGCCTCGGCGTTGGGTTTGAGCCACGAGCTGACCTTTTTCAGGAGCTGCTCGTAGTTCTGTATCGGGATCAAGTCCCGATCAATATGTGCGTAACAGGCGTAACGATGTCGTTGACTCGCCTTCATGTGCTCAAACATCTCGATCGACAAGATGCGATCAAAGCTGTCCCGACACCAAAGCATGCGCATACCAGATCAGCTCCCCACCGCGCCACGATCCCGCCAACTCAAAAAAAAGACCCACCTTCTCGTCCCAGCAAAGTCATTGAACACCTTGACGTCCCCGGTGAAGACGGTCAAATTCTTCAAGCCCCTCAACGCGGCTTGGCTATCGATGTGCACTTTTTGGGTCGCCGAGTTGCTCAAGGCCGTGATCGTCGAGTTGGGGTATTTCTAGACCGACCCCCCAAAATGCAAGAACATCAGTCTGCTCCTCACTAAACTCCAGCTCTACCCGAAAATTGGCCGACTGACCTTGGCCAAGAACAAACTCAACGAACCCCATCCACACCCCAAATCGAGGATTTCCATCCCGTCCTCGAGCTTGGCCTTTTCGCAATACGACTGCAGCATCAGCACTTCCGCCTTCTCGAGCGTTTCTTTACCCGTTGGGTATAGACAACAAGAATATTTCATGTGGGGTCCGAGACAGGATTGGATGAACTCGGTAGAAACCTGTTCTCGAGGTGGTGCAGCCGGGCCGAGAGTGGGATGTCAGTTCGGTCCCTTTTACTCTCACTTGCTCCCGAACGGTGCTGTTGGGGGGGTGGGTACGTACCTCGTAGTGTTGCTCGTTCGCCTTTTCGGTCTCGATCGCGACTTGATGCTGCTTCAAGCCCTGGATGTAGGCCCACTTTGCTTCTACGCTCGCTTCCATGTTGGTCGCTTTAACCCTACGCGATCCCCCCCCCACAACCCACAACCCACGTACACGCCCGGAATCAGTTGTTACTCAAAACGTAATCGTGAGAAGGGGGGGTTACGTGTATGCATACTCTTGTAATCGTTGCCGACAGAGGTATCGAATCGCTCTCCTGACGATCGCATCGGGCAATACGCCACTGACAAAATCCCCGGGAAAGCGCGGAACACACCCACCCACCCACACACACATCATCAGCTCCTCGGCCACCCAGCTCATAACCCTGCAGCCGTATCGTGGGCGAAAACTGACCGATCCAAAGCGTCGTATCCGAGCTTGGTCACGACGTCCATCACTGCGATCGGATTCCTAGTCGGGGGGGTTGAAGATAAGGGATGTGGAAGGAGGGTGAGAGGACGGATGGGAAGAGCGGGAAGATGGCGTGGATCGATCGAGCGCGCACGCGCACGCGCAGATCGACAGCGACCGAGATCAAGTTACGAGTGCCCGATCGCCGCCTCCGAATTGCGCACAGACTTGCACCTCGAAAGGCTCGTGAAGAAAAAGCTCACTCGATAGTCATCAGCAGAAAAGTAGCGAAAAAGTGTACTCGAGTGATTACATCAAACGCAAGCATACAAAATAAGCAAGTGATCACAATCATCTGCTCGTCTCCCCACCAAACCACACCCAAATCCCTCCCTTCCCCTCAAAGCTCAATCAACTCCCCGACCTTCTGCTCCTCCACCAATTGCTCCTCCCTCTTGGTCCAGGGTTCTTCCTGCGGTACATGGGGGAACAACATCGCCTGCGGGCCGGAGGGTACGCTAGGGAATTGCGAGGGCTTGTAATACCCTGCTGGTTGAAGCTGGGCTTGGACTTGGACTGGGGCTTGAGCTGGGGCCTGAGCGGGAACGGGGGATATGACGCTTTGCTGAGGATGAGGATGAGATTGAGGTTGTGCATATGTTTGTGGTTGAGGAGCATAGCTCTGTTCGTGGGCGTGCGCGTGCGTCGGGGGTGCGGATGCGATGGTGTAGGGTAAAGGCTGTCCTATCGGAGTAGGCTGATAAGCATACCTCGGATCCTGGTACGTCTGCTGCATCGACGCCGCCGCCGACGAAGCCTGCGCCACCGCGCCCGCATACTGTTGTTGTTGTTGCTGCTGTGTCCCCACCGTCGCACCGTACCCCACCTGTTGTCGCTGTGGTGCATGATACGCTCTCGCAGCGTTCTCCAAAGCACCCTGATACATCCTCGCCGCCTCGGCCAACTTGAGGTTCATCTCGACCAACATCTCCTTCCTCCTCTCCGCGTCTTCGAGCCCTCTTTCCAACCTCGGAGCGGCTAGACTGGCTTGCTCGTACAGTTGTCGTTCGCGATGCCCTAGCTGAGGTGGCGGTTGTGCAAGTGCGGAAGTGAAGGTGTGTAATGTCGAGGATTCGGTAGGGGAGAGATCGTAGGAAGGTAAGACAGCATATCGAGTCGCGTGCGTTGGTGCAGCGGTGCTTTGGTATCCTTGATTAGGGAACAGCGAAGCATAGGTCGCCGCCGGTGGTGTAGGGTGAGAGTCGAAGGTCGGTGCCGAAGGAGCGGGCGCAACGTCCCTCAATGACGCAGCAATCGCCGCCGCCAAATCTGGATCCTCTTCCTCCTTCACCCCCGCCGTCTTGTCCGGTATCGACGAGGTCCTCGTTTCATTCGTCGCATAAGAAGGTGTATACCCCGATTTGGCAGGTACGTCCTTGTTGCGCGATTCGAACGCCGGTCCCCTCGACGAAGAAGGGTTCGACTCGAGCAAACTCGCCGCAATAGCGCGCTGCAAGTCCTCGTCCTCCTTTGCCCTCGCGGAAGCGTTCCGTCGTCCACTACTCGAACTTGATCCATGTCCGACGGTCGAACTCCGTTCGGGCAAGCCCGGTCGATCGGCTTGTCGTTGCGCACTGCCCAAACTCGTACTTCGAGCGAGCACGCTCGCGCCTTTGCCTTCCTTGACCTTCTTGACGCACCCGTCGCACACCCGCACGGCTTCGGTGATGCCGAAATGGGGTAGGGGAGCGACGTTGGACGAGCATTGTTGGTCAAAGACGTCGCCGCAGTTGCGACAGTGGTGCTTGCGATTAAAAGTGGTGAAATCGGTTCGGCACCGAGTGCAGTACGCCGCGTCCTTCCAGTCCGGGGCCTGCGTAAAAGTCAATCCACGCAGAGTGAAATGCTGAGGTATGAGCATCTGTCAACCCCCCTTTTGAGAGCATTTCCCCGCCCTGAAACTGACCGATAACGATTCGACCATCGCGGCCGTAGCGGTCGGATCCGTCGGCGGGAAAGCGAACCCATCGGCCTTCATCCTCTCATAAACCCTAACCAACTCACTCCCCTTCAACCCCTCCTTCCCGACAAAGGCCGTAGCCCAATCCTGCAACTTGGCGATGACCTTGTCCTTGACGTCGCGGTTACTACCCGAACTAGTACTACCACCTTTCGCCAACGATTCGAGTTCATTCGCGAATTCCTTGCCTGCTACGGCGGTGAGGAAAGGTGTGCCGCCGTTCTTGACGCATATGTCCAGAACGGAGAGGGCTAGTAGTTGGACGTTGGGGTTGGGGTGACGGAGACGACGAAAGATGGATTTGCTGGCGGCCGAGGCGGGTACGGCGGTCGAACGGATTAGATCGGCGAGTTGGAGCGATGCGACGAGGTCCGGCGGGGTCGAGGAGGGGAGCAGGTCCGAGGTCGTTTTCTCTGTTGGTTGGCAACGTGCGAACGAATGATCAGGTTCGAGCTCTGATTGGGTCACATGCTTCTGATGACACCGCAGATGACTCGCCGAAGCGACAACCATCACTCGAGTGGGGGGGCTCGAATCGAGTCATAACACCGACCACCACCGACAGAGGGGGATGTACTGACCCAGCAATGTGTCAAATTCGGATTGACCGGCCGAAGGACCCCACAGGAAACTCATGATGCGCTGTAGAGTCTACTTTGCAGCCTGGCGAAGGGCCAAGGGCGAAGGGCGTTTGGAGTGAGCTGTGAGGTGTGACGAACGACGAGCTCGGACGGACGGATGACGGATGATCGCCGATCGGAGCGTGCGGGGGGACGTCCTGCTAGTTGGGCTGGAACTCTGTTTGCTTCTTGATAGTATGCTGTAAAGTCCAGTTCCTCGACGATGGTGGTATAGGCACGAGTGACCGCTGACGGCTGACGGAGGCGCTGACGAGCGTTGCCAGAGGCCAAGGGGCGCCACTTCGGCGTACGTCGGGCCCGTCGCCCATGTCCAGGGAGTTGCCGGCGAAGCGGAAAAAAAAAAAAAAAAAAAAAAAAAAAAAGGAAAGGAAGGAAAAAAAGAGAAGAAAAGAGAAGAAAAGAGAAAGAGAAAGGAAGGAAATAAGGAAAAGAAAGGTAAGAAGGGGGAAGAAGGAAAAGACGAACACATGATGTCTCATAGTACTCTCTTGTTGCATGACTTGCCCGAATTCGGTATTTTTACACCAACACCAGGTACACGCAAAGATGGTATGCCTAAGCTTGAGAAACACGCTTACAGTCCCGCTCGCAGCCGTCTCACTGCAAAGCCTTTTCAAGGCTCGGACAGCAGTGTAAAGAGCAATGAAAAAAAGCAGGCTTTGAACACGTGGATTACAAGATATATCCTTTGCTTTACCAGAAATGCCTTCCGCAGAAACTGTGCGAACATCTCACCGTTTGGAGTTCCAATGGCTAGCCTGAGAGTAAGGCACCGACCGGTCGACTGAGATCGCGGATTCGGCGAGGCCAATCCGAGCTACCAACGAGTCTCGAGTCACCGTTCTTGAGGACCGTTGTGTTGCGCTCGTATCCGTCAGAGCACATCCTGAATGGTGGATCAATTCGTAAATTGAAGATCGACGAAATATTGAGATACCGAGGATGCCCATGTAAGAACCGCAGGGAAGGATACCGATCGATGATACCGATACCGATAATGATCAAGCCGAGGCCATAAGATCTTGTCATATGGTCCGCCGAGCATGAACTCACGCCAGTCCTTCTTCTTACGAGCCTCGATACAAAGGCCGTTGGTAGCGCGCGAAGTGATGGCACGCTGGATGGCAGGTCCTGGAGCCGATTTGCGTCCGCTCCTTGGTTCCGATCTTAGTGGTTGAATCGGTCACGATTTCGTCCCGCCGCAGTTCCAAAGCACATCTCGTCCTCAATCGCCGAGGGAGCACAACACCTGCCACTCTTGCCGTTTGATGTTTGTAACGTGTGTTCGGTACTTCTTGATAAGAATCGACTTTGTTGGTTGCTCTGCTTACTTGAAAGACGGCGTCCATTGGGATCTTCGACCATTACGGGCCGGGTGGGCTCGGTAGAACTAAACTCGAAGCGAAGGGTAGCTCAAAGTGACCGATAGATGCGTTGAACGAGTCGGACTTGGTATCGGAACATGAAAGGATTTCTTTATGGGAACGGGGAACAAAGAAACGCCGCCTTCAGTACACGAGATGGAGCGGCACGGCGAACGCGCCAACGGTCGGGCGACGGCCGGGCTCACGTTTTCGAACGGCTCTGTTTCATGGAAGATGGTGTGACGATGGATGTCAGCATAGCAACGGAGATCACAGAGATGATCCTTAGTATTCGAGCTATTACCATTGACCTGCACTCGTTATGTAGTCCAATGATCGTGGTCGACCAAAGTTGGCTCCGACCTGATCCTTACCGGCGACTCCTGAACTTGCCTTATCTGAAGGTATCGCTCAGCCTGTATTCCAAGTTTCGCTACTTGCTATTTCATCGGTCTGCTCGTCTTCAAGAATGCTTTGGGACGTTGTAGGCGGTTGACGGCGATGGAAGGCGGTGGACGGCGGACCTCGGGAGCCTGACGTCGGTGCGCTCGTGATGCTAGATTGATGGCGGTCTTGCTCGATCGATGGCTCATGTAGGTAGATGAGCATTGAATAGCAGCCCGACTCCGTGTCTTCGTCGACCTAAAGTGTAAGATGTGCTAGTTCAGTGTCTCGCCCAGGCGTGCTGTTCGCGACAAATCGTTTCGATCGGCTTTGCTGAACGGCATCGGATGGGATCAACAATCGAGAGCGAGTCTTGCTTTGACGTGGCAAAATACGTTGTGTTGGCTCGAAGGCCGAAGAAGTGCGGACGTTGGGCATAGATCAGGACAGATAGGGGGCTGAGAAAGAGCTCGATGCGATTGTCGCGCCGCGGGCGACACGTGACTTCTGCCACATTCCCGTGGGCTGGCACTGCCAACTTCCCCCCACCTTTCTGCCAACTTTCGCCACGCCTCTGCCAACTTCGCCAACTTCATTGCCTAATAAGCGGGCCGCAAGCGCATGTGCGCGCCGAAAGTTGGCGAAGTTGGCACTCCCTGGACACCGCCAGCGCCCCAGACTCCGGGGGTGACGTCGGCACAGCTTGAGCCCCGAAAGGCCCGAAAGGCGCCGAGAGGGGCTGAACGTGCGGCAAGCCCAGCTGAGCGCAATCATCGCCATTAGTCATCGTGCAGCGGCAAGCTTTTTCCCTGCAGTAGTCGATAGTGCCCCGATGTTAGCGTTCTCGCTCGAAGTTGCTTGGATCACAGCTCTTCGCAACTTGACCACTGATCCCAAGTCCAGTCCGAGTCGTCACCACCAGAGCTAGCTGTGGATCGGGAGCAGAATCTGACGCGCGGGCTTGAGGCAAATCATCCATCGTGTAGCCTCTTTTGCACCAAAGAAACCCGTTAGTAAAGTCGAACTAGTTGTTAAGAATTAGCTCGTTCGACCGATGTCCCGGATCAACCCAACCAAAAGAGGTCTCAGCTGGCATTACCTCACGCATGCGGGGTACAGCCGAGGCGAGGGGGTTCTCCTGAGTGGATAGGCTCTCTTTCAGCTCCTCTTCTGTCTCTCGGCGCGCGCGTTGAGGGCTCGTCGGTCGCGCTCGGACGGGCTCGGTGGGGAGTCAAGCGCACCGACGCGCCAATCTCTCTCGGCCGAACATCACCCCTCTTTGCCTCCCTCCTCTCACCAACTCACCTACAGCACCTCATTGACGATGGCCAGCGAGAGTGCGCTCCCGCCTCCCGTTCGGCGGAGCAAGCCGATGAAGCTGTCCGACCTGCCGTCGGCTTTGCTCGAACGCGTGCTCGCGCTGGCCTTGCGAGTCGGACCCGCGTCGACGTCAACTCAGCCATTGACATGCGCCGACGCCGCACTCGAGCAGCAACGCAGTCTAGCTCGGACGCTGCTGTACGACTTGCGCAACCGTCGGTTGGCTCAGCATACGAAGAAGGTGCTGTGGTCAACGTTGACGCTCCCTGACGATGATGTGCTGGTCGTGCACGCCGAAATGATGATCAGTGCCACCCACGGTGGAGCCGACTCGATCGCCCTCGAGGGGTCCGAGCTGGCGACCAAGGTAGCCGCCGACGCCCAGAACATCAAGTCGGTGGCATCACTCTACACGGATGCCACCATTCCTCAGCTGGTTCGGCATCTACACATCACCAGGGCAGAGTGCCTCACCAGTGGCGCCGTAGAGTCCCGTGCGCTCGGTCACAGCTCAAACTCGTCCTCCCAATCTGCCCTCGCGCCACTGGAGAACCTCCACCGGCAGCGACACCCCGCTGGCGACGAGTTGAGCACCTCTACTTGGCCTTTTCAACCCATCGATGACGGCGCACTTTTGCACCTCGTGTCCAAGTTAATCTCGCTGAGCTCGTTCGAATGGGCCGCATCTCGTCATCCTCCTCGGATGCTCTGTTCGACGCTCGGAGCGTCCTCCAAATCGCTCACCTCGTTCAAGTTTGACCTCACCGAAGCTATCGACGCTCGTGAACCGACGTCTACTTCACCCACCACCGTGAACTCGCCCTCTCGAGCGGTCTCGACGAGCGCCACCAACTTGTCCGCCGGTCGGATCCAACGATGGGACGCTCCCGAGCTCTCGGCACTTCCGCTGTCGCTCACCCACCTCGCGCTCTCGTTCCTCTCGCAAGTCGGCGCACAAGAACTCGCCGCGGCTTTGCCCTCGCTCCCCGCTCTTGATCACTTGGAGCTGGGCAAGAGCGTCTATATCGATGATCCCCTCCTCGCCGAGGTTGGGAAGCATGTCCCTCGACTCAAGCGGCTGCGGCTGTACAACCTCCCCGGAAGCAAGTTGACCGAGGTCGGACTGGGGGACGTCCTCGATGGATGCTCGACACTCGAGAGCCTGGAGCTGTGTTGTGTCGAGGGTGAGCACAAGGGGTATTACCAGACGTCATCCACTGAGTGGAAGTACTGAGTGTCTTTGACACCTCACAGGACGACTCTCCAAATCAACCTGGAGCAAGGTCTCCCCGCTGCCCGAATCACTCAAGACCCTCGTCCTCCTTTACCATGAGCTCCCCTCGCCGCCGCACAAATCGTGGGTGTTGGACCACCTCAGCTCTCTGGCTATGGCACTCGAGTTCTCATCGCTGCAATCGTTGATCATATCGCGCAAAGTCGAAGATGTCGTGCGGCTCCCCGGTCAGCACTGGACCTCGATTCATCCCATCGACCCCGTTCTAGCCCCCCGACCCCTGCCCACTGCATTCGTCGATGCGATCGCCAGCCGTGGTCGCGCTTGGAAAGACCTCAATCTCGATCTGTGGCAGATTGATGGGCATGCGCTCAAGAAGGTATTGAGCGCTTGCACGAATCTGACAACTCTGCAAGTCATGTATGACGAATCTCTCAGAAACTTGGTGAGTGTTCACTGACCTTGAGGGACTCACAGCCGATACTGACTTTGCGCTAAAATTGCTCCGCTTGCTGCGCAGCTCGGCCTCTCGAGCGCTTTCGCGGTCGCGCACCAACTTCGGAACTTTGCCGTCTCGATCGACCCGGCACACGTTCCCGCCCTATCTCCCGGTCACCCTCTCTCGCCTTCCCAATCACCCACTTTCACGGTGTGCCCGCTCCCGTTCGGATCCACTTCCGAGACCCAAGTCACTCCGCCCCGAGCGCACCACGGCCGTCGCTCCTCCGTTTCCTCAACCACATCCCGAATCTCCCTCCTCCCCGATCAACTCGGTGCGATCGCCCCCTCGACCAAAGACTGGCGTCGATTCCTCAAAAAGACCCTTGCGCTCGAATCCGTCGAATGGACCGGTCGAGGTGGGTTGGGAACCTGGTTCTTTGAACGGACGAGCACTTTGAGTTCGAGTATCAAGGTTGATTTCGAGCCTTCGGCGTTTTATGCCAAGACTTTGGTCGAGGTGGGGGAGGGTGTCGATTTGCTGACGGGTGTGGAGGGGGTCGATCCGGTGTTGAGGGGTTTGATGAGACGTTCTGCTCAAGTCGACGCACCAGAGACCGTTAACTCGGTATCTCGAGCTCCTCTTCCTGCACTGGACGAGGCGGGCAGTAGTGGATTCTCGAACGTCGCTAAACGAAGTCTCGGATCGTCCATCTCGGACGGGGACACCGTCAGCGACCCTCGCTCTTCGACTCCACCCATCGGAACTTGGACTAGTCGATCTCACATCGAACACCAGAAGGCATGGGACTCAAGTACCTCAGACGATCCACCCACTCCACCCGGCGACTCACCCTCCGGGCTCTCGCATCTGATCGATCCTTCACTTACACCTTCCGAAGGATTAGGAACGGGCGAACCATCGACGGACGTTGCTCCTTCGACGAACTCGAAAGGCGAGCCAAAAAGGAGCTGGAGTGAGTTCGTGATGAATCCCGGTGTTGGTCCAGTTCAATCTCGTAAGATGACTTCAACAAAATTGGGAGAAGGAAGTCATTCTCCCAAAGAACGACCTCAACCGATCGGAGTTTCGTCATCGGTCTCAAAGACCCCTTCTACGCCTGTGGCCTCACCCAAGCCGACTTCAACGTCCGCTCCGGCTCCGAGTCCAACGACGGCCAAGACCTTCTCCAGCATCGTCGGTGGTGGAGGTCCCACCAAGGTCGTCAACACTCGTTCGAACACCGGTACAGGACCAAGAGGCTCCCCTCGAACGAGCCAAGATGGGGTCCCCTCGGGGCGAAAACCTGCTCAAACCTCGCGAGGGGGCGGCCATGGTGCGACGCAGGCTCGCTCGACGAAATGAACCCGCGGCGCAGGTCATGGACAAACTCATAATCCTTCGCGATTCCTAATAGTGCCTTTCTTTCCCGTGTCCTCAGCTTTGTTTTGAATTTTTTGTAAACTTTGATACCTCGTCTTTCAGCTCCGGGATTTTGTGTATAGTACAACCAAACAATTCATGGACAATCTCCAGGTTTTTTGTCTCGTTTGTTCTTTGGCAACCGGCCATTTCGTACGACCGACCGACCGAGAGCTGCTGCGCATTCGGGGGGTTTACTCGTCTCCTTTCCTTCTCACTCTTCTCCACTCGAGCAACGTCGTACCTGAACTCGTTCCACTCGTCCTTCAAGTATCGGAATATGGGCGATAGACCCAACAACGAAGCTCTAATGACGCCCTTCAAACCACCGCGCAAGATCGATCGACCAACCCCTTCCACCTCAACGCCTCAACGCCTCATCTCAAAAAGACGACGTCGTACAAGCTCATGCGATTCAGAGTCCCCCGAACCAATCTATGATTCCAACTCTGCCACCTCTGATTCGGACGAAGAAGACGAAAATCAAGATCTACCCCGTCCAACTTACCCACTTACACCTCCTACTTCCTCACCACCACTCAATCCACATGAAGATCAGGACCCCCACTCGGACTCGGACTCGGATTCCCTCCTTCGTGTATCAGCATACGATCTTCTACTCGCTCGGATTCGTGAACGACGCGTTGGAGTGGAGAAGAGTAGAGGTGTTGAAGGGGTTGGGGAGGTTAAGGGAACGAAAAAGGAGAGGGGGTATGAGATGGAGCGAGTTAAGAAAAGACCTTTTATCGCTCCTGCTGTGGCGCTGAAGGAAGAGGAGGAGGAGGAGGAGGAGAAAGAAGAGGTTCAGCGGGTAGGGGAAATGGGGATGAAAGTGAAGATGAGACCAATGCCAAATTCGGAGGTGGAGATGGGGATGGGGAGCGAGGGGAATGACTCGGATTCGAGTGGGGAGTTGAGGGCGAAGAAGCGTGAGGTGTTTGTGGGGGAAGCTTACAAGAGGCCGCGTCGAGTCGAAATTTCGGAGTTGGCGATTGATCGACAAGATCATTCGAACCGTATCATTAAACATAAAGGCGACTCCAGCTATGCTATGCCAGACGAAGAACGGCTCGACTCTCAGGGATCTCAGGAGGATTGGCTGCCGAGCCCAGAGCAGGTCTTCGGGATAGGCAGGGGTTACAGCAAGTCAACAAGCGATTCTGAGGCATCATAGTCGGTAGATTGTAGGTGTTCAAGGTAGTGTCTTAGTTAATCAATGTGAAGGGATGACGTTACGTTTGTCCTCACCCTACGAGACCACCCTTTCGCGCTACCGTCTTAGGCGTATTAGGACGCTGATCTTGGCTTTAGTTGACAAAGTCATCAACTGCACGAGGCGGATTTTGAAGTGACTTCATCGGAAACGTGGAGCCAACCTAGAAGACAGTTCATAAAGAGAAATATGTTGGGATGAGGAAGTGGCAGGAAAAGGAGATAAACGAGAGAGGGCCGACTCACTCTCGTTGACTGCTGCTATTCCAACCCTTGGGGCATGCTGCGCACCGGTTCAAGCTGCGGGCTGAGCCCGGCCCATCGGAGGCGTCGCTCCGTGCGGGTGGGATCATGGTCGTGCGCATTATGTAATCAGTCACGGAATTTTGTCTCACAACAGCGCCTACAGTCTACGATTCTTGCCTTTGGGAGACCAAGCACCTAGGAAGATCCCTTCTGTTCTCAGAATTGCTGCCCCTCGGCCGACGGCACAGTCTTCGCACTGTGCAGCGATTTTGCGGATCAACGTACACGAACGGCGACCGCTGTCTTCGGCCATGACTGAGAAATAGGGGAAAGAGCCAGACTCGGTACGAAATCGGCAGATGCCTCAGACTCCCTTAAACTAATTTGAGACCAAAGTTCAAACCGAATCAAAGCCGTTCAGTGGGTGCCCAATAGCTGTTCCGACCATGCCGTGGGATCCCAGCCGATTGAAAAGGATTTTCGACAGAACCTTCTTCTGGGGTCGATGGGTCGACTTCCAGCGTCGAGGGCGCCGCGGAGTCGTGGGTTGCGGGGCGTACTCAATGCTTGAAGTTGAGATTTAGACTATGTGAGTACATAGATAGGTACCGTAGTGTGCACAGTACTGGCTCACCGAGTCATCATTTCCGGGTTTCCGATTCGAAGTCTCGATCCGGAACTGGCAGCGCAATCCAGCGGAGTCCGTTTGCACCGCTAGCACAACAAATCACGCAACATAGTTGCAATTTGTTTCGGCTTGCCCAGATAACGACGCGGGAGATTTCTGCTCATTGCCAGACTTCATCAGGCACTGGCCGGGCTACTAGAGCTAGCTAGAGCTGGTAGAACTGGCTAGAGCAGGCCTCGCAGCTCCACATCGCTCGCACCTTGCCCTTCCACCGCATGCCGACGACGATGTCGAACTCTTCCCCACTACTGAACCCGATCCACGTGCCTCGACCGACGGCACCTTCCATCTCTGGTTTCGTGCCTTCAACGCTCGCGCCGTCGTACTCGATCCACCACGCGCACGTGCTCCGACTGCACGACGTGTTGCTGCACCTCTTGTCGCTCGCGCCCAGTCGCACCAACTCGGAGCAGTGCCTCCGCGCGTGGTACCTGCTCGCACAGTGCCACCAGCTCGATCTCACCTCCTTGTATCGACTGGGTGGTCTCGTACTGGCTCGGTCTGGTGTTGTCGATACCGATCCATCCGCCCACGGCCACGATGAGCGCGACGACGACGACGACGAAGAGGACGAGCGAGTGAAGCGTGTTGCCCGCATGAGGGCCGAATGGTACAAGGCCAATCTGACGAGTGGTACACAGCGAGACGATGCTACGCACAAGATCGATCGACTGCAGGAGTTTGTTCTCTCGCTTGCATCGAGCGGCCAGTCCGCGCTCGCCTTGGAGGAGCTGCAGAGGTCCGTGCGCTGTTGCCCTTCGCGCAAATGGCCGCCGTTTTTTCCTTACGTGTCCCGCCTTCCCGCTTGGGCCCACTCTTTCCTCGCTTCTGCGCCTCTTCTCGTGCAGTTATTTGCCCGCACACCCTTACCATGACTCGATCCAACTACACGTACTAGAGGGTCAACTCGCTCTGCTTGTCGCACAATCGCTCAGCGGAGGACCGCCTCCACACACGTCGTCGTCGTCGTTGGCTGCGAAGCGCACCTCGTCACGGCCGCATCACCTCGACCTCGACAGCGACTCGTCCTCTTCTTCAGACGAGTCGGTCTCGCATCAGCGGCCGCACACCACCGCAGGAGCATCATCAACAACCCTCAGTGCTTCTGACGCGGACAGGGCAGACCAACATGCACGATCTCGTCAGTCCCCTTCTGCATCTGTGCCCCCAGCCTAACTTTTTCCTCCTGGCTGACCTGACGGAGCTCCCTCCCTCTCGACTTCGATAGGCGACCGCGCAACCTATCGCTTCCTGACCTATGTCGCCTCATCTTCTCCGATCCTCTACGACCAGGCTAAAGAGGCTTTCCGACAAGCGTCGCGCCTACACCGCAAGCACAAGTCCGCCGTGACCTTGCACGATGAAGGCACGCGCTGGCTCAACCTGATGACCGCCGCCGAGGCGCACCAGCTCAAGCGCTCCAAACAAGCCATCGACACGCACTCGCCATGATCGGCTTCTTCGATTCTCGTTCTCGCCGCTCGTCCTACTTCCACATCATGTCGTTGTATATTCCTCGATTCAGCTTCTCAAGCCTCCACGCAACACAGCACCTCCTGTGTGTTTCGCCCTCCCACCTCTCTTGTGCTCGACGATTTGAACGATGCGTTCGGCGTGGACGTTCGGGGCTGTATGCATAACCATCCATGGCGTTGACACCCGGTTCATCGTCTCATCTCGTCACATAGTGACACGCGATCTTCCCTCCCCTCCCCTCCCCTGTCCCTCCCCCATTAGGCTTCATCGAAGCCCTTCCCCATGACCCTCTCCCATTATCAGCCGAGTTCTCCGGTGTTTTCTCATTGATTGCCCGGGTGCTCCCGGTCTGCGGGATGATTGGTTTCGTCAATGAAGGTGCAAGGGTCAATATGCTAGCCAACAGCATCCATCGAGTAACCGTGAACTTAAGTCGTAGCTCTTCGTGCACATGCGGTCGAAGATGATTCTGCATACCCGTTCGCGTGACATTCCCTTTTCTCCTTCTCATTTCAAACCTTTTCTCTGCTGATCTTGGGCGGGGAGACCGTGCTCCTGTTGCGGTTTCCCTCGTGCTCGTGGTCGGCGCTCCGCCTCGTCATAGGAAAGACGTGTGGGTTGCTCTCGCCTTGGACATTGCCTTGTTTGGCTTTTGCTGACGAGAAATCCTTTACTCTATCAGTGCCATACAAGTCTGCTTGTTCCTTTGCAATCGCGTATTCTCGGCCTCGTGCTTCGACCCGGTCCTCTCCCCTTTCCTTCACGCCACCTATCCTTATCTCGCAAAGGTCTCATCGAGTTGGGGTGCTTCATCCCCTCTCACCTCCAACACCTTGGCGTCATTACAATGGTTTAGGCAAGAACCGAATCTCTTTATTGTGGAACGCCCTTCTTTCGCTACTGTACACATGGGTTCAGAGGTTTTTTTTAGGCCTTTGGATTGCGATGACGATATGATAGATAGTAGAATGGGCGACATTCTTTTTTACTTTCTCCCCTCCCTTCATTTTGGCCCGTGTTGTGATGTTGATGCAATTTTGCATGCACACGTTCAAGCGCACTGCCTAGGCTTGCACTCATCGGGCCGTGCGTCATTCTGCGAAGGACAGGAGAGAACTTAAACACAGCTCGCGTCAGCGGACGTGAATTCTTAGGAACCGTTACATTGTTTTACAAGTGGTGGTCTTTCAAAGATTAAGGGCTTTCGCTTCCCACGGCGTCAATCCGGTCAATTCGAACGCTTTTGGTTCGGCAAGTAGAGGAGATACTCCAAGTTCAGCGACCCCAACCGGTCTCAGGGCTAGTTCAATTCAAAGGTAGCCCTGGATAGCCGGGCCCGCTTGACGGTACCGAACGCGACGGTGGAAGCGAACGGGTGTCTCCTAAGCTCAAGTCACCGACCATTTACGACTGATGTCTTGCGACGGGCAATCGTAGTCGACAAAGTCAGATGGGTCCGTGAGTCGACGCGTTCGACTCGATCAGACAGGTTCGCCTTATCCCTCTCCCTTCTGCACGACTCCCAGACGCGCTCCCTTCATCCGTTCTCAGCCGACCTCCAGTGCCGACCAGCTCCAACTCTTTCGCCACCCATGAAGATTATTCACATCATCAGCCTTTTGGCGCTCCTGATCTCCTCAAAAGTGAACGCCCAGGACCGTGATGAGAATCCGACCTACCAATCCGATTGTTGAACGACCGGGTCGGCTGGGCTGTGAGTGTCGCCTCTCCTGAACTCGTGGCTTTGGGGACTTATAGGCCCCTGCCGAGTCCCTGCTGCGTACTCGAAACGGCGTCCTCTAGGCTTGACTTTTGACGAACACGCTTCTTATTTCCTCAGGAAGGTTCCGACCAATGTTCCATGGTGTATCGCCGCCTATCGTACATGCCTTCAAGCACTAGAAGATGAAAACTCAATCGGAGAGTACGCGCACAGCGGAGCTTCCCTCGCTTCCGGAGACGAAAGGGGCAAGACGGCGTTTTGAATTCTGAAGCTCTCCCTTATTTCGCCGCAGTCATTCACTTAGTTATTACGCTGAGCAGAGCACCGAGTGCGCGCAAAGATATGGAAAATTTTATCCCGTTTCAGACCTCCAAAAAGCTTGTATCGACAAGTGGGACGGATATTGCCATAAAAAGATGATTTTGGGGTTCCACATCGTGTGAGTGATTGTCAGCTGCTGGGAGTCGAAGGACGGATGGTCCGGCTTGGGCGGCGAGCTGGCCTTCGGAACATTTGTGCTGACCCACCGACCACCTACTGGACAGCCACCGTCGCAACGAATGCCGTAGAAAATATGAGGGGATATGCACTGCGATCTTTCCGCTCTTCTAATGGTAGCTGTCGTCGAAGGGGTCTCACTTCCAGACCTCCCGCCTGCGGAGTCGTCGAACGTCATGGCACATTTCCTCCTTTCATTTTTACCTCCTCTCCTTCCCTCTCCTTCCCTCTCCTTCCCTCTCCTTGTTACATTCTTTCCCTAGCTTGTCCAGTATTTTAATAACGTCGTTCTCCCGATTTTCATCTCCACATAACTTGCCCTTTCTAGTCTTCGTAGCTTATTAGGCTTTTACCTTTTTTTTTCATTGAATCTCCCATCATCTCCTCCCTTTCGCTGAGAACCGTGTACAGTGCCGTCAGAACCTTCTGCTCCACTTGTCTTACCACTTCCAAGAGTCATCAAGCTCGGCCCTCGCTCGGCCTAGTACTACGGCCCTGTACTGCCCAGTACGGGGAGTTGAGTTGCGCAAGTTGGCCTGTTCCATCTCCCGAGTCCCAGGCTCTCGCTCTCAACGTCCTGTGGCGCCCTACATTCCCTATCTTCACTGAGTGCTTTCAGTTTGTTCGAATTTCCGCCTTCAGCTTCAACTGCATGCATCCATACTCGCTACCCCTTTAGCGAACGCCGACACCAGGAGTCAATGGAGTCGATGCTCCTTGGCAAGCTCGCTCCTGGATTTGTGCCTCCTCTATCGTAGCCCAGTTTGGTAATTCGCTCTTTGATTTGTTTCTACAACATACGTCTCCTCATCAGTCACATAATTATTGTATCGGCACCTCGCTCTCCATTCCTAATAGGGAAGCAAGTCCTTCAAGGTTACAAGCCGGCGTTTGGCCCTGGCCACGGCTCGGGTTTCGCAGGTTGCCGCTTTGGCTTGCGCCTAAAGACCCTTTGAGCACAGGCTTCGGACTTGAGAAACGCCGAAACAAGGCCACGAATTGAAAGATGTGTCGATGGGGAGGTTTCTAAATGACCCCGTTTCTCTGCGATGATTCCTTTCCATGGAATCTCCGAGTCGGCGGTGCTCACTGGTGAGGCGCAATGCAGGGTAACGCTCATGACACGCCAGCGCCGATGCTCCGAAACGAGGTGAGTGTATGCGCTTTTGGCCCATCTCGCCGTCGAACGTTATGTGGGGGAAGGCTGCTGGTGACTGACTGCCGGGGGACCGTGGGCTGTGTCAGTACATTGACGAGGTGTCACCACCTGGCTACTGTGCAAAGACCTTGCCAAGAACATACCAACGCAAAAAAGGAGGTGAATGACGTTTAAATGGAGTTAACGTGATCCTTTCCGTCGTCGGGCTGTCGCCCCTCTGCAGCTGGGAGCTCGCACGCCACTTTTCGTCGCGCACGCCATCGCTCCCTCTGGGCGGATCGGTAAGCGACCGGGCACGCTATGAAACCGAAAGTGATCGCACGACCTTCGCTTTTTCACTCCCTCCCTTTCCCTGCACTCCATTCGACGCTTTGACCTTCCAATCATATAATTCCTATCCCTGAAGATGCCTTCCGTAACGAGCTCCGTAACCCAAGTCTTTGAGACGCTTAACTTGAGGGGCAAGGACATGACCCCACCCGCCTCGGATGCCGGGCTCGATTCGGGCCTGCAGCGCAAGCCTTTGGAACTGTCCGGCGCGTTGAACGAGGTCAAGTACCCGTGAGTTACCTGATGATGGGAGGAATAAAGCTACTTCATTTCCCACTGACACGTTCTCGCGCACTCCCTTGCTCCATCTTCCTCGACGCACGCCCTCCCTCGTTCGTCATCTCCCTTCTCCACTTCGTCATCGCTCGCCCGACTCGGCCCCACTTGCTCCCCCCAGTCGCGTGCAATTGACCCCGGCTATTGGAGTCGAGTTCGCCAAATCCGTTCGCCTTTCCGAAATTCGTGCTTTGCCTCAACAGGAGCAAGATAATGTTCTTCGTGACCTTGCCATCACCAGTCAGTACTCGACGCAGACCCAGGTCCGATCATCAGGAGCTTATTTCTGAAAGCACGCCATCTTCCTTTTCCCTAGTCTCGCGCAACGGTGTCGTCTTCTTCCAAGATCAATCCGACTTGAAACCCGAAGACTTGGGTCGTATCGCCCTTCGTCTCGGTGAACTGGCCGGCAAACCCGAATCGTCGACGTTGCACATCCACCCAACGCAGGAATTGACCGAGACGGGGCTTCCCTTGGGCAAGATCTCGAGCAAGCCTGATGCGGAGGGGAGGCAGATCTCGTTCGCAGATTCGGGGTTGACGTCCAAAGGATGGCACTCGTACGTACTTCATAAAGACGGTCTATTGCCAGTACCCTCGCTGAAAACCTGTGCTCCCGCCCTCCCACAGCGACGTCTCGTTCGAGCCCAAGCCGGCACTCTACACGATTCTGCAAATGCACACCCTCCCCAAAACTGGCGGCGACACCCTTTGGTCGTCCAACTACTCGGCCTACGATCGTCTAACCCCTCCTTTGCAAGCATTCCTTTCCGGTTTGACGGCGACGCATGATGCTTGGAGGTTCAGGGAACAAGCCGCGCAGAATGGGTACAAATTGAGGACCGCCGAGAGGGGCTCGCCGGATAATCAGGGTGGGGCGTTCAAGGCTGTGCATCCCATCGTGAGGACGAATCCTGGTGAGCGAATTTCGAGTGCCGAGATGAAAAAGATTCGAAGACTGATGGTCTTGAGTGTATCGCATTCTGTAGTGACGGGCCTGAACGCGCTCTACGTCAACAAAACTTTCACGACCAAGATTGACCAGCTCTCATACGACGAATCTGCGGTCTTGTTGGACTATCTCTTCCGACTGCAACACGAATCCCACGGTGAGTTACTTGGATTTATGAATGAGCTTAATCGCCCCTTTCGTCACCGATCCTAATCCTCCCCTTTGGCCTTCTCTCAGACACCCACGTGAAATACCACTGGTCCAAGAACAACGTCGCAATCTGGGACAACTCGGTCGTGAACCACCTCGCGACCTTTGACTTTAAGGAATACCGTGCGGGAGATCGTGCCGTTGTGGTAGGTGATCGACCTTATTTCGATCCGGCGGGCGTGTCGAGGGATGCTTTTGAGGCGCAGTTGGAGAAGCAGGTTGCGGAGGAGGCTTAGAGTCTGGATAGAGGGGAGGGTGTTTGTATTTCTTGTAGACAGGATGTTTTGAATCGAATTCGTTCTCCATATATTTCTGGAGGGCATCGAGTCCGGGCGAATGTTTGGCAAAATTCGCCACTAGAGAGATGTCGAACTGGAAGAATGCTACACTAAAGTGTTGCGAGCACATCTCTTCACTCGAGTCGGACCAAGATCGTCCGTCCAAGTACCAGGTTCCGCAAGTCGAGTTGGTTGGCCGATTGAGTCTTACGGATCGGCAAGAGGAGTGCCCAGAGAACTTGTCAGGAGCCAGGGACGGAGGGGTCGGACGAGTCAATTCGAGTCACGGTCAAGCTGTGCACCGCCTCGCTAGTTGTGAATCCGTGAGTTGAATTTGCCCCGGAGTCGAAATCCGTCGAGTTTCTGAGTGGACTGCAACATAGGTCCTGGTGTGAGTAACATTCGATCGCTGATGAGATGAGTAACACAGAGAGCTTTACTGATGATGAGCTCGGGGTGACGTAATCGCCCGAGGGAAGGGACCCGTGCGAGCCAGCCAGGGCCGATCCGCGCGGCGGCGGTACTAGCGGTCGTCCTTCGATCTGATTAGCTCGCCTTGAACCTCCTCGAATACAAGCCCGTTCGTCAACTCGGGTTTCAAACCAGGGGGTAGAATCCTCGATTTCTGCCGATGTCAAGAATCCGATTCGAACGGGTTCTAATCCGAACAAGGTCACGGTCGATGACGGTGTGTGAGGCCGAGGTGAAGCAAATGCCTGGAGAAAAACTCTTGGCGCTTGCTCGGTGAGCTTGTCGATTGAGCTTGTGAGGGAGGTGGTGGGTGCACTGCATCGCCTGCCGGTCGCCTCGGCCGTGCCGTTCTCGATTTTGTGGAGGTGCATCTTTCGTCGTTGTTGAACACGATCTTGCTCTCTCTCCTCTTTCCTCGTCCCCTCTCCCCTCTTCCCCTTCCCTGCCCTTCGCTTCCGAGCCCGTTCTCTGACTGGATGCCGCCGTGCCTTGACGACCCGCTACGTGAGGCGCATGGGGCCGCTGTCGATCACCGACTGAGCCGGCCGCGCTCGTGTTCGTCTTCGCTTCGTTCCAGCCGGTCAATGCGGTCATCGACCCACTGGATCATGTCACCATGGCTCGTCATGACCGCCGCGATCGCGACCTTGTTCGTGACCGTCTCCGACGCCTCTTCTCCGCCCCCACGGATCCTCCACCCTCGAGCGTTGTCGCATCCTTCGCACATCCAAACGCGTATCGTCGCTCGCTCGGCTGGCGCTGCCGTCGCCGAGGCGGGCGCTGAGGGGACGGGCGCGGCTTTGTCCGATCGACGCGCACGGCGCCGCGCCTTGCCTCCAACCCTAGATCGAGATCGAACTCGAACGGGCACCCGACATGACTCGGACCCAGCCTCGGCCTCAACAGCCAACGACAACCACGACTCTTCGGCAACAAGCCTCCTCCGATGGGACGACCGCTTCATCCTCTCGTTCCAAGCCCACAACGAATCACTGCACCTAGCACTGAGACCGAGCACTTCGATCGTTCACCCCGATGGCATCAAGCTCGTCGAGACACACACCGACGCGCTGACGGGCCGTCGGCACACGACCGAATCGGTGTTGGCTCGTCACGAGGTGCGCGTCTATGAAGGTGTGATCCTCCCGCGCGGAGGTGACCTCGAGGATTGGATCAGGGAGGAAGAGGCTGGGGTCGTCAGGGATCTCGCCAACGACGGTAGAGGGTGGGCCAAGATTCTCGTGCCGAGCTCTCAATCGAATGACGAAGACGCCGAGCTCGACTTTCAAGGCAGTTACTCGATCGACGGCGATGCGTACACGATCCATTCGACTCCGAGGTACTTGGCCGTCAAGGACATGGACGATCCCGAACCACCGCAGATCCTGACCAAACGAGGGCCCGCCACGACTCTGCCTCGAATGGTCATCGTTCGAGAACGGGATACACTCTCCCCCGTCGAGCACATCGAACGTCTGCGCAAGCGTCGGTCTCCGATCCCCGACCCTGAACGGTTTTCCGATACGGCTTTGGAATCCGGCTGTGGTCACGATACGCTCTCATTCAACACGGACCCGAACCACCCCGTGCTCGCCTCGGCACTCGATCAGTCCGTCTTCGCCGACGTCACCACACCTTGGGTCCATGGTCTTTTTGGCCTTCCGTCTCGTTCTTCACCCCTCGATGCGGATTTTGCACTCGTCGACCGAGGCGCGATCGTCTCCTCCTACCCACCTCGCCGAAAGGTCAAGCGACAATCGGGTGGCGACATCTCTGGCGGCACCGGGACCTCGTCCAACTTTATCAACTCGATTGGATCGACGCAAGGATGTCCTCGCTCGCGTCGCGTCGTGTTCGTCGGTGTAGCCTCCGATTGTACCTTCACCGCACAGTTCTCTTCCCCCGCTGCGGCTCGCGAATCGATCCTCACCGACTTCAACAGCGCCTCAACCCTGTACCAGGCGAGCTTTAACGTCTCACTCGGCATCGTCGAGCTCAACGTTCAATCCGGTTCGTGCCCGACCACAACGGCCCAAGTCGATGCGAGCAACCCTTGGAACGTCGGGTGCACAGAAGGTGGTGGACCCGGGCTGACCCTTAACGATCGTCTCTCCGTCTTCTCGCAATGGCGGTCAAATAAGGGTGGTGGAGATGGCGCGGGTCTGTGGCACTTGTTGAGTAACTGCTCGACGGGCAGCGAGGTCGGCGTCGCTTGGCTTGGTCAGTTGTGTCGTGTCTCGTCTGTGACGAGTGGAGGTCAAACGACGAGCGGTACGGGCGTGACGACCTTGACGAGGAACACCTGGCAGGTCATTGCGCATGAGATTGGCCACAACTTTGGGTGAGTCCGATCAGCGATTGTTGGTGGTTCTCCCGCTCAATAGTTTTGACCGTCCTTACAGTGCCATCCACGACTGCGCATCCGGCTGCTCACTCAACCAGGCGTGCTGCCCACTGTCGACTTCGACGTGCAATGCGAACGCGGCTTACATCATGTAAGTCGAAGTAGCCTCGTTGTTCATTTGAGTAAAGCATCAAGCTGAAGGATCGTTGCGCTCACAGGTCCCCAGTCTCGGCGCGCAACACGTCTGCGTTCTCACCTTGCTCGATCGGCAACATCTGCTACGCGCTCGGTAACTCGCTCAACACATCGTGCTTGCGCGTGCCAGGAGCGACGGGGAACCCTTCCATCATCTCGATCGAATCATGCGGCAACGGCATCCTCGAAGCCGGTGAAGAATGTGATCCGGGAGGCCAAACCGACCCGTGCTGCGACGCCTCGACCTGCAAATTCGTCTCCGGCGCCGTCTGCTCGTCCCTCAATTCGCTCTGCTGCAACAGTTGTCAAATAGCTTCCAACGGGACCGTATGTCGCACCGCCGTTGACACGCGCTGCGATATCGCCGAGACGTGTTCGGGCTTGACGGCGGAATGCCCGGAGGATAAGTATCGCAGTGACGGGACGGGGTGTGGGGATGGTGGGTTGGCGTGCGCGACGGGGGTGTGCACGAGTCAGTCGCTGCAGTGCCAGACTGCGGGCACGTCGTTGAATTTGACGAGCTCGTGTAGGGCCACGGTCAGTCCATGTTCGGGTCGTGCGTCGATTCGCGCGGTGGAGACTGATCAGGTTCATATATCGATCGGCACGTATTGCAGAGCTCGTCCTGCTCCATCACTTGCCAGAATCCTTCGAGCCTAACAAGTTGCGTCGTGCTCGATCAAAGCTATCGAGATGGGACGCCTTGTGGATGTGAGTTCCTGGGACGCAGGTCGCTGCTCCACTTCATGAGCGAGAAGGTACTGATCTTGGGGGGTTTTCACAGATGGTGGTCGATGCAAGGATGGCGACTGTGCGGCTGGCTCGGCCCTGGACACCGCCAAAGGCTGGTACCGTAACAATTTGGCGAGTGAGTCGTCGCATCTACCCGTACTTTGATCTCTCCTTACTGTCTCGAGACGGATTCTGATCCGAACTCTCCCCTCTTCTCAGTTGCCATCCCCGTAACCATCGTCGCCGGCCTCTTGGTACTCGGCATTATCTACGCCCTCCTCCGCTGCTGCTTCTGCCCCCGTCAATCCTTTCGACCGCGCAAGAACAAAAAGGGCACCGTACCATCATCGCAATACGCCGTCCCTAACGGACCCCCCACCGGAGGAGGTTATTACAATGGTCCACCTCCTCCTCCACAAGCGTACCAAAACGGACATTACCCTCCTCCACCACCGCAAGTGTATCAGCAATCGAACCGCAACAATAATTGGGTCGACCCGAGTGCTTATAACGGGCCTGATTATGGGCATGGGAGATGATGATGCGTCTCGGCTATGGTCTACGATCACGAAGATTCATTTGAAGACAAGGAATTTCATTTCCTCCGTTCTGTATCACTAAGAACTCCCCAGCCTGGATGTGACGATTCTCTATTCGGTCTCCTTCGCTTGATTTTAAAACTCGCATCTACTCTCCTTCTTGCTCTTCCGCTTTGCAGCAACTAGTCCTTCATGCACTCTCTTTTCCATAATTTTTGTAATGGCTCTTATGAAACGATGCTATTCCTGTTGCGTGTTGTGGAGCCCTTGATCGAGGCCTCTGTCCCGATCCTAGCCAGCCTTTGTGCATCCGGATGTGAACTGCTTACGTTCAACGATTGACCAAGCTATGTCTAAGAAGAACTCCCCCTCTATAACTTTGCCTCCCTCTTCCGCTCCAAAACCTGACACGTCTCCCTCCCCTCGCGACTCTTATCCACCCTCCCTTCCACCCCCTTCCAACTCCACACCTTGCTCGCTTCCTCCTCCAACCTCCCCTCCAACCGTTTGACGACCAAATCGCCCAGAATCGGAAAGAACTTGAACGCATGACCACTTCCCCCACTCGCCACGAAGAGTCCCTCACGTGAAGGATCATAATCGATCAACCAATCGCCGGTCCTACGATCAGTATACCAACACAACCTACTACCCGTCCAGTCCCTCTTTTGTAAAGCCGGATAAACCCGAGCCAATTGTTCGATCAAGTGGGCGCGAGCCGAGAGAGGTATTTGTTGCGTCTCGTAACCTGGTGAGAGAGTTGTTCGAGGGGTGCTGGGGAGGGTAGCGGTCGGGTTGAGGAAGCCGGCGGAGTGCATCGCGAATTTGACGAGGCCGGTTTGGGTCGGTGGAAACGAATAGCTACAAGGTTTTATGGAGCGAGGGAGGAGATCCGTGATCAGTGGTGCAATTCTAGTGCGTTTTGTGCATGTAATATTGACTCACAAACCCGTGTCGAGGAATAAAGACACCGGTGCATCACGATACAACTCGGCCTCTTTCGCATCCAATTGAATCGTCCCGACCACCTGTCCCGTCGGAACAAGCTCGTGACCCAATTCGGGCAAGAGCCGACTCGTCCATGCTCCGGAAGCCAAGATGGTCAAATCGGCGGTCAGGGTCCGACCATCGAACAGTTTGACGCCCTGAACGGTTCGGGAATCGTTCGCGTAAAGGAGGGATTGGGCTTCGCCTTGAACGAATTGAACGCCGGAGGAGCGGAGAATTGAGACGACGTCAACGACCGCTTGGCGCGAATCGGCCCATCCTCCTGCTTCATTGTAGTCTGTCGTCCGAAAAAATAATCTTCCCTCAGCCTCGAGAGGGAGTCAGTCTCCTACCTCGAATCCCCCCTCCCCAACTCACAAGCTGTATTCCTCTCCAACTCCTCCTTCCGCACGATCTGCGGCACTCTTCCATAAACCTCCTTCCACATCCCTTCCCCTTGCAGAACCCACACCTTCTTCCCCGCCTCGGACCTCCTCTGTTCTTCCTTATTCAACTCGTAGCTCTTCCTAACGTAAGCCTCATTCTTGGTCCGCTTATGAGCCGCGACGAGGACTCCACATTCATGGAAATTAGATTCGTACAAGGGGTCCTTTCGCCAACGATCGATCGCTCGAATGGCGAGAGTGGCGTATAAAGGATCGGCGTAATCTTGACGCACGATCTTGTTGATGTCGGAGGAGGCGGCATCGATTTCGGGAGGGCTCGCACTGCGGTCCAAGAGGGTGATGAGTTGGGGAAAGTGGGCGTATCGACCACGGAGGGATAGGGCCGTCGAGGCGCCGAAACAGCCACAACCGACGATCAGGATCGAGGTGGGGGGTTGCAAAGGTGTACGTTCCGACATCCTATTCGGTATGATCCTATGGGATTCTCGGTGGGTGAAGCGGCACAAGTGCGGAAGGAGGACATGGCAAGAAGGCAACGAGCGAAAAGGGCATTCGTATCGGATCAGTGCCGAGCAAAGCCGAACTTCGGCAGTGCTTCGGCAGACTTCGGCTAACTTCGGCAACGGCCGACGAGCTTCTCGGCCGAGAACTCGCTTTTCGTCGATTGGGGTTTCAGCGAGGCGCGGAAAGAACACCAAATGTTAGTCATCACGGCCGCAGGAAGGCGATTTATATAATTTGTCGGAATGTCCTCATTGAATCTGTCGGATCTCGCCGACTCGGGCCGAGGAACTTAGCATCGACGCCGAATATATTTAAATCATGTGTAAGCCCCTCGATTTGATGAGCTGAGGGTCAAGCCGATCAAACTCGTGAAGCACGAAACCCCCGGAAGCGCCGGCCGAAACGGGTCCGTTTCAGGCTTGGCGCGGCATCCCGAGGACGGGCTGCCAGGCGGCTCAGCCTGCCAGGAGTGATCTCGTAGAATACCTATCTCTGAGTGTAGTTTGCCCACCGTACGTCCTGTATTCATGGAGTTTATTCATGTGAAGCTAAAAACTTCTACGATTCTGATCCGGAATGATACCTAGGAAACATCATGAGGCTACCTTAAAGTGCGAGTGGCGACTCCTACCTACGAAAGACTTGAAGGCGCTCGACTCCGAGTCGACGGTGCAACAAAACCCCGAGAGCTGCGACGACGCATCGACCTTCTTTGTCTTTATACGGCTTTACCTATCAATCTCCATTGCTGCAATGCTGTAGCTGCGCGAATCGGATTCGTCGACAACCAAAGCCGAGTCCACGTCCACTGTCAGCTCGAGCGAGCTTGCTCGGTTCCGAGTTGCCGCCGGTGGTGCGCTTGCCTCAGCCTGACGTGCCGTCCTTGCCGGTGGTCTTCGAACCCGATGTGCGCCTTGCCTCAATCCTCCGGGCACCATGGGTTCTTGGACCAGATCGTCGAGCGTACCCGTCATTGTTAACATTCTGTAGATAACTCCGCCAGGACATTTTCCGCCGCCGCCGCTGCTGCCCGAGTCCGAGTGCTTCGAGAACAGGGCACGTATTTCGGCGGCCGTGGTCGCCTTGGTCCTTTCGATCGACTTTGAATCATTGGACTTGCAAATGCGCTGTTCTGCGCTGTCCCCGAATTCGGGCCTCGACCAAGCGGTAGTCCGACGCCCTGACGGTTCCTTGCACGGCGAGCTTGTGCGTCGAGACCATGCGGGCCGGCTGCTCGGCTTGACGTCGTCGAGCCTTGGCGTGGACACGTCGGAGCTCGGGATCTTGAATGGTCAGGAGACCCGAAAGAGGGGGCAGAGGTCCGGTGGAGGAGACCCCGGGTTGGTGGACGAGAGGGGGGTTGCGGCGAATTGGCGCATAGGCATATCGCGAGACTTTCGACGAGTCTTCATGTGGCGTCCCCTCGAATCGCACCCTGCACCCTTGCGAGACAGCGGTGATCGATGCCTCTGTCGCTTTTTCAAACGTCTTGTTCTTGTATTGGTGCAGCAGATCTTGGATAGGATCGGGACTTGACCTCCTCAATTCGTTCCTCTGTCGGCGCCGGCTTCGAGTCGACGTTCCTGATCAACGCCCCCGCGGCGCCATCCCAGCCACTCTGCCACGTCGCCGCGTCCAACCACTGCTCAGGCAAACCTCTAAGTCCTACAGGCCCGATCCTTGTGATGCCCCTGAAATAGTCGCACCCGAAGATGAGGCTCGCGACGAATCGCTGACGAGAATTCCACACCGCGGGGTGAGCGTCGAGCACCGCAAGGTCCACCAAGCTAATGTTTCGGTCCTTGCCCGATAGCACGGCGCGATAACGGGCTTGGTCGGCGCCGAGAAGCATGAAAAAGTCGCTGTCGGCGCTCACGAGGACGACGCGGTTGGGTTCGAGCGCAACGTCGCAGATCTGGCCAAACTTGGTCGACGCCGAGACGAGGGGATCGGCGTCGTGGGCCGCGACGACGAGCAAGCCTTGCTCGGACCAGCGAACAAAGGTGGCGACTCGGGTTGGCTCGTCACCGTGGCAAAAAGCGACCTCCCATTCGTTGCTCGATCGTCCGTGAACGCACGCGGCGAGGGTGTCGTTCGTGATGAAGGGACGGGGTGGGTGACAGGGGTCGACTTATCGGAAGGCTGTTGCGGCTGCTGGCGATCTTGGCGATCGAGCACGGTGTTCCGCTTGAGCTCGGGAAGAAGGATGGGATGATCAAATACCACGACCACTTGGATCCGCCTTGCCGTCCCTGCAATGATCTCCTCGAGGTGTCGAATGATCGCGTTGAGGAACAGCCGGCCTCGCTTCGGCTCGTTGTGTTTCGCGCGGTCCGTCGCGGCTTTGCATTGATGTTGGAATGTGGTAGAGCCGTCGATGATGGCGACTGAGTGGAGCACAGTGATGGAAAGCGTAGAGGGTCAGCTAGGGTTTGCTCGGCAAATCGTCCCGGAGCAGTTATGGGCTGCGAAGGGGCTCTGAGGAGGGACTTGCCATCGATCTTGCCGACGAGGGAAACCAGCGCGCTGCTCAGGTTCGTCTCCCGAGAGAGAAGGGCGTCTGGAACGACCTCTAAAGCGTCACCGAGGCAGTCGTGGCCATGTTTGACCGTCATCGGAGGAGGTATGAGGTGTGTAGGTGCAAGGCGCAAGGCACAAGGTGCAGGGTGCAGGAAAAATCAAGGGTGGTTGAGAACGCCGCGCTGCCCATCGCTCCAAGCCGAAAAGCAAACGGGGGCAGGTCCAACAAAAGGTCGTTCGAGCTCAGGATAGTGTGAGAAGATGCATCATAATATTTCAAATTGTACCGTAAAATAACCTGTACCCCATATTCATTATTTTTGCTCTCAATCTTAGTCTGGTCAAGGCGGCGGCCTCCTTTCGGAAGATCGCAGTGGGGAGCTTGAGCGTCCACGATCTAGGCAGCGAGAATCCGCCAATTTTCTAATGAACAATGGTTCGACGTACATGTAAAAAAAACTTTTCTTCTTTCAATATGATTTTGTATTTGGGTGCCACCCTACTTGCATGACAGCCTCGACTCGCTGCGTCGGAGCTCTCGCGTGAAGCCGGCCCCGCAACTCAGCTCCACGGCGGACTCGGAGTTCGGGGTCGTCCCAACTCGGACCAAGCTGCTGGAGCGACAACCGCTGTATCGATCGCGGCGATTTCAACTCCGGGGTGATTCTTAGAGCTCAACCTACTTGCTGAGACTTGACCGAGCTTGATCGACAAGGTATTCGGAAGACGGTCTTCCGAGGGGTGGATCGTTGGCCTCGATGGGGGTGCACGGTCCCCTGTCCGTTCAGATCTTCGGCGCGATCGGCTGCGCTCGGCAGAGGTGGAGAAGATCGGAAGCTTGAAGTCACAGCGTGGCGTCATATTGATGAGAGGACTCATTCTGCCAAGCGCACACCCAAGTCGGCGACCACCTCGAGCTCGTCGCCTCTCTCTCTTTCTCCTTCCTTCTCCTCGTCGACGCGCTCTGCACTTCTCGCACCACTTAGTCTTGCCGACATCGCCCCCCTTTTCAGGAGGATACGAAACGGTGGCCTTTGTGATGTGGTAGAGTCTGTCGTTCGATCCCTCCCACCGTCAAAAGTGTGAGTAACTACCTAGCTAGCGATCGTGTTCGTGTGGCGTAGGGTCGGACTGACTCGTCTCGTGTTTACCCGTCTCGCGTCCATCTTTCACCACACCACCTCCATCATCTTACGCCACACCACCTCACCCCTCTCCCCTCTCACTGCGATCTCTCGCTTCCCACCTCGCCACTGCCTCCGACCTTACCGTCTGTCACTGCGCCACGGCTTGCCATCAGCCTATCCACTCGTCGACGAGTGTTGAATGGCGCCTACGGCATGTCACTGAGGTTGTTCCTGGTCCACAAGACCGCTTGCATTTGATCGTACCCCGTGAGTCTTTGCTTTGACCCTTGATCGATCGATGGTTTGATCGTGCTCGCCGGCCCTTGACGACGGGCGAGACGGGGCTGACGATTCGATCCTCGCCTACACTCTCTCCACACAGTAGCCTCCACTGCGTCCCCGAGTCGACCGATCTCACCTGCTCGGATGAAAGGAGGTTCACGGTACCCTTAACATCAGTGAGTAGCATGTACCCTAATCCTATGGTACCAGGTAGCTTACTTCTAGTGTACGCATCAACTTCCTCCAGCTGCACACGGTCTTCAAGCCATGAGTCCCACCTCGGTCGACAAGGTCCCCTTTTCTTTTTCTGTTGCTTTCGAATTGGTTTCACCTCGGAACTCTTACGCTCAGGGCGGTGCTAAGTGGCAGGCGACTTGGCCTTGTTTAGCCTAGCCAGATCCAACTCCTACATTGAGCCTCCCTCGTGAACGCTTTTCGTGTTTTGTAGTTTTTTGAGTGCACGTATCGAGACGCGCATGCACCACGGATTTGAAATTCGATCAGATCCAGAGTCCAGACTCGGGAGGCGCAATGCTTATACATATGCTGACATACGCAAAGAGTAACACATGCTTGTAACGAAAAAGACGAAGAAAGAACGAGAGCGCGCTACGTCCATAGGTACATATGAACGAACGGACCCGAGGAGAAGGCTCACAGACGACTCGAGGACTGAAGGTGGGCGAGGAAACGAAATGCAGAACAGGGCAAGATGAGGGACAAATAGACAACACACAAAAGACGGACCATTTAAAATTCGTTAGTGAGAAACGCAAAAGAAGGGAGGTCACTGCTCCTCATCCGGAATACTGAAAGTGGAAGTAAACATCGGCTCGTCATGGAGGTGGGTCGCGACTGTGTCGTAGACATGCAGCAGCAGGTGCGGGAACCGCAGGGTAAAGTAGGATAGGAATCCGCCAGGCAGTTCGCCAAGGTTCCGTCGGACAGAATCAGGTAAATCCTGATAGTGGTGCTTCTGTGAGGGGTGGCGTATGTTCAGCATCAGTGAACGCCGCCGGGATCGAATCAGCCCGCGGGACCCCACCTTATTCCTGAGCACCCTCAAAAGATCCCTGACGGATTTGCCATCATACTTGCGGTACTTGCCCAAGTTGTCCAAGAGATTGCGATCGATCGCCTTTTGCCAATCGTCGCCAACAATCTCGATCGCCCTCGACTCGAGCATGACCAAAGTCGGTGTCGGCGGATCGCGTTCCATGATCTCGAACCGATCACTGGCGTCGCAGATGAACAAGAGTCGCTTTTGCGCGTTCCAGAAAAAGGGGTGCAACAACACGGCTTCGGCGGTGGGTCGTTCGCGCGGATCGGTGGCGACCATCCGTGTGATAAGGTCTTGAACTTCGATCGCTTCTTCACCGAGCCCATCCAATCGCTCGAGCGAAATCTTGCCCAGGAGGATGTTCATCTCGCGCTCATAACGACCACCAAAGGGGTGCTCGCCACCCGTCAAGACGTAGTAGACGATGCAACCCAACGAGAAGATGTCGATCGACCTCGTCAACCGCATGCTCGGATCCGTCAAAAGACCCGCCGAACTGCTGCTGCTGCTCCCTCGATTCCTCGACGGCGAGTTCTGCGTACTGCTCGAAGGTGTACTCGAGACCGATTCTTGCTCAGGATCGACCAGACCTCGCAGCACCTCGGGTGCTCGGTAACCAAAGGAGCCGGCGGCATGGTTCATCGTTTGCTGGAACGAGCTCTCGTCGACATCGAGCTTCTTGCACAGACCGAAATCCGATATGAGCATCCTCAGTCCGCCGTGGTGCTTCGACGTCGAGACGAGAATGTTTTGCGGCTTGATGTCGCGATGCACGATCTTGAGCTTGTGCAAGTGTCGAATACCGCTCGTGATCTGCCGCAGGGCTCGCTTCTGGTCCAAGAGCGGTACGAGCTCGGGGAACGAAGACGGCTGGTCGATCAGGTCGAACAGCGATGCGGGGCACAGCTCGAGTGCAATATAGAGGAACGTGTCGCGATGCTCCTTGCAGTAGTACCGGATGACGTGGGGGTGGTCATCAGACTCTTGCAGTAGCGCGACCTCGTGCGTCGCGATGGTGACAAAGTCCTTAAGCAGACGCTTGACGGCTACTGCCCGCCCCTGGAACTCTCCTCGCAACACAACCGTACCGTGGGATCCATAGCCTGCATGGCCAAGGTCAGCAAATACGCGTCAGTAAGCTCCCATCAGGGACATCGGATCCAGCAAAAGATCTGACGGACCCAGAATGGTGTCCGATACGTTCAACCCTCCCACCGAATGCGGCCCAACACTCTTCACCGTCTTGTCCGCCTCCTCTCCATTCTCCTCCTTCACTTCCACCTCCGAGAGCGTGATCGCGCCCAAATCCTGTGAGCCAACCCCGCCGACCTCACCCACCAACAAGGTCTCCAAACTCGTTCCCTTGGAGATGGACGATACCCCCAACGCGTTCACTTCCCCTATCGCCGTTTTCTTATGCTTCTTCCCTCTCCGCCGTCGACTCTTTTTCCGCGGCGTACCTTCGACTTCGTCCTTCCCGTCCGAGTCGTTAGCTTCCCCCTCCCCATCATCGTCTGGGGGTGGCAAGGGGGGCAGGTCTTTGGTCGAGACCAAGTTCGGCGAGGAAAGGGACGTGCCTCGAGTGTGAGCTGTGTCGCTCACTCCTATCGGCGGTGAGAGGGTGATGGCGGGAAGGAGCGCCTTGGACAGCTCCTCGGCGGAGAGGATGGGAACGGGAGAGGGGGGGAGTACCTCTACCGCGTCGGAGGATGACTTGGGAGGCTTTTGCTTCGATGAAGAGGTCGCCGTGCGCGTTTTGTTGGGTGCCGACTCGACGACAGCGGGGTTCGGTCGGATGCGCTGCATGAGCGTGTTGACCGTGTCGGCTAGACCATTCGACGATCGGCCCGAGGCTTTCCTGGCGTAGAAGTAGCCCAAGATCGCGAGCAAGAGAATCACGACGACGCCATTGCTCTCTCCACCTGTGAACGGGGCAAGAACCTGGCCAAAGACCGACGATCGACTATGGGGTAGCGGGGAGGGTCGATTGGGAATGATCGGTACGGACGGTCCCGTTTGCCTCGGCCCATCGATGAGCAGTCGACTAGTGGGCGGGTCGATAGCACTGTCGGGGCCGACAGGGGCAATATGCGATTCGAGAACGGGATAGCGTCCAATGAGGCAGTCGAGACCTTGGCACACGGGCTGCTGGGGCCCCGTGTCTCCCTCCGGAGCTTCTTCACCATCTTGCCCAGGTTCAAGCGTCTCGCGATACGGAGTCGACCCGTCGAGTGCACCCCAGGGCGATAAGGTCGTCAAAGGGTAGCGGTCCCGGCTCATTGCGAACAAGCCGTCGCCGACGCGACCGACGTACGTCGTGTCGGGCAATTGTGACCACCGACGGAAGTCGAGGGGTAGGCCGTCGACGACGAGAGGGTGCGGTTGCTCGAACATGAGCGGCGCGTCGAACTCTCGGTTGGGTTCGTCGCTGTTCTCGGGCGATGCGGCCGGGAGGGCGATGTCAAAGACCGAAACCGCGGGTGCGTCGAACGCGACGGACCACTTGATACCGGGTTCGCCGACCTTGAAGCAGACGAGCGATCCATCGTGCATCGGTTGCAGGTAGAGACCGTCGGGCGTGTGGGTCCATTGTGATTGGAGGGCGATGCCGAGCGCCGAGGACGTATAAGTCGTGTAAGTGAGCGTCTGGATCGGGACGGAGGACGTCTTTGAATAGATCGACAACGTGTATTCTGTGTATCACCATCGAAGACCCTGACGTCAGTATACAATAACAAAGCAATCTCTGCGGCTCCTCAGACCCACCTGTTCGACCCATGTAAAGCAAATCCTGGGGCCGTCTTGAAATCTCATCGTCGCATTCCGAATCCGGCTTGACGCCGACCTTGGTCGGGTCCCACTCGCACCACGCCGCGCCTCCGGAACCAAAGACACCGACCAAGCGTCCCAAACGAAGGTCGACGGCGACGATCTTGCTGTCGGATCCGCCCATGAACATGCGCGACGAGTCCGAGGGGAAAGTGAACGGCGAGAGCGCGACGAGCTCCTGCATCGACAGCGGCAATTTCTCGAGCTTGACCCCACCAGCGTCCTTTTGACTTCGATCGTAGAGGTAGATCTGACCACCGGCGGTGGGTTCAATGACGTACAACTCGTCGTCCAAGGGGTCGAATGACTCGCCTCCTGCGGAGGAAGGGGCCCGAGCTCGAGTCTGCGTTTCTCCAGCTGCCGAGGTCGGATCAGGCGAAAGGGACGAGTTGCCCCTCCTGGATGGCATCATCGCGGTCGGTGGTCTTCCCTTGCGAGTCGAAACGAGGGGACTGCCGAACGGTACATCCTTGGCGCCTTTCCCGCCGACGGCATGACCTGAATCATCGTGCAGAGTCCACAACCAGTCGCCGGAATCGCGCTTGAGCGCGTGAACATGGCCGTCGACGGTGACGACGAGCACGATCGGCGACAAGGTCATGTCATCAACCGAGGGCTCGAACGAGGTCTCGGGTGGTGGAGGTGAGCTCCCCTTGGAATCGGTGGCCGAGGTTGCGGTGTTGCGGCCCACAAAGGGGGGTGCGCTGAACCGGAACGACTCGACGACCGAAGCGCGATGGCCGAGCACGCCCTTGCGCAGGATCGAAGCTGGCACGGGTACGAACGGCGACGGGCTGGCCTCGGCTAGATCGACGGTCGCGATGTTGTTGAGGTCTGCGGCCGATGCGACGACTGTTCCTGCCTCGTCGCGGGATGATGGCCCTGCGAAGGCGGACCGCGGATCACGAGTCTCGCGGTGCGACGCCACGGCCGCGACCTGGGCTGGGATCGTGGTCGAGGTGGTGGTGGTCGTGGTGGCGAGCCATACGAAGAGCAGCCATGCGATGGCGTGCACTCGTTGGCGCACCGACCTCATGTCGGGGGTCAAGGCCGGCCGGCGATCCGGTGCAGCTGAGCGCTGAGAGGCCTCCTCGAGTTACGGGTACCCTGCAGGCTGGCAGCGGTAGTGCTCGCTGGGCAGCCTGCCAGAGCTGAGCGCTGATCAGAGGCGCGCGCCGACCGGGCCGTACGCTGCTGCCAGCTGCTGCCAGCTGCTGCCTGCCGCTCGAGCGTTCGGTCGGCACGAGGAGTAGCTCACAGTCAGCACCAGCACCGCCAGCAGCGTCCGACCAGCAGCAAAGACGAGCGCGTCGACCGGTCTCTTTTGTTGAAAAGTGGTCGCAGACGTGGGCGTAGGCTCGGGGTGCGGCGACCAGCACGCGCCTCGAAGCGAGTCGGCTTTCGTTGATGGGGGGTGGATGCGGTGGATGGAGTAGAGCTCGACAGCGGCGTTGCAGTTGGGCGCACTCGAGGCACGCGACACCGCCGTGCGATTTTGGTGTAAAGTGACTCGCGCCAGCGCCTTCAACGGTTCTAGGGAACGACTCTGATGGTGACGCAAGGAAGGAACATATATACGGTGCGTTATAGACTGGTGGCGATGGTCGACAAGCGCAGAAAGTTTGCTCGTTAGCTTAAGCTAAGTCGGTCTTTGGGCAAGAAAAAAAAAATCCCCGATCGCAGCTGCTCCTATCCCAACAATATCGATCGGTATCGCACGCTGAATCGACGACTTCTCGCGAGACGCCGGACTCGGAGCTTACCCTTGAACACCGCGCACGCGCCTTCACAAGCCAAATTCTACATTTTACATCGTAGCAAAGCTTCTCGCAATTTTCAGATTGTCGGTGCAATGTTATTCAGCCTCCCGACTCGGCTCGTCGGCGCGTCCGAATCGGTTCCGGATGAGACCCGCTCCAGGCACGCAGCTTCCGTACCAGAACCGAGCGGTGTTCCGCGTAACATTCTTGGCCCCTCGATGGGCCCATGCGGAAATAGTCTCCAATCAAGTACTTCGTCTACTGAGCGCTACGGGAAACAGCTGCACGAAGTCGATTTTAGCGCGGCATTTGCATCCGCCGGCGCGCCGGTAATCCCAATGAGAATTCAGCCGAATTTCCCATTTCCGAACGAGGGCACAAGTTCGCAACTTCGATACACCGGATTCGCAAGGATACCAATCTGGCCCTGAATGGCCATTACAGACACGGCCCCCTCAGATGGAGAGTGATGGCAAATGTTTACTTTCACTTGAGAGTCTGTATATATGTTTTGTGGGGAGGGCAGCATACCTGTGAAGCTGTGAAGATCTCGATCGTCCTGCCTGCGCCTTCTTGTTCGTCGCTGTGTTTGGCCTTTAGCTTGGAAGGGCCGAAGATTCGCTGCAGTGGGCGGATAGTGTTCGTCCTCGATCGTCGAACCCACTCGGCCGCGACCAAGCTCCGCAACCGGACGATCTCAAGGGCTTCTGGAAAGCGGTCAACTCGGCAACTCGGACGCGCTGACGACACGCGAGAGGGAGATGTGGTTCAAACTGATTCGACGCTTTACACCAACACGCAAGCGTTAGTTCTTACAACACCATCACATCTCTCCAGCGTGTCTTGTCTTCGGATCGCCGAGGACAACAACGCCCACCATTTCTTCGACTGCTTTAACTCAACTCGAAGAACGTATAGCGGGAAGGGGCGTTATTTGCGATGCGCTCGGTCTGCGCCTTCTTGTTCGCTAAGTTAGGCCTTGAGCTTGGGAAGGCCGAAAAGTCGCAGCATGGCGAGAAGTGTTCGTACTCGATCGTGCCGCGTCCGAGCGCATCGCAAAGAACGTCCCTTGCTGCCATCCATACATCCTTCGAGTCGAAGCAGTCAAAGAAGTGGTGGTCGATTGTCCCCCGGCGCTCCGCAGACAAGACACTCTGGAGAGGTGTCATGGTGTTGCGACGCTAACGTGTTGGAGTAAAGCGTCGTGTCAATTTGAACCACACCTCCCTCTCGCATGCCGTTAGCGCATTCGAGTTGACCTCTTTCCAGAAGCCCTTGAGGTCGTCCGGCTACGGAGCTTGGTTGCGGCCGAGCGTATTCGTAAAACTCTATGCGTTCAGAACCCCGCCGGATGCGACGGATCGTGTAAGGTCGAGCCATGTTCAGCAGTTCGTACTGCGTTGGGTGTTGAGGAAGAAGCGGGCCGCTGGTGCCGATCCCGGGATGCACATTCACTCGCCACTCGCCCCGCTGCTACAGCCGCCGCGAAGGTGTCGCCGGCTGTCGACCGATCACGAATTGGTGCCAATCCAATATTGCCTCTCGCTGTGGGCGCTCGCGTCGATCGTAGAAACTGTGTTACTGGTGACTTCCGCTGGCGGCGTCCAGAGATAGAAGCCCTCGCCCGCGTAAAGCTCGCGAAGGTACAGGTCCGCCATCTTGGGGTAGATCTCGAAGAGACGGCAGTCACGCACTTCGTCTCGACTAAGGTACGACCTTGTTGTTGAATTGAGTTCAGGCTCTGGAGCTTGGTCGGGAGTGCGAGCAGGTTAGCGGTGGTCAGTGTTCTCGGGTTGACCTGCGCGTTGCAAGCCCTCGGTACCCGGAGCGCGGCTGGCCAACGAGGATATGGATCGTCGGGGACGGGAGGGAACGGGGGTGTTCGAGTCTGGCCAGGGATTCGGTGGCCAAGTCGAAGTCGGGGCGTGCACGTTGGAGCGATAAGCGAGCTAGTCCCTGCCAGATCGCGTCGAATCCACCGAGAAGAAACGTCCCAGATCCGGGCCGCGACCGAGTCCAGAACGTCCTCCATCCACATCACCCCAAAACAACCCTTGTGCTTTCGTGATAAGACGACTTCATCCCCGTAGTCGTGCCGGTGCTTGCCTCCGTGGACGAAGTCGGCGAGCATGCGGTCGAGCGTCGCGATCACGTGGGGCCGTGGGATGTCGGCTGCAAGAAAGTGCAAGAGCTAGGGAATGGCATACCGATTGACGTCAAAGGCACGGGTTTGGTGTGAGCCATCGGTGCCGAACCGCTTCCAGCTTCGTTTCGAGCCGCTCGACGAGATTCGCGTAGCCGAGTTCGTTGTCGCCGCAGGGTCCAAGGCTGTCGAACGGAAGGCCGATTCACTCGAGCCTTTTTTTTTTTTTTTTTTTTTGGTTCAATCCTTCGGTTTGGCTGGAGTCGTTAGAAAAAGAGCCAAGAGGTTCTAAGCAGTGACGACAAGCAGATGGGTGAAATCAATCCCTGCGCGCAAAGGGCGCCGCGCAGATCAAAACCCGCCGAGGACCTAACTCGGACTCCAATGGGCGGTGAGTACTGCTGCCGCTTCACGTCCCAAGAGCGGGAGCGAAGATACTCGAAAACCAGGCAAGAGCGCCTAGAGAAAGAAAAGGGGAGAATATACAAAAATTCACGACTGGAAACACGGAGAACCAGGAATACTAAGACAGAGAGGAGGGGAGGAGGAGGGGAACACACCCGAGGGGCCAAGGGAGGGGGTCGAAGCCAGAGCTAGAGGTCCCCAGGGACTGACAGGCCGCAGCCAAGCCCCAGCTACTCGTCACCCCGACAGCGCCTGATGTCCTCCCTTGGCTGAGTCTCGAGTGCTGGCTGTTGAGCCGTCGGGGCCGAGCGAAAACGATCCAATACAACGAAACGAGCCTCGCCTTGACGCGAGGATATTGACCAAAAAAACGAGCGACCTTTCTTCCCGATCCATGCCGTAGATCTTGACCAACGCGAACGAACGATCTATTCGACGGAATCCAACACACGGCTTAGGAATAAAAGGAGAAGTGGCTGAAGCGTAGTCAACAACCGAGCAACAGGAACGAGATGAGGAAGAGAAGGGAGAAAGGGGGGGAAAGAGAGGGGAGAACTTCACAAAGCCTCCAACGCAACGACGATCGACCCGGCTTGCCGATCCATCCAAGAACGAAAACCGCTACTGCACAAAGTAGAGAGAGGGAGAGGTGCGCAGCCTTCCACTGCGCAACAAGTTTCAAGACAGTCAGCTTCTGAAAGAAAAGTCGACCTCCGAAAAGGAAGGGAGGAAAGGAGGGGAGAGAGAGCAGGGGAGGAAAATGGGAAGGAAGGACTTAACTCGGTCATCACACCTCCCAATCTCGAGCCCCAGGCACAAAGCCCGCTCGAGAGAGAAAATCTCGCTCGAACGCTCTGAGTGCACTGGGAAGCGAGGGAGAAGCCACGACGTTGTCCAGCTCGAACCGCTGATGAACGCGCCAGCGGAGCAGGTGCAGCCGCTGGAAACCGATCGCGCAGGCCAGCCGAACCCACATCCATTTCGAGGTCGTTCTCCCACGACCCCGCAAAAGGGGGAGCCCCATAGTCAGCTGCTCCGGAGTGAACGTCGACGGATCGACGTCGGTATCCTCGATGCCGAGCTTGTCAAGCAGAATGCGTAGCACCCCACCCCAGAAGCTGGTCGAGTACGCGCACTCGAAAAAGTAGTGGGACACCGTCTCGATGACCGCTGCATCGTTGCCACAGAACAGACACGTCGGCGAAGAGGCATGACCCTGAGTATGCTGCCTCTTGCGCGTCGGCGTCACGTCGTACATGAGCCGCCAGTGGGTGTCCTGCTCGACAGCAGACGCGAACCGGTCACGAAGCCATCTCCAGAAGCGCTTCCTATCGCTCTGAGAAGTCCCATCAGGGAAACGCTTGACACGGTCCTCCCTCCCTGGGAACCGCACCTTGTTCACAAGCCGACGAAGCTTGCGAATCGTAAAAGGTCGGGAGAGCCCAAAGAAGTTGAAGCACCGAGGACGGGGAGCCTCCTTGAGAGGTATCCGAGCAGGTCGCAACGCGGTCTTGGGCAGCAACGCTTTCGCCTTGAGCAACTGACCCACGCGCGACCACACGTGCTCGTGCTGTAGGGCGGGTTCCTTAGAGTGCTGCCAGAACCCGCGTCGATGACCAACCAGAGCCCATCCCTTCCCTTCGTCCCTCCAGTACAGGTCCGCGATCTGCGCAAACTTCGCCACCGCGTCCGCATCGTCATATGCGTGCTGGGCACCTTCAGCATAGAGTGAAGGGAGGCGAGGCGGAAGCGAGAGCAATTCGGGAAGCGTAAGGAGTTCGGACTTGATGGTTGGAACTGTGACCCTGGCCGCTGCAACGACTGCCCCCCAGCGCGTCGAGTCGCGATACAGCTTCTCGACCCGAGCCGTGCTGCTGAAGAACCCCCACGGACTGAAATCGCGGGTCGCAGCGACGAGGCACCTCCAGCTCTCGCGAGCTAGGGGCGCCCAGATCGCCTCGTCCGAGCCCGCCACAGCATCCCAAAATCGAAGCGCCACCGAATGAACGATGTCGCCAATCGAAATCAAACCCAAGCCACCGTCCTCCCGAGCCTGGAACACGAAATCGCGAGCGACGGTATTTCGCCCTGCTCCTCCCCAGACAAAGTCCGTAAGTGCCGTCTCCGCCGCCTTAATGAACCATTGAGGCGGTATGTCGAAGGACAGCACGTGGAGGACCGTCGAGATGATGTGAGCGTTGGCATAGAAAACCTTCCCACTCGGCGAAAGTGTCCGGTCTCGAGCGGCGCGGGTCTTGGCCTTGATCCTGTCAAGAACATGGGTCCAAAACAGTTTCGAGTCACCGTGGCGAAAGAAGGCATAACCGCACCACTTGAAGCTCTCCCCCTCCTGCACCGTTGGCAGCGCCTGCGCAGTCTCGTCCCGAAGCCAGTTCGGTCCGTTTTTTTTATTTTACTGGGGCTCATAAATTGCAATCCTTCGGGTTGGCTGGGACCGCTAGAAAAAGAGCTAAAAGAGGTTATAAAGCAACGACGGCAAGCAATTGGGTGAAAGTCAAACCCCTGCGCGCAAAGAGCGCTGCGCAGATCAAAACCCGCCGAGCACCTAACGCGGACTCCAACGGGCGGTGAGTACTGCTGCCGCTTCACGTCCCAAGAGCGGGAGCGAAGATACTCGAAAACCAGGCAAGAGCGCCTAGAGAAAGAAAAGGGGAGAATAAACAAAAATTCACGACTGGAAACACGGAGAACGAGGAATACTAAGACAGAGAGGAGGGGAGGAGGAGGGGAACACACCCGAGGGGCCAAGGGAGGGGGTCGAAGCCAGAGCTAGAGGTCCCCAGGGACTGACAGGCCGCAGCCAAGCCCCAGCTACTCGTCACCCCGACAGCGCCTGATGTCCTCCCTTGGCTGAGTCTCGAGTGCTGGCTGTTGAGCCGTCAGGGCCGAGCGAAAACGATCCAATACAACGAAACGAGCCTCGCCTTGACGCGAGGATATTGACCAAAAAAACGAGCGACCTTTCTTCCCGATCCATGCCGTAGATCTTGACCAACGCGAACGAACGATCTATTCGACGGAATCCAACACACGGCTTAGGAATAAAAGGAGAAGTGGCTGAAGCGTAGTCAACAACCGAGCAACAGGAACGAGAAGAGGAAGAGAAGGGAGAAAGGGGAAAGAGAGGGGAGAACTTCACAAAGCCTCCAACGCAACGACGATCGACCCGGCTTGCCGATCCATCCAAGAACGAAAACCGCTACTGCACAAAGTAGAGAGAGGGAGAGGTGCGCAGCCTTCCACTGCGCAACAAGTTTCAAGACAGTCAGCTTCTGAAAGAAAAGTCGACCTCCGAAAAGGAAGGGAGGAAAGGAGGGGAGAGAGAGCAGGGGAGGAAAATGGGAAGGAAGGACTTAACTCGGTCATCACACCTCCCAATCTCGAGCCCCAGGCACAAAGCCCGCTCGAGAGAGAAAATCTCGCTCGAACGCTCTGAGCGCACTGGGAAGCGAGGGAGAGGCCATGACTTTGTCCAGCTCGAACCGCTGATGAACGCGCCAGCGGAGCAGGTGCAGCCGCTGGAAGCCGATCGCGCAGGCCAGCCGAACCCACATCCATTTCGAGGTCGTTCTCCCACGACCCCGCAAAAGGGGGAGCCCCATAGTCAGCTGCTCCGGAGTGAACGTCGACGGATCGACGTCGGTATCCTCGATGCCGAGCTTGTCAAGCAGAATGCGTAGCACCCCACCCCAGAAGCTGGTCGAGTACGCGCACTCGAAAAAGTAGTGGGACACCGTCTCGATGACCGCTGCATCGTTGCCACAGAACAGACACGTCGGCGAAGAGGCATGACCCTGAGTATGCTGCCTCTTGCGCGTCGGCGTCACGTCGTACATGAGCCGCCAGTGGGTGTCCTGCTCGACAGCAGACGCGAACCGGTCATGAAGCCATCTCCAGAAGCGCTTCCTATCGCTCTGAGAAGTCCCATCAGGGAGACGCTTGACACGGTCCTCCCTCCCTGGGAACCGCACCTTGTTCACAAGCCGACGAAGCTTGCGAATCGTAAAAGGTCGGGAGAGCCCAAAGAAGTTGAAGCACCGAGGACGGGGAGCCTCCTTGAGAGGTATCCGAGCAGGTCGCAACGCGGTCTTGGGCAGCAACGCTTTCGCCTTGAGCAACTGACCCACGCGCGACCACACGTGCTCGTGCTGTAGGGCGGGTTCCTTAGAGTGCTGCCAGAACCCGCGTCGATGACCAACCAGAGCCCATCCCTTCCCTTCGTCCCTCCAGTACAGGTCCGCGATCTGCGCAAACTTCGCCACCGCGTCCGCATCGTCATATGCGTGCTGGGCACCTTCAGCATAGAGTGAAGGGAGGCGAGGCGGAAGCGAGAGCAATTCGGGAAGCGTAAGGAGTTCGGACTTGATGGTTGGAACTGTGACCCTGGCCGCTGCAACGACTGCCCCCCAGCGTGTCGAGTCGCGATACAGCTTCTCGACCCGAGCCGTGCTGCTGAAGAACCCCCACGGACTGAAATCGCGGGTCGCAGCGACGAGGCACCTCCAGCTCTCGCGAGCTAGGGGCGCCCAGATCGCCTCGTCCGAGCCCGCCACAGCATCCCAAAATCGAAGCGCCACCGAATGAACGATGTCGCCAATCGAAATCAAACCCAAGCCACCGTCCTCCCGAGCCTGGAACACGAAATCGCGAGCGACGGTATTTCGCCCTGCTCCTCCCCAGACAAAGTCCGTAAGTGCCGTCTCCGCCGCCTTAATGAACCATTGAGGCGGTATGTCGAAGGACAGCACGTGGAGGACCGTCGAGATGATGTGAGCGTTGGCATAGAAAACCTTCCCACTCGGCGAAAGTGTCCGGTCTCGAGCGGCGCGGGCCTTGGCCTTGATCCTGTCAAGAACATGGGTCCAAAACAGTTTCGAGTCACTGTGGCGAAAGAAGGCATAGCCGCACCACTTGAAGCTCTCCCCCTCCTGCACCGTTGGCAGCGCCTGCGCAGTCTCGTCCCGAAGCCAGTTCGGTCCGAGTGGTAGCACCAGCGTCTTGTCCGTGTTGGTCTTCCCGTTGGTAGCCTCGTACCACGTCTGCGACAGCGTTTGCAGCTTCGACAATGCCGCCGGTGACTCCACCACCACTACAGCATCGTCGGCAAACGCCAGATGCGTAAGCTGCGCACGCGGCCCCCCTGGCCACACCTTCTGCAGGTCGAGCGCGATCCCGCGCCGAACGAGGGCGTCGAGGAAGGGCTGGAACGTGATGTTCCAAACCGGGCACGAGAGGGGATCCCCCTGACCGAGACCACACAGCAACCGCACCAAGTCCGTGGGGAACCCATTGACAAGGTAGCGCACCCCCAGAGTCTCGGGATCGTAGAGAGCGCGCAGCAGCGAGATGAAACGCTCACCGAACCCAAAGGCCTCAAAGACCTCGAAGATCCAGGCGTGATCGACCCGATCGTACGCGCTCTGCTGATCCAAAGACAAGAGGGCGCCCTCGGGGAAAACATCAGTGCCTAGCGACTTGAGTTTTTCGAGAAGGAGAGTGAGATGACTTCCCGCGTCCGCTGAACGTCTTGATGGCATGAAACCGTGTTGCGCCGGCGGTAAAAGCTCGCCGAGCACCCCATTGAGTCGCGCCACCAAGACCTTGCTGAGGACCTTGTAGGTCGTCTCGCGCAATGTGATCGGTCGGTATGCCCCCAGTGATTTCAGATTGGCCCCCGGTTTATTCTTGGGCAAGAGCCGCACCAGCCCCTCTGCCAAGGACGCCGTCATTTTGCCGCCCTCCCAAATCGAGTTGAACAAGTCCAACAGCTTGGGAGCAAAGTAGGTTGGCAGCGCCTTGAAGAGCTCGTACGGAATGCCCGAGGGCCCCGGTGATCGCCCCGAATCCGTCTTCTTCAACGCCGCTTCAACCTCGAGGAGGGTGAAGGGCTCGTCAAGCGCCACTCTCGCTTGACGAGGCAGCCGACGACCGAACGTAGGGTCCGAGCGGTCGTCATCGTAGCATTTCGCTGCGCGAATAGGGTCGAGCAGGGACCGGCGTGCGTTCGTCGGGTCGCCACGAGCTGGGTCCGGCGTGAAGAGCGACTGCGCGTGCCGTGAAGCAATACCCAGCGCCTCCTGCATGTCAACGGTCTCGGTGCCATCCACATCCTCCAGCGAGACGATGCTCGTCTGGCGACTCCGGCGGTTGAGGCGCGTGCGAATGCTTGCCGATTGACCTTCCCTCGAGTCGACTGACGGCACATGCGCACGAATGCGCAGCCACTGAGCCTCCTTTACCGCCAACTGGTCCAACCGCGACTTGGCAAGAGCATACGCATCGCGCTCGGCCTCATTCATGTGCTCACCGCGTGCCTCCAAAGCCTCCATGACGGATTGGCTCTCGGCCCGCAGTCGGCGCATGTCGGCACGAGTCGAGCGGTATCGTGCATGGCCAGCGACTGCAACCGCCCGCAGAGCGGCGTCATAGACGTCGCCGAGCGGAGCGGTCCCCTCGAGCCTTCGATAGACCTCGTCGACGACCCCGGGAATCGATGCGACAAAGTCTTGATCGTCAAAGACCATTGGGTTGAGCCTCGAAATGAAATCGCTCGTGGAGGGAAGAGAAAGGGGGGGTTCGGCATCAGCGTTCGATGTAGGCAAAGCAAAAGTCGCAACTACAGGTCTGTGGTCCGAACAGGGCGCATCGAAGAGCGTAGAAGCGCTCAACAACCGGTTCGCCCAACTGCATTGGACAAGAATATAGTCGATCCGCGACCACGAGCAAATCTTTCGCTCTTCCCCTCTACCACGGTAGTGAGGACGAGTGAATGCAGGGGTGCAAGAATGGACATGTCGGACCGTGTCGAGTGCCTTGAACGCGATCTTTGACAGCAAGGTCTGCCAGTGCGATACAGGAGTCCAAGCGCGATCGGTGATGGACACTCGGTCGACCGATACATCCGGACAATCGTTGAGATCGCCGGCCAAGATCCGAAGAGTCTTGGGTCTCGGGGCGTTGAAGTGCAGAAGCCCGAAAAAGTCGCGACGATCGTCCTCCTGCACCGGCGCGTACATGTTGATGATCTCGACATCGAGCTCCTCAAGACGAAACACCGAGCGCAGAATCCGACCGTCGAAACGAGGAGCTCCTGCAAAGACGACCGGGGTAGAGGAAAGGAGATGGCCCGCCAAAGGTGAGCCATCGGGTATGAGGGTAAGGACATGAGGAGTGAAACGAATACAAGCCCCCGGCCAAGCACTCTCGAAGCCTTCGCGCGACGCGTTGTAGCTGAGGTGGTGCTCTTGCAGGAGGATGGCCGCAGGGGCCGGCCGAAGGGTTTTGAGATAACGGATGATTTTGACTTGGTTGACTGCGTTCTTCATCGATCGGACGTTGAACGTCAACACGGTGAGTGACTCAATCATGATTAAATCAGTTCAGCGCCGCCCCCCTCGAATTCGGTCACCTCGGACCTGTGACCCCCTGAACTGTTGCCCCCTGAGCCATCACCCCCTGATGCACCGAGGATCATGGCGGATCCCGCCCGGGTGACACGTCGGTTGCCGGGTGCCGAGCTCGAACGAAGGCGTCGAGGACTCGTCGAGGCTATCGAGGTTGTCGAGGTTGCCGATGATCCCGACGTGCCACCGGACAAAGGCGAAGGAGAGGTCGGGGTCGAAACGGGCGCCGCCGTCGTCGTCTGCGTCTCCTTTGTTGAGCCCAGGGTCGCACGCGTCGACGTCTCTTCCCCAGTGTCGCCGCCCTCCGGTTCGGTCGAAACGACCGACTCGTCGTCGCCGTCGTTCGCGTCGTCCTTGTTGGCGGTTACTGCACCTGCGGGGTTAGCACGAGGTCCCAGCTGGATCATGTTCGCGCCAGAGACACGAGAGTTCAATGCGGCAGGCCCACCGTGCTTCCCATTCTTTCCAGCAACTCGGAAGCCGGTGGTCGAAGTCGAAGTCGAGGTCGAGGCCCCCGGAACAGGAGCGGCGGTGGCCGGAGTCGAAACCGGCTTCCTGCAAGCGCCCCACTGGTGTCCGGCGCGATCGCACACCGCGCAGTAGTGCGTCTCGAATTCGTGTCGCAAGCCGTACTTGGCGCCCAGGATCTCGATCTCTTGTGGCAAAGCGGCGTTGAGCGCGGCCTTCTGCGTCTCGATGGAGCCTTGGAAAAGATCAGCATGTAAGCGAAGGTACGCGCAGTGGAACCCGTCTTCGGTCATGGCCATCGGATCGCCATTCGGATCGACCGCGAGGCCCCGCTGTAATTGCATCAGGGTATAACCTTGCGTGCGACCTGCGCGGCCGAACGAAAGGGTGATAGCATCATCGAGAGATTTTCGGAGCACGGAAGCGGGGATCGCGCTGGAGGAGGAGGGCAAGGTGAATCGCACCTGCACGACGTGGTTAAGGGGAGAGGCGCTGGGGAGCTCGGTAACCATCTCCTTGCCGTGGTAGGGGAATGGGCCCGCTGAAGCGGCTTCAAGACAAGCTTGCTCGGATTCGAATACAAGCTCGTACATGTGACGAGCGATCGGGAACCTCTTCGTGGCTTTCGTCACAATCGGGTTCAGCTTCACGCATTTCGAGAAAAGCTTCTCGACCTCGGGGTCAAGCACGACGCCCTCGGGCCGCGCGAACATGAACGGCGTCTCGGCCAATCCAAAGTGCTTGCGCAGCGCGGTCTGTACAGGACCTCTGGGTGATCCAGGACCATCCATAATGACTCGAATCACATTGGAGGCCGGGGCTGCGTCGTTTCGCACCGCTCTTTGGGCGGCTCGTGCGAGCGCTGGCGCCTGCGAAGGCGGGGTCGAGGCGTCGTGCATCAGGACCATCAGTCGGCGGGTCGACTTGCTGGAGGGAACAATCCCGAGCACTTGGAAGGTCTTCTTCATCAGCTTCTCATGGTCCAACCGGACCTGAGTTGCCTCGGGCGACCAAGCTGGAGGATTCGCGGTTCCTCCAGTGACCGCTTCACGCGTTTGCGTGTTGAGTGATGAATCACTCGCGCCATTACCACCCAATAGGTCCTCGGGCGGGGGCGCATCGGCGCCGGGCGGATCCGGCATCGCGTGTTTGTGTTGACCTGTAAAGCTTAACGGGCTTGGAGGTCAACTACTCACTCTACACCACAGAAACTCACTTGTGTGTGTGTGTGTCCGTTTTTATTTTATTTTACTGGGGCTCATGAAATTGCAATCCTTCGGGTTGGCTGGGACCGCTAGAAAAAGAGCTAAAAGAGGTTATAAAGCAACGACGGCAAGCAATTGGGTGAAAGTCAAACCCCTGCGCGCAAAGAGCGCTGCGCAGATCAAAACTCGCCGAGCACCTAACGCGGACTCCAACGGGCGGTGAGTACTGCTGCCGCTTCACGTCCCAAGAGCGGGAGCGAAGATACTCGAAAACCAGGCAAGAGCGCCTAGAGAAAGAAAAGGGGAGAATATACAAAAATTCACGACTGGAAACACGGAGAACCAGGAATACTAAGACAGAGAGGAGGGGAGGAGGAGGGGGAACACACCCGAGGGGCCAAGGGAGGGGGTCGAAGCCAGAGCTAGAGGTCCCCAGGGACTGACAGGCCGCAGCCAAGCCCCAGCTACTCGTCACCCCGACAGCGCCTGATGTCCTCCCTTGGCTGAGTCTCGAGTGCTGGCTGTTGAGCCGTCGGGGCCGAGCGAAAACGATCCAATACCACGAAACGAGCCTCGCCTTGACGCGAGGATATTGACCAAGAAACGAGCGACCTTTCTTCCCGATCCATGCCGTAGAACTTGACCAACGCGAACGAACGATCCATTCGACGGAATCCAACACACGGCTTAGGAATAAAAGGAGAAGTGGCTGAAGCGTAGTCAACAACCGAGCAACAGGAAAGAGAAGAGGAAGGGAAGGGAAAAAAAAGGGGGGGGGAAAGAGGGGGGAGAACTTCACAAAGCCTCCAACGCAACGACGATCGACCCGGCTTGCCGATCCATCCAAGAACGAAAATCGCTACTGCGCAAAGTAGAGAGAGGGAGAGGTGCGCAGCCTTCCACTGCGCAACAGTGTCCGTATTTTAAAAAAAGAGTTTATTTGTATATATACGACTGCCTTGGACAGGTAAGGTCTAAGGCCCTTTGGGGAAGTGGTTAACCCACCTCCCTCCGGCTTTTGCTGCAAGGAGGATATCGTCGGTTCAATCCCGGCAAGGGTCGATCTTTTTTTTTGAGGGGGGAGGCGGGAGGCGGGCACCGGCGGTACTCAGTGAAGTCGCGATGTGTGACAACCTGTTCAATGGGATGAACTCGAACTCTAGCTCCGATTTTGGGCGGCGGGTATGGGTTTAAGCAGAGGGCGAAGTAAAATTCAAGAGAAAAGGACAAAAATGCCCTCGCTTCTTTTCATGAGGACAGAAATGCGCCTCTTAAAGGACCAAAATGCCGTCGAACTCTCGACTTCTGTAGTACTTGATATATCAGCTCATAACCAAGAGGGTAGCTTCACGTAATCGTTGATCAACGTCGTATACTCAGAATCCCCAGAGATGCCGTGAGAATACAGTTAGCACGGTCGCAAAGTCAGAGGCCCTCATCGATCGTCGACGCGTCGAGGCGCGCGAGTTCGCGAATCGACGTTGGTCTCCTTCCGCATTCTCGCCCCCGGCCCGGACGCCGAAGTCACCACCGACTTTCGACAATGGAACATTGTTTCAAGAAGGGGGAAAATCTCTACGAAAAGAAGGAGCTCACGGATGCAGGCTATCGATATGCGCTTGATGACCAGAACCAGCTCGACGTTCCGTAAGTCTGACACGCGTCGTTGGCACGTCGTGTGCAAGACATGAGGTCACGGATGATGAGGACGATAGTGACTCGACTGGCGAAGAAGAAGGTGCCATTATCATTCCGCCACAATTCCCCAGACGTACAGGACGTCCAATCAAGCGCAGGGTCCGGGGTGCGGACGAGAGGTCCAAGCGCGACACGATCTGTGGTCTCTGCAAAGGCCTCGGACACCATCGAGTTACATGCGACAGACAACTAGACCATTTGAATCTGAGCACAAGGTGTCAAGACTGTCGATGTTACTACAAGTCGAAGGCATGCTGGTCTGTTTCATATGGAATTCACTGCGGTCTATACTCATCGCTCGCTTTCGACTGGGACTTCGCTTCAGTCGCGATAGGGCCCTGACTTTGCGACCGTGATGACTGAACTCTCACGGCTTCTCTGGGGATTCCGAGTGTACGGCGCTGATCACAACGACTACAAGAAGCTACCCTCTTGGTTATGAGCTGATATATCAAGTATTACAGGAGTCGAGAATCCGAAGGCATTTTGGTCCTTGAGGAAAGGGCATTTCTATCCTCATGAAAAGAAGCGAGGGCATTTTTGTCCTTTTCTCTAAAATTAAAGACCTGTTCTCGGTTTCCGTGTAGCTTCATGTTGAACAAGTCTTCGCCCCGGGTTCTAAATCCCGGGGGACCATCCGAGCCTCGCCAGGGCACCGCTGACAGCATCGCACGTGTATTCTCTACAGCCTCGTAGGAGCGTGGTACCTTCTCTTGCCAGTGACACGCTTCGCAACAGATTGAAGAACAGTTGAAACAAGGCCATCTCTATCGACTACGCACCTGCTCGCTGGAAAGGAGGTCGTCGACTCAGGTCGTGACGCTGATTATTGTCGGGCCAACATCCCACGTGCACCGACTGCACCTGACCCCATTGCAGGGGTCCGACGCCTCATCTCGTCACGAACGTGGGCCGCAACAATCGAGAAGCTTCCAAAGTCGAAGCCATCTGGTCTCACGCTGAGATGTCTTTGATCCACTGCTGCCGAGTCCGCCGTGTTCGAGCGCCTCGCCTTGCATCTCCGGGCTTCAGGGGGCGGAGAAAGGCCTTCTCCCCCTCCGGCCGGGTCTCACCCTCGACCTGACTCCCAATGATCAGGCAATGCACCCCACATTCCTCTCGGCTTCTCTCTTCAACCAAACGGAAGTGAGTGCAGCAACCTCAATATGCTGCTACTGGGCTCGATGTTCTATCTGGTTCTGTGCATCGGCGCAGTCAAAGGTCAAGCACGGAATTGTGAGTCAATCTGATCAGGAGGCCGTTTCACGAGCGTCGCGCCCGATCGTCGATTTGAAAGCCGGGATTGCGAACGGAACGTGGGGTCGCGCATTCAGCACGTGCTTTCCGCGCAGCTCACCGAGTACCAGATCCCCCGAACATGATACCAAAGCACCGCTGACCGATGTTGATGCCCCAAAACACCCACCTGCAGATGCACCCCAACGCGTCGTATGTCCTTCCGGTCCCTTAGTGACGAGCACGGGCTCTCCCCTTGACGCCACCCAGGTTCTCGAGAACCGTGAAGCCGATTATCAAGCCAAGCGAGGGAGGAAAGCAGCCGTGGAGTACCTCAAATATCTAGGCTCTGGGCGGGACATCGGGTACACGGCCCGGCAGATCCTCGATAGCACAGGAGCCAAGGCTGTGGGTAACTTGAGGGCTCGGACCGAAGATAGTAGCCACAGTAGAGATTAATGATCCCCTCGAGTTGCTGTCTGAATGCTAGGGGTACCGCATGCTCGGGCGGTGGACTTCGAGCGAGCCTGTACTGCGCCGGTACCCTCTCGGCGCTCGACAATCGTTACGGGACGTACATAGCCCCCGTCCTCCAACTGTCGGCCTACATGACGGGCCTCTCCGGCGGCTCATGGGCCATCACCTCACTCGCTACGTCTAACTTGGGTCCCACGAGTATCTACGACATCGTCATGGGAAGGAATGGAGCGCCCGGCTGGAAGCTGGACTTGAACTTGATTTTCCCCTCGCTTTGGCATCTCCTTCCTTTCAACATCAACATCATCCGTGACTTGTCTGCCAAAACCCACGCCGGCTTTTCTGTGACTCTCATTGATTAATGGGGTAAAAACTGGCTGAAGTGTGTAGCGTCGCTCTCAGGATGTGCTGAAAACCGTTCCCAATCACTCGCAGGTCGCTTGCTTGGCCATCACTTTCTGCCGGGTACAACGCGTGCTAGCTTCTTCAGCTCGACCGCACCGAACGACAATGTAAGCCTCCTGAACAAATCTGATCAACATTTGCATCTGAGACACCAGCTTCTGTCCGTATCGATTGCAGGGTCTCTTATTCGATGCCATCAAATCGACCAGCAAATTCAGGGCGTTTGAGATGCCATACCCCATCGTCGTCACCACCTCCCGCGTCAAGGCCTGGGACCAGTTCAAAGTCTTCGGCGATTACATTCCCATGAAGAACACGGTGAGGATCTACCCGATGTCCGCTTAGCAAACAGGCTATTCTCTAAAGTCCTGCCGCTGAGTCCCCAACCCGGGCATCTTCCGCGCAGATTTTTGAAATCAGCCCCTACTCCTTCGGATCATACGACCCCTCCCTTTCTGCCCACATTCCGACCGAATACATGGGGAGTGACGCGGAAGGAGGCAAAACCAGAGGGGGCCGCACCTGCGTCAACGGTTTCGATTCCGCGAGTTTTATCATGGGCTGCAGCGCGGGATTGTTCACCGCCATTGAGAGCATGCTCCGGCCGGACACGAGAATGTTCAGCAAGATCCTTGAATTTATCCACTGGGCCACGCGCGGCGACAAACAAGAGGACTTCTTGACTTCCAGAGGTCAGTCCGGTGTCCACAGTGCTGCTCAGTGATTCCAAAGTCAAGCTCACTGTGAGTCTGCGGCATCCCGCGGCTGGCATGCGCCTCCTGTCGGATGTAGTCCCCAACACCTTTCACGGCTACAACCCTCGTCTCAGGGGGTCCCGCGAGTTTGAAAGCGCAGAGAATCACCACCTGTACCTTACTGACGGAGGAATGAAGTGAGTCTTGAACCCCACCCGGCCTACGGAACGCGAGCCTGCGGAAGACTCGATCCTCACCGTATTCCTGCTCCTAGCGGCGAAAACATCCCTTTGGCACCCCTTCTCGTCAAAGCGCGCCGACTCGACACCATCTTTGCGATCGATGCCTCGCACGATACTAAAAAGTCATGGCCGAACGGCGAGTCCCTACATCGGACATGGGAACGTATTCGCCTCACAGCGAACGGGTACACTGACTTCCCGCCTGTGCCTCCAACGCCATTTCACTTTGTGGCATGGGGGTTGACGACGAGGCCCGTGTTTTTCGGGTGCGAGGTCAGAGATGCGCATGTTAACCAACCTGGGAGCTGTGAGTGTAGCCCCGCTTTCGGACGGCAAACTAGTGCAGACAAGCTGATCCTCTTTCTCCTTTTGTCTTACAGACCCCATCATAATCTACCTGCCCAACGCCCCCGTCCAGCACTCGCGCTACTCGACCAACACCGCAACGATGCAAATGGCGTACTCCAACTCGGACACCGAGGCCTTCCTCGCTAACGCCCACATGAACGCGATGAAAGGATACCCCATGGGTAATGCGGGCTCGGATCCGCACTACAGGACAGCTTTGAAATGCGCAATCGTGGATCGGGCGCGACAGAGGGCGAGCTTGAAGAGGTCTCGGATCTGTGCGGCCATGTTAGCGCGATGTAAGTGGACAGGCGAAGAAGAGGCTGAGCCTGACCTGTGGGACCGGAAGCAATCCACTGGACGCTGACCCTGTGTGAATTCCGCGAGACTCCCCGAGACAGATTGCTGGATACCTGGCAAATGAGCAACATTCTCTTACGCCTCTATAGACCTGCCTTGATCCGATCGATCCTCTCGGTCCCAGGTTGCTCATTCTCGTCACCCTGGGAAACACCGCGTTGCCCATCCGTTATTTATTTCGGGCCTGCCCTCGGGAGCCGATCATTCACTTATTCAGACATGCCCATGTCAGTTTTGTCTCTTGAAAGTATTTGCATTCGATTGTCTCAAAAAGTAACTCAAGGTCAGGAAGTAAGAGAGTTGACCCTGAGTGAGCAACGCTCGATGGATTGCGGTGTCCAATAAGAGTGTCTCCAGCGTCACCAAATCGATTGGAGGTGTGATTCAAAAATTCAAGTACGGTCGGAGACAACTGCCAGCCTACAAGATCTTGGTGCCGTCACTCGTTCATCGGCTCGAACAACGGGCGTTTGGCCGAGTCATCGGCCTAATGCGCTCGGTGTACGGTGAAACACCGTAAGGGCAAGAATGCATTTAGCCGCCCTCTCCCACTCTCGCACTCAGGCTCCGTCATCAATCAGAACCTTCCCGGAGTCATCCCGAGCAGGAATTTTCTTGTCGACCGTGCTTTCTTCGGTGCTACTTCTAGCTTTTGCTTGGCCGGCGCAAACTGCTTCGTCGCATGGAAAGTGATGCAGCTCGACGAAAGTGAATTGGGCGAATGGCGACTCGCCGAATCGAAAGGATTTGGAAGCAAGGCAACTTGCAAAAAGGGGGTGTATTTTGAGGATGGGTCTGGGACGGGGTCGGGATGCCCGCGGGATGGCCGGGGGATGATCCCGGAATTGACAGCGGTCTGGGCACGGGGCTGGGACATGCGCCTCGTGCCTGATGTAGTCCCGAACACCTTTCGCGGCTACAACCCTCGTCTCCGGGGTTCCCGCGAGTTTGAGAGCGCAAAAAATGAACATCTGTACCTTACCGACGGAGGAATGAAGTGAGTCTTGAACCCCTCCCGGCACATGGAACGCGAGCCCGCTAAAGACTCGATCATCCTCACCATATTCCTGCTCCCAGCGGCGAAAACATCCCTTTGGAGCCCCTTCTCGTCAAAGCGCGCCGACTCGACACCATCTTTGCGATCGATGCCTCGCAGGATACCAAAAAGTCGTGGCCGAACGGCCGGTCGCTACATCGGACGTTGGAACGTATTCGCCTCACAGCGAACGGGTACAGTGACTTCCCGCCTGTGCCTACGACAGCATGGCACTTTTTGAAAGCGGGGTTGACGAGGAGGCGCGTATTTTTCGGGTGCGACGTGGGGGATGCGCGTGTTGAAAACCTGGGAGCTGTGCGTGTAGCCCAGTTTTCCGAGGACAAAGCAGAACAGACGCGCTGATCCGCTTTCTCTTTTCGTCTGACAGACCCGATCATACTCTAACTGCCCAACGCCGCCGTCCGGAACTCGCGCTACTCGACCAACACCGAAACGATGCAAATGGAGTACTCCCTCCAACTCGGATACCGAGGCCTTCCTCGACACTGCTCACGCGAACGCCATGGAAGGATACCCCATGCGTGATGCGGTCGCGGAGGTTGCGGACCCGAGGTACAAGACGGCTTTGAAGTGCGCAATCGTGGATCGACCGAGACAGAGGGCCGGGATCAAGAGGTCGGCGATTTGTCAAAGTTTGATGCAGAGATGTGAGTTCTTGGATGGTATTAGCGAGTGGATTCGTTCGAGGTGTTCACGCCCCCTCCGTCTCCACCGGTCGCAGACTGCTGGACCTCTTAAACATGAAACCCACCAGCCGTGATCCCATCCCGTTTCTGCCCCCCCCCCCCCTATCACGCGGTCCATCACGCGGTCCGCCTGGGCACATTTCACGCGCGTTCCTATCACCCTCTTTTCATAGCTCCAACGCTATTTCTTACAGTCACTCTCCCTCCCTCCCTCACGCACACACACACACTCTCTCTCTCTCTCTCTCACCGTGCTCCCTCTCGCAGTCTCCTTTTTCTCAGCCGTCCTCACACAAAAAAAGGTACATACACTCGTTCTCCCCTCGAGCCGCCGGTCGGCGTGAATCTGCAATTTTACCGTAGTACATCCCTTTCATATGGCAGTGCAACCTCCTTCCGTCGTTGGAAATATATACCCCCACTTCCCCTGAATCCACGGAGAATCATGGGCAGGCTCGAGTCCACCATGTCGATTGACTGCAGCGCTAAACGATCCCCCTCCCGGCCCCGTCCTCATGGATGAGCATCGCAGCAACAAAACAACTCTCGATTCAGAATGTCGAATTATACCCACAACAAGCCACCATAGCGCCAAAACAAACACCTCCCACCTGCACGTCTACAAATTTGCCTTGAGAAAGTTCCCCGTCTGTTGTAGCGCCTGCTCAAACGCGGCCTTCGTGTCTGGGTCGGTCCAGTCCGCCCTCGAAGCGAAGCCTGAGCAAAATCGTACCTTCAAGTTAGCCACGTACTTGTCTCTCATTAATCGAAGGTATCTTTTTAAACTGACCATGCACAGTCCCCTCATACCTCCTCACGTCCGTCCTCTCCTTCATCCCCTCCACGAGCGGTACGACCTCGGCCTTGATTGAATCAAACGCGAAATCCTCCTGAGCAACGATCAACGCCGTCGGAAGGGCAAGCCTCCTAAAGTCGTCAACTTTGAGAGGCCCAGGGTGGGCAATGATACAGACGTCGATGACTTGGTCGGGCATACCGCCGAGGAGACAAACGACGGTGCCGCCCATGCAGTAGCTGGCGGGTGGATGGGGAGTGGAGAGTGGAGTGAGCTAGGTATGTGGGCTGGGCAGATGAGAGCAGGGCAACGAACGTACCCGACCGCTCCGATGCGTTCGATTCCTTTCTCCTTCTTGAGCGCCTCGCAGAACTACAAAGTGCATCAATTCGCAGATCAGTTCGGCGTCCACTGCACTGCACTGCAATCCGCCCAAGACTGGCTCCTCGACCAAACTCACCTCCTTGGCCCTCGGCACCAACACCCCCGCCCTATTCCTATAAGCCCAAACGACCCCAACATGTCGAACGAAGGTATACACGGTCGCACCGAGATTCTTGGCCCTCGTCAAGAGAGGTAGTTGGGCTTGGGGGGAGCTCGAGAGGGATAGCTTGGAAGCGGGGGCGGGGTCGCCTATGAACAATTTTCCGCGGAAAGGTAGTATGAAAATGGTTCGTCCGTCAACCTACCTCTTTGAGAATTTCATAACTCGCTGCAGGAGATTTCATGACTCACCCTTGTAGTAGTCGGGGACGTAAACGTCCCTTCCGGTGTCCTTGGCGAGTTGATCGGCGATGAGTTTGGCGTTGGGGATCGAGAAGCCAAAGATGTCCATCGCACTGGTTCCAAGGAAGTTATCCCAGTCGAATTAGCAGCCTCCAGAGAACCTCAACAGCCTCCGTCTCACAACCGAAACTGGGACCCTCTCAAGCGGGGGACGATAAGACTCTCCCCCACATGTGCTCCTACGTCATACTCACATGACAATGACCTTGTTCCTCTCCTCCCCTTCTCCCTTGGCCAAATAATACTTTAACCCACCCAACTCGTGCTCACTCATCACTCCCTTCGGCGTTCCAGGTAGGACCGAGCCTTGATGGCATGCCTGGTGGTATTGATGGTCGACATTCAGTTGCAAGTCAGTCCGGGCCGGGAAGCACGCTCAACTTGAGGTGCGGACTCCGGAGCCCGATGTTCCAGGGAGCCTCACCTCACACGTCTTGGCAGGCGTCGAAGCGTCTGCTCCGGATCCTGTGGGGGGTTCAAGTTCGACCATCGCTACTTGGGTGTCTGACGATAGGGAAAGAGAGGGATAAGTTTGAAAGAGGGAGCCCGTGCTGGTCGCCAGCCGTCGGCACCACTTCGGCACCAGCCGGCACCGAAACAAACCCCGTCATTGAGCGGCAACTAGAACGAAAGCCCGAAGCCCGTGTGCTCATGGCTCGTGGAAGGGCAACGCGGTGCCGGCCTGCACCGAGCAAGGGTAGGCTTGTGGCAGAGTCTACATAATAGAGCTATTCGACTTGAAGCAACTTGAAAAGCTTGTTGGTTTCTGTAGCTTCAGCTTCCACGATGCCGTGGGTCCTTGAGCCCAAGTCCGAACAAGAGTGTCTCGGATCCCCAAACGCCGTATCAATACACACACGCACACAAGCACACAGATTACAGAAGATATAACATCGCCCCCCATGTCACACCTCAGAAACCTCAGAAAGGAATCGGGCCATACGCCTCGCACTGGCCCTCGCACTGCTCCTCAAAGACAAAGTTGCACATTCGCGTATCTGCGCTCGGCGGGGACAGCGCAAGGGAGCAGGCGAGTCAGTCGGCTTGTGTCGACTGTATGGATTATATGGTCCTGGTACTAGGCTTACTGCGAGCGATATGAGCTTGATTGCATCTGATTCCTACGCGTTTGAAAGGTTGAGCGCCGATCTGAGTCATTCGCAAGGAAGATCGCCGTCAGTGCCACGTGATACACCACCAAGCACGAACGTCTTCTGGTAACGTTTACTCACATCCCCGACAATCCCCGTAGGCCAATGACCCCTCACACATCTCACTTTGAACGATGGACAACTGAGCAACGCCGCTCGGAGTCTGGGCGATGATGGAGCGCCACTTGAGCCTTCGACGCCCATCGTCGGGTCGATAAGCGTGAGCTGTTGAGGCAGCGGTTGGGGGAGAGAGATAGCCATGGGGAGAATACAGGCGAGTAGATAGGAGAGGAAGAGATGGAGCTTCATCTTGTGGACTCTCAAGGTGGTGACGGGGAAGGACGAAGAAGGCGGAGAGCGCCGATCGATCAGACCCCCGAAACTCGGTTAAGGCTGGAGCTTTGCGGAACCTTACTTGTCGGTACTTCAGCGACTAATTGCTAATGGCCAACGTGCATCGGACGAAGCTCGCGCGCGCGCGCCTGCAGCAGGCTGGTGGGTTGTTGGGCTCGAGGCTTCGCAGCCCACCCGAATGTCAGGTCGAGCTCACCTCCGACTCGGGTATTGTTGGCTGGTGATGCCGGTCCTGCGTCCTAGCTGCTGCGTAGCAGGTGGAGATGGGGTCTGACTGATCAGCTCAGCTATAGGACGGCCGCCGCTCCGTCTTGTCCTGACAGGCTTTTCTGAGTTGGCAGTGTGGGGGTGGGGATGCCCACGCCGGCACGAACTCAGCGTCCTCGTCGCCACTGATTCGGACCCAATCACGTAAGAGGTAGAATATTTTTCGGCAAGATCATGGGGGAGGAAACTTCGAGCTCTCCCGGCACCACTCTCCTTCGCACACGCTGAGGATGATGCATGACCCCGTCGACTCGAATTGGGTTGACTGTCGACGCCCGATAAAATGGTTCCGTCTCGCCGCAGAGGGGGACCTTGCAGCCGGGGCTATACGACTGGGATATAGGAGAAATATTAGACTCTAGTGAAGGTCCAAACGATCGTGGTGCAGCCAGAATCCTCGTCGCTCCACTCCACTGTAGTGCCTCATTTGTAAGAACATATCGCATTTCAAACCCTCTCTACTCCCGCTTCTCAAAACTGTGCGGCCAATGATGAGACCTCCTTTTCCATCTGCGAAACCGACTGCTCTGATCTGGGAAAGCCTGTATTAAAGAAATTGGGATGTGCATAGGCTCTAGTGGGTGGCACAGCATTGAAGAGTGCCGAGCTATGTACGCTAGCTAGAGCCTTCTTGCATCTTGCGCGCACTCAAAATTTTCTTGGCCTCCGCTCGAACCTCGCTGTCAGGGGATATCCTGCGCCAGATTGGAAAGGCGATCTGCAGCAAATATCGAAGGCAAAGGAACGTTTCATCAGCTTCTCGATTATCTGTTGTGAACGATTGCTACAAGCCTACCGTTCCGGCAATACCCCACAGCGTATCAATGAGTACATTGTTACGCGGGGTGATGCCTCGACTATTTCGCAGCATGTGTCCCACAGGCTCATACGTGATGTAGAAGTTGTCACGGTCCAAGCCTGATCATATGAGAGAGAGAAGGTGGTAAGGTTTCTCAAACAGATGGAGGGACGGGTAATTAAAGTTCTCGCGCGTTGCTCACCTCGGATCATGTGCGCAGCTACCACCTCGGGAGTCAAGCCCACATCGGGTCCCTCGATTCTGCGGGTCATGGCCGGTTTGACTTTCTGCTCCTCGACGAAACCGGGCGACAGGATCGTTGCAGGCAAGAACAGATGGACTGAAATGCCATACATCTGCAGTTCGTTCCGAAGGGTCTCGGCCAGTCCTGGACTCAAGATCAACATTACGTGAGCGACGGTGGTGGAATCTTCTAAAACGTAAAGTGTGGCACGTACCCCTAATTGCGTACTTGCTAGGCGTGTACGCCGAGTAGCCCGCAAAGCCCATCATAGCCAAGACACTGGCCGTGAAGACGATCTTTCCGGGTTTTCCCTCTTGTCGCATACGTCGTGTGGCTTCATGGATCGTGCAGAGTGCGGTCTTGAAGTTCCACTGCATGCCTTGCCAGTGACGCTCGGCATCGAGGTCGGCAAAGAAACCCGGGAACGTGCCGCCAGCGCACGCAAAGACGAAATCCGGCGCCTCTCCAAACGTTTCACACGCCAGGTTCAGCGTCGCTGCGGCATCGTCGGCCAAAGTGAGGTCGCACGCGTAAGAGGCGATCTGTTGGCTCGGTGACTGACGGTGGGTCTGCAGTGGGTGCACGCGAAGGAAGTCAGCACTCGCTGCGGCAAAAGCTACTAGCCGGGTCATACACCCAGCACCAGCACCCAGCATCTTGTTTTTCCACCCACCTCTATGCGTGCAAGGGCCGCCTCCAACTTTACTTTACTTCTCGAGACGATCGAGACGTGGGCGCCGCGCTCTACAAGCAGACAGGCGAGGGCGAGTCCGAGCCCCTCGGAGCCTCCACCAATGTAGCAGTGCTGGATGCGTAGAAGGCCTCAGTGTCCGTACATGTCGCTCTTCACCCTCCCTTTTGTTCGCTTGAACTGCCTCAAAGGCGACGCACCTTGCCGGAGAAGTCAATCCGACGACGCCAAAGGAAACTCATGAGCACGACGATCGAGACGAGCAGCGCAAACGTGGCGGTGATGTAAGGGATGGCGATTGAGCTGGGGATCCAAGTATGCGCCGATGACATGAGTCTCCAGATGAGTGATGCTGCAGTAGCGGATAACCGATGGCTGAAGGTTGAAGAAGGCTTGGGATCAGCTTGAGACACGAGGGTGGTACAGGGGTCAGACACGTTGGAGGCACGTGATGGCCCGAACAAGCCCGAACGAGCTGCGTGGGATAGAGCACTGCAATGCCCGCCGACAAACGTGGGATAGAGCTATGCCCGCCCACAAAACAGCTGATCGTACCGTACCTGGAGGTTCCTATAGTGGTGTGCTGACGACGTTGGCGAGCAGGTGATGATTGCTCGTCGTGCTCGACGCGTGACGGACGCTACCAGAGGAGTCGCCTTTGTCTGGTGCGCCATGGCTCTCGGTCGATTCTGGTCAATTTTCCGAAGAACACTGACGAAATGGATGAAACTCCCGCGCGCCTGATCGAGTTTGGGCCAAAAGCCCTCGCCACGCTTCGCAGCACCGTCCATTGCCAATTGGTCTCAGTGTTGGACCCAGTTTTGTGTAGGACTTGGGAAAGTAACACACCCAGAGTACAGGCCTTAGTTCGCGAGGACCCGAGGTCACAAACCCTAATCCAGCATTGAATTCACTTAGCTTTGGTGCACCTCAGCTGCCGAACTGTGAAGCTGAGAGAGTTATTGCAAACTCGGTCGGCAAGGTGTTGAGCAAACAGACCGAAAATTTAAGAAGGAACTGTGCCTGCAGCGTAAACCGACTTATTATACCATTCTCGGGCTAGTCTCCGTACTCGGAACTGAAAAGTCGGCTTGCGTCGGTAGGGCCGGCCCGGGCTCTTTGGTCAGATTCGCCGCGGGCAGCCGCGGGCATTATTACCGCCGACACCCGGGCCCCACTTGACGAGTTGCTCTCTCGCTCTTCCTTTCCTCACCACGCAACGACAAGCATCTTACTCAAACCAACTCGAGACCACATAACAAGCCTCGAGTGATCTCTTTCGCACTGCCAAGCATGCTTTCCCCGCTCCGCCTCGCCGTGCGTCGCTCGACGTCTCGTTCGACCCGCGCCCTCCTCGCTTCACCCGCTAAGCCCCTACCCCGGGCCTTCACCACCACCCACTCCACCCAACCCATCCGGTCATTCTCTTCCTCCCCTCTCAGTCGATCCGAAGCGACGTCTGCGTCGTCGAGTGGAGGGGGACCGTACGAGAACTTGCTCGTCACCTCGCCCGCGGCGGGAGTGAGCTTGATCACGCTCAACCGACCCAAGGCGCTCAACGGTGAGCGCTGAGCTTTCATACCCGCCTCTCTTCCAAAGACAAGGGACTCGTTCGACCCTGTGTACAAACCAAAGCCCAATTCACCCATTCCGGAAACTGATAGCACACACCTCGTGTCGTTCCCACAGCCCTCTCCTCCCCCCTCTTCCACGAACTCAACGCCGTCCTCAGCAACCTATCCACGGACGACTCGATCGGCTGCGTCGTCCTAACCGGTTCAGACAAGGCCTTTGCCGCCGGTGCCGATATCAAGGAGATGAAGGACAAGGAGTTCGCGGATGTGTACAAGAATGATTTCCTAGCTCATTGGACGCAGATGACCAAGTTCAGGAAACCGATCATCGCCGCGGTTAGTGGGTATGCGGTGAGTGTGTTCGTATGGTGGAGGGAGATGAAAGAGTTTGCGTTCGTGGTTAGCTGATGAGGGTTCGTCGGATCGGGAGGGAATCTAGCTCGGCGGTGGTTGTGAATTGGCCATGATGTAAGCGATATTTGCACAGTTCCTCTCTGTGGTTCGACTCTCTCCCAAACTCATGCGATTCCACCCTCTAGGTGCGACATCATTCTCGCCTCCCCGAACGCGACGTTCGGTCAACCCGAAATCAACGCAAGTCAACTCGACCTCATTTCCCACCTTACCCCAAACTAAATCCCCCGTATGACATTGCTCTCCACTTTACAGCTCGGCGTCATCCCCGGTGCGGGTGGGACCCAACGTCTCGTGCACGCGATCGGCAAATCGCGCGCGATGGAAATCGTTCTCACCGGTCGCAACTTCTCCGCGACCGAAGCCGCTTCCTGGGGACTCGTATCCCGACTCGTCGAAGGGTCCAACAACCAAGCCGTCGTTGACGAGGCTGTAAAAGTGGCGAGTAAGATCGCGTCCAAGGGGAGGGTCGCCGTTCAAGCGGGTAAGGAGGCGGTGAATGCGAGTCAGGAGTTGGGATTGGAGGATGGACTGAGGTTCGAAAGGAGGTTGTTCCATCAGTTGTTTGCGACGGTCAGTTCTTTCAGCGTTTCATTCGGATATGGAAGACATGTGGGAAACTTATTGTTTTGGTCGTTCGTGTTTCTGGTTGGTGTAGAAGGACCAAAAGATCGGGATGCGCGCTTTCGCGGAGAAGAAGAAGGCCGAGTTTGTTCACGAGTAGACGGGAAGCGGAATCTTGCTTCGTGTATGCAAAATGAGACTATATACATCACAATTAGGCTAAGCAAAAAAGAGGGGGTATCATATGGCAATGGCATCTGGCGATGAATGCTCCGCTGCTTAGAAGAGCAGACCACCGAGCAGTACACCACCCAACAGACCTGCGCCCACACCCGCTCCACCCATCCCCCTTCCACCGTAAGGTGATCCATACCCGTATCCATAACCCCCACCATACATCGGTCTCCCATAGCCTCCACCGTACATCGGTCTCCCATAGCCCCCATATCCACCCCCATAAGGTCCATACCCGCCACCCCTAACATACACCGTCTGCGGCGCCGCATAGGTCGGCGCATACGTCCCATTCTGCGACGCCTCCAACATCGCCTTCCTGCGTCGGATGTAGGCCTGATGACGCTTCATCTCCTCCTCGGCTTGGCGCTTGCGTTCGGCTTGACGTTCTTCGTGCGTCGAGTTGGTCATCTTGTCTTTGAGCTTGCGGCCGAACGAACGCTTTTCGGGCTGTTGTGGTGGGTTAGAGGATGAGCCGGTCGAGGTCGAGGCGTGGGCAGAGTGGGAACCTTGTTCGTGTTGAGGGTCCGCCTCGTTGAAGAGACGCGAGCGCTCGGTATCGGGGATCGAAGCGAGGTACTCGGGCTGTTGGAAGTGGGAATATCGGAGGTCAGTGAGGACGTCCCCGAGAAACCGTTCGCACCGCTTTCTGGGGCGAGTAAGAGCACACTCACGTCCTGTGGAAAGTTTGCACGTCTCGTAAGTGCACTGAACATGATTCTCAGCCATTTCCTATCGAGAGTCACTTACCTCGTAAGGATGCACCCAAATGGATCGCGGGGGATCTTTGGTCGTGCTGCTCGAACGAAGCCTTCGAGTCAGTACTCACGCCATGAGAAGTGCCTAAACTACGACCGGACCACTCACTCGACGTAGTAGACATGTTGCGAGCTATTCCAGACGAATCGTCGCCGACCAGCGAATATAATAAGAAAGTCAGTCATCACAGTTCTCAGAAAGGCCATCTCCGCTCACTGGCTTCGGTTCGTTCGCTCCCTCGCCGAGGACCGACGACGTCATCGCCCATCTTTCGCCAAGCGGCACCCGACCCGCTCTCACCACCCAACTTGAACCTCCCAGGCCAGGCCTTCAACTCACCTCGCATCGAATTCCCTGACCCAACCCTTGGGCAGTTCCATCAACTCGGTCTCCATACTCCTCCTCGTCTTCTCATCCACCCCCGTCGTCCTACCCAAATGCTCCTCCTCGTCATCATCGGTGGAGAGGTCGTCTTCTTCCCGATCAGGAACGGAGAGATGGGAACGGTCTTGGTGTCCTGGCGAGGTGGTGGCGAGGTTGTAAGAGGGGGGCGCTTCGTTGGGGCCTGGTTGAGGGGCGGAACAAGTCTTGGATGCGGTCATGGTCGTAGGGCGCAGCGCGGTCGTGAATAAGCAAAGTGATGTGAAGGGAGCACGAAAAGAGTGCAGTCGATCGCGGCGCCACCAAGAAACCTCAGCTCGACCCGCTCGGCCGTCGGCGACTTGAGCTTGCACCGCGCGCCCGCGCCCGCGCGTACACTGAAATGAGAGGGGCCCGATCGGGCATTATTGCACTGCCACACTCTCCGAGACTTCAATTCATCTCGGTCAGGGCCACTTTGAGATGGGATCTGCACCCCCCCCGCTTTCTATACAAGTTCGAAATTGGGCAAGTGCAGAGGACACAGCACTGTGTTCGCGCTCGAATGATCTACGTGAGATACCATAGATGAGCCAGTTGATTACAAGGACTCGAGAGGTTTGCGCCTCCGAGAGTGCGCTACTAAAACAAAGGTTAATCCTCCGCGTCGTCACTGTGCCCTCCGACAGCCTCCACACCAAGATTCAGACAGACAACAAAGCTCCACTTCACTTGCTCATCAAAGCTGTATTCCTCTTGACCACCACCCCAAATCCATAAGGACCCCAACCCATCTCAACCCCCTTCTCCCCATCCTCAGGCGGCTCAAATCTCTGCTCATACCTCCCCTCCTTCAGATCCTCTGACAAAACTTCTTTCGCGGTCTTGTATTCGACGTACAATCGATCGGTGTATTCAGAACGTTTGAGACGGAGCGCTTCAGGTCCTTCGTGAATTGAGGAGGTGACTTTATCTTTGAGAAGTCGGCCGAGGGAACGGGTTTTCGACTCGGAGGAGGCCGCCGAGTGCGACAAGGTAGAGGTGGCCGAAAGAGGGCTGGCGGTGACGGGTGCTATTTTCGTTGTCGTTGAGCCCGATCTCGAAGTCCTGACTTGGATCACCGAATAGCCTCGTTCGTTCGGAACCGCAGACCTTGTTCAAAAAGTCGGGCTGATCTGATGGGGTGAAGAAGGAGCGCATCATGAGCGAATACGAAGCTCCTGCCTACTTGCTGTTCGGTATCACGTATCGACTACTCAGGTCCTGCATAGACAAGTAATTAAATAAAAATGTGTCAGCATCGTACATGATCATCCCTTTCGGAGCCAGATAGGACCTACTGCAAAAGGGTGCACCCAGATGGATCGAGGAGGGTCCTTGTTCGTATTGAACGAGTGGCGACATACGAAGAAGGGTTGAGCGTAAGAATGAAAGTGTCAACGGACGTCGAGCCGTACAAGGAAGTATTAGAGTCTGAACCCACTCGACGTAGAAGACGTGATGCGAACCATCGATTCCGTTATCAAATTGCAGAACACAAGAGTCAGTCAGTGACCTCTTTCGTCGAAGCAGATCACGAGACCCACGATCGACTCCCCATCTCCACTCATCCCGACTCACCTCGCATCATATTCCCCTCGTCCATCCCTTGGGTAGATCCAACAAGCCTTCCGTGTGCCTCCCATTCCCGTCTCCCAAAGCTTTCTTCTCGTCCCCTTTGAAGCCTGAGGACCGATTCGAATCGGCGCCACTCAGATCGGGCCGGGGGGGGGGGATTCCTCATCGTAGTAGGACGGTGGGGAAGGGGCGGAGTCGTGATCAGCGCAGGAGTGGGTATGAATCGCTTTGGAATCACTTGGGTATACGGTCGTCATCGTGCAGATATGGAGGACCGCCGAAATGTGCGGAGCGGGAGAGGGGGAGGGAGAGCAACAGCCGGTCATGTGGGGGCGGACGGCCTCCGCTTCCGGGGCCAAAATGGTTGACCGTTTAGCGAGGAGGCCCAAGCTCACACGGCCTGCACAGGGGGGCGGCCAGCAGCCGCCTTCGCCCTGCGCCACGGGCCAATGTGCTTCGCGCGGTGCGGCCAAGGCCCAGCGCGCGAAACGGCCTGTCGAAATTGGCTGGGGACGAAATGGGTGTTGCGTCGCTGGCTCTACGACCCTCTTCCGTCTCCCCTCCCATCGAACATCAGTAAGCCTTCCCCTACCCCACTACAGGACCTCTCTGCGACGCATTCCACCTCTGCGACCTTCCCTCGTCCTCATTCACTCCTTCGCACCACGCTTTCGCTGTATCGCGTTGGAGGAGAGAGGTGGTCGGATTCGAGCTCAGCGCTCAGCCTACGCCCGCGACTTTTCTGCCTGCGCCGTTCGTTGCGTCCTCCGCGCGCGGCTCAGCAGCGCGGCCTCACACGCCTACGCCCCTCGTTTTTCCTCGACGCCGCTGCTCGATGCGATGGCTGGAAAGCAGGACAACGAAGGGATGGAGCACAATTGGATGATTGATGCAAACGGATCGGGTGGAAGTGGAGGTGCATGAGGGTGTGGTCGATGCAGCACTGGTCGCTGTCGTTTTTCGATGGCGCGCCCAGCAGCGGAGCAACCCCCGCCAGGCCCAGCTCGAGCTCAGCCAGCGGCGAAGCGCGCCAGCCCACCACGCCCGACAACGACGACGACAACGATCCACAGCCCACCGCTGGATAGAATGCATGGCCCTGACCACATGGGATTTGCCCTCTACAGTGACTAAGAAGAGAAGAAACGGAGGACGCAACAAGAACGGTCGCGGCCACGTCGTTGGAGTTCGTTGCTCCAACTGCTCGCGCATGTGCCCCAAAGTAAGCTTCATCCCCGTGCTGGACCGATGAGCAAAAACCCACCCTAATGAACCTTATCTCCCCGTCTCTCTCAGGACAAGGCCGTGCGACGATTCACCGTTCGCAACATGATCGAGTCGGCTGCCATCCGTGATCTTTCGGACGCCTCCGTCTACACCGGTCAGTTTCGCACCCTTCGTCGTCGACCCGTGCCTTCCTGGTCTGACCCCCGAGGCCAACTTGACTTCCTTGAACAGAATACGTCCTCCCCAAGATCTACCTCAAGATCGTCTACTGCATCTCGTGCGCCATCCACTCGCACGTCGTGCGCGTGCGCTCCGTCGAGGGCCGCCGCAACCGCGCTCCCCCTCCCCGACTGCGCTTCAACAAGGACGGCAAGAAGATCTCCCCCGCTGCCGTCGCCGCCGTCGCCGCTGCTGGACGTTCGTAAACTTTGGAACTTCGAGTGAAGGTTGTGGACGAGGTGAATGGATGGATGTATAGGGAGGGGTCCGCTTTAGCTTCCCTTGGACTGTATGGGGATCGAAATGCGAAATCCAAAACCCAAAAAAGTGACGCTCACCCCTTCGCTTGGGTGCGGGCGGCTGTTCTTCACGAAAACAAAATGATGTTCCTAGTCGACTTGAGTCGAGAGAGGTTATTCGAGAGCTTCGTGCGAATGGTCGAGGGTCATGTGATTCTGGCGATGGGCTTGTGCGATGGGCTTGTGCGATTCAGTTGTGATGGCTTTCGCGAGAGAGATAAACACCGTGAATTGGGTCTAAAATGTTGAGATCAAACGATTGGCATGGTTTGCTTCTCAGTACCACACAATACAGTCCACCCTCTCCGTCACATCGTTGGCTTATAGTCGCCAGCGTTTGGCTGCCTGGCCGGAGCCCCACCTCCTGAAGTCACTGTCCATTCTCTAACGAGGTTACACCGCGATTTTCGGCTGTATCTGTCCCGTGTGTTCTACCTATGCAGCCTCAGGCTAGGTGTACACCTGATCGCTGATGGCAGCGAGCTGGTCCGGACGGGTCCGCGGCCGACACTGCAGTCAACTTCAAAAATGTGATGAATGAAGACGCGAAACCTCTCCCTCTACACAAGATACATTAGTCTGCTCTGCTGCCGAGGTTAGAAATGAAGCTGGTGAAAGTCTGAAAGGGCGATAGAGCAAGCACAGTTGGGAGCACCTTCGAGTCCGGGCCTCGGCCGGGCGCGCGACTGGAGGCTACTGGAGGCGACTGGCGCCTACTGGTGCGGACTGGCGCGAGCTGGCGCGCGCGTCGGCGCTGGCCCACCATTCGCAATCGCAGGCCCTCCGCAGGCAGAGGCAGGCACTGGCAGGCAGGCGCAGGCCCGCCTCGCCGGTTGCGGCGTTCGAGATCAACGTGGCTTCTGGGCTTCCCGGTTTCAACACGTCTCGACTCGCGAGCTCGCAGGAGGCTAGCCCATCTCTCTCTCTCTCTCTCGGTCTCCCCTCTCCCAATCTGCCCGCGTCTTTCACCTAGAGTATTCACGAACGGAATAAGAGGTAGTAGCAAGAGCGACACGCCCTCGTCCCCTCAGGGTGGCTTCTTCGAGCTCGTCGTGGGATCGCCTTGAATCGCCTCGGGCCTCCTTCGCGATCGCCGTCAGTTCGTCGCATTCACTCGCGCGCTCGCCATCTGGCACGGCGTGGTCGTCGCCGACGGCTCGACCAGCCTCAACGGGTTCAGCCCCACGACGATCCACAACCTCGTCACGCGGGCCCTTCCTCCCATCTGGTGTACCCTTATCGCATGGTTATGCAGCGAAAAAGTCGCATCTAGTCAGGATGATCAACCAAGGCGCCTACATGAGCCACACGTCCCCGACGTCCTCCGGCGGCCGATCACGTTCTGGCCTGCCATGGTTCCGGTCCTCGTCACTCGGCACCAACGCCAGCGCCGATGAGAAGTTCGACTTGGACGGATTGGGCTTCCCTGCGGCCGCTCCCATCTCGGCGTCGTCGACGACCTTGTTCGATTGGAATGGTCTGACGAAACGAAGTCGTATGACCAACTTTGCTGTGTTGCTTCTCGCCCTCGTCTCGGGCCTTTCGATCCTTCTCAACGTTCGACTCTACCTCGACCAGCAGGTAGGTTCCCTTGTTCTTTGGCGTTTGTGCGGGAATATGCGCAGTGATCACCGTGCTCATAATGTTGCTACGACCAACCAACAGATCTTCCGACGACCCAGACCCGATACCCTGGTCCCCCTATCTCTCCGAGCAACCTTACCGACTTCACGAGCCCCGCTCAAGCACCTCGTCATAATCCCAGGCCACGCGATCTGGCTCGGTTCCAACGCCTCACGCGCCTCCCTAGACCAAGACTGGATTCTCGAACCCTTCCAAAAGAACGGCGATGTCCGAGCCTACCTTAAACATATCGCCAAAGGCGCCGAGATCGCCGGAAAGGATCCCGATGCATTATTGATTTATTCGGGTGGGGTGACGCGACACGGGGCGACGATCAGTGAGGCGACGAGTTATGCGAGGTTGGCCGAGGCCGGGAACGTGTACGAGAAGTATTTGAAGCCGGCGGAGAAGAATCTGCCTTTCGAACGAGTTACGACTGAGGTGAGGAGTTACGACGGGTCACGCGTGGGAAGGAATTCGTGTTTGACCGCTCCGCAAATTCTCTTGTAGGATTATGCGTTGGACTCGTTCCAGAATTTATTGTTCTCCATCGCCAGGTTCAAAGAGTACGTTGGGTTCGTTTGTGGGCCAAAACGTTGGTCAATCTGGGCTGACTTCTTGTACTTCGAGCAGATTCACGGGCCATTACCCGACTCAGAGTAAGTTTTCTCGCAAACGCTGGGTCGGAGAAGCAAATTTTGAGAGCGGATCACTTTTATTTCTACAGTCACCACGATAGGCTATCGTATGAAGCGCAAGCGATACCAAGACGTGCATCGTGCCGCTCTACGATGGCCTTCGACAGCCTTCAAGTACATCGGTATCGATAACGACCACGACGTCGAAGCCGACTACCAAGGCGAGCGACAAGGCGGTCTCGAACCTTTCATCAGGGATTCCTACGCTTGCAAAGGCGTTCTCCTCGCCAAGAGGAGGAAGAGGAATCCGTATCGACGGTTTCACCCGTACCATTCTTCAGGTGCGTAAAGGGACGGAGATTATCAGTGAAGCACGCTCTGACTTTATCGTCGCCGTCACCTTGCTGGCACAGTCCCTGAACTGGCACCTCTCTTCGAATACTGTCCAAGAGGGAATGCTTTATATTCCGGACGCTTACCCTGGGACTAATGGAGCCCATGAGGTCACCCATACTCCGTTTCTTGTACAACGCCTCTTCACCTGCGCCTTTCCCTCTAGATTTCTAGGTAACTTTGTCGTCTTATTCTTATCACCCTCGCAGGATTTAACTTATAACAGTAGCGTTAGAGTCCAGAGTAGTTTGGTCTGCATTATATTAGCATTGCAGTACCGACACCCACGTATAGAATTAAAGCCATCTGCCGGGGAGGCAGTAGCGCGGATCTTCGCAGGGTGACGACGGGAGTTTGCTCACCGAGTCGAAAGGCGGGACAAAGCACATGACAAAAGAAAATATCTGGGTGTTGCTGAGAAGGGGCTAAGACGTTGGATGAGGTTGCAGAGGAAGGTGAGGGAGAGGACGACGACTCAGCCCAGCTAGAATGTAGGTGGTTTTGTGTTCGGGGAGGTGCAGATAGAAAGGCGCTTCTCACTCCGCCGGAGATCGTCGGCCCGGGGCGGACAACGGTCACGTGTTTATCCTTAAGCGATCGTTCGCACGCCACTTGGGATACCGCGGGAGCTGGGATTATCTCACCCCGAAGGGGTCCGTCACGCCACTTTCAACGTGCTCAACGCCACTCTGAATCTCCACAAAGGTAGGGAGGGACACAGGCAGGTATGACGGAGGACCTAATATTACCTGCCTGTGTCCCAGGACCTACTATTAGCTGAAAGGAATGAGGAGCATGTGCCGCGTTTTGCCGTCTTCTCGCCTATATAAGAATTCATCAATTCGTCAAAGACGGGGGGCCGCGATGCCCACGAACTCTTCAATTTGCGCTCGGGGGTAAGGTGACGTTCCATTGCAATACCCCCGAAGAGTTTGGGTCGTGAATGTATCAAGGAGCTGTTCGAACAGAAGGACGTCAGCCACAATGCGATTCCAAGGTACGTGTGGCATTACCTACCGGTAGCATCTGATGTATCCGACAAACTTGGAGAAGCTGGCGATTTGCCGTTGGCCTCGGCGCCTCTGTCCGACGGCTCGACGCTGAAAAAATTTGACGTCAGACGTCTGAGAATTCGCACGGGCATCCCTGGAAAGCGGGGGATTTCGTTATCACGGGACTTTCGACCCCGCGAAATAGCGATTGTTATAAAAGTGCGTCTAGGGAGGTAACAAGCGGTGCCGGAGACCGTCGGCAACCCGTCAAAAAATAATGTGGGACGAATGCTAGCTTATCTGCGTCGGTTAGCGAGAACGCGGAGAAGGAAAAACCAGGAAAAAAGCCATGTCGACCGAGCGCTGCGCAGGGTGACCTTGGCGCACAGTCGAGCATGCGTTGCCGTGCCACATTGTTGCATGCTGCTGAACACGACCGACGCTCGGCTCCTGGGCTTTCTCGTGATTGACAAAGTCAAAGAGCGGGGAGGGGCAGAAGGAATCTCCGATTGGCCGATTGGGCCAATGGCCACCTTGGCCCCCGCGCAGCCTTTCCACCCCTCTTCCGCGTGGTGAAGTCGTCTCATGCGCCTGCCCCGGCCTGAGCGCGAAGACAGAGAAGCCTCGAATTGGCCCGCCGCGCGAGGGAAATGTCGGTGTGTCTTTTTGCCACAGCGACATCGTCTTTGGGCTGGGTTTTGCACTAGACAGCAATTCACACGCTCGGCGCCCAAACGCCACGGGATGGGCGTCGGCCGAACTGCTTGGCCTAACCGCCGCTCATTTGCAAGCCGGTGATCGGTGACGTCGGTTCTGGTGCATTGCCCACCTTGTTTCAGATTTTCGCGCTGGGAAACCAGAGAACAGGGGCTGGTCCTGGCCTATTGTATCGACGATTTTGCAAAGTGATCATGTTTTACTTCGCACTTAATAATGAAACTCTGAGGGGGAGAAAAAACCCCTCTGCCGTGTGGCGCGCGGTGTGCCAACGTCAGGGCATTCCTCGGGCAGGATGGGGGCTAGCGCCGTCTCGATCCACGCGGTTCGACCGTCGAGCGCAAGCGACCATGCTGTCTCCAAACTAAATTTGAGATTGCCAAGCCAATCGGAGTGCAGCACGCCAGGCGATGAACACGGATCACGCCTGAGACTTGGATTCACTTTGCACTAAAAATGGTGTCAGGAGGCTGTTGATCTCCCCCGCTACTGGCCGGGCGGATCTCGGCAGCGTTGTCTCGCGCTTCGGTGCGATAGGAATCGCGCGCTCCTTACGGCGGCGGGACAGAGTCACGAGCACGAGCTAGCACGAGACTTGCGGAGTAGTCTCTGCACAAGGCCCGGGATCTTATCGCTTTCTTTCTTCTCCTTTCCCCTCACACCTCCCCCCAAAGTCCTCCGCCCCCCCTCCCCCCATTTCGTCCGCCCACCATGAGTGGACTCTTGGCTCGAATGCCTTTCCGTCGACAGGACTCGACACACAACGCAGCCGACGCAGCCGACGCAGCCGATGCCCCCTTGCCCGAGCGCGAGCAGACCCCTTCCCTCTCCGAGAAGTCCTCGCCGGCCTACGGCGCAGACGTCAAGGACGATGGCGTCGACGCTCACCACACCGCGGCACCTGATGCTGCCGTGGCCGACCTCGACCCTCGCAACTTGCTCTCGAACGGCAAGGAGGTAAGTCAAAAGCCTCAAGTTCGCTTTGCTCCCTGCTAGCAAAATTTTGCGGCGGGTGTGGCGACACGCCCGCTTGGCGTTATCTGCGGGCCGGCTAAGATCACGCCACCCGAGCCGATAAGGACAGGCGAGCTAGGCGGTTTCAGTCTTTGGGGTGAAATGAAGCTGACCATCTGCAATCGTTCTCTACTTCCTTATAGCGACCGATCGAGACCGCCGAAGATATCTCTACTCGGTGAGTTTTCGTGTGGTGGCGTCGGTGCACAGGCCGCCGCCCGGCCTATTGAAGATCTCTGACTCCGACACCTTGCTGACTGCTTCGGCTCTACTTCACATCATGCAGATGCATCTCACTCGAAGATGACCCCACACTCATTGTCCACACTATTCGCATGTGGTTCATCGGCCTCGGTTTGACGTGTTTTGCCGCCGTCCTCGGCCAGATCTTCTACTTCAGGCCCCAGGTGAGCCTCCTTTCTGGGCCCACGACAATTGACTCTGCCGGACCTCTTGCTGACACCACCATGCCTTCCCATTGCCACAGACCGTTTTCGTCTCGCAACTCTTCATCCAGGTCATTGCCTTCATTATGGGAAAAGCATGGGCCAAGGTCCTCCCTGGTCCCGAGAAGGGCAAGTTCTGGGCCATCCTCAACCCTTGCGACTTCAACATCAAGGAGCACGTCGCCATCCTCGTCATGAGTTCGACCGCCACCGACTCGGCTCTCGCCATCTCCGTCTTCGCCGCCGAGGAGCTGTACTACAACATTAGCCCCAACTACGGTGTTGCCATCTTCACCTTGCTTGGCTCGCAATTGTTCGGTTACGGTATTGCCGGCTTGATGCGATCCTTCACCGTGTTCCCGACCTACATTGTCTTCCCCAACTTGGTCCCCGTCGTCTCGCTCTTCGACGCGTTCCACCGTGACCCCAACGGACCCGCGCAGAAGAAGCGTCTGCGGTTCTTCTGGATCACTTTCATTGCCATCTTTATGTGGGAGTGGATCCCCGAGTTCGTCGCCCCCACGCTCACCGGCATTTCGATTTTCTGCCTCGCCAACCGCAATTCGCCTTGGTTCACCCGCATCTTTGGTGGCTCCAACGGTAACGAAGGTCTCGGCATGTTCTCGATCTGCCTTGACTGGAACTACATCGGCTCCGGTGGTGGATCACTTGGTGCCCTCTTCACGCCTTTCAGCACTCGTACGTCTTTCCAGATCTAGAATCGATCAAGGCATGACACTGATTCTTTCCGTTGCATGCGTTCACGCTCACAGAGGTCTCGCAATACGCGGGTGTTGGTCTGTGCTGCATCCTCTTCTGCGCTTGCTACGTCAACGACGTCTGGAGGGCCAAGAGCTTCCCCTTCCTGTCGCAACAACTCTTTTACGAGAACGGAACCGAGTACGATCAATTGTCCATCCTCAACCCCGACTTCTCTCTCAACCAGACCCTGCTCGAGCAGCAAGGTATCCCCTGGTACGCGACCTCGAACGCCATCTACTACCTCGGCTCCAACTTGGCCATCGGTGCTTCGCTCTCGCACGTCGTTGTGTGGTTCCTTCCTTCGATTATGAAGGCCTTCAAGGAGTACCGCGACCGATCGCAACCCGACCCGCACTACCAGAAGATGTTGGTCTACCGCGAAGTCCCCATGTGGTGGTACGGCGCTACCCTCGTCATTTCTTTCGCTATGGCCATGGCGACGTGCTACACCGGTCACTCTCAGCTTCCTTGGTGGGCCTTGATCGTCGCGTTCATACTAGCTGCGATCGTCTTCCCCCCTGTCTTGGTCGTCTACGCTGTCACCGGTTTCAATACCGACGTTCAGCAGCTCGCTCAGATGCTCGGTGCCGCGATCGTCCCCGGAAACTCGCGAGCCAACCTCTACTTTACCCTCTACGGCTCCAACTCGGTCTCGCAAGCTCGTGGCCTGACCCGTGATCTTAAGCTCGGCCAGTACACCAAGCTGCCTCCTATCTCGACCTTCGTCTGCCAGGTCGTCGGTACCGTCGTCGGCGCCATCTTGCAGCTTATCATCATGAAGTCGATCATCAGCGCCCAGCGTGAGATCCTCTTGTCGGTCCAGGGTACCAACATTTGGTCCGGTCAACAGGTCCAGTCCTACAACTCGCAGGCGGTCTCGTGGGGTGCGCTCGCCAAGTCCATGTACGGCCCCGGTCGCCCTTACTTCATCATCCCCATGTCGATCGTCATCGGCTTGTTCGTGCCCCTCCCCTTCTGGGTCGGCCACAAGTTCTTCCCCAAGTTGAGGCTGAACCAGGTCGTCACGCCCATCATGTGCTGGTGCCTTGGTTTCCTCTCGGTCGGCATCAACTCGTCCGTCTTCGGCACCATGTTGATCGCGCTCTTCTCGCAATACTACCTCCGCCGATACCGCGCGACCTGGTTCCGCAAGTACAATTACCTCCTTTCGGCCGGTCTCGACGGTGGAACGCAGTTCATGGTCTTCATCGCCACCTTCGCTCTCTTCGGTGGTTCGGGCAAGTCGGTCGTCATGCCCACATGGGCTTTGAACCCCGATGGTGATTCGTACAACTTCGACTACTGCCAGAAGTTGACGTAATGATCGGGGTTGAGTAGAGTGGTTTCATCATGGGCTTTGTTATTTCTTGGGCTATTCTGTTTGTAGTGATCTGATTTGAATCAGAACTCATTTCGTACCAAATATTTGGGGCCGTTTGAAGCTATGGGAGATTGATTAATATTCGGACTTCCAAAGAGGTTCGTCCTAAACCAAGCACTGATGTCGCCCGCAAGAATCTTGAGGGCTTGTCGTGCATACGTATTACGGACGACTGGTCTGTGTAAGTGGATGACGAGCGTCTACCTACGTGTCAACTTGCCAGGAGCCATGATGCCTACACCGGCAGGCGTAGGACCGACTAACCCGGTCACCCATGACCTGCATCATGCTTCGCGAGGGCAAGCAATGCCTCACAATCCGGTCTTGATTGCGCGTTTGGGCCACCGCCTTATATTACAGGCGGGCGCGGCGCGGCATCGCTCGATCAGGCAAGATGCGCCTGAGCTCTTTACGACGATTCGACCAGTGCCCTCCGAGTCCCACGGCGGCGGCGGTGAATAGGTGATAGACACGCTCATTTCGGCATTTGAAACGTCGACCCAACCGGATTCCCATTTGGTACGATTGGGGCTCGAAACCGTCGTTGGTCGTCGTCGATTGGGCTGTACAATGAACCTGAGGCACCCATTGCACTGCTGCAGTGGGAATGCGCGCCAAGCTCGGATGCCCCCTTCGTGCCGTTTCGAGCACTGGTCTTCGTCGCCCTGCCTCACTTTCGACATCGCTATTGGGCCTTGAACCCCTCGGAACATAATGCGATCATCATCCGCCAAGCGCGCCCCACATCGGAGAGTCGGTGCGTCGACTCCGAGAGCATGATGCCCTCAGGTCCATACGCCTCTCTGGCTTTGCTCCTTCACTTCAACCTCTACAAGCTGTTCGACAGCCCTCATCACAAGCCAATATGAGTGCTTTCATCACTCGCCTCCCATTCCGAAGACAAGGATCGAGCGATGTCAGCGACACTGCCAGCGATGTCAAACCGCCATCCCTCCGAAGCGACGACGAAAAATCAGCGCCGACGGCTGATCGTGCCATCCTCGACAAGACCGACAAGGCCGAGGTCGACGCCCCAGAAGCCGCCGTATCCCAGCTGGACGCGCACAATTTGCTTGCCAATGGTAAAGAGGTGCGTACAATTGCCGAGAAGTGCTGGAGTAATCCCAGCCGCCAGGGGCTGAGCGTCGCCTTCGAGCGACCGAACTCCACGCACTTGAGGATGCATGAGCATCTCAAAGGTGTCTGTTCACCTCACATGAATTTTAATCCTGACCCCGCTGTTTCACGTTACCTGCCTCTCTCACAGCGGCCGATCGAGACTGCTGAAGACATCGCGACTCGGTGAGTAGACGCTCGGACCCCTTGAAAGTGGACCGCTCCGTTACTACCTTGTCCTAACACATGTTTATTTCTCATAGATGCATCTCTCTTGATGATGACCAGAGTCTGGTTGTGCACACGATTCGAATGTGGACCATCGGACTCGGATTGACCTGCTTCGCCGCTGTGCTAGGGCAGATCTTCTACTTCAGGCCTCAGGTGTGCTAAGTCTCGATACGACCAGTCTCAGGCAAATGCACGGCAACTGACGCCTTGATGACGCGACACACGCACCAACAGACCATCTTTGTATCTCAACTTTTCTTGCAAGTGATTGCGTATGTCATGGGCAAGGCATGGGCATCAGTTCTGCCCAAGGCAGACAGGGGTCGATTCTGGGCGATCCTCAATCCGTGCGACTTCAACATCAAGGAGCACGTCGCCATCCTCATCATGAGTTCGACCGCCACCGACTCGGCGCTCGCAATATCCGTCTTTGCCGCCGAAGAACTCTTCTACGATGTTCATCCGAGTTACGGCGTGGCCATCTTCACACTCCTCGGGTCGCAATTGTTCGGCTACGGCATCGCTGGCTTGATGCGATCCTTCACTGTTTTCCCGACTTATATTGTCTTCCCCAACCTCATCCCGACGGTGTCTCTTTTCGACGCTTTCCACCGCGATGTACGTTCCAATGCATACCATAGAGCACAACGTACAGCTGGCTGACCAAAGATCCCTGCGCTGTTGACCTGCCAACAGACCAACGGCCCCGCTCAAAAGAAACGCCTGCGCTTCTTTTGGACCGCTTTCGCCATCATTTTCTGCTGGGAATGGATTCCCGAGTTCGTCGCGCCTACCCTTACGGGTGTCTCCATCTTCTGTCTCGCCAACCGTAACTCGGCTTGGTTCACCCGCATCTTCGGTGGTTCCAACGGTAACGAAGGTCTCGGCATGTTCTCCCTCTGCTTCGACTGGAACTACGTCGGATCCGGAGGCGGTTCCCTCGGTGCCCTATTCACCCCCTTCAGCACTCGTGAGTGCCCTCGTCACGTGTCCATCTGTTGAGCTCGAGTGGCTGAATTCGAACTCTCAATCTTTTCCCCGATCTCGAATCACCCAGAGGTCTCGCAATATATCGGAGTCGCGATTTGCTGCATCACGTTCTCCGTCGCTTATGCGACCAATCTCTGGAACGCCAAGAACTTTCCGTTTTTGTCGCAACAGCTATTCTACGAAAATGGAACGCAATACAATCAGCTCGCCATTCTCAACAAGGATTACTCTCTGAACCAGACGAAGCTCGACATCGAGGGCGTTCCTTGGTATGCCACATCGAACGCTCTCTATTACGTCGGGGCGAACCTCTCCATCGGGGCTAGTCTCACCCATGTCGCCGTGTGGTATCTCCCGTCGATTACCAAGGCTTTCAAGGAGTACCGCAGTCAATCTCAGCCGGATCCCCACTACCAAAAGATGATGACGTACCGCGAGGTGCCGATGTGGTGGTATCTCTTGACACTCGGTGCTTCGTTCGCCATGTCAATGGCCAGCTGCTACGCCGGCCACGCGCAACTGCCGTGGTGGGCTTTGATCATCGCTTTCCTCCTCGCGGCCGCAGTCTTCCCGCCGGTCCTCATCGTCTACGCTGTCACTGGATTCAACACCGACGTTCAGCAGCTCGCTCAGATGCTCGGTGCCGCGATCGTCTCCGGTAACTCGCGAGCCAACCTCTACTTTACCCTCTACGGCTCCAACTCGGTCTCGCAAGCTCGTGGCCTGACCCGTGATCTCAAGCTCGGCCAGTACACCAAGTTGCCCCCTATCTCGACCTTCGTCTGCCAGGTCGTCGGTGCCATTCTTCAGCTCGTCGTGATGAAGTCCATTATCAACTCGCAACGTGCTGTGCTGCTCTCGGTCCAAGGCACGAACATCTGGTCGGGCCAACAGGTTCAGTCGTACAACTCGCAAGCCGTCGCATGGGGAGCTCTCGCCAAATCAATGTATGCCCCTGGTCGCCCCTACTTCATCATTCCTGTCTCGATCGTCATCGGCCTCTTCGTACCCCTTCCGTTCTGGGTCGGCCACAAGTTCTTCCCCAAGCTCAAGTTGGACCAACTCGGTGAGCACCAATTGATCTTGCTTTCTCCCTCTCATAATGACGGGCACTAACCTTGCCACAATATGTCCCCGAGCAGTGACACCCATCATGTGCTGGTCGATCGGTCTTCTCAGCGTTGGTATCAACTCCGCCGTCTTTGGCACCATGTTGATCGCGCTTTTCTCGCAATACTACCTCCGTCGCTACCGAGCTACCTGGTTCCGCAAGTACAATTACCTCCTCTCCGCTGGCTTGGACGGAGGAACGCAATTCATGGTCTTTATCGCGACGTTCGCCTTATTCGGTGGATCTGGGAAAGCGGTGACGATGCCGACTTGGGCTTTGAATCCGGATAGTTCTCGGTACAACTTTGGTGAGTGCAAGGCGAGTGCGACCGACAAGTTCCATTCAATCGACTGACCTCTTCATCAACCTTTCCGTCTTCTCAGACTACTGCATGAAGCTCACTGAATAGCCTGCAGACGATCCGGCTATCTCACCTCTCGTAAATTGGTGGCGTGGTGTCCTCATGATGAACGCCTGCAGCGTGGTTGGCTTCTTCCGCCGACGGACTGAGTTCCTGCTGGCTTTTCTGGTCGTTTCTGTGGTCTGCACCATGTAGCTTCATCAATCAGTCTGTTACCTGGGATCCGATGTATCATAATTTTAGTGATCCCTCTGAATTGGTGTGCCGATGACGCTCCGTGTGCTCATCAAGTGGCGTGGGGAGGGAGAACTGAACAGACGCCGTGTCAGCTGAGTCACAGGGGCTTCGGTTCGCCGACTTCCCTGTCAGTAAATTGTGGCCCATTCAAGAAGGTACCTCGAGTATGGGGTCAGAATAGACCTGGCGCTCAATTACCTGGACTTTATCAGACTGGGAGTAAATTTTTGATATTGACGACGGACTCGGGTGACTTCGGCGAGCACGCCGGCGACTCAATTTACAGCTATCAGCGTGCTTTCGCCCGTCTGCGCCCGTCTGCACCCGACCTCGCTCGATCCACGACGTAGTCTAGAATTGGTGCAATCTCCAACTTGGGGATTGGGACAGATCGCTGCATCAGAACCATTCTACGCGGCAGGTAACGCCAGATTTGAACCACGGCGCTTCGCAGCCGACCCCCAAGACGACGGGAGCCTTCAGCCTCGTCGCGGCTGTAAGACGGACTCGACATGGCTCTCGTCACCTTTGTAGGATACCCTTCGAGTGGCAAATCGACTCGAGCTCAGGAGCTGCAACGATTGCTCGCTGTCAAGCTCGCGCATCCGTCGACACCACCTCATCTCGCCAAGCTGCAGGTCGTTGGGATCAGTGACGAGTCGCTTCATATCTCCAAATCCGCGTACGATGGTCAGTTGGCACATATGCTACACTCACGCTTAACGTATGCCTGACCTTTCCTTCGTTGCACAGACTCCCGAGCCGAGAAGCCAGCCCGGGCAACCTTGTTCAGCGCCGCGGTACGGGTTATGCGCTCCGACACAATCGCCATCATCGACGCCATGAATTACATCAAAGGTAGTCGATATCAGATGTACTGCGCGGCAAGGGAAGCCGGCGTCAGAACATGTACCGTGCGTGAGAGCCGATCTCGGAATAGGCGACGGAAGATTTGATCTAACTCAGTCATGTCGCGCTGCAGGTCTTTGTCGCGACTCCTCCGAATACGTGTCATGAATGGAATATGACCAGGGGAGAGTCAGCGCGATATAACGAAGCAACGTCAGTCTTTTCCCGACTTGCCTCCAGCGCCAGTGGCAGCCTCTCATCGAAACACCATCCCCACAGCCTCGAAAATCTAATCTCTCGCTTCGAAGAACCTCGATCAGCCGCGCGATGGGACTCGCCATTGATCACAATAGCTCACTTTGACCCGCCATTGGACCCGACCACCGCCACAGACTCTTCGGAGGCCGCGTCCCTCGGCTCGGCCGAAGGCGAGCGGATATGGGACGCCATCACCTCGGGTGACATCAAACCGGCCAATGTGGCAACAATAGTCGTACGTACTTTTAAAATATTAGCCATGGTAACCGTCTGAACAGGGTCTCTTCTCCGACATACAGGTCCAGACCTCCTCCACTTCTTACCTCACCGTCCTCGAAAACACAACCACAATCCTCATCCAAACACTCCTCTCGCATCAGTCCCTCTCCCCTCTCTCGGGTCCCACAAAGCTCGTCCTGCCTACCTCTCCCAAACCCATCACCGTCGAGATCACACTACATCGTCCCGTCTCGATGCCACAGCTGCAACGGTTCAAGAGGCAGTTCTCGAAATTGAATCAGCAGGCGGGGAAGGAGTTGCCGGTTGAGAAGATCGGGCAGTTGTTTGCGGATTATGTGCAAGACGGTTTGAGGTGATTTGGTGGTGGTGTTTGGGATGAAGGCCAGACTGTTTTCGGTCGTGGACCTCTTAATCCTCCGTATGGGCTTACCACCATGAGCTCGAAACTGAGAGCGGACCCAAAACGGATGGCGTTCATCCTCTGCATGCACTGAGGGCTTTTGATCGCTGATAAACCAGACGATTATCGCCAACACTGAAACGAATGTCTACCCCCTCCCGCCCAACCCCTACACTTATGTACCCGAAGCTCAAGTTGTTGCAAGTCTAAGTCTCCCCACAGTGAACCAAACTAGACCAGCACCTTCTGCGATCGTCGGTAACTTCCATCGACCTGAAACGTACTGGAACTGAAGCGGACTCTGTCACAGGGGCCGCCTACAAAAGCATCGTCACACCAGCCGCGAAAGCCAATAGGCCACCAAGCGTTTGGGCAACGAGAGAACCCGCTCCTGAGGCTTTGGTGGTCGTAGCAGCAGCAGCAGCAGCGGACGTGGCCACGGCCGTGGCGGTCCTAGCAGACGTAGCCGTGCCGGTTTGGGATGGCCCGGCAGCGGTGGTCGAAGCTGGCGGTTGTACGTTTGCGAGTAGTCACGAAGGCGACCGATGTTCGCAGACGAACGGAATGAGGATGAAAAAAATAAAATGTCAAGCAACGAGTCAGATGTGGCCTCCTTCTCGGCGCAACGATGGTGGGTCGACTCACCTCCACTCGGGACCACGCCGGTGTTGATAGGGGTGCCGTTCGCGGCGCAAGTCTTGGCACCGAAGGCGAAAGCGGCTTGGAGGTCGGTAGCGTTGCAAGCTGTGGCAGAGATTGAGGAAGTCAGCAATCACAGTCGGAAAATTGGCACAAACAACATCCAGGTTCATCGTCGTGGAGAATTCGTCCCCTCTGAGGTGCAGGTGCTCGAGCGAGGGGACCATCTGCACGACGGGAAGACCTTCCGAGTCGAGCTGTTGCAAATTTGAACATACTTTTGGTCTGGCAGTTGTAGAACTGGAGTTGGTAGGTCGAATCGGTGCAGACGCACGTGACGTTGGCGGTCGCGCACTGCAGGCTCGAACAGGAGTGGTCAAGATCAGTTCACAGAATAGAGAATCCACAAACGTTGGTAGCCATCCAAGAACCACTCCACAAACGGGGCAGAAAGTCCAACTAGTCGGAAGTCGGAGGAGGCTCAAGCTTCGGGAGGCCTCCGCTCCCCCGCCCAGTGCCGTAGGTCAAACTTAGCCGTCGGGCACGCCCGCGCGGGGGACGCTGGTGCGGCGGAACCCGAGCCAAGCGGCTGTCCGTCCCTCTGTCCGTCCCTCGAACAGAGGCGCCAAAGCAGCACTCCAAGAACATCACAAGGTACGGCCCAGGAAAATATGAGACACTCACGCCCGAACCCGACAACGACGAGAGGGCACAAATCAGGGCGCAAGCGGGCAACGAGCTGGCGTCGACACCTCCTGTCGAGTTGGAGGTCGAGGTTTGAGCGACGACGGTCGACGCGCCGAGGGCAGCGGCAGCGAGGGTAAGGAAGCCAAGCATGGATTGGCGGGTGGGGCTAGGAAGGTGAGGAGGGCTAGGTGATACGGGTGCTGGGTAGAGAGCGAGTTAAGTTGAGGAAGAAGGAGACCAAGAGGCACTGACTGTAAGATCCGGGGCGAATTGAGCCGAGCGCTTTGAATCTGCTCTCGGGAGACGGACTCGTGATTTGTGATCGAGGTGCCCCGGGCCCAGCGCCAGCACGTGCCGTGTCCGCGGTCGCGTTGGTGAGACAGAGCGATACAAGTCGCCTCCGAACTAAGCTCAACTAAGCCCTGTTCGTAGGTGCCCACACCGGCGGCTTGAACAACGTCACGGCTTTGTTGGGCGTTCAGAGCTTTGATGGGGATTGCCGCAAGTTGTAAGGTGCCAGAGTGTCGATGAGGTTCTTTCGAATTTGGTGGCGTCTTTGTAATACGCTGACGATGGACAATCTTGAGATGCTCTGCCCTCTTTTCTACGCAAAGCCTTTCAAGAGTTAAGTTGTGCCCCACGCCCGGAATATCACACCCATATAGATAGTCCACGTCAGAGACGCCAAGTCTATCATGACTTGCCTCTCCTTCATCAACTTGGTCTTTGCCATGCAATGAACTTTCCCCCCCTCTACATGACCACACAATCATTATTCGGATCCCTCTCCAAATCGCCAATCACCTCCCTCGAACTCTTGCCCGTCCCTTGCCCCTGCAACAAAACGACCAACACGCCCGAATTACGTTGATCCAAATGGGCCGTCAGATTCTCCTTTTGCATCAAACTCGTGATCGCGGGTTTGATCTTGGCGACGTGCGCGGCCGAGTGGTTGCCTTTACCGACGATGACGCGTAATTCGGGTAACCCTTCTTGGCGCGCGTTTCGGATCGCTCGTTCGGTAAAGTCGATCGATTCTTGTACGTACAGACCGTGTAGGTCGATCGTACCGCGCGGTTGGACCTTGTTGTTCTCTGTGAACGGCGACGCGAACTCGATGAATGAGTTCACGAGGTTTCACGGCTACGTCGCAGAGTATCGAGCGGGGTACTTACCATCGAAGATCCATTGCGCAGCCTGGTCGTTGTATTGCTCCTTGAGGCGTTGATGCTCCTTTCCTTCGACGCTGAGGTCGTGCGCACGTCCCCCATCGCCGGAAGCATAGGCTTGCTTGGAAGCCGAGAAGGCCTTGCCCTACATTAAGAAAGAAGGTCCGAGATCAAAGCCCGTCCCGTCCTGCGCCAAAGCTCACACTGATTGAAAAGAAGAAGAAAAAAAAAACCAGTACGCACCATCAAATCTCCCTCCTGAATAGCCTTGTTCCTCAACTCGACATAATACGAATTTTGCGCGTTCGCCATATCCTGATTCTGTTCCTCCATCCGATCCAAAGCGACCAGGTACCGGAAAGCGGGGCGCAGGAAGCCGGGTAACAACCAAAAGACCGAGGTGCGGGGTGGGAGCGGTATCCGGTCGACGTAGTTCGGGTTCAAGAGTTCGATCGGGGTTCGGAAGGGGGGTCGAAGGCGGCGATGTCGCCGGATGAGATGGGGTGGAAACGATGAAAAGGAGCGTTGGTGTAACGGAGAAGGGAGGGAGAGTGGGAAAAGGGTATGTGGAAAGGCATGCTTCAGCTCTCGAGCGGTAGGATGGGCCAGCAAGAGAATCCTAGACGGCCCCCTTGAGGACGAGGAAAGGAGGGGCCCAAAACCTGGCAGGGACGACCAGCTTCGTCGCGGCGCTGATAAAGATCGACATGTCGTCTCGAAGGACAAGATGTACATGTCGATGAGCTCGACCATTTCGCGAGGTAGTCGCGGGTGCGGTGCCCCGTTCATATCGACGAATCGCTTCGGCATCGGCAGAGTCGATTGTTGAAGCGAGGTCGCCGAGATGCGCCGGGCAGCCAAGGTCGCGATCGGAGTCGAAGCAAGCGAACTCACGGTAGCAGGCCCATCATGAGCTCCGTACGGTCCAGAGTGATGCTCTTGTTGCGGCTGCGACTGTTGCCAAGCGCCATGCTGCTGCTGCTGTTGGCCATGGACAGGAGGGTACGGCGATTGCTGCTGATTGTTCCATGCTCCTCCCTGTTGTTGTTGTTGTTGTTGCTGCTGTTGGCCTCCCTGACCTTGGTTCTGGTTCTGTTGGCTCTTGAACTTTTTGTAGAACTGTAAAGCAGCGATAAAAGACAAATTAGCGCACTGCGTACTGGAGCCGTTCCCACCGACTCGGGTCGATGTAGGCAATGGCACTCACCGTGAAGGCCTTCTTCGCACTGTGGATGTAGAGAGTGTTGAAAAGTAGAGCGGTCGTGTAATCAATCGGGTCAGATTCAGTCCTCGCACGCGCATTTGTCGATCCAGAGAGGACTGACTAGCGAAGAAGGGTGTTGAAGTCAAAGCCCGACATCCTGACTTGTGAACCTTACGCCGTTAGGCAGTACGGGCCGTCCCAGGAAGAGGAGGTGGGGGTGGAAAGAGGGAGAGCCGCGGCGAAGGTGAAGGTTAGGGGCCCGAGCGGACCTGCGTCATTGACGTAAATTGACGTCTAGCAGCTGCGCCAGACAGGCGCCAGACCGACGTTCTCACACGGGCGCGCCTCCGTCCGATCGCCGACGACGGAGAAAGGGCCAGGCCTGCAGTGGCATGGGTCGATTCGCAGTTCTAGTTCGACGACGGCCGATCGACTCGGATCAAGAGAAAATTCCTGGATACCAAAGCTTGGGCAACTAGAAGGTAGAATTTCACTATTTTTCTAGAAGGTGCTGACCCCGAACGAACGGCGGGAACAGACGCTAGCACTGAGAGTCGGCGGTATATAGACGCTGGTCCGTGCGCGGATCGGTGGCCCACCCAAGAAGTTGGTTCATTTCCGGCGCCCGCGTTCCCCCGAATCCGAAAGGAAATCCTGAATCAGTGAACGCTCCTCGCTACACGTGGCTTCCTTCGCTCACTCAAGTCATCCCAGCTTTGGAGAGCGATGGACCCGGCCAAGTTGGAGACGGACGAAAAGACGGGTACGCAGCACTCTCGCACGACGACGGCCGATACTGGCGCTACGACTGGCACGACGACTGGCACGACGACGACGACGGCGGCGACCACGCTTGCCACGCTGGCCACGGTTACGGCCAGCGTGACAGCCACCGTCGCCGCCGGTTTCTCGTCCTCCGCGGACGACGACGACGACCGCCAGCCGGCCTCGAGTCTCGCTCGTCTCCACCGACCCGGAACAATCCACACAGGAATCCAAGCACGCAACTCGCAATCCTCAGAGAAGCGAACACCCCGACCCCCGAACCCGAATCGGAGTAATCGGAGTACACGACCCCCGGCGCCGTCGTTCGCTCTGATGAACCCATTGGCACTGCCGGTCCCGTTGACGACCCGGCAACTTCTCTACGTGTGGTTGCCCCAGACGATCGGAGCGGCCATTTTGGACGGAGGGATCAACTTTGGGATTGCGTGTGCCATGTACAGATCGCAGAACAACATCACAGTGTGGGATATCCATCACAACACGATCGCTGGGGTGAGCCACTCGACGAGGGGACAAACGACGTTCAAGATCCCGTGAGCGGCATGTCCGTGGATGCTAATTGCATGTGCATTACCTTCAGGACTGCGGAGTGACCGTCTTTATCCAAGGAATCCTCTCCTTCGTCATTGCTTCGTCGTGAGTCGCAGCGATTCCCACCGGACACGGCATTTCCAATCTCTAAGGAGCTGACCCCATTTCGATCACGTGCTCTCGCTCTCTGGCTCACACCTCACACCTCACAGCCTCGTCCACGCCGACATACGCAGTGGCATGATCATCCCCTTCTCAAGACCATGGCCCGACACGACTCTATCCCCCAACGAACCTTTCCCTATCCAAGAAACCCTCTCCACTCGACCCCACGGAGCCATCTACCGAGCCTTCCACCAACGACCCTCCCTCCGTCGCTGGCTTCGAATATTCCAAGGCTCCGACTCGAACGACCTCTTGGCCCGAGGCGTCCCGACCAAAGTCTGGTTCAAGAGGTTGGTAAGGACCGTCTGGCAAGGTGCGGTGTTGAGTGCGGTGTTCTTTTCGGTGTGGTGGCCGATTACGATCGCGATCATCGCGCCGATATGGGGCGGCAGGAATATGGCTCATACGTGGGTGCCGCAGATCATAAAGCTTGTATTTGGTGAGTGCAGAGAAGCTCCTGATTACGAACAAACTGTTCGTCGTACTGACCCTTTCTTGTAACCCCCTCCTCCACTGCAACTCCATCAACCACCGTCCCAGCGTTCGTCCTCGGCTTCTTCCAAAACCCCATCATCGCCTGCATAGCCCTCGGCGCCGAAGATTCAGTCCGAAACCACGACCTCCAAGTTCACGAGCAACAAGTCCGCGAAGTTGAGAAGGCTGCAAATCCGAGGCAGACGACCGAGACGGAACGGTACAGACCGGCGATGTCATACTATCCTCAGACGTGAGGGGGGTGTGGGGATGGTGGATATTGTGGTAGTGGGGCAATCGATCGACCGGTGTAATGTTTTATTTTTGATGTTTGTGGAGTTGTTGTAATACCCAAACTTGTAGGCTCGAGAACTGATGAAGCCAGGCTCTAAAGTTGCACGTGACCCGTCTTGCTCCAGTCCGAAGATTCAGCTGATCATGAACAATTCTGGGAACAGCGTCCGGCTTTCCGGCTAAAAGTGGTGACCTATTCCTTCCGAGTTTACCAAGTTCTGAGCATTCTGCTCCGTTTCCTACCTGACCTCATGCTCCGCCACGAGCCGTTTGCGCAAGCCGTGAAACGGCGACGGGACGTTGGCGACAAAAACTTGCTGACTCAGTCCAAGGCTCACTTTTTGAAGACCGTCTTGCTGTTGGGGCATAACGTAAATAGCTCAAACTTTGAAAACGAAAGCATTCTCTTGTGACGGTGGATGAAGAAGTCCCCCGGCAACTACCTTGCAAATTCAGGCCCATTCCCGAGCTCTCCGACGGACGACATCAGTGAAACTGAACTTGTCGAGGCATGCGCATCGACGGCGATCTCGGGGGCCCAACTCAACAAGCGTTCTTCCCCGGAGACGTTCCTGCGCGCGTTGATGCCGACGCGATGCCCGTGCGAGCTCGAAAGCTGGCAACGACTGAATGAGCGCTGAGCGCTGAGCGGTGCTGCCGCTCCTTTGCCCGTCTTTGCCCGTGATTTCCTCGTGCCTCGTGCCTCGTGCATCGTCCCTCTCTTCACCCTCAACCTCTCTCAACCAATCCTCGTCAGCATGGCTCCGGAAGGCTATCCCTCCAACTCGGCTCCTCCCGAGGACTGCATCATGCAAGGCTATCTGCTCAAGTACGTGGCCCGCCCGCACTGACCACGAACCCGGCGTCGCCGCCTTGGCCTGTGACACCTCAGTCCCCGGTGCTTATGCAATCCCTCACGAGACTGATCAATCCGCCATGCTTTCGAAATAATACTTACAGGAAGAAGCGTAAAAAGATGCAAGGCATGGCCAGGAGGTACTTTCATCTCACCTCGACGGTAGGTCATCATCGTCGGTCTTTGACGGTTTCCGGCACTCGCCGTTCGGCCTTGCGTCGTCGTCTCGCCCACCCCCACTTGTTGGACAGCGGCGCCATCCGCTCGGCGTTTCCCCCACCCGCCCTGTCGAGCTGCGGCAATGACAGCGAGACCGAGGGGAGAAAGGGGCTCAGGTTATCCCAGTCTATTACAACAGATTCTCGAAAGTGAATTATACCTGACCTCTCCCTTAAATTACCACCACAGGGCACGCTCAGCTACGCGTTCAACACGCATTCGCCGATCCGCGATTCCATCTCGGTCAACCTGGCCTACATCTCGGCGAACCGCAAGACGAGATCGATCCACATCGATTCCGGAAAGACCGTGTACCATTGCAAGGCTTTGACGGTGGGCCAGAGCTGCGGGTTGTTTTTGAACGTGTTTTCCGTCAACTTGGCTCATACGAAGTCGAAATTTGCACCTCCCAGTCGGCCGATTTCGACAAATGGGTCAAGGCGTACAAGGAGGTCAACGACACCCTCCAAGAACGTGACGGTGGATCGAATGCTGCAAAGAGTCCAAGTGGATCGAGTTTGGGTGGTGGATTCCCTTCGAGCAACCAAGGGATTGACGCGGCCGTCAAACGTATGGCTCAGGTCAGTGCGACGCATGACTGACTCCCTCCGCCTGGCCTCGGAACGCCGAGACTGATGCCCAGAGCCGCGTCCCACAGCCCCTCCAAGAGCTCGAATCTATTTTAAACGACTTCCGAGGCCAAAGCCCCTCATCACTGGGCTCGCCGAACAACGTCAATCAGAAATTGACCTCCCCCGGTGCCCCGTCACCCAACAGCGGCGGACACTCGTCGGGCCATTCGTTCAAATCCAAACTCGGGCTCGGTACCGGTCGTCATCGCAGTGCGTCCAAGTCCGTCTCGGATGATCATTCCTACTTCGATGCCAAGGCTTCGACGAACGAGGCGCTCGTCACTCGATACGCTACCGCGCTCGGCACACTCAAAGCGCAGTACGAGTACTTGTCGTCGCAGCTCGCCGGCGCGGGTGGGGTCGAAACGGCGATCAAGTCGTATGCTTCGAGGCAATCCATCTATTCGGCCTATGGTGGCGCTTCTGTTTCGTCCATCAATTCTGGCGGCGATGAGGACTTTTACGATGCACCAGGCGAGTTCGTCCTCGATGAAATGGAGGGCTCGTCGTCCGAAGAGGAGGAATCGATCGAGGATTCGTCCTTTACCTTGTTGGACGAAGAAGAAGAAGACGACAAAAGTCCGCCACCTCCTTCGAGGCAGTCTTCTGCTACTTCAGAAAGTGAAATCAAGGATGTCAAACGACGCTCCCAACTGTCCGTGCCGCAAGGTCAGGAATTTTCGATGTTGTCGCTGTTGCGCAAGAACGTCGGCAAGGACCTCTCCACCATCTCGTTCCCCGTCTCGACGAACGAACCGCTTTCGGCCTTGCAACGCATCGCCGAAGAATTCGAATACACCGAGTTACTCGACAAAGCCGCCGCGACCGAGGACTCGATCGAACGACTCGCGCTCGTCACCGTCTTCGCCATTACCGGCAACGCAGGGAACAAGTATCGCGCCTCGCGCAAACCTTTCAACCCGTTGTTAGGGGAGACGTACGAATGCGTTCGACCGGACAAAGGGTTCAAATTCGTCGCTGAGAAATTGTCGCACCGTCCGCCGGTGCTGGGCTTTCATTCGGAAGCGAAAAAGTGGCAGATCGATGGCTACCTCGCACCGGACCAAAAGTTCTGGGGAAGGTGTATGGAGATTTTGGTCTCGGGCGAGTTCGTGATCACGTTCAAGGACACGCACGATCGATACACCATCAAGAAGCCGAGTTCGTTCGTGCGCAACCTCATGGCAGGGACCAAGTACATTGAAGTCGTTGGCACGATGACGGTGACGAATGAGAACACGGGCGAATCCGCAACGGTCGAATTCAAAGAAGGTTCGGCGTGGGGCGGTTCATCGACGAGGAACAAGTTGGTGGCGCAGATCAAGGATGCGAATGGGCAGAGTCAGATGGAACTCGTCGGACGATGGGACGAAGAGGTTTCGCGCAAGAATGGCAAGGATCAATTCACGCGCTTGTGGTCGATCAAGGATTTCCCCAACAACCCTGAAAAGTACTACGGCTTCAGCAAGTTCGCTTCGTCGTTGAATGAGATTACGGAAGTGGAGAAGGATCGGATGGCCCCTACAGATTCGAGGTTGAGGCCTGATCAGAGGCAGATGGAGGAAGGGAACATTGAGGAGGCTGAACAGAGCAAGAAGAGGGTCGAGGAGAAGCAGAGGGCCAAGAGGACCGAGTTGGAACAGAGGGGTGGGGACGCACCGGTACCCAAGTGGTTCACCAAGCAAGGCTCGGGGTGGAAGTACACGGGCGAATACTGTGAGTCGTCTCTTGCACCTTCGTCTGGCGCTGCAATTTGTGGACGGAGAACTGATGTATCGCTCTCTTCCGGGATTTTGCAGTCAAGGTCCGCGACGAGAAAAAGTTCGAGGATCCCGACATCTTCTAGTCACGCGGTGCCTCCTCTGATCGGCAAAGTATTCTCGATATGAGATCCTCTTTCTTTATGAACTTGTAACATTTCTCTGCCTTTTTTATGTCTTCCATTGATGTGTACACTTAATCGAGACCTACGGAGCTTGCTACCTACACCTGTGCGAATCCCGCAGGGGGGGGGGGAAGGGGTGCACAATTGAGCTTACCAAAGCTCGTGAATGATAGCCAAAGGGGTCTCTCCATGGTCTGCATATAGCCTTTGCCTGTGGCGCATTGGTGCATAGAATTGGTTGGCCTCTGAGAAATCCAGTTCCCTCTCCCTGCATCACGTCCTCGCTGCACCTCCGTGCCGTAACCAGACCCGAGGTTTTCGAGGTCGCAGTTGCGGGCGATCTGATCGATACTTTGGACGGAGATTCGATGCGCTCGGCTCAAGTCACTGGGAGCATGTTCTGGTGGATGCAGATGGAGACTTTTAAAATTGATCGTATTGCAAAAAACTCTAACCCGTTTATTCTACACCCCAGCCGTTGCCGCGAGCGGACTCCATCTGCCACACCGAATTCTTCACGGGGTGAGGCTCCTGTTGACTCACCAAGTAAAGAAGTATCAGCTTCTCAATGCGCCCGACGAGCATTCAACACAGGACGATAACAAACTATCCGTGCCCGTGGACGACGGACCTTGATTTCAAAAGCAATCAAAGCTTCCAACGCCGCTCGCCCAGTGATCGGTTCGAGCCTCTCCACCAAATCACCATCGATGAACGCTCCGGCACTCTGCCCTGTCCGACCCGTGAAAATCATATGCGACGCTGCGACGTGAATTTTGCCTTTCTTTGAGGTTGCGATATGGGCGAGGTGGAAACTGGATGAGAGAGAGGGTGAAGGCTTCAGTGGTGAAAGCGAGTCGAAAGGGGGCAAAGGGGAATAGGAGCTACTGAGCAGCGAACGAACTAACAGATGTGCCGTCTCCATCTGGTAGCGTAAAAGGAAAAAAAAATCAATAAGTAAGTCTTCGTAGTTGGACGGACAATATTAACAAAGTTGGCAAGGACTGACTTCGAGCGACTGCACGCCGATCCGCTTGCTCGCCAGATCCGCGATCAAATGTTCGTTCGCATCGTCAAAGTTGGGGTCGCTCCGGCCTTGACTTGCGTCTGTTTGATCATGTCAGTTTGTATTAATTAAGAGTTAAAACTCAGTAAGGTGAGCACTGACAGAAACCATCCGCCGAAGCGTGCAAATCGGTAGGAACGAGTCGACCTTGATCCTCTGGCCCTGAGAGGCTTTCTCGAAGTGAGTCGATCAACTGCGGAATCGGGCCGGAACATTTCGGTATCAGCAAAGATCGCTGAATCGTAGGAGAGTCTGATTCGGAGCTCACTTTTTGCCTCAGTTCCTGATCAGCGGCCACAGGCTGGGAGATACGATACGCGGAAGATCTTGACCCCGCGACGTCCTGATTGACGAAGCCCGTACTCCGTCCCCTCTCACCCCGATGCCAATAGTCGTAATCGGTCGTCACGCTCAACGCTCGTTCCGGAACATTGACATCGCCCACTTTCAAAATCTCATCATCGAGCGTCCCACAACTGCCCAATCGGATGATCGCTAGATCCCCTTCAACGACAGCTCGGGCTTCCCTAACGAAGAAATCCATATTCGCGATACCCATCCCAATCGCCATCACGCTCACAGGAACGCCTCGATACCTTCCCGTCAGAGTGACGAAACCTCTTCTCGAAGTCAACTGAAAGGGTTTTGGTGAGGAGTCAAAGAGGTTAGCGATCTTGGCTAGCCGAGCGGGGTCACCGACGGTGAGGATCCGGTTGGCGATTTGGCCCGGTCGAATGCCGACATGGTAGGTCGCCCCGTAAGCGTCGACGGGGAAGTTGGCATCCTTGATCGCGTGGGCGGGATCTTGCACCATCTTGGAGGATTAGAGCACTGGTGGATGGGGGAAGGGTCGGATTTGTTAGCAGCGCAGCTCGGGAAGGAAAGCTCGGGCTACTAGTAGGCAGTGAGGCAGTGAGGCCAGTTCGCTCGGTTCTAACAAATTTGCCGTAAGTGCACAAGCATAATCACTTTGGAGCAGCTCGTAGACCTCCTAGACATCGTAGCTCCAACACTAATTCATGCTTGCGGCCATGAACCCCAAGAATCGCCGCGTCCGCGTTCGGCGTTACCAAGCCCGAACCGTTCCATCGGGGTCGGCACGTGCTCAACGCTGGCGATTTCGAAGGTCGGAGTAGACGACGGGCTGGTATGACAGCAGAGTTGTCCCATTTGCTATAATCCTAAAAACGTGACTCACGGAATCCTTCGAGCCCGGTCCAATCGAGGTTCGTGGTAAGGTCAAAGTCGAAAGGGAGGGCAAGAACCCAACACTGCAGGCGTACGGTACCCCACTCGTAGCCTCGGGATCGTCCGATGACGACCTTCAACGTCCGCGCACCCCCCCCACACTGAGAGATATCTCGGCCGAGATCCGTAACTCGAATCCGAGGCTGGGCCGAACCGACTGACCCGATCGGCTGAGCGCGCAATTCCTGTAGAAATGACCGCTCACCTAGAACAAATTTTCAATGGCCAAAAAAAGTTTCTTCAATCACGATGGTGGAGAGAGAACGGAAGAACAGGAAGATGGGTGAGCAGACAGCTTCCGATTCCCGACAGGACCTTGTCCTACGCGCCAAAGGCAAAGTCAGAGGAGATGGTATTTCGAGATCAGGCTGATGATGAAACCGTATAGAAAACATTCGTAGCAGAAAAAGGAAAACCCAAAAGATAGGCACATGACGAGCAAGGAAAGGAAAGGTAGAACGATGGGGGAAAGGACGACGAGTCAAGGCTGGATAGATTAGAAACTATGCCTCCGTCCTCCTCCACACACATCCCAGGTCTCTGCACCCCCAAAATGTAACCCATCAGCAACGGAACAGTCCATCAGCAACGGAACAGTCCAGCACACCTCCTCGATCCTTTACTTGGTCTCCGGTTCAAAGTCGTCACCATAAATAAAGTCCCTCACGGCTTGTCGTTGCTCCTTGGCGGACTTGTCGATCGGCACCTTGAAGATGGGTCGGTACTCGTTCTCGCCCGTCAGTTCAAAGAAGCGCGGTTTGAATGTCGCACCTTCCTCCTCGCGCCTCCTGACGGCTTCGCGTTGCGCGTCCTCGATCACAGTCTTGGCGTCCGTCGCGGCGTCGAGGTCGCTCTTCTTGATCGCGGCCGTCACTTTGCTCCAGAGTCTGCCAAAAGCCAGTTCACAAGCCCTTCCATTAGTTCGAGAACTCATAGCCCTCTCAACTCTCCGCCAAGACCTACCTCCGTGACTCGTTCTCGGACTGTTTATCCTCCGGCGCGACAACCTTCTGCGTAATCTTGGCCGTACTCGCATCGAACAACGTTTCCTTGCCCTTGAAGCCCTTCCGGTGAATGTCCATCTTCTCATTCCACGTGCCCGAGATCTCGCCAATCTCTCCCTTGGGCCCTTTAATTTTGCCCGCAATCGCGTTGTCTGTGCGCAAATGATTTGCTCAAAGATCAGTCTACTAGACGGTGGAGCTCAAAGACGGCTACGGCTCGTACGCACATGTTCCGGAGAAGAAGCCTTTGGTTTTGAACTCGACGTCGCACGTGATGTCGTTCTCTTCGTTCTTGACGATCGAGGTATCGCCGAGCTCCAATACCATCTATTTTCACACACGGCTTGCGGTACGATCAGTACCAGATCCCTACCTCATCCTTGACGGAGAGGGTCCATTCCGATCTCACCTTGCCAAACAGAATTCCACGAGCGTACCTTGTGATGCATCGGAAGCTCAGGAAAGATCAGTACAATGGCCCCTCGCCCCTCTGCAAAGAGCGACCCATGCTCACATGTTGGGCATGGTGATATGATACTCTCCGTCCTCTCGTTTGTTCATAAGTATCACGTGCGTCTCACCCTCCATGACTAGTGAGCGTACAACCCAGTCCAAGTCAGCCTTCTTCCCCATCTCAGCCAGAGGCTGATGGGAGATCGCACAGACTCACTTGTCGCAGCGGAATTCCCGAGGAACTTTGACTTTGGTCGCAGCTCGCCGCAAATGTCGAGTCCGTTCTCGGGGGAAGAAAAGTACCTGTCGAGGTGACCCAGGTTTGAGCAAATAGCATTTCGTTTGAACGCGATCGAGGAATTGGGAACGCACCAAGCGGAGATGGGAGGGTGATGCGAGACCTGTTCGGCGACGTAGTAGGCCGCCGTCCCATCGGGGTAGTCGTAACGGCATCGGAAGAATTCGCCAAGAACGGGGTTGTATCTGCAAGTCCTCCCGCAGTATTACAGAGGTGAGTTGGCCGCGCCAATCGCTCTTCAAAGTGTGGGTACACTTACGGCTTCTTGACCCCCCTGGGCTTGATGTGCCAGCCGCCCAGATAGTATCGGAGCACCTGGATGAATCGGTCTTCGGGTGAGTCGATTTTGTCGACGCTGTATCGAAAAGTTTGAGAAGGACAGATCCAATTAGCCCTGTGTCTCTGTCTACCTTCGAGGTTGATCGCCGAAGCGCGCCGCCGATGAAGAGTCGCCGAGAGAAACGACGCGTACCCGTGGAGCAGTTCAGGGTGCGAGTGGAAATCCGTGACCCTTTCCAGCATAGATCTCGGCTCCAGCACGAATCTACAGGATCCAAGAGAGAGAGGCGGGTTGGTGGGTCAGTTTTTTCTTTTTCTTTTTTCGGTGCACTGGGGCGCCTACGTCGGAGCTGTTGGCTCTGCACAAGGAAAAGGCAATCGCTCGATCGCGTGTGGGGGTGGGTGGTGCACGTCGGTCGCCCGCATACGCGCGGCGGGCTGGCGCCGGACCGAGCGTGATAAGCCAACGACGACGGCGCGCTCGTCTGAATATTCTGAATCGCCGCCGGCGCGGGAGCGCGCAAGCCAAGCGTGGGCCGCGCCGGGTGCGGTGACCTCAGGAAACGATTGCGCTGTTCATCACGGCAGAAGCGCGGTGGGGTCACCTACACAGGTAGAGTGATCTTGCTCAAATCCATACCGATACGCAGCTGCGAGACGAGGGCCAAGAGCACTGCAAGTCGTGACATGTGAGAGCCATGATCAGCGTTCCCCGGCGATAAATGAGTCAGTCGTGCCAGTTCGTGGTTGCGGTCGAGTTGAGCCCGACACGCCTTCGTCCCTTCGTTCCCACACTCGAGCACAGAACGATCGAGTGCAACGAGACACGCCAACGATCGCTCATGCTCCACTGTCCTCCAGGCGATCGTGCGGCCCCACGTTGTAGCGCAGCGCCGATGATGATGTGCTCTTGCTCGCCACAGACCCGAGCCGACAGGCCAGCTCGGCCTTTGCACAGGGTGGACTGTCACGACCACTCACTGTTCTTGGGCTCCTCGTCCAGGACCCTGCATCGAACGTCTCAATTCATCAGCATCTCACTTTTCGCTTAGCCCCAAGACTTCTTGTTGAACGCGGCGCCTGAATCACGGGCCGCCGGTGGCTTCGATGACGCGCAGGCGCACCCGTGCAGGCAGGCGGGCACCACCTCGCCAGCCAGCGTGAAAGATCTCCTCCTTGTCCAACAGTCCTGGACCTATAACTGACTCTGTATCATCCTCACCCGCCCCTTCAGGCGCACGATCGACCTCCTCACTCGACTTGCGAGGATTCTCCGCCGATCCGGAAGAGGTACCCGGTAAACGAACGATCGAGCTGAGTCCCATCGTTTGGTGAGAGAGCTGGGCGGGGTGGTGTGGGTGGTGCGGTCGGTGGTGTGGGTGGGTGCGTGAAGGACGGAGAAGAAGCCCGAGCTAGCCAAGCGCGCGCACGGCGTGTGGGGCCGGTAAGATGCACAAGATCGGCGAACGTGGTATTTTTCCGGACAGCTTTGGCATGTGGCTCGAGCCCCTTTTCGCACCTTGATAAGTTGATATTGCACCACATAATCTCTTAAGATGAATGATACACCATAGCACGAGTCGACATGTTCCACATGATAACTACCGTTCCTCTGCGAAAATGTTGGACAGGGCCCCTGCGACAACTGCTTCGTCAAACAAGCGGCTCGGTGTCCGAACAGGAACGCAGATGATACCAAAAGCCTGCAAGTAAAAGAATAGGCCCCCAAAGTCGAAACAAAGAGGACCCAGCGGGCGTCAGCGGGCTGCGGGCCATCCTCCCCGAGACCAACGGAGAGAAAATCCACTTACCTCCATCTCCTCCCGATCAACCCTCACCTCCCCCTCCTCGACGTAAACCAAATGACTCACCACCTCCCTCACCTCTATCCTCCTCAGCCCCCTCCCTTCCTCCCCATAAGGCTCCGCACAAGCCCCTTGAATCGCTCTGACAAAATCCCCCGCGTCGTATCCCGCGCTTTCCCGATCCAACCGCGAGTTGAGTAAGAGTATCTTGTATTTGAGAGTTGGGGAATCGACGATTGAAGGTCCGACGTTTCGGAGGGCCAAGCAGGGTATTATAGAGGTGTAGAGTGATCCTGGGGAATAGATCAGGCTGGTTCGAACATCGTCTCTCACGTCAGCGAGATGTACCACGAATGCAAGTCGCAATGCTTTAAACAGACCAAGTACTGGTCTTTAACGATTCCAAGAATAATGGGTTTGCGCGAGGGTAAATTTCCGACCCAAAACTGTTGAGGTATAAGATTCTCTTGATCCGACTTTGCAGAGGGATGATCTCATCCTTCGAGAACCCGACGTTGGGGTTCTTTGATCCGTCCTGGCCTTGGCCTGAGGGATCATCGTCGTCTTCTTCTTCGTCGCCCAATGTACGAGCTTCGAAGAGGAGTGCTGGGGTAGGGACTCGGGAAATGTTCAGAGGGTGTGAAATGGCGGCTCCGGGTGATGGGGGGATGCGGACAGGAGCGGGGAGGTTGGGGGCGAGGAAAGAAGGGGTCGATGGTCGCGCCGGTTGGGAGAGCGAGGACTGGGACGGGTGCGATATGTCGGATTGGCCAGGGATGATGGTGCCGTCCTCCTGAGGCACGGCGATGTCAAGTCAGCACGTTTGAAATCATGCTTGTACCTCGGTGATCGAGATTTCGGACTGACCAGTTCAGCAGCGATCGTAGCCGTTGACGCGGTATTAATAACGGGGACGACTCGGACTTTATCGTGAGGAATATCAGTGATAGAAGCAAAGAGAAAGATGGCGGATGGGATCTGAGCGGAAAGATAGGTGTACATCAGTTTCCGCGATGTGGGCGCGAATAATGGAAACTCGAAGATTACGCACCGATCCGAGAAACAATTGGGCACCGGCGACGAAAAGGTTGCCGATTGAGGCCCTCTTGTACGAAAACCCCTGCAGTACGATCGATCAACAAGTCAGCTTCGTCGTGACGTGTGCAACTTGCAACGAGTTTCGGAAACACTACTGACCCGTCTGGCTTTCCTCAGTATGGCTGCCTCCACGTGAATGAGGAAAGCCCTAATTGTCTCTTTACGATCATTCGGAATGCCCTGTGGGCTCACGTCGAACATGTCAGCCCCTGTGACCAGCCCCAGGGGATGAAGCGCCCAAGATACCCACCTGCCATAAGGGATGCTTGGCTTCAACGATACTATGCCACTCTGCTTTGACTTGAATCGAGTCGTTATCGCCTAGTCGGTGCTCGAGCAGTCGACGGATCGCGAATAGGGGCGAGTTGGGCGACGACTCGGGGATCAAGCGCACGAGCCGCGATCTGGTGTACAAAGAGCAAAGATTAGCAGAATTCAAGTCGTCGTTCAGTACTCTTGTGCTTCAGGGTTCAGACTTGACTTGCCTGATATCGCCTACGGATGGACCTCCTGTCGGAAGAACAATCGCCTCCAATGTCAAAATTTAGCGCATGATCCCCACCTTCCCCTTCCCCTCTGCACAGCGAATTCACTGACCCAATACCCTCTGGATTTCACTCGAACTCCCCCCGTCATCACTAATCGGCACGACATAGCTGATCTTGTGCGCCGCTCCGAATGCGCCGAGGATCGCATTGCACCCCGTCCCGCCACCGATCACACAAACCGACTGCAGTTCCAACGGCAGTGCACTTTGGGTTGAGGCGAGGGTCGTCGTGGAGGCACCTGAGTGGGTGGTGTGAAGGAGGTCGTTACGGTGGAAGGACGAGGTCGCGAGCGGGGACAGGATCGAGGGAGCTGCCATCAGGGAAGCTGACGGGGCGGTGCCACTGGTTGGGGGGGCTCGGTGGGAGGAGGAAGAGGGCGAGGACGACGAGGTGGGGTTGTAGTGTGGGAAGCAGCTCATATTGGCATGGAAAAATGAGGAGCGAACGAAGGTTGTACGACCGAGGACGCGGTCACGTGCAGAGGAGCGGCTCGCGGTGCCGGTGGGGCGTGACGCGTGACGCGCAGTACGCGTGACGTGGGGAGACTTGGGGAGACTTGGGGAGACGTGGGGAAACGCGCGAAAGGCCAAAGCGAGGTTTGGGCAGATGCAGTGGCGAGCTGTGGCGAGGCGCTAAAGGCGAGCGAGGTCGCGTGTCGCAGCTCGTGCGAACTTGTCTTGTGCAACATCCGACCAGTCTGCCAGCTTCAGCTACTGCCACCTCTCCACCTTTTCCGTGCACATACATCCTTCTTGGCACATCGGCGCATCCGAGGCCACCCTTTTCTAGCACAACTTCTCGTACGAGTCACCTCGCTCGATCGACGCGTCACATAGTCGAGTTCCACCACCTCCTATTCCACCCCAGCTTCATCACGCACCATCACGACCCTTCTAACACGGTATCGCACCGTGGGATTGGCTGTAGATCGTTGCTGGAATACGCATGTCCCGATAGTACCTCGTGAGTTGGTTCTTTCTCGGCGGCTGCTTGCGACGCGCGTCCAGAGTGCTCATGTCAAAAACGACCCACCTCTCCGGCCCATGATCCGATCGCGCGCTCGCCCTCCACAGGCCAACTTACGCCACCTCCAGCACAAAGCAACGCCGTATCGACGTTAAGGATTGATTGGGACCCTCCGTGGGCATCAAGCTTGTGGACCAGGGTCATGCGGCCGCGATCGGAGTCTCCCGCCGAGCTGGTCGAAGATTCTGAACCCGAGCGAGCCAGGCCTGGTTTTGCATCGGACGAGGAAGATGCTCCCATAACATTACGTTCGGTCCAGCTAGATCTGACTGCATCCGCTACGTCGGCCGAGCCGAAAGAGCCCGTGCCTTCTACTTCGACGAGTGTGCCCAAGGTTCTTGGACGATGGATCCCACCTTGGGAGCGTCAACGCGCTGCCCCTTTGGCCTCGACCTCGAGTCATGTGAGGAAGTTATCGATCGAGTCGAATTCGTCTTCAGCTTCTTCCTCTATGAAGAGACCGTACTCGACCTCGATTAATCGCGCCGACGTATCGATCTCCTCTTCCAAGACGGACAAAAAGAAAGTGAAGATCCACCAATCCGCCGCCGACCTATTGAGCGAAAGCGCGAGTGGCTCCGATCATTCTCCACAGAAGGCAAAAGAGATGATCCTCAAACCGACCAAGCGGGTGCCGAACAAACTCAAGAACAAGGGCAAGGAGCGCATGATCGCACCCCCTTCACCCGTCCCCTCGAGCCCCAGTTCAGCTTTGGACGTGATGATGGATTCGAGCATTGAGGTTTATGATCTCCGATCCGACACTTCAGAAAGCGACCGGAAATCCGATTCGGACGGCGATCTTGATCCGCCCGTTGGTTCACGACTCCAGCTGAATCGCTTCAAGTACGAAAAACCAACCGAAGACGACACATTGGCGTTGAAACGAAGAAAGAAGAAAGTCCTTCTACTTCCCTCGGCTGAGCCAGTCGTCTTACCCTCACGTGCTCGAGTCCGCCTACTCGATCGATGTCCTCTCTGCGATCTGTACTTCTCCACAAGTCGTTCTGCGGAATGGAAGGAAGGGCATCTACGAGCGTGTGCCTTGACCAAGGATTACACATCCGAAACCGTGCGTGTCCGCGTCGAACAGCAGATTCTCGATCTCGCTGCCGAAGCGGAATCGAGGCGACTCGATCCATCGCGAACATTGTTCGATCGGATGGTCGGCAAGGGGGAGGGCGCGAATGCTCATATTCGAGTAGTCACAGTTGTGGGGGTCGAGGTGGGAGACGGTGCCGAATGGACCAGGGAGGGTAAAGAGATTGGGAAGATGCAGACCGAGTTGGAGAAGGGAATGAGGAAACCGACGAGGGATAAGGTCATTCGAGAAGCTGCTGAGATTCGTCGAGAGGGGTGGGAGAGGGAGCGGAGAAGGGGTGAAGAAGAGGCGAAGAAGGAATGGGGGCAAGCTCAGACGCCCAGGGCGACCGGGGTCCTCAAACCTGAATCGGCGAGTTCAAGGCAAGTATTCGCTGGTCGTATTGAAGGTGCCTTGGGCGCTCTCGGTGGGTCGGGCCTGACGCAGGCGCCATCGAAGAGGCGTGAAAGTCAAAGCGACGAGGAGGGCGACGTCTTCCTCGTCGACGATTCGCTCGATGCGGATCAAATGATGGAGCCGCCATCCACTCAGCTCTTTGCTCCATCTGCCCTCGTCGAAAATTGCGCCGAAACGAACGAGATCCAAGCCGTCGCAATACCTTCGAAGCTTGTGCCCAAAACCAAGCGTCGAGCGCGGAGCAAGGCGTCCAAATGTTCTGATTTCAATTCCGACACGGATGAGGAGAGGTTCACTCGATCCCTGTGGTCCGCTGCGGCTGGGCACGACGACGAAATTATCCAAGAGGTTGTGGTGAGTGATCATCCTTCCTTCCGGCGTGAAGTGGTAGACTTTCCGAGGCGCCTGCAGAAAGACTGACCTGAATCCAAGTTACCGCCCCCAACTCGTACCCGCCTTTCCACCCACACCGTCTCCCCTCCCTCGTCCCCTAGCTCGCTGCTCCTCCTCTCTACGCCCGAACACGATCGTCTGACTCCGCATCGACGTCGCGTGGAGGTGCAAGTGGATACACCGAGCACTATGGACGGTTCGCCGACTCGGGGACTCAGGTCATCGATGACTGCGCTTGGTTTGGGCGGAGATGATGATGTTGCTGCTGCGAGTGGCAGCGGAGGGCCGGATCGGCCTTCACGGCGCTCGGTTACGGATGAGATGGTGATTGATGACGATGACGATGCAAAGAGCGATTCGGCATCGGACCTTGGCGAAGGTGCTTGGGAAGACGAGATTTACAACGACGGGGTGATGATGTGGGATGGTCGAGAAGAGATTGGGACACTCGCCGTGTCAGATGATGGGTCGTCGTCGAGTGAAGAGGAGCCTCTTGCTGCTGTGGCGAAGAGGTCGGCTACGAAATCGACGGGGAGGAAAGTTGGACGACCTCGAAAGGCCTCGACTCCTACCTCTATCTCCTCTCCTTCGCCCGCCTCGTCCGATCCTGACGAAGTCACCGTTTACGACTCGGTCAATCCGCCTCCTGGATGCCCAGACTATTCGAGCCAGCCACTGGAAACACTTCGACGACAAGTCAAAGGATTCGGCTTCCGCGTCTCAAAGGAGAAGAGCGTGCTGGTCGACCAACTCGTCAAAGTATGGGTCGCGATGCATCCTGCTGAACCGCCCACGAAGTCGCCCAGAGTGAAGAAACCCAAAGCCGCTGCTGCGAAGAAGACCAAGAAGAAGAAGGACGAGGCAGCCGACGCTTCGGAAGAAGAAGTGGTCGACGAACGCAGTTTGAACGCCAAGTTGCGCGAATCCGTCCTGGCGAACGAAGCGATCTATCTCAAAGTTCTCAGATATGAGGTGCGCATCGGAGTTTTGATCCCAGCATTGATGCTTCGGAGCCATCGCTGATGTTGTATGCGTCACCGACGAGCACAGCCCATCTTCTTCGATGATATCGTTGCGCTCGCGACCGGGAGCAAGATCAAGGTTGCGAAAGCGGTCTTGGCGAAATGGTTGGACGATCAGGTGCGTGATTACTGCCTTGACGGTTTGGATCGTATGAACTCACTCTCGGATTACTCGATTTGATTGGACAGTGCATCACGTTCTACACCCAAGATCCAACGAACGGTTCGAGGCGAAGGTACAAGTGAGGTATATGCGAGGTGGTTGAACGGATGGGTGGCTTAACCTTAGTATCTCAGCCGACTGCATAATTTATTATTTTATGAGGGTGGAATTCCTCGCCGTGCTCTTTATGCTATAGTCCTGCATGGGTCGCCGAGATGCTCCACGCCCGCCGATATTGATATTGGCCCACTGGGGAGACGAGCGAAGCCGATTCGGCGACGTAATGGACCTCAGCGCGACGCGACCCGCTACGCGCTGTTCTGAACGTGTTCACTCGCAGTTCCGGTCCATCAATCGCCCTGCAAGCTGGCATTCACCCTCAAGCGATGAGTGACCCCTCGGGTTCGTCGTCTTGGCCACCTCAACGCTCCCAACCTGGTCAGGATGGGTCGAGTCTGACCCCCGCGACGTCGTTCCAGTCGTCGTTCTCGTCGTTCAATCTGCGCCAAGCACCTCACCGCACCGCCATGCACCAGAGTACGAGTACGACTAGCCAATTCAACATGGCTTCAACGTCGAATCTATTTGATGGATCGATGAATTCCGCTTCAATGGACCCAGCCGGGATGGAATCTACGCCGTCGATCGCGTTCCCGTCGACGTGCACCCCGCCATTCCCGGGTGGTGCCAATCCAGGTGCAAGCTCGGGCTCAGCCGGCGGCGGCTCAAGTGGCGCTCCGCCTACACCTTGGACCTCGCCCGGCTCCATCTCGGCCTCCCCTGCTCGTCGACCCTCCATCGCCGGTGGGCTATCCTCCACCGCCCAGGGGTCAGTCCCAATTTCGAACCCTCACTTTCGCAAGAACTCGACCTTGGGATCGTGCGAACCCATCTACGCGAGGGCCTCGGGTCCGAACTCGCCTTCCCCTTCCGACGAGTCGGTTTTCGCCGATGATGACGACGACAACGGTGCTGCCGTGCTAGGAGGGATGGAATCTGATCTCGACACAGCGGGAGGAGGGATGCGACATCCACAATCGTCGTCCCGAGGTGACGATTCCCCCGCCGATAGTCCCATGATGATAGGGTCCCCTTCCCTCAATGCGATTCGCGAAACATCGACCGAGGACTCGATCCCGAATTTCAATCGACCCAATTTTCAACGCGCGAACGCCCCTACAGGATCACCCCATGTCCGATCGAGAACCCCTCCCCTCCCTTCCTCGGTGAAACATATCCCTCCTTCCCCCGCGGCGATCGCGAAAGCCTTGTCTGGGCAGACCGAACGAAAGACCCCTCCTCCCTTCCTCCAACGAAGACTCTTTGGCGAGGATCTCAACCAGATGATCATTGAAGGGTCGAGGGGTTCAAGTTCGGATGGAGAGGCCTCGATGCCGGGCGTAACGAATGAGATGAAGTTACCGACGGGTCCGTCGAATGAGTTGAACCTCATATTCAAACCTCATGATTCGAGGAGTGGGAGTGGGAGTGGGGAGGAAGGGAATACGGCGAGAGCCGGGGTCGTGAGGAGAGCGGTTTCGAGGAAACCGAACCTGTTGGTCAGTTCTCAATACCAATTCTCGTTCCTGAAGGAGTAATCTGCTGACGCTGCCCATCTATCCTTGTCCACCCCCGCAGCCAAAATCGAAATCCCATTTGCGCGTCTTGTCCGAACTCCGCTCCGAAACCGGTCCCGCCGATCTAGCCGAAGTGCTCTCCGAAGCCGCACTCCACCGTCTCTCCAGGTCTGGAGCCTCTCCCATAGCCGGATCACGTTCCTCCATATCCTCCCTCAACGCAAGCTCCTTCCCTCTCCCTTCAACCGAATCCGCCACTTCAACAGGTGGTCTCGCGAATCGATTCCCCGAACAGATCGACGATGTCGACGGCGCGCCATCCCCACCCAGTTCGGATGGGGATGACTTAGCCCTTGATGAAGCGGGTTCGGACTGGGGTGGCACGATGTCTTTGGGTGGGTACGAGACGGAGGGGGAGGAATCGGAACAACGTGCAAAGGCGAATTTATGGACCGGGTTCAGAAACGGGAACTCGAATAATCCTGTTACTTCGGCGCATAGCGCTTCGTCGGGGAGTAACAATGGAGGGGGACTTGGAGGGGCAGCTTTGGTGACTACGCATAGCGGGAAGAGTCCGGGAAGTGGGGGGCTGGGGGAGAAGAAATCGATGGAGATGGAGGCACCGCAAACGCCGAATTGGCAGTCGTCCGCTAGGCCGGGCAAGCGGAAACGTAAGCTATCCTCGATTCGAACAGCGTTCGTCAACGTCGGATGCTGATCGCTTACTCGTAACAGTGAACGACGATCGTTTTGAGCCCTATGCCATCGCGTTCAAACGCCGCGCCGTATCCCCCGCTGCCTTATCCCTCTCCCCCTCCGTCGCCTCGCCTCTCCTCTCCTTCACCTCCTCCACAACAGGTCTCCCCGGTTCAACCTCTTCAAGCCATATCTCCATCTCTACCCCACCGGCCCTCGCTTCCTCCTCCGCCACTTTCCCAGCCGGTTCGTTACCGATTTCCATACCTTCGCCCACACTAGGCCCAACACATATGTCTTATTTCGGAACAAGGAGTCGAGCCGCTTCCCCCGTGCCAAGCTCTTTATCTTCTAGTGCGGGCAGAGGAGCAGGTACAGGGACGGCCGCGGGTGGGTTCTTGAGCTTTGTGGGGAGATTGGAGAGGGAGGAGAGGAATGGGGGGGAGAAGATGGGGGATGAGATTGGTCGCATGTCGTTGGGATGAGAGACGCTTGGCGGCGCGCGTTGTAATGATATAATGAGCGTTCACGAGGCGACTTGGGTCATAAGATAAGTGGGAGTTACAAGTGCAAATGGTACACAACAAGAGAACAAAGAGGTGTCCATCTAAACCAAGAACACGCATCAGGCATCTACGTCCATCGCCGAAGACGAGCCCTCTTCGACCGTTTCAGGCCTGACCCCGACCGCAGGTTTAGCTTCATCCCTCTTGACCACGCTGGGTTTCGCATCCGCCTTGACCGCATTCGGATCGACGATCCCATCCCTCTCCATCTTCTCCTTGATTAACACGCGACTACGATCGAAGTACTTGTTCGGATGATCGACACTGTCCCCCTTCCCTATCCCATCACCCTTGACAACTCCAAACTTGGCATGCTGAATCTCGAACAACCTCGTACAAGCGACATGGTAATGTTTTCCCTTGACACTGGACATGATCTCCCTCGTATCCGACGCATCGAGGTTATACGTCGACTGCAACTTGGTCTGCAAGTTGGCCTCGTCGTAATGACGGAAAGGGCAACCATGGGCTTGGCCCGGTCCGGGTGCGACGCCCATGATGATTTGTGAACAAGAACGAGGGGCGTAGTTCTTGCGCGAGCCTTCTAGTCCGTATCCGTGACGGATGTTGTATTGGTATTCCTTTTTGAACTTGTCGGCGGTGATGTTGCTGAAGGATTGGCGCCAAAAGACGATGGCTTCTTCGACAGAAAGGCCGATCCCCTGGTTGAAAAGAAGCGCAAGATACACAGTTAGCGGCTACACGAAATGACAATTCAGCGCAGCTCACCTTGAGGAAGAGGTTGTATTGCTGCCTTCCCTCGTGCTTGAGATGCTTGCTCGACTTGAGCGTCTCCTGCAGCGAGCGCATGCACATGGGGAAGCTCTGCTGCGCCAAGGCGGGGACCATCTCGGCCCGGATCGCTTCGCCATCTTCGGCGCCGGTGAAGGTGTATTCGGAGGTGATGCCCGCCTCGAAGCCCATCGAGAGATGCTCGAGTACGGGCAAGAGGCGCGAGTCCTCATCAAGTCGAGGCAGAGCTTTGGCCGTTTGCTGTGGAGGCAAAGTCCAAACTATCGTCAGTTCTTACTTTCTCGCCGCCGAATCATGAGACCTTTCACTCGCCTCGAGACCCCGAGATAACCGCGCAGAGAATTCGGCCAGGACCAAGGAGAGCTCTTCTCGATGCGGTACAAAGGCCTTTCCGGCCTGGAGGTAGACAGCCCGCCTAGCGACCAAATCGGTGACCTGAGTCCAATCAACCTGCACAATGACCAATCGCCATAAATGTATCAGTGTCCACGCAGAGCCTTCTCACGTGGTAGCCGAACTCACCTTGAAGAAGCGTTCAAACTCGATGCGATCCTCCTTCATCCAACTCGCATTGGCCAACTCTTTCTTCAGCGACATCTTCTCCTCTTGCCCAACGACGTCCCAGCCAAAGTTGAGCGAGTCGATGAACCTCCGTCGGTCCTCGACATCATCGGATTCGTAGCGGATCTTGAAGAGTACGGTCTCGACTCTGAGGAAGCGCTGCCTCAATTCCTCCCTGGAGGAAACAGTAAATCCATCCGCAGGGTGAGCCACATTTCATCGCATGTAGCCGATCAAACATCCTGACTCACGAGCGACAGAAGGCCAGACGAAGGACAAAGTGCGAGTAGAGATCCTTCTTACGCTCCATTTCGACGTCGGCCGATTTGATGGAATCGCTCGACAGGGGCAGATGCGCTTTGCTGCGTTCGAGCACGAGCTGGCGGATATCGTCGTGCGACTTGTTGCGTGCTTGAGCGGCTTCAATGTCGGCGAGGACTGTTGGGGGATCGCAGACGATCAGCGGGGAGCAACGGCATGGCCTCGCCGTGGCTGCTCGACGCGTCGAGGCGCGCTTTCAAGTCGCACGCTAGGCGACATCCACCCCTACACCAAAGTAGAGAAGCAGGGTACGTACGCCTCAGACGATCGATAGCCCATTCTTCAAACTGCTCGATCGTGATCTCTTCCTGAGGTGGTCTTTCGTAGAAATTGAGTCGATGCGGGTATTTCGCCGAGCGCACCGAATGACGCGTCACCTCGCTCTTGACCGCGCCGCCCCCTGCACCTCCTGCAGCCGAGGAGGATGACGTGGACGCGCCCGAGTTCTTGGTGTAGTTGTTGAGCGACCTCGAGGAGAGAGGCGCTCGTTTTCCGGCGTACATGTTGTGCGATCTGGTGCGCTGGTTGACGCTGAATCGGCGCAAAGTCAAGCACTCCGAGGACGCGTCGAGGAGCGGGCAGGGCGTCGGCGGGCTCTGGCGGGCTCTGGGGCTGCAGCACTGCCAGTGCCCTGCAGTGAGCCTGTGGCTTGAGCAAGGGTGCACGATTGAGCTGCCAGACAGAGTCTTCCGAGGGTCTAATTCGCGAGTCGGTTGTGCATGTCAGTCAAGAACTGAATGGGACTGAATGTGACATTGCACTTATGAGTAACTAAATAATTTGGGCCGAGCCGGCCCGGTGGCCGCCGCGGCCGGGGATAATGGCGGTGCTGCTAGGTCAATACTTCACCCAAACATTTCTTTTGATTTGGAAGAAAGCCAACGAAACTTTCGAGTATTCTAGGCAAGCAAAGCAAAGAGGAAAGCAAAACTACCGATAACGGATCCAGCCACCAGGTCGACACGACCATTGGCAGACGAAGCGGCGCGGGACGAGGTTGCAGCGCCAGCGGCACTCGTCACTGCGGGGTCCGTGCTCGCCGTGGTTGCCGGCGCCGAGGTGATGACTGGCTCCGTCGGAGTTGTAGCCACCGACGAAGTAGCAGCCGAACTCGTAGCTTCACCCGAGCTCTGACTAGCAGGGGTGGCGGAAGCAGACACACTGGCCGACGATGCGCTCGAAATACTGCTAGCCGCCGCCGAGGAGGAAGGGACCACTCCCGTGTTCAGGTACTCGCAAAGGTTTTCGAAAGCTGGTGAAGGAGGAGCTCAATGGCTCAGTTAACGATGGCATAATTCATCCACGCGAAACGACTCACTGGTGTAACCCGCTGCCGAGTCAAAGCACGTGGCACAGGGCTGTCGGATTGGTCAATTATCTCAGCGCCTGGCCCCTGAGCGCGGAGCTGGGTTGCTCTGTCCGTCGTTGAACGTGCAGAACTCACCGACATCTCTGAGAGGGTGCTGCTGGTGCAAGCACATCTTCCAATCGCTTCCGTATCGCTGTTGGTGTTAGTGCACACCTGGAAAACGGGGCCGTCATAGCGGCGGATCAGCGATCGAATCCCTGATAAGCTGACCGTACGGAAATGGGACCAAGGCCTCTTACCCTTAAAGCACCGGTCCATCCATTGCATTCCGAGCGGCACCTGCCGGTCGAGGCGCTTTGAGTAACGTCTTGAGCGAGTTCTGTCAAGGCGGCTGTGTGTAATGAAGCCGCAGTGAGAGTCCAAAGTGAGTCGTCGATCTATGACGGAGACCTGCAACGTTGTAAGAGGAAACATACCGAGTCCACCAGCGATATCCTGGCGGGGTTGAAGACGGGCTCCGTCGGTCAAGCGCTTCAAGATCGAACCGGCCTGCGCCAAGGACTGGTCTTGAGGCCGAGGAGCTCCAAGAACTGTGCGGAAGGTTGTTCGCGGGGAGAGGGAGAGATAGGGGTGAAAAAGTGCGAGTTGCAGTCAGTGACAAGAAAGGGGATGGTGCGTGAAGTAGCTTTCCTGGAGTATTTGAACTCCCAACTACAGGTTGGGCCAAACCCCACATAAGATGACGAGCTCCAGCGGAGCTTGGCGCGTGTGGGGGGAGGAGAAAGCGGAGTCCAAGCCGAGGAGTCAGAACGACCAGGAATCGAACTCACTCGAAGTTGGGGCGAAGGCCCCGAAAGCAAGGACAAGTAAAGCGGGACGCATGGCGAGGGGCTGATGTACGAGGGCGGAGAAAGTGATGGGGGAAAGGTGAAGAGAAGAGAAGAAGTGTCCGGTGAGAGCAGCCGAGTATTTCTTAGCTCTTGCCAAGCCCTCGCGTTCTGCGCCTAACGCTCCGGGAAGGCTCCTCGGAGTTAGCTGCCACAATCGCCCGCGCCCGCCAGTGCGCTGCCGGACCATGGTCGCCTTTCTGCCGCTTTCGCCAGGCACAACGAACCCCAATTATGACCAACTTTGCCCGCCCGGTTGCGATGTCGGTCCCACAAAATAAGCGCAAGAAAAAAATGAAGCATCACGGCTTTCAGGCCTTGGTGCGAGCCATAAGCCATTCCACATTCAACGCACGAAAACACGCGAATTTTGACGCTCCGACAAGAGCATGAGCGCGTATATCGCGCAGACGTCTGAGTCAAGGTGATAAGGGGTCCACATGAGGTTCCCCGGCGGATCTGAAACCGGGAGGGCCGCTAGAGGATGACCGCAAATTAGCGGGCACGAGCCACGCGAACCCCTCTGTGCGTCATCGCTCCCCAAAACTGAGTCACGTGTGCTTTTGGTACCCACCCTCCTCGCTCTCCGAGGACAATGTGCGGATGTCAACCCCCCACCCTAAAAACTCTGTCGGCGCCTTTGTGCGGAGACGGACTCTTCCCGGAGCAGAAACCGCTTTTCTTGTTCGCCACGATGGCAAGTCTTCAATTCTGCGAATTTGAGCATGAGTGAGCTCTCACACGTGCTGACACCTCCGAGTTGCTGGCCGGGATTTTTTTCGACCGAGCAGACTCGCTGGTTCGAGGGACCGAAGTGAAGGCATGTGAGTGACTTGGGGAGATCGATTACACACTTGCCGGCGAGCTCAGAGCTGGTCATACCCTCAAACATCCTCTTAAATACTCAGCAGACCGACCACACTGGCGAGCAAGGCGACTGCCGCGCCTTGAGCAGTCGACGACATCCCGAGGCTGTTCGCCGCCGAGGCCTTGGAGGTGGTAGCAGCGGCAGATGCGGACTGCGCGTTGATCACCCCAGTCGCGGTCGGAGTAGTCGTCGTGACGACTCGAGTGACGTTGTTGACCATGGTTGTACACATGAGCTCATAGGTGTTGACATTGGTTGTCAGGTTGAAACACGTGCCGCACTTGGCCATGGCTGCCATCGTGGTCGCGTCGCAAGTGCACTTGACAATTTGGAAAAAGTCTTTCTCGTTGGCTTTGGCACAATTCTGGGTGCGGACAACGTTCACACAAAGTGAGTAAACTGGGAAATGGTATTTATCGCCATCAAACCCGTCAACACTCACTGCCGTGTCAGTGACCCAGGGGTTGCATTCGGGTGTGCATGGGCTTGAGGTATTTGAAGCCGCATCAAGAAGACCTCGGAGAGCCGCTGCACAGCCGAGTTACAAAAGCTCCATCAGGGGATGTCTCTTCAAGAAAAACGAAACTGGCACTGTTTCTTGAACTAACCGTCGCCCGCAGCCGCCATGCCGCCGTCGGTGGAGTTATTTGTGAAGTTCGCAGTCCCACTGTTCATCTGAGAGATGCCACTGCCCATGCCCGGGCTGCCCGTGGGAGTTGCCTCGACGCCACGATTCCAGGCCATGACAGAGGAACCTGTGTGAAATTGGAACACAAGAAACGGTCAGTTTATGAAATTAGAGACCATGAGCTCGGTCTGCAGCTGGTCCGGTGGAAGCTGAGATGGTGGTGTTCAATCGGAGAGAGGAGTCCGCACACACCCGAAGCGGCGAGCAAGAACATTACTGTGTGGAATCGCATGTTGGTTCGGATGTGGAGTGGTTAGTGAAAAATATTATTGAGCTCGCAATACTTGAGAAGGTGGGTGCAGGAATTCAAGTGATGAGAGCGCCACTTTGCTGTACGTTTTTGAATCCAGCACTGTGGGACTCGGCCCGATTACTGTCCGAGAATGAGTATGGCCCCTCTGGGCGAGAACCGTGGGCGCGCGCGCGGCCAATCGGGGCAGACCTTCCGAGAAGGGATGATAGCACCGGCGATCGAATCGCTCTGGCTGCTGTGGTCCGACTCGGGCGATGAAGCTGTCCCATAAAGAACGCGTCTAAAATAAAGTGAGCAAACTCATTTTAGGGCATTTAATGCACCGATATTTGCTCTCTGCTCACCTTGGAGTCTTACTGGATCGCCCCAGCCTCCACTTGTTCCTAGGGCCCGGCACCTCTGCCAGTCTGCCTGAGGCAGTGCGAGTAGACTTAACTTGTTCATAAAGTGGGGAATCTCTAACTTTCACAGCTTATGAAATATAGACGACTTAAAGGATATATCGTGGAAGGTACACCTTAAAGTACTGTGAAAGGATTCAATGGCGAGATAAAAGCTGGTCGTGGGCTGAAATTGCGACCAATCGACAAATTCCGGAGTAGACATTGCTCTAGCGCATGGAACGCATGGCGAAACCGATGACAGTTGCGACCCCAGAGGCATTGCCGTACCTTTCACGTGTGACTTGGTTTACCAGTTTGAAGTTGTGGTCGTGGCGGGTGCCGCTGCTGCAGCAGCTGCAGCATTCGCAGTTGTGGCCGTTGAAGCGCCCGCAGACGTCGAAGTCACTGATCCCCTCTGTTGGCAAGCGGCGCACACCCCCACGGCGGCGCCTTTGGATCCATCGGACGTGGCACAAGCCTGCAAGTGAATTGAAGTGAAGTATCATTGGTTGCTGATAGCCAAAAACGGTATCGTTTGTATCCCAGGCTTTTTTCCGCGGCTGGGTGAGGCACGACTAAACGGGATTCTTACCTGAATCGACGAGTCCTAGAGGCTGCATTCACTCGTGCACCGTCCGCTGGGCATGTTCAACGTGATGTTCGCCAAAAACCCCTCCACCGTGTCTATTTTCCAAATGATATTGCTGGTACATTAAAGTCGCTAGTCGGCTTGCAGCGGCGTGAGCTGCCTTGTACTGCGGCGAATTTCTGGGCCGGGTTGAGGGGACCGTTGCGTCGTTGCAGCGGATGCGCCAGAGCGCTGGTTCCCGTGCGATTGATCATGCAGGTCAGTGGCTGTTTCATGGGAAGCAGTATTCGAGTGCTACCGATAAAATGGGAGCTGAACGTTCCTCCCTCAAGACTGTGTATTGCCTGTGAGGATACCAGGTGTCCCAGTGGAGGGTGTAAGTTTATGGCAGCAAAACTCATCCAGGAGGAGCGAAGAAAAGTAAGGCGCACTGTGTCCGTCGTATCGTTGAGTTTCGTAGAGTACCTAATGACGCCATCTACAACTGAGAGCGGAAGAGAGGAACAGTCCAATAATAGTGCAGAAGGTAAGACGACGGGCCGCATGTTGAAGAGCAAATCCAAACGAATCATGGCCCCTCATGGCTCTGCGGGGTTTTGAATAGAGGCTCAAAGGAGAAGGAAGTGGGGCGCCGCATCCGAGCCGCCTGCGCCAAGTCCGGCAGAGATGGCCACGGACTCCGCCGCATTTCTATTGGCTGACCGCAGGTCCGGCGGGGCCGGGGGCCACGAGCCAATGGCTGTAGAGCCATCCTGTAGCTCAATCCGAGCGTATCCCTCGCTTCAAATGCGAGAAAAAGATCTGCTTCTTATAGGGGCAGGCAATGCCGTCCCCGACGATCAGTTCCGAGATAGGTATTAGGTGACTCTGTTTCGACTGTTGGGTAATTCTACGTCCACTTGACAGAAGCTACGACTTCGGAACGGGCATGGAACAACTGTCCTTTCGATCCAATACTGCACTATATGTCTGATCTGACCAGAACCCAGCGAAAAGGACCAATAAATGAAAAGTCCCCGAGAAGCGAGAATAGAACCAAGCAGGATATACACAGCACGAGCCTGAAAATCCAAGCGGGCGCACGATTGATTGCTCAAGCGAACGATGCGAACGATGCGAAGCTGAGATGGGTGGCTTTTGAGGGCGGATTAGAGTATATAGGCACTTAGAGGACCAACAAGCCTGCGACACTGGCGAGAATGGCGACAACACCGCCCTGAACGTAGGACTTGGTGCCCGAACTGGCGGCCTTGGAGGTGGCGGCGGCAGCGGCGGCGCTGGTGGCCGAGGCAGCCTTCGACGTGGCCGAAGCAGCGGCAGCGCCCGACGTGGCCGAAGCAGCAGCAGAAGCAGACGAAGACGCCGAAGAAGTGGAGTTGGAGGAGTCGCCGTTGAGCTCCTTGCAGACTTCACCGAACTGCTCGACGGCGCTCTCGCCGTTGATGCAGCCACCGCAGGTCGACATCTGGCTCAGGGTCGAGCTCGTGCAAGCGCAGACACCGACAGCGGTGAGGTTGCTGCCGGCGGTGGAGACGCAGTTCTGTGAGTAGGTGAGCAAAGAATTCTCAAATGGTCAGCAAAACCATCTTGGAGCAGCATTAACACTCCTCCGAGTGGTGAACGTGCGAAGGGAGCTGGGACGTTGGAGTTATACGAGGCAACGCTGACGTACCTGGAGGGAGGTGACATAGGGGCCGCAAGGGGTCGAGCAGTTGCCGCTGGTAAGGGCGGTGGTGGCGTTGGTCAAGAAGCCTTGGAGGGCAGCTGTGTATACCAAAGTGAGCGAGAGCTAGCGTCAACATCTGCGTTTTCTCCGCTGCAAAAAGAACATAGGTCCGGCTCTCCCGACTGACCTTGAGCATCCTGGAATTGCTGGTCCGTGACAGCGCGTTGCTGGATGGCGCTGGCGAAGGCTATCAGGTGAGCGGAGACGAAACCAATCCATTAGCTTTGCGCTAGGATATGCGGGTGTTGTATCGTTTGCCGCCGACCTGTCAAGAGGTGTCGCGGCTATCGAGCGCGGGTGAATCCGACCGCCGTGGCGGCCTCCGAGGCACCGAGGTTCCATCACCAAGAAGCAAACCGGACTGACCCAAAGGAGCGGCGATGAGGGCGAGAGCGAGAGTGGAACGCATGCTATAAATGTGTTGGATTGGTTTGGGGCGATATTTGGTAGTGGGTATGAAGATCGAGCAAAAGTACGAGGCGAGGAGAGGGGAAGGGGGAAAGAGAGGGAGGGTGAGAGGCGGATGTCAGCCAGGGAAGCGCACGCGCAAAGCTCGCGAAAGCTCGCGCTAACAAAATCCCGAGTCCCAACTCCCCAGTCATCTATTAAATGACTCGCCAGAAGGCGCGAGACATCGTAGGCCGAAGGCGCTAACAACCGCTGAAATGTGGTTGGGCTCAGATCCGTTTCTTCCTGATCAGATGGATCAGCTGTTTGCCGTTGTGTGCCCGCCCTGGGCCGGAGGGCCGCCGCTGCCCTGAATGCGGGTACCCCACTTTCACTTTCCATGCCTTGGCGATCTGATCTGACAAGCCCACTTGAGCAGTTCGACGGTCTCTTTTAACTTCCATCCCCCAAGTTTCAGCGTTCATTGGGATTAGGAATGCAAAAGACAATTTGCCCTCGTTCATCTCGATCCGTGCCTACAACCTATTGTTTGCTGACGACGAATTGATCATCCTCCCTCTCAATTCACGAGACCGACGGTATCGCCGCAGCCGAGGTTCACCGGAATTGATGGACACCATGAACTATCGCGAAAAATGCGCCTACACCCGTGATGGCAGGACGTCACGATCCTCGCAAGGGCATTGAGATCTCCGAACCATCATCCCTGGACCATGAGTCACCCGCCAGTGATTCATGCATTCATGGCTCGCAAGAGATCGCGGGGCGGTGCACTCCCATTGGTCAGCTCTCCGGCGGCGATCAATTCGATCGCCGACTCGCGAGCTCGAGCTCAGAACCCTGAAAGCGGGCGGGCGAGTGAATTACCGTATAGTTTGGGCTGCATGCTTTCATGTCCCTTGCCCCAGGCCCGGTCGTAGGTCATGTTGAATTTCATGTCCAAGAAGAGCTGAATCTTCGCCGATTCAAAATATAGAAAGGCCCCAAAAAAATGTTGGTGGTTGAAGGCCTGATGTTGCGCGGTCTACATTAGTTTCTGAGGGCTTTACCGCCGCTTGTGAAGAATAAAACTCGCGCCGCAATCTCGGTAAACGGGACCCGTCAAACCTGCCTTCTGAACAGGTTTCTGGCTCTTCCTCCACACTGACGTGACACTCTTCGTCCACCAGCATATCTTAAATTCAAGCCCAGCTAGTTGATCTGTTGTCAGAGCTTTAGTGACTGCCCGAAAGTAACGATCTAAGCCACGGCGAGTTTGGCCAATGAGTCGCCGAAGTTTCTTCGTCCATTTGCGCGCAGGCCGACGGAAACTGCACATTTCACCGGCTGATTGATGTTCTTGGATGGGAAAGCTTGTGGTACACTTCCGTACTTCTTCGCTCCATGACGTCTAATCCTCCGTCGCCATCTTGACCAGAAGGCAAGCCCTTTCGCTTGTTCGGCCGTAGGCGAGGGTGAGAACACGTTCCGTCTAGGCCAAAGAAAGATCTTCACCAGGTTTTCTGTCCCACCAAATTGAGGTCTTTCATCTTGTCGAAACTCCAAAATTCTTTCGTATCTGTTCCAAAGATCCGGCTGGAGCATCCGGCCGAAACTATACGGTAGGAAGCTCGGAGTTTCCATGCGCTAAGGGATCGAAGGTGTCTGCATCCTAAAAGACTCCCAATGGCTTCGTTTATCACCCTTTCATGGAAAGATAATACAGTCGCACCGATTTGTTTGATTCAGTATTGGGATTGAGAGCAAACGTTCCGAATGCACGCGCGGACAACGGATGCTTCAGCTGCCATGGAAAGGGTGAATTCCTCTTTGCGATGTGTTCGCCAATCGACCCGTCGGCCTTGCGCAGCCAGCATCGCAACAAGGAGAACAACCGGTTCTGTGTGGCTAGTTCCTGTCGATGTTGTTGCTGTTGGCACACCTTGGCACGTTCTCTTACTTGAAGATTCCTCCCGAGCTGTGTGTTCGATTGTGCCAAATTTGTCGTGGACTGCGGGCGCCATGGACTCGGGGACTCGTGAGCAAATTGACCCAATCGACATTACTGAGCGGTGTATCGACCACAGAATCAATCTTACGCCTTTTACTTAAGATTGCCGTTGTTGATGCACGCCAACGCTCTTAGTCCAAATCTTTCTCCTTCCCCTCCCTCCCTCTTCGGAGTAGCCCCGGACGGCTGTTTCACCCGCCACCTCTTCGACATCCGCATTCGCCTCCAGGCGGCGAACCAGCGCACCCCCTTTACCTTGTCCAGGCGGACCCCCAACCAGCATCGTCGCCCATGGGTCTGGATCTGGTGAACATACTTTGGCCACCCTCCCCCAAAGTGGGACCACGCGGTGAGAAAGACGAGGAAACTTCTCCCTCAAGATTGGATCCGCTACTTTGAAGCCTGGGCGTCGGTGACAACGCTCAATCCTCCCGAACTTTCCAAGAGCCAGAACCTCGAGCGATGGGTGACACACGTTCTCTTCTTCCCGGCGGGCCACGGAATCGAACTCTCAGTGAACCCGACGCTCTTTCGAGGGCCCGATGGCGAGGTGATGGCTCCTTCTTCGTTTGTGAACGCGACCAAACGCCACCACGCTTTCCTCTACCCTCCTATCCTCCCCAAGGTACACCAGAAGGTTTTCTCTCTGCCAGAACAACGTTGGAACGCATGGTGGAAGACCTTGCGCAAGGTTGGCAGGGTTCACTCGGACGCTGAGGATAGTGCCCATCTCCTCTCCTTGGGATCCCTCCATCCAGGTAGCCAAGTTGCATCTTCAAACAGCCCACACCCCAACAATCGATCTGCCTCCTGTGTGATGTGCCTCTCGGAAGCACCCGAGTCTCTGGCTCACCTTGCGGTCGGCTGCCCATTTGCCCGCCGTCTCTGGTCAGCTCTCTCTCAGGCGCCTCACCCCGACTTCGTTGCATTCGTGTGTCCAGTTGTCTCCCGCTCGGAACGCCGACTTGTCGAGCTACGTCTCCTCTTCTTCCACTCGATCTGGAAGCTCTGCCGCCGCCGCCGATTCTCGTCGGATCCTTTGGAACCGATCACCGAAACGACACTCGAGGAGCTCCGGGCGTCTATCCAGGAGTCTAAGGGTCGCCTTGTGTCTCTGTAAATCACCCAAGGGGGTTTTAGTGGGTATGATTGACTCTGATTCAGGGTCGATGAGTCCTACACTACAGGCCTAGCCAGTGTGCTTAACTGCATTCCCTCCGACTTTTCCTTTTTTTTAAAAAAGACAATGACAATGTCAACTCACGTGGCGTGACGTCACAGTTTCGGCTCTGCACGGCTCTCGGTCCAGCCCGTCACAGCTAGCTAGCGCTGTAACATGGGTCGACCAGCGACATACCGTTTCGCTTACGTTCGCCGAGGTTCCATTTTCCAACAAAGCAGACTGAGACGCCCTGTCTTGCGTGTCTAACACATCGTAGCGTAGTTCCTTCAATCATCCAGTTCCTGCCACTGCCGAAATGTCATCTGCAAACTTTCACATCCCGTCTCCTGTACGAATCTTCACGGAGAGCAGAGGGGCAGCCGAGACGTCGCCAACGTGAGCGACCTGAGCGCGCCCGCGAGGCGAGGCTGATACAAAAAAAAAACTGAGCGCGCCGCCAGCGAGGCTGCTTCGCGCTCCTCCTCCGCACAACCCGACCTCCGCTCTAATAATAATCGCACAGACGCCGCCGCCAATAACCTCCGCAACTGCCGAAATGTCATCTGCCAACTTTCACGTCCCGTCTCCTCAACAACAACCTTCGCGGAGAGCAGAGGGGCAGCAGAGACGTCGGCAACGTGAGCGAGCTGAGCGCGCCGCCGCGAGGCTGCTTGCGTTCCTCCTCCTCCGCACAACCCGACCTCCGCTCTAATAATAATCGCACAGTCGCCGCCGCCAACAACCTCGAACAATCGCAGATCCGAAGCTCAGCGGAAGCGACGCCTTCGCGAGAAGCAGCAGCGCGAAATCAATCAACACGACGTCGCGCAAACTGGTTCGTCAAGTCAATCTGCACCGGCAGCACGCAGTCTCAATGTCGCACCGCAAGTGCGACGGGCCCGCAGTCCTTCACCTCCGGGCTTGAGATTCGCATTAACTGAACAAGAACGGCTATTCTGGATGAGGACGAATCAGAAAAAGCTCAGAGCCGAAGAGTATTCGTCCCTTCAAGCAAGCCTGGCTGAAGGACTCGATCCCGCCCAGATTGGCAAAAGAGTCATTCTACCGTCCTCACACACTGGATCGCCACGCCAAATGGTACAACTTTACCAAGATGCTATGGCCATCGTTCGTGTTTTTGGTGCTCTGGACATATTCATCACGATGACATGCAACCCTGCCTGGCCGGAAATCGTCAACGCGTTGCTTCCTGGCCAGACCGCATCCGACCGTTCCGACATAGTAACACGGGTCTTTCACGGTAAATTGAAAGCTCTTCTTGGGGATGTATTAGGCGTTCGTCGTGCGCCGGGAGTCTTTGGAAAGGTATGTCAATCGACGCGGTCAATATAATATTGATAGAATGCTCACGAGTCTCAATTCTTTGCACAGGTCATCGTATATGTCTGTCTATGTTGTCGAATTTCAAAAGCGCGGGCTGCCTCACGCCCACATCCTTCTGATCATGGTTTCAGAGGACAAGCCAAAAACAAACGACGACTACGACAAGATAGTGACCGCAGAAATACCGGACCCCGACAAATTCCCTGCATTGTTTGAGACCATCACAAACTGCATGCTACACCGGCGATGTGATCGTCCCGGCAAGCATACCTGCCACGACGACCATGGAAAATGTACCAAAGGGTTTCCCAAACGACTCCAACCGCGCATGACCAGCGAAGACGGTGGCTATCCACACTACCGGCGTCGCGGCATACACCAATATGTCAAATTCCCGGGCACAGCGCAAGAAGAAGTTTTCACGGATGCAAACGTTGTTCCAACAAATCCGTTCCTTGCTTCCAAGTACAACTGTCATGTCAACGTGGAAATCGCAAGCGGCGTTGCTGCGATCAAATACCTGTACAAGTACGTTTACAAGGGCCACGACCGTACTTCATTCACGATCGATGAACCCGGAGCTCGAGACGAAATCAACAACTTCCTTGACGCTCGATATGTTTGCGCCCCCGAAGCCATTCACCGGATATTTCGATTTGGGATGCACGATCGGGATCCCGCAGTGGCCAGACTTGCGCTGCACCTCCCGAATGAACAAGAAGTTCGGTTCGACCCAGATCAGGGAGCACCAGATTTATCAGCGCCACCGGAAACGACGTTAACCGCCTTCATCAAATGGTGCGCCAAGACGCCGCCCATCACAACGCACGAGAATTGCTTTACGTCGACGTGCCAACCCGATTCAGATGGAACAACGAAGATCGAGCTTGGCTTCCACGAAAAGTTGACAACCGGACAATCGGAAGAATCTACTTTTGCGGTCCTGAAGGCGGAGAGCGATACTACTTGCGACTACTTCTCCTCAAAGTGCCTTCTCCGACATCGTTTGCGGATCTGAGGACTTTTGATCGGGTTAAGTTTCGAACATTCCGGGAAGCCTGTGTCGAACGGGGGCTCCTACGCAACGACGCTGAAGCCGACAGATGTCTGACCGAAGCAGCGGTCTTCCGTACTGGCCACGAGCTGCGACACCTGTTTGCCATGCTGTTAACGGCCGATGATGGAGTGACAAACGCGGCGCAGTTATGGACAAAACACTATGACAACCTCACCCAAGACGTCGAATACAACCTACGAAACCAAAGACGACAGCCGGTCATCTCCTCATTATCAGACCACGGCCTGCCGCTGCCAACGATTCAGTTCGATGACGAATCTTCAACAAATCGTCTTCACATGGAGGAATCAGCCACAGCAGCGGAGCTCAACGAATTGGAGGGTCTGTGGAGGAAGAACTTCCAGTCGTGCAACGCCGAGCAACGCGTTGTTGTTGAGACAGTCCTTGACTCGATTCTGAACGACCGCGGAAAAGTCTTTTTCGTTGATGCTCCGGGAGGGACAGGCAAAACCTTCTTGGAAAAAACGGTCCTTGCTCGGATTCGGTCAGAGGGAAAATACGCTCTTGCCGTTGCATCATCGGGTATTGCTGTACTGCTACTGCCAAAAGGCAGAACGGCACATTCACGGTTTAAGATCCCGATCGATATCTTCGACGACTCTACGTGCAATGTTCCGAAACAAGGACAGCTCGCCGAGCTTTTTCGGATGTGCGACTTGATCGTCTGGGACGAGGCATCGATGCAGCACCGTCGATGTTTCCAGCTGGTGGACAGGATGTTGCAAGATGTGCGATCGTCAACGGCTCGGTTTGGTGGAGTGACCGAATGAATTGTCAAGGGTTTGTGTTTGTGCCGGCTAGATAGAGCGCTCGCACGTCTCTGGAAAGGGGTCGCTGCGACGACGCTGCAGCTCGCATCTCCCGGGCTGGCGTCTGCACCAAGTTCGCATAGTACGTTGAACGCTGGTCTCATGCCCTTGTAAAGCCTTAGCAGAGCAAAGCACGATCCTCCCTCTCTAGCAAAACTCAGCATGACGTCCCGAGGAAGGGGTGCAGAATCGCCGACGCGAGCCAACTTCGCTGTTCACATCCGTGAGAAATTTTCGATCAACTTGAATGTAGGCGACCGACGGGCTGCCGATCGGCGGCCCCCTCGGCGGCTAAATAAAAGGGCCCATCAGCACCGCTTATCTGCCGGAAATTGCCTGGGCTTCATCCCGCCAATCACAGCTCGTTGTACAAAGATCGATTGAAAACTTTCGAAACGTTCGTTCGTTGATTGTTGACGGAGTTCGGGTTCCGAACAACGCGAAAATTCGCACGTGTCTCTTGAAGGGCGAGGCTCCTAGCCCTTGGGCCAATGACCGATCCGGACATGTCGCGCGCGCAGAACTCTCATCCTGGGAGCGAATTGAGTTCTGCGACGATCCCGAGTAGCTTTGACCCAGATCTGCGAGGACATGCCAAAGCGAAGACGCGTCTACGCCATGGAAAGGCTTTGCGATCTGCGATCCAGGATAGATTGAAGTCCTCGTGCTGTTCCTTTGATGAGGAGTTTCCGTTGTTTCTCGAGGGACTGGGGCCATTACCTAGGCAGAGCGGCGCTGGCAAGTCGCCGGGCACAGCGTGACCCACGACCATTTCCACAGCTCTGAACGTGTATGTGATGCCGATCATCCAGATTCTTGAATACAACATCACGGACGAGCGCCTAGGCATCCTTTCATCACAAAGCTCCGACGAACGCCTCGCTCAGAGACCCGACTCTAGAGCTTGTTTGGCTTCCCTCCTCGCTTGTGACGCGGTGATGAACGCCGCGTACGACCATCTGCGTAATAATGTAGAGCACATGTCAGATCAAGCATACGTATCAGGCGATGTCGCTAGAGGCACAACAACTCACGTCAGGTCCCTTGCCCCTCGACCTTCCCCCGTATACCTGAGCGATCAAGACGTTGCCATCGTTGTCAGCACAATGGCCATCGGACCCCTCCCTACTCCCAGACACCGAACCCCAGCACAGATACCCACCTATTGAACTGCTCATTCAAGCTCCCATTCCTCCTCGCATACTCCTGAACGATCCCCACAAACTCATCCCCCCACTTGATCTGTCCCCTCGCGATCTCCTGAATCGCCCTCGCGCCCGCCTTGATCGTCAGCCCATCCTTGCTCATTTTTTCGGACGGGGGAAGAGGTATGAAACGTGCGTAATGGGCGTGATTCGTTGAGGTGATGAGAAGGGGTTTGTGAGAGGTCGAGAGTTGGAGGGAGTTTTTGTAGAGGATTTCGGAAGCGGCGAGCGTGCACAGGTACCAAGGATGACCGACGGAGAGACCCAAGCCATCTATGCGCATTCATACCAGACTTGATCAATACATCCTCTTCAACTCTGGCCTCACAAATGGAGATGGAAACGTACCGTAGCGATCCTCGGGATATCGACCCAACGCCGAAGCGGATTTTGTTCGCTCATTGATCGGATAGATCGGCTTGAACACCTCGACCAGCTTCTCCAAAGTCGACAAGACCTTGTCATTCTCCTCATTCCATCCCGTTCCTTGACCGGAATGCAATACGGCCAAAAGAATCGCCGAATCCAATTCGCTCTCTTTGCCATAGGCCGCATCGCCTCGATGAGCATTCTCTTCGCTATCCCTCCCCGTCGATTGGTTGAGCGAAACGCGGATCAAGCCCTTTTCGGGTGACCAGAATTCTTCCAAGACTCGACTGATCTCGTCAGCTTGTTGAAGGTAGTACGATGCAGCTTTGGGGTCGTCGAGTCGTTGGGCGAGGTCGGCGCCGACGATCAGAGCGCGGTGGATCGCGAGCAAGGTGTAGAAATGCGAGCCTGAGACCTCCTCCCATAAATCAAAGCCGGCGTGGGACCACCTGTTGGAGATGTGCTCGAGATCGCCTTTGATGACGGACTGTGGTGAGGCGAAGGGGTTAGGATTTTGCATCGTTCTCAGCCTGAGGAGCAGGTGCGTGACCGACCTTGGTGGGGAGCACAGAGTCGTATAACACCGTCTTGACGAACCCAATCTCCTGTTCTGTACCCTGATCGAGTTGATGGAGCGCAAACTCGGCCAACGTGATGACCCTCAAAGCCGGACCATCGTTTTGAGGTCGACCCCTGACGGAAATTAACGCCCGGAGAAAATTGTGAGCTGAATGCGCCGCCATGGCCCGAGATGTAAGCGAACTCACCATTCCCCAAGAAAGGGTTCATGATCGACATGGTACTTGACGTCACCCAATCCGCCGTCGTAGAAACCTCCGATCGTGGTCTGCTCGGACTGAATGATGCGAGTCGCTCGGATGTATTCGTCGATCGCTTTACGGTGCTTGGTCACGCCAGCCTTGGTGTAGGCCTGTACGAGGTTCCGCATGACGAGTGCCGAGTCTCGAGTCCATTCGTACCTGCGATTCCCCGAGCCAGCCTTAGTTGCGGTGCCGGTTTTAGATCATGCGCACCGAGCTGACTGACCAGTAATCGGGCGACTCTCTGCTCGGACTGGCGACGACACACCCCTCCGCCGTGCCCGCGGGATGCACATTCTCCAACAACCTCTTCCAAGCGACTTTCTCTTCCCAATCGATCCATCTCTGCAAGTCCCAATGCCGAGGATCCCTCCCATGTTCAATGTGCTTGTACAGCGTCTTGACCTGCGTCGGTACCACGAACACGAGCAGCTCCTTGAGGTCGTTCGGAAAGCCTTGGAGCGTGAAGCGGGATGGGTACGAGGTGACGTATTGAAAGCGTTCGACCGAGGTCATGGAGGCGTTCAGGAGGACCATGGACGCGAAGAGGAATATGGGCGCGAACCACCAGCAAAAGGAGCCGGACGAGTCGATGTCGTCGAGGTGACCACGTGGTGGTGGACGTCGTCGTCGGACAGCACTGCGAGGAACTTCATCCTTGCCCCTTGTTGCAGCGCGTGATTGAGGTGGTGCCTTGGCGGGAGATGTCTGTTCCGACATGGTGAGAGATTCCGTTGTACTTGCCTGCGCCAAGACGTGCTTGTACGGGGAAGCAAAGCTCCACTTCCTGGTTTTGCAGCAGCTCGGTCAAGAGCGCCGCGCCTTGCTCAGACTGGCGTCGATGACGATTTCGAGTTTCAAGCCCGAGTCGAAATTGAGCTCGGACCTCCTCACCGGGCTTCGGTGTTCATCCGCGTCTGCGGAACTGGATGCGCGCGAGGACCGTGCGCGCTCTGGGTTGGTGCTGGGCTCTGCTGGGCTCACTTCGCAGCCGAAATGAAAGCTCGCGAGAATCCTCGCGATCGCGCGTAGGCACCTCCCACACCTCTCACGCGACTTCTAATCACAAACTCACTACTACATTATATACAAACGAGGTTTGACATTCGAGTCACATCGTACCAGTGCCTTGCCCACCTACGACCTCGAACGTACCCGGCCCCTCTCTTCAACGACCCTTCGCCAGCTCTTTCCCCAACAACGATGGGATTGCCACTCGACGATCCGACGCTGTCGCACACCTCGGTCGCACCGAACACCTCGGATGCAGCGGACAAGCAAGCCAAGAAGGATGCCAAGAAGGCTCGCAAGTTGGCCAGAAGGGCCGAACGAGCCACGGCTGAGGAAACCGGCGATGCGGCTGCCAAGATGACCGGCGAGGACGAATCGGAGATCAAGGTCGATACGCCCGCGAATGGGGAGGAGGAGAAGTTGTCCAAGGAAGAGAGGAAACGCATCAAGAAGGAGAAGAAGCGCAAGGCCCGGGAGGAAGAGGAGGAAGCACCGGCCAACGCCGAGCAGTCCGAAACTTCCGCACCCGTAGCAGCAGCGGAGGAACCGATCGACGAACCCGCCAAGAAGAAGAGCAAGAAGAACAAGAAATCTTCTTCAGAACCTACATTATCCGCCGCACCCTCGACCGGACCGGCCGTAGCCAGCTCGTCGTCGTCATCCGATATTGACTCGTTCCTCTCGGCGAACCGAATCACTTTTGAGCCGACCAACGCCAAAGACCTGTACCCTCCCGTGCTGTCGTTCGCTGCTTTGCCCATCGAGGACGGTCTGAGGAAGGGCCTCAGTGGTTACGCCAAACCAACTCCGATCCAGTCGGCATCGTTCCCCGTCATGATGGGAGGAAGGGATGTCGTCGGTATCGCCGAAACTGGGTAAGGAAGGCGGAATGAACCATCTTGCGTTGGGTACCTAAACTCATAAACTGCTCCATCTGACTCACAGTTCCGGAAAGACCGTCGCATTTGGTGTCCCCGCCATCCAGCACATTCTCTCACTGCCTCCTCACCCCGCTTCCAAGGGCAAGAAGTCTTCGCCTCCCCCGGTCTCGGTCCTCGTCGTCGCGCCGACCCGAGAACTGGCGATGCAGACCCACGCCAACTTGGCCTCCGTCACCTCTGCACTTCCAAGCATCACTTCGGTATGCATCTACGGTGGCGTCCCGAAAGATTCGCAAAAGGCGATCCTCCGAACGGGCGCACGCATCGTCGTCGGTACACCAGGTCGATTGCTCGATTTGGCCAACGAAGGCGTCCTTGACCTCGGTCATGTCAGTTGGTTGGTTCTCGACGAGGCTGATCGTATGCTGGACAAAGGGTTCGAGAATGATATCAGGGAGATCATTGCCAAGTGCTTGCCTTTGCCCGAAGCGTCGTTACCTAAGATCGCCGGTGCTGGACAGGGGCAAGAGCCCAAGGCTAGGATGGCGAGTGACAATTTTTTGGGCTAGCTAGAGCACACCGGAGCTGATGCCGGAAGGTTCCTTCGTGCAGACGTGCATGTTCTCGGCTACATGGCCCACCTCGGTCCGCCGCCTCGCATCCGACTTCATGTGCTCGCCCATCCGTATCACCGTTGGCAACGACGAGTTGACCGCCAACGTGCGCGTTTCCCAATCCGTCATCGTCCTTCCCGACTCGCGACAAAAGGAGCAGCGCCTTCTGTCCGTTTTGTCCCAGCACGGTTTCACCAAAGGTGGTGTCAAGAAGGGTGGAGCGATCGGTAAAGACCGAGAAAAGGCCTTGATCTTTGCTTTGTACAAGAAGGAAGCGACGCGCGTGATGGAGTTCCTCGAACGCCAGGGCTATGAGGTCGGTTGCATTCAAGGCGACATGACGCAAGAGCGAAGGACCAAGTCACTCGCGGATTTCAAAGACGGTCGAGTGCAACTCCTCGTCGCGACCGATGTCGCCGCGCGTGGATTGGACATCCCTAAAGTCGAACTCGTCGTCAATCAGACGTTCCCTCTTACGATCGAGGACTACATTCATCGTATCGGTCGAACAGGTCGTGCGGGAAGGACCGGAATCTCAGTCACTTTCTTCACCGAGGCGGACAAGGCCCATGCGGGTGAATTGATTCGCGTCTTGAAGGATGGCGGTCACGAGGTCCCCGAGGGGATGTATCAATGGGGGACGACGATCAAGAAGCAGACGCATTCGACTTATGGCGATTTCTACAGGGACGACATTAAGGGCACGTCGAAGAAGATTCGGTTCGATTAGAGAGTATGCGTAGCCCGCTCTGATATTGTGGCCTTTGGTTCGAATGTATGATCTGTTTCATGTGGCGTTCTTTGTTCCGGTTGTTGATCGATGTAGGAGGTACGATGAATCAATGGGCAAGGCCTTTGGACAAATTGCTCGATCCTCATTCCTTCATCTTGCTGATGACCACGTCTTAAAAGCCACGGATGTTGAGCTTCATACGCCGTGCTCGACCAATGTCAAAGACGAGTCGATTGCTGCCTTGTTGGTGCGCGCAATCGATCTAAAACGCGTGACCGTCCTGGAGTTCGCGAGTTGCGGCGCCGGATCGTGCCTTGTAGGGAAGGTATTGCTTATCTCCAACTCACAACGATCTTATTCGTATACCAACCTTATTCATTACAACATTCGTCATCGTCAAGCATCTCGATCTCGTATCCCCAGTCCATCCTACAGGTTATCTCCATCTTTCGCCGACTGCGAGTCGTACAACGAGTGACACGGTTTCCAGCGTATATCCAAGCGAATCGTGGGTGCAAGCGGCCTATCATTTGCTCGACATCTTGTATTGACTCGTATCGAGGATCTTTTTCGAGCATATGGAGCAGATGCCTTTCTTGTACGCACAGCTGCGACCAAGTTGTACATGAAGGACAGTCGAGAGGTCAGCCTCGATTCCATCGTGGCCGACGGTATGCCAGCGCAGCATGACCCCGTAGTAATTCACGACAAGCTCACCTCTGACAAAACTTTGCACCCGCTCTCGCGACGGTGACTTTACATGTCTCGCACTTGCCGAACGTCGACTTGCCATCGACCACTCCCCCAAGGCCCTTGGACGACCCCGCGACCGCTCCCCTCGCCGTTCCCGCAGCTGCAGCCGGAGCATAAGGCGAGTAGCGGGCTTTGGAAGAGAGTAATTTGTTCTCTCCGATCTTGCGATCGGTGTTGCGGTCGCCTGCTGCGCCGGCGGCTCGCCACACGTCCGTACATGCGAGCGACGACTTGCCCTTGGCGTACAATGCCTTTTCACACTTGGCACAAGGCATAATGGGTGAGCTGTAGTAGTTTGATGATGGATGTAGGTGGTAGTCCGATTGCGAAGTGCTTGATGTAAGCACGAGGGTGCTCGGAGGGCGGAGGAGGGAGTTCGAGTCGAGTGATCGAGTTGGAGCGAGGCCGAGTGCGCTTCAACCGATTGTGTAGACGGGTGGACACAGCTGGGCTGGCTAGAGAACGTCGTTGGTGTTGTACCCAGAGGTAGGTTTTTGAAGCGAGTGGTCAGAGAAGGAACCGGTGAGCGAGTCGCCGCTCAAGCTCGCTCAACCGGCGCTCAACGTCAGCGCCAACGATCGCGTGATTTGTCAGCAAGCCGCTTCGTCGCCGGCCCGCATCGACGCAATGATTACAGTTGGAATAGGGGGGACGAATCCACCGTCGCCCCATTAAAGATTTTACCACTCCTGTTCCCGTGAACCCCATCACTGCACGCTGTAGCTCACTCGATCTTAGTTCTGAGGATTTCTGAGACATCATTTCGAGACGGAAAAAGTGCGATTTGCCGCTACAATTCGCTCCGGTGGCGTCAAAAAAGCGGGCGAGCCAAAGAGGCGAGCCAAAGAGCGGTCTAGAGCGGTCTAGAGCGGTCACCTCGCAAAGAGGCGAGCGCTGCAGGCTGCGTTTTGACATCCCGTTTGCCCTCAGCGCCTCAGCTTTGAACGCGTCGCACCCGGCCCAACCCAATCGCAAGACCTTCAAGCGACCTCACGCCGCGATCACCAGCGACGACAAGACCTAGTCGCCTCTTCTGCACCAAGACTTCCATCTAGCCTGTGAGTAGGTCTCTCATGCTCCACCTCGAACGCGAATGTGTGGCGTCCTTTCGTCATCGTAGCCGGGCCGGTGGTGGCAAAGCGCACCGTCGTACGATGGCACCCATACAGCAAATCTGACCGACACAACAGTGCTCTTGTGCTCAGCTACTCCCCATCATGGCACCTCGTACGAACCGCCATCAACAGGCGCAGAACGCGGCCAACCCGAATGCCGCCCGCGAAATCACGGGGCCTCGCTCGGCCTTGACCAGCTTCTTACACGTAGGTCCCCCCCACCAGGCCACGCCTCATCAGAGAGTTGCCCGATTCGACTGACTTGCGATTTCGTGATCACTCGCTCTCAGGAACAAGGCATCACTGGGCCAGGGGCTGTACCCAACTACAGTCGCCGCTCAGCTCGAAATGCGGTCGCAACAGCCGCCGCTACTCCGTCCACCCCAGGCTCAACCTCGGGCGCGGCGACGCCGGCTTCCGGCTCGACCTCGGCCGCCGCACTGGGTGACGACGAAGATGAGGAGGGCACGAGTATGACGACCGAGTCCCCTGTCGCCTCCACTTCTTCGACCATCCTCGTCGCTTCAGGATCGGGCAGCAAGCGCAAGAGCAATACCGTCTCGGCCGCGGCGCTGAAGAAGAAGAAGAAGCAAGAGGCCGAGAAGCACGGCGATTCCCCCTTTGATCTGGCGCACCAACCCCAGGTCATTCCCAAGAAGGGCAAGTACGAGAACCGCACCCCTGGTATGATCTCGATCTGTGCCGACTGCGGAAAACGCTTCACCGTCACCAAGTAGGTCGATGACCCCTCGATTCGGGCGGCTACAAGTCAACTCGAGCTGACGTGCGAACTCTGCAGGTACACTGCTTCGAACCCTCATGGTTCGGGTCTGCTGTGCTCGCCTTGTACTAGCGAGAGTATTGAAGACCGAGCGGCCAACCCTTTCAAGGCGGCGCCCAAAAAGGTTGTCAAGAAGCGCCAAAAGGTCGTTGAAGAGACTCAGTTCCGCCCGATCAAGACGCTGCAACAGACCGTCATTGATGTAGGTCCAGACTCGGTGGTAGATACCCCCAACGTTCTGTACCAACTGACATGCTTAACGCCACTAGGTCATCGGTAACCACATTGACGATGTCGAGGCGCTCGGTGATGTCGGAGCCAAGAACCTTGACCGGATCGCCAAAATCGTGTGCAAGAACCGCGCTCTGACCGGGCAGAACCTGAGTCTGTTCCTCGAGATTGATCACGCCGAGTTGAGCTTGTACGATTGCGCGAGTACGTTTACCAATTGCGACTGCCCAGCGGCAAAGAGCTCTCACTAACTTGTCTGGTGTGTCGATCCCGCACAGAAATCGAGGATCACCATCTCGCTTCGATCGCGACGTTCTGTCCGCGACTTGAGCGCATCACGCTCAATCTGTGCGGACGACTCGACGATTCGGTCCTCGATGCCTGGGCCAAAGGGTTCAAGAACCTCAAGTCGTTGAATTTGTATGCGCCATACCTCGTGACGAACACCAAGTGGCGTGAGTACCTCGCAACGTTCGGCACCGGACGCGGTCAGCACCAGCTCGAAGGCTTTGGTATTCGCCAATCGGCTCGTTTCGACGACGAGTGCATCAAGGTCCTTGTCGAACGGAACCCTCAGCTGCAGCACCTCCAGCTGTCCGAGATTGGCAAGCTCAACGATGCGAGCCTGGCACTGCTCCACCCGCTCAAGCACTTGACCTCGCTGGACTTGTCTCGAAGTGGCACGCCGCAAGGTACGACGTTGACCGACGATGGGGTCGTCGCCTTGCTCGAGAACGTCGGCGAACAACTCGTCACGCTCGTGCTGGACGAGAACCCGCTCTTGACGGACCGCACCCTACTCGAGATCAAGATCCATTGTCCCAACCTGCGCGTGCTATCGCTCAAGCTCTTGTCGAACATTCAATCCAAAGGGCTCGAAGCGCTCTTCCTCGACTGGGTCAACACCGGTTTGACGCACCTCAACCTTCATCGCGTCCTCTTGCTCGAGAACGAAGCGATCCAAGCCGTACTCAACCACTCTGGTAACTCGCTCAAGAATCTTGATCTTCACTCCGTCGACGAGATCGAAGATTTCATCCTCAACGAAGTCGCCGACAAGGCGCCGAACCTCGAGGTGTTGGACCTGAGTTACGTTCGTAGTTGCGACAACTTTGTGGTCAAGAAGATTTTGGATCAGTGTGGCAAGTTGGAGAAGCTGTTCGTGCATGGTTGCAACAGGGTTACGGAGGACTGTCCGAGTCGAGTAAGTTGACAGGACACTATGTGCTTGCTCCTTTGGTGGTGATTTTGCTGACAATTGTTGTTTTTTTGCGGTACGGCGATTCACAGAAGGGTTGCTCGATCCGAGGTCTCGAGAATTGTCTCGCCGTCGAATTGTGATCATGTTTCTTATGCCTTTTGATTAATTTGGGTTGTCTGTTACATATTTTTTGGGGGGTTCTCATGCCGCCAATTTGCGAGAGAGGTCCGACGATGGGAGAAGACTTAACTCAAAGCTCTGTTCGTTCGACAAGGATCTTTATTCCCTTTTCGGGGGAACCATGATTTTCTGCAACCTCAATTCGACGTGGACGCTATCATTTTGCGGACCCTATAGTAGTCAATGGATAGGCCGGCTAACTGAACGGACCCGCGACCGCAGGCCCACCAACGTGGAGTCTCACTTCGACCAGAACAATATGTAACGGTCCGACATTAGGTGCATTTGCCCGCTTACTTAAGCGCATTCATCAAAAGCGGTTCGATTTGGCGCCCTTTTTGATTCCATCAAAAGAAGCGGGAGCCGGAAGAGATGCCCGAACAAATTGAAGACGAGCGGTCGCTGCATATAAAAAAAAAGGGGGGAGTGTGGGGGCGTAGTTATCCGGACTGAGCCGATGCCTCCATTCCATGTTGAAATTTGCTCCCTTCCGATAACTGAACTCTTCTCGTGGTGCTGTGAACACCGCTCTCTCAAAAGTATTCGATCCCGACAACGATTCTCCCCCGCCTGCAAGTCAGGTACTAGTCAAGGTGATACATTGCGATTGGGACGAACGAGAAAAGGTCGGAAGCAGAGGATGAAACCCACGAACCGAACCAGCTTAGAAAAGAAAAAAACTCCAGATCAAAAGGACGAACAACACGATCGAATACCCGATGATGAAGAGTCGTTCGGTAGGAGAGGGAATCTAGAAGCAATCCTCGGCGGATTTCCTGACCAGTCGTCGGACCTTTTTGCGGTAGCCTTGGATGTCTTCCCTCACTTCCTTCTGTACGCATCGAGGATGGTGAAGGGGAGGATCAGCATGCCAAGCTGATTCGACGCAGAACGTTCATGTGGGACGTACTGCAGCATCGACGTTGGCGGGCGAGTCAGTATTCGGCGTGTCCGCGGACAGGAGCGAGATGACCGAGATCAACTGTTTTGGGGTAATCGGCATGTGTTGCATCGTCAGCCGATCGCTCGGAGTAGGTCAATCGGGTCTGTCGAAGCACGTACAATCGACTCGACGCCGTGAACAGGCAACCATCGTTCGGAGGCGTCTTCGAACCCGTACTGATCGGCTCCAGGTTCATGCTGGGGAGGGAGGGAGGAACAAGCGGCTCAATGCTGGTTCGTCAAGGTCAAGACTCGCCGCTCGGACTTACGAGGATCGAGATGCAGACTTCACCATTCTTGTAGACTGCGCGCAGCCCGACGGTCGATTCGGAGGAGTCAGCATCGACGTCTCGCCTGTATCTCTCGTAGCGAACGCACTGTTGGGGTGCCACATCTCGGTCAAGAACTTCATCTTGGGCGGTCGGAGTGGGAAGTCTTGCGGGAACGTCAGCGTCGCTCGGAGGAAGGCACCTTCGTACAATGTGTCGGGAGGACTGGAAGGGTGGTAGGGAAAGGTGGCAGGACGATGTAGAAGATGAGCGGGGGTTAGTCGTGGATCGAGTCCGACGGGTGGGGGGAGGGTCGTACGGACCCGAAGATGGTGATTTCCCACTCGTAGACGTTGTCATCGTCGATCAGCCCGGCGGAGAAGCCCTCGACTGGGTGTTTTGTCAGTTCTGTAGGGGGAGGATGGATGATACGTGTTTTGAGAGTGGCAGGCCGAGTGGCAGGCCGAGTGGCGGCAAACCGAGTCCAGGCGGTGATGGCGGGTGATCAGAGTGGGGGAACGAGAGCGCGCATTCGGAGCAGCGGTCGCCAGAACATGGGAAGCGGTCGACGCGAGACAAGAGCATGCCAAGGGAGAGCAAGAGTCAGCGTGTGTGCACGTCAGAGGTGGTACGATCTACGGCGTGCTGTCGACGTGATGCAACGCGGTGCGACGACGAGGTGTGTGGACCCCGTCGAGTCGCGACGCGCGGCCCTTTGGCACGTTGCTGGGCGGTGACGACCCACGAGAGAAAAAGAAACGTACGCGTCAGTTGACGGGTCAGGGTCAGAGCTGAACTGGAAGCCATGGCGAGCGGGCGACGAGGGCGACTGTACGGGTCGAGAAGGGGAGAGCGTCGAGCGAGGAGGAGCGTGGGCAACTCTTGGCTCGATCTCGTCAAAGTGCTCGGACCGCGTCAGGGCAGAGGCGGGAGCCGGCGCTGCGATACGACTTCAAGTTGTGGTTAATAGGTTATGTACCGCGCCGGCGCTCACTGCAGTCGGTCGTACGCTCACCGCGGATGCTAATTACTCAGATCGGGCTCTGTAGCTTGGAGAATTATAAACAGAGTAACACTGTCACTAAAGCTGGAGAGTTGTACACCACTTTTCTAATGCTCGGCGTCTGCCCTCCCGGCCGTCGTGCTGGGGCGGCCTGAGCTCTTATTAGGCAAGAGCGTCCGAGTGAGCCTGTGAGTGCGCCTTCCGACCAAGTCCGACACCGAGTGAGCGCCTAAGAACTGCCTGAGACTGCCTGAGAGCGCGTTACACCGAGCGCACCGAGCCCGACCGAACAGAGCAGCCTGCGCGCCCGGGGCCATTTGCGCGTTACGACTCGTTTGTACGCGCGCCGAAAATCGTGCAATTGCGCGCCATTAGGCGTTCATACGCGCGTCATTCACAGCTTTGCATCCCTTGGACGCACTTTTGGTCTCTAACGCGCTCTAAATCCGTCGGAGTTGCGCGCTTTTCAGGAAAAACATCTGTTTCTGGCCCCTATTGGCGGTCCACGCGCGTTTCGCTCGCTGTTAGACTCGCTCGCCCCACCGTATCCGCGCACGGGGTGGGGGGGGGGGGGGGGGGGGGGGTATTACGCGCGCTCCAGCGCACTCATGCGCGCGCAATCTACTCAATCTGCGCGCTTTTTGGCATTTTTCCAAAAATAAAAAGAAAATCGTAAAAATAATTTTGATTTTTCCAATTTTCATAGCTAAATTCCGAACCCCGCACTCCCCGCTCTTTACGATTTGCGCGCCTCGGAAGCTGCTTACGCGCGCTCGCCAACAGTGCTCAAACAGTGCTCACGCTCGCAGAATCGCAGATGCGCGCGACCGGAAACGCTCTCACACGCTCGCGGCGCTCTGATTCGCTCGCAGCTTTTTCCCTGTGCGACAACCGACACCGAGGAGGATTGCCTTTTTACTCCGCGGTGTCGATCTCATTTTCATGGCAGGAGGGCGTTTGCTCCGATTGCTAAGTCTTGATGTACTTGCAAATAGTGACATTGCTATGGTGCACTGGATTGGTGGTGTGGCTGTTGAAAGCGTTCGAGGCTCAGGGCTGGGCATTCCGGCTCCAACGTTAACGTTCCAGAGCTCCAGCCTAGAGCTAGGGCTCGTTCCAGAGAATTATTTGTCGGGGAGGCCTGACAAATCCTGCGCCGGTGCTCTTGGCCAAGAGTCTTGGTATGCAGCAGCAGAATCGTATATCAAACATCAGCACTGGAAGTCTGATCCAGCCTGAAGCAGGAGGGCTCAAAGACTCGACAAAGAGCTCCCAGCTTGCAACGTACCTGCACCCTTGGCGGCCAACTCCCTCTCCCAAGTCGGAATGATGCCTTCTAATTATCTCATGATGGCATTTGAAGGCTGTTGAGTGAAACAGAGTCGTTATGAAAGCGGGGAATATTTGGACAAGGTTGACGTGGGGGCGGTGCCACGGTGTGTGTGGAAGAAGGCGGCCGCGCGAGTCCGCGCGAGTGTCGCGCGTGAGCTTGCGTGTAGACGAGTCGCGGGCGCGCAGAAGCGTTCGGCGGCGCGCGCATATCCATATTTCTAGGCGCGCGGAGGCCCCGGGCGCGCAGATCCATTTGTTGCCCAAACGGCGGCCCATATGAACGTGCCTGAACAGAGCGCTTTCCTGCGCTTTCGCACCTCGACTCGCCTCGACTCGACTTGCACTGGCACAGTCTGGCTTTCGTTCCCCGCTTGCCCCCTGCCCCCTGTCCCCGCTTGCCAACCTCGCACCAGCTTGACTGCGCCTTCTCGCGCGACTTTGACTCTCGCCGCGGAGTACATCGATTGCTTTTCGATAGGCTGTCGCGAGCTGTGTACCGCACCGGTCCTCCACCCTTGCACCACCCCCGACGGACTCGACGAGCGACGGACCTTCCGGCGACCACCTTGCGACACTGTCCCATTCTCATCGGCGAGCATCTCCCCTTCCACCCAAGCACTCTCGACAGGCACTGATCTCGTACACACAGTCCTCCCCTCACCCCCTCCACTCTGCAAAAGCAATGACGACCGCGCCCGGTACGGGACGATCCGAGTCGCGCGTCTATGCCGATGTCAACGACAAATTCGGTCGCAGCTGGTGGGACTACGATGGGCTCATGGTCTCGTGGGGCGTGCAGGACAACTACGAGGTCATCAAGAAGGTCGGACGGGGGAAGGTGAGTCGAGCCGAGCGCAACTATCTCTCTCCTTCACCGCCGACAGAAAGGAGAGAGGGCTCTTCCCGCGCCATGAAAGAGATGCACACTCTCGGTGCAACTGCGTATGGGCCGTCACTCTAGTCGGTGGAGCAGCACATCTTTCGAGGAGGCGCTATGGGCTGCAGCGCGCACGATCCTGTCACGGGGGAGGCACCGCGGTCGGTCTCCGCTCGTCGGACACCGACCGGGTCGACCGACCTGCGACCTGGAATACCACCTCCTTCTCGGCCTCCGTCCCTGCGACGACCCCGACCAGACCCGCCTCAGGTTTGCCATACACGAGCACTGGCACTTCTCACACACTCCCGTTCCGCACCACCACAGTACTCGGAAGTGTTCCAGGGCGTGAACGTGATCAACAACGAGCAATGCGTCATCAAGGTGCTCAAGCCGGTCAAGAAGAAGAAGATCAAGCGCGAGATCAAGATCCTGCAGAACCTCGCCGGCGGGCCCAACATCATCACTCTCTTGGACGTCGTCAGGGATCCTCAGGTCAGTGTCCGGATCACCTTTGGGCTTGGCGAGGGGGCTTTGCTCCGGGCGACAAATCTGACTTGTTCATCGACGAGCGCACACAGTCAAAGACGCCGAGTATCATCTTTGAAAACGTCAACAACACCGACTTCAAAGTACTCTACCCCAAATTCACCGATTACGACGTCGTAAGTGCTGCCCCTTGGCGCGACGTATCCAAGTCGAACGACGACACTGACCCCCCACTCCACCTCTTCTCGACCCTTCAAAGCGGTACTACATCAACGAACTGCTCAAAGCGCTCGATTTCTGCCACTCGAGAGGCATCATGCACCGCGACGTCAAGCCGCATAACGTCATGATCGATCACGAGAAGCGTCAACTGCGTCTCATCGACTGGGGGTTGGCCGAATTCTTCTTCCCCGCGACCGCTTACAACGTTCGCGTCGCGTCGAGGTATTTCAAAGGGCCGGAGTTGTTGGTTGATTTCCAAGAGTATGACTACTCGTTGGATATGTGGTCCCTGGGGTGCATGTTCGCTTCGATGGTACGTTCGTCGTGGGAACCGTGTTGAGCCTCCTGACAAGAGTGCTGACTCGGACAGTACGTGGAGACGTACAGATCTTCCGCAAGGAGCCCTTTTTCCATGGTCATGACAACTATGACCAACTTGTTAAAATTACCAAAGTGCTCGGCACCGACCAACTGTACTCATACCTAGGCAAGCTCCGGACGAGCACACAACCATCGCCACATCCCAAACGAGCTGACCATTCCTCCTCTTGTCGACACCACTTCCTTATAAAAACACAAACAGAGAAGTACGACATCGAGCTCTCCAGCGAATTCGACGAGATCCTCGACCGCTACGCCAAGAAACCCTGGTCACGTTTCATCACCTCGGAGAACCAACGCTTCATCTCGAACGAGGCGATCGACTTCCTCGACAAGCTGCTGAGGTACGACCACCAGGAACGGTTGACGGCGCAGGAGGCGATGCAGCATGCATATTTCGAACCAGTTAGGATCGCGGCAAAACAGGCTGAATTGGAGAGGGCCGCGGCGGGAGGGGCACCACAGGGGCAGCATGCGGAGGCTTGAGGGATGTGGCTTGTTGAATGTGTATCTAGGATCTGGGCGATAAAGACAGAAGGTTACAACATCCGCCCCCCTTCCCTCTCCATCCTCCATCTTTCCTTATTCTCTACCACCCCTTCTTAATCCTCGTTTACCTCATCTCGAATCGATTTGTGTTCCTTCACTTCGTGTTCCTCTCTCTCTCGCTCTCACCTTGTGCCTAGAGTTTCGATCTGTGACTGTTCTTTGCTTCTTTCCCCGTGTCAAAACTTGCGTTTGAGAACCGGCATACATCGCTGTTGCATTACACTCTGGCTCTGGACCTCGGTCGTTGACCACTCATTTCGCCCGATCGGATCTTTGAACGCTGCATATGGGTTCGCAACCGGGTCTCATCGAAAGTCCGAGGGTTACTGCTCTCCTACCTCGACGTATTTTAACAGCAGAGGACACCCTGAAGTAAAAATAATATTTCAAGCCCCTCCCCCCCCCCCACCCAAAAAAAATATCAATTGAAAGCGGCCTTGATCCTCTCCAACTTGAGTTCCAATTCGCGAATCATCGTATCGCGTTCGCTCAACTCATCCCTCAATCGCGCGTTCTCCACTTTCAATTCTTGTAACTCTTCATCGTTCTTGTTGTTGTTATTGTTCGTCGTGGGGGAGTAGGGGAAGAGATGGGGGCACCGTTGGTCTTGGTCTCGTCGATGGCTTTCGATTCGACTGGGGCCGGGGCGGGGGCCGGGGCAGCGGGTGCAGGTGCAGGAGGGGACACCGCTCGTTCGACAACACGTTCAGGTGCTTTAGCGGGGGTAGGAGCCGCAACAGGTGCCGTAACAGGCGTTGCGACCGGTGTCACTTTAACCGATTCAGCCTGCTTGACGGGTGTCGCCGACGAACTCGTCGCTGCATAAACCTTCTTCTCCCCCACTCCACCCTTCTGCGCCTTTCCATTCTGCAAATCCACCAAATTCGGTTTGCTCGTTTGCCCACCGAGCCATTCTTGCGCCGAAAGAGCGGCTTGATTCGATCGAGCGGGTGGGTAGAGGTCCGATTGGAACGCGTCCGATTTACGGGGCACGATGAAGGAGATGGGTTCGATCATCGTTCCGGTCGCTTTGAACGCGCGCGCGATCTCGTGTTCGGCCGGGTTCAACGCGCGCGGAGGGAGGAAGGTCATGCCGCGTTGCGGTTGGGGTGAAGAGTATTCGGTACTGTTTGAAACAGTATGAAGAGAGCTCTGTCAGCGACCTATGTAAAAGGTCCACCATGGCGAGACGAGAAAGGGGCTCACAGGAAGAAGAGGTCATCTTTATCCCACTCGTAGTAGCGGACATTTCCGTCCCCTTTACCAGCCAAGAACAAGACGCTGCTCGTCAAACAAAGAAACGTTGTAAGCCACTATTCCTGGGCAACCTCAAAACCCTCGCATTTGACACTCACTTGTTTCCTTCGCACCAGAAGGGCATGATCGTACCCGAGCTCTGATCAATGTTGATCGTCTTGACGGGGCCCTTGTTGAGGTCCCTCGAGTCCCACACGAACAGTTGTCGATCACTCGTTCGACTGAAGCCGGTCGTGACGATGCGGTCCAACGAACCCATCCAGCACACCCTCGAGCCTTTGATACCCGAGTGGGAATCGACGGTCGTGATCGCCTCCGCCCCGGCACGGGGGTCGAACAACCTCAACTTCTTGTCCTTGCAGGTCGTCGCGAAGACCGTACCCTGATGATCCCAGTCAATCGACTGCACCATGTCGGAATGACTGACGCTCGTGTAGGCCGCCGTTTGGTGCTCGACGTCCCACACCTTGACGTCGGTCGAAGCACTGGCGAGGATTCCGTCCGCGGTAGGATGCCAGAGCACATGCCCGGCTTTTCGACCGTGGCCGACGAACTTGACGGTCGGTTCGAGGTCGTTGACGACGGGGTCAGCGGCGAGCGCATCGCGAAGGATCTGCTCGTCGACGTGGGTCAGGGCCACTCGCCCATCCTCGCCGGCCGAGGCGACGAGTGAATCGTTGAAGGGGGACCAGTCGGTGTCGAGTACGGGTGCGGAGTGCGCACGGCACAAAGGGAACAGGTCGGGGAGCTGTTTTTTGGGGGTTGAAAGAAGGGTTCGGTGTGGATGAGAGTCAGTTTGGGCCTTTGGGCACATTTACGGGACTGCGGCCCCACTTGGGGCGCTCGCTCTGGCGACTGACCTTGCCTGTCGCATCGAGTGGGATCACGAGGAATGCACCTCCCCCACCACTTTGGTCTGAGTAGGTAAATGATCGGGACAATCAATGATCGGGTTGCGAAGAGCAGTGTCCACTGGCAGCACGACGCCGAGCTTGGTACAGACGTGGCGTAGGGCTCAGACGACTTACAGTTCACGGCGAGGTACTTGGCCGAAGCGCTGACGAGGTTGGTGTCCCATGCACTCGCTATGTGGTGAGATCATGAGCGGGTGGGTGCGTCAGTACGGCGGGATGGTGGGATGATGGGATGATGGGAGCCGGCTGCCTCGGTGTCGTCGCTGCTACCCCAGCTCGTCACACTTGGCAGTCGGCGGTCGCCGCGACTCTCGCCATGGACAGCTAGGACCGAGTGAACCTCCGTGGGGACAAGACTGTGTGTATTCACCTGAGATCTGTGAGACAAAAGCCAAGGGTCAGTATCAGGGCAGCACACCCAGTGCATTCACGCCGACTCCTGAGGCTGAGCTCGGTGCGGTTGCCGCGTTGGAGGCTGCAGTGGAGGCTGGAGCACGCGGGCTGGCGAGAGCAGGTACTGACTTTGACGTTCTCGTGCGTCTGTTCACGCTTGGCGGGGGAGCCATAGACGTGCCTGTAGTTGCTGGCTCGGACGAAGCGACTCATCTTGCTCGGGTCAAATTCTGCGCGTGCTGGACTCGGGAGCGCGGGAGACAGACATGGCCGGCGCACAGCTGCATCCAAGGCGTGCAGCTGCAGCCGGCCGGCGCAGCAAGAGTGAACCCGGCCAGAACTGGCACTGCAGGGCGATCGCCGAGACCAAGGCGGGAGAATGACCCCAAGCCGTTGCAGCCAAGCCCGGGATCAAGTTATGATGCGCTTTCTGCGTTTGAAAATCTTGCGCACTATCTCGAGCTTCACGATAGGATTACCCCACCTCGATCGACTTCTCTCCATCTGAGCCCCGACGGAGCGCCGAGCTTCGGCACGCCGCTTCCCGCGCTGCTGCTGGCGAGCGGCCCTTGTCCGAGCCGCCGGCCGAAGCCGTCGGTCCGGTTTGGCGCTCATCTCGTGCAGTCTCGTGCCGCTCGGACTAGGTGCATCGTCGTTCGCGCTGGTCCACTTGTCCATTCCTTCTCTCCCTCCCACCCCTCATCACCCTTCGCACCCCAAACGCCATCATGATCGCCCGAAGAGCATCTCGTCTTCTGCGACCAACCATTACGACCGCACGTGTCGCAACTCGTCAACTGCTCGCGCAGGAACAGCTATCCCTCCTCCCTCGTGTATCCTCGGCAGTTGTACCACCTCGATCGTGGCGCAGCTTCGCATCCACCTCGATGAACCAGGCTGCAGTCAGCAAGCCATTCCTCTTGGCGGATATCGGAGAAGGCATCACCGAGGTCGAAATTGTCAAATGGTCAGTTCCTTAGTTCTTCGTTAGAGTCGCTGACTTGCTGTGCCCCACATCCCGCTTGCCGCTTGGGACGAAACACTCACCATGTCTTTCTTATTTCATATACAGGCTGATTGAAGACGGACAACAGATTGAAATGTTTGACCCTATCGTCGAAGTCATGTCAGTTCTGCCCCAGGTTCAGCCTACCTCTTCCGAAAGGACAAACACTGAAAACTTTGACCGCCCTCATCCTGCATAGGTCTGACAAGGCGACCGTCGAAATCACCTCCCCTTACTCAGGTCGAGTCAAAGCCCTAAATGGAGCCGTAGGCGATGTCATCCGCGTCGGCAAGACGCTGTGCGAGGTCGAGATGGAAGCCGAGGAGGGCGAAAAGGTCGAAACACCGTCGGCACCTACTGTCGATTCCCCCAACGCCGCACACCCATCCAACGCGGTGCCGGAAAAAGCTTCTTTTGCTTCTTCGGCTTCAAAGACTGAGCCCTCGACGTCGACGACGGAACTTATCGATCGGGAAGTATGGGCGACGCCGGCAACTCGACGGATAGCTCGCGAGCACTCGGTCAACCTCAACCGGGTACCGGGGACAGGCAAGGACGGGCGGGTGACCAAGACGGATGTGCTCGACTTTATCGCCCAAGGCGCAGGCGCACCTTCTGCAGCGTCTCCGTCATCTCCCGTTGCATCCACTTCTTCGGCCGCCCCTACACCACCTGCCCAATCTTCCTCGAGCGCAACGGGATCAACAGCAGCGACCACGACTGTGGCTCTGACGGGCGTACGGAAAGCCATGTTCAAGGCCATGACCGCATCCCTGTCGATTCCTCACTTCTCCTACTCGGAGACGCTCGACGTCACCCTCCTCGAGCGCCTGCGCATCTCCCTCAACTCCCACATCCCCCTGACGCACCGAGCAACTCTAACACCAGCGGAGGAAGCTCAACTCTCCGCCATCCAAACCTTTTCGCCTTCGACAACACGGCTTCCCGAAGCAGAACGCATCCAAAAACTCACCCTCTTGCCGCTGTTGATCAAGTGCCTCTCCCAAGCGCTCTACGACCACCCTCTGTTCCTCTCTCTTCTCGCCCCGACGCACGATGCTCTGATTCTCCGTAAATCGCACGACATCTCGATCGCCCTTTCTGCCCCTTCAGGAGGCGGACTATACACGCCTCTACTCCCCAATGTCGACTCCAGCTCGCCTTACGACCTCGCTTCCCAAATCACCCTCTTGCAAAAAACGGTCCCTCGATTCCCTCCCAAGCATTCTGGGACGGGGAGCATCACTCTTTCCAACGTCGGTGTTGTGGGTGGGACGACGACGCACCCCATCATTCCTCCGACGGGTCAACTCGCCATCGGAGCGATGGGGAGGATTCGCGTCGAGCCGAGGTACACGAAAGGATCCCTCGGCGAAGCCAAGAAGATCGCTCAAGGCTTGTTGGACGAATCCGAGGTCGAGTTGTTGCGAGTCGAACCGAGGATGTTGATGGACGTTACGTTCTCGGCCGATCATCGCGTTGTTGAAGGCGTCGAGCTCGCCAAATTGGTCGAGAGTTGGAAGAGGATCGTCGAGGAACCCGGGCGGATGAGTGGGTTGGGTCGATAGGCCGTGTGCAGAGAAAGTGATGGAAGAATGTAATATTTTGGTTGTAGTGAAAATGCTCAGTGGCAACGAGTCATATCATACATTCGATATAGGAGACGAAAAAAGACGGCTGTGAGACGCCCGGGAACGGCCGGTGAGACAATCAAGCACGTGCGACCGGATTCCTCTCCTGTCGGGTCGGCGAGACATGATAAGCCCGAACGGCGGACTAGCCGCATGAGCTTCCTTTCCGTTCTTGGGCGTTGCTTTCGCCGTTCGTAGTTCTTTTTCGCATCCGAACCAATACTCCCGATTCGACATGGACTCGACCAGCGCATCGGATCACGTACGACATCTATCAGAGGAGGTGCTCCTATTGGGGACCGCTTCCGGCAAAACCAACGACCAGACGCGCCGTGCGAATCGACGCCGCACAAGCGAGGATGCGAGCCAAGATAACGACGAGCATGAGGGTCACGCCACCGAAGACATTCTACCACGCCATCGAATGAGAGCGTCTAGTCAGTCTTGAGCTGTGATGGTACGGCGACTCGGAGCATGCCATGGGTGGCGTTCGCTAAGCTTGCGCCCCACGTTTCGACTCCGCCCGGTAACAGGGGTACTATGGCGGTGGCGTCAAGACACGAACGAGAAAGTATTATTACGGGAAAATAAATGCCATCTTAAGCCACGGTGGCTCAAGGTTGGCGTCTTCGCGTCGTTGCTGCTCGCGCTCACGCTCGCCCTCATGGTGATCGACTCGGCACTGGCGCTCTGGAAAGGCGGTTCGCTTCTCCATTTGAAGAAATTCATGAGAACAAACGATCCAGCTTCAGATACACGCCCAAATCGCAAGATGTTCCCTATACCCGCTACGCTCGTGATCCGTCCCCCTCTGCCCCCACTCGACGAATCGACAATCAATATCGACGAAACGCCCAATGCCCATCCCCCCGCTTGGCGACTTTCGGGCGACCCCAGTCACCTTCGGAGATGCAACAAGATCATGATTTTTAGGTTCAGTGATAATCTGGGTTGGGGAGCGGGTTTGCTTTTCATCGTAAGCATCGCCTTAGCGTCGGCCCGTTAAAACGAGCCGCGAGTAGAGAGCTGACCTTTCGTCACATTGCACCTCCTCAGGCTCGACTGCACCTAATTGCGGCTCGGGTTGGCGCAGTTTTACTGGTCGACAACGGTAGATGGTACGTTAAGAGCAGAGGATCTCAGTCTCTGACAAGGCTGACATAAAGAAAACAAAAATCACCACTGAAAGGTGGTACGGACGCCTCGAGTACTATTTCCAACCGTACAAGATCAACTGCGTCCCTCCCGATGATTGGTACGACGATAAGCGAGGGCAAAACATCAGTTCAGAAGGGTGGGAGACGGCGGAGCGTATCATCGCCAATTGGGACCAGCTCGCCGCTGTAGACGCCTACGAAGACAAGATCGCGCGAGCGGACCTCGATGTTGAAGGGATGCAACGACTGAATGATCTCGAGTTTGGTCCAGGACGTAGGCCTTCAGTGCTCCCTGCTCCAGAGACACTTCCGCTGCCGATGGTACCGGCTTTCGAAGCGCAAGCGACGGTGTTGAGACAGTACTGGAAGCCGCTGCCCCAGACGTTAGAGCAAGTGCAGGAGGTGAAGGAAATGATGGGGATAGGGGGACCGCAGCCCACGGTGGGGGTGATGATACGATTGGGAGACAAGGGGTGGGAGTATCGCCACAGCCTTCGGCCATCGAATGTCCACAACACGTTGTCAGTGAATAGGAGCTTTGGCGACGGTGCGTCAGAGATCGTGCTGAGCAAGCTCAACCATACACAGTAAAAACCTGTCCGCCCATCTAGAGGTGATGCACAATCTCTATGATCGAATGATCCCAACTTCGCTTGCAACAAACACATCACAGCCTTGGTACCCACTCTCATCCAGCGCGCGACTCTTCACACCCGCGCAACAACCCATCGCCATCGTGGTGACGGCCGAGGAAACGGCTCTGCTAAACATTAGTCTCGAGTCTACGGCCGCTCCGTTCCGATTTGATCGTACTCCAAGCTTGAAACTAGCGGCCGGAACGTACAGGAAGAACACTTTCGCCAAATGGCCGATGAAGACGCGTGTAGCCCACACACGACAGCTTGTTCGCGATATTGAGATCATGGCCAAATACACCGACGCCACGGTCGTGACGATGTCGAGCAATATTGGGCGGATTGTGACCATGCAAGTTTGAGCTACCAACTACTTGCTTCGCGTGTATCAAAAAACTAATGGCTGATAAGTTGATGTGCCGCCACTGCGACAGGCTTGCTGGGACCGAGGCTGCCTTGGGACCGACGGATGCGCAGGGAAACCACGTCGGAGGGCGAATGTGAGTCTGCACGTATTGTTTCGTCATCTTTATGTCGTTTCAACGTGCTAAAAAACTTCCGCCACCCCTGGATCTTATAGACGAGCGCTGGATGTGTGGTGGTTCCCACAGGAGTGGCCATGGCTGGCTTTATCAGTCGTTGGCTGGAACGGCGAAACCCCACCACCCAAGAGGCCAGGACTATGAAAGCGGTTGAGGTGAATTACCCTCACCTAAACTCGCCTTACGTGGACCTCACTTTCGCGATAGTCACGCGCGTCACTCGCGTCTTTCTGTCTTTCTGTCTTGATCTCCTTTTCTTCACTTGATTACGAGCTCCTTGGCTCGTCCCTGCTGTTGAAAGGCACGAGATCGCTCTCGAGCCTCACTGGTTCCGAGTCCAAACAGAAAGGATCAAACGGTGTATTCGCAGGCGAAGAAAGACTACTAAAAGGACCAAGATCAAGAGACGCGGCGGCGCCGCGCCCGAGGGCAAGCGTGAGGCCGCAGAGGTTGGCTCAAGGTCGTCGTGAGGCGTAAGCGGAGCGGCGCCTTACAGCTGTCAGCTCGTTCAGCATCGCTCCCCGTTTCCCAGAAAAGCGCCCACACAAACTCATGCATCCTCCCGACTCGTGACACAACTTTTACGAGTCATTTTTCAGATCAAGTGCTGTGTTCCATGATTCGAAGTGCATAGAACTGTTGGCGTATTCTTAATTCCTACTTTTTATTCTTTTGGTAGTATTTTTGGTCGTGTTTGCTGCAAGTTCTGTACATATGTTTGCGCAGAGTTGGCCTTGTCGGCACAACGTAGTAGTGCACTGATTTTTGATTGAATTGAAACTTATGTGCAGTTCCTCTTCTTTCGATGAACTCATAGCCCATCGCAGGCATCTCCCACAGTGCTCAGGTTTCGTCGCCTCGAGCTCCTGGCGATCGGAGTGATGACACCCATTGAGTAGCAATTCTTCTCAAGTGTAGCGGCAGCGAGATCTCATTTTCTGAAAGTGATACATGTCTCAGCCAATTTTATTCGGGCATGACGGATGCGGCTGCAGGGGATAGGCTGCCCCTGCCGACGATGCGGGGCTACGAAGGCAGAGACAGGGGTTCACCACGTGCCGGAATGGAAGGCATGCTGGCACTAGGTGACACTATCAAGCTAGCATAGGATTCCATTCTTCACGCTCTTTGCACGAAAAAGTTCCTTCGTAAGCACCAACCTGTGCACTGCGCTGCATGAAAGCTCCCCAGGGCCGCGGCCCGAGCCTACGCTGTCAGTCAGAGTGTATTTTGCTGTTTCATCCCACTTGTCTTCCTGATTATGATTAGTTACTAGTTGTTGATATTAATCGCCTCGCGCGGCTCGTGCCTGCCTCGCGAACTATCTTTACTATCATCATCGGCTCTTGTACTTACGCATCTCGTGCCTCGGCTTCAGTTCCTAAAAGGTTATGAGCCCACCGAACCTACCAGCGGCGGGCGACCCCGACGATCACGGTGACATGGCATCTACGCCTCCTCTACCACCGTCATCAACGTCGATCCACACCATCGACGTCGCCTCCGCTACCTCCGTCACGCTCACCAAAGAGCAATTCGACGAGCTGATTAGGAACCAGCGCCCCGCACCCGCACAGGACGACGACGCACTCTCCATGCGTCAGCTACTCCCCCCAGTCAACCCCCCGGTCTTCCCACACGACTCGACGTGACGGAGGTAGCGGAGGCGACGTCGATGGTGTGGATCGACGTTGATGACGGTGGTAGAGGAGGCGTAAATGCCATGTCACCGTGATCGTCGGGGTCGCCCGCCGCTGGTAGGTTCGGTGGGCTCATAACCTTTTAGGAACTGAAGCCGAGGCACGAGATGCGTAAGTACAAGAGCCGATGATGATAGTAAAGATAGTTCGCGAGGCAGGCACGAGCCGCGCGAGACGATCAATATCAACAACTAGTAACTAATACGCGACGAAAGCAATGGCGCGCGCGCGACGGGCGAGGGGCGCAAGGGGCTGCCCGTGCACTGACCTGCCTGAGCATAGTGAATCCGTGTAAACAACTCCAGTTTACATAACTTGGCTCATCGAATTTCAAGCTCCCGCTAGTCAGCGACTGTCAGGGTCTCCAGCGATGTGTCCAAGAACTGAAAGCCCGCTCCCGGCCGTCGGCGAGCTCACCCCTCCTAATTCGGAAAGGACCGACAAGATCAATCGCGAGCCTCGACCGAACCCCCCGTTCGCAGGCTGGGGCACGACGGAGCTTGTTGCATCAGATGCTGAGGCAGTGTCATCGAGCTTTCACTTTTCTCAGCCGCTTCGACTGTCACAGCTTTTTATCTCTTGACTCGTACAAGCTCAATAACTTACCTGCTCTGTACCGACTAGGCCGACGTTTTGAGTAGCGGCGCGCCACATCCGAGGAGCTCGCCTCAAATTGCGCTCAAGAATGCTGCTCATGATCGCGCATCTCATCGCTCTACTTGGATCCCAGAGTAGGTTTTTCTCTTTATGCAATTATCGTGAACAAGTGGATCTTATCTCACAGTCGTCTTAATCCCCTTTGGTCACAGGACTCGTCTCCGCAGCTCAGTCTGGCTCGGGAGGAGGTGTTTCGCCTCACGCCGACGCGTTCGCCCTGCACCGGGTATTTCGACGAGCGAGCGCTACTGATACAGAGACGGCGCATCTCCCTATCGTTGTTGGATCTTCAACTGTGGCATGTCAGCCTGGATGCACGATGGTCAGCCGGGTGGTCGCCCAATGTAGGTCTTGAGAGAGATCATGTGCTACCCCGGGTTGAGGGAAAGCTCAGATTTTCGACTAGTAGGGTCGCCTCGTACTGACTTCTGGAAGCTTTCACACAGGTATCGCGAACGGAGGCGGTGATTTGGCTGTAGCAACTTGCGCTTGCTCTACTGGGACCTTGAACATCATCGGTTCGTCCAAATTCAGCCCGCCCTAGGAGCTGGTGGCTGAAAATTTATTACAATACTCATCTGGAGGGGGGTCTCGCACGACTCTATAGAATCATGCGCCTTGTGCACAATCTTGGACCCGACGAATCAACAAGGCAGTCTCCCTATGAGTGCTTACAATTGTGCGTGTCATGACCGCGAGCCCTCGGTCTCCTTCTCCTTCACGTCTGACACTTCTCCTGACTTAAATTACCCCTTTGCTTCTTTCATTCCCACAGCTTTCGTGAACGAATGCATCACTTTAAACCTCACCACTCCGGCTTCCCTCTACACCGGTCCCGGGTTCAATCCCATCGCATCCAGCGTTCTCTCAAACGTCGACCCCACAGCAACCCAATACGTCGAAAAGGGGACCGCGTCCATCGCTTCGGAGAATCAACCTATCCCTACGACAGCTCCAGGAACGGGCAGGAGCTCGATTCAAACCTCGGCAGCGGTGACGACGACGACCAATTCATTGGGAAGCGGAACCACGTCCATCCTTCCTTCTCCTTCGGTCTCGGCGAAGAATAATGTCTCCTCGAGCTCGGGCGGCGCGGAGGGCGTGCGTGCTGGGTTCGGTTTGCTCGCGGCGTTGGTCTCGGTGGCGTTCCTCTCTGTTGAATTATTATTATTTTTGCCTCGGCTCGTCTCGAACATACCACTTTCTCTCGGGCTGTAGCGGACCTTCTGTATCTTTGCTTTGAACCCCCTTATATCCCTAACTTATGCAACTCGGTCCCCATTATGTCAACCGGAGGAGTGCGATCGCAGACTCCATGTGATGGTATATCCAACCCTTTTGCTTTTCACGCTATTCGATACAACAAGGTAACAAGTTAAGAAGTAGTGAGTAAAAAAAAATTGAGTGGTGTGCGAAGTTCCGTTCCGAACCGAAAAAAAAAAAAACCCCTCGTGTGCTCGTTAACTCTGTGAGACGGGGCGGCTACAGTTTTCGTTTTCGTTCTATTTTTTGAGTTGCTCGGCGCCCATCAAACGCATCGAGGTTTCCCAGACGAAGAGGGCCGAGGCGTTCTGGAGGAGCAGCAGCATAGGAAGACTTTAGTCAAACAGGTTGGAAACGACCGACCCGAAGATACAAACGAGGACTTACCGTAGGGAAAGCGCGCAACAGGCACGGGACGAAACCTCGATAAACGGCCTGATGAGTGAAACAATACTTTTAGCATGTTAAGCAGGCAGTGGACCTGGCGGTCAATTGACGTACCCTGACGCCTCCTTCGGCCCAGATCTGTCGAGCGGCGGCCATCCAGCTCGGGTACCTTGGGTTGGTAGGCGAATCCGTCATCAAGCGGCTGCGCGGACACACGCAAGACGAACCGCGTCAATCGCCCATTCGATACACCCTGCCATGACCAGAGATCTCGATCCTATCCCTTGAACCTACTTCTTGACCGCATCAAAAGGGAACGCCCCGATCCAGAAGACGTTCGAGCTAAGTCCACCCGCGAGGAAATTCGCCGTCCCTTCCGAGACTCGATAGGGTGAATCGATGGGTACGTCTCGGAACTTGCGCATCAGGATTTCGTACGAGCAGAACCTAAAGAGAGGGTTGAGAAATCAGCTCGCAGGGGTCGAACGAAAAAGGAAAAAGAGTCGAGGAGACCTGCAATGCTCCCATCCACGAACGGAAGAGTAATGTTCCACCAAACCCGCGCCATAGACCGGTGACACCGTTGGCTCTGACTATTTGCTTTGCGCAATCGATCGGTCCGGTGTACTGTATCGCGTTCGAGTCGGAACCGGTTAGCAAAAGCAAGAGTCTGCGCCGAGCTTGCCGAACAGAGAACGTACCAGCTTCGGCCCTACGGTCTGCATCTGTAATTTGGCTTTGAGATGTTCAAAGGGGATGATGAATGTGCATACGGTCCATCCAGCCATCGCTCCCGCAGCCTGTGTGTGCAACATGGTCAGCCCCAAAGCTCTTTCTAGGCCTCGGGAGACCAAGTTGGACCTACAGCATGACCTCCTAGACTCAGTCGGCCAATCTCTGATACGACAGACACATCTTCTCCTCGATTCCTCCCTTCAATACGTGCAAACATCAATCGATAGTCTGCCGAGTCGTGAGTCAGGTCATATCGGTTTCGGAGGATAGGGAGAAAAGTGTGATTAGCCCGTGGTCGGTCGGATGAGGCCTCGTCTGGCTTTGAAGTTTAACTGTACTGACTATGCAACGACCCAAGTAGGATTGCATCGGAAGCTGCCCATCCAAACGCGGGTGGTGTTGCGCCTGATCCCAGAAAAGAAGAGGAGGAGATCGAGGGGGTCAGCTTGGGTCGGCATCAAGGCGATCGCCGAGTGATTGGGAGCTCATCCGATGGGTGGAGTCATCCATCGCTCGAGGTCGAGTTGGGCCTCGATTGAAGCGCACCTTTGTAAAGCGCTCGCAAGCCTTCGTACTTGACTGTTCGCTGGAGACAGTCGAGTGGACCTTTGTAGGTACCCAATTCGGAACATTGCACTGAGGGGGGGAGGGGCAGACGAGGAAATCAGACCCCGAAGAGGTTCAGTGGAGGTGGAGCTCGCAGACGTGACCTACTCCGGACCTTGATCGAGTCGAATGGATCTGTAGCAACCCACACAAGCGAAAGGGTCAGACTCGATCGATCACAAATAAAAAATTGGAAGTCTGCGACTCACGTCCGATGGTCAACTTTGTCAAGCCAGACATGATCCCTGCGACGAACCCTTTCCATCGCACGCCGGACGGCTGAGGCACCACCGAGGCTGCTGCTGCCGCCGAGCTCGTATCGACCGCATCGGGGGGAGGTGGATCATTGCCATCAGCGAGAACGACTGGTGGTGAGCTCATCCTGGGCTCGGGCGAGTACGGTCGGTGGTTAGCGCTCGAGTTGAAGGCAAGGAGGGAGATCCGATGCTGTTGACGAAAGCGAAGCTCAGCACCGCAAGGCACCGCTCGCAAAGAGTCGCAAAGGCTCGATCACGGCAAGCGCGCGCCGGTGGAGGCCAGTGCGTGGGGCCGGTGCGTGGGGCAGGCCAGTGGAGGCAGGTGGAGGCAGGTGGAGGCAGGCGAGCGGAGGCAAGACTTGCGGAGGTCCGTGCGCCAACAGTGAAAGCAGCCGATGACGAATCGGGCGATCGAGTCGGCGGACCCCCACCGTGACCTCCTTGCCGTCTCACACCACCCACCACCCACCACGCACAGATAACACACCCAAGTCAAGATGATGCAATACCTTGGAAACTCGCTCAGGGCCCAAGCTGTAAGTGGTCGCGGATTCGCCGTCTTTCCCGCCTCTCGTACTGGAGAGTCGAATCAGATTAGCAAGGCGTCATCGATAGCAAACGCCCGACTCGGGGCCGTCGCATCATCACCGGGACACCGGGACCATCCGGCGGCGAAGCCCCAGCTGTGAATGTTCGTCAACGTATTGATCTTGCGTCGTCACTCGTTCACAGCGTTCGTCGATGCGTTCGTACGCAACCTCGGCCGGTCCTTCGGCTTCATCGCGGGACCTCGCTCCTATCCTCCTCGGCCTCGGCGTCGTCAGTGCCGGTGCCTACTACTACAGCACCCTTGACGGAAGTCAAAAGGTCCAACAAGTCAAGCAAGCCGTTGTGGCCGGTCCCCCCGCCTTGACCAACAGCGATTTCAAGTGGGTTTTCCTCGAAACCTCCTTAAAAAAGTCCGAAGCCGACCCCTCACCCACTTTGACTCGCAGGCCCCTCAAATTGGTCAAGGTCACCCCTTACAACCACAACACATCCACGTTCACGTTCGAGCTCCCCGAGGGCACCTCGTCCGGACTGACCGTCGCTTCGGCTCTCGTCGTCAAGGCGGCAAAAGAGGGCGAAGGCTTGGCCCAGAACGGCAAGCCCGCCGTTCGACCTTACACCCCTATCACCGAGCCTTCTACCCAAGGAAAGCTTGTAAGTGCTCATCTTGCACTAGTTCTTACACCTTGGTAGCCAGATGATGCACCGCCCAAGTGCGGTTCGGGTCAAGAACTCACCCGAGGGGCACACCTTCATAGGATTTGTTGGTCAAGCACTACAAGGGTGGAGCCATGACGGAGCACATCTTTAGTCTCAAGGAGGGTGACGACCTCCTGTTCAAGGGACCCATCCCCAAGTTCCCCTACAAGGCCAACCAGTTCGAGGTGAGTTGATCGGCCACAGCGTTCTCAAGCCGCTCCGACGAGCTAATTTGTGTATGTCGGCCGTTTCCCTCACAGTCGATTACTTTGATTGCTGGTGGGAGTGGGTTGACGCCTATGTGGCAAAGTAAGCAGACAGATAGATCAGCCAGCATCTCCGGTCGCATCGCTGCTCATCGCAAGGGTTCGCTTTCGTGATTTCACAGTCCTCCAACAAATCGCCAACGACCCCAACGATAAAACAAAAGCTACTTTGATCTACTCGAACGTCACCGAAGCCGATATTCTCTTGCGCAAGGAACTCGGTAGGTCAAAAATCTCGCCAGCCTCATTCGGCTCCTCGGCCTTCAAGCCACTGACGCGCTCATCGTCGATAATTTTTCTACAGAGGCCTTCGCCGCCAAGCGACCCGGTCAAATCAACGTCAAGTTCGTGCTCGATCAACCTCCCGCTGGGTGGACTGGTGCCAAGGGCTACGTTGACCAGAAGCTGTTGGCGCAAAGTCTGCCTGGCCCAGCGTTCGGTGACAAGATCAAGGTCCGTGCGACGCATCGCCCTATTTCGCTTTCTCCTCACTCTGGCTGATCAATCATCCTTTCATAAAAATTTCATCGTCGATAGATCTTCGTCTGCGGTCCCCCTGGCCAAGTCGCCGCCCTAGCCGGTCCCAAGGACAAGATGGAGCAAGGCCCCCTGAAAGGCATTTTGGCCGACCTGGGTTACACCGAATCGCAGACGTACAAATTCTAGGGACGCATAGAGGGGTGGTGGAATTGTAAAGCTTGGTTTAAAACAATTTGAAATACAAGAAGTCTTGGAAGAAGGATAAGTGGAGCGGAAATCGTGGGCTTGAGTCGTGGCTTTTCCGAGCGGCCCGAGCGGATGCAATATGCTGGTGATCCGGCGGGAACAGGCGGGAACGACAGGTCGGACGGATCGTGGCTTCAGGGTTAGAGAGATGTAGTCTGATGCTCTTGCCCCTGCAGACTGGTACAGTAAACTCAAGGAGAGTGCCTATGACGTTTCGCAGCATCGCCGAGAAATCAAGGTGACACGCCGCCGACGCCGGGGCTCGATTTCGTCGGGTCAGATAGGGTCAAACTGGGTCAAATCGCCCGGGTCGACGAACGAGGTTGAAAACCGCGCGCCATGCCTCTTAGCTTCCGTCCCCTTCTCTCGCACCAACCGCTTCCCACCCGTACCCTTCCACCGTACCCAAACCCGCACCTTTTACTCAACCTTTTAGGCCACTTGCTCAAAGTCAGTACCTGTACTACGCTGCATGAGCGTGAGCTTGGTCCGGACGTGACAAACTGATGGACTGACACGCGCTCCTGGGCTTTGCTCAACCAGGCGGCCTTGCCCTTTTGATCGTCAACACGTTTAGCAACCAGCTCGTAAGTGCTCCCCGCGAGCTCTGCCTGGGAGGTGTCATCATGCTGATGATTCTATTCGCATCGTGCAGTCGTCGAGTCACAACAGGCACCGCGGGTAAGTGATCGCAAACGGCGTCGTCACCTATCAGCAGCCGAGACGGGGCCATTGCGGAGGCACGCGCGGGCTCGCGGTGTGCTCCAGTCCGTGAAATGCGCGCCCCCGCCCCCGAACGGGGTCGCCCGGGCGGAGCAACGCCGACGCGCCGCCAGCCGCTCGGCATCCCCAACCGCCGCCTGCCGCCGCCCACTTGAGCACACCATCCCGGCATGCCAGAGGTGGAACTGACACGACGATGCACACCCCTATACACACTCACAGCGCTCGCAAGATTACGGCACCCGGTGAAGACAAGCAAACCGCCTAATTTTCACAACACTTCCCACTACCTGTCCCTCTACACCACCCACTAAATTCTCTGAACCCGATCGCAATGGCACCCATCGCGCTCGACCCCCCCGCCGCGGCGTCGACCCAGCCCGCGTCGCGCTACAACGCGCCGGCTTCGCACGGCAACGCGGCGGCGATCCCGATCGTCGACCCGACCGCCGCGCGCCGCCCCGTCGAAGGCGTCCAAGTCGAGTCCGAGAACCTCACCTACACCGATGAGGCGCTCATCGCAAAGTACTTGTTCCACTCCTCCGTCGTCAAGAAGGTCGGCGAGCGTTACCAAGTCAAGCCCGTCGTCAAGGAGCTCGAGCTCAAGACGTTGCGCAAGGTCCCCAAGACAGGTCTCATGCTCGTCGGCTGGGGCGGCAACAACGGCACGACGCTTTCCGCGACCTTGCTCGCCAACAAGAACAACATCTCGTGGAACACGCGTGATGGCACCCAGTCGCCCAACTACCTCGGCTCGCTCGTCCGTGCCTCGACCGTGCGCCTCGGTGAGGACGAGAACGGCCGCGACGTCTTCGTCCCCTTCTCGGACGTCCTGCCCATGGTCCACCCCAACGATCTAGTTGTTACCGGCTGGGACATCTCAGCGATGCCGCTCGACCGCGCCATGCGTCGCGCCAAGGTCATGGACTACGACCTCCAGCGCCAGCTCGCGCCCATGATGGCCGAGCTCAAGCCGATGCCGTCGATCTACTACCCAACCTTTATCAACGCGAACCAAGAAGAACGTGCCGACAACGTCTTGCCCGGCAACAACAAGGCCGAGCACCTCGCCAAGATCCGCAGCGACATCCGCAACTTCAAGGCCAACAACAACCTTGACACCGTCATCGTGCTCTGGACCGCCAACACGGAGCGCTACTCGGAGTTGATCCCCGGCATCAACGACACCAAGGAGAACCTCCTCAAGGCGGTCGATGCCTCGCACCCCGAGGTCTCGCCCTCGACCATCTTTGCGATGGCTTCTATCCTTGAAGGCTGCCCCTACATCAACGGTGCTCCCCAGAACACCTTCGTCCCCGGTTGCATCGAGCTCGCCGAGCACCACAACACCCTCATCGGTGGTGACGACTTCAAGTCCGGCCAGACCAAGGTCAAGTCCGTCTTGGCCGAGTTCTTGGTCAACGCCGGTATCAAGCCCTTGTCGATCGCGTCGTACAACCACTTGGGCAACAACGACGGCCGCAACTTGTCCGCGCCCGAGCAGTTCCGCTCCAAGGAGATCTCCAAGTCGTCCGTGGTTGATGACATGGTCGAGGCAAACCACCTCTTGTACAAGCCTCTCCTCGAGGACCCTAAGGGCGAGAAGGAGGTCGCCAAGGGTGACAAGGTTCGCAAGACCGAGCACCCCGATCACTGCATCGTCATCAAGTACCTGCCCGCCGTCGGTGACGACAAGCGCGCGCTCGACGAGTACAACTCGGAGATCATGATGGGTGGCCGCAATACGCTCAACATCTTCAACGAGTGCCAGGATTCGCTCCTCGCGACCCCCTTGATCATCGACTTGGCCTTGCTCGCCGAGTTGTTGACCCGTGTCACCTACCGTCAGGCCGGTCAGGGCGAGTTCGAGTCGATGTACCAAGTCGCGTCGCTCTTGTCCTTCATGCTCAAGGCTCCCCTCGTCAAGCCCGGCAAGCAAGTGATCAACTCATTCTCCCGTCAACGCAACGCGCTCGAGGCCTTCTTGCGCGCTTGCTTGTCGCTCCAGCCCACGTCGGACTTGATCAACTTTACCAACATGGCCTAAGCAAGATTACGTCTTTGCGTTTTTGCGCTTTGTTTTGGCTTTTGTGACCTGTTCCTTTCTCTGTTCAGCTTGCGCGTAATCCTTCAACCTATCAAATGAGCCTTCGCTCCGTTTTCCTTGAAATCAAACATTTTCGCGTTACTTTTACTCCTCCCTTCGGGCTTCTCAGTGGGTCCCAAAGTCGTACCATTTGAGAGTTCTCGTGTACTGCAGCACTAAATGACCCTACTCGAGCTTCATAATTATACACCAAAGGCGATCGTCTTGCATCCGTGATGACCCATCAGAGTGCTCGCTTTCCCGCCTTGCTTATCCGCGGCTCCGGCGGCGATCCAAATGGGCGCATAGTGCTCTTCCCTTTAAACAACCGCAAGTTCAATCGTCTTGTCAGGGGAATCTTCTCTGAATGTTTCACCACCGGGCACCCGATCCAATGCACTGACCTGGGATGAGCCTTCCTGAAACCCGGATGCTGTGCGGTATCGAATAAAGCCTTCTTCCTCTTGACCGGATCATCAATCGCCGCCGCATCGATGATACTCTTCTCAAACTCCTTGTAAATTTCCGGTGATTTCGATAACGAAAAGGCATTGAAGTCCTGGAAGGTATGGATCGTCAAACCCCCTGAAATGATCAAGACCCCTTCCGAGCGAAGAGGTTCCAAAGCCGCTCCCAAGTCGTATTCATCTTGAGGAAGGAGGGATTGATTGATCGAAACTTGAACGATAGGGATCGGGCAGTTGTCGGTGAACATGTGTTTGAAGGGGACAAAGACGCCATGGTCCAATCCTGTGCTGCGGAATCCTCGACCATCGTCACCGCGTTTTTCGGTAGGTCCGAGGAGACGAGCGGAGATGTTGGAGGATTTGAGGAGGTGCACCACTCGTTCGGAGAGGGCGTGGTCGGGGGAGGAATGGAATTCGACTTTGTACAACGCCGGGTGGAAACCAAAGTCTGTAAAAACGGAGGAGATGGTCAGTCGTCGCTTGTCGGTGAAGGTGAAGTTTGGTGCGTGTGACTGACAGTCGAAGAGAAGCGGGTTCTCGTCTTGCCAGTCACTGACGAGCGCACCCCCTCGGGATTCCCAATGCGCGCTCAAGACAACAATGGCTTTGGGGTTGTACTTTTCAACCAATGCCGGTCCGAGGTCCTTGAGGAATTGTACAAGCTGTGAATCGTGGTGGGGGGGGGGGAGCTGGTGAGTGATAACTTGCCCCGAGAAATTTCGCCCCGAGATGGCCGTGCTCAGTGCTCAGTGCTCGAGTACTACGTCGCGGGACCTACAGCACCATTAGGTCCCTGCACTTCGCCGAGACTGGCTTTGCGTTCATCCGATAAGAGCTCAGGGGGAGTGATCAACATGGGTTGACCATGAGCGAGGAAGATGGCGGGGATGCGCTGCTCCGTCTCGGTCAGCGCCGGCAAGGCCGCGATCGCCTTGCGCCATTCTTCCGGCGTTGTGTTGACGAGATGCTGGTTCGTGGCCGATGCGGTCGACATAGTTGATACTTGAGTGCTTAGGTGCGATGTGTTTGATGATGGTGTGGTGGAGAACACGCGACCTAGACGACGCAGCATCCAATGCAGCGGCGGGCTCGACAGGGGCGACGGAGCCGATGTGGGGGCCGCGGTTGGAGAGATGACCTTCAATTCCTGCCAGAGGATCGCAAGGAGCAGGGGTGCAGAGACCGCTAAGGCGGCGTAGCGAAGGCGAGGAATGGCGGGTGTGATGTAGTAATCAGTAATGTGAGGTCTCCTCGGAGAGAAAGAAAGCGAGAGGGAAGGGTTCGCGGGCTTCGTATTCGGCCTCTGCGTGCCCGACGCGGGAAGGCCAGCACAGGCGATGATTACACCATCACGACCCGGCGGGGGCAACTGCCAAATAAAGCAGCGAGGCTCTGAGTCTGCGCGGATTACCAACGCTTATTCACACCTCGCGATTCGGCCTTACTGGGTGGAAACTTGAAAGTGAATCAACAGTGTTCCATCAGGACCGACATAATGCAGGAGGGGGACATTTGGCCTCAGTAGTGCCTCGGTATCGCTTATGGAGGGCACGAATAGAGGCAACGATTTCTCACGACCACTCAATTCATTCCACGACTGGAATCCGCTCGCGCCACCTTGTGTCGCTCGGCAAAGCATCCTGTCCAACAGTGCCGGCCGCGCGTTTTCGGCTCCCCGGTGCTGCGGGGCCGCCCTGGGCGGTGCATGAATGAGTGATTACCGAGTGTGTGAGACGTTGTGACGGTCGTTGGGGACCGCGTTCCAAATAATATATTTTCGCTACCACGCTTACTGTGACGCCAAGCAACCACGCTTGCCACGGTTGTAATGATTGTTGGAGCTGCAGTGTTGCAGTGTTGCCAGGCTCAGCTGGGGAATGAACGTGCTAATGTGTTGATCCCGGCCGAGTTATAGGTGCAAAATTGGTCATCGTCACGAGTTCACACTCTGGACTCCTCCAAGAGACACCTGAGATTACATCACTTTAAGCATGGTGATGACAAGTCTGATCGTGAATTTGCAAAAACGGATTGGAATCAAGAGATTTTGGGACGTGACTCGAGCCAGAACCACGTGGTGAGAATGTGGGGGGGTGGGCCTGACTCGCGTCCTACCGCAAGCCTTGACTGGGCTGGTCTCCGCCTAGAGCAACATGTGGGACAGAGGAAGGTCAGTCTTCCAAAAGTACTCCCAGTCAGAATCTTGATCAGAACTTGAACGGTGACTCTTTCCCATCAGCCGCACGACTCCTTCGATCACAAGTGGCAGCACGACTCGGTCGCACCAGACCTGTTCAACAGCTCGGGAGAGCACACTACAGCTAGATGGATGCCCAGGTTACCTTCAACACACGGGTCAATGGTGATGCGTGGTGTGTCAACGACTCGACACCGCATTGGGATGGTCGTGAATTCTCTCGATGCTTCATGAGAAGGTGAGCAGCCCTCGAGCATTCTACACACCCGAGCCATTCTCGACCGCGGAGACGTCCGTTTCAAGACATCAAGATGGACAAGTGAAGGCACGATGATTTGTCTCGGAAACGCGACGTGATGTATGACCGGTGGAATCACCTTGCGACCTGGTCATAGCGACAGCGTTGGTTTCAGAGCTGGCCTTCGGAGTGACCCCTGCACTCAACTTACAACCGATCGTATGGATCAGGCTCACTCAAGTTGTCGACCACTCCGAATGGGCGGGCTGTCAAATCTGAGACTCATCCGATCTACTAGCTGACCTTGCTCCCCCGTGATTCCTATCTTGCCCTAGGACGATCGATGGCCTGATCCCCCTAGCCTGTCTGTCGATCTCGCTCCTATCGGCCTTGCTCATCACGCTCTTCCACCTCTACCTTGTCATCTCGCGCCGTCGTGCCCGAAATAAGGAGGCCGTGTCGTCGAGCCGAGACCGGACCCCACATCGCCGACGAAGGTCCTCGATCGCCTCGCAAGAGATCAAGCGGGCCGGCTTGTCCGCGATCACCGAGGCCGAGAACGAAGTCATCCTCGCCGTCGTCCGAGACGCGTCGCCCGATCTGAGTGCGAAAGAACTCGAGACGCTAGCGGGCGAAACGGGATCCCCGTCGGCAATCGATGACGAGGACGAGGAGCTCGAACGAGCGACGCTCCAGCTGGGCGCGGGCATGGTCGTGTCGGCAATGTGGAGCAATAAGAAGGATGTGCTTGGGTTGCTGGGCGCGGCGGGCGTGTTAGGTCTATCTGTGGTCAAGATGCTGGCTGCGACGGACGACGGGGCCAACTGGCTTGTCTTTGGTGTCACGACGTGGGTGAGTAGGCCAGTCTTGGGTTCGCCGTACCCCGGATCCAGGTCGCTGACTTTTCTTGAATTGTATGGCTTTCAGAGCTGGATGACGTTGCTGAGTCTGATCAAGCTCGCGATCTCGGTCTCGCGCAAGCTCGGGTCGCTGCAAGCCCCTAACCGACCGCATCGGGGCCTGCCGCGCGTCTACACTTTCCTCGAGCTCAACCTCATCCCGTGGTTGCTCGTGTACCAGGTGATCGCCTTCCAGGATGTCTACGATGCGCTCACCTCGTCAAGGCCCTCGACGGCGCGTGAGATCAGGATTGAGGTCGCTCTTTTCGCTCTAACACTCGCCATGACGGCCGTGGAGATGTTCTCGCCGCGGCCCTCCCGCTTCACATCGAGGTCGGCAAAACACAACCATTCTTCGGCAGAGTCGGGGAATCTCCCGCCTTCACATGAACTCAACGCTTCGCTTTATTCGCTTCTGACATTCTCCTACGTCGGGGGCTTTCTCTTTCGCCATGCTCGCACCACGATCCAGCGCGACGATATCCCGGACCTGCGACCTGACGACCGAACTGCGCGTGTCGTTTTAAACTTTCGACGCGACTGCGGGCACCTCAGACGTAGCTTCCCCAAAAGAGCGCGTTCGCTTGGCATGACTGTCAAGCTGCTCTTCCACTTCCGGAAGTTGCTCATGGCCCAGCAGCTGTGGGCCTTGATCACGGCTCTTTCGCGCGCGATCCCTTCGCTCTTCCTGCGCGGGTTGCTCAACGAAATCGCCAAACGCACCCGCGGCGAGGAAGCGCCCGTCCATGTGGCTTTGCTCTTTGCCACTGGCATGTTTTTCAGTCAGCTCATTTCGACCGTGGCGGCCAGCCAGGCGCTCTACATCGGGCGTCGTATCGGAATCCGACTTCGTTCGGTCCTCATTGGCGAAATCTTCACCAAGGCTTTGCGACGCAAGGATCTGGCCGGCTCGTCTCAAGAAGACGCTTCCGAGGACGAGACCGGTGAAGCAAAGAAAGTTCGCGACGAGCCCGAGCTTAAAGAGATCGAAGAAGAACTTGAGCGTGCATCGTCGGGCAAGATTCTCAACCTGATTGCCATCGACACGTTCCGCATCTCCGAGGTGTCGTCGTACCTGCACTTCATCTTCCCTGATCTCAGTCTCGAAATCGTTATTATCGTGATCCTCCTCTTCCAGGTGCTGGGTTGGGCTGCCATGGCCGGAGTCATCGTCCTCGTCACGTTGGTCCCGATCCAAGCCTACCTCGCTCGCCGTTTCAACCACTTCCAGACGAAGCTTCTTGCCGCAGCGGATGCTCGAATCAGTCTGGCGACCGAGGTGATCACATCCGTGCGGATCGTCAAGTACTTTGCATGGGAAGAAAAGTTTCTTGCCATGATGCACGTCACTCGACTGAAGGAGCTCGACGCCCTTTGGTCCCGGGCCATGGTCATCGTGTCGTCAAGCATGATCTTCAACGGAGCGCCCGTCATTGTCTCACTCGCCACTTTCGTATGCCAGACCAAAGTTCTCAAACGGGAGCTCACTGCTTCCGACGCCTTTACCGCCCTGTCGTTGTTCAACGTGCTGCGAGGCCCTCTAGAGGGTTTTCCGGACATGGTGGTCTCCGTCCTCCAAGCTCATGTCTCGCTCAAGCGTATTGATGATTTCCTCAACGAACAAGAGACGGCCAAGTATGCGGTTGTCAAGGAGCCGCGCACGGGTTCGGACCCGATCGTAGGCTTCACCGATTCGGCGAGCTTCACCTGGGCCGACGAGGCTGAGGCGAGGGAGGATCTGTCCGTGTTCCGCATCCGCGACCTGAACCTCTCCTTCCCCGTTGGCAAGTTCTCCATCATCTTGGGGCCCGTCGGGAGCGGCAAGACCACGTTGCTCATGTCGCTGCTCGGCGAGACGAACCAGCTGTCGGGTAGCGCGTTCCTGCCTTCGCCCGTCGGACGCTCGACGGGGGAGGATCCGGCGATCCTGACCGATACGACGGCGTATGCGGCGCAATCGCCGTGGCTGATGAGTGCGACGATCCGCGACAACATCCTGTTTGGCTCGCCGATGAACGAGCGGCGGTACAAGGACGTGCTCGAGGCGTGTGCGCTCAACCCGGATTTGAAGCAGTTCGAGCTCGGCGAGGACACCGAGGTGGGCGAGAAGGGGACCGTGCTGAGTGGCGGTCAAAAGGCTCGACTGTAAGCCTTGCTACTTCGAAGACTGATTTTAGTATAACCACGATTGACAGCTCTTTCACTCCACACCTCCGCAGTGCCCTTGCGCGCGCAGTCTATTCGCCGGCTCGCACCATTCTGGGTGACGATGTGCTGAGTGCTGTCGATTCGCACACGGCGCAGCATCTTGTAAACAAGTGTTTCAAGGGGCCGCTCATGCGCCACCGCACGATCGTGCTGGTCACGCATGCCGTCGACTTGTGCCTCCCCGTGGCCTCGTATGTCGTATCGATGGACGCCGGTTCCGTCATCTCGGTAGGTTCGCCGGCCGAGATCTCACTCGGGGAGGACTTCATCGGCAAGCTCGATCCGAACGCGTCTCACATCAAGGCCTCGAACCAGAACGAGTCCCAGGTTCTGATCGAAGCCATTGCCGAGGGCGAGACCGACGCGGTAGTGCTTGCTGAGCAGGAAGAGGACCGCCGCAGGCGACAGGAAAAGCTACGACTCATCAAGGACGAGACCAAGAGCGATGGCGCAGTCTCGGCAAAGGTGTACCTTATGTACCTCCGCGCGATGGGTGGTTTCAGGATCGCGTGCGTTTCGCTCTCGCTCTTCGTCCTTGCGCACTTGTCTGAAATTGCTGTGTCGCTGGCATTACGATGGTGGTCGTCGAGCTACGACCACCATCGCGACGTTTCGACTTCGGCGCACATCATGTCGACGCTTGCGATGTCGGCCAATCGATGGGCATCCCTCATTCAGACGGTGAAGCACACTCTTCTTTGGGCACCGACATCGTCGTCTGGGATGAGTATCAGCTCGCTCGCACAAGAGCAGCACTCGACCGACTATTGGATGAAGGTCTACTGCGTTCTTGTCGTCATTAACCTCGTTCTGTACGGGGGGCGCGTTTTCTTCTTTTTGTGGCGCGGCATTATCGCGTCGCGTATCATCTACGAAACGCTGGTGATTCGAATTTTGCGTGCGCCTATTCGATTCTTCGACTCGACGCCGCAAGGTCGCATTCTCAACCGACTCAGTAAAGACGTGGAGACCATCGACCAGGATACCTCGAATTGCTTGATGTTCTTTTGCGTCGAAATTCTCGGAGTGTTTGGGATCATCATCACCATCTCGATTGTTCTTCCGGTCTTCCTGATCGCGGCCTTCTTTATCTCCATTGTAAGCAATCCACTACAGTCCCTCCGCACGACGCGCACTGACGAATCTTGTTTTGCCTCCAGATTTACATGTTTATGGGATGGCTCTACATCTGCTCATCGCGTGAGCTAAACCGATTCGATTCGGTGTCCAAGTCGCCAATCTTCTCCATCTTTGGCGAGTCGCTCGCCGGCGTGAGCACGATCCGCGCGTTCGGCGACAGCACGCGCTTCATGCGCGACATCTTCAAACTCGTCGACCTCAACAACCGTCCCTTCATCGCGATGTGGCAGGCCAATAGATGGCTCTCGTTCCGCGTTGACGTCGCCGGCATTGGTATCACCGTCGCGGCTGCGGTGTTGATCTTGCTCACGCCTAGCATTGATGCGGGTGCGGCGGGCTTCATCCTGTCGTTCACGATGTCGTTCATGGACCGGATCCTGTGGGCAGTGCGCCTGTGGTCGATGGTCGAGATCAACGCCAACTCGATCGAACGAGTACAGGAGTACCTCGAGATCGATCAGGAGAAGCTGGATGGCGTGTCTCCGCCTGCGGTCTGGCCATCTCGTGATGGCACGATCGTGGTCGAAAACCTCACGGCGACCTACTCGTCTAATCTGCCTCCAGTGCTCAAGAACGTCAGCTTTTCGGTCGCGCCCCGCGAGAAGATCGGTATCTGTGGCCGCACGGGTGAGTGTCGGGTGAGTGTACCAATCATCAGCTTTAAACTTATCCTTACTCTTTCGCCCCCACTGTAGGCTCGGGCAAGTCGACGCTAGGCTTGTGCTTTTTCCGCTTCATCGAGGCGACCTCGGGCCGCATCGTCGTCGACGGCCTCGACATTGCCAAGCTCAACCTCTCGGATCTTCGATCGCGCCTGACGATCGTCGCGCAGGAGAGTGCGCTGTTCGCGGGCACGATCCGGTTCAACCTCGACCCGTTTGAGCAGTTCGAGGATAGCGACGTGTGGGACGCGTTGCGCCGCGTGCAGATGGCCGCACCGTTGACCCCGAAGCCGACTCCCGGTGCAACCCCCGCTGGCTCGAGTCGAGCGGCGAGTCCGACGGAGGATGGCTCCGGGGAGTCAGATGGATCTGACGATGCGACTGCGACCGCGACACCGGTGGAAGGGCTCGAACGCAACATCGTGAAGTCACTGGACATGCAAGTCAGTGAAGGCGGCAAGAACTTCAGCGCCGGCCAACGCCAACTGCTGGCTCTGGCCCGAGGTATCCTGAAGCTGCGCACGTCCAACATCCTCTTGTTGGACGAGTCGACGGCCTCACTCGACCAAGCGACGGACGAGCATATCCAGACGACGATCCGGGAGCAGATGTCGGATGCGACTATCTTATGTATCGCGCATAGGCTCAAGGTGAGCTCAAACCCCCTTGCCCGAGAGATGTATGCAATCGTTGAACTAACTTCTTCTTTCTTGTTGCATAGACCATCATCGACTATGACAAAATCCTTGTCCTCGGAGCGGGCGAGGTGCTCGAGTTTGACACGCCAGCAAATTTGATCAACGACGAGACGTCGGTCTTTGCCGATCTGTGTCGCAAGTCGGGCGACTTTGATGAGCTGAAGGCCATGGCCGATGGCAAGGTGGTTCTGTAGTACTGTTTTCAGTTGGAGATGTATAGTGAAATAATTCATTGTGGTTTTCCTTAAATTTGACTCGAACCATCCTAATGAGACCTCATCTTTAGGAGGGTGCGTGCTAGAATCCGAATCCGCTCACGCGAGTCGATTCGCGCGAGTGAGCGGACTCCGATGCTTGACCCGCCCCCACATTCACCGTCCATTCCTGCCTGTGTCGCATAACTGTCGCTCAGCGGCGATAGAACTCCAACCGCTGAAAAAACGTCGAACTAGAGTAATCGGCGTCACTCGGTCCGTTCCGTCCCCTTTGGGAACCTCAGCTTCACCCATCGTTCAACCTGGCTCCTACATCGAACGTCCGGCTGTTCGGGCTGGGCCTCGCCCTCGCTTTCGCCTCAGCCCTCTATCCCCGACTACCCTATTACCTCCCATCAGGTGTATCCTCCCTCCTCCCCTTCCTAGGTCCCGAACAACACCTCTCGAAATGGCACCAAGCGCAAACGTTCCAAAACCTCTTGCCCCATCCCGCGAACCATGACCCATTCGACGTCAAGGAGCCCGAGGCCGAACGACAGAGAAGGTTGTTGAGTGAGGACGGGGAGAACCAGAAGAGGAAGGAGGAGAAGAGGTTGCAGAGGGAGTGGGAGAAGAGGATCGAGATGGCGGGTGGGGAGAATCGCATTCATCCGGAGTTGCCGGCGTACTTTGTGCAGGGTAAGTCTGGATGATGTCCAAGCATGCATGCACACATCGGTGCTGATCGATCGTGTGTCCTTCATTGTTGCTTCGAATATTGATGGTTTGCTTTGTTGTGCGCTTTGCACGCAACGCGATCTCATCGAAAGCTCCTTCGATTCGAGGCCTTGATCGTCGGTCCCCGCTCGGCCAAACGCTGAGCAAGATCGGCGACGAGATCATCCATCAAGTCAAGCCGAACACCATCCTACTCCTTGTACCTGTCGAGTGAGTTCAACCTTTGACATGAGCCGACTTTTGCAATGGCTCGGAACACTGAATCCGCAAAGCATTTCGCTTCCTTCAACTCGCGTAGAACAACCCAGCCTTTCCTGCAGGTCTCCACGCTCGAGTCGTTGACCTACGTCTCATCCTCGGGAGTCAAAGCTCAGATATCTGGAAATCCTTCACTGGCGCAGTCGTTGATAACGAGCCTAGCGTACGCTTCTCCCGCCGTCCCAGCCGTTTCGAGCCGACAGAATCTGCACGACAGTGTCGCCCCCGTGCTCGAAACGATGTTCGGCACCATGTTGAACGTCAAGGTCGTTCAAATCAGCGTTCCTGTTCTGAATCAGGGGGCTTGGGATAGCGAGAAGTATTTTGATATAGGGCATGCGCTGTTGAAGCCGAGGCAAGAAGAACAGGACGTTGTCGTTTTGGCGCTTGGAAAACTTGGCGCCGGCAAGGTCAGTGCTTTTCACCCCGATGAGCCGGCACTCGTGTCTTTTAATCGAGCTGACGCTTCATTCGTACCTGTCAGAACCTCCCTCTTCTCGACGACGCGCTCGCTCACCACACCCACCATCCACGATTCACATCCCTCCTCTCACTGATCCACGCCTCGTCAGGAAAAAAACCTTCGCGCGCCGTGCCCCGATCACTCGCAGCGATATATACTGCCGTGGGTGCAGCTGGCGAAGGGGAAGGAGCACGATTGGACGAACAAGGGAATTGTTGGCGTTTTGGGGCTGTGCCGATGACTAAGAATCCGAAATAATTGAAGGGGCAGACATGATCCAGAGGCGCCATGGGCGTGATCGGCTTCTCCGTAACCGCGACCGTAGATAAGACGCGGGCTTTATAGTACCTTGCAATGTCCATGTGTCACTCTACTGGCCGCTTTTCAAATAGTAAAAAACGTGCCATAATTAACAGGAACAACAGCGGATTGATCACGATGTGCTCCGTCAGCACCGACCGTGGGACCGAGCGACCGAACTGCGACAGACTGCGACCGAGCGACCAATGCCTCGGCCTCCGACAGCAAGCTGGCGCCTGCTGGCGCTCTCTCTCCCTCGCTCTCCTTCCCCGGACCCTCGAACTATCGGCCTCCAACTCGGCTGTCACGGGTACTACTTGAACCCACTCTACCCAAAAGCATCCCAAAGCGATATGGGCAAGTCGCTGAACGTGGCCATCTGCCAATTCGCGTCGATCCCTCCTACAACGCCCAACAACGGTGAGCTAAACTTGGCTCGAGCGCACGACTTTGTGCGCCAGGCGGCTCAACAGGGGGCTCAATTGGTCGTCTTTCCCGAGTACTTCTTATCCGTGAGTGAGAAGAGGATCGCTCTCTCGTCTAACGGGAACGGGAACTGATCTATTACTCTCGGTCCTATCGTAATCGCTCCCGCCGGCTTCAATGTGCGACACCCTTTCAATTCATGTGGGGCCCCCCCTACCGCCATGCCTTTGGATCAATGCCATACTGGAATAGGGTATCATCGCCGATCCGCAACACCACCACCTTGCCCAACTGCCCCACCACGAACACGCGACCGCGTCCTCCTCCGAGTCGTCCTCCCCGGAACAAGTAACGCACTGGCTCGAAACGTTCCGACGCCTCGCCGTCGAATTGAAAATCGATATCGTACCCGGAACCATCGTCGAACGAGGCACCGATTCTGAACAGTTGCATAACGTCGCGCATTATATCTCTAAGGACGGAACGATTAAGGGTAGATATGTGAAGAGAAATCTGTGGCATCCCGAGAAGACGTATCTGACGCGCGGGGAGGAAGAGCATCAGGTGTTTGAGACCGAATGGGGTAAGGTCGGGATGCTGATTTGTAAGTGCGCGCTCCTTCTTGGACAAAGTGATGCGCACAAGGTCCTGGGAATGTACTCTGCCTCTGACCACTTTCGAGAGACCACTTCTGCTCAGGCTGGGATCTCGCTTGGCCTGAGGCTTTCCAAGCGCTCCTCCTTCAAGGCGTCGATATCATCATCATCCCTACATGCTGGCTGGTAAGTGACCTATCCCATCAACCGTGAACTTATTCACACTAATTGAGACACCTTTAACAATAACAGGGCACCGACGGTGACGACATTGGCCTTCTGCACGACCCGCACTGCGAGGAAAAATTCCTCGACGCGACCATCATCTCCCGCGCGTTCGAGAACGAATGCGTGATCGTGTTCGTGAATGCGGGTGGTGAAGCATCGCAAGGCTGGATTGGAAGAAGTGGAGTGACGGTCCCTTTCAAGGGCAAGATTGGTGGGACGAAGGATGAGAAGGAGGAATTGGTGGTGGTGAAAGTCGGTTTGGGGATCCTGGAGGTGGGTGCGACGCTGGATTGTTTTCAGGGACGGTACGGCCACGTCGTGGTGCCGATGCTAGAATGCTTCATTGACTTTGCAGGACGCAAGAACGGTCTATGGGCTTCGAAAAGACTTGGTTGAGAAGGTGCGGCAGCGGAAGGGGGCAACCGAGACCGCGAATTGAACCCAATCCGAGTCGGATCGCCCCCGAAGTCGAATAGCAGTACCACGCGTCCGACCAGATCCATTCTTCAGCCCAACTAGAACAACAACAACAAATTTTCATTCACATCCGTCCCCCCTCTAAAAATCCCTCTTTCCTGCCCGCACCCTCAATCAACCCCTTTTGTCTCTTCTCCTCCCTCACGACCCATTCCAGCGCCTCCAACCATCTCTCCAACTTCAAACCCCTACCGTTCGAGCCAGCCCTGCTTTTCAAAACCTGCTTAGTCAAGAATTTCGAATGGGCCAAAATGGGCAACTTCCTCAACGTCCTCCCACTCATCCCTCGACATTCAGTTGCAAGGTCGAATAAGCGATGACTTGGACTCGAGCTTGTTCCTTCGGGGGTGGAGGGGAGTCGTATTTTAGAAAGTTGGTCGTAGGTGAGCAGTGATTGGGGGCGTATCATCCGTTTGGACATGAGTTCGAGGAGCGAGGTGCGCAGGATCCAATAGATTGCGGGGGGTGGCGGTCTAGACGAGGTGAATAAGGGGGTTCGGTGAGTTAGTAGGGGCACATTGGAGTGGAGGTTCGAATTGACGTACAATCCGACGTATTGCTTGATATCCGCTCGGTCGATGAAGGCCGGATCTGTAACGTCGATGAGCAAACTCAGTCCGAGTACTTTGAATGACTAAATGTCGAGGGTGTAGCTCACCAATCGCTTCGGACAAGTTGGACGTCGTGATGACGAGGCAATTCTTGCGCGTCTTGAGCTTGTCCAATTGAGTCAATAACGCATTGACGACCTGTAAGAGGACGAACGACTCCTGAGCGAGAGGTACCGAAGCCTCGGCGCTTCAGTAGTTCTTCGGCCACCTTACCCGTAAAGCGTCAGAGGGCTCTTTGCCCGACATGGCCCCCGCTCGAGCAGCGGTAAGACTCTCCACTTCATCTGTAGGGCTCACATGAGCTCAGCAGTACGTTCTCCTCTGAGCGTGCAGACCGATTGGACCACCTACCAATCAGCACCACCGCAAAACCTTCCTCATCCTCGACCATCTCCGTCACGCTCGCGAAGAGCTTCTGCACCAATTTGCCCGATTCGGAGAACCATTTCGAAAAGAGGGAATGCGAGTTGATCTCGATGAGTCGACCGAAGCGATAGCTGTGGGTTCAAGGCCGGATGAGTGATCCAGTTGTTCCATGATGGTTGGTGGTCCCGATGGGCCTCACTCACGTTGTGGAGAGACGAATGGCGAGTTTTTGCGCTAGGGCACGACAGAGCGACGTTTTACCTGATCCTGGAGGACCATGCAAGAGGCATACCCTGAGTACCAAAACCTGATCGTCAGCTGCTGTCAGCTGCACAAACGCTGAGGCAAATGACCCGCACCTGTTCCACGAAACGATATTGAAATCGACGTCGTGGTCCGAAAACTCCATCGACGAATGAATATAATTCAACAAATTCTCCTTGACCGGTTCCTCATAGATCAGATTATCCCAGATCCCTTCCAAAGAAAGGGAAGGTAGTTCAAGGACGGAAGCGGCAGGTCCGTCGTCCTCGTTGGCTTGGTTCTCGTAGTCGTCGTCTGCGGTGGAGATGAAACAGTCCGAGGTGCGGGACGAAAGCGCGGGTTGGTAGAGGTGGATCTCGAGTTCGACTTGGGAGAGGGGGACGGTCGTATGCGGGTAGTCTGGCTCGTGAACTGTCCGGTCAGCATCACCACGTGAAGAATCGGTCGCCAGAAGGGACTGACCCGATTCGGCGATCCATATCCTCTCGACGTACATATCCAGAACGGCGATCCTCGTCCAAGCCGAATCGAGCTCGCAGTTCTGTCCTACGGTGATCTCCGATGGATCGTCGGCTAGGAGGTATTGTCGTACGATGGTGCGCAAGGTGTCGGTCCGAACGGAGCCCGTCGGTTTGAGACGGACTTCGACTGGGTGAGGAAAGTGGGTTGCTCAGTGGCTGGTGGTGCGGAAAGGCGATCATTCTGACTGACCATGTAGTACGGGCTTGTACACTTGGTCCTGCTCATCATCGCTATCGTCCTGGCCCTCGTCCAGGACCGTATCGGGTTTGAGGTCGCCATCCTGATCGTGATCGTGCTCGTGCTGCCATTCGTCGTTTTCGAGATCAAGTTGCTCATCCTGCAACCGGTTACTGCGCTGACGGTCGTCGTCGTCGTCGTCGTCGTCGACCATGGACATGTCACCCGCGCTCGTACTCCTCGAAAAGGACGACGGCTCGCCGAACGAAGTGGTGCGACCGAGGCCGTTGGTGCGATCTGGCATGGGGTGAGCGAGTGTGTGTTCTTGCAGTATGCTCGTGCTCGAGCTCGGAGACCGAGGCGAGGTCGATAGGTGCGTCAAGGACGACGAAGACCGCTGCTGCGACAGAGGCACAGGAGGCTCTTGCGGGTGGTTGAGTGAACCTTCGCGCAGGGGCGAGATCAGCACCGTTGTTGTTGTTGTTGTTGCTGCTGCTGCTGCTGCTGCTGCTGCGGGGGTTGAGACCGCACTCGACAGCTTCTTGGGTTGCTGACGAGGTCGTGGGGGTGTGATGGCTAGTTCAAAGACGCTGGATCCCATGCTTGCGGCTCAAAGTGTGCTGCGTCGTCGATCCTCTTTTTTTTTCGGGGAGATTTGCGGGCAGAGCGCGAGACGCGTGAAATTAAAGCTGAACTTCAACTTTGGCCGGACGCGTCGGGATGGATTTTCGGCGGTAATCCAACCACAAGCAACGCTCGGAAAATAAAATGCCGTTTCCATCATCATTATGAGAGACTCAGGCTAGAGCAGTTCCCGTGTAGCTTACACTGGTGGTTGATTTACCCGATGACGTCGCGTCGGAGGCTCACGCGGACTCGGAGCGGGACCGGATCTGCGCACGGAAGCGCACGGACCTCTTTCAACGGAGGCGCTCCGTCGAGCTCACCGCCTTCAGCCTTCAGCCTTCTCCCTTCCCAAGTTCCCGCTTCCCCACCGTCTACCACCTGGCCCGCGCCGCACCGGCCTCACCGGCCTCACCGGCCTCACCCATGACGACAATCGCAACGCCTACGACCCTGTACGACCCCCCACCGTCCTTCTCGCTCGTCTCCCCCTTCCTCTACCGCAGCAGCGTACCCACCTCCTCCCACCTCCCCTATCTCCTCCCTCTGCACCTAAACACCCTCCTCTCCCTAGGCCCCGAACTCCCCTCCAAGGCGCTGCAACAATGGTGCGAACTCCAAAACGTCCGGCTGGTCCATTTGGGCCGAAAGAGGGACGTCGTCGGCGAAGCAAGGACGTGGAAACCCGTTCAAGAGGAGTTGGTCAAGGAAGGCTTGCAGCTCCTGTTGAGCAGGGAGAATGCACCGTGTTTGGTCGTCGATCCGTAAGTGGTGCAGGCTCGATGAAGCTTTTTCATTTTTCTCCCCCCTTGGCTTCAGGTGAAGATAGCTGATTGCCGCCCTCTTCTGTTCGAAGCTCGGGCGTACACGAAGTCGGGATCCTGATCGGCTGTCTGAGAAAATTGCAGCGCTGGACCCTGTCCGCCATATTCGCAGAGGTGATCTTCGAAAGCACCTCAACCTCCCAAATAGCGTTTCGCTCATCCGCCCGTCTTTGTGGTTACAGTACGCCTCGTTGGCAGGCTCGCAATCTCGCGACATTGAAGAGGTTCGTCTCTTTGCCTAGCCGGCCACGAAGAATCTTCTCCTCTCCATGTATACCCGCTAACCATTACCTTGCCCGTGTATTGTTTTCCGCTCCCTCGTTCGAAATAGCAATTCATCGAAGTAAGCCCTCCCACTTTCCACACGCCCCGCCACCTCTACCCTTCAAAACCCGACCAGCCCCACCGGCTGAAGAAAGTCACCCTTCTGACCCTGATCCCTCCCCCCTGTCCTTCACACAGCTCTTCGACACGGACCTGGTCGTGATCCCACCTTTGAAGGACCGCATCGACGGCGTGAGGGACGTGGTGAATGATCCGCCTTTACTTGCTCCGCCTCATTGGAACGCCCAGGTTCCCCCCGACCCGTCGAGCGATTCCCCGACTACGCAAGCGTGAACCCCGTTCGAGCTTTCTCGACGGTGCAGTCGTCGTCAATTCTGTCTCGGTGATCTTCTTGCTTGTTGTAACAACGCCGTAACTTGTAGTCTTTAATACGAGACCGGACCTCTCTTTCCTAATCCGAGAACGTATCCTTTCACGAATAAAGAAGCTCCTCTGTTTTTTTTCACAAAAGCACAATTTCAGAAAAGAGAGACTCCCAACCCTACCCCTACGCTCGGTAGTGTGAGGTGTACTTCTCACCACGTCCGTCTAATCAAGGCCAGGTACCAAAAGGCCAACGAAGGCTGACTAATCCAAAGATCACCTATCCCCGCCGACCTTTTCTCAATCGGTTTTCCTCCCACTTATCGTTCGAGTACCCTCCCTCCTCCATCACTTGCATCTTTCATCTCCTCCTCTTCCCCATCCATGATCCATCTCCTTCTCCCTCGACTGCCTAATTTCATTCAAATCGCCTTACTCTTGACCAAAGCCTCCACATCGGCGACGGCGGCGACCAAGATATCCTTCTGCAACTTCTTATCGGTCAACGTCTTTTGCACGTTCTCCAACACGGTCTGCACCAAGTCGCGTTGTTCCTGTTCCCTGACTTGGGCCTCGTGGCGAACCCACGAATCGAGCACGGACTTGATGTCCGAAGTCAAAGCGGTTTGTTGCTTCAACGTGAACGTTTCGTGTTCGAGTTTCGCCGTTTGCTATCCGGACCGGATCGAGTTGAATGTGTGGGGGGTTCAGTACATGTTTGTTGATTCCCCAAGCGACCAATCCATCCCCCCGTGTGATTCACCTTTGAGAGTTCAAACAATTGCTTGGTCAAGGCCTCGACGTCCTTCATCTCGCCGACCGAGTCGATGCGGCCTTGCACGGCCTGGGTGTGCGTCGCGCGGGCCGAGTTGAGGATTCCCCGGATCTTCTACTCGACGAAGGGGGGAGCGCGGCGCCACGAACAAGCGAAGAAGGTGGTGAGTGACTTTTTGAATTTTTGGTTCGTCGTCCCGAGTCGACGCCGATCGGATCACCACTTACGTCGATCTGGCCGTTGGCCCATTCGGTGTAAGGACCTCGTACGGCGGACGCGACGTAACCGACAAAGATGACGAACGAGCCGAGAATCTGTGGTACGAAAAGCCGCGCAACAACAGATCAACGCCGTGCTTTCGAATTTGCGCCAGGGGTGGGGGTGTGACCACTCACGACCACTTCCTCGTTGAGGACAAACAACTCGGACGAGATACCGGCGGCGGCGACGGCGGTGGTGGCGGTGATGATGCCCGTCTTGGACACGAGCGAGTTACCGGGCAGGGCGTCGATCAGCGCATTGGCCTTGACCGCGGGCGCGGGCTTCTCGGACGCGGAGGAAGCGAAGCGGAGACTGTGTCATGGGGTGGAGATGTCAGGGGGGATGCGGGATGTGGGTGGGGTGGGCGTGGTCGTCGTTGAGGGGTCGAGTGTCGGCGTGCGCGTTGGGCGGTAGGCGTGTGTGAGGCGAGGCGCGCGAGGCGGAGGCGAAGGCGACGACAGACACACAGACCAGCCCAGACCAGCCCAAGACCAGCCAAACCGAGCCGAGCGAGACCCGACCACAGTGTGCGACAACCGTACAGGGGATAAGACGAACAGCATTCGGTCAGTACAGCGTCCCCACGAGTACATCCACCCTCATCCACCCCACGTCGCTACCACCCGCCATCCCTCCCTCGGTCGTACGAGCCATCGGGCAAAGAAGGAACTCGTCCAGTACGAGCACACACACACACACACACACACACACTACACTACACTACACTGCATCCCCCTCCAAACGCCACCACCACTCACGATGAAGGAGCCACAACAGCTGATCGAACAGCTGGTCGCAGGGCAGAGCGGGCGGCGGTACGGGCGAGCATCGTTTCCGGTTCTGTGGGCTGCGGTGCGGGTGTGCGGATGCGGGTGAGCGGGCGCGGGTCGAGGGCAGGGCGGAGGAGCGCGGACCAGTCGCGGACCCGACTCCGGAGCGGCTGGCCCTAAAAAGACGCGGAAATCAAATTCCCTCATTACCAGTTTGTAATGCAATTCTACAGCGGCAACTCGGCCACGGCCATCACCCCACCGACCAAATGCAAACTCCCCGTCACCAGCACATCCACCTCCACCTCCACCTCCACCTCCACCTTCCCCTCACCCTCACCCTCACCCTCACCCTCACCTTCACCCTCACCCTTCCCAGCCAAACCTCTAATCATCCTCACCGCATCCTCGATCGATCCCAACACCTGCACCTGCGCCACCTGCGCGTCCACCTCCTTCCCCTCGGGTAAGCGCGTCAATTCTTTCCACGCGTCCTTCAACTCATGTTGCACGCTCAGCTTCTCCAATTCCTCCTGATCGACCGCGTTGGAGGTCAAATCCCCCGCCGAAGAACCCGAAGAGAACGTCGTATTGGTGCAAAACACGACATGGTGAAACGGTGGGACGGCCTGGCTGAATTTGGCCAGCGATCGGACCAAAGTCCCGAGGAGGGAAAGACCGGATCGACCGGAAGTACAATTGAATACGAGCACGCGCTGATGATCCGGTGACGAACCAAGACCGACTTGACCGAACCATTCGCCACAACATTGTAGACTTTCGACCGTGTGCGCACCGTCGAGGTACCACCTCACCGACATGGATTGCGTATCTCGTTCGATTTGACATCGCCCTGGCCAGCGAGTGGCTTCCAGGCCCTTGACGATCCGAGACGGTAAAGGCTTGGGCGCGATCAAACTAGTGGGGAGAGACGTGGAGGTCGATGTGTCCAGAGCGGACGAAGAGTAAGCGGGTGGGAGTCGAGGGGAAGCGAGGAATGAGCGAACGAGCCCGACGGCAAGCGAGGCGTTGATGCGTTGATGGGCTCCAGCGAGACCTGATCAATGAGGAGCCGTGGTGTTTGAGTACCTCGTGGTCGTCTCTGCATGACCAGACGCCACTCACCCAGCTTTATTGTCTTGAGCTCTTCAATTTCCGGAACGACCGTAAACGACGAGGCGCCGAGCTCCTTCGCTCTCGAAGCCAACACGTCGAGCCCTTCCGCGGGTTGTTGGACGGCCAAGGCCGGTACTCCGGGCTATTGCAATAATTAAAAAAATGATCCAAGAACTCGGTCAGCGTTCGCGGTCACATTCTCTCCCCGGGGAGGGTTCTCAATTTTCTCCGAAGTGTTTCGCCGCAAAGAAACTTTACCTTGTAAATCCCGCCCTTCTGCGTCGCGATCTCCGGGATCGTCTTTCCGAGTACAAAGACATGATCGATCCCCAAGGATGTGACACCCGTGACGATAGGTTGAGGCACGACATTGGTCGAATCGTAGGTGCCTCCGACGCCGACTTCGAGGATCGTCGCGTCAACCTGGGGGCGAAGAGGGCAAAAGGCCAAGAAGATCGGTGTTTAGCAACTAGTGCAGGGGAAACCGTCGGGGAGTGGATATCGGACCTTTTCTCGTAAAAAGACGTGAAAGGCCATCAAGGTAAGATAACGGAAGTAAGCCGGTTTCTCCGGCGTCGTTTCACGATCATTCCTCTGCTCTCAAACAACTCCAACATCAGCTCTCTTATAACACCCCCTCCCACTCCCACTCCCGCACCACCACACCACTCACCTCTGGATTCTTCTCCAATCTATCCCAAACTTCAAAGAAATACCTCGCGAACGTCTCCTCATCCAAGGGTTTTCCGTTCAACCTAATCCTCTCCCTCACGGCGACCATATGAGGCGAGGTGTACAACCCCGTCTTTGCGGAGGGTTCGATGTGACGCAGGAGGGAATCGACAAAGGCGGAAGTGGATCCTTTGCCTTTGGTTCCGGTGATGTGGATCGCGTTGAGCGCGTTGAGGTCGGACGGCTGAGGTCCGATTGAGACCACGTTGGGAGAGTAGATCAGCTTTCTCGTCCATCCTTCCCTCTTCACCACCAAAAAAGTCTCCCAAAAAAACGAACCTTGTACCCCAACCTCCCCAAATACTCGATTGTTTCCCCCATCTGCGCCTCGCCATTCTTACCTCCCGTCTTGCGGATGTTCTCAATCACCGAAGCGTTCGATTGGAGCGTATTCAAGAGCGAGATCGCAGAGCCGTACGAACGGTCGCCTGTGGTGATGGTCGTGGTGGACATGGCTCGATTGAGAAAGGGGAGGGGAAGGATTCTTGGTTGGATGAGGGCCAGACGATGTAGTAGGCTTGCGTACGGGCGCATTTACTCGCACATACGGTCGTCGATGCAGTTCGCACGCGCGGAAGCAAACCGACCTGCAAAGTGGCCCTCCGGTGGGGGCGACGTATTTATCCGAGAATCGATCTGCTCACAAAGACACTCCAATCCATCATACGAACGAGCAAAAGAGACAAACTTGCAAATTGCATATGTTGAAAACATCTCACACCCAAAGCGCTACAACATCAACGCGTCTCGCCAAAAGTTCAAGTCCTCCCCCTCTTTCTCAACCTCCCCGCCAAATTTTTAGCGTTCCTCGTCAATGAACCGAACGCATCAGGTCCCGTACTATCGATATCCATATCCCCCACAAGCTCCCCATCTCCTTCACCACGACCGACGGCACCAGCACTGACCAAGGAAGCTGCCCCACCCCCCCTCGTTCCAGCACCAGACGAGGCGCCACCCCCACTTGGGTCCGAGGAGTGTACGTGCGATCCCAGCACTCCTGCACCGCTTCTCCTCTCCCTCTCCTTCCCCTTACCGACCGTTCCAGCGGTATTCATCGTTGTTGAATCCTTACCATTCTCATCGATAACCTTTTGCACGGCCTTGTCGTGCTCATGTTGCGCGCGTAAATCGTTGATCCCATCGGCGGTCAATCGCGCCAAATGATGATCGAGCGAGGTGAGCAGACTCGAAATCATCACCAGCCAAGACGAGAGTGAATTCGTCATCGAGGCAATCGAATGCGATGATTCGAGAAGGAGAGAGGTCGTGTCGATTCGAGTAGAAGGTGTGGGGCCAGCAGCGGAAGGGTCAACTTCCATCTCGGTCGTCGGGGTCGGGGTCGGGGCCGAAGCCGAAAGTTGAGTATCGCTGGCCGCTTTGACGGGTTCGGTGATTGGGTCCGAACGAACATCTCGACCTATCGAAGAGGTGATCTCGATCCTGGCGCGATGTTGATCGAGTCGACCGTCGAAGACGCCGGCGTAGATGCCTTCGATGAGCAAATCTTCGAGCTTGGGGATCGAGTCGAGCTCGAGCGTGGAGAGCAAGGTCGAGTAGGCGATGACCTGTCACTCGGTATGTATCGTTCAGTTTCTTTTGTCCAGTGTAGGATCGAGATTTGGACTGACCCTAGCTTGCATGGCCAAGGAGACGATGGTGAGGTGCCTCAGCTTGACCTCCTGAACCGGACCGAGTTCGGGCAGACTCGAGCGGTTCTCTGCCCAAGGTCAATCGGAGAGGATGAGCGGAGGCTTGTGAGTGACCTAAGGCAGTATTGGGCCTTACGTTGGTAGTCGGACCAAGTGCCATAGGCAAAGATCTTGAGCAATTCGAGACTGGAAGCGTGGCCCTCGCTCGTCGCGAGCTGGAATCGAGGAGCCAACCTCCCCAAAGATCAGCTAGATTCAGTTGTGGCGTGATCGGATTGACAAGACTCACATCTTGTATGCTCGGCATGGCCAACAGCTCGCCAAAGACGTACACGCTGGGGGCTGCGGTCGCCTGGGCCACGAGCGCGGCTGCACCTGCTCCACGGGCTGACTTGGCGAGCAGACAAAAGGGCTGTGGATTGCCATCGGATGATTTCGAGTTATTAGTGAATGCTCCTGGCGTGTTCGCAGGAACGGCTGAGCGGTGGTGTGCGCGGTCTGACTGCTCGAGGTGGGGGTCGGGCCACGACAAGCGCCTAGTAGGCGTTGGTGAGATCGCCGAATGCGGTCGACGAGCATCACACGAGGTGTTGGACGCGCTGGACAGGGATGATACGACCTACTTCGAGCTTGGGAGACACGCCAAAGAGCGGTGCTTGGGGTCCGGTGTTGGCTACACGAACGGCGTGCTGCGTCGGGGCAGCGACTCGTTCTCCAATCGTCGTCGTCGCAGCGAAATCGTCGACCATGGACGCCATCCTGGGCTGAGGTCTTGCCGGGGTGGAGCGGGTGGGGCGAGGATGGGTGGGAAAAGGAGGTGCACGCTGAGCGCTGAGCGTGGCTTACGGCAGACAGGACCCCAGAAAGCCCCGCCGGAGGCGCATTTATTTTTTTTGACATTTTGAGGACCCAAAATCCTGAAAATCGTCGAGGCGCATTGCAAAAAATTGACATTTTGGGACGAAACACACGTTTTGCCCCCGAGGCGCCTTTGCAGATTTTGACATTTTTCCCGGGGGTCGAGGCAATTTTGGCCGACCCTGAGCAGCCTTCGGCATGACCATGGGCCCGCATTCGCCTTCGAGACGCGTTTGCCGCTCGGCGCCGATCGGCTATGGTCGCAGTACGACCGAGCAGAAGATGTTCAAAGCTGGGCGCTGCGAGCTCAACGATGGATGGACAAAATCGTCGTTATCAACGGAACTGACCGCAACCGTATCGCTGTCGCACGTCGCATACTGAACGGACTGCAATGGCAAGAGCAAGACGGGCTTCTACCATTGCCTCTTCTTGGGGGAGGAACGAGTTTGGTTTATCTTCTGAGATTCTTAAGTCAGTACACCAGTCCTTCAGCTGGCCACTCGTGTTCATTTCGTATCTGAGGCAACTTGCTTATTCGCGTCTCTACTCAGGTCACGATTGGCTCGGTGAAGCCGCGATGAACTTGTCGATTGAAAGCGTCCTTAGAGCTGGACGAGTGCAGAATCCCGATTCCGAAACATCGTATGGACTCATACCCTCTACCGTCATTTCCTTGTTACTGGCTCGCCCTTCCGGTTCGGATCCTCATTCGATCTTCAAAGCCTGGCCCGCCAAACCAGTATCGTAATCTCATCGAGCTAGGCGATTGCATGCGCAACGCGCCGACCTCAAAATCAATCTGGTTTTTACCCCTCTGCTCCGATAATCACTGCCACACCATTGGAGATCGGATCTCTGATCTGCTTTGGCCTCAAGCGTGGCATGCATTCACTCAGCTGCGATCAAACTGCTTATGGAGAAGAAACGTTGTCCATCGGAATTGGTACGTTGTTTTGAGTGCAGTGGCAGTTGAGCTGTGACGTTCTCATATGACAAAGGTCTTGTCTGCTACAGTGCGATACATCTACAGCAAAGTGACAACAAACCACTGCAACCGAGACACGCTCCCGTCGTTGGTTCTACTTTCAAATGTCGTCGTACAGGAGCTCTCGCCTCATCAAGAAAGCATGCTATTCCACTCACCTCATTGATGGCACTATGCCGTTCCGCATGATTGATGGTCGACAGGTCATCGAGTCATTAGGCCCGCCAGCGACTACATATCGTTCAACCACGGACCTTACCTCATGTTACCCCGACGAGCGCATAATCAGCACGTGCGCACATGCCGAGCAAAGATTTGCCGCCTTTCGGAGCGTCCCCGGCCTGCGAGATGCCGCCGGTAGAACCTCTACAAGCCGCACAAATGCCTCCGCGGATACAAGGAGCTCAAGTTCGGCAAAACGGAGGTCTGACAACGAAGTAGCGAGCCCACCAGCAAAGCAAGGAAGGCTTGTTTGATGCCTGGAGCCACGCGCGACACCAGCCGAAGCGACGCGCGCCGCAAGCCACTTTCGATCGGCCGCCGCGCGTCCGCAAACGCTCGGAACGCGTTTTCGAGGACTTTTGAGCGATTTTTGGAGCATGTAGAACACATTTTGATAATATTTTGAGGCGCATGTGAAATTTTGACATTTTGGGGCCAAAATAGGGTAAAAAACTTTGACAAAAAGGCCAAAAAACCGCGTTTTTCAACATGCGCCTCCGGCTGGGCTTTCTGGGGTCCTCGGCAGACTACGGCAGACCGGTGGCAGACCGGCCATTTCCCAGCCAGTGCGCGCCTGACCAGAGTGACGTCGATCAGGTAAGTTTGGCTAGGTTTGCCTTCTCTCAGCGATCTCTGCTCTCGGCCGTACCACCTCGCACCCACCCCCGATCCCGCTCCACTCCAGCCCACGCTCGTCTCGTACCACCTCACTCCCCAACGCCAACCGCAAGATGGCAGACGACGCCGCTGCCGAAGAACGACGAGCCAAAGCCGCCGCTCGTCAGGCCAAGCTGCTCGCCAAGTCCAACGAGCGACTGGCCAAGATCACCGGCGCCGCAAAGGGGGAAGGGCGAGTCATTTCAGATGGTCAGTACAGAACAGTCTCTGCTTATGAGCCTGCGTGGGTGTGTGTGTGTGTTGAATCTGTCTGTCTGCCACAGCCGCCGTCGGAATCGCACCTCGAACTGCACCTTCGTCCCCACCGCCACCGCGCTCGCTCGCACCACGAGACGACGACGATCCCGCCGAGGTCGATCTCGCCGCAGCGAGCATCAACGCCAGAGCGAATGCACTCGCCCAACTCAACCCTCAGCAACAGGCCCAGTTCGACCAAATGTTTGGCGGCCCAGGCGCAGCACCGGGAGCAGGTGCAGCCGATCCGTTCGCCCAGATGATGGCACAGATCATGGGCGGAGCAGCACCTGGCATCACTGTCGATCCGAACGCAACCGCACCTTCACCCTTTGGTCCCGGAGGAGCCAACATGTTCGCCAACCTCCTGAACGCACAACCCGGAGCCGCGGGAGGAGGAATACCAGCTCAACCGGGCGTGGCCGCTTTCCCTCCCACGCCCAAGACCTGGCTCGATCGAGTGTTCCCTCTCATCCACCTCGTGTCCATGATCGCCTTGTCCGTCTATGCGATCGTCTACGTCGAGCCCGCAAAAAAGTTTGGCCAGTACGGGTGGATGGGCATTGGGTCCAAGATCGATTGGGCTGCTTGGGCACGGCTGGGAGCGACGAAGCCGGTACAGGGCAGGATCGCAGGTCAGGTCGATCAACTCGCTGGAGTTGGGTTGTCGGTCGTGGTGAGTGCATGAGCAAAGTTCAATCACTTGGGTTGGTGTCCCCGCTGATGTTGACTCTTTCGGGATCTTAGCCTCTGCTGTGGATGTTTGTCAGCGTCGAACTGGTGCTGCAGACTTCGCGCTTGTTCCTATTGAGGGTAATATATTTCATTCTTAAATCTACCCGAACATCGAGCTAAACAAGCCTTTTTCCTTCCGACAGAATCGAGCTCCCGCCCCCTCGATGCTCAACAGCATCCTTCCCCTCGTCTCCCAGTTTTCCCCCCAACTCGGCCTCCTCATTTCCACCATCGTACGCTACATGACCCTCGTCACCGTCCTCTTGAACGACCTCAGTGTCGTCGTATTCTGCATCGGTGCCGCGACCGTTTACGGGAAATACAAGACCGGCACCTTTGGTGCGGGAGGGGCGAACGTGTTGGATCGGTTGAGTCAGGTCGGGCCTGAGGCTTTGGATCGGCTCAAAGGGGAATTGTGATCAAAATGAAAAAGGTGGCTGCTGTAAGGGTGTAGCAATGAATTGACGCCTAGGTCGTTACTTTATGGGGCTTTCAAGTCAGGTTCATTCGCTCGAGGGCTAGCGTTTGGATGGGTGTATATTATTCCCTGTCGAGAGGAAGCCGCTGCGGAAGAACTTCCAATCCGTAAAGTTGCAGCTTGCCGTTGATGGTATGACTACGAAGTCGGCGTGAGACCCGCTTCGCTGCCATCGGATCCCGATCACGGCAGCCGGCGGCGGGCGGTCGAGCCTTTAGCGATGTCGGCGTGGCATCTCATTAGGAGAGTGGCGCCAGGTAGGTCCCGCTGCCACCGGTCTCCGAATCTGGAGTCCGGGATCTGCTCATCCTGGGCCAACAAGGTCTTGGTTTTACACCCGAAGTCTGCCGCATAAGCCGTCACTATAACGGCTAGTGCTGCAGGCCGGGATTTGCTGTAATAGGTCCCTAGTGCCGCCGCCCCTGCACCCTATGCCAGCCTTGACTCTGGTGACGTTCGCTTGTGAAAAGCGGGGCCGGTTTATCCATCGAATTCTTGGGCGCGATCTAGACGCGCCGGCTGGGTCGGGCTTCCGCGGCGGCTTCCGCGGATGCCGGATCATCCGCGGCGAGGGATGCGGTGGGCTCCCGTAAGACTGCTCTCGTTCTCCGGCCCTTTGCACCCCCAATTCAGCGCTCCTCCAAGAGTACTCCTCTTTTCTATAAGCTCATCCATCTCGGTACTTACATCAGCCACCCCATTGGACTCACTTTTCCTGCTTCAGGTCCCTCCTCTTTCCACCGGGTGACCCCCACCTTGTTTCCCACACACTGCCCTTGTTCCCCACACACTGCACACTACCTTACACCCCTGCCGTCATGACAATCTACACCTCGCCCTTCCCCGCCGTGGAAAAGTGGTCCGACCAGGGCCTGTTCGATTTCATCTTTGAGAACAACGACAAGATCCAGCCCAACAATGTTGCGCTCGTCGACGCGGGCACGGGTACAGAGGTCACCTACAAGCAGCTCATTAGCGATTCGCTCAAGCTCGGCCATGGTCTCTCGCAGCGCTACAAGCCAGGTCAGACCATGCTCATCTTCTCGCCGAATTCCATCATCTACCCGAGTCTGCTCTTTGGAGCGCAGGCAGCGGCCATGGTCGCCACCACCGCCAACTCGTCCTACACCCCGAATGAGCTCGCGCACCAGATCAACATCTCGGATGCCGATCTCTTGCTCGTCGGTTCCGACCTCGTCGACGTCGCTAAAAAAGCCGTTCAGGAGGCAGGACTGAAGGAGTCGCAGATCTTTGTCCTCCCCGGCGTCGACGGCAAAACCAACCTCCAAGGCCTCGAATCGTACGAGGTCCTCATCGGCTCCGGCAAAGGGTTCAAGCAGCTCAAGGTCCCCGACATCTACGCCCCCGCGTACCTCCCCTTCTCGTCCGGAACGACCGGTCGAGGAAAAGGTGTTGCAGTGTCGACTTTTAACATCACCAGTGTCTCGTTGCAGTTGCGACAGGTCAAGGGCCTGTTTGATGGTCCCGAAGTGTGAGCGAATTTTTCGACTTTTAGACTGCGCAAAACGGCCATAGCTGATGTGCGCATCTTTTCGATGATGGGAAAAAGTGTGATGGGTGTTTTGCCTCTCTATCATATTTACGGGCTCATCGTTCTCTTGCATCAAACGCTCCTCAACGGCGGAACGATCGTCCTGCTCACCAAGTTCGATCTGCCGCTCTTCCTCGAGTCCGTCCAGCGTTACAAGGCCACGGTCGCACTTCTAGTTCCTCCCATCGCGCTCGCACTAGCCAAGCACCCTATCGTCGACAACTTTGACCTATCGTCGTTACGTTGGATCATGTCCGGTGCGGCGCCTCTTTCAGCAGATTTGCAAACCGTGCTCGAACGTCGGTTGAAGAACAAGACCTTGATCCTTCAAGGTTACGGCATGTCCGAGACGACTTCGGTCGGCCTTTTGCCCGATGTCAGCCAAGAAGTCAAAGCGGGCACGGTAGGTCGCTTACTTGCGTCGGTCGAAGCAAGGTTGATCGACCCTCAAACGGGTAAGGATGCCAAGGCCGGCGAGCCGGGAGAGCTCTGGTTGCGAGGCAATAACATCATGAAGGGATACGTGAGTTGTGCATCACCTCCTCCTCTGCTGTTCCGTGCAGCATAGTAAGGAGCTTAATTCTCCTGAGACGATTGGTCTGTGTAGCACAAGAACGAAAAGGCCACTGCCGAGACGATCAACAAGGACCGATGGCTGATGACGGGTGACGTCTGCATTCGGTCGGAAGATGGTGTATACACGATCGTGGATCGAACAAAGGAGTTGATCAAGGTTAGTCCCATCACACCGAGCCCAAGTCTGCGCAATTGCCTTTGCTCAAATCGGGTTTGCCGCCTCACTTTCTACAGTACAGGGGTTTTCAAGTCCCTCCCGCCGAATTGGAAGGGCTCTTACTCGAATGTCCCCTCGTGGCCGACGCGGCCGTGATCGGCGTCTGGTCCGAAGCGGATGCGACCGAATTCCCTCGAGCTTACATCGTTCCCGATGCGGCCCATAAGGACGACCAGGACCTGGCCAAGAAGGTACAACAATTCGTCGCGGATCGCGTCGCCCCGCACAAGAAACTTCGTGGCGGCGTCTTCTTGTTGGACGTAATCCCCAAGGTCAGCTCCCTTTTCCTACGCCATCGAAATTCGTCCGGAGTATCGGTACTAATGTCCTCTTGTCTTCGATCCTTAGTCGCCGAGTGGAAAAATACTCCGAAAAGATTTGCGTACCCTTGCGGCCAAGGAGAGTGAAGCGCAGAGCAAACTTTGAAAAGCTTACCCGAAACTGTTGGCTATATACTTTCTTGTCTCTGGGGAGTAGGGCCTTATACTTATTCAGTAACCCGAATTTTTTCATCCATTATAACTTCGCCAAAGGTATAGGGAAGCCTGACGAGGCAGAAGAGAAAACGCGAGAAGGCGAGCATGCAACGCGAGTCGTCAATGGGCGAACGAACCACTCGCCGAGCAAACGGCCGACAGCGGGGTTTTTCTGGGCAAGGACACATACACAGTCCGGGCTGCCGCTCTGTCCAGCTCCTGTCACAGAAAGCCCAGCAGACGTCTGAAAATAAACCTGTTCGAGTCGCGAGCCGCGCGGGACGAAGCTAAAACCCGACCCCTGACTCTATATGTATATGTATGGTCAGCTTCAACTACCGTCTCCAACTTGCGCTCCGCCCTCGGGCCCCGCCCGGGATGCCAGCTCGGACCCGCCGACCGCATCAGAGGTACAGTTGAGGAATCGAAAACTCTTACGAGCGATCGAGAAGTGCGGGTACGAGTAGTCACCCATTCCTTCTTTTCGAGCACCCCCGCAATGAGACCAAATCGTATACATTACATACATCTCCAACTCCAGTACCCTCCGATTTTGCACACTTCTGTCCTTTGGCTCGATACAACATCTTTCCCTTTAGCGTTTGGCAATCATCTCCTTCACAAAGTCTCCAAGCGAGACGAGGCAGACCGTCTGATGATAGAGAACCGCATCCACGAATGATCATCAGTCGGTGCGGGCTTCAGATCCTCACCTCACTGAAAGTGTTGTAGAACGAACTCACCCTCCATACCCCCAGCCCAATCCTAGGCGTGACCCCTCTGAAGAAGCCCGAGATGCCAGCTTCTTGGTAAATCGTCTTGAACGTTGAAACCATCGTCGTCGGTCGTGCCGCTGCCGAGGTCGTCTTCTTGAGGGATTGCATCTTTAGAAGAAGGGCTTCCTATTGATCAGTGTTCTGAATGAAACCTGACCACGGTAGTTTCCACTTTAAATCATACCTCCACGCGGACGACTTCGATAGGATGGTTCCAGCACCCAAGCACACCACCTGTCAAAGAGTTCATACCCGCCCCGGTCAAAGACGGGTCCGGACATTTGAAACGCATTGCGCGCCCATGTCTCGACTGACCGATCGCACTGGCCAAGACCTTGTCCTGCGTAGTCAAGGCTTTACCCTTCGGTAGTCCTCGCGCGTCTCGAATCAAAGTTTCAGCGGCCCTGTTACCGGACAAACTCTCCCAGGATCAGTAACTTCTCCTGAACCTCCTGGAAGCTTACGAGAGCTGAGAACTCACCTTGCGAACCCCATCCGACTACCCCAATTGGTCATCTGACGAATCGCGACCGCATTGACGCCCTTGTTGATACCTTTGATACCACCCTCGCGGTACATTTGCATGAAGAGACCGAACGTCGACGCGGCGGGGAGGACGGCGGCAGGTTGGCCCGGGATCGCGGAGGGGATGACGACGGCTTTCGCGCGAGTCACTTCGGCGGTCTTCATCGTTGTGCAGACGCCTTTCATCGAGAAGGTCAGGAGTGCGATACGACGCGGCGATGGGAGCAGAGCGGATAAGCACGGGACGGTCGACGAATCAGTAAATTCGTCCGACCGGGGGCCGAACCTCAGTCAGATACCAAGACTGACCCATCGCCAAATAAGCTTGTGCTGCTCCCCCCGCAATACCACCCAACATACCCGCCGCACCCTTGGAGACGCCCGCATTGGTCGCGACGGATTCGACGCCGGTCGCGGTGAAGAGGAGGATTGCCCCTGTCGTGCCGCTTTCGATCCAGGCCCAGGGGATCAGGCCTTGGTAGAAACCTTTGAACCCTCCTCGGGCGTACGTTTTTGCGATCGCTTGTCGGAGCTGGATCGTTTTGGTGGATGAGGAATCGTGAGTCAGTGTGCGGTAGAGAAAGAGTAGGGATGATTTAGCTGGGCACTGGTCGCTGGCGCAGGGCAAGGTGGAGGAGGCACTGACATTATCGGATCGATTGGCTGCCATGTGCGTTTTCAAGACTTCTAAAGGCTGTTGGGGAATGAACAAGAATCAGGGTGGCGTACGTGATATATTTCACAAAGACCTCTTCACAGTCCGAGCAGAGCCGAATCGCGCGTAGTAGTCGTGGACGGCCACAATTTTGTGGGGAAACCTTCTCTCCTGGGAGTCGAAGGGGGGGCGCTCTCCAGGAAGCAGTGTACATGCCCAAGCTAATCGACGCCGCAGGGACGTGTCATTCGGTTCAATGTACGTACTTGACCGAAAGTTGTAACTAAGAACGTCCAAACGAATGCAGGAAACGGGTCAGCCTCGCACTGCAGTCGGGGCTCGTCACGGCGCGACCCCACACACCGACCGTGGGCCCATTGGGCGGGCAAAGCGTGTGGGGCCCAAGTCGGATCGATCTGATCAACGAAGATGAGCATCATCATCTTCACTTACCCTCGAACAAGGACACGGACGCGCCGACGGCGAGGTTGGTCCATGATAAAGGAGACGGCTTCTTGGTGGTCCCGCTCATGTTGAGGGTCTATATGTCTATGCGCAGGCGGGACTGAGGGCACGGAATGCAGTGAAGGGGCACGGCGCACGAGAGGCGAGTCACGCGTTGGAAGCGGGTGGGCTGCAGGAGAGAGGGAGGGAGCCACGCGCGAGCGACGGCGCACCCAGAGCTCGAGACGACGATCAGCCTGCTTGGCCAAAGTATCTCACCGTCCAAGCCTTTGCGCTTTTCAGGAACCTATACCGCGAGAGAACTCCGCGAATGAGATAGAGCCATGACCACCTTGGTCTAGGTGAAAAGTGGAGTCCCATGAGATTCCTGGCCCATCAAAGCTGGCTTCGACCCTTCTCGCCGAGAAGAGCAAATCAGGCTCCTCGCGCTCACTAGACAGATGAGCCCGTCATGGCCTCATTCCAGACACCTGGTCACTCTTCGATATACTTTAATCTTGATATAGTACATTACACGTTTCTGCATTACGTCTCGTGCCGGCCCTCCTAACCTCTAACTCGTTTACCGAGCCTTTTGAGCGTTGGAAGATTCTGCGATAGCGGACGCGACAAGTGAGCACAACATCGTTAGTTGGATCATACACATGAGCGAGAAACGACATGGGCCCATCGCTGAGGACTCTGTCCTGTCCCAGCGCCAAGGACATGAGGGTTATAGCAGTGATTCGACTATCGACTGACCTCGCCTTGTGGCGTCCTCCAGCAGTTGGGTATCGACGGCCTCTTTGGGCAATTGCACGTATCGTACGACACTGCCACGAATGAAGCAATTCCTCACTGCCATCTGTAGAGCGAGAGGAGCATACGCTCAAGCTCAGCTCAGCTCGACAAGATCCCTCATCCACACGACGCCCTTGCCCTTGCCCCCCGCTGCCGGACGAACCATATGAGGATGCTTGTCCTCGTCCAGAACACGAATGTTGTCGAGCTTGATGTTGAGGAACTGGTCGACGGACTTGAGCGTGCCGACGATCGAGAGGTCGTTCTTGAGCTCGACCGTCACTTCCTGGTCCGTCAGCGTCTTGAACACGGAGAAGATCAGCTGCAGGGGTGGTAGGATGGGTAAGTGATGGCACTTGGAATGCAGAGGCTCATATGGACTGACCATCGTGGGCCGATTGAGGGGAGTGGGATAGGGAAAGCGAGTCGAGTCGAGTGAAGCAGAGCACGACGCTTCGCCGCGCTCAAGTCTTCTCAGGCCATCCCTCCACCGCCAGTCGCAGCCTTTCATTTTTGTCTTTATCAATATCAAGCCCTTCGAATCAACTTCATTCTAGATCATCCCAATAACTATTCTAGTATTTACTGGAACAACGTTGCACCACTTCAATACATCGTCGTACCCCTCTCAGCGATCCTCACCACGTTTTTCCCACTCTCCCTCTTGCCCGAATCCCACAGATACCCATCCAGATCCACCTCCAACATACCCCTCATCCATTCGTTTTCGGATCCGTTCTCGGACAAAACTTGCGCTCGTTCGACTATTCGATGACAGGCCGAGATGGAAGCTGCTCGGAGTCGGGTCGCTTCTTCGGTCGAGAGAAGGGGTGGGTTTCGCAATGTCCTCGAGGTGGAGAGCACGATGATGCGGTGGTGCATCAAAACGGCTGCACAAAATACTCGTGAGATCAGTCCAAGCACCATCTCTAGCAGCATGATTACCCCGCCGCAGAAACCTTTGAGACTGACAAGGTATGACGTTGTCGGCAAAAATGGGGAAGCGAGTCGTGTTCGTCGGTAAAGGGAACGTCGGGGCATGGTCAGGGCTCCCAGAGGCGGAGAAGCGTAATGTGATCGCATTGAGGAGGTACAACGCTTTTTTGAGAATGTATACGGCTGCGGGTGTCAGGGGACGGAATGGGGTCAGTGTCTCCCCAGCGAAAGATTTGAGATGAACAAGGAAGCGAAACCCACATCCGCCGTCAATCGTGTACGCATCTTGGAAATCCGGGAATGTGTCGTAAATCTGCATAGAGCAAGTCGAGTGAGAATGCATGAGCCATCATGATTGAGCCGATGGCCGAACCCTCAAAATTCTTCTCCGCTTCCGTTGCTCACCTTGCGTAGCATCTGCTCACTATCGCCCTCGACCTCCAACAGAGCCTGTTGGACCCAATGCCCTAGATCCTCCTTGCCTTCTTTCTTCAGAACCTCCCCCGTCCGATTCAACACCCTCACGATCAATTCGAGAATCTCGAACGCGTCGTCATCCTTCATGCCGACTTTGACGACCGGCCCCAGAGTTGGATGGGGTTTTTCCTGATGGGTCTGGATCTGCGCCATGCTACTTATTTGGGTCAAGGTGGCGTTGCGCATCCCTTTGGCTGATAAGAGTGAGGAAGATGACGAGTCGCCTGCGGAGAGATGGGCCGCGAGCACGAGCGAGAGGATGTTCGAGAAGGCGCCGCGTTGAGTTAGGCGGTGTAAGGGTTTGCGGTAACCCGAGAGAAAGTTGAGCAGGGACAACACACTGTATTCGGGTCAATGAAATAGAGCGTAATTTAGCTGCTGAAGTCTAGGGTGTGATACTATCCTGTAACAGAGCCACGTACGCGATGAGGTTGAGCTCTTCGTGAGCCGAGTCGAATCGCAATGGTAGCCTCAGTCCACGATGGTTGTTTTGCAAGTGCTGGCTCCCCGCTCCGATTCCGTGCAAGAAAGTGTCGATGGCCTCGTCATCGATCTGTGGAATGCGAGGTGTGATCAGCTGGGTGCGGAGGCGCGAAAGTGAACTCAGGGAAAGGAGCGCTACCGTGATGTCTGATCGTGCAGTCAACGCTCGACAGGATGATCGGATCGAGTCGAGGATCGATTCAGACCTTGGAGGGAGTGAAGGGGCCATTTTGGAGGCGGGCGATGTGGGCAGAAGGAGGGCTGAAGCTGGGGAAGAGTTGCGGATGGGTCGCGCAAGACCGAATATCCTCGATCAACCCCACATGCTCGATCGCCTCAGATCGCCTCGGCCCTTCCCGCGGCTTCCCGCGGAGGCCACTGCAGTAGTCGGTCGTCTTTCGGCCCCCACATGCACCCTCGCTCGCCTCCTGTCTCCACTTTTCGTGTCGTCGATCCAATGACGAGCACGAGCAATACTGCCGAGCATTCATTGCGACTCGTCGACAGGCTCTGCCAGCTCCGCGCTGTACCACCCCACTTGCCTCTTTTCACCGTTGACTCGACCAAGCTCGAGCCGTCTTCCCTACCCTACCATTACGCCGGAACTCCACGCGAGTACCACCTCTCCCAACCCTCTTCGTCACATGCAGGTCCCATCATCGCCGCTTCACCTTGGGTCCCCCCACCCATGATACCCCATCTGATGCGGAACAAGCGCGACTCGGCGATCGCGACCAAGTATCTCCCCGGCACGGCCGTGACCAATATGGAAGCCATGTTGCATACATTTGTGACCGCGATCCTACCCATCGAGATGTTTGGTGATTATCAATACGATCCTCAGGGGATAGGGCACGACGTCCCTTACTTTGAAACCATGCCATCGAGTCAATCGCGTGCGCCGGCAAATCGGGGAAGGCTGACTCGAAAAGTCTTGCTCTCGTCCGTCACAAATTCTAGGGCTCAGCTCGGACCGAAGCTGAATTGATCCCAATTTTTTTAGAACCCAGATCCACCTTGATTTCGAAGATTGGGCTGTTGCGCTCGAATTCTTCGCTTCACCGCAAGGATCGGAGTCGGCAGCTCTCCTCGGTCAATCTCTCGATCTCGACTGGAGCGTGCTAACGAGCGATGAAAAGGCAGACAATGCTACACGAGCGTTGTATGATCAGACAATACGACGACACGCGATACACCACCTTCTTGAAAATGGCAAGTTGATTCCCGACTGTGAAGAGACATGGAGATCGATCGGTCATCCGTGGTCCGTGGCGGACACGATCTCCAACCTCGAAGGCATTCTTCGAAGCTCGACAATCCCTCCTCCTACCCTCATCAACCACTACGTCGTGGTCCCAGTTTCTGGCTCAGGGAGGCGAACACTCTCAATGGAATTTTTACTCAACACCTACATCTCGACCCTCGTCAACGAACTCTCCGTTCTCGAGGCCTGCGGATCCGCCTATGTCTACACCTACGATCCACCTTCGATATTCGCTCGACAACTCGGTCTACCCGATGGACCTAGATTGCTCAACTTGGTTTGGACATTGGCGTTACTTCATGTGATCGTACGGAATCAAGATGGAGGACGAGGGCTAACGTATATGAAGGTACTAGCGTTCAACGATTATGCGCATCTCGGGATCGTCGAGATGCTCGACCAAGCACTTCGGGGCGCCGGTAAAGTTACTCCCAAAGTCGTCAAACGATCCCAGCTCTTTGGAAGCGATCGAGGACGACTTGATACCCGTTTGTTGGCCCAACTCGTTCCTCCACTACTTGGTCAAGAACTGCGTCTGGCTTTGGTCATTCACAACAACAGCGATGCCTTTGGTCAGAATATCGAGACCGAATCCCGAGGGGGGAGTATGGATGGGGCGATCGGTGAACGATCTAGCGCTGCGGCTGGATTGAGGAGGGATAGGAAGAATTTGTTTGAATCGGTGGTTTGAAAACGCGGTGTCTAGCAGTTCGAGTAGTTACTTTGCACTCGACAGGGCGGCGAGGGAACGGTGCGCAGCGATTTTTTGACCGCATTTACGCCAAGCAGATACTTTCCACGGGTCAAAACGAGAAAAAAGAAAAAGAAAAAGCAGTTACGCTGCCGCAGCTACCTGTCAACCTAGGTCTCCGAACACGTATGTGGACCATACGCTTGGTAGGTAAGGATGTCCCTGTCATTACAACATTGTTACTCCGAAAATTGCTGAAATCACGTAGTCGGCACAAAATGAGTGTTTCCCCTACTCGATCACAAACCTGCTTCGGTCCCCCTCTCTCAGTCGTACTTGGCCTTCCAAATCCAGCTCAGGCCAAAGCTTTCCGCGCCTTGCTTGACGGCCAATCGATAGTAATGAGCGGCCATGCGGAGGTCCTTCTTGCAGCCTTTACCGTTGGCGTAGCAAAACGCGAGGTCGGTCTGCGCATCGACGTCGCCGAGATCGGCGGCGAGGGTGAAGTACGCCACGGCCTGTGTGGACAAAGAAGACCTTGCGCTGTGTCAGCTCTGGCAGGTGGCAATGGGTCGCAACGCGGCGTCGGACTGACCATTTTCTTATCTCTAGGCACGCCCCATCCAAATCGAAATGAAACGCCAATCTCGTGCAAAGCTAGCACCAGCTCGTTCTGCACAAGTCGTGCCAAAGTATGTTCGTTCAGCACACCGCTTTCACTATTGCCGACTCTCAATTACAGGGGTAGCACCGACCTTGGAGGCCTTGGTATCGTGGTCGCCTGCTTTCTCGTGATCGATATCCTCGACGACGGATTCAGCAGCCGCTTGAAGGTACTTGAATCCGAGTTGAGTATTCACTTGGCATCCCTGTGAAATAGAAAATAAGTGTGAATGCCGCGTATCTCGATCTGCATACTAGGCTAGGATGTATTGAAGGGACGAACCCAGCCATGCCGGAGTGTGAGTCTACACCGAGATATTTATTATCGGGACGGGATCAGCAAGGCTGCTCCACATTTCGATGCAACAGTGAAGATGGTTTTGCTTACGCATGCATGAGCATCCCAGCCGGGCATCCGCCATCCTGTTTTGCGCTTTGCTCAAAGTACCACGCCGCCCGAGGCAACTCGCCGTTCTCGTGATAATGAATGCCGAGAACTGTCGAGAACCCTAAGTCAGCTCCCCCCATTTTTTGGCCTACGACCATATTATTCCAACCGAGCTCACTGAGATAATCCTCGCACGTCTGCGGCTCGTTGCGTGGCACCACCTCCCCCTCCGGCGTGGTCGTCATCTCGACCTTCCTCCCAGCTTTGGCTTTTTCGAACGTCGGGTGTGAGATGGACATAGAACTCGGCGCGCGCGGCGAAGAATGCGACTGCTGGGCCTCGGTAGGTGAGCGGATCGAACCGGGTTTGGACCCACCGAAGACCGACGCGCCCATCGTGGTCGGCAAAGAATAAAACGAGTAGTTGGAGTAGAGCGAATTTGCCGTCCCAGGTCGAGCGTGGGATACCGAGACGGAGAGCCCATTCTCCTCCTCCGATGCATCGCTGTACAATCTCTGAGGTCCTTGATCCGAGACGCTTCGCTCTTTGGGACTTATCCCTGGTGGTCGAATGAGGGACTTGACCGCAAGCGATTCCATCTCATCCTCAGGCTCCCCATCACCGTCCTTCTGCACCCAACCAGGGGCCAGATCCTTCCCATCGCCGCGCTGCACGATGCCCGCCGCCGCACTCTTTGCGACACTCGGCTTCAGAGACAGGGCCTCGAGCGCATGCCGTTGTTCGCTCAGTTGTTTGGCACGCAGAACCAAGTCTCGCAAGTCGCCTGTCGGTCGACTCGGAGGCTCAAAGGTGATGTGGGGCACCGAGGCCGAATCGGCTTCCCTCTCGTACTCGGCCGCCATGTCCGCTTCGGGCCCGTACGAGGGACGGATCTTGGTTTTACTCGAATGCGAACGTGAGCGAAACTTCGCCCATCGACCGGACTGGCCTTCAGAAGCCGCAAACGGGTCCTCTCGGAGCGCAACTTCGATCGCCAGAGCCGTGGACTGTGGAAGAGACGGCATCGTCCCCTCCGGTGGAGGAGTGATGCCATCTTTGGCTCGAGCTGCCGCATCCGAAGGCCGACGCTTGCGCAGGACGTTGCGTTGCCGAGGCGGACTCGCGGTAGGGGACGGCATTTGCACTGACCGGGCTTCGACCGGACTCGAGGACTGGCCGTCAAAACCACCGTGATACGAAGACGACGTGGGGCTGTTGAAGAGGTGGAGCGGGGGAGCAGGTGGGGCGCGAGGATTCTCAAGGAGCGAAACTCTAGGGTCCGCGCTGGGACCGGGTGGATTGAGACAGGGAGACAGATGAGGCGAGGATGGAGATTGGCCTTGCGACGGAGCAATTGGCAGAGTTCGAGGCGATGGGGAGGTTGACGAGGCGTCTCGATCGAACGCGGGGTGGTGAGGATGCGGCGATTGGTCGATCGGTGAGTTATGACGGGTCGAGGAGGATCGCTCAGGGTACATACTTCCAGGAATATCCGTTGTTGAGAGCGAAATTGCCGGGAGCTGTCTCGCCATGGCGGGACTGGCAGCGGGGATGGGAAGATGCGACTTACCCTCCGGAGACGAAGCTCCGCTCGACTCTGAGTGACGAGCCCTTCGCTCCGTTGATTCATCCCTCTCCTCCTCCTTCAGTCGTTCCATCGCTCCCGAGTGACTCTTGAGCAACATCTCGCGCTTGGCAAGCTCGACTCCTCTCAGGCCCATCAGCCTTCTCTCCTCCCACGAGCTCGACAATGAATGCCCGCCCTGGCTCGACGCCCCGTGCCCCATGGAACTCTCGTGTCCACTCGTCGAGTGCCCGATGCTGGAGGAATGCCCAAGAGAGCTCTGTCGAGCCAGTTGGTCGATCGAGTCGGACGAATCGAACCCCGAGACCTGGTTGCGGCCGTATTGCGGAGGCAGCGGAGGCACGGCCAATTCGTTTTGCGTAGTTGGCTCCTCGACCGCGACGAAGGGGCGAGAAAAGTTGCGCGCACTCGTTCTCGAGGCCACCCGGCCGGTCTGTGCGACTGAAACGGACCATGTCGGAGAGCTGGAGCCTGACAAGGTTGGCGGAGATGCGCCATGCGGTGGTATGGTGATGAGATCCGGTCGGTTCGCCCGACTCGATTCCTCTGGCCCGAGAGATGTTTCTCGAGTCGGTGTCGAGGCAAGTAGTGCTCTTGGATCGGAAAGGAACGCTTCGGTTGATGGGGAGTTGTCGCCTATCCGTAAGGGATCCGAAGAAGGAGCGAGTGTCTGATGCTGCGACTCGGCGCCGGCGCCGCCTCGAGGTGGTATCAGATTCAGCGGCGATGGTCGATGGTTGTCCGCTGTGGACGCGATAGGGAAAGAGGCCAGTATTCCGTGTTCGATCGAGTCGTCGTAGAGCGGCATCCCATCGTAGGCCTGGATTGCCAGTCGCGCGCCCAATATCAATTGTGTCAGTGGCGATGCTGCTCCGGGCCCCCTGTTCCGTCTCGAGAACTCACCGAGTAAGGGAACGGATCGCCTCCGTCAACGGTGACGACGCTGGTCGAACTGTTTCTCGGGAACCCAGCACCACTTCGGGTGGTGTACCCCTGGCCCAAGCTACGTTGCGCCGCGTCGTCAACTTCCAAACTGCTGCGGTTCGGGTCACGGTCGATCACGGATTCGCGCCAGTCGCTGGCCCAGGTGCCGCGATCGGGCGCGATCGACTCGGCGTCGTCGGGATCGAGCTGGGCCATCAGTCGCCTCGTCGAATTGAGTCGGTCCAATGCTGATGTGCTTGTCCCTATTCCGTAGTAGTTGTTCTGGGGTTGATGGTGAGGGTGGGGGTGGTGGTGGAGGTGCTCGACGGCGTTCTTGCTCGACTCGCGTGATCGCGGCTGCGGGGCTAGGCTGATCGAGGCGGTCGGCTGCTGCGAAGACGACGGTGCCGACGAGGTGCTGGCGCCGACGTGCCCTCGATTGTGGCTACCGGAGGGCGAGGGCATCGCATCGCGGTACGAAGGCGAGGCCGGCCTTGATGATGTCCTCGGGGTGTGTTCGTGCGGCGAGGCAGGCGAGCTCGATGGCCCATGACGCGCGTTCGCGGTGGTCGGTTCGCGCGTGTCTTGGCGCACTCGGCGTGGATGTTGATTCCGAGTCGGATTCGCCGCCGCCGTCGCATTCATCGAATATGGTGTCGAGCGCTGACGATCGTGGGGCCCGTCGTGGCGGATGTACTCTTCGTACTCATCGTACTCATCGTCGTTGTTCGAGTAGGTCGTGGGCGAGTACCCCTGTGCAGCCTGGGCGTGGGCGTGGGGCAGCCGTCGCGCTGATTCAGGCCCGAGCATGATGATGACAACGCACGAACGCGAGCGCACGCGGCCCTATCGCGAGCGGTGACCACGGCGGGCAGCTGCCAGCTTGTACGACGAACGGCGAATGGGGAGACCTTACCACAACAATTCACGCGGAGAGTTTGGTCGACGATGGAGGCGGAGACAATGGGAGACGTATATGCTGTAGGTGCGACAGAGGAAAGGCGCAGCGAAGCTCACCTTTGTCGCACCGAACGCCGGCCAGCGCGTCGCGACGAGGTGCGTGCGCTTTGCGTGCGTGCGCGAGCAAGCGACGGCGACGCGCCTGTGCCATTGCGCGTGTGAAGTTGATTCAGACCAAGGCGCGCCCTCAGCCTCTTCGATTGGGTTTCGCGCTTTACTTGTTCTCCGATCATCTGGTATGATCCTAAAATCAATTGTAAACGACAGAACAAGCAGGCGATATTAACTAGTGAAAAAAGACTCGAATCAATATGATATGACATCTCGCCAAAAGGTCTAGAAAGCAAACGACGAGCGCGTCACATCGACCTCCTTGACCCCGTTCCGATCCAGTGCGAGCAAAGCCGCCGATTCGAACGAAGGAGGACCACACAGGTACACCTTACGATCGGCCAGTTTTTTTATGCGTTGAAGAACCTGGCCGTCGAGTCGGCCTGGGTGCTGTTCGAGCTTGACGGTCAAGGGGAGGTGTGCAGAGGCCGCGTCGATCGTTTCACCAGAGTCCGAGGTGCAGAGAAGCACGCGCAGTCGAAGCGAGGTGGTTGATGCGCTAACGGGCATGGCTTCTCTGATCATATCCAGCATGATCTTGGGTTCACGAGTCGAGACGACCAAATCGACATCCCACACCGGAGCGGACGACTCTGGATCTTTGCGCCTGCTCAACTCGCCGAGGAAAGCCAGGAAAGGGGTCACGCCTACGCCACCCGCGAGTAGAAGCAACGGCGTCGGCTTCGAAGGCAACACGAACGTTCCTCCCACACCCAAAAGAGGGAGCTTGAGACCGGGAACAATCGTACCCTTGTTATCGCGCAGCTTACTGTCCCAGTAGGCGCCAAATGAGAAGAAGCGCGACGACACTCGGCCCATCGCCACTCGTCGCATCGTCAGTAAGAAGCGCCGCGGATTGTCCGGCGTGGGCGGGTGAGAGATTGTCCTATGACAGCAAGGAAAGATATCACACGATAAGTGTTCTGATCGCGATTGCGGACGATCTGCTCTGCGAACTCACCAAGTCCTGACTCCATCTTCGTTCGGGGCCCCCTCATCTCCTCTGCTCATATGCCTATACGCGATCGTGCCAATTAAAGGGGTGGTGTCTAACACGGCATATTGACCAGCTTGTACTCTAAGCGTACTCGAAGTCTCAAAGGTGAATGTTGCCAGATCGGCATCCCGATTGTCGACTTCAACCCCATCGTCATTCTTGCTGTTGTAGAACTGAATCGCCGTAAGCTTGGCCGTGAGGTCGCTCGCAGCGGAGAACTCTTGTTCTTCCACGAGGTAGCGGATCGGCGGGTTGTACGGACTCGGTTCCATGACACTCCTGCTGGACTGGCGGAACGGCAGGGCATCGCGCACGAGCGTGTAACCCGTGACCTTGAACAAGGACACGATCGGTCGCGCGCGGGGCATGACCGCCTTGGCTTCGTCGCCCACGACCGTGCGGCCTTCGGTGGTCAAGTACAGCACGTCCCCAGTCTCGAAGCACGACAAGACGATTCCGGCATGTTTATCCGTCGAGAGGTTGCCTAACGAAGTCAGGTGTCGGTTGCCGGAGAAATCTGGCAGGACGATCGTTCGCTGATCGGCTCGAACACGGATGAAGCCTGGTCGACCACCTCGGATATTGCATCCCATGTGAGGAAGCGTTCGATCAGTTGCGCCCGTGGGAATGTAGTTGGTGCCGAGGAACGCTTGGTCGCGGGACTTGATAAAGTCGATAACCGCTTGAGGAAGCACGTCCGTCGGTGACATGTCAAGGTTCTCGAGTTGGACCGACAGTTTGGCGTGCGCGTAGGATTCCAGATTGCGAGCTGTGACGTACTTGGGGCAGTTCCTGATTATTGAAGAGACCATTCAACTCGTCAGTGGGACTATTGCGGCTTCAACGTCTGCAATCCGCGCGGGCCCGATCTTAAAACTTACCCCATGGCTTCCATCACTCGAATATCAATGATCACCTCCTTGTCATTCCACCTCACGTTCTTGGCCATCCCAGCAAGCTTGTTGCGCCTTCGTTACCAAAGCTCGATGCCAACACCAGCAACCAAGGTTTCGACCGATTTGACGGCGGAAGAAGTTTCCAGCTCCGAGCCGAGCGTACGAGCGATCGGTTCGCCTGGCCACGTCTGCGCCTTGATCTCGATCCAACGTGGATCATCGGAGCTGATGAAACCTGGCACTCCGTCTTGTCCGGCGAGTAGACTGGTCCATACCCTTCCGTCAGCGGCTTTGGTCGTCAGAGGGAGGAAGCTGATGTTGCTCGTGTGGAACAGGCGCTGTTAGGATTCAAAAAGCGAGATGTCAGCTGCCTCGCACCTCTGTAGACACTGGCACACCCGAAGGGCTCACATGTTGTTCAGGAAGATAAGGCGCAATGTAGTCGACATCGCCGGCGATTTCGGCCAACTCGATTTCGGCCAGCCTCTGCATGCGCTGCACGGCTTGAGGCCACCCGTGATACACAGCCTGGTCGATCTGCGAGCCGTGGCCCATCGCTGCTTGGACTCCGATCATGTTGGACTCGGGTTGGCCGAGATGACTGGACCAGTTATGGAAGTGTGAGAGAGAGAGGAAGGAAGGAGACGGTTGTCGGTGGTCAGAACGAACACCGCTCAAATTGAATGTGGGGCTCCTCTGACCGCGTGATCGGAACCAGAGGCGCGTCGGCTGACCAAGCTTTGTCAGCCTTCGGCACTCAGGGAGTCTTTCCACCGAGCACCGAGAGCCGGGGGTCGCGACCGGCCTCGCTTCCAGGGTTTGGCTGGAAAGCCCAGTTGGGGCCTAGGATTGAAGAAAGATGTGGGGTGAAGCACTTATTACCGGCTCCCATCCGTATCGAGTCCTCACGGTGACTGTGAGCCCCACCTTCACGGCCCTTTCGCCGCCGCGCGCGTGGTTCGAGCTCTTTTGCTGCCCCTTGTCCCGAGCGACAACGTCACGGGGCCCCACCTGGCTAGACTTCAAGCACAAACTGTTTCCTCTTCGCGATCAGCAACAAGCCACCCACAAGCGTGAGCTCAGGCCCTCAGAGTTCAGGGGTGGCTACGACAAAATCAGGAAACAATCCCAAGGGGCACTTGCTTCAAGCCGTTGCCGGTCGGGGATCCGGAATCGTTCCGAATCCCGAGCGCACTAGATGATCGTCGCCCGTGTGGCACGAACCTCCAGCACCGCCCATCTCAGTGGATCGGGATTTGATCATGACACGACAGGTCGATGTAGAAGTGATGTGATGCAGGGATGAAGGGACATGGGTTGTATAAGAGCTGGAAGAACTGGGTGTGCTCTCTTGACTTTCTTCTCCATACTTTCCTCACCTTGTCACTTGTTCCTCACCGTTATTATCATGCTCGCTTGCACCTCCACTCTTCTCTCGGGTGAGACTGTTCTTGCACTATACCGAGCCTTTTCGAAGGCTCGAACTGACTTTGTCCCTCACTTCATAGTCTCCCTTATCTCATTGACCAAGCTCGTCACTGCTCTGCCCACCTTCGGAAATGACTATCTCCTGGGCCCTCGCGAGCTCCTAGTGTCTTCTCACGCCGACCTCCGCGTGCGAACCACCTCGGCTACCTCCAACGGTTCCGTCTCAAACTTCGCCAAGTCCGCGATCAACAGCGTTGCGGGAATTTATGTCTGTGGTCTGGATTGCGCGGATCTTTGGACGGTTTGTGAGTGGTCTCTCCTGCGTGAATAGGGGCTTACGGCTGCTGTCAGTTCAGTCGTTGCTAACGAGGATCTTGATCTACGGTGGCTCTGCGGATGATGCAGACACGAAATGTGATCTCACCAACTCGACGTTAGTCGACAGCTGCTTGTGCAACGTCGATGCTGTGAGATCCCTTCCCCTGAGGACCGGCCGAGGTGAACGGTAGACGAACGAGCTGCTGACGCCTATCGGCTCTTCACTTCTCTCCCAGAACGACGCTTGGGCAACATGCACCTCGTGCATTGCGGTACGTCAAGGGAACATCACCGCTCAACTGAACTATACTGGCACCACGCAAAATGTCTATGCTTCCGGATGTGGGAGGGCGTAAGTCTGCAGCTTAGAACATCGATGCGAGCTTTTTCCGACTCATCTGATGACGTTGATCGATCTACCTCATTATTATTGCCAGTCTCAACTATACCACGAGTGCCTTGGTAGCAACCTACACCAGCTCCAGTTCGAGTTCGACGCCCACCTCGTCCAAGTCTGCCTCGTCAACCTCAATGGGAAAGACTTCGTCCGCAGCGGCTAGTTCGGTCTACATGACCGAGGGCCGCAAATTATTTTCCATCTTGTCGATGGTGGTCGTTGGACTTTTTGTGTTGTGAGAATGTTCCCAAAGTGTTAGCTGAATCGCCTGCCCTGCGACGTGCAGCGAGCTACTACTGTATGCTACCTCCGGCGTACTCACGCCCCCTCGGAAGTCCGACCTGCAGAACGTCAGAGCCATCAAATGTATTTTTAGCCTTTTATACTTGTATCAGACAAGCACAGACGGACCCTTGATTCTGAAATGTACACGGCGCCCCCGACTTGGACAGAACTGCGAACTTTCCCTCCAGTCCAAAAGAAACCCCGCGCGCCATTGATCACTCGGCGCCGCTCCGGGCCAGAACGTTGAGGAGGTCCGAGCTCAAAAATTGGCTGCCTTCGCAAGCTGGCTTCGCACTCGGAGTTGATCGCCTCGTCGGCTCGACCTCTCTCCCACCCCCTCTCCACAGTACCTACCTCGGCACACGTGCCACCGCCTCCAGCATGGCGAAACGAACGGCCAACTCCCACGGTAGTAACAAGAAGGCTTCCTCCTCAGGCAACAAGAAGCCACGAACGGACACTTCGCGCGCTCCCTTGGGCTCGTTCTTGACGACTCGTCACAACCCGGCTCGGTCGGGAAAGAAGGGCAAGGTCGTCTTGGAGAAGGATGAGGACGAGTACGATCTTGAGGAGGCCGTGTTTGGAAGATCGACGAGGGCGAGGGAAGAGGAGGGGGAGGGGAGGGGACGACGAGGGGGAGAGGATAGTGCGGAGGATGATGAGGATCAGGATGGGGCGGAGACGGGTTTGGAGAGACTGCAGGATGAGAGCGTGCGTGCACATCACATTGGGATGTGCATCATACGGAACACTGACACTCGATGACTGTGCTTCGACAGCTCTTTTTCTTTGATGCACCACCCGTCATTGCGAGCACTTCGAAAGCAACCCAGCCTCAGCGCAGCGACGACGAGCACGATGAAGCCGACCAGGAGAACGAAGATGACGACGAAGAGATCGACTGGGAAGCAGAAGATCAACAAAGCGCCGATGAATCATCAGGCGAGGGCTCGGACTCGGACGTTGCACCTCGCAAACCGACCACGCCGAGTATCGTCAAGCTTCCCCGGTCGCGCAACCTTCGACAGGCGGTATGGTTCGATCCCGCCGATGTCGACCTCACCATCTCGTTGACCAGTGTGGCTCGATTGAGAAAGCTGAGGCAGACCAAGGACGAGAATGTCGTCAGTGGGTTGGAGTATGAGACAAGGTTGAGGAGACAGTAAGTCTATTGGGGTTTGGTCGCTTCGGGGCGCGGGCAAGTTCTGACAACCTCATTCCTCCGATCCCCCATAGATTCGAAAAGATGCATCCACCACCTGCTTGGGCCGTCGAGGCACGGCGAAAAGTGCTCAAACGAAAGGAGAAAGCTGCTCAACAAGGTGCAAGTGGTCTGGCCAGTGATGACGATGATGACGATGATGACGATGCCGAGGTCGACAGCGATGCTGCCGCTGAAGAAGTCAACGACCTCTTCCGCACGACGGGCACGATCAAAAGAAAAAGGACACGAGGCATCCTCGCTTCGGGTGACATTGACATTGATCGAGTCAGGGATGCGAATCAGGCCGAGACATCGGGCAAGAAGATCGTCACGTTGGGCTTCCACCCCCGCGCCCAAGTATTGTTCTCCGCGACCGATGACCGAAGGTTACGGCTCTTTCAAATCGACGGCACCGAGAACCCTTTGCTGCAAACGCTGCACGTCCCCGAGCTACCCATCACAACCGTTGCGTATCACCCTTCGGGCTCCTCGTTGTTGATGACCGGCCCACGACCTTACTTTGTCTCGTACGATCTCCAAACGGGTCAGACGGTCAAACGAACGTTATTGACCGGTGGGCTTGGCGGATCTGATCGAGCGAGCTCGGGAGGACATGGTGGGATGGAGCGATTCGAATTCTCGCCTGATGGGGAGATCCTGGCTGTAGGAGGAAGGAGAGGATACGTCCATCTTGTCGATTGGGGCAAAGAAGGCGTCGGGAAAGGTGGGCAGGTGTTTGGCGAGGTCAAGATGAACGTCGCGGTCAAGGGGATTGCGTGGCATAAGGAAGGAAAGGAGTTGATGACGCTCGGGGAGGACTCGGAGGTCTATGTCTGGGACGTTGGGACAAGGAAATGTATCACGCGATGGAGGGACGATGGTGGATTCGGGGCGTGTGGGTTGGTTGCGGATGCGTCGAGCAAGTACACCGCAGTCGCGTGAGTGCCCATGCATGCTCGGTGATTGATACACCGACCACACATATTGACTGAAACATGTCTTCACACACTCTCGTAGATCGACAACGGGAATCGTGAACTTGTACGACTCTGCGACCTCAAGCCTTCCCGCCTCGGGTTCGGAACGGAAAGCGACCAAAGCGATCGGCAACCTCGTCACCTCCGTCACATCGATGAAGTTCAACCACGACGCCCAGATACTCGCTCTCGCCTCCGCGACGAACAAGGACCAACTCAAACTCGTCCATACCGCTTCGGCGACGGTGTTTTCGAATTGGCCTACGCAACAGACTCCGTTGCATCATGTGACGGCGATGGATTTCAGTAAGGGCAGCGAGTGGCTCGCGGTCGGGAACAAGAGGGGCAAGGTTCTGTTGTATACGCTCAAATCGTTCATTTGAGAAGGCGGCATTGCCGGGCCTTGAACGAGTTGGAATTGCAACCTGAGTGCTTTCCCGATACACTCTGGGGGTGTGACGAGACACTACCTATGCTCGAGACCATGACGGACAGAGAGGTAAAGGGCGTGCGTGCCTCATCATTCCGAGGGCTATGGCTAGCCTCACATTTGCGAAGACTTGGGTCCGAAGTCGTGAGTTGCGCGCACCCGACCGCTGCGCACATCCTCGTCCGACGTTGAACACAATCTGATGGCAACCCAAGTGCGTACCTACCTACTTAGGAGGTTTGACGTCCTTCGTATGCTGGATTACTCGACAGGTAAGTAGTTGGGTCAAGGGGCAAGTATTTGACGGTGTGTACCTGAAGAAGCGAGCAGCTAGTTTTTCCTGCCGAGGCTTTTGCCCACTCAATGAGCTCGGACCTTCATGTAGCCGTCGACAGGATTGTCTCCGCGGCGTTTTGCGACAATGCAAATGGACGGAAAAGGGGCTGCGGGCGGAGTGCACGACCCTTTGGTTGTCGAGCTTAAACGCCGTACCGTTGGAACCCAGTCTCGGAAGGTTTCGGTGGGTACGTACGTATCCAGGCGACAGCCCACTGTTTCTGTCTCACGAACTTTGATTGGCCTACAAGCTGTCCAAGTGGCTCTTCATAAAGCACGAGGCCTAATTTCCGAAGCGCGAGTCCCGTCTCTAGCTGTTACCCGGCCCACCCGCTCAACTGGACCGCGACTCAAGCCTCGAACGTTTCTGCGCACGCAAGTCTTGCTCGCCGAAAGAAATATCGCTCACGGGTGGTCTCCACGTCTGACATGATGTAGACCCAGTTGAGGTAATTTGATGAGTCACCAGACAAGGGTTTCCTGAGGGAGGGAGGTCTGACGAGGGTCGGTTTCATATTCTAGTGCAAGGGTACGGGAGTTGCCCGAGAGTGACGCTGCCGTCACGTGCTGAGGATCGACTTGGGGTGAAAGATCTTCGGAGCTGACGTGCCCGCCGCTCGAGGGGGTGGATACGGAGCCCTTTGGTGCTGTGGAGCCTCTTGTGAGTCCACACGAGTGACTACGATATTAGGCTCCCTACCATAGGGGCGTCCACAGTTCAGCGTGGCTGTCAGGTTGCGCACCTCGAACATGTCGGGCTCTGGTGGCTCGACTCCGATCACTCGACGAGGTTGCCACTGCCGGCTCAAGCGCACCGTTTGGTCAAGAATCAGCACAGGCATTGAGGAGGTTCATGTTGATCGGATACCTTCGTCTACCCCTGAGCGCGCAGAGTGTTTCCTGACCTTCGGTTGACACACCCCTAAATGGCAAAGCTTTCAAAGTCACCGCAAAGCCTTGTTGACGAGGCCTTCTGCAACGGACCAACAACATGTGGCATCCGGGACCCAGGGTGATAATGATGGTGATGGCTGAGTAGATTAACTAAGTAGGTAGGTGACTGGATGACTTCCTATTGCTAGTTAGGTACTCGTCACAACAATCAGGCGTGGGGTAATCTAGGCAGCAGGTGCCTGGTCTTTGGTGATTCATGTGGGGGAGGAGTTCAACTGCCACCAACGGGCACCGATCTGATAGCTGTTGATGTTGAACACTAGAGACACTTTTTCGAGAGGTTGCCCCGATCCCTACCTCTTTGAATAACTACATCTACTTAAATATATGTCTATCAAATCAACATCTACTTATAATCGTGCACCACAAAACACCTCCATCAAATGAGCATTTCTCTCGCCGATCCTTCATTTTCCCCCACGGTTGGGATGTGCGGGCGGAGCTCGCAGCGACCTTGAAAGAAAGGTGGACGCATCGCGCCCCCCGAGCCTCAGTTCACATTAGGGTCAAGCACGTACATAACGTGCGAAAAGTTTGAACTGTGCTCTGTGTCTAGCGCGCCGCGACGTGAGCCTTCGACTCCTTCCCGCGCACATGGCACAAAATTGTGATCGGGCACTTTCATTCGACCGCCGCACCGACGGCGGAGGTGTTTGACCCCACTGCAGCCCTACCTTATTTCGTGAACCCGCTTTCGTACCTTGGCACCTACGACTGCCGATTTCAATGTCGAGTGTTTTGCTGGACGTTGTGCCCTCTGTGATGTACCGAGATCTGGCCGAAGCTCAACAAAGTTTGACGTTATCTGTGATCGGCCAATGTCCGGCCTGAATCCATCCCAGACAGTCGCGTCTCACATTTGGGCCCGACGCGCACGTTGAACCCAATGTTTCAGATGGGACTGGCGCCTGTCGGAGACCAAGCAGCGACGCTAGTGGACCCGCTTAGCACTGGTGGAATGATGATGGGCCGCTGGGGCTGAATCATACCACTGACATCATAAGGCTGGTGGTTGCAACGTGTCGACTCGTAAAATTAGCGGAAAAAAAGCCGTAGGTTAGGGGCTCGCTTGTGGGCGCAAAGGCCGAGAGTGGATGTACTGCACGCGAGTGACGACTCAAACATCCTTCGTACCGCCGGAACATTGGCAGATCTTTTGATCTCGAAATGTTTCGGGAGACTCGCCGTCGGCCGACGGACACCGAAGCCAGATGAACGCCGCGGCGCACACCATAGCCGTCGATTTACCTGGTCAGCGTCTATCAAATCTGGGACACTTCATAGGATTTGTGAGGCGCCACCGACACAGTCTTCAGTATCCGTTGACTCGTAAATCGAACAGGCAGTTGCAGCGCCGATCCAACAAATCGTTGGGATTGCGAAGTATTCCCATTACTAGGGATGCGACTGCACAGCGTTTGCATTCCTTTCAGAGGCAACACGATTTACGAGTTGCTTTTTAGGCAATACATTTTACGAGTTGCTGATTACTCGATTTGTATGTGATACGATGGATATACCTCGATGAGGGGATGTACGTGATCTGACAACTTTTAGTCAGGCGACCGGCCCATTTCATGATCGAGGCCAATGCTGGTCCGGAGAAACTTGCCCTCGGAAACATTGCTCCATTCAGTCCACCGCCAATTGCCCTTGGAGGCGCGATAGATACCTCCGTTTGATCCACTTCATCAGATCGTCAATCCTGGACTGGATCCACTCCTCGACAGTGATTTCAATTTGGTCACTGACGCTGCAGCGGACACTGCATCCGAGGTCGCAGCTCACCGACGGTGCAGCGATCGCTCACCCGCTCACCGAATTCCAAGTAAACGAAACCTGAAGCTGTACAGCGATCCTGTGTTGCCATGCCCTCATAGTGAGTTGCTCCCTCTGTTCGTCATCTGGGGACTTGATGGTGGTGGTGGCTAGGTGTGGATGTATGCGCATCCACTGGCCGTGCAGATGAATGAATGGTGCACGCTCGATTGGACGAAGCCCGTGGATGTCCATGCGCCTACCGTTTATCTTCCAGCTTCGGCTTTATGGGGAAGCAGGGATTTGGCCCACGGTGCGCTGGCTGCAGGTGCTCGGACGGTCGGACCTATAGCTACCGTATTGGCGACTCGACGATCCTTCTATCTGGACCTCGTGCACGACCCCGTTTGTCAAATTCAGGATATTTGGCGCTTTTTTTAACGGCACATCTCACCCATCGGTGCACCCAATCTTGACTGACCGACCAGCAAGGCTGCAAGCGCGTCGGCATTAGCTGCGTGACCGCTGGCCACGAGGCAATCGGCGTCAATAGCCTGAGCGAGCGTGCTTATCCACGGCAGCAGCACGGGCCCGCGTAACGTTGGCTGACGTTCGGGCCTAGCTCGCCCTGCCACTCCGCCTTGCTTTCCGTACCCATTGGTAGCCTCGACCTCTCCTCTCGTGCATACACGGAGCATGTGCATCTAAACCCGCCACTCATTACCCCACGAGCTGACCGTAACCTTTGCGCCCTCATTCGACGCTGATCGTCACTTGTCTCGCCTTAACCCGCCCGCCTGCCTGCCTTGCCCCTGCACCTCGCCCCTGGCCGCCTGTGGGTGACGTCTGAAACTACGCTCGCTCTCCAAGCAGCTCGAGCACGACCACGAGCACGACCACGATGCCCGCCGCGCTCCCGGTCCCTATTGGCCACTCGGCAGTGCATGTGCACCCATCTGATCAGCATCCGCATACCGGTGGTCACCAGGCTTCGGTCGGGTCCAACCACCACAACCATCACCCGGTCGGCGGCGCGCCCGCGTCGACCTCGGCAACGTCCATCTCGTACGAGTCGGTCTGCACCGACGAGGAGGAGAAGCTCAGCGATTACGAGCCCGGAGGATACCATCCCGTGAGGATCGGCGACGTCTATGGACCCAAGAACCGTTATGTGATCGTGCGCAAGCTCGGATGGGGTCACTTCTCGACCGTATGGTACGTTTCACGTCACGGCACGTCGGGTCCGGCCGCAGCGAGCCCGCCAACCGGCCTGGCTCTAATCTCTATCGGCGGATGATGATAGCGCACCCAAGTCTGCAACCGTAGCTGATATCCGGGGCATTTCTCGTGTCCGTGTACATCACAGGTTAGCAAGAGATACCCAGTAAGCTTCTACTTTCGTTCGTATCATGTACTGCCCCGGCGTGGTAGGCTGTCGCAAGTATTCCGGTTGTGATATTCCTGGACGAGTCGGCCCGCCCGCGGCGCACGCGCTATCGTGCGGCGGCCTCCGGCATCCCGACGAAGCGATGTGACGTCGTCCTTATCGACCGCTGCGCACCACTGCTCCTCTGTTGCCTCCATTCCAAAGGACTGTGGGCTGGAATCACACGGGTGACAGGTCATAGCCAGGCTGTGACCCGGGCGGAGAGGATCCGACGGTGGCCGCAAGGAGCCTATCGCACTCTCCATTATCTTGCTTCGGATTGGCTGACATGAGCCTGTCTGCCCCTCGACTGCACCCCTTACCGCATTGCCCATCTGTGCAGAGCCAACAAACACGTCGCACTCAAGGTCGTCAAGTCGGCCCAACACTACACCGAGACCGCGTTTGACGAAATCAGGCTGCTACAGCGCGTCGTCGAGTCGAACCCAAATCACCCCGGGCGGCGGCATGTCGTCTCTTTGCTAGACCATTTCACCCACGAGGGACCCAACGGTGCCCATGTCTGCATGGTCTTTGAGGTCTTGGGCGAGAACTTGCTCGGTCTGATCAAGCGGTATCACCACCGAGGCGTGCCGGATCATATCTGCAAGCAGATCGCAAAGCAGGTCCTGCTCGGCCTCGACTACATCCACCGCGAATGCGGCATTATCCACACCGACCTCAAACCCGAGAACGTACTCATCTGCATCGACGACGTGGAGGCCGTTGTACGAGCCGAACTCGAGACCAGCCCTGCCGCGGTGCCGACCAAGCTCGTCGGCGTACCCCCGAGTCAAGGGCGAGGAGGCACGCAGACACCACGTGCGGAAGGCATCTTCATCACGGGTAGTCAGCCATTACCGAGTCCTAGTTCATCGTACGGCACGAGTCCGGTGATCGAAAAGTTGGCGTTCCAGATGTCCAAGATCTCGGACAGCGGCGTATCACCTTCCTCGAGCGTCAAGGGGAAAGCACCGTCGATGAGTGCGGTTGATCAGCAGATGGCGGATGTCAAGATTGGTGATATTGGAGTCAAGAAGTCGACGACAACAAACCCTCCGAAAGGACCGTCTCTGCTTTCGCAGCAGGCCGCCGCGGCCGCAAGCACGAGCGGGTTCAACCTCACTCCGCCAGACCCGTCGGAAGTGGGTGAATCAGACGTGACGATGCGCTCCGGATCGGCCTCTTCGGCCTCTCCCGAGGATTCGAACGTCGTCCAACCTTCCAACTCGCCCTCACCTCCCGCGCAGATGCCCTTCAATCCACTCCAACCCGCACCGGCGGCGGGTGACCCGACTGTCTTGCCCCCTCCAGCTCCTTACGACCCCTCGACGCTCGAGCGCATCACGGTCAAGATCGCCGATCTTGGAAATGCCAGTTGGACAGATCTCCACTTTACCAACGACATTCAGACACGTCAGTACCGATCTCCGGAAGCGATCATTGGCGCGAAATGGGGGACCTCAGTCGATATCTGGTCGGCCTCAGCTATGGTGAGTCATGTCCAAGCAGTGTCTGAAGGAACGAGAGACTGACTCGCGTCGTACTTTCTATCGTCTAGTTCTTTGAGCTTTTGACCGGCGATTACCTCTTCGACCCTCATCCGGGAACAAAGTACAACAAGGACGACGACCACATCGCGCAGATCATCGAACTGATCGGGCCCTTCCCGCGCTCGATCGCACTGAGCGGCAAGTTCAGTTCCGAGATTTTCACACGAAAGGGCGAATTGAAGCACATACACAAGCTCAAGTTCTGGCCGTTGCATTCGGTCTTGCAAGACAAGTACCTAATTTCCGAGGCCGAGGCGAGAGCACTGGAATCGTTCCTCGAGCCGATGTTGAACCTCAACCCGGATAAGCGAGCATCGGCGCAAGAGATGCTGGGGCATGAGTGGTTACAAGGCGTGATCGTGCAGGGCGAGATTGATGTGCATTTGGCGCAGGAAGCCAAAGAGGAGGAACGGGCCAAGATCGAGACGGGGAAGGCGACCGCGCGAGCAATCGGGATGAGCGTCGATAGTCCAGGCGTGACGAACGCTTCCATCGTCGATCCTCAACTCGTGCATGCGCTGCGACCCATCGACGCGACATTGGACGTGCACCATACGGTCCCTCCGCCACACCCGCATCTCTCGTCGTCGCTCGCTGGTGCGTCCTCACAACCTACTCGCGCTTGAGGAGCATGGTCCCATAGTCTCCTACCTACACCTGGTCGTTCCCTGTACACACTCCCGCCACTACCGTGTTCACGCAAGTCAGTGACCCCCGAGCTCCAATCTTAATGGCCCTTCCAGAATCGCTCTCTACCCTTGTCGCCACCAGCCCAAGGCCGCGAATCACCACCCACCACCCCATTTCCTAATCATACGCTACCCACTCTTCTGTTCTATTTTTCACCAAGCTTCACCCTACAAGTTTTCATCATTACTTTTTTCTTCTTCATAGCCTTGCTCTTTTTCTCCCTTTGCACTTTCATTCTTCTTCTCTTTTCTCTCTCCTCCTTTACTTCTTCGTTTTGTGTTTCTTCGCGTCTTCTCCTTTTTTTTTCACTTTTCTTCTTTGTCAATTCCATCGAGCTACAACCCTAGACGTTTTCATCATGCTCACTGTTCGGAGAAGGGGGGGAGGGGGGTTTCAGGTTCATTCTCACGGAACGGAACAAATCGGAAATGGTCCCTCTGGTTTTCATTTTTGAAAGAAAAGAATGCACAAACACACAAAAGCACACGCACGAGAGAAAGAAAAGAAAGGGCAAGCGAGGCGGGAGGGTGAGCGTAGTATAGGGAGAGGATGGGGGTGCTTCGAGGTCAAGGGATGGGAAATAGGGGAGTAAAGGGAGTATTAAACAAAGCGGTGGAGGGGTGGGCGGGGAGGAAGGAGAGGCATAAGTAGAGAATCAAGTAGAGTAGAGATGAAGAACGATCATAATTTGGCGGATTCGAACGGAGTCCGGTTGTACGATACCTCCCTGTGCAATTCAATGATCCAGTGATCAGTGAGATGACCCAACAAGAAGGAGCGAAGAACAGAAAGAGACTGACTTCAACGCCGCTTCGTCCGAGAACCAGTACACCTGGCCGGGGTTCTTGACCTTGACCCTCGAGCATGGCAGCCCCTCTTCCGGCTTGTCCAACGCACGGTGGAGGATGTCCTGTTTCCCCGCGCCGGAGGCGACGAAGGCGACTCGGTGCGCATGATTCAGGACGGGGAAGGTGAGGGTGATGCGCGAGGCCGGTGGCTTGGGCGAGTCGACGAGGTACGCGACCCAGCCGTCGACTTCCTCGAGCAGTTCGTGTCCCGGGAAGAGCGAGCACGTGTGTCCGTCGGGGCTGTTCGAGCGAGAAGATGATGCAAGTTCAATCGTCAGTTACGTCCTTTCATGACGAGCTTGAACCCTCCTCTCTCGTCGCGCCTCTACGTACCCAATTCCGAGCAAGATGAGATCGAAGCGCGGGAAGGCGATCGAGTTGGACCCCTCGACAAAGGTCTTGATCATCTGCTTCTCGTACTCGTCCGCGACATGTTCGGGATCGTCGAGGTGCTTGGTGTCGATGACGTGGATGTTCTCGCGCGGGATAGGCACTTTGGAGAAGAGCTCCTCGTCGTTGGCGCGGAAGTTGGAGTCCTCGTGGTCGAGTGGAACAAGTCGCTCGTCGGCGAAGAAGACTTCCCTGATCGGATTGAAGTTGTAGAGAGAGAACGGGCGTCAGTAGCTGCTGCTGCGTTGAACGGGCTCCCTCTCCCCGAGCGATAACGAGGTGCCGACCAGAGTGCCCGACTTGACTGACCACTTGTCCCACTTTACGCCATCGCGACCAAACAAGTCCTGGCCGAGCACCTTGGGCAACGAACCACCCGAGATGGCGATCTTGAAGGTGTTCTGCTTCTTGAGAGCTTCGTCCTGGGCCGCGAGCACGAAGGAGGCGAGTGCTTTGGAGAGCTCGTCCGGGTTCGGGAACTCGTACAGCACCGGTGGGGGCGCGGCTTTCGAAGGAGCTTGAGCTGCAGGGTTGGAGTGCCGTGGGTCGGTGGTCGTGCGGGTAGTGCGGGTTGGGCGGGTAGTGCGGGGAGTGCGAGGTACAGGAAGGCAGGGCAGCGGCGCGTACGGTACGACGTCAGTAGAGTCACAGTACCATCAACATCAATCAGCATTCGGCACACTGGGGCTTACCTTCGGGCATTGGTGAATCTATGGGGGTGTGGGAGTACGGATGCGGGGGTAAGTAGGCGAGGCGAGGCGACCGAGGTGGGGGATCTGATTGCGGTGAGCTAGCGTGGCGTTGGCGCGAAGGAGAGAGAGGGGGTGAGGGGGCGAGGGGGTGTTGCAGCGGACAGCCGGCGGCAGGGGAGCGAGGGGAGCGAGGGGGAGCGTAGGGGAGCGTGCGGGAGAATGGGCGCAGGCAAAGCAGGCAGGCAATGGAATTCCGTCGAAGCAAGCGCCAGTCCCAAGCCGAGCCGATCACGGCCATTAGTAAAGGCCGACGATAACGACCAGCGCATCCAGATTCCAGCGATTAGAGACCGCGGGCGGCGGGCGGGCAATGGCATCGAACAACAGCGTGATTTAGAGCACACGAGCATCAGCAACGGGCCAATGTTCTTTTCATGAGCAGCCTCTGTGACCTGGAAGACTCACCACCGTCTCTGGGGCTGAGAGCAGATGAGTCAGATGACTATGAGCGTCGTGGTGATCACCACACGCCAAGGCAACGTTTCGCCGAAGATGAGAACCCTCGGTCTAACTCGGCAACGCGCACGGACCTCTCTGATGTCACCGCCCGGCCGCGAGCTTCTCAAGCGACCACAAGCGAGACCTCGCTTCAATTCGCGGACGAAGAGCACATTCAAAGGACCAGGAACTGATATACAATCGTACAAAAAGACTGGGCAACATACACACACAAACAAATCCTGAAGTCTCGCTTCATGGACTTCGCTTCCCCTCCACCTGACGCAGAAGCCGCATCAGTACTGAGCAGCCGCCCCGCCTCCGATCATTTCGCGGTATTTGATGTCAAACACTTGCTGTAAACGAGAAGAATGTGAAGAGGTTCAGTAAACGTGCAAGTCAGGGACAAGAGTGCGGACTCTCTCGACTGACCTTGAGCATCCGGGCGTCGTGGTACACGACCTGTAGAGTTGTCAAATACGAGAAGTCTTGTCAGCTTCCCGAACATCATTCTCCACTCACACAAGAGCACCCAACACTCACACTCCCGTCGTCATTGTACGTCATGGCGTTGCGCAACATGAGATGCACGTCTGCCTCGAACGCGCTCAATGTCGCGTACCCGCCCGTGTTGATCTTTTTCTTGATCTCCTTCAAGCTCTGTGAGCGCCGATGAGGGCAACATGAGCACACGATTGAGGCACGGAATGAGAACCACCGAGAACGCACGATGGGGTCACGAATGATGGTGTAGTAATCGGGGTAGTCGCGTTTACTCGGCAATTGGTTGAACAGACCCGTGCATTGATGGTGCATGGTTGGCTGAAAGTGCGGCAAGATGAAATGAGCACCATCACCTTCACAGCATTCTCAAACGAAAACGTACATTATCGAGGGCCTCCATCTTGGCGAGGCACTGATCGGCGATCCCTTTGAGACCCTCCTGCTCGGGTGTGAGATGCACTTTACGTCTTTTGGCGTTGCCCGAATCGCTATCCGATCCCGAATCCGAATCATCCGACGTGACGACGCTCGACGACACGGCGCGTGCGGGACGAACCCTCTTGAGTCCTCTCGGCGTCGAAGGGTCGGGCGTCCCTCGCGCCCCTCGGTTCCTCCCACTGTTCGTCGAGTCGCTATCGAACCCACCGGCCAACAAGTTCTTGTTCTTCGGTGGTCGACCCCTCCTCTTGGGTTGCGGCGGTTCGTCGTCGTCCTCGACGCGCATGGATCGATCCCATTGTTCCTCCGACATCCCATCGTCGTACTGCACATTCGTACGAGCGCGTCGCTGCCCATCAACGATCTCGTCCTCGACAATTTCGCGCTTGTGTTCCATGCGGTACACCGCGGGCAACTCCCATTCCGCAATCAGGCGTTCGGGAAGTTTGCCCGTTTGACCCGAAGCGTGCCAGGCGGCCTCTTCAGCCCGTCGACGATCCTTATCCATCTGCGAGAACAAGGCGCGTTCCTCTTCGGATCGAGCGATCGCCTCGTTCAACGCCTCGGCTTCATCGACGTCGTCCTCTTGATCCTCGTCCTCTTCGTCCCCACCCTCAAGCAACGCACGAAGATACTCGTCTCGTTCCTCGGCCGTTGACTTGTTGTCGTATCGACCGGCCTGAATGACCTTTTTGTCCATCTCGATCTTGCGCGAAGCCCCGGCCATGACATGTTCTTCGATCGACCTTTCGGTCACGAGTCGCAAGATGCGCACCTCCTTCTTTTGTCCGATACGATGCGCACGATCCTGCGCCTGCAAATCCTGGTGAGGGTTCCAATCCGAATCAAAGATGATGACCGTATCGGCCGTTTGCAAATTCAAGCCGAGACCACCGGCACGGGTCGAAAGGATGAAGATGGGGTACTGCGAGTTGGGGTCGTTGAATGCTTTGAGCAACGACGAACGATCCTCGTGCTTGGTCGTACCGTCGAGACGCAAGTGCGCGATACGGCGGAAGTTGAGGTAGTCCTCAAAGATGGTCATGACCGTCGTCATTTGGAAGAACATGAGCACGCGATGGCCTGAGGCGAAAAGTTTGGGCAAGATGCGATCCAAGACTTCGAACTTGCCCGCCACACGGTACAAGGTGGCGTCCGAGATTTGCGTCGGGTTGATCGACGATTCGACAGCGTCGAAAACGAAAGGGTGGTTGCAAATCTTGCGCAGTTGCATGATCTGGTTTTGCAGACCGCGGATACCCGTCGCCTTGGAGTTGCCCTCGGTCGGTCCATCGGTGAAGATCATACCGTGCTCCTTGATCTGCTTCGTCAGCTTGAGTTGCAGTGAGCTCATCTTGCACTTGATCACGCGTTCGACCTTGTCGGGCAAATCAGACTCGACGTCCTTCTTCAAGCGACGCAGCAGGAACGGTCGCAACACCTTGTGCAGACGTCGGATGACGAGAAGCGATTCTTCTTCGTTGATCTCGATCTTGTCCTGACCACCCGTGTTGGCGAAGGGGGCGTTGAACCATTCGTCGAACGATTTGACCGACCCGAAGATCTTGGGCAGGACGAAGTTGAGTAAGGCCCAGAGCTCGGGCAAGTTGTTCTACGGAAAAGAAACTGGCGAAATCAGAAGCGCTGTCACCGATAAGATACGTTTTGGCTACTGACCTGCAACGGAGTACCGGTCAGAATGAGTCGATACCTCGACGAGTAGTACGTCGTCAGCGTCATCGAGAGCCTCGATTGCGCATTCTTCATACGATGACCTTCGTCGATAATCATGTGCAACCACTTGATCTTGGCCAACAACGGTCGATCCTTAATGATGTACTCGTATGTCGTCAACAAGACTTGGAAATTGCCAGCACGAATCTCGTTCTGCGCGTTCTTGCGTTGTGCTGGCGTACCCTTGTACGAGATCATGCGCACCGAAGGGGCCCATTTCTCAAACTCGGATATCCAGTTCGGCATCGTCGAGAGTGGCACGATGACGAGGTACGGCCCATTCTGTTTTTTGACCTCGATGAGGAACGTAATGAGACTGAGCGTTTGAATCGTTTTGCCGAGACCCATTTCGTCGGCGAGGATACCGTTGACATGGTTGTTGTAGAGCGACACCATCCATTCGAGACCTTTGATCTGGTAGGCTTTGAGTTCACCACCGATGAGGATTGAAGGCTGCTTCGTGATCGTTTCTTTGATCCGATGCGCGACATTGTAGTAGTCGACCTTGTCCTTCTTCTCGTCCTCGAACACGGGCGCCGCACCAAAGCGTGACTCGTCAACGGCCTCCGTGTTTTCCTGGACTTCTTCCATGACAGCCCCGTCGGCTGTTGCGACACGCGCCTCGTTCTGCTGGTCGACGACGGCAGCCGCGAGCGACTCGAGGAAAGCATCGGTCTGGCGCAGCAAATGGGTGATACGTGTATCCTTGGCCGTGTCGATGAGTTTGAGGTACCCTTCTTCATCGTCGGCTCGCAGTGCCTTCAAACGTTCCTTCGAAACCCTTTCAACACGACGCGCCTCTTCCTTATCGGCATCGGCATGGAACTTGAGCACGGCTTTGCCGAGTCGACCAAACTTGGCCTGATGACCTCGATGGGCGATGAGCATATCGCGACCATGGTTCGCAATCTCGGTCAACGAGTCGAGATGCTTCTGCTTGGCACGCCTCTCGCGTTCGATCTTTTGTTTGCGTTCGAGGTGCTCGGTCACTCGGGCGTCGCGCAGGCTTTGCTTCTTGGATCGTCGGAAGGCGGCTCGATCGGCCGGTAGCGACAACGAGCTCGCCTGGTTCAGGCCGCGGATGATGTTCTCCCTCAGCGCCTTTTGCTTGGATAAGAGCGTCAACGACTTGAGCTCGATCAGAGCCTTGAGCTTTTGCTTGGCCAGTCGATCGTTGCGCTCGAAATCATCGGCGTCATCGTGTGCGACGGCACCAAGAGTAACGGGCTCCTGCGAGAGATCCGAGGGAAAGCTTTCGAGCTCTCGAATGCGGAACTGGATCCTAGCATCAATGAACCGATCTCGCTCTTCCATCAGTACGAGCGGGTCCAGGCCTTCGGGCAGCAGAGTCGGGATGAGCACGTTCATGCGCTTCGTCGGGCCTGTCATCGACGCCTCAAACGCTTCTCTCGGCGTCGCATACGCGTTGTGCGGGTAGACGAGGCTGTTGGGATTCTCGACCCCTTCGAGCGGTGCTTCATCGGCGTAAGCCTTGTCCCTCGCGGCTCGGACTTCGGCGACGGTGAAGCCGTTCGCATCAAAGGTGTCGGGTTGGAGGTCGGCGCCTTCGGGGATACGAGCAACGAGTTTGGCCGCCTCGGCGGGCGAGAAAATGGCCTGCTGTAGAGGAAGTGGGACGGGGAGGTTGCGTGACAAGAGCTTGAAGGCCCAGACCTGACATCTGAGCGAGGCGACCTGCTCAGGGGTGAAGGGCACGACGGGTGGTGAACGCGACGGCTCGGGAGGGGCGAGCACGGACGTTGACGCATCGAGTGCACCATTCGGCGCGGTGGCAGAGTCGAGGGGAAGTGCAGAGGGTGGCGCAGAGGTGTTTGGTGCGGTATGAAGTCCATTGGCTGCGGCGCGAGGGTCAAGTCAGCCAAGTCAGCGCAGACGCGATGCGACGAGGCGTGCTCGACGCGGGGGAAACAAGGGGGGACCTACGTTGGGGTGCAGGTGGTGGTGCGACAGCCGTGGATTGGGCGAGTCCGTTGGGTGCGGCATTGCTGCGAGCGAGCTGCTGTTGCTTCTGGTGCGCCTGGGAGAGCGCCTTGACCAGGTTGGACAAGCTGACCAGTTCGGGCGAGTTCTGCGCGTTTGCGCCCTCGTTCTTGAGCTGCTGGATGCGGCCTATCACGAGCCCAATGGAGCGAGGTAGCGTTAGTAGAGCGCGCACGTCAAGAAGCCCAGCGAATGCATGGGGAGGAGAGGACGGAGGGCACGCAGGCGGCGGTGCGGCGAGGTGGCGGCCAACGCGTCGGAGGTCGTCCGTCGCCCGCGTGTTGACACGAGAGCGTGGTGGGATCGGACGCGGGAGGGGAGGGGAGGGGCAGGCGCAGGCGAGAACGGGAGAAGGGGAGGAGGGGGGAAGCAGGTGCACCACGTACCGAGGATCCCCTTGAGCCTCTCGGCCGTTAGCGGTTGTCCATTCAGCGAAAAGCTCGACATCGCGTTCTACGACCGTCCTTCACAAATCGGGCCCGACGAGGCTGCAGCACTCCTACCCGGTCGGTCGTACGCGGGAAGGGGGAGGAGGTCCAACCGTGACTGACAACGCGCGGCGTCTCCAGCCGAGTCACGCCGCTCGCCGCTCGCCGCTCGAGCCTTTTTGGCCTAGGAAAAGGGCGCGTATTATTGGTCAGCGAAAGGCGCGATCGCAGGCGCATCGTTGCGCAAGAAACATCCAGAACACATTTAAAATGATTTCCTTCGTTGTCTGCTCTCTACACCTACACCCGGCCCGACGGGCGCGTTGTGCGTAGCAATGTGTCACGGAGTTCGTGTGAAATCCGCGGCGCCGTCGCCGGCGGAGATCCGCACTTGCTCCTGGACTAGTAGTGCAGTGGCGAGGCCGATGGCTATGTGAGCAATGATAAAGAGCCGCACTTTGGCTCACCCTAGCAAATGTAGTCTCATAATTTTGTCAATAGCTGCTGGCGGAGAAGGCGCCGTACGAAAATACTTGGCCCTCGAGTTCGAACTCGAGCCCGGCAGAGGCGTGGACGGCGCTCAGGCTCGCTCAGGCTCGCTCAGGCTGACGGAGGCGAGTCCAGTGTGGAGCGAGCACATCAGCTGCTAGTTGCCCTCTTGCATCCTCCCGACCCGCATCCCCTGCATCGACGGTACTACCCAGTACAACACCAGCATTGGTGACAGTATTCAAAGACCCACCGTTCGAACCGAACCCACTTGTCGTCTCCCACCCTCTGCGCACCGCCTCGACCACCGAGCCGTCGCTGGGACTACTTGCTTCATAAGCACGCCTGTCTGCCGACCACAGCCCACCCACAGCGCACCACACCCGCTCGTCCTCGCCGCCTCGCCGCCCCGACGCCTCCAGCACCGACCTGTGAAGAATCATGTCTACGATCGATTGGTCCAACCTCAATCTCACTGCGGGCAACCTTCCCCTCGGCGATGACCAGGACAACTGTGCGTCGCGACCCTCCACTGTCCAGACGCCCAGCTCGGCGCTCCGCTTTCGATGCCTCTTCTCTAGCGCATCCTTCCTCTTTCCCTGGCCCTGACTCGGCGTGCGTGTGCGCGCGCGTACGGCCTCGTGCACGTCGGACCCGGCCTGCCGCGACTGCGCCGCGCCTGGTCAGCTGGCGCGCAGAGGGCGATGCCCGAGTTCGGCGCGCCGCCGATTCAGGAGCGTGCAGGCGGGGGCGGGGGCGGGGGGCGGCGATGCTTCTTTCTCAGGAGGGGCGCAAAGAGTGAAAGCGATGATCGCACATGTGACGCTAGTTCTCTTTGTTGTACGGTGCTGACCTGTGCTCCCTGTGCTTTGATCAAACCAAAAGACATCGCCAAATTGCTCTCGCTCGATCCCAACTTGCCTTACTCGGGCCAAAACCTAGGCATGCTCTCCTCACCTGAAGCCTCGGAGTCGGCTTCGCCCGAATCGGATGCGGCGCCCTCGTCGCGCCAATCCTCGACGGGCGCTCCCTCCTTCGAGACCAGCAAGGCTACAGCGGCCCCCGTCAAGATGAGTCCGACGCGCGCCACGGCCCAGGCTCAGCATGAGAAGCGCAAGGCCTCCGATACCAAGAGCTCGACCGCAGCTCTCAAGGATCGTCGTGCCTCGACCACAGGCTCGGGCACTATTTCGAGCCGTGGCGCAGAGGAGTCGCACCACACCCACCCCGACGACGATGACAACGACAACGACAGTGATGGTCAGTCTGCTGCAACTTGCTGTCAGTTGAGCCGTGCATTCTTTTCTGACAGTGTTGTTAATGGGCAATATCGTACGCAGACGACGGCAAGGGCGGCAAGGGTCACAAGACCACCGACAAGCGCAAGGATCAGAACAGGAAGGCCCAGAGGGCGTTCCGCGAACGCAAGGAGAAGGTGAGAGACAAGCGCAAGACCCTTTGTATCCAGTCGTCCAATCGGACAAGTGCTGACCCTTGGGCGTGCACGTTGGACAGCACCTGAAAGATCTCGAGGATCGCGTGTTGAGCCTCGAGCAAGAATCGTCCGAGAAGGCGGCCGAAAACGCTGCGTTGAAGCAGCTCATGGAAAGGCTTCAGGGCGAGAACGAGCGCCTCAAGGTCTACGAGACGGCCTTCTCTTTCAGCTACGCCAAGGACGTCTCGAACTCGGCGACCATGTCAAGCGCCCCCCAGTTCAAGCCGCCTACGCCCCCAACCGACCAAGACGACCTCACGAGGACATCGGCCTTCGCGAGCCCAGCGTCGACCTCGAGTGTACCTCTGTCAGAGACCTCGAGCCCTTTCGACGCGAACGGCTTCCTTACGTCGAACTTGCCAACCTCGGCTCCTGTCTTTAACACGAGTCCGTCCGCGTTCGCCTTGCCGCAGCAGAGCTCGTACCCCCACCACCCGTCTGGTTCGTCGGCCGCCTCGCCCCTCGGCTTCTCGCCCCCGACGTACGATGCCACAAATAGACAGCCTTCTTTGGACGAGCAGATCTTCCTCGGCTCGCTGTCGTCGGGTGCGTCGCCCGCCTCGACGCTTGCAGGCTCGTCTTCAGCATCCGGAGCATCGACGCGCATGACGTCGCCTCCCGGCATGTCGACGACTGATCTGTTCACGGCGTACCGTGATTCGTTCGGCACGACGGATCTGACATCACTTGGCGAATTCGATGCCTTGTTCAACACCTCGGGTCTTTCGACTGGCCTTTCCCCCGCGCCCGGAGCGCCAGGCACAACGTCGACTCCCGATGACCTCTTGGCCGCACTCGTCAAGAGCCCGAGTCCGGTCGTGTCGGCAAGCTTATCGACGGCGGAGACATCACTGTCAGAGGGACCAACCACCTCAGAATGCCCTTTCATCACACCAGGGGCCAAGTACGAGTTCGACGTCGACGGTTTGTGCGCGGAAATGAAGCTTAAGGCGACATGCCAAGAGAAGGCGAGGGAGGCACTACGATCGGCGATGGCGGCGGATGCGAATGCGGTTGCAAAGGCATATCCGCAGCAACAGTAAATTGTCGTTGCCAGAAGCTACAAAGCGAACGCAAGAACAACGAGCTACCTTTCTAGATGTGGCCGGTGTTGCTGATCGCTCTGCTTCGTGGTGTCCCACCCCCTCGTTCATCTTCGTTCCTCCTCGTTCATCGCAGCAGCTGTTTGTATCTTCGTTTTTCGAACCCATGACACTCGATCCGCCTTCTTGTTGTATATCTATCCCTCGGTCATGCCCCCCGTTTATGCGTTTTTCGCTCTTCATGTTTCTAGACCCTTTTCTCTTTTGTGTGCACTCGTGCAATACAGTGATACCGAACGCAGTGTTGGATCGGATCGATCGATTCTTGACTCGTGATCTTTCCCGCGCCACGAGCGCATGTGCTCTTAGATGATCGCACCGCGTGACTGTAGTCCTTTGATGCGCCGGGGCGGACGCCGTAGTAAGATCAAGATCCTCAACCCGCGTGGATCAGCCGTGGGGGATGACGAGGCCGAGCCGCGGAATCAACTCTCCTAAAAACCGTTCGCGGAGACGGCACGTGCCCTCAACTCGGCCCGAGTCCCCACACCTCTTGAATCCCGTGATTGACCGCATCGTCAGCTTTGTTCGATGTTTGTAACTCCAACCAAAGTCGCGTCGGGAAACCCATTGCTTTCGCTGGGTCCTCCAATGCGCTTGGGTAGATTGTTCAGCCAAGAGGATCGTTATTTAGCCACGTGTATGTGCGAGTTGGCTCAACTACGGTCTGAGGGAGATGCGGTCCGACCTTCCCTCGCTCTTAATCATCACTTCCTCTTACCCTCTTCTTTCGATGATGAGGCCTCTCATTCTGGCCCTTCCATCGACCGTGGCCATGAGAATACGAGCAGATTGAATCGACAAGCCGGAGTATGTGTTCCAACCTTCCAAGATGTTGATCGGACAGCTCGGAGTAATTGATCAGTCACAAGCCTCGATGGGTTTGACCGAGGCGTCACCGGCGAGCAGCTGTATTCATGTTGTCTTGGGACTTTACAAGCCGAACTTAGAGATGGGTGAGTGGCAAACTTCAAGCTGGGGCACAAAACATCGATGGCTCAGCTCACGTTCCGTCGGCGCTGTGCTATCTTGCAGCAGCCACACAGAGACGTTCTTCAAACGGCGTTTATGGCGAGGCTACGGTGTGTGTCCGTTCAGTAATACTCATCAGAGAAGAGGAGCCGATTGCGGGTTCCAGCCAAGAGACGTTAGGTGATCTCGCTCAGCTTGGAGCACGCCCAAAACGGTTCAGAGGCATCCCCCGACGGGTCCCCTTGGCTTCCTAGATATCGTGTCAGATACAAATCCCAAAACCCACATTTTATTGGATCATAGAATCTTCGTGAAGCTGTGGTCCGCGCTGGCAAGCATACTCCCCGCTTTTGTCTCAGGCGTGTGCGCGCCGAATGACGTAGACTCGTCAGGTCAGTCTCCTTTTGATGATCACGGGTCGAATGGAGCAGCGCGCGACCATTCACTCCAGGCGAGTTCCTACCTCCAGCCATTACTACGATTGCAGGAACGTAAGCGTCATCAGCTTGGATCAACTGGGAGGCTGACGACTCTTAGTACCAAGTCGATGATCCTGCGTAGGTGATGTGGGATGGAGTCCGCCCTGGCCTGAGCGAACGAAAGCGCCTTCGGCTGATTTCTTCAGGCGTCCCAGTTCGGTTGCTCCCGCAGTCCGTCCGGCGTTTCGTGTGGTGGTGCTACAGCTTGTGCGAGATAGAGTGTTTCGATACCACATGGGAATTCCACCGTTGTAAGGATAGAGCGGTCAAGCGTTGTCGCACAGTATACGTGGGATCGAACATGTGAGTCCGAAGGTTGTGTTCAGCCGAACGAATGGAAAACTCGGCCTGCTTTCGTCATTGCGCATATCAACGTTCAACTGCGTGGGGCGCCGACGAGTATCTCTACATATGTAACAGCTATCCCCGCCCGATGTACATACTCCAATTCCAGTACATTTGCGCTATCTTGTGACAGCAGTTCAACCCGACCAACAAACAATTGATGCGGGTGGGACCGTCTCGACCCGAGGCGCCCCTCTCCCTCTCGATCGGTCGAGCGTGAACCGTCGGTGAAATTTGTGGAGCTAACGGCTTCTTCCCTTTGACTTTGAAATGAGATTTTCAACAAATCATTCAAATCCGAGCTGTTGAAGAGACCGCTGAGAGTTCCGAGGGTTTTGGTGGTGACTGATTTAGTCGAATAGAGGGGTCGAATGCGGGACCGCGCCGACTTGGCAAGCGCGGCTCGGGTAATAGAATTGCGGCTTCGAGTCAAGATCAACCCCTTTCCTTCCTGCGTTCCACGTCGACCAATCCAACGGCACCCTCTTGCTACGTGAACCCTTGCCATCCCCTTCGTCTTTGGTGTGGCGAGACTCGGAGCCCATACCTTTTGCGGCATGACTGGGCCGGTAAGTCCATATTCGGCGTGGTCGCCCTGATGCGACTCGGAGACGGGTACTTGCGATCGCCGTTGCCGATGCCAATCAGTGCGGCGCGAAGCAATTGCAAGAAACGCAAGAAGAAGTCGTGTGCTCTGCTGTGGCGGGCAGGCAGATTTACCCCAGTCGAAGTCCGGGTCACGAAAATGCTTCGCCTCTACTTGACGAGCCAAGGAGTTCAGTCGCGGAGGTGAGTTTTAAAGGAATCCGGTTAAATTCAGGCATCAAATTCTATGGCAGCGGTCACAAAGCTCATCTATGTTGTTGTTGGGTTCTTCTCTTTCCAGACTTGATTGCAGAACTTATAGTTCTTGTCTACGCCTGGTTGACGGCTTCGGCCATCGTCCCCGGCCATTTTTCGTTGAGCAGACTCGGAGCCTTCCGAGACTCGGACGCATCCCTGTTTTCCTCTTCTTCGCTTGCAATCAGAAACGACCCAAGCACGTCTGTACGATTGAGCACTTGGAGGAACATTTCGGATTTCTGAAGTTCGGCCCGCGGTATGCCGGGGTCAGCATCGGTAAGCCGTGCCGCCGACGGACTCTCGCGCGCACGAGTCGCGCACGCCTCCGAGGACCCCAGAAAGCCCAGCCGGAGGCGCATGTTGAAAAACGCGGTTTTTTGGCCTTTTTGTCAAAGTTTTTTACCCTATTTTGGCCCCAAAATGTCAAAATTTCACATGCGCCTCAAAATATTATCAAAATGTGTTCTACATGCTCCAAAAATCGCTCAAAAGTCCTCGAAAACGCGTTCCGAGCGTTTGCGGACGCGCGGCGGCCGATCGAAAGTGGCTTGCGGCGCGCGTCGCTTCGGCTGGTGTCGCGCGTGGCTCCAGGCATCAAATAAGCCTTCCTTGCTTTGCTGGTGGGCTCGCTACTTCGTTGTCAGACCTCCGTTTTGCTGAACTTGAGCTCCTTGTGTCCGCGGAGGCATTTGTGCGGCTTGTAGAGGTTCTACCGGCGGCATCTCGCAGGCCGGGGACGCTCCGAAAGGCGGCAAATCTTTGCTCGGCATGTGCGCACGTGCTGATTATGCGCTCGTCGGGGTAACATGAGGTAAGGTCCGTGGTTGAACGATATGTAGTCGCTGGCGGGCCTAATGACTCGATGACCTGTCGACCATCAATCATGCGGAACGGCATAGTGCCATCAATGAGGTGAGTGGAATAGCATGCTTTCTTGATGAGGCGAGAGCTCCTGTACGACGACATTTGAAAGTAGAACCAACGACGGGAGCGTGTCTCGGTTGCAGTGGTTTGTTGTCACTTTGCTGTAGATGTATCGCACTGTAGCAGACAAGACCTTTGTCATATGAGAACGTCACAGCTCAACTGCCACTGCACTCAAAACAACGTACCAATTCCGATGGACAACGTTTCTTCTCCATAAGCAGTTTGATCGCAGCTGAGTGAATGCATGCCACGCTTGAGGCCAAAGCAGATCAGAGATCCGATCTCCAATGGTGTGGCAGTGATTATCGGAGCAGAGGGGTAAAAACCAGATTGATTTTGAGGTCGGCGCGTTGCGCATGCAATCGCCTAGCTCGATGAGATTACGATACTGGTTTGGCGGGCCAGGCTTTGAAGATCGAATGAGGACCCGAACCGGAAGGGCGAGCCAGTAACAAGGAAATGACGGTAGAGGGTATGAGTCCATACGATGTTTCGGAATCGGGATTCTGCACTCGTCCAGCTCTAAGGACGCTTTCAATCGACAAGTTCATCGCGGCTTCACCGAGCCAATCGTGACCTGAGTAGAGACGCGAATAAGCAAGTTGCCTCAGATACGAAATGAACACGAGTGGCCAGCTGAAGGACTGGTGTACTGACTTAAGAATCTCAGAAGATAAACCAAACTCGTTCCTCCCCCAAGAAGAGGCAATGGTAGAAGCCCGTCTTGCTCTTGCCATTGCAGTCCGTTCAGTATGCGACGTGCGACAGCGATACGGTTGCGGTCAGTTCCGTTGATAACGACGATTTTGTCCATCCATCGTTGAGCTCGCAGCGCCCAGCTTTGAACATCTTCTGCTCGGTCGTACTGCGACCATAGCCGATCGGCGCCGAGCGGCAAACGCGTCTCGAAGGCGAATGCGGGCCCATGGTCATGCCGAAGGCTGCTCAGGGTCGGCCAAAATTGCCTCGACCCCCGGGAAAAATGTCAAAATCTGCAAAGGCGCCTCGGGGGCAAAACGTGTGTTTCGTCCCAAAATGTCAATTTTTTGCAATGCGCCTCGACGATTTTCAGGATTTTGGGTCCTCAAAATGTCAAAAAAAATAAATGCGCCTCCGGCGGGGCTTTCTGGGGTCCTCGCCTCCGTCTCGTCGGCGCCGGTGCCGGGGAGGGGGGGGGGGGGGGGGGGGGGGGGCGGCACGCCACGTCTCTCCCTTGAGCCCGACGTGCCGAACTGATCGCAACAGACGCGATGACGACCCCCGCAGCGGCCTACTCGAGACCGTTGCCGGTTCCACCTTCTCTGCCGAGCCAGACGTCGACGCCTGCGCCTGTGCTCGGTGGTGGCCACCATCGTGGAGCGAGTGCTTCGTCGATGTCGCACGAGCCGAGTGGTGGTGCTGCCGGTGGAGGTGGTGGCGGTGGTGGTGGCGCGTCGACGTCGGCCATGTCGTACGACACCTCGTTCGCCCCGGACAGGACCCCATCCTCACCAACCAGTCCGTTCCTTCCAGACCGTCAGACGAGTTGCAACTGTAAGTCGACTTGCGAGCATCGCATTCATCCTGGTCGCGCGGGTGTCAGCAGCAGCCACCGACGCCCTCGCGACACTACCATGCACGTTCTCGTGGCCGATCGCTTACCCGATCTGACCCCGTAACGGTTTCCGTCATGATCATAGCTTGCAAGTTGGGTCTCGAACAAACGCTCGACTCCACCGTCGTGACCTGTGGCAAATATCTGTACCAGTCAGTCCTCAACGCGCGTCGTCGTCGGACGTTGCCTCCTCCCGACAGGGGCTACAGCCGTTGTATCTGGGCTCCCTTGACGTTGCGGATCCGCTGACCCCACTATGGACACCCTTCTCCCAACGTGCAGCGTCGACTGGTGAGTCTCGATTCGGCTGCGCACGCCTCTGTGACAGGCTTTGCTGATCCGCAGTGCGCTCCTCGGTCCCTCCCCCGCTCCTCCCCCACACGCGCAGCTTGTGAGTCCCACCCCACTCTTCCGCGGCATCTTCCAAGCAACGCTATGCTAACCCGTCCATTCAAATGGCCGCTCATCCAGCCGATGCGCAAAATGCAACAACCTTGTCGAACACGACACGAACCTCCTCTTGCTTTCGGACGGCCTGCCCGTATGCCAAAACTGCTCCTACATCTGTAGCACCTGTCACAAGTCGATTGACAACTCGGCGGTCGTCACAGGTACGCAATTGCAAAGATGTCTACTAGCATTCAGTCTCTTCCCTTTAATCGATCCAATTTCCGCCCTCATCATACCCAGGTGAACATAGCTATCACACCGAATGCTTTCGATGCTGTCATTGCGCCGAACGCATCGAGGGACTGACCTATGCAAAGACCCAACTCGGCATCTGGTGTATGGCCTGTCACAACGAGCGCATCGCGCAAGGGCGGAAAAAGACAGAAGCCAAAAAAGCCGCCCGAGCGGGGAGGAAGAAGGAGAAGGAAGCTGGGCGGACTAAAGCCGAACGCGACAAGGATCGCAGTGAGCGCGCCCATGCGGTGGCGATTGCAGCCATCAATGGTAGTCAGGTCCCTACCTCCTCTGGCTCTGGCTCAGGAGGACACGCCAAGTCGGCGTCTTCGTCGTCGAACTTTGCCCTTCGGAAAAGTGGTGATTACGAACAAGGCAGCTACGACATGTCCCCTTCGCCCAAGGACAAGGACTTTTCAGCACAGCAATATCACTTCCACGATACGTCGCGCCCCAACTCGTCACCACAAACGCTGCACTGGCGGCCCCAGCATACACCTTTGCCCACGTCCGCCACGACAACGGCCATCTCGTCCCTGGGAGGTCGCTTGAGCTCAGACACAAAAGACCGTCCTCCACGGCCAACTCTCCCCATTCCGCCACAAGAACGGTCCCCTGCGATCTCGGTCGGGACCAGCGATGATGCCGGTGGCGCCAGTCCAACCTTTTCGGCGTACATGGTACGACGCGAATCTGAGTCGAGCACCCTGCAGCCCATTAACGCCGAGCAGAAGCAGATGAACCGACGCTCTGGGTTTTATGGCTTCGCCCAGCGACCCTCGATCGACGAGGGTGCACCAGTCGCGACGGATGACTTGGACGGCACATACGAACGTATTGGGCATGAGGAAGAGCCCGTTGAGGACGATGATCGATCTCCCGCCAAGGAGAATTACGTTGATGAAGATCCGACAGAGGCGCTGCAATACTCGGCTCCACAGCATCAGCCTCCAGCCGCAGCGCATCCACCGAGCTCGACTTATTTACCCGACCTGCATAACTCGATGTCCTTCTACGACCCCGACACCCTCCTCTTCCTCAACCACGTCGCGTCGCCTCGCAACCATTCAGCATCGAACTCGTTGACTCATGGTCCCACACCTCCACGGAAATCGCTGGACGAGGAGAAGACGCATTCACAACGACGTGGACCTTCGGAAGCCTCGACAGCCTCGGACGCGATCGAGCATCTCAGTCCTGATCTAGCAGGGGCCGAATTTAACAGTTCTCGCGACGTCGCGACCGCGGGTGGTCGAAGCGTCGCGCGCAAAGTGAGGGAATCGATCCGGTTGTCGAGAGATGGGATGGAGGGCAAGACTGGCGGCGCGTCGCTGGACGTCGAGCTCGTCGAGTTGCTTCTGAATGAATTGGAAGAGACCAAGAAAGAGATGCAGGAATGGCAGTCGCGGTATGATGCATTCAGAGTGAGTGCAGTCCGTCACCAGGTGCTGGGGCGGCAGGACCTGATGAACCCGTATTATGCTTTTGGATCGCAGAGAGCGTCGAGAACGGCTTTCGAAGGGTTCAGCATGGCGCGCGAAGAATACGATCGCGAGGTCGCTACTCGACGCGAGGTCGAATCTCGCCTTGAAGAACTTCGAACCAGGTTTGTCGAGCAGGCACGTCGGCTGGCCGACGTCGATCAAGACCAGAAGACGCGGGATAGCTTGCGCAGTCAGACGCAGGAATTGCGGTCCTCTGTGGTGGCTACGGAACGACAACTTTCGTCCTTGCGAGCCGAGGTCGAGCTTTCAACGGCCCAGGCGGCTGAGTTGAAGGGAACTGAATCTCCTACGAAGACCGCCAACGATCGGATCGTCGAAGCCCTCAACGAGCGATTGGAAGAGGTCAAGGATCGACACCGTGCTGAGATCACGGCCTTAGTGGAGCAGCGCGATGCGTTGACGCGGGAAGTCGATGCGCTGCAGGACGCTCGATCGTTCCTCATCGACGAGTCGGCGACTCTGCAGGCTCGCCACGTTTCTCTCGAAGGGCAAACAGTTGAGGCTTCGAAGCAGCTCGAATCGCTCCGAGATCAGATGAGCAAGCTGCGCGTGTCCCCCAACCCTGGCCCCAGTGGCCACCATGCATCGGCCAGTATCTCGAGCATGGGCAAGCTGGCCCTGCCTCGACCATCCATGTCTCCGAGCATGGGCGATCTTGAGTCGGTTGCGCGCTTGGAAGCCCCAACAGTCAAGAAATTCAAATGGGGCAAGGCCAAAGCCGTCACGACCGCATCGATTAGTGGTCCTCAACTCCAAGCCGGTAGCAGCGACCCGCACGATCGCAAGGGATCGGTCATGGGTCTCAACATGGGTTCGGGCGCTGCCGCTGGGTTAAGTCGATCACCGCAAATTTCTCGTTCGGCTTCGGTCTCGATTGATCATGGCATGCGGTCACACGCATTCCAGCCGACGAGTATCTTGCGGCCCATTCGATGCGAATACTGTGGTGACAAGATGTGGGGGCTGAACGAAGTACGATGTACTGGATGTGGTTGCTACTCGCACACCAAGTGCATCCCCTACCTGTCAACGCCGTGCTCACACGGTTCCACCGCTCTCGCTTCGGATGACACGATAACGCTTCTGTCGCAGTCTTCGGGGATGTTTGGTAATCATCTTGTAAGTTCTTTGATGGACCAAATTGACCTTACATGAAGCTAAGTGAACTCTGCGTCCTCTTCCCTCATCTAGACCGCGCAAGCACGATCCGAGAATCGCGAGGTCCCTTTGGTCGTCTCGAAATGCATCGCAGCCGTCGAAGTCTTTGGTATGTACCAAGAAGGCATCTACCGAAAGTCGGGTGGGATGGGGCAAACAAAGCGCATCACGCAATTGTTCGAGAGCGGTCAAGACTTCAACCTCGAGGACGGGAACCAGTTCAACGACCCGGCTGCCATCACTTCCTGCCTCAAGAACTACTTCCGATGCTTGCCCGACCCGCTCTTCACCTTTGACTTGCACGAAGAGTTCGTCTCGTGCACCGAGATTCCCTCGCCCGAGGATCGATTGACCAAGATTGAAGCGACGTTGGCCAAGATGCCCGAAGTCCACTACAAGACCGCGAGGTGCTTGATCCAACACTTGCATCGGGTGCACTCGCGCAGCGCCGAGAACAAGATGACACCTGTCAATCTCGGCGTCGTCTTTGGGCCGACGGTCATGCGTTCTCGAGTCGTCGAAAGGGAATGGTCTGACATGGGCGCCAAGGCCAAGATGATCGAGTTGCTCGTAGAAAACTCGCCACGCTTCTTCGGGGTAGCGTGAGAAGCTGGGCACAACACCGCCTTAGACTCTTGGACACTGATCTTCAGTATCATTCGGATTAGTCGCTCACTCGAAGCAGAGTGGGGTGATGATGAGCGTGACGTTTGCTTCCCTTTTCTTGACCGGTCCCTTTCACGGCTGGTGCCACCTCCAGAAGTCTGGTCTTCTTTCTGTTCCCATACCCCCTTCACCGTTTATGCATTGCAAGCTCTCAGTACAGCATTGTCCACTCGAGAATGTTGATTCATCAAGAACTCTAGGGTTTGATTGCATCGCTAGCTGACCGTAAGCGCGTAGGCTGTTGAAGAGCAATCCACGTCCTCCTTCTAAGCTCCCTCTCTCCGACGGCACCGAACACTAAAGAGTGCCGTCGAATGTAAGACCTTCAACCCACGTTCTCCTCCGACCCTCTTTCCACCCTCTCCGCCTTCTCCCTCTTCTCCCTCCTCCTCCGCTCCTTCTCGTCGAACCTGGCCACTTTCTCCCGATCGATCCGCCCAATGAAGTATTTCCCTCCTTCCTCTTTCCAACTCACGCTCTGTCGCCCGTACGTCAAAGGTTGTCCTTGGTCGAGGATCGCTAAAGGGGAATGACGATTGTGGGCTGAGAGATTGAATGAATGGGCGAAGGCTTTGAGAGATACGATGCGGGTGCCGGAGGCGAGGTCGAGGAAGAGGAGGGAGAGGCGCTGGTTCAAGAGTGAGGAGAATCTGTACAAGTGGGCCGAAGCGGGTCAGTCTGAACAGCACGCCCAAGCAGAAAGATCTCGTGATGCGAAGCTTACACTTCGTTATTGACGAGGATCACGTCAGCCCTTTTGAGAACCTGGCCTACCAAGGGATGTTCACAGAAATCGGCCTCGATAACTTCCATCTTGCCCGCGCTGACGCCCCACAACTTGTGCCTCGTTTCAGCTTCGACCACTTGAGCCCGAGCGAGCGATGACGCATGTGCCATGTTCTCGAAGCCCCAAGCTTCGCAGCCAGTTGCGAGAGCGGCTTGGACAACGCAGTTGCCGACGCCGGAACCGAGGTCGACAAAGACGGATCCGGGGCCGAGTTTGGTCTTTTGAAAGCTGCAAGATCATAGAATCATCAATCAGTTCAGAGTACAGCTGAAGGCATGCGGGCCGCGCATCCGACTTACATCTCGCTCATAAATTTAGGCAACAGCTCGCCATAGACGTTATCGGAGAAGGCCTCGTACTTGCTCAATTCGTCCAACCCAGGCCCGACAGCTCGATCATACGACTGCGCCGCGATCTTGGTCCAAGTCTTCTCCTTGAGACCCTTCAATCCCTGAATGTTTTGTTTCATGATTGAATTAGCCTTCAACTCCTTGATCCCGGCGTTGTAGCGCTCGATCGCGGCAATGAACGCGGGTCCATCCCGTTTCGCTTTGGCTTTCTCGAGCTGTCGCATCAAGGGAGGTAAGGTCGAGGTGAGAAATGTAGCAGAAGACGGTGTGCCCGTATCGGTGGGTGTTCCGGGTGTCGCTGAGCGAGAAGGAGGCGCTGAAAGAAAAGCTGAGAACGAATTGAGACCGGGGGTGTAGCCGAAGAGGGCGAGGGATTGGGGCGGGGCTAGGAAGACGTCCAAGACGGTCCGAATGACGGTCATGACGTCCTCGATGGGATCGTATTCGTTGTCATTTTTGGGTGCCAGCAAATAAAATCTGTGCAGAAGATAACCCGGTCTTGTAAGTTTCTGTGTGACTGTTGCGTAGTTGTGGCGCGCGCAACTCTGACCGACTTTTCGCTGCCGTTTCCCGGGTATTCTAATTCGATTGTGGGTATATCGTTCCCCGACCATTGCACATTCGACTTTTCTGGATCAATAGGATCGATAAAATCTGTCATGCCGTTCAATGATAAGAGAAGGTGAGCCAAGTGAGCGAGGCTCTTCCAAGGACGGGGGAGAACGTACAATCTCTGTAAGCGCTCCGACTAAGCATAACCAATTTGGATGCATCGATCCTCTTCGAGGTGCCCTTGTTTTCCGCCTCTGTTACCGCTTCCGATCCATCATATACGTCTCGCTCGACGACCGGGGTCGACTGGCGTCGGTTTCTGGGCGTGTCCGAATCCGACGAGTCCGAATCGCCCTCCTCCTCGCTGGGTGACGCGGCCGAAGAGGACGAATCAACGTCCGAGGAGGACCGAGTGAGAGCTGAGGATGTAGCCCTCTTTTTGGTTTTGTGTGCGGCCTGAGATCGGGCCGGGGAAGTGGATGCGGATTTGATGTGCTTGTTTGCCTCGGCCGAAACGACGGCCTCGGCCTTCCTTTTGATCGGAGATGCCGATTGCGCACTGCCTCCGTTGAGCTTCTTTGGGCTGGAAGCAGATGTGATTGCTCTTGCTGACTTGTCGCTCGATGAGGACGGTCCGGCTAATGAGTTGTTGTTCTTGGCTTTGCTGCTGCTGCTGCTGCTGCTCGATGTCGTCGTCGTGGCCACAGCTGAGGCACCGTTCGAGACCCTGTGCTTGAGCGACGGACCCGCCGTCTTGACCCCTACTTTGGATGAAGACGGACTACTATTCACAGCCTTGGTGAGTGTCGAAGGCACGAGCACCGTCTTGCGCGTCGTGAGCACTTGAATCAACTTCTTGGGCGGCCCTGGGACAGTGCTCGTTCCTGAGCTTGTCGAACCCGTGGGCGCCGAGGAGGAAGCCGACGGCCCAGATTGGAACGACTTGCGGCGTTGGAACATGCTAGCACCTGCCCCAAAGCCCCAAAGTTGATGTTCGGAACGGATGCGGGCGAGGGAGCGCGAGGGAAGGGAGCGCGCAGAAAATCGACGCGGCGCAGGTCGCGTGAGGTGCCCGCGATGGGAGACTATGGGAGATGGGCCTGAGGATGAGAATCTGAATTCCAGCTAGTCTAATACCAACGGCGCATGAAGGCGCATGTACTCAGCTACGCCGCCTTTCGCCGCCCGCCCCGACGCTCAGCTTTGCATGACAAATGCCCGGCTCAGCTGTTGCCGCCAGAGCGGCACGTACCGTCAGCAACGCCGGCCAATCTTAACTAGCAGGCGCATACACTCGGCTCGGTAAAGCTCCCAGAGGCTCCACTGAAAGTTGCCTAATGATAGAAATCGACTTGATCGCACAGCACGACAAATTGTAAATTACCCCACCGCTTTCGACGTTTTGAAAAGCATTTATGATTGTCGCGAACGATTTGAAACCGACTCGAAACACATTTGAAATGAGGAGCATCCTTAATCTATAAAAACGTCTGTGTGGCTAAAGAACGTCAGAGAACGGGAGACAAACCAGGGAGATAAAGAACGTCAAAGAACAGGAACCATGTGGCGTGACGTCATAGGCAGCTCTCGGTCCAGCGCGTCCCAGCTAGCTAGCGCTGTTTCAGCACGGGTCGGCCGGCGACAGTCCGTTTCGTCTACGTTCGCCGAGATTCCATTGAAGAGCACGTGACTCTGCTTCCTGAAGCAGACTGCGACGACCTGTTTTGCGTGTCTATCACATCGCAGCGTAGTTCCTTCAATCATCCAGCTCCTGCCAGAGCCGAGATGTCATCTGCAAACTTTCACGTCCCGTCTCCTGTACGACAATCTTCACGCCGCACGGAGAGCAGAGGGGCAGCAGAGACGTCGCCATCGTGAGCGAGCTGAGCCTCCTCCGTACAACCCGACTCCTGCTCTAATCGCACAGTCGCCGCCGCCAATCGATCAACACGACGTCGCGCAAACTGGTTCGTCAAGTCAATCTGCACCGGCAGCAGGCAGTCTCAAGTCGCACGGCAAGTGCGACGGGCCCGCAGTCCATCACCTCCGGGCTTGAGATTCGTTCGTCCACGCTTTGGAGCAGCTCCAGACCTCGGGTAGTGTCGGCCAGTGCGCCAATTCCGCCGTTAGGGGCCCCGCCAGCGTGTCACGGCTTGCCCACACTGGGCTTCACTCCACGTCGTTCCGCGGCCTTCCGCGACATTCTATGAACCCGGTTTAAACTGAGGCGCAGGCTTCTCCATCTTTCTCCCTCCTGCTCTTCGCACCTTACCCATCGCACCTCATCCCATCGCCACTCATCCCATCGCCCATCATGAAAGAAGCCCCAACACCACTCGCGGATGGCGAACGAACAGCTCTGTCAGTCGATGACGTCGATCGACTTGCCGCAATACGGTCCTGGCCCAGGACACGGCTCAAGTAGTTATCACAATGCTTGGGAAGATCGTGTCGATTGATCGATCCCTCAACAGGGATGCCTCCCGTGTAGTAAGTGACGCGAACAGCAAAACGTTTAGGGGAGCAGCCCGTTGATATACCTTCATGATGTCAGCGAACCATCCATCCAGCCTCAGAGATGCGGACAACGAACGGGTGGGCCGACCCGAACTGTTCTCGAGACAAATCGGCCTCGAGCTCGCGACACCCGAAGCGATCGTCGTGGAAGCTCTGCAACGAATTCGGGACAAATTCTCTCAAGAAATGGCTGCCGCCTGCAGCATAGCACGGATTCGAGTAAGTAACTTCATGAAATGTGCTCTAGGTGTGGGGTTCTTGAGGAGCTAATGGAAGACTACCAAGCAGCAGTTCCCTTCAACACGTCTGCGTTGAATGTCAACCCTCGAGTTGCTTTCCTCCATCATCAACTGGTGACAGTGCATTCGTGAGTTTCACGTGACATTGGCTGTGCAGTCGGGTATGACGGAAAAATTGCTACAGATGGACAACAGCAAGAATACTGATAATTTTAACAGGCTCTGGTTCGGTGGATTGCGGCTCACCATCCCGTGGCAGATCCTCAACGGCTCGGTTCGGTGGAGTGTGGAGTGACTGTCATGTTGGCAGGTGTGTGCCAATCTTTCAAAAGCAAATCGCAGGGCAGCATGACTAACTGACCGGTTGAACTGTAACATCACAGGGAATCCGAAGCAATGCCTTCCCGTTATTCCAAGTCATCGCCTACACGAATCGTCGACGCTTGCATCATGAATGGTGACTTCTGGGGGGACAAAAGCAAAGCACAGGGCAGCATGACTAACTGATCGGTTGGACTCTAACATCACAGTGGATCCGAAGCAATGCACTCCCGTTATTCCCAAGTCATCGCCTACACGAGTCGTCGACGCTTGCATCATGAATGGTGACTTCTGGGGGGAAGGTGAGGTGCTGCATCTCTGTAAGTAGTAGTCCTTGCCCGATTTTTAGACCCTATACTAACAGCGGCACGGTACGAGCGCAGACAACATGCGTCTTCTCGCCGCTGCCGACCGCATGGCCGAAACGGAACGGGCAAAGGCATTATGTCGATAGGCGAAAAGTCGAATACTTCCGAGATCGAGCAATTCTGGCGCCCAAGAACTCGCAGGTGGATCAGATCAACGACATGGTGCTCGACCTGCTGCCGGGTGACGCTCAAACGTTCTACAGCGCGGATTCCGTCAAAAACGAAGACGAATCACTGTTCTTCAGAGTCTCAACATCGCCGGGATGGCGTTGCACGCTGCAAAATTCAAAGTGGAAACTTGGACCCCGCCGCGGGCTTTGCAACGGCACAAGACTGTTGTCAACTCGGTTACACACCCGCCTGCTCGAGGCCATCATTCTCACAGGAGATCATGCTGGACAGCCAGTTTTGTCGCAGTTTCCAATTCGGCTGGCAATGGCTATGACGTACAGCAAGTTGCAAGAGCAGTTGCGCAGGTAGGAGTGTGTCTGGAGACGCCCGTCTTTTCTCACGGCCAGTTGTATGTCGCGTTGTCCCGAGCAACGAATGTGGACAATGTCAGAAACGTCCTGAAATGAACGCTCTTAACATTCGATCGTCGTCCAGCGGTCCTCTTCCGACTTGAACCACTAGGGATCCGTTACTGAACAGTACCGCAGCTGTTGCAGCAAAGTACGTCACATTGCAGCGGGTCAACGGTTACGGTGTGAGGTGGCGCGCGGAGCGCGCCGCCGCACCTAGTTTCAAATATTTGCGCGCAGGCGATGTTTTGGGCGGTCTATTTGCTATGCGCAGAAGCAGAGTGAAAGGAGCCCAGATTACTCAGCGGTAGGCGTAAGTAATGGCGGGTTTCTCGGTGGTACTCTCGAAGGTGCTTGAACGTGACGGATAGATAGTCCCAACCCCAGTCGATTGTCAAGTGTAGAGAGTGGAGGTCCAAAGAAGGATGAGAAAAGAGGAAAGAGAGAAGAGAGCTACGGATCGCAATTCAAGAAGGGCCCGGTTCTGGAGATAATCATGTCCTCGACAACGTGGTTTGTGAGAAGTTAGGACAATAGAAGGGATGCACAATGGTTGTCAGTCAAGGGCAGGTAAATGAAAAGGAGGTCAGGCAAGTCGGTCCGAAGTTGAGCTTGGACGGCTGCCGGACGTTACAGAGGGGCCTGTACGTGCGTGATTCACCTCCACCGTGACTTTCTTGCCTCAGGCTGGCTTCGCCGCTTCCTCGCTTATTCGGCCGGGTCATCCGTCGTGATCACCGACCGTATGTCGTCGTATTTCCCAGACATCAAAGACATGCAGTAGCTGTAAGCGCATTTTGAGACGATGTGAGTCGCCGCTCGCTGCCGCCGCCGTGCGATAATCAAGACGTTCGCCGAGTCGCCGACGCCGCCGTCGCTGCCCTCGCCGAACGTGGCCTCGTCGATCGCCAGAACATAGCCAGAACGGGTGCCGAATCCGCAGACCTCTCAGACTCGCTCAGGCCAGTTTTAGACCGATCTCAAACCGATCTCAGACCGAATCAGAGTGGCTCAGAAATTTTTTAGACCATACAGGCTGGTGAATCTCAGCGGCACTCGGCTTGTTGGAGCATATTATCGACAGAATTCTGGATGAAAACTGGACGGGAGCATCTGTAACCATGCTGTATCACCTGCGAGATACTATTTCAGGCAGTGTCAGACCGCATCAGTCTGAGCTCTACAACAGACTGAGGACGTCTTGAGGGGTCTGACGATTTTGAACTCATTTCTGGCTATGAAGTGCCCTGTCTTCGGGCGCCTAAATACGATCACCGATGCTCCCGTAACCGCTGTTGACACTGACAATCTGAATTGACGACAACGGGGATACTGTCTACGACCGCTGACGCAGGCTACCGGGAGGTTTCAGACACTAATATGAGCCATGCGGTTTCCACCGTGGTCGGGTGGCAAGCTTGATCGATCAATGAGTCGGCTGAACAAAGCCAAGTCCGTCTGTGGTACAAGGTTACCATATGCTCGATAGTATCCAAAGCCACTGACACCCTCCCGGCACGCGATGCAGCGGGCACGTGACTAAGACGAAGGTGTCTTGCCATAAACGTTACGTGTACACTGCGAGCCGGTACCAAGACAGGTCAATGCTCGCAGTTGCTTTATCAAGTACCTCACGATCGGAGCGGGTCATAATGTGATTGGTGAACTCTCGTTGTGTGCAGTAACAATCCCGCCTGGAAATGTGAGAGGGACTGTAATCATCAGTTCGGCCTCAAGAACACCAAGTAAGTCCGGGAACTCGAAGACTGAAGTGGATCCATCTTACCCATGTGAAAGGCACGAGATCGCTCTCGAGCCTCACTGGTTCCGAGTCCAAACAGAAAGGATCAAACGGTGTAATTCGCAGGCGAAGAAAGACTACTAAAAGGACTAAGGTCAAGAGACGCGGCGGCGCCGCGCGCGAGGGCAAGCGTGAGGCCGCAGAGGTTGGCTCGAGGTCGTCGTGAGGCGTAAGCGGAGCGGCGCCTTACACCATGGTCACGATCTGATCGAACCCGTGCCTCCATAGCCGCCGACATCTCTGCTATACAGGCTGCGGCGTGATGCTTATTATGTTCGGGAAGGCCAAAATTTCGCAAACGGTCAATGGAAGAAGGATGACGGCGGCAAGCCGCCTGGTCAATAGATGCCTTCCGGATTGGCTGTCGTCGGCTTTTGGAGGAGTCGTGTCCGTTCGTGCATGGGGGCGTTCCGAGATGTGAATGATTCGGTTCAGTAGTGTTGAACAATATAAGATTCATTGAGATTGAACCGCTTCCATAACGATTGTCATCCTTACGGCCGAGCGTCCAATGCTCTCTTTCCTCCAATCCACGTAGCGGCGTCACATTGAGCAAGGCTCCACCTCGTTCATCAGTCGAACAGGAAATCGAGTCTTATACCTAGTCACATGCATGGGGACCACTTCGTGGGAACCAAGTTGTTCCTTCGACCGAATGAGAGGTCCTTATGGGTGTGATCAGAGTCAAGCCTGTTTCAAAAGTCCAGAATTTGGCGACAGCTGAGAAAGAAAAACCCCAACGTCACCCCTGTCCGCCGCCGGACGTGATTCATCGCCAGCGCAGCGCACCAAGTGCACGCAAAGCTATCCGAGGGGTGTAAAGATTCAAATCCAAAAGGTAAGTCAGAGCTCGCTCCTAACTGCAAGTAGTGTCTTTCTCGGCGTGTTCTTGGCTTATCGTAGTAGGTGACCCACAGCGTGACAATTCCCTCGCACGGGCCCCACAGATGACAGTGTGGTGATCCGGGCGTCGGGACTTGCCGAATGTAGGATAAACACCTTTGGCTCAGAGCCCAAAAGTGAGCAAGATGTGGGCAGCGACCATCTGCACACCTCGTACCGACTGGCCCGGATCGTGGCACGTGATGGAGGCGGTGCTGTACTGTGATTGGCGGCGGCGGCCCGGCTGGTTCAATGTGAGCGGCCAGCCCCGGGATCCACACCCCGCGTGCAAGCCCGCGTGCCTCTGGAAATCGCTGGCGGTTGGCTCTGGATCTACTTGCCCTATCCCCGCTCCGCTTCCTTCCGCCACCTGCTTGGTTACGATCTGCGCCGACCCAAATCAAGCCGCCATGTCGCCACTACTTACCAAGAGACGTTCACGGCCATTGCTCGCCGTTCCTCTGTCGGCGTCGTCGCGGGGTTCCGGCGAGCAACAGCAGCAGCAGCAGCAGCAGCAGCAGTTGCCGTCATACACCCGCACGGCCGCCACTTTCGCCCCCCACGGCGGAGACATGGATCGGGAGCTTCCCCCACCCTTCTCTGACTTCCCCGAATCCTATCTGATCAAGAACGATGTCGTTGATAGGCTCGTCTCCCCAGACTCTCTCGCCTCGCACCTGCGTGTGCTCGGTGCGTTCCACAAGCTGCGCCAAGTCGTTGAGGCGTGTGATATCGGCATTGTCGCCCCACTTGTGCCCGAAGCGCGCTACGGCGTCTTTGTTGCCATCGCCGTACATCGCCTCGAGCTCTTTGTCGAGAAAGTAATTGCTCACCCCGACGTCGGCTACGGAGTTCCTCCCCTTGATGTGGCCCTCGTCTTGCATTCGTACAGTCTCAACCCAAGGTGAGTCCCACGCCGGGACCCAGCTGCACGATCACGTGATAGCCGACCGCTCTACTTACGTTCATGTGTGCTGTCTCAATTGCTTGCCTGAACTGAACCAAACAGATGCTTCCAAGAAGACATGTACCGTCTTCACCCCCAGTTGGGAAAGCTGGAGCCCGCCTTTTGGGACCGATACGTGAGCCCACCTTCAGGGCGCGGGTACGGCGCGGGTACGTTGTCCACGTGGGAGCGAGTCTCGAGTTGAGTTTCTCCTCTCGCGCCATCCACAGGCCCGGACGATCGAGGACGATTTGTTGACGCTCAACGCTACAAGCGAAGAGAAGGAGCAATGGGTGACCCTCACCGGTACCCCCTTTGATCCCTTCGAGGCCTTGTACACCGCCCAAGGTCGCTACGTCCGGGACCCGTGGAAGCCGGAGAAGCCCGTCTTCGCGCCTTGGGTGACGGACGACGGAAAAGGCTACGCCCAGCAAGGATTCACGATTCGAGGTTCACGCAAGGATATAACACACGAAGTTCTCGGAGTTGCTCGCTTGGCTGAGGACCTCGCCAAGATTTTCAGTGGGGCCGAAGGGTCGTACATCGCCAGCACCGTCTTCTCGTCGGCCGAACGAGGTCTGCACGAACCTGATCTCACCCGCGCCCATCGGTTTGTGTACTTGCTTCGCACTCGACTGCTGATGAGGAAGGTCGTCCCCGATCCGACCCCACTCGGTGTCGGCGAGCTGTTCAAGCACTCCTTCGCCACCGCACGGGCAACGCTTAGGTACCACCTCACTCGTATGCAGCCCAAAGGGTGAGTTTCTTGAAGGCCGTGGCCATAACCCTTGGTTACCCAGTTCTGACTTCTACCCTTCTGTATCAGCGCCAAGATGATCACGCTCGCCTACGCGCGAGGTGAAAATTTCTCGCTCGATCTGACCTCTGCAGTCTTGCGTCAAGGCACGTTTGTAACCAAGATGCACGACCTCGGTTGGACTCAAGCCGCGTTCCCCAGTACTCACCAAGTCGTATTGCAACGCTGCGTCGCTCGCTACCACGCTTTCTTGGACTTGATGGCTTCTTCGCCGTCTAGCTTCTTCGTGCCGACCTTGGATATCGATCTAGCTTGGCACACCCATCAGCTGTCGCCTACTCGTAAGTTGGTAGCATCACTGGGGTCATACTCGGCCTAATTGGCCTTCCCTTAATCGCCGCAGACTACCGACGCGACACGATCAGCCATGTTGGACGCTTCATCGACCACGACGACAAGGTCGAAGAGAACACCCTTTCGAACGCCTTCGACCTCACCGCAAACGCTTGGCAAGCTCGATTCGGCGTGCCCTACTCTATTTGCGGATGCCCTCTACCCTCCGAAGGAACACTTCAGAAGCTTAATACCAAAGTGTTCGGTTCGAACGGGAAGAAGAGAAAGGGCTACACATCGACGGTCATTCTCGGATTGACTTCGTCGACCCTCGACGCAGATGCGACTCACCCTTCGGAACACAACTCGATTCACATCGTCGGTCACCATAGAGCCGAAAAGCTCCGATCCAAGCGCAAGAGGGAGCTCGAAAGTCGTAAACAGAGGGACATGCGACGCGGGATCAAAGGCAAGATGGACCCTTATGTGCTCGAACGACAGAGGGCCCATAACGCGGCTTATCTTGCCCCTTTCGCTTCCATGCCTTATTATGGATTCTATGGATACCCAGTCGGAGCAGGCGCTTGTGCGGCAACGACGGGTGGGGTGATCTTGGGAGGTCCGGGAACTGCAGGGGGCGGTACGGCATGCGCTGCCGGCGGTGGTGGGATCGGAGCGGCATGCGCTGCCGGCGGTGGTGGAATCGGAGCGGCGTGCGGCGGTGGCGCAGGTATGGGTGCAAGTTGTGGTGGTGGAACGGGGGCTTGCGGTGGAGGAGGGGGTGGTGGCGGGTGTGGCGGCGGAGGAGGAGGCGGAGGTTGTGGTGGTGGTGGTGGTGGAGGTGGTGGTGGCTGCGGGGGTGGAGGCGGTGGCAACTGATGAGCCCTGTTCTGGATCTTACTTACTCTTAACTCGTCTACATCTTGACTCCTTTGAGCGATCGAATGCCGTGCATGGACCTCTGTGGTAAATACGCTTCTTGCTGTACCACTATGACTTAAGGTGTCGAAAATAAACGAAAAGCGTGGTGAAATGTTGTATGGGGATCCGAGGTCCTCTCGCCGAAACATCAGGACCAAACCCGACGAACGGGGCCCAGGATCCCAAATTTCACCTTGAGCTACCAGGGTCTAAGTCTTCGTCTGCCCAGCCTTCTCACTCAACCATTTCCTGATTGCCGTACTACCCATCTTGCTTTCCACCTCAACTTTTGGGCCCTTGCTCGCGTTCTCCGAAGCCTCCGGCTCATCCGCCATCAACTCGATGACCCAGATGTCCAACTCGTTGAAGGAGGCTTCAAGGCGTTTCTTGTTGACTGTGTTGAGTTAAGGTGGTATTAGTGTGCGAGTTGGGGCTCGAGAGCGTTGTTTTGGACTAACCTGCTTGCCCGCCTGCTCTGGTTTCTTCCGAGACGACGATGGCTTGAATGTCGGCTTCGGTCGCGGTGGGACCGTAGGGATCCTATTCCGACGACCGGCGTTCGAACCTTGCGTCAGCAGTCATGTTGCCTTTCCGCATCCAAATCCAAAATGTGACTCACTTGGATCGGTACGATGTGATGCTCGATCCCGGGGCGGACCCATTCCAAAAAATCTCGGGTCGTTTGGATCCTTTGCTCAATCGGTTCGAGAAACTGATGGTATTTCTTGGTCGTGAGGAGTTGCGTGTCTGCGCGAGTGGCACGATTCTGAATGAGCACTACTTCCTTTCCGAGCAGCACGATGTGGAAGAAGGAAACCCCACCGGTTACGCCCACGATCAGTTTGCGCAAAGCCAAACTCGCGGCCAAGGTCAACAAGATCTTGTGCCCCGCATGGAGATGATCGAACGTGCCTCCCAACGCGACGACGGGGTAATAGTCCTCCTTTTCAGCGTGGTCCGAGCCGAGGTCATCACGTAGAGTTTGCTCCATGGGTGTGGGTTCGATATCACACTTGATAACCAAATTCGACTCGGATTCGTCGTCTTGGGGTGGGTTCGGCAAGCAGACGGGAATGCCCCTCATCTCCTCCACGACGACATGCACGCGTCTCGTGCATTGATCATGGTCGATAAAGACGCGCGTCGCGGTCGAATAGCAGACGGAGAGCAAAGGTTGGAGGATTGACCAGCCATAGGACGAGGGATGGGGCGAGGATGCAGATGCGGATGCAGATGACGACGAGCACGAGGTCGACCCCTGAGATGTGTTACCTGTGGTGGTAGTTGACCAAGGGAATCGAGTGTCCTTCGTCTTTGTTCTAATGACGATCACCAACAACGTCTCCTCCGAAGAGCTCGAGCTAGTACATGATCGCGTCGCCGCTCGTCGAATGTGGGGCACGTAGCTTTGCGGCGACGTCACCGAAGGGTGCAGAGCATCGAAAGATGCAAAGGTGAGGACGAGGTACCGTGTCGCTGAGCGTGTCATGCGGGGCTATCTATCGGAGCGTACGTGTAGTGGGTCGCGGATTATGTCAGAAAAAGTCGCCGTATGGGGAAAGCAGAACTCATCGCCGGCGGCCCCGGAGCGGGCCGTCTGCTCAGTTCTGTCAGACGGAGATTACGCGGTCACGTGCGTGTCCCGTCCCGCCCCTCGGCGTGAATAGCGATGAATAAGTCCTCGCGACGGCGAGTCCATGCAACTGGGGCCGCTACCAATTATTCTTCCTTTGACATTTCAGTTTGCTTGACTACAGTGGACCCTTTCAAACCAAACGAGCTCACAGCAGCACAAAGAGCAGATAAATAGATAGCAACGTAGCGACTTGCCTTGAGATATGAGTAGGTAGGTACAAGGGTCCGCATTAGATCTGATCTGATCTGACGGGGGTCAGATCAAGTTCAGATCAATCAAGCCTCGAGAAAAAAAATCCAAAAGTAGGCGGTACCTATAGATGGTGCCAATGTGATTTGAAATGCCAACTGCGGCGCATCTGATCACTGCATGAGAGAGAAAGGAGCGCGCCATCTGCCATCTGGCATCGCCGCCGCATTGGGTGTCGGCCCCGCGCCACAGAAATACTACAGGGTGTGGTCCTCCTCTGATGGGCCTTCGTTGCAGTGTCAGGTGCTGACTCATTGCAAACACTTTCTCATAGGGATCATGCGACCCAATCCAGTCATAGAAGCGGGGAGCTCCTCCAAAAAACGGCGGCTTAGCAAGGTGATCACTTTGGAGGATGAGGATGAGGTTGTGGAGGAAGATGAGGATTTCAACATGTAGACATGTAGAAGTCTTTATGTGCCAAATTAGGCAATTTTATGTCTCAGATCAAATTGATCTGCTCAGATCAGATCAAGATCAGATCAATCAAGGCAGAATCAGAAAAATCCAGATCTGATCTGATCTGATCTGACGGTGATATGATCTGATCTGACGGTGATCTGATCTAATGCGGATCCTTGGGTAGGTACCTTGGTGCCGGTAGGGTTCAAGCCTTACACTGATTTTGTGGCTGGTCGATCCCCCAAGTAAGAAGAATTTGTTTATGATCCCACGCAAAGTCCTATCGTCACCAACGCCTCACTGAACTGCACGGCCTGCTGATGCATGCGACTTTACCTGCAACTCCGAGGGGTTCATCCGGATCAACAGCATTAGCGCATGCGACGCTACCCAGTGTTTTCCCGTCTCCCAAGTTCCTCTTTGTACGATGGCGCAAATCTGCGATTTTTTCTGACAGTGTTGGTTTCAAGAGGCTGAAGGATCCGTGCTTGCGCGATTTAAAGCAATGCTGTAACTTCGCCAACGTGGAGAGCACCTGTACGGATGCCGACTCTCCCTCCAACGCTGGGTTCAAGAACGTCGACGGCGCATGCGTCTGCGACGTTGCACAGTGACCACTCGTGACGAATACATCAGAGTCTGCACTGCTTTCGGCGCCTGCGGCTTTACCTTCAACGCCGGGAGAACGTCAATGGTGCGTGCGTGTAGGATGCTGCGCAATGCCTGACGGTCACCGGGGTCACCAACGCCGCCAGCATCTGTACCGCTTCCGGCACTTGCGACTTCACGTACAACGCAGAGATCAAGAAGGTTAACGAAGGATGCGTGTGCGACGTAATGCAGTGTCCCTCCTTTGCAAACTCCGCGAGCTCCCGTAATTCGGTCGGAACGTGTGACCTCACTTGCGACCCAATGTGCGACGATCGTCAACGGTGCCTGCACAAACCCCGGATCCTGATCCAGCGACTTCGCGTACAACAAAGGGTCAGGAGAGTCAACGGTCGATGCCTCCGAATGCCTTGTCGTCATCAAATCGGCTAGCATCTGTTTGAGCACCGGAACATGTGACTCTACGTGCAAGTCGGACTTTGTCAAATCGAAGGGGAAATGCGCACCCATATCGTAAGTGGTGTACTTCAATTTGCCCTGTGAGCACCTTTCTGTATAATGAAATGGGACTGGTCTGCCCTCGCCGCCGTCCCTGCACCCAGAAGTCTCTCGATCTCTTTGCCAAGTCCCATGCGCCAAGGCGAGCGGAAAACCCGTCACCTCAACGCGCTCCGAGTCATGGCTTGCTGAGTCGGCTACTGCGTCCAACGCAGCTGCGTCTTCTTCGACTTTCGTCAAAGGTAACCGCTCTATCCTCCAACTGGGCAGTCCGAGGTTCGATAGTACGCGATACGTCGCCGGTGGGTTTCAAGGCAGTGCAAGAACGTGCACGGTGGTGCCAGGCGATTCGCACGTGACTGCGAGCGGAGGGGAGCAGAAGGGAGCGCACGACGTCCCCGCCGGCCGGCCGGCTTGCTCTCCCTTGCCCCCCCATTCACACCTCGAACCGACCATGTTCAAAAAGTACGTTCCTTATCCTTTCATGAGCCTCACACGGTTCCTAAGCACGCTCTCTCCCCTCTGCACCCTACCCAGATTCCACCCCAAAGAAGACGTCGCGTCGTCGACAGCGATCAAATCCTCGATCCAACGCCAACACCGCGCCAAACTACTCTCCCAAATCACTTACCTCTCCTTACCCGCGTTGCCACCCCCCGCATCGACGGGCTTGGACTCGGACGATGATTCGGAAGTGGAGGAACAGTTGCTGAGCAGCGCGAAGGGGAGGAATAAGGGCGCCGCGAAGGACAAGAGGAAAGCGGCGGAGGCGCAGGCGAGTGGGGGTGGCAAAGGGAAGGGTGGCAAGGGAGGCAGGGGAGCGAAGGCCGTACAGGAAGATGAACAGCCCGCAGCGGAGGAGGGGGCGACGGGCACGCAGCAGGACGGCGGGGACGTGCTCACCGTCCTGGACGTGCTCTGGCCCAAGAAGAGCCAGATCACACTCGTCAAGTGGTCAGTGCAGCTCACGGCCAGTTCAGGGCATAGCCCAACGTCTGAACTCATCGTTCTGCGACCGCTTTACAGCCGTGAACACATCTCGATCCTCGCGCTGAACGGCGAACCGCTCTTCTTCCAACACTTTGACGGGCCGTATTACCCGACCTTGAAGGTCTTGCACAAATGTCGGTTACCTGCTCACCATCGATTCCAATCGACCTTCCCCTGTACTCACTCCCGGGACCCCTTACTGTAGATCCCGAGATGCTCCCCAAAGTCGGCGTCGACCGAGGAGCGATCAAATTCGTTCTCTCCGGTGCCAACATCATGTGGTACGTCCTCCACAAAGTATGCGATTCGCAGTCAAAGCCCCGCGTATACTCACCCCCATTTCTTCCTCTCTCATCCCTCTCCCTCCCCTCAGCCCCGGCCTCACCTCCCCGACAGCCTTTCTCCCTCCCTCGGAAGCCAACATACCCGTCGGCCACCCCGTCGCAGTGCACGCCTATGGAAAAGAAGAAGCACTAGCCATCGGTTCAACGGCGATGTCGACGGATGATATCAGATCCATCAATAAGAACATTGGGGTAGAGAATGTGACGTATTTGGGCGATGATTTGTGGAAGGTCGATAAGTTGTAGTCGCGCGGTCGGGGTGGTCGTTTTACGGGTTGCATCGAAATTGACGCATTGCAGCGGTTTGACCCCGCGTCATTGGACAGTAAAGTCAGGTACGGGCATGAGATCTGTCGCACCGAGGAAATCTCCCGAGACGGGTTGCGAAGATTAGTTTGGAATTGCCAGAGTGGGGGATGGGGAGGAGGGTGGGGATCGGTACAGGGTGATTTAGAACTACAATGAACGACGACGAACGCCACGCCCCCGTCCCTCTACTTTGCTCTCCTTCTTCCACACGAAATGCTGTGCTCCATCGGCTCTAATTCGGCGGTGGTGTGCGCCCCGTCGTCGAGCTCCCCGGTGTCCCTTCTGCCCCCGTCGCAGCTGCTGTCTCGGCCGGCGTAGGTTCGCCACCACCGTTCTTGACTCCTACTTCAGCCTCTATCCGCTCTTTGGCGCGAACGATCTTGGATTGGAGGTAGTGCGACGAATGGGGTTTGCCCTCGGCCGTGGTCGGCACGTTGGCTTTGAAGAGGTGGTCAAAGTTCTGTTGGGTAGCGGGACAGAATACAGGTTTAGTGTGGGTGCACTCGACTGGAACCCGGTCAGGATGGGACAGGGACACCCTCTCCGTGCGCGTTCCGGACCGGATGCTCCTCCCCTCGGGCCCATCGCGACCGAGTGACTGACCTTGAGCATCTTTTGCAACTCGGTCTCGCTCGCCAGATCGGCATTCCTCTTGAGGTTCAGGATATCGGTCGCTTCGTCCAAACTCATGCGGTGGGTCCTCGTCAAGCCGTCGAGCGCGGACGAGCCTTTACCGCCTCCGTTCATCGACGACGAACCGGCTCGACCTGTTCCCTGCGCGTCTGGGCGGGAGAAAGCGGTTGAGATGAATTGGGATACGGGGGAAGTGGTCAGGGTGGCGTGTGCGAGTGACAGAGACGTACTTCGTGCGGCTTGTCGCCATGCTTCGACGAACGCCTTGCCGAGAATCTGCGAACCCAACACGACCACCTGGGCCAGGATACGCGGCGCGGACTGCACGTTGGCGGTTGGGGCAGGACAGGAGAGTCAGCCTAGGTAATCATCAAAATTATAGCAGGTTCAACGGACCATCGGGTGGGGTGTATGTGGGTGTGCGTCTGTCGTGTGCGCGAGAGCTGAGCGCTGAGCTGAGTGCTGAGCAAGCGAAAGCCGATCGCAGCGGCGAGCCCGACTCTCGGCCTCTCGCGGCGCGAAGCAACCCCAAGCCGGCCGCCGATATGTATGCTCTCATTAACCCCGCGTCGATTACTAATCAGTAATCATCCCACTTGGATCCCACATATTCACTTTGGTATATCAAGAAGGAAGAAGAAGCTGTACAGACAAACACGAGGGCACCGAACAAAAATAATATGGAAAATAAAAGGAGTTGATATGTATATAGAGGAGGCGAACCCTCGATTTGAACATCGTCCCCCCACCATCGCGCTTCCACTCAGAACTGATCCGAGGACTCCTGCCCCGTCGGCAGTGTCGACCCCTTCCTCTTCCACAAGTTTCCAAACACGCTATTCCTTCCTCCATTCTCCTTGGTCTTTGACCCACCGCCATTCTTGCCATGGAAAGGCGCCGCCAAATTCGCCAACGTCTGCTTGGACAACACATCCCCCGCCAAAGAAGGTTTCCTCTTCGTCGCCGTCGAAGTCGAACTGATGGAGAATGTGGCGGGTGAAGAAGGGCGTCGTGCTTGAAGGGAATCCAAGGTCGTTCGACTGGCGTTCGGTCCTGGGTGCGTCGTCGTCGTCGTCGCCGTCGTAGCGATCGAAAGCATCGATCCTGATCTCTGAAGGGAGGACGTTCCACTCGTCATGGAATACCCGGCGTAGGAAGGCGATCCATGGACGCCCGCAGCGACCGTCGTTGACGTCGATTCCCTTCGTTTCAAAGGCGTCAACGTACTGACGCTGTTGAATCTCGACAACCCACCCGGCGAACTCGTCGGCGTAGCAACGTCTGCTCGAGCGAGCGTCGGATCCTTCCCAGCTGAAACCAAGACACTCCCTTGCGTTCGCAGCACGGGCTGCGCGTTCGAACCTCCCGTGATGCGGGACGACGATCCGCCATTGGCCCTCGTAGGGAATCGCGAGGAGATCATGGGGTTGGGGGCAGCGCCGTCGGATTCCAAGATGGCGAATTCAGTCGCGTCGAACGTCTCTTCGGGAAGCCGACTCAATTCGTTCGCGAACGTCTTGGCGTACAAATTCTCCAAGGTCGCGTGGAAGGGGCCCATGTCCGGGAAACATAGAACGGCGTGCAGTTTGAGGCATCTACCTATGACGAGCACCTGATGAAAGCCAAACGATACTCGGTCAGAACTGAGACTCGAGGACTCTTGAATACTCTGATCGGACTCACGAGCTGATCGATCTCCTCTTGCAACTTCTGGATCAACGACGTCTTGCCCGGATTCATCACGGCATATTCCACCCCAAAGAAGGCGCGACGATACATCGGCACCCCTTGTTGCGGTGGCGGATCGACGGCCGCGTTCAAAGCCAGTGACAAGGCCTGCGTGTTGATCCTCTCTAGCGAAACCGACTCGTACGACGCATCTTGAAGGCCCAATGTCGTATACTGTTGTTGCAACTCGTTCAGTCCTTGGCGTTGCGATTCGACGTCTGCAATCGCCATCTCGATCGGGGAGATCTCGATGATGCGAATCTCGACAACCTCGGACCGCCTCAAAACGGTAGGGAACGAATCCTCGCAGATCAAGACGGTCTTCTCAACCCATTCGTTCATGAATTCGCTCTCCGCGCTGGGTTTATCTCCACCTTCTCGTACGAAAGGACGTGAGAAGCTGAACATGTGCGTCTCGTTCTGCTGGTAGTAGGCCTTGATCGAGGGTGGTACATCGGGATTGGTCAACATGGGTGTCGTCGCATCCGGTTCGGGCGTAGCAGCGGTGATTTGAAGTAGTTGACCGTCGGAGTATTGTACGTCGTCGGGTGGGATCATTGACGACTTGAGCAAAGTCGCGTTCGGATGCTTGTTAAGCATTCTCTCCGTGAACATTTCCAATCTCTCGTTCGGCGGCGCCCGATAAATGAATTGCTTGCCCGAAACAGAAGAGGGGAATCGATTGCCGTAGAACGCCACCCGGAAAAAGTCGCTGTATGCAGTCAAGATCCAGCCAATCAGTCCTTGATTTCCTGGTGATCTCGGTCTCGGTCAACTACATACCCGAATTGACGATCGCCCTTGATGATGCTCGCGTACAGCTCGGACTGGAGAATCAATAGCTCCGATAGACGCGCATAGTTGAAATTATGCGTCTCGTACTGCTGCTGCAATTCCTTGCACAAAGCGAGAGCGGTCTCCCAGGCTTTGCCTTTGGTCATGTGCTCCAGGATACGCATGTAGAGCGATCTGTGCCGAGTGGGGGAAAAGTCAATTGAGGAATCTTCATGTCGCGAAGGACCTCATCTGCACGCACTCTTTTCGTGCGAACGCAGTCTGTCGCGGGAAGCCGAGATCCGGAAGCGCATCGACATAAGTCTTGAGATCCCAAGTGTGCAGGTCGGCGTGAAGCATTAACGTCAGACCCGCTTCCGTTTCGTTCCCGAGAGCAATGTGATCTATGAGGATACGTTAGGTCAGTCATGGCACATTCGAGATCCACCGGAACACTTCCCACTCACAGGAAACAAGTCGGTCGACGTAGCGCACAAAGATCTCACTCCTCCCAATCCCTCGAATGAACGACATCAATTTGAGCGTACTGATAATCCGATCCTCTTGATACTCTTCCCCATCCGGCAGATTCCTCACAGCCAACAACAAATCCAAGAACGAATTAACCGAAGCGATGAACGTCTCGACCTGTTCCCTCAATTTGGTCTCGATCTTGGCCTCGTCGAACAAGGTCTTGAGTTGACTGACGAAGAAAGCGCGCGAGATCTCGTGGTTCTTCGTTTGGGACATGAAGAGCTTGTCGAGGCGATCGATCACTTCGGCTTCGATGGCCCTGAAGTCGTCATTGAGGGAATATTCGCTCACGATCATGGAGAACAGGACTTGGACGGCCGTTTTGCGCAGCTCGTCGTGGTGCGAAAGGCATAGCGTTAGGACGTCCCCGACAAGACCCGGAACGAATTGGACCTGATAGCCGCCGGTTCTTGCCGTCGATCGCGGCTCAGGCCCGCCGATGGCGTTCCACAGTCGGCCGAGCACTTTGGCCCCTTCGCCTCGGAGATCCCCAGCGAGTCTCCATACGGCTCTTCGTTTTTGAGGCGAAAAGTCTTCGATGAGCAACTGCGGGCTCCCCAACAGTCGCAGCAGCATGCTGAAGAAGTCTCGCCAGAGCGATGTGTTGAATGTATACGATGCCGATGAGGCAGGGATGAAATCGCGTTCGAGAATGTCGGCGATCGGATCGAGGATCTTGACGATCACCTGATGCGCGAGGATCGAGATACTGAGCCATTCCGAAGGGAAGGCCGCGGAGGTCCCATCGTCGGAGAGGATCGACTTTGAGACGCGAAAGATCTGCGCGAGCATTTGGCCGAACTTGTCCTTGCTTTCGACTTCGGAGATCGACTCGAGCCAGTTGGTGAAGATCTTGCAGGGGGCAAGATGCAAGATAGCAATAAAGACGCAGGCGACTTCTCCAACACCACCCTGAAGTGACACAGGCGTGCCTTCATCCTCATCCGACTGTGCATCAGGTACATGCGACCGGGCTTTGGTGCGCTGTCTCGCCTTCTCGCGATGCAAGTGGTTAGGCGGGAGCGCGATGAGCGAGAACGGGTAGCTCGAGGGGAAGACGGTCGGGACCGCGGCAATGACGGAAGCCGTCGACCGCTGTCGAGCGATCGATTCGAGGTTCGCGATGTTCTCAAGCTCGCGATACGATTCGAGCAACTTGGGGGCCAGCGCCAACAAGTACTCGATGTTGTCCTGCTCTTGTGCGAGCTGGCCCCGACTTGCTTGAACCTCGGGGCTGACCAGTGCGGTGTGAATCGAGTCGAGCATGGCCGCGACGACGCCATTCGCGAGCCGTATTCCTTCGACCCATGCGACTCGAGCATTGTCACGCATCGCCTCCGTGTCTTTGGGCGAGCACATGGCATGCTCGTCAAATTTGCCCAGCGCCGACTTGAGCCAGCGGACGAGGTTCGGTACCAGCGCAGCTCGACCGACGGAAGTCGTAAAGAGCACCCCGTTGACGAGTTGACTCTGCAGAAGAATCTTCCAGATCGCAATCTTGCCTTTGGGAGTGATGGAATCGCAGAACGAGATCGCCAGGTTAGCGAGTTCTTGCGGATCAAAGCATTTGGCCAAATCGGGAATGATGCTCGCGAAGTGTTGCACCGCCAACGTTTGCGTCCCAATGATGGACGAAGGCGTTGACATACGCATGAGGAAATTGATTTGGGTCAACAGGGCCGACAAGTCACGCTTGAAAGTCATTTCGAGGTGATCGGACGTGACGCCGGAGCCGACGTCCTTGGCGCGTTGGATCTCGCGAGAGGTGACGACGAATTTGAACAGGTAGTGCCACACCTTGATGCTCGCACGCAATGTCGTGCCCGCCTCGGGACTAGAGGGGTCACGTAGCAGCTTGTGTAGGGAGCTAATGATGTGCGAGGAAGCGCTCGAATTGGAAAAGTGCTGGTCGATGTAGACATTCAAGACGGGTCGGAAATTGTGGAATCGTCGATCCGAGACAAAGCCCAGGATCGTGACGAGCGCGTGAAAGACGAGATCGTCGACATCGCCGGTAGGATGCCTTGCAAGGATCCCGAACAAGGCGTCAAAGATGGGTCGTAGGAACTTGCACACCTCGACTTCGCTGCAGAAGCGCAGCTTGGTGAGCGTATCCTTGAGCGCCTCGCTGTCCTGCATGAGCTCCGTTTCCCAGCGCAGCAGCTTGAGCAGTGTTTCGTTCTGCGTATAGGTCGTCGAGACGAGGAACGATCGCACCGTCAAGGTGTCCTTCACAAGGACCAGCGTCTTGTTTGTGTAAGCCGGCAACGCCTCCAGCGCCTCCTTGCTATCCGCCGTGCGCAGTGACGGCGCCTTGAGGTAGACGGAGGGGATCGCAGCGTTGACGTCATACTTGTACATCGTCAGCACATGAGATCCATCGGATTGGAATGCGGAATTGTTGAGCAAGAGGGGCATGTAGCCAAATGCGAATGGTCGCTCGGTTGTTGTTGCCCCGGGTGGGCCACGTTCTTTCGACCCACGCGATCGAACGGTGAAGAAGACGTGACAGCTCTCCATCAACTCGACCGGGATCTCGAGCTTGAGCAATTCGGCCCAAGCTGCAGCAAGAAAGGTAGCGTATGCGTCAGCTCACAGCGTCTGCTCACAGTGTCGTCGACCACATGCACTTACTAGGCGAGTTGTTGGACTTGTACGTGATGGACTGGAACTGCGTCACATTCGGTCCTCCGGTCCCGCGCGAGATGGCCCTTTCGACCGCTCGACCATCCCTTGTCCTGACTTCAGCCGTAACCTCGATATTCTTCGCCCCTCCTCCAGCGACTGCCGTCAGTTGGGCCAAACCCCTCGTCGTCCCTGACATCCCACTGACGCTTGAGAAGGTCCCGTTCCAGATCTTGAGGTAGATCTCGTTGCGCTGATCCCCGGGGAAAACGACGTCAGGGAAGCCCAACCGATTTGTCAATGGCACTCCATCGAGGAGCTGCGGCATACTCTTGCGCAACGCGTTGGCTTCACCATACAGGATCCGCACGTTGACCGAAAGCGACTCGGCGCATGGGTTACGCTCGATCTCTTTAATTCGACTCGCGATGATGTCCTCGTGGAGGAGAGAGAAGTTAGATTCGTGAACGGGAACAAAGATCGGCATCGAGTGTTCGGCCGAAGTCTCGCTCGCTTTGGCGAACTGACTGATCTCGAGCACGGCGCACCCGAACGGCCTGCGCGAGGTCTGACGACCGCTCGCATCGCTCAGCAGCATTCCACCATGCTCAGCGAGGCTGAGGTCGGTCGCCGACATCGAGAAGCCAGGAATTGTCGAAGCATCGTCAGTCGTGGTCGATTGAGGTGAACCAGGGGTCGGAAAGAAGGAGGGCCTCCTCAATGATCCTCCCAAGGTCGATGTCGAGCTCAGCTCGGGGCTCCCATGGGCGTTCTTGTTCGAGGCATTCTTGACGATGCGACAAACCAGGAAGAGTTGATCTTGCACATCACTCTGGGATAGATCGAGGAAGAGCGTGCGCATGCGACCTTGCTTCGACTCGGCATCGTTGAAGTGTTGCCCGAGGTGGTTCAAGATGACGCACCACTCCTCGGTGATGTACCTCGAGTCGGTCTTGTTGAAGAGGGCAAAGTAGAGCTCTACGAGTTCACCCGGTAGGCAAGGCGATGCGTTGAACGAGCGCACGTCGACAAAGACGTGGTGAAACTTGGCCAGGGGTTTCGGCGGAACAGCCGGTGCCGCGGCCTGAGTTTGGTCTGGCGTCATCTGGAACAAGTTGGGCTCGGCAAATCGACTGGCACTGGAAGTGATGGGTGAGGAGGAGGGTTCATCGGATAGCGCCGGAGCGGTAGGAGGTAGCACCGATGCCGTCGCTGATTTTGTGTCGGCCCCAGAATAAGCCAGCGCAACCTGCATTGCGTCTACGGATGCCAACGCATAGGTTAGCGAGCGCAGCACTCGACGTTGGGGGCCAAACACGTCCTTACACATTTTGACGACCGAGACCCAAGCCTTTCTTTCAATATCGCCTTCCACACCTACGTCAACGAACCCGCCGTACTGAGGGTGTCGCACAATGACGTCAAGCCCTTGCTCGACATTCCCCTGCACGAGCCGAGATACGAGTTCCCTCCTCAACTTGTCCGTCTCGGTTCGACTCAGACCTTTGGCCAAAAGCTGCTTCCTCCCACTGTGCAGCACCTCGATGTGTTGTTTGACCGAGTCGAAGAGGGCGTAGTCGCGTCGGTAGAGATGGGTGTACAGCAGGGACGCCCACTCTCTCAACGCACACGCGATCTCGTCAATCAGCGGTTCTTCCAATCCACTCGCGGTTTCGTCGCCGCACTTGAGGTTCGGTAGTGGCGGAGCAGGCCGAGGATCGAACATCCTCCCGAGGAACCCGTCCGGGGATTGCAATGAACGAGACTGCTTGAACGAGGTCTGCAATTCGGTCGCGAGCGATCCGACGAACGAAGAGATGGAAATGACAGACGCTCGGTTCTTCTGCCTCGACTGCTCTCTTGTCGACGTTACGACGATGTTGCCGATCTCGTCGGTCGCTTCGTCCTCATTCTCTTCCTGCAAGGGCTCCATACGCCCTGCCATTAGATCACGATGGGTCGGTGGTCGAGGTGCTCCTCCCCCGTTAGCGGAGGCGCAGGCTGCATCGGCTGCTATTCGTTGTGTCGATTCCGAGTGTTCACTACTGTCGATCGAATCCCGGATCTGTACATGCGACGCTGGGAAGATGCCGACCGAGACTGTTGCGCAGGAAAGGAAACGTCGCTCAGCGCCGGTAAGATCACGTGAGAGCTTTAGCTCGGGGCAGCGGTCGGCGCTCGGCCCAGAGCCCAAACGCACCTTGAGGCTCTTCAGTGAGGCTCAACCCAGGTGAAGCGGGTGTCGTCGATGGAAAGGCCTGTTGGTCGAGTGGTATGCTCGTCGGCAACCTCGGCCGAGGCGAAGTCGACACGGCGTAGCCTCGATACCACAGCGGATCGTCGGCGTCGTCCGGCTTGAAGACCTCAAAGACGTACACCTCGTCGCCTACTTCTAGTGCGACCTGTACCAGCGCAAGCGGATGGTCTGTCAGTTGTAGTACACGCTGCTGAGATGCCCAGAAATATTGAGCAACGGAGCGCGCGATTTGGAAGCGGCTGAATGATGAGCTGTCAGGGTCGTCCCCCGGGGGTGCTGCGACGGATACTAGGCGTGGCACGCCACTCCAACCAACATCGCACCTCCACATCGTGCCTCAAACTTTGATCCGTGTATTTCTTCGCCGATTGCCCTCCTTGGTCCCCCCCTCAGCACAGCTCGATCGCGGCGTTCGTGTTTCGCGACACGCCCAGCCCCCCGCTGCCCCCCCCCCGCTGCCCCCCACCTCCGCCAGCTCCGCTTAGTGCAATCAACAATCTACGCTCGCCGCTTGCCAGCTCATCGCTCCACTGCACGACCCCACAACACACCCATCTCAGTACTGACCTGATGTGGATTGATCACACCCCGTTCTCCTCTCCCTCTCCCCTGTGCCTCCTCCGAGACCTGCTCATGAGGTGCGACTGCCACGCCGTTCGTTCTCCCACTGGCAGTGGCACCGTCAACGACGAGGCTCCCACCAGCGTCCCCCTTCCCATCAGCGCTCGCAAGGGGCTCAAACGACGACGTCACACATCCGAACGAGACGTGTTGAGCGGGCAGCCATCGACCTGGCATCTCCATATCTTTCTTTGGCACCGTCAGCGCGGTGGCGTAGGGTCGACCGCAGTTAGCAGCAACAAAAGTCGCGAGGAGGCCCCGTCGTCGGTCGCTGGATCGTTTTGAGGTCCGAGTGTGTGTAGGCTGCCAGGGTTGCGTTCATTTCTCAAATCGCGCGAAATAGAGAGGAGGCCAGACGGCCGCTAGTGAGAGAGAGGCGCGAGCGTGTGGCTTGAGCTCGCTCTTGAGCTTGGACCTCTCCATCTGGCCGAATCAAACATGAAACCTCTGGAGTTTGGGGAGAAATGAGTGGGTAACAAGGGTTGCAGTAATGATAAAAAAAGCGGGCAATGATAAATAAAACGGCAAGGGTTGACAACCAAGGAGGGAGAAGTTCCGTATGAAGCCAAGGTAACGCAAGGAGGAAGAATGGAACGAAAGAATGAACCAAGAGTACCAGCGGCCTCGAAGATGGGAATGAGAGAGCAACAAGAGAATGTCGGATCACAGTGGTGATGAGATGTGCTGCGCAGGAAGCACAAGAACGTTGGAGAAGAATGCGATGCAGTCTGAATGCGGATTGCGAGTGCGAGTGCGGGTGCGAAAAAGACGGCACGAAGAAATAATTGAGCGACGAGGGACGATGGTATAGTGTCGTGGTCGCGTGAAAAAGTTCCCTCTCAACTCTCTACCTGCCAGCGATCTCTTTCGCGACAAAAGGTCGGGTTGCGGGATCGATCGGCTCGGCCTTTTCGCCTCCCGAGACGAGGTTGTGCCAGTAAACGACGTCGCCGGGACGGAGGCCCATATTCCTCCCGTGTCGATCGACAGGTTGTACCGACGCTGATCGAGGTGACAAAGCATGGGCTGGAGAAAGACCACCTTGTGGTGGACTTGACGGGGCAAATCGCATGTTGTTGGCCGGTGCATCCTTGTTGACTTCGGTTGCGATCGGCGAAGGAGGAGCGGGGGAGCTCCCTCGTGAAGGGGCTGGCGAACCGACGCGCGATGCAGGGACGCCAAGGTTCACGACGCCCGGCTCGCTCGCAAAGTAGCGCCGTTCACGGGCACTGACTTCGTTGTGATGAAAGACGTAGCGATGGTGATTCGCGGACCGTTGGTGCTTGGCCACGGAAGCCTGTGAGGAAGATCGCCAGTGGGAGGCCAACACAGCTCAGCTTCAGAACCCAACGATGGCTTTCACAGCCTGCTCGCGGACGTACCGAGCACCGTGCACACGGCTGTACGATATGGTAACCGATCGTGCTTCCGCAACCATGGCACGCGAGCGAAGAGGTCTGTGCACGATAGCTCAAATTTAGTACGTTCTTCGAGAAGCTCGTTCCGCTGCGGTTAAAGCCGCGAACTCACCAGACAATCGCAAGTTCGCTCCGCAGTCGGGTCGTCTGTCCCCAGCGGCCATACGGGGCCAGCATTGAGGGGGCTCGCGTCGGTCGAGAATAGGACAATATTTGGTTTGAGGAGAAGAACGGCCTGAGGCAAGGAGAACAAGATTTGATCAATTTTGTGACATTTGTTGCGCAGAAGGCGCCAAGGATACGCGGCGGCTTTGAAGAGTCAGGGGCCGCCGCGCCGTTCCCACCCAAGGCCAAGAAGGACTAACCCTCATGCCTCGATCAGAAAGGAAGAGATCGCATGTTGCACAGTTGAGCACATAGACTCGATGTATAGGAGCAGAGTAACCCGACCCCGAGGTTCGACTGCTGGGAGAGTTCGAGGTCGAAGCCGATGACGCCGACGCCGACGCCGACTCTTGCGCCGATCGTCTGTTCGCCGAGCTCGAGCCAGCAGTCGGCGTGGCATCGGGGCGGTGCGCGGCGCCGGAGGAAGGCTGACGGGTCGACGTCGATTGCAGCTGCTGGTGCTGTTGTTGTTGCATATCGTGGTACCTCTGTCGTTCCTGGGTGTAGGATCTTGCCGCATCGGACATGGGCAAAGGACCATCGAGTCGAGCGTATGCCGCGGACGGGGAGTCGGCGGACGGTTGATCGAGCTCGCCCCGAGAACCCGAGACATAAAGAGTCCGAGCCGAGGATGTCGGCGACGGCAGCGGGCGGTGCTGATCCAAAAGTTGGGGATCGATCATGATGATTGCTGGAAGTACTGGGTGGGTTCGATGAAATTGAAAAGGGAGCTCGAAGGAAATCAGGTGATGTGGCCGGTGGTATGGGTGAGGCTCTCCGTCGAGAATGGTCCTTTCCGCAAAAATGAAGAGGAGAGTTCGAGAGAGAGGGAGGCCCGGCTCTGGCGCTGCGAATGAACTGGCGCTCCGTCTTATATAAATTAGGGAGGTTGTCGGTCGGTTCGAGAAGGTCTGTACCTACCTAGGGCGGTGTATGTGCGATAAGGAGACGAACTTCGTTGACGATGATGGTCGTGTGGCAGTCGGGATCAACCTGAGATCGCAACTGTCCGTGAAGCTAGGAAGGAAGTCGGCACGCGGCCAACGTCGACTCCGGTAGATATGCAAAGGTCGCGATTCGGACGAGGCGCGTGGGGTTGCGCACGCGCAAGAGAGACGGGGGCGCGAAGGTGAGCGACGGGCGATGGGGTGCGCACGAGCGACGTCGGGGGCGTGCGACCGCGCTCGGGGCGATCAATGGGCGCCGAGTCGCCGACTCGATCAAGAGAAGCTTCTTGCCCCTGAAATGAGATCGGCGATGTCCCAAACTCGAGGCTTTGCAGGAGTCACGTGGATGTCGGATTGCGCTGGCGACCTCACGTGCTGTGGGTGAGTGCGTCGATGCAGTGGTTGGTGGAAGAAAGGAGAAAGGACACGAAGGGGTCCGATGTAACGGGCGCTGCGGAGATCACGAGAGGGAAAGAGCGGTCAAAGAGCTTGAGTGCACAGTGGGAAGCCGATGATGTCGACGTCGAAAAGTCAGTTTCGGACGGAAGGATGAGAGCGGGGTGAGACAAGCGATTTTGAGTTGAGGGTTCAATTGAGGCGGAGGCCAGTTCCTCGCAGAGGACTGAGAGGAGCGGAGGTTTTGGATTAACCGTCCGATAATGATGATGCGCGGGTCGGTGCTGTAGGTACAAACTTCCCTGATCAGGGCGTCCGAGCAGAACTCTATTGGAAACTTGGCCGGGGGCAGCTTGCTCCGTGCTGGCAGGCCTGCCCTGGGCGGCGCCGCGCCGCAGACGCAGTCCTGCGGTGTCCATGATCGGTCATTTGATTACTCCACGTCCCCTGCGCGCAGAGTCGGATTTCAGCAAGGCACCCCGCCAATTGATCGACGTCGGCCTCTGCATGGGGTTGCGAGTGCTCTGAATTTTCTTCTCGGACATTTCCCATGTATACTTTCTTGAACAGATAAGGTACCCATCTACCTATTCGTACCAGGACCATGCCTCTCCTTTGCACCCGTAAAGAATAGCAGTGAAGGCGTCGCTGGCACTCGCCCAGAAAGTCTCCGCTCCTCTCGGACTCCTCGGAGTTCCGGATTGTGCTGGACATTCGCCGTTAGGCACCTTACATATAACCTACCACATCCCTACTTGCCTTACTGTTATTAAATTTTGCAGGTCTCGTCGTTCCGAGAGCGATGTTTGTTTCATACGCCCAAAGTGATGGGACAAAAGGTCCAAGCAAATCAAGCAATTAGACAGACGGGAATCTCGGTTATTTCCGGGGCGACGACCGGCGGCGCGGCGCTTTCGCTTAATGCAAGCCCGACATGTCGCTTGGTGTTTGCAGGCTTGCCCAACCTCAAAGTGCAAAACAGCTTCCAAGAATTGAGCAAGAGAGAAGGTATTTTGACCGAGCCAACCCGACCGAACCAGAAGTGCCAGAGAGGCTCTCGGGAAGGAAGAGATCATCAACGACTCCTCGTCATCGATCACCTTCTATGGTCGGGCGTCCGATGAACACTCTACGCGCGTGGTGCCTTCAATTATGGTGTGTAACCCCCACGTGAAACTCATTAATGTTTTGCACAGAAGCAACCTGCATCCATGTGCCCAGAAGATGGGGACGGAGGATCGGAGAAGTGGTGCAGTAACCGTGTTGGGAGGGAGCTTCTCTGTGTCTTCATGTCTACTGTACCGAGATCGCAGGTTGTAGTACCTTGCCATATGTCTCGAAACCTTGGGCTTTCGAGAACCGGACGTCATTTGCGCAGAGTGCTCGTTTAGGAAGGCACGACGTAGATCTGAGTCATTGCGCGCGCGCGCTTGGTGCCCTGGAGATCCCTTCGCCAACGGATCCCGATGGGACCTTCCCCAGCAAATCAGCTCGGCTGCTGCCAACTGCGATGTAGTTTTGAGTTTCAAAAGGGCCCAACACCCAACCCCCGCGCGCTGCTCATTTCGGCTCTGCGCAGTGCGCATTGCGGATTCCTTGTCTCAGATCCGGGTTCAAACTCAAATGTAGCAGGCACCGGAGATTGGGCAAATCCTTGTAGCCCTGGTAGGTCAAGGTCGATCCCCAGGGGAAGAAGCAAAAAAAAACTACGGAGGGGCAGGAAAAGAAAAATCCTCGAGCTCTGAGCAGCAGACCCCCCTGACAAGCTACGCATGCCAAGTCGCTTCCTTATTGAAGCGAAGTAGAATCCGAAAGTGCTAGGGGTGTTGCACCACCAATCGACGCTAGTGCTAATGGCCTAAATGGATCCGGACGTTTCGAACTTTTGGTCCATGGATTTCATCGAGTTGCCGCCGCCGCGTTGCGGAGAGAGAGCGCTAACGAAGGTTTTGCCATGCACCCGGCGCGCGTGGAAGAGCTTTTAGAGACATAGAGAGCGATCGAACCTGGTTCGTATAGTCTCCGGCCTGGGCCGCGGATTCAGACTGGCCCTGTTCCCCCCCCGCGTTTCGAGACGTCTTGCGAACGCGTTACATTGTGAAGTGAAATTTACCCCACGCTCGAAGTCAGGCACCCGGCAAAATCCTCTGGACGGCCAACTCACGCGACTCACCACTGACCAGACGTGCAAGCGAATCTACCAGGGCGGTGGGCAGCGAGCTGGTTTCGTACCGGCAGATGAAGTCATCGGACCCCCGAACACCAAACCAGCGCTGATCTGCATCGGTGTCGTCGGGGATCTCCCTAACCCCATCCTCCGAAAGATGTGCGTAAGCCGTGCTCGCTCCTTCCGTGCTTTACGTGCCCCCCCAAATTACCTCTTCGCTCCTCGCTGCTACGGTAGTACAATGAATTTGTTTCCTGCCTTGCCTCGCACCAGCGAAATTCGTGCAGTGCCCTAGCTTCTCAATTCGTTACCCCTTTCTTCTTTCCCCTGTAGATGTCTTCACCCAATTCAGCATTTTCCTTCGCTCCATCCTGGCAAGAGATCGTAATGCCGAACTATCGCCTAGTACCACCCACCTCGAAGCCGTTTTGGTGCTTCCCAAGTTGAACAACTCCTCTCGCCAAGAAGCGATGTCCGAAAGCATCCCTTGCAAAATGTTAGGTCCCTCGCGAATCGTTGCTATTCATTGGACAGAGTTGAACTGTATGGGAGGTATAGTACTACGTGGCGCCGCAAAAGTCCGATCAGCATCAGTTAGCATTTTCGACTTTTCAAAAGCCGCTTTAATCTCCTCGGCCAGCAATTCACCGCATTCATCCCCACGCAGGCTCGGGTACGGCCAAACGCTTGTGCCGAAGAGTCCGAGTGCATTTTTCTTATCGCATCAAACACAAATACGACTTCAAGCTTCAAGGTGAATCTGTTTGGACCTACCTACGTTACTTTACTGTAGCCGTGAAGCTTCTTTACAAGCTAATTTGCCTTCCCTGTTCGACGTCACATCATGTGATTGGCCCGTCGAAATTGACTCGAGTCCGAACCGCCCCTTTGTGTCCAATCTCCCCAAAGCCAGAAACCTAGGTACCTCGGGCCCTTCGCAACGGTTTCAATCTTCGAGTCATACGCACTCCTTTCCCTTCGAAAAAATGGAGGGTTTCGATGCTTGTAGAAACGTAGTTCGGCTGAGAAGCCCGAGTGCAATCACGATTTTTTTTTATTACTGACCCACAGCGGGAGGTGGAATCCACGTCAGAGGCACCTCTTGTGTACTGAAATAACAAGTTAACTACATTAATGCCCAGAGATCTTCGAAAGTCTTCATTTAGGCACACTGGCTAGGCCACTGGTGTAGGACTCATCGACCTTGCAACAGAATCGACCATACCCACCAAGACCGATAGACGCCCAGAGATCCTCGAAGGTCGTTTGGGTGATCGGTTCTCAAGGTTCTGATCAGAATCCGCCGCGGCGAGAAATCTTTCAGCTCGAATGTAAGAAGAGAATGCGCACAAAGTCCGGAAAGGCGATGTGTAATAGGGCCGGAGAAAGAGCAACCCCAAGACGGCGGGCGAAACAGCGGCCATCGAAAAATGTCCCAATCTTGCGTTCGTGAGGCACATCACGCAAGATTGGGACCGGTTGTGGGCGTGGACGTTGATCGAGGACGCAAGTGGTATACCTCGATGGAGCAATCCCAAGGACCCAAGGAGAGAAGGTGAGGTCCCTCGCAGAAGCAAGTCGCCAAACGGAAATGAACTTGAGAGACCTGCAAGGTTTCGTGCGTGCGGATTACATCATAAACTGCGCCAAAAGCGTAAGACCGCCTATAATAGACAAGACGACCCCCCCAAACCCAACCCTGCCCGCACCTGACCTTGGCGTCGAACTAGGTGTTGAAGAAGTCCCATTCGCACCCGTCGTCGTCGTAGGGGTCGTACCCGTCGTGGACGCGGGCCCCTTCGCCGTCGTCGTTGAAGCGGCAGGTACTACACTTCCTATCGTCGCGACGATGGGGGAGGTGTTCTCGAAAGTTTGGTTCGAAGTGATGACGGCCACGAGGAAGGGGACAGGCTCGGACGAGTTCGACGATACGAGGGAGGAGGAGGACCCTGTCAATTCGGCTAGGGCGGTTGAGTTGAAGGTTTGGTAGGCATCGGCGATGTTGCTGTTGGGAGGAGGGGAGAGAGGTCAACTACGGCTCGTTCGCTGCATGCGAGGGCTCCGATCGTGTTCTGGGTCTATGAGGCGCACTTGTATTGCTGCAACAACATGTTTGTCGAAGCTTGTGAAGGAAGAGAGTAGACCGGCAGTGCTAGAGTCGAGTTGTCCGTCATGTTGAGATTGAGAATGCAAGACTGTGTTATGGTCGGTCCCTCAACGAAATTAGCTTTACGATCGAAGGATATCTGATACTACATCCACTTTTGTTGAACGAACCTGGCTCGAGCTCGAGTAGAGAATGACGGCTTGGGCCCCAAGCTTTGCTGCAGCGTCAAAGATGGACATGCTCGCGTTGGGGCTCAAGGTGGAAGAGTTTGTCGGTGCCGTGGTCGTCTCGGGTTGATCACACGACACGAGCGCGACAAAGGGGATATCGGAGGTCGAATTTGCATCGATGTATGAGCTGGTATCGAAGCGTAACAGCGCGCCCTGCGTTGAGAGATGTGGTTGTGGTCAGCGCAGTGTTGGTCAAGGATGTTGCGGATGGGAAAGATCAGTGGGGGCGAGCTGAGGTACTGGTACTGACGTAGAGCGTGGCGCCCGACACCTCGCCCGCGAGCAACTTGAGCCCGTCCTGTTGATATCAAAGCGCGGAGAGGTGAATTGGAAACCATTATTTGTAGTAGGGAATGTGTTTCACGCACATTGAACACCCCCTGAGACTGGTTGCGGGTCCATACGGCCTTGAGTGTGGTCGTCAGATTCGCGCCCGTATCGAGGTTGATCGCGCTCGGGTTGTAGGGTGTGGTCAGATTCGAGAAGGTGATGTTGGCGGTTGACTGTGCCCAGGCCGAAGGGAGGAAGGATGTTGCAACCACTGCAGCGAGTGCGGTCGAGGCTAAGCAGAGGCGCATCGCTGATGGCTTGCACCGTGGATAAACGGTCACAGGGGGCTCGGCCTAGAGAGGGGACTGGCCGCGACCGATGCTACTGAACCTGTTGCGGTCTTGGTATGGAGGGTGGGACCGTGGGGGCTCTGGCTGCAGTGATTGCGGGTGCCGTTGTGGGTCGCGGTCGTGGCTTGGAGCCGTGTGGTAGTGTGGCAGGCCGCCGCCAAGCTCCAAGCTCCAAGCTCCAAGGGCCAAGTATTAGTATTAGTGCTAAGTAGAGCTCTCGACCCGAGCTTATTCGCGAGGCGAGGCCGAGCTTTCAACCGTAGACCTTGCCGCGTCATAAGTGGTCGCACACTTCAGTTGTCGCGGCCGGCCAGTCCGTGAAGGGCCGGCGGGGGTGCAAAGGTCGTACAAGAAGCAGGTGGATATTTTTCCCATCCGCGTACGATAGCCGACATAGTTTTTTCGTGCGACTTGACTTGGCCACTTTTTCGCTGGCTTCACACTGTGACTCGCATCATGAACGTCGCACCACCGGCTCATGATCATTTCATTAGCTGAGCAGCAGCCTGCGCGCCTGCAGCAGCCTGCAGCAGCCTGCAGCAGCCCCACACAAGCCATCCGAGTCGGGGTCACGCGGCGGCGCGCTGGCTCTTGCTCTTGCTCTGACGCTCTCTGACGGTGGCCCTTGCTCTGGGATCTAGCACTCCCAACCTCCTTGCACAGGTCAGTCTCAGCTCACACAGCAACGCAACGTGCAACTTGAAGCTCACCACATTCGTCACTCCTCCCACAGTACCTACCCTCCACCATGTCGTCGTCCCAAATGACCTACATCTGCGCCGAACCCGAGGGCGACGCTTTGCCAGCCAACTTGCAAAACATCATCGACCAGGGTCAGTATTCAGATCGACTGCACTTCCAATGCGCTGTCCGCTGACTCGTTCTTCCTTGAACAGAATCACTCAAGTCAGTGGGTGCGACCGAGCTGAGCAGCGCCACCGGCAGAGCCAACCGGAGCGGCTGGCGTGGCCTGTCGGGACTGCATTGGCCGCACAGACCTTGACTGACCTCGATCCATCTGTTCTTTTACGTGGCCAGGTGGATCTTTGTAGGGGGTAAAGGTGCGTGGAGAAAAGCGGAGCAGCTCGAGCGCACACGTCGCCGCTTGGACCACGACACACTGACCTGGATCGGCTGCACCACTTGCACAGGTGGGGTCGGAAAGACGACAACCTCGTGTTCATTGGCAATACAACTCGCCCAGCACCGAGAATCAGTGCTCCTCATGTACGCTACACCGGCCCCCCTCGCTGCCCCTCAGCTCCCCTCTTCCTCACTGGCTCACCCTCGTGGATGTCCCTTCTTCACAGCTCGACCGACCCCGCCCACAACTTGTCGGACGCCTTCTCGCAGAAGTTTGGCAAGGAGGCGACTCGCGTCAATGGCTTCACCAACCTCAGCGCCATGGAGATCGACCCCTCCGCTTCGATGCAGGACATGGTCGAGGCAGGTCAGTACATTAGGCTGGATGTGGCATCGGGGAGACGCTGAGCTGAATAATTGGAATCGGTTGGGTCCACAGGCGAAACGGATTCGAGCGGTATGCAAGGCATGATGCAGGATCTGGCGTTCGCGATCCCCGGTATCGACGAGGCCATGGGTTTCGCCGAAGTGATGAAGTAAGAGCTTGCTTCCCCCTGACACCGCGAACCTCGTTCTCCTCAGATACTGATCCCCAGTCTCACCACAGGCACGTTAAATCGATGGAGTTTTCCGTCATCGTCTTCGACACGGCCCCGACCGGTCACACCTTGCGCTTCTTGTCGTTCCCTTCCGTCTTGGAGAAAGCCTTGGCCAAGCTGTCGACGCTTTCGGGTCGATTCGGGCCCATGCTCAACCAGGTTCGTTGATCGTTTTGAGATCGTAAAAGGAAGAGTGGAAGCCGAGGGGTGAGGATGTAGGATGTGGGGGCTGAGGTGGGGGAGGGTTTAGGGTATAAGAAAACGAAAGAGCGTCCGGCTGACCAGACCCCGCATCTCTTGTAGGTCTCGTCAATGATGGGTGCAGGTGTCAACACGGGCGAGATGTTTGAGAAGCTCGAGTCGATGCGCCTCGTCGTCACCGAGGTCAACCAGCAGTTCAAGAACCCCGATCTGACAACCTTTGTCCCCGTCATGAGTTGAGTTTGAGTGCGAGTGCCTTCGGGCATAGAACAGGATTGGTATTGGACGCTGACCGGGTACTCTCTATGATTCACTGCTACAGTCTCCGAGTTCTTGTCGCTGTACGAGACTGAGCGATTGATCCAGGTAGGTCGTCGCAAAGTGGAAGCACCGGCAAAGAAAGTAACTGATTTTGCATCCTTTCCTCGTGACCTGTCCAGGAACTGACGACCTACCAAATTGATGTCCACGCCATCGTTGTGAACCAACTGCTGTGGCCCGATGCCGGTACGTTGCGCTGATTGGTGTACAGATTTCCCAGGCGAGTTGATCACGAGTGAGTGCGTACAGGCTCGACGTGCAAGCACTGCAACATCCGGTGGAAGCAGCAGCAGAAGTACCTCAAGGAAGCGTATGAGCTTTATGGCGAGGTACGTCGGGCTCTGAGAGAGACTTTAGATTGCAGAACCCCACCGCTGACGATGGGCTGTATTGGTTCAATCGCCCCTGCAGGACTTCCACATCGTCAAGATGCCTCTGTTGTCCGAGGAAGTGCGAGGGACGGACTCGCTCAAGCAGTACGTCTTGTATAGAAAGGGCACCCTGCTCGCCGTTCAGGGAACTTATCCTTGACTTTTTGTTCCTCCTCGTCTACCTTCAGATTCAGCAACATGCTCATTACGCCTTATGTACCGACCAACAACAAGTGAATATTCGGGGCGGATAGGGCTGAGACGGTTTGGACGGTAACGAAAGAGGTGATCTCGCAAAGGTGTGACTTTCAAGACTTGAGGTAGACGAGGATGACAATCAAAGAAGATTCAAAATACACTTCACGATCCCCTAGGGGTGATGTCTACTCTAAACCAAAGCCTTCCTCGTCACACCGAGCCGAGTTCTTTCTTCCAGCTCGTCTCACAGAAGTTCGGAGCAGGAAACACGTGGTCGGGCCTGCAGTGTTCAAGAGATGTCGGGCTTGGAGTCGAGGTGGGAGGCTGGCGCATTGTCACTTCCTCTTCTTTTGCAGCCCGAACGACGGATGCTGGAGAAAACGACCGGGGTTTACCAGCTGATGAAGAGGATCAAGTCGGTTCGTCGACCCTCCCTAAGCCTCTGCAACCCCTTGCAGCTTGACGCTCCGAAAAGTCAAGCTCAGTATTGGCGCGAATCGCTCAGCGGACCTTCAAGAATAATGGAGTGAGAATGGTGATGGTGACAACACGTGTGAGTTCTACAAGCAGGTCCTACTAGCTTCCTCTATTGCTATTCGCCGTCACTGAGCGTTTCTTCATCCGGGATTTGTCATCGTGCGTTGCCGAGCCATTCCTTGACCTTGTCGACCGAGGAATCGTCGTAGACATTTCTGATTCATAACAAGTGATAAATCAGTAACCTCTAACTCGGGTCCCAGGAACACCGCTTGGGAACGGACTTTCTGGCCTCCCACACGTCCTCCGAGTTCTTCTCCATCCTCCTCCGGGCCCACATTTCACTCCTCCGCTGCACCCAAATCGCATCCCTTTCTTCGGTCGTCTGTGCCTTCAAAGATAGACAGAATTTGAACTCTTTGAATTGGGGGGAACAATCCTTGACCGTTCCGTGGCGGTAGAGGGATCGAGTTTGGGAATTGATGGCTGCACGACCAAAGGAAGAGGGTGTAAGCACGCGGACAATGACCAAAGTATGGTTTACGTTACGGAGCTCACAGTAGCAACTGAGGTAATGGTCGAACAGCTTGATGCAACTCGGCATGCCGCCTTCCATCGCCACCGATGCAGCTTGAAGCGGTCGCTCCTCCTCGACGAGCGAAGCGAATGTCCTCGAGGCGGAGGAGGAGGATGCGGTGGGTGAGGTCGGGGACGAAACAGAGCTGGAGGGTGATGGCATGTTGGTCTGCGGTAGACGGAAGGCGTCAGAGGGCCACGATGTTGCGCGAGAACGTGGCTGGTCAGGAAAGCATGTGGAGCACTCGGTGTGGAGCACTCGGTGTGGAGCGCGCGCCTCGCTTCGCCTGCGCTTCGCACGACCTCGGATCATTTTGGCAGCACTCGGTTCGATCATCGTTGGCTTTCCCCCGTCATTCCGAGCACCCACTGTAGTCGTTTCGCAACGTGCAGGAGTACGCCTCAGCCCGTAGTTGCCAGTTGCCCCCAACATGTCGTCATCAGCTTCTAACCGACCTGGGAAGAAAGTGAGCGTCCATCTCCTCCCCCACTCTGCCTCTGCGCGACTCACTCCACTGACCGACCATCTTCCCTATTCCGCTCCCAGCCCAAGCGCAACCATCCTCATCAACCCTCTCAATCGTCTTCACATGTCAACTCCGCCACATCAGCAGGTGCGTCGTCCTTCATCGCGATGCACCACCCCGAGAAGCCTTCCGCCAGAGCTCAAGGTCACGAGGGGAAGAGTCGGACTTGGACCACTTCCATCGCATTGCCGAGTAGCATCGTACTGAATGCTCAGACTATGGAGTTGAGGGCTTGGCTCGTCGGGCAGGTCAGTACTTCGCATCGTGGTGTGGGACACCTCGCGTCCGGGCGAAAGAACTGACCGTGAGAGAATTCTTCTCGTTCGACAGATCGCAAGGACGTGTGCCATCTTTTGCGTCACCGAGATCGTCGTCTACAACGACAATTTGCCCTCCACAACAACGAATACGAATCCCATGGCTTCGGGCTCTCAAAATGCTAGCTATAAACCGAGAGGGAAATATAGGGATCCGACGGAAGGGGGTGAAAACTCGACTTCGGGTGGGGCACAACAGGAGGGGGAGGATGATCCGCCGACGTTCTTGGCGAGGATATTGGAGTATCTCGAGACACCTCAGTGCGTCCTATTCGGACATTTTATCCTCTCGTCGGCTCCGAATGGTAACGCCCTGATTTGGCTGCCTTAGATACCTCCGACGAGCGCTCTTCCCCCTCCACCCTTCTTTACGCCTCGCAGGTCTCCTCCCTCCTCTCGACCTCCCCCACCATCTCAGGCGCGATGACAAATCACCTTACCGAGAAGGCGTCATCGTTCAAACACCTTCGACACAAGGTTCTTCGTCGAACCACAAACGAAGAAACGGCTCCGATGCGTCGGCCTTGCTAGTTGATGTTGGGTTATGGGATCCGGTTCACGTCGATGCGACCAAGTTGGATGTCATCCCTGAATTGAACAGTCGGGTGACGGTACGGATGCCCAAGGATGAGCAATCGTATGGTCCGTCCATCCTGCTCTTTCTTCAAATCCAGATCAAAGCACTGACATCCCTTAGCTCCTTAATCACATAGCCGATCTCATCTCCCCTTCCACCCCAACGCTCGAACAAGGTCTCTACTGGGGATATTCAGTCCGAGTCGCACCTTCTCTCGCCCACGTATTCTCCTCGGGCCCTTATGCCTCGGAAGGAGGCTACGACCTCTCGATCGGGACTAGTGAAAGGGGTGTCAGTGTCCAGGATGTGTTGGACGAGATCCCGGAGTTCCAGTGCGTTTGAGCATCTTTTTATCGCTTTGCAGAACATACTCACTGATCGAAACATTCTCTGCCTATTGACCAAATTTAGACACATGATCCTCACCCTCGGTCCTCTATCCGGACTCGAACTCGTCATCGCCTCCGACCCACGCATCAACCTCGGCGCCGAGGAAGCCGGGGATTTGTTTGATCATTGGATCAATGTCATTGAGGGACAGGGCAGTAGGACCGTTAGGACGGAAGAGGCGTTGCCGATTGCGTTGGCGAGGTTGAAACATGTGCTGGAGAGGAAGGGGATATGAGGATAAAGCTGCAGACCAAAGCACACGTCCTGCAATTCAATGTGGCTCGAGCGTTGTGTCCTCTAGTCTCAACTTTGGGGTCTCTCCAGACGCCTTCGGGGATTCCATCGATCCGGGCAGACAGGCTAGTTGGCATGTCTTCCTCTTCGATCGATTCAATGTCTCAGTGATTGCACGCATTCTGATACTTCAAAAACCGGGACTCCGGGCACACAATAATGGGCACGCCACTACGGTTAGATTTCGGTGCGACGCGATCTTTGGTCGAGGGAGCGAGAACACTACTTAGAATCAACGGTCGGTAGCAGAGTCAATGATTGGTGAGGAACCACTCTCCGCACCGCCGTCGACGCAGTCGCGCCTCCCTGGCCAAACTGGCTAAAACTACCCAAAACTCCACAGACGTTCCTGTAGTCATCACTGCTCGCGCATTCCTTTCCAACAACTCTAATCCCCTTCCCGCCACACTCACGGCTTCTCAGCTTTGTAGGGTCATCGCTGGCACTGGTCTCCGCGAACTTGAAAAGCCGGACCAAAGCCCGTATAATCTGACTGATGCCGTAGTCGTGCTATTTTCAAGAGTATAGTCGTGCACATATCAATAGTGCGGTGTCGGTAGCTGACGCAGAAATCGTAGAGGTGTCAAAAGTCATTTGCGAAACGGGAGAGTAGCGCAGCTCCAGGTACCATCTTGGTCACAAACTTCATTTCAACCATACAAATCGCTCTGAAGAGTCTTCCTCGCCCCGTGTTCTCACTGCCCCTGTTCCCCCTGTTGTCGCTCCTGATCCGCCTGCGCCACCGCAGCAAAGTAAGGGTGTTGCATCGCCTCCTTGGCCGTCAACCTCTCCTGATGATCGTAGCGCACCAACTTGTCGAGGAGGTCGATAGCTTCGTTTGAGATGAATCGTTGATTCTCTATTAGAAAGAGAATCAGTTCCAGAGATCCTACGTGTGTTGAGAAGAGTTTTTGGGGGTTTCAGAGCTGTGCTGAGCAAACGTACCACTGGTGAGGTACTTGAGCCAAGGTTTGCGCGAGTGGGTGCCGATCAAGGCGTCGAGATTAGCATCGATCTCGATTTGGTATTTCTGGGTCAAACCTCGACAGACCAACAATCAGTATACGTCCCTTGTACTAATCCTCCGCACAAAGTGGCCATCGCTGACAAGCTCACATCGAGATAGGCCCAAAAGTCGGTCGTGCCGAGCACCCGGGTGATTTTGCATAACTGATCGTTATTGTCGTGGCCATGGAACAAGGGGTCTCGGCGGAAGATCTGGGGCCCCAGTTATGCATAACACCGTTCAGCTGTAACCCAGTCGACGTGTTGTCGCTTCAATGACTCACCATGGACCCGAACGTGCAGCCGACGGACCACATATCAAGTGAGTAGTCGTAGTATCCGAACTCGACAAGCAATTCCGGACCTTTGTAGTACCGAGAGCTGCGTAATGACTTGTGTCGGTGAGTTCCGACATGCTCTTCGCTCCATTTGCACCATGTGAGTGGGACTTACGCAACCCGGACATTCAGCTCGACGCCTGCCAAAACATTGACAGGGACCGGTGAGCACCCATCGGCGCGGATAATGCAAGCCAGGAGGCACTCGCGCTCACCCTTGATGTAAAACTCGGCCAATCCAAAATCCACTAGCCTCAGTTTCTTCTGCTGATGATCTATGAGAATGTTGAGCGGCTTCACGTCCCTTGTTCGGCCGGGCAAGCGCAATCAGCAATTCCGCTGTCGCAGATCATTCTCATTTCCGACCTAGCACAGACCTGTGGATGATCCCGTGGGAATGACAGTAATCCAACGCCTTGAGCAATTCGTAGATGTAGTACCGCACGTCATAGTCGCTAAAGGTCGGATAGAGCAATTTCGAGTCCATGTTGTTGACGAATTCGGTGATCAAGGCTGGGGTATTGCTGCGCGCATCACGGACGACGTCGAGCAGTTCGATGCAGTTGGGACCACCTCGGAGGTTCTGAGGGATAGCGAGCTTGTATTTGAATGGAGATTCGAGGCAGTCACGGCCCTGAACACTGACCATGAGGATCTTGAGTTCCCGCTTGACCTTCTTCTTCTTGATCGGCTTCAAGACCTTGATACAGATCTTTCGATAGCCATGGCAAACGTCGACACCACCAAACACCTCGGAGTATTTTCCTCGACTGTGTGTGCGCCGGGGAAACCGCATGCGGGTCAATGGGTCGTCTCGGTGCGCACGGCGATTGGCAGGCCGACAAACCCTAATCGATTGACGATCTCGTACTGCTCTTGGTTACCCCTGTAACAATCCACACCGACCGAACAGTCATTAGTACCTGTCGAGCTGCCCCCAATCACCTTTCGTCCCTGCTTGACCACCGCTCCTGTTGGACTTTGGCTTCGAAGTTCGGGGTGTGTGCTTGGGAATGGACTGATACTGACCACGAAATCGCCAACTGATCATAGTCATACCACGTCGCACCCCGTTCGGTGTTGGCATCGGCATACTGTGCGACCATTCGAAGCTTGCCGCACGCGTCAGTGACTCGTCGAGTGCGCGTGCGACCGAGAGTGACAGCCGAGAGGGGACGATCCTGGCCTGGCTCGGTGCGATCAGCGGGCGACTCACGACTCGACTAATCGATGGAGCGTCGGTCGAGTCCATCCTGTCCACGTCCAAGTCGTTCTCGTGAGCGTCAAGTGGGGACAGCAACGATCCGGCTGGAGAGCGAGAGGGAGGGTCGTCATTGACCCGTGTCGATCGTTTGGAGAGGGTGTCTCAACGTACGACGCAGACCAGGAAAGGAGACCCCCAAGCGCGCGCGCTATTCTCGCGAGAGGAGACAGTGGGTGATTCACATGCCGTTCGGCGCGAAATGGAACGGAACACGTCAGCACGACGATCTTTCTGGACTTTACAGGTACGTTTGGTTGATCGAAACAAAACCAGCTTGTTGATTCGAAATATTAAAACCCACCAAAAGATACTATGCAAAGCTAAACACAAACAAAGAAAACGTGGATGACTGGCCCGCGTACACTCAGAGTTCATCGGATCATAGCGCCACACCTCGCCCACGGCTAGGACCGGTTCGAGCTCGACGAGTGGATCGCGCGAACTACCTCGTCCACCTCGACCGCCTTGGTTCTGGCCTAATCCTTGGTTCTGACCTCCTCCAGTAATGTTGGATTTCCGTGAAGCAATCGCGTTCCCGTTCGCTGCACCTCCAGCAGCCGCTCCACCTTCACCACCCAGCTCCACCTCCTGCTCCTGCCCTTTCACCGGCTCCACCACCCGCGGCAGCTCCTCCTCCCCCGCCGGCTTAACTATCAGCAGTGACAGTCTGTGCGTCTCGAGGGAATCCCCAAGGTAAACTCCTAATCTACGTCTGCTCAGCCTTGATCGTCCCCATGTTCAGAGGGTTGACGAACTTGCACGCCGGAACTTTAGTTTGCGCAGCGATCAGGCCCATCGGAACGGCGCTGCAGAAACCAGTCTTGACTTGGCTCCCTTGATGAGGGGCTGAGAAGGGCAAGTTGAGGGGTTACGTCTTCAGTGTTGTGCAGGCTAGAACGGAGGGAAGATTTATCACAGCTTACAAGATCGTTGCGGGCGAGACGAAAGTTTTGCGACGCCGAGCGGCGGCGGCGCGGGCTGGTGTCATTGACACCGATCAAGAGAACTGGAGAGCTCGCTTGACTCGACTCGCTTGATGTGCTCCCGGCCTCAGCGCCGCTGGCCTCTCACCTCTCTCTCGCCTTCCTTCTTCTCTCCTTCCTTCTTCTTCGTTGCCGCGTACTTCTCCCATCGTGCTTCCACCACTGGGCCGGTGACCGACTAGTGCGTCGACGCAGCACCGAGGTGGTAGGTGGTGGAAGTCAGCAGTAGTGTACCTCCAGCCACCGTGAGTTCACCTCTCCCACTCGTCCGAGTACCAGCACGCGGCTCAAACTGAGGCTGAAGCTGAGTCGTTCTAGATTGCGAACGGAAGAGTTGATCGAGGAGTAAAACAGTGTCTATCAGAAAAAAGTGGGGAGCTACAGCGGGAGATCGTAAAATTCGAAGCGGAAGCAAAGTATTGTGTATAAGCAAAATATGCAGAGGGCAGCACGCCGCACGGATGATGTGGGAATAAACAGAGGACCTCAGGCCAAGGTACAAGATGTAATACAGGTGAAAGGAGTGGCGTCATGAGCCAACACCCGATACTGTAGGAGAAGAAGACATCGAAAGAAGCAAGACATCGAAAGAAGCAAGACATCGAAAGAAGCAAGGCCCGAGACAGTAAGGCTCTATGCAGTGTCCAAAAACGTGAGGAGAGACCAAAGACGGGATCCCGAACAACGACGAAGAGCGAGGCGATCAAGCTCGAGGCAAGGCCCGACCATTCATGACTTCTTCCAGTCGTTCCCGCGGTGCTTGATATCCCTCAATTTCGGCGACACTCCCACTTCGTCCTCCTGAGCTACCACTTCCACTACCACTCGCCGAACTGATCTCGACGTCCGTCCCACTTCGTCTCGCTTGTTGCGCAATGCGTTGTTGTAGCTTTTCAAGCGGCGACGAGGGTTCTGACGAAAGTGGAAAAGGTGAAGCTGCGGCGGCCGACATGGAGAGCGGTGCAGGTGCTTTTGCGTTTGACAAAGGTGCCCCACGCGTCGAGAGCCCGGTCGAAGACGAGTTGGGCGAAGCGTTCTCCGAGGACGAGGTGCTGCTGGCGATGAATCGCGGATCCTGGAATGGACTGACGGTAGAAGGACCGGAGCCCAGGGAAGAACGTGTACGATGATGAGGTGCGGGCGCCACCGATCGAGGCTCGGTGTAGGACGACCGGCCCGAAACGCTGCTGTACGCCCTCGATGACGTCCCCTGTTGGTACGTCGAGAACCGAGAGTCGTACGTCGGTGTAGGTCCAGGGCGGTCCAGGGTGAATCGGTTGACATCGATGAGCGTTTCCGACTCGGTCTCGCCGCCAGAGCCACCGCCGATGCCGGAAGAAGGTGCGAAATCGAGCGTCGCCTTGTCCATGGCGATGACCGATCCTGGAGGGGGAGCAAGTGGCGTGGGAGGGACGATGTCGATCCTCGAATGAAGGGCATGCGGTGCGCCCGATAGTCGAGACGAGGAAGGCTGCGTTCGCATCTGGTGAGGCGCATTGACGACCGAGTTGGCGCCAAACATCAGATGCCGGCGCGTACCCGACGCCGAGGAGAAGCTGGCGCGGCTGGCGGAGCTCGGCAACACGGTTCCATCGGGCGAGGGCATGCCGAAGGGACTCGGTGATCGGCTCGTCAGAGCTGAATGAGGCTGCATGCTCGTCGGGGTCCCCGGACTCGTGCACCCCGGACTGTTGTTCATCCCTGGCGAAGGCGTCCATGCCTCACTAAGCCCACCCTCAGTCGTCCAACTCGACTCTCGTACCCGGCCCAACGACGCCGCTCCAGGCATCAATCCATATGTACTACTCGCTCGTGGTACTCCTCCGCCAAGGGCTCCGCCCGCTTCGAGCGAGCTCATCGTCGGCGCCATGCGAGGCGAGGACGGTGCGGCAAAAGGTCGAACGTCGGGCAAGGGGACGACGTAACGATGCTTCTTCCTGTACCACCATACGTAGATCTTGTAGGCAACCAAGATTCCCACCAAGGTACACAGGACGACGACGACGACGACCGCCGCAGTCGGAAAGTTGGTTCCACCAGCATCGGTTTTGGTCCTGGAGGACCCCGGCGGCGTCGATGGGACGACTTGTGCAGCCGGCGCAGTGAAGGTCGAGTTTGGAATCAATGCCGAGGTGACGCTCGCAACTGCGGACGCTGTTGTGATTCGGCCTGTTTAGGGAGTAAGACAATCAAGGAAGAGAATTCGTTGGTCATTCGGGCAACGAACGCAAGTCATGGAGAAAGAGTGGTACATGGTCAGCCAACAGCACCAGTCAGCAGCCTGCATTAGGTGTAATTTCGATTCTTTCTTCTGCGCTGTGCGAGCCTCTAGCCGATCCAACTATCTCACTTGTCGCTGCAGCGAGGCCGTACGCCAAGGCATGACGATGAAGGGCCGCCCGCTGCTCCCTCCGTATCGGACTAGCAGTGCCGCGATCAAGCGGAGAGACGCGAACAGCTACACCACGGGATACTTCGACGCGAGACGAACGAGCGTATTGAAGATAGTGCCACACCACAGCAACTTGGTGCAGGGCACCCCAGACGATGGTCCACGCCGGTCAGGATGGTGTGATGAGGCGAATCCGAGGCGATGCGATCGCCCCCGGGTGCGCCGGACGCCGTGCGTTGCAGCAGCGCCCTGCAGCGCCTTGTGTGTGTGCACGACTCGGTTTCGCACGCCCAGCAACACACACAAAGAAGGGCCCACAACATGTTACAACGAAAGAGGAACTTACCTGCCATGTTGGTGAATCTCGTAGCTTGCGATCACTCGTCCTAATGTGGTGCGTGGCGGTGTGAACCTCGTTCGTCCTTGGTCACGTAGGGGAGACCGGTCTGGTCTGGGATCGACGACCCACGAGCGACGCTGGTGACGGCCGCGAGCTGGGGGCAGAGACAACGAGACCAGACGGACGGCGTTGATCCAACAGAGAACTCCTTTTGGGACACGTTCACGAGCAGCCGGCACTGAGAACCACTCTCCGAAAGAGATCGACACTGAACGAGAGACACGCGGAACCTTGAGTCAGGGGTCCTTCAAATATCCAAGGCGTCGAGGGGGTGTCGAGTGATGACGGAACGCAACAAGTCGAGCGTTAGCCGAACAGGTGTGTTAGCCGAACAGGTGTCGCTTTTGACGCCAAATCTATCACACCGCGCCAACCTCGCCTGCGGTGCTTTGGTCGAAAATAGGTAAGTGCAAAGATGTGTCGTTACAGATACTGTTCTTTTGTCATATTAATTGGAGAGAGCTATCGAACAACATGTTTTACCAACTTAGCCAGGGGTTAGTGGTCGTCAGAGCTGCAGGGTTTTTGGGCATCTTCATCTGAGCTCGAGGTTGATGCATGGTGTACGCCTTCATGACGCAGCCAGAGGCTATACATTAGATGGTATAATTAGTAGGGAAATAATAAGACTCCATGCAAGGTTGCCGTGACAGGCTCCGGTTAACCCGATCGCCAACGACTGGAACGCCGAGCACCTGCCGAAAAGCTTATCCGCTGGTCACTTGCCAAATACGTCGTAGTACGCACAAGCAACTCGCCCTGATTCAACAGGATCAGCCATAGTCATCAATGGTGCACCGGTCATCTGAGTTCTCTCTGAACTGAATGAAATTGAATGGGAAAGGTCGAGCGGTAGGTAGTAGGTGTGCCAGCTACTCAGCCGGACAGAACTGAGTCGTTGAGCACTGCCGCCGCGTCAAGAGTCGAGAGCTCCCTCGATCAAATATACGGATTGAAAGCAGGTAGGGCTTTGTGGATCATGAACCCCAAGGTCACCACAGCCAACTCAGCGAAAGGGAGGCGGTCACGCGGACACAATTTTGGACAGCTCTAGCCGATTTCACAAAGATCGCGAGCCGTCGACGGTGATCGGACGTTGTGACGCTGAAGCCTGTTCACTCGAAGCCCCTTTTCCCAGTAAGAATTGACCTAAGATCTAATTTCAGTCGAGCCCCGATTAGTTGCATTGCATGGCTTTTCAGAATTCTGTCTCGCTTGCACGACGTACGTAAAGCGAATGGTGACCTCGCTTCTGCAGTGTTTCTTGACCCTCATCGTGGCGGATCTCGACAGCATCGGCGAGTCTCGGTTCTACAAGCTCACACCAGGGTCGAGGCCCTTCGCCAAGCCCTGAAGCTGCGCGCCCGTCCTGAAGAGCAATTAAGACCGGGCAGTGAAACCCGACCGCGCCGACGCTGCTGACGACTGCAAAGAATACACACGTCCTTGAGTTTCAACGAGGAGCCTCTTGACACGGTTCAGAGTGGATCACCTTGGGTTGGCGAGAATCTGAATGGCATCGGGGCGAAGCAAATCTCAGGAAACAGGTCGGTGGCAAGGGATGGCTCTTCGCTTCGCATCCACCCCCGAAGTGTTCTACCACTGCAAAGGTGCTGAGGATCAACGTGCCTCCTGGGTTTCCATCATGACGCGAGTTTCGGCATTTCTCTCGGGCCCGGGTTGTTCAGCTGCCTCATGACTTCAAGTGTGCTGAACATGATCCCGGTAGGGAAGTTCTCGCCGCTGTTCCAGTAGAAAATCACCAGGCGTAGCATAAGCACCCGAGCTCAACCTTCCCCACTTCGTGGACTGCCGAAAATACTAGTTGAATGCATTTGCTCCGATTTTGAAGAAAGCTCGGGGAATCTCATCGGCTGTCCGACAATCTGAGACAAGCTTCCGGTACCACGGGCGTAAATTTTTCGCTGATAGAGACCTGAGTCTTAGCGCTTCGATGACCAGGTAAATTCACCTCGTTGATTCCTGTGACATGCAAATGCTGCGAAAGAGTTCGGCGTTCGTACTCCGCACCACGTCCGAAAGGGTCCGAGCGGCTGCAGATAGTAGCGGTTTCGCAGCGCGTGTGGGCGTTGCTCCATCCTCGAAGCACACTCCTACGCTTCATCCGACCGCAAATCTCATACAATACCGCCCATCCTACTCCCGACGTCAACGTAGCGATTTGTCGATCCACCGGAACTCGCCTTTGAGATACCAGGCTACACATTTGAAAGACTACAGCGGCCTCACACCAAGCCAACCCATACTCGCCTTGCTTCATCACGTGCCTACGACACCAACAGACTACACCTGAGCGCGCCTTCTCTCTTCTGTACCCGTTCGTCTACACCAACTTTTCGCACCAATCATGTCGGATGATCACGAGCGGGAGACGGCACGGTTGTATCGCGTATCGCGGACGATCCACGAGCTCGTTCGCGACCGGGTGAGCTGTCCGATCCTGTTTATAGTGTTAGCTTACGTGCCTCATGCTAATCGTTGTTCTGTGCAACGTGACTAGGGCTTTGAGATTGGTGACGAGGAAATCACCATGTCGTTGGGCCAGTTCAAGGGGCAATACGGCACTGCTGTCGAGTCAGTGATCCGCTCTACCCCCGCTCCTTAGCTCAGTGATCAGCAGTAGCATGCGTCTGACCTCGATACTGGGCTATCATCTGATGACAAACACTGCAGCAAAGCAAAGCTCAACTTTACCGCCGCGCTGGCTTCGGATCCGTCGATCAAGATCTACGTCTTTTACGCCGACGAGCCGAGCGTAGGGATAAAGACCATGCGAAAGTCAGTTGTTGCAGAGAAGGTGGGATATGTTATGTTGATGCAAGCTCGAGAATCCAGGCTGATTGCTTCATGGCTGGGGGCGTTGACAGGTTCATCGGCATTCTGGAGGAGCAGGCGATCGGGAAGGGCATCATCATTTACAAGACCAACATGACCCCTTCCGCCAACAAGGTGCGAAATCAGAGACGATACCGAGAATGCATTTGAAAGCGAGTCTGATGGTTCTTGTGTGACTTCGCTACTTGCAGGTCATCTCGGCGATGGTATCGCAGTTCACGATCGAGGCATTCCAGGAATCCGAACTGCTCGTCAACATCACCCACCACACCCTCGTGCCTAAACACGAGGTGCTATCGACCGAAGAGAAGAAGGAGTTGTTGTTGAAGTAGTCAGTCCATTCACGAAACTTCGGGTCGTGGCCCTGTTATTCCGACCGACTGATCATCGCTCCGCGCCGATTTTTTCAACGACACCAGCCGGTTAAAAGACACGCAACTGCCTCGCATCCAACTCTCGGACCCGGTCAGCCGTTACTACGGTCTCCGAAGGGGTCAAGTCGTCAAGATCACACGACCTTCCGAGACCGCGGGGAGGTACGTCAGTTATCGGTTGTGCCTGTAAGCCGTCGGTATTCCGGTGCCGGACCGAGCTGGGACGGGACCGACGCGGGAGGGTACTTGGGAAAGCCAGTCCGTATGTCTGAGGTTTGTGTAGAAACAAGAAGGTGTATGATATTTGAAAAATGACAAGGTTACTTCGACGAAACATCGGGACCTTTGACCGCAATCTCCGTCTTGCGCTATTTCCGATCGTCGCCGTTCGTCTCCGCTTGCTTGCTCTTGCTACTCTCTTGCTCCGCTTAGCCCGCGCGCTCTCGTTTGGCTTGACCTGTCAACTCGCGAGTCGCGATCGAGGCAGACACCCGCCCAGGGAGAGACGATGCCGCCCCCATCTGCCTCGACAACAACCTCTCACCCCTCATCCCACTCAACGGGCGTCTCGATCCGCCTCGCCGAACCGTACGTGTTACTCGTTGGTGGTCCCGAACTAGAACGAGCTCGAGCCAGACGTCGACGCGCGCTTCGACAAGCACCGACCCCGACCTCGGCTCAAGCATCACCTTCTCCATCGAGGACGCCATCGAGGGCGGCCTCCCCTTCTCATGAACTGGGGGCTGTCCCTGGTCCTGGTCCGAGTTCGACGAGGGGAAGGACGGGCGGACCGAGGAATGGCGATCCGGATTTCATCGCTCCCAATGCGAGGGGCAGAAGTTCGACGAGGACGCGTAGTCCTTCGGTGGCGAGGGCAGCCAGTTTATCCAGAGCTCTAGCACAGGCAAGGGTAGCTTCGACGTCCCGACCACCGCCGACAGTGGCTGTCAATGGCCAAGAAGGCGAGGCAGCAGCCGCAGAGCACGACGATGAACCGGCTCCGGCGATGCTCAGGGGTCTGTTGGTGTTGCATCTCGCCAAGGCGACGAGGATACGCGAGATTTCGGTCAGACTTAGGGGGCTGGCGAGAACGGACTGGCCCGAAGGTGAGTGTGCCTTCTTTTTCTACCTCCTGAATGCCCGCCGATCGCCCCCACTCGTGCACTCGCTCGCTTCGGCGCCAGCAACTACCCCGCTTTATCGCGTCCTTTATCGCGCTCCGATTGCTCGCGCGCGCCAAGAGACAGATCCGCCGTAGGACTCACCGAGCTGACCGGCTCAAACATTTCGCACCCTGTGCTTTCGACACAGGAATTGGCCCTCGAAAGATGGAGATTATGGAAGAATCCACTTTGACCAACATCACCTCGACCTTCTTCTCGGCCAACGAGACCTCGATGGAACGACGCGCCGCCTCGATCGGCCCAGGCACAGGCGATTACGGATCCGACACGAGGTTCTTCGAAGCCGGTCGCGGCAGAAGTTCGAGAAGGGCTGCGAGTGTTCGTCCTTCGAGGGATCTCAGTCAGGCAAGGCCGTATGGGACTCGCGATGGATCGACCGGATCGAACCATGCCGATTCGGCAGCTACGGCGGGGTTAGGCAACCTCGAAGAAGAGACGACCGTCGGCATACCCGTGTCGACGCTGTCCCGCATCGCATCGTCCGAAGACCTCGAATCGCGAGATCGCCATGACATACCTCCCATCTTGCCGGGTGAACAAGCACCGGCTTATGAACTCGTCCCTTCGCTGCCCAACTCGCCTGCTCTTCGGCCCACTCGGTCGCTCGGTCGAGATTCCCCCACACCCGATTCACGACGGCTTCTCGGGGATAGTCGAAGACCGGAACGATCGCCGACACCCTCACGCAGCTCTTTGGGGATGACATCACATACGAACGATACGCCAGACGCGCGACCCTCTTTGGATCGCGCCAGCACGTCCTCTTCGGCCTTGTCGCAACAGTCCATCCTCGCGGCACAGCAAAGTCATTCCCCACACCTGTACGACACGGGGATGACGAGCTCACATTCTGCGAGCTCGTGCGATGTTTCTTCCACTTCGGAAGTCGATACGATCCATGGACCGGATGGATGGAGCAGTGCCCCCGTGCTGGGATCGGTCCACTCGATTGGTGAGCGCGGCCGACCGACGACTCGATCCGGTAGGCAAAGCGAGGATGAGGCGGCTGTGGCGTCCGAGATCACCTTACCTGGTGTTCCATCGGAAAGGTCCGATTTGGGAGGGACGGCTCGATCGGGTTCGGTCGGTCCAACGTTCCAATCACGAGCTAGTACACGACAATCCCCACCTACGATCGCTGCGGCTGCGCGGAGTCGAACCCGAAGTGGGAGTGTGTCGGGTAACTCGCTTCGAAGGACCATCTCGGGTGTTTCGGCAGCGACGCCGAACACGCTTGCCCACTCATCATTACCTCCATCACCTTCGGGCATCGCTTCGGCCTTCCGGAACCTCTCTGTAGGAGGCGCACCGCGATCTTCGTCGAGGGGAGGTGCGCCACCAAGGTCTTCATCCCGCGGGGGAAGGTTTAGTCTCGCTGGGATCGGCGAGGCTCTACGAGGTAAGAGCACCTCGAGGGTTCGAGATTCCAGCAATGTCCGCAATGAGATGGGTGTGCGTGGAGATTCCATGTCATCGTCGAGACGTGAAACAAGTCCCGATTCAAGTCAACCCGCGACGGGGATCATCACGCGCGATCAAAGTCGAGGTCGAAAGACGGCGTTGAAAGTGCTTCGCGCGGCTCTCACCGCCGGAGGAGGAGGCTTCCATGAGGGCGATGGCGGCGTCGAAGGGGATAATGACAACAGCGATGACGAGGTTCAAGCTACAGGATGGAAAGAGTTCCGCGCAGGGACTTATACCTACCCCATTTCGATCGCGATTCCCGTCAGGCTACCCCCTACGATCTCGGCTAGTTTCGGCCACGTCACTTATGTGCTCAAAGCGACCGTTCATCGAGCAGGTGCGTTGACGTCGAATTTGACGACTTCGACTGAGATTGTGCTCGTTTCGGCTCCGAGTCAGGATGATACGGAGGAGAATGAGAGCATTGTTGTGGAGAGGTTTTGGGAGACGCAGATGAAGTATAACGTCGCACTCAGTGGGAAGGTGAGGCCTTTTTTCAAGATCTTGGGTCATCGATGCACTGGAGCAAAGGCTGATTCGCATACTGTGTTGACGGGGTTTTGCAGAGCTTTGCGATTGGGAGTCAGATCCCCGTTTCGATTAGGCTCGACCCGATGGCGAAGATCAAGGTGTATCGCATCACGGCCGTATTGGAGCAAAAGACCAACTACTTTGCATCGGGTGGGTGCGGGTCTGTTCTACTTGTCGCTGGAGCGATGTGCTGACCAAGCTTGCTGCCCCTGTGAAACAGGCCGCAAATTGACTCGACACGAAACACCGAAAAAGTTCCCCCTCCTGCGGATCGAGCACAAGGATCCGAAGGAGCCTCTCTTGCCGATCTTGTCCGACGACCCAAAGGCTATTACCGATCACCCTTTGGCGGGCTTTTTCATCAATCCCGACACCTCGGACGACACGACCCCTGCCTTGCTAGACCCACTCGGACCTTGGCACATCGAGTCCTATCTCCAACTCCCCACCTGCGCCTCCAAGATCGCCTTCTCGACCCACCACGAACAATCCAACATCGCGACAAGCCACATCATCAAAGTCATGCTCCGCGTCGAACGCGGCGACGACGAATACCTCGATTCGAAAGGGAATCGGAAACTCTGGGACGTGATTATCGAATCGCCCATACACATCTTGGCGTGTCAATGCGCGCAGAACATTCTTCCTGCTTATTCAGCTGCCTTGGGTGGAGGGACGAGGGGTCAGAACGGAGGGCCTGTGGTGGGGGGTACGGTCCAACCTTGTGAGGTACATTCACCCCCCTCGACGATTGGAGGACCTATTTCCTCGAACGGTCGACGACCGCCATCGACAACAAGGACAGATCGATCTCGATCTCGCGTCCGGACCGCCGCGATCGTCGCGGCTGCTGCTGTAGCAGCCGCTGCGTCGCCGTATCCTCATCGATCCGAATCACCTCATCCTTCGATTCCAGCAAACGAATTGGAAGAGACGAATGCATTGTTCGCTCGATTAGTGGCCGGGGAGGAGATGCCTTCCGGGGAGGTACCGCCTACTTATGGTGCGACGATGGAGGGTGAGGATGAGGAGGAAGAGGAGGCGGAGGAGGAAGGGAGGGGTAGGACCCCTGTGGGTCGGGGAAGGACGAGGACGAGGGATCATAGTGTGGAGGCTTGAAGGGGGTGGTGTGAACAAGAAAATAGAATGGAGTACACGTAGTGACGTAGTGACGTAGTGACGTAGTGTGGTGCTGTGTGCAATGACGGACGCTTAGGGGACTTTTGCAACTCTCGTCTCGTCGCCTGGAGTTCAGAAGGGAGAACCCCACTCTTTCTATGGTGAAGTACAGTAATAAAGTTCTAAGATGCGAAAGGACAACTATGAAGTGACATAAGGCGCCCGAATAAAACAAACATACACTATCGCTCTAAACCTTCTATGATGCTCAGACCCCATTCTCGACCATCTCCGCCTCCCACCTCTTGCCATCTTTCAACGAAGGGGGTACCGCCAACGTGTCTTGACTTGATCGGGCGCTAGCGTGGGAATAAGGGAGGACGACTTGGGTTGTAGGCGTTGATTGTTGTGTTGCTTCTGTAGAAGGATCGAAAGTATGAGGTCAGGAAACGGATCTCAGCCAATACTTCCAAACTTCGGCACACTCACCTCGCTTCGCCGAAACCCTCTGCTTCCAGATTCGCCGATAAACGACCGTCCCCACAACCGCCACGAGCATCACCAGCAACGTCGATGCTAAAACGGCGGTGACGATCTTTCTCGTATGTTCCGAGATATGGACGGGGGATGAATGTGTTGAAAGGGTGGTTGAAGTCTTCGGTGTAGTGGAGACGTCGAGAGGGGCCGTAGGAGAGGATCCGTCGTTGAGGGGCATTGCTTTGTTGAATAGGACGGCAGGCATCTTGGATTGAGAGGCTCTTGTAAGATTGTATTTGGGTTGTTGTAGTTGAGTGGATGAAGATCAGAAGAGAGAAAGCAACACAAATCTGAAACCCGAAGTCGACAACCTCGTTGCAAAGTTCGTGAAACCGAGTCATTCCCTTTCTTGCGAGAGAGCATCCGAGCTCGGAAACGGGCGCGGGCGGCATGACTCGACTTTCGCCGGCGCGCCTCGGCGAGACGAGAAAAGGGGGTTCTTCTATTTTTGGTCCATGCGCGCGTGGGAACCCGGATTTTTAAGACAGGAGTGGCTTCGGGCCTCTTTAGGTTTGGTGCTAGTCATTTTGAAGAGAAGGGAATGACTCGAGGAACTGGTTTTGAAAGATACAACAACCTCTTTGCAGCTCTTTGCACACATACTCGTAGGTAACTAGGCAGGCAATTCGGATCAAAGCACTCTCCCCTCCGTCAAAGCCCTCCAGCCCTCTCCCAATCCCTCCCTAACCCTATACCCATTATCGCCCAACCACCCCTCAACTCTTTTGCGGTCCGTCGCCTCATCAGCCAAAGCATCTAACACCGTCATGTCTCCCTTCCCCTCCGTCCCTTCAAGGCACATCACCCCCCACCCAATGACCAACATCCCCGGCGGTCGATGCGGACTCAACCTCTTCAACACGTCCGAGAGACTTTCGATCGTCGCACAAACGACGCGTTGATCCGGTGAACTTGCTCGTTCAATCAACGCGATAGGGAGGTAAGGTGGGTAGGCGGCTTCCTTATGGGTGAGTAGAGCTTCGACGAGCGAGTCCAATCGTGCAACTCCCATGAGTACGACGAGTGTCTTGGCCCTTTCATAAGGCTCAACACCGAGTTCCCTTCCGCCCCTTCCAACACCCGTGGAAACTACCATCGTCTCCGCGACACCTCGTTGCGTCACAGGGATTCCATTGATCGTCGGTCCGGCCAAACATGACGAAAGGCCCGGCACAACAACGGGTTCGAACCCCGCATGACGGAAATGTAGGACTTCTTCCCCCCCTCGACCATACAAAAAGGGATCACCTTGCTTGAGGCGGAGGACCGTCTTGCCTGCTTTGGCACCTTCGACTGCGAGACGCATGAGTTCATCTTGGGCATGCTCGGCGTTCCCGGGGTATTTACGAGCGATGACCACGCCTTCTCGTGCCGGGGAAGGAATCAGGGCTAGGATTTCCGAGGGAACGAGCTTGTCGGAGAGGAACACGTCGACGTGGTATGGCGAACCAGGTGGGGAAGTGAGAAGGAGGTGCGCGAGACGAGTGAGGAGTAGAGGGGAACCGGGGCCCGTGCCGAGGAGGATGATGCGGCCTTTGCCTCGCGTCGGGGGTTCAAGCAATAGCGAGTGCTGGGAAGGGTTCGCTAGTAACGTCTCGGATTCAGGTGGGGTCGATGCGAGAGGTGTCGAAGGCGATGACAGGGACGAGAGCGTGACTGTAGCAAGACGATCGAGTGGCCAGTATTCGCTCAGTTGAGCGACATAGCGCATTCGTGTCCTCTGGGCCTCTGCAGCGGTCCATGCTTGTGTAGATAAGATGGTCGATGTAGCGGCTGTCGAGGCTGCCGACACGGAAGAGTTGCTGCAGATTGCCCAGTCTAGTGAGCCAACTGAACCCATGAACTCGACTGAACACACACTGGACGTACCTCCTGCTCGTTGTGCTCTCTTCTTCGCCCTTGGACTCCCTCCTCGCTCGTCCTCTGCACTGACTAATGGATCTCAATTGCGGCTCCAACGCCGCCGCCTCAACTCCCTGCGTCGAATCGACCAACGAAAGCCGATCCAGTTCTTTACTCTTCTCCCTGGTGAGTTGAGCGACAGGTCGATTGAACCTCACACCCGCGAGTTCGACTTCCTCACTATCCCCTTTCTCCCAAGCGATTTCACTCCCTCCCATCGAGCTGGCCAAAGACGCCCTCAACTTGGAGATGGCCAAAACGCCCGCTCCAACATTGCTTGGTAACGTCGCGACGACCTCTCTTCTCAACCTCGTCGCCAAGCGACAGGCCGAAGAATTAGTCGTCAAAGCGAGTTGTAGAGGCGACTTGGCCGATGATGGCGCGGCACTATCGAGCGGGAATCGATGCGTCGTCGGCCACGTAAAGTCGGAAAGGGTAGGTGCATCGGCGATGTTGACGAGGTAACGTCGTTCGTTCGCGATCCGTTTGAACGCTCGGGCCGAGGAGAAACTTCGTCGTCGGGACGATGAAGATTGAGCTGCCGAAGTGGTGGTCATTGTGTCGCCGAGAACGACGAGGAGGCATCGGGAAGAGATGGACGTTGGTAATACGTTATCGAACCAATGACTCCAGGCAGATTCATCGGCATCAAAAGGAATGTTCCATTCGATCGTCTCAATCTGTCCTTGGTCCTTGCGCCACGCGAGTTCGGCATCCCATTGATGAGTGGCCGAAGCACCGACAACGATACGGTAGCCTGCTTCCAAAGCCGCGAAGGCTCGCAGTGCCGAGATGCGTGAAGGGGAGAGGAGGAGGAGCGTATCGTGCGAAGGCGTGGGGGTGGTGCTTGAGCTGGAGGCGATAGGGGCTGAGAGGGCCAGGAGGAGGGAAGCTCCCGGTTGAGGGTCCGGGTATGCGACCATATTGGATTGTAATTATAGGTTGTTTCTGTAGACGTTCGAGCTTTGAGGTCAGTCTCGCTTGATCTGGAGTGCACTGCCATTGTCCGCGCGACCTTTCCGAATCGGACTCGCGACTATAAGCGAGCGACGAGCCTCAGGGGCGTTGGATCGGCTACAGTAGGTCGGTTGGTAGGGTGTCCTCTCCTTCCTGGTATGCCGCAAAGCATTAAGCCGGAAGGACGTACCCTGAGATGGAGCAAGGCACTCGGAATCACTGCGTAAACGCCAGACTGGATGCCGACTGATGTGGCTGAGGTCCGTCTCGGTCGCGACGAGCGATGGCGTTATCTGCGAAGTCGAGTTCGGGCCGAGTCGTCCCAGAGCTGCTCAGCACTGCGTAGAGGGGGCGGAGCTGCAGCCGTAGAATTGAGGATGTAGTTGGATCCAAACAGAGAACGATGATTATTCTCTGGCAAAGATGGGGTCGAGGACGATCCTGGAATACGATGATAAGCAGTTGGAAGTCGGAGGTCACTGAGCGACCAGTCCGCGAGCCGATGCGGATACGCCCGTGGCGGAGACTTGGAATCGAGGCGCCTCGATTGGCCCGCGCTTATCACCGCCGACTCGGAGGTCTCGATCGGAGACCATTTGCGATTGCAAGATACTTGTTTTGCACGCTAATTTACTACTAGGAACTGACGTGCTCAAACCGGGTTGCATTAGTGAAGTTCCACCGCTTGGCACTGATTATGTTGACCACTGCACTGCAGCTGCAGTGGCCCGCGGGCGCCGGCGAGCACCAGATATACCGACGTCACGTGACCTACTTGCCGCCGAGCGAGTTTGCTCCGCGACCCCGAGTAAAACAAGAGTGATTTGTTGAAAATCAAACTGTACACTCCCACGTGCCGTTCTATGATTACGTTCTTCCTGTTTCCAGAAAGGGACACCGCATGGCACACCCGGGCCCTAGGATCGAGCCGTGCCCGTGGCAGGCACTTGGCTGATTCTGTCCTGGCCAGTGCAAATCTCACGTCTATCTCACGAATCCAATAGCATTATAAAAGAACACTGTCGATTAGAACGTGCGAGGACGCTGCTGTTGTGCTAATAAAAAACTGGCGGGTCTTGCCAGGCTTGGGGCGGTGCGACGAAGAGGACCGTGCGCGTCGGTCTTTCGCATGCGATCGCGTTCGCAAGCACATGAATACGCGCGTGAATACCGCCCCACTCCACGTCGCTCCGCTCTTCCCAACACCCACGATAGGACCATGACGACCCCAACATACAAGGGCAAGAACAAGATTCCTCCCTCTACGGGACCCATCTTGACCCGACTCCACATCAGTGGCTTGGCGCCGTCCGTGCAGGCCAAGGACATTGTCGATCGATTCGCTACGTTCGGGCAGGTCGAGGGCGGCGTCGAGGGTGTAGATGGGTTGAAGGTCGATGCTAACGGTAGGCTGGAGTGTGGAGATTAGTTTCGATGACTTGATTTGAGTGGAGCTGATGATGGGTTTGGGTGTCGAACAGGTGATCGCAAGGGTTACGCTTTCGTCAACTTGCACACGACGACCCATCAGCTCAACAAGTGTACGCACATACGGCTTGTCATGCGTGTTGAGTCTTGGTCTGACCTCTCATCATCTCCTCCGCAGGCATCTCATTGCTTTCGGGCTCAGTTTGGAAAGGTCACAAGCTGCGCATCGCACCCGCCAAAGCCGACTACACAAAGAGGTAACTCCACCACCCTCGCCCATCTCGACTCAGATTCCAATCTTACTAACACTCTCCTCTTTTCCCTCTAATCAGACTCGAATCCGAACGAGCCATCGCAGCCGACGTTGCAGCAGGCCTAATCCCGGACCCTTACCTCAAGAAGAAGAAGAAGCGTCGCAACCCCGACCCCAACGTCGGATTTGAAGCGACCCACTTCGAATTGGTCAGCCCTGAGAATATTGATCAGCATAGGGTAGGCAACGGCTCATATCATAAAGAGGTGGATCTAACGGCGATGCTGACTCCAACCATATGTTGTCCGTACCAGGGCTGGACCCTCGACACGACCATTCCCTCCGCGCCCATCGCCCTCTTTCCCCTCATCGTTCGTCCCTCGCACCCGATCTTCCCCCCTGCGAAACCCGCCCCGACCTCCTGGACGCGCGAAACGCCCAAAGCGCGCCAAGCGCGCCAAGCACGTGAATCGCGCATCAAAGCTGCGCTCGAAAGGCCCGTGTTGAGATCCAAGAGGATGAGGATCGATCCTCGGAAATGGGGGAGACGAAGGGTCGTCTTCGATCGCGATCAGGAAGAAGGGGAAGGGGTTGGGGTTGGGGTTGGGAAGGCGGTTATGAGGGGTTATTGGGAGTGTGAGGAGGTGGAAGGGAGGAGCATGGGAGAGGAGGTGGCGTGGGTCTATAAGGCGCCTGATGGGACGGTGAGAAGGAGGGAAGTGATTAGTTTGGGCGCGGCGAGGTTTGGGGAGAGGACAGATCGGTTCACGGCGCTTTTGGAGGGGTTGAATAGGCCTGAAGGTGGGGCGAAGGTTGAGACTGTTCATGAGGAGGACAAGGAGGTCCAAGAGGATGATGACTCGAACCCAGAGCCAAACGATGAGGATGACCTCGCCGGATCGCCCGAAAGGCCGACGAAGAGGCTCAAATCGCTCTCTCCACCACCTTACGTCCCCGTCGCACCTCGATCCTTGCTCTACAACGAGGAAGATGCCTTCGCGCTACTGTCGACTACGAGGGAAGAGGCCGAGTTAACAGAGGCAAGGAGGCTGGAGAAGGAGGCGCAGTTGAAGGTCTTGATGAGGTTGGTCGAGGTCGAGCAGGAGATGGATAGCAAGCACGAGGATAGGGAGAAGGCGGAGGTCCAGGGGATAGAAGGGAGGAAGCTGCCGAAGGTCGAGGGCTTCGCGAATGATGATGATGATGATTGGGGTGAGGTGCTGCGTTTGAGAGGCGGGGCAAAGACTTCGTCGGATGAAGAGGAAGACTCGAGCGACGACGACACGAGCGATGATGAGGACGAGGATGAGAGCAGTGGCGAGGAAGAAGAAGATGTGGCTGCTCCTGTGGCTTCGACGTCAACTAAGCCGGCGGCAGAGGAGACGAGCACCTTGAAGCGTGGGATGCTCAAGGAAATGTTCAAGCCCAAAGCAGCTGAAGGTACGTTGAGTTACAACTAATCGATCCCCATCCCGCGGGTACTGATCACCTTTGGCGGAATCGCACAGCCTCCTTCTCCATGCTCGACGGCCTCGATCTCGAGCTCGAAGAATTGGAACGCACACCATCCCCACCGCCCCAGTCGCACTTCAACGCCGGAATGTCCATATCTTCAGCCCCTTACCAACACCGCAACACCTTCATCGCCCCTCCAGCCTTGGGGCGATCCAGCCGCGCATGGGTAGGAACGGCCCCTACGACCCCTTTCTTCCCCTTCCCCAGCGGGGCTTTCGAAGTTCGTGGGACGGGGGAGATCAATGAGGATGAGGTCAAGAAGATGGGTATGACGATGGAAAAGGCCGAGGAGTTGAAGAGGGAGAGTGAGCGAAATTTGGCGGAGGGGGTGAACAAGTTTTGGGCTTATGAATCGCCGTAAGAGTCCCCCATGGCCTTGTCTCGTCATTGTGGGGACGAGAAACTGAGTCATCGGCCCTTTTCGTGACACAGTGAGGAGTTTGAGAAGCTCCATCAAGAGTTGAGGGACAAGTTGCGCGGGCATGCGCGCAAGAGGCATCGCGAGGCGGTCAAGAAGCAGAGCAAGTCGGGTAAGAAAGGGGCGACGACGATTTTGTAGTATGTCGCGCTGCAAATTCCAATCGCCGTATATTTGGTCACTTGAGCGTCTCATAAACCGCGAATGAAGCCTGGAGTAGTGAGTCCAGGGAGTGGAATGCCTTCAAGGTACAATAAGTTGGTGCAGGCGTGGAGTGCGCGATCTTTGGCCCAGCTCCAGACTCAGCCGGGGGACCGAAAACCCACTCCTTGGTCGGAGTCACGTTTCCAAGATCGGCCCAATTCATAGAGGGTGTAGCTGAGTGTGCGACTTGATGACTCGGCGCTTACATAAGCTTATCTGATATGAAGGAGCCTCTCCGGTAGCAATCATGGACTAAAACCTCAAGTCACCAAGGAGAAATCGCCAGACAGACATGCTCGGAGAGCTGACAAACGCGAAGTCAACCTGGGATGAGCTTTTTCAGACCTCGGAGATGAGACGCGTGCGGACTTGCTCCAAGCACGCTATTCCGAAAATTTTGTGGATACCTACCTACCTGCCTACATTTGATAGAGCCCAGTAGAACACATCTCGGAGATGCAAGACTTGGCGCACTAAGCAGGAAAGATAATTGGAGCGCTTTCGACCTCCACACGTACGTCCTCGCCATCTCCGAGTCGCTCGTAAGCCGCTTGGCGCGCTGGCGGGTGGAGGCGGCCCAGTGCGGCGCACGCGGCGCGCTTGCGCTAGATTGCCCTGATGACGAATCGCCCCAAATGGGTTGATTACGTATGCTCACAAAAGCCTGACTCACCCGCACGTCGAGGACCAATGCGCTCTGCGACTCCGCCAGTGCAGATCAAAACCGTCGTCCTGCAAGACAACTTGGGTATGTCTCCCTTTCTCGTCATTCCATCACTTGCTTTGGCATCGACTGCTTCGACCTCTGCAACTCGTCTGCCGCCTTGAACAGCTCTCGCCGTCCGCATCTTTCTGTTAATTTACAAGTTCGCCGATCGGTTGTCACGCCTACAACGCGACTCGCCCAGCCTCCACTTATCTCGTTCGCAGGCATCGCCGCCCAAGTCAACCACTGCAGCCCGGCGCCCTCCACTTGTCACTTGAGTGCGTTCCACTTTCATCCATCCAGGTGGGTTTGTTTTTTATTTCCTTCCTCCTCAAAACTTGTACCCTGCCTTTGTCAGAGACTCCGACACGTTCGCTTGCCTTCAACGTCCTCGACGAGTGCTGACGCGTGAATCACTGCGCTTCGCGAACTCCTCCACACTCCTCTCCGGTCTGTAGGCCACGCAACCCGTCGGACCCCGGAAATCCTCACGCTCCTAACCGCCGTCGTCCTTCAATTTGCTTTAAACCGTCGCATTTGCTAAATAATGACGCCTGACATCATCCGCGACTCGACCGTCGGTCAATTGATCAACCGCTTCACCCACGGGCGTGTCTTGCCTTACGCGGAACAGCGACCCGACTACGTTCTCCCCGCTCGCTACCGCGTCGCTTTGGATGGTTCCGCCATTAAAAATTCTGCCTCTACTGCCGCAGCTTCGGTCACCACAAGTAGGACTGCGACCGCCGCTTCCTCATTGAAGGAAGGCGCCGAAGGGGACAAAATTTCTGCCAGCGACAATGCCCCAGCCGCGCGCACGTTCTTGGACCTCGAGAAATCCGACCTGCACCACGAATCCGCCCCACATGAACCTACAATGGCTCTCAAGGACCTTGAGAAAGCCGACCTGCATCACGAAGCTACCCCACACGACTCTGAACCGGTGGCCAAGGATCCCTTCCTCGTCGAATTCGAGGAGAATGATCCCGATCGCCCGTTGAATTGGTCCAGGAGAAAGAGGATCTTTGTCGCTACATTGATCTCATACTTAACTTTCAGCATTTACATCGGTTCCGCAATCTACACGCCCTCCATTCCTGGTCTGATGCAGAGCTTTGGAGTCTCCCAAGTCGTGGCGACGCTCGGTCTGTCCTTGTTCGGTAAGCACGTTTTTGGCGGAGCCACCCTCGGCGCAGCGTATTCTCGGAGCTGACACGTTGGCTTTTGCCCAATTTCAGTCCTCGCTTACGGCATTGGCCCCATGATCCTCGCACCGCTCCAAGAGATGCCGCGACAAGGGCGGACCCCGGTCTACATCATCGGCCTCTTCCTCTTCTTCATCTTCCAGTTCCCCATCGTCTTTGCCCCCAACGTCGCGACGATCCTCGTCTTCCGCTTCTTCTCTGGCTTCGTCGGGTCTCCCGCCTTGGCAACAGGGGGTGCCAGCATGATCGATATTTTCGAACCTCGCCACGCTCCGATCGCCATCGCCGTCTGGAGCATCGGCGCTGTCTCCGGCCCCGTTCTTGGTCCGGTCATCGGCTCTTTCGCTGCGCAAGCCAATGGATGGCAGTGGCCCAACTGGGAGTTGCTGTGGATCTCTGGATTCGCCTTCCTCGTGTTGTCATTGTTCCTTCCCGAGACGTTCGAACCTACGGTCCTCATCCGCCGCGCCGAGCGCATCCGCCGACTCACGGGTGACAACCGCTTCCGCACTCAAGCGGAGATTGATGCCGTCGAGGGCGAGTCGTTCCTCGAACTGCTTTGGACCAACTTCAAGCGCGCATTCCAACTCGCTGCCGAGCCCGCAGTACTCTTCGCCAACTCGTACATCGCCTTGCTTTACGCTTGCTTCTACCTCTGGTTCGAAGCCTTCCCGATCCTCTACGTCGAGACGTACCACTTCTCGCTCGGCATCTCGGGTCTGCCTTACCTCGCCTTCATCGTCTCGGGTCTCACGACCTTCTCGTTCTACATTCTCTACTTGCTCTACCACCTCAACCCGCGCATGGCGAAACCCGACTTCCAACCCGAAGCACGCCTTGAACTCGGCCTCGTTGCGGGCCTCTTCATCCCCGTCTCGCTCCTCATCTTCGGATGGTCCGGCCAGAACCAAACGCACTGGATCGTACCGACAATCGGGGCTGGGTTGTACCTCCCCGGAATTTTCCTCATCTTCCAATGCATCCTCATGTACATCTCGAGCTCGTACCCCCCCGCCTTGGCGGCCTCGATCCTCGCGGGCAACGATCTTTTCCGTTCGAGTTTCGCCAGCGTGTTCCCGCTCTTTGGTACACGCTTCTTCAAGGTCCTCGGTTTGGGAGGTGGATCGTCCCTTTTGGCAGGCGTCAACTTGCTCATGGTCCCTTTGTTGTTCCTGTTGATGAAGTTTGGACCTAGGCTTCGTGCGAGGTCCAAGTGGATTCAGTAAGCTTGTGCTGCTCCTAACAGTTCGACTTTGCCACTCCTTCAGTACTTCAAGGCTACTCCTCTTGCCACCTTGTTGTATGACTATCGATTCAAGTCGCGCTTTTTACATCATATAATTTCTGCAGTAGTTCTCTAGAGCGTCTTTTCCCAATATCAAATCACGAGCTTCCACGACCCAAAGCCGCCGGGCCCCTGTCTTGAATGTGTCCGAGGTGCGCGGTCGAGAATTGTCGGGCCTTGGCTTCTCTCCTTGTGTCGGCTTATTCCCTCGGTTCGAGAGTACGGTTTACGTGAGAGGCTCGCATTCGCACTGGCACAGGCAGCTGCAGCGTAGACGAGTTTTGCCATGACCAAAAGTCACGTGGACATCACGTGATCCAGCGAGGTGGATCCGACGTCGAGACTGTAGCAAAGAGTCAATATTTACTGTGATTTTCAGAATTTCTTAAAAGGATCCCTGACTCCATTTAAAATGTGAAAGATGGGTGAAGTCGTTGATCGTTCGTAGGAAAAAGACGAGGCGGTCACGAGCCTCCCGTTTTTGGCTCGGCCGAAAGGGGCGGCGGTTTTTTTGGCAGCAGGCACGGGAGTTGGTGGTGCGCGCGCGCGCTTGAACTCATTGGCTTGATTCGTTCCACCACTTTCATCGCCATCTTCACGTTGTGTCTCGGTTCGTCTCTCGGAGCAAGGTCGACAAGGCCTTCAAAGGACACGCTCGTACTCGACAGTGTTGGTCTGCAACAACCGATCGATCGTTGTCTACGCCGGCGTCGACTTGAACACGTCGGATCCGAGCCTGAACCGCTGCTGGCTGTTGTGAGCAAGCGTGTGGGCGCGTGGAGGTCTCATTCAACACCTCGGTCTGAGGGTGTACTAGGAGAGAGGTGAGTTTTCTTCTGGTGTACATTGGGGGCTGTAGGAGTTTTGAAAGGATGAATAGTGTTTGGGTGGATGTGCACCTCGTTGTAGTCGCCTACCCCGCCGGCGTTCACGGAAGGCTCGATTGAGCTCACCAACTCGACGGCGCGCGCGGAGCCACGCATCGACCCGTTCAACATGGCCACATTCGCATCCCGCATCACACCGCGTCTAAAAGGCAGGATCACGCTCGCGCGAACTCACTACGCTTCTGTACTATCACAGTCTTCCTTGACCTCCATCAACACCTCACACAAGTCAGGATGGCACACGCCGCTGCTTCGCACTCGCTCGCCTCAGCGCCTGCGCTGGCGACCATCTCCGAACAAGCACAAGCACAGCCGCTGCACGTGACTCGAGGCGCCGCACGCAGGGCAGGCTTCCGCGTCACCACACCCAAATCCATCTCGACCATGTCCCGAAGTTCGAGTTCACGGTCCAGCATCTCGGGTTCCGGTTCCTCCGATCTGAGCAAGCCGACCCTGTCCAGCTTGTCTCGTCAGCGCGCGGCCAACAACAGCACCGCTAACGCCGCAGCCGCCGCCACCGTCAAAGCCGGAGCCACGAGCTTGTCGTCGAGAAGAAAATCCGTCTTGGGCGAGTCCAAAAACGTCGCTATTTCGTCGTCGTCGTCGTCGCGCTCGTTGGCCTCGTTGTCGACACCTCATCGAAAAGTTGGACGAGTCGAGGCCGGCCAAATGATGGGCATGGGCGTCATCCGCGTCGGTCCCGCCGTGCAAGCACAACGGTCACCCAAAAAGCTTGCGACACATTACGACAGTGGTTCGGCGTCGGATCCTTACTCGGTCGCGTTCGTCGCCCCTCAGTTCGACCGATCACCTCACCCCGCCGCAGGGGACGAGAATGCGCAGCCGCGCCAACACTTTGGCCTACCCCCTTCGAGTAGCTCGCGGTCGCTATATCATGTGTCTCCTGAAAAGCGGGTCAGTTCCCAGCTGCCGAGTAGCTGGGACTTACCATCGACCGAGGCTACGGCTGGCTTACCTGCTCGTTTAGGGCCCTCGCCTGCGCCTTCTGTGAACCGGACAACGCCGCTCAAGATTGGCACCATGTCGCCGAACAAGGAGCTCGCCCAGTCGCCGGCCCGTCGTCGCCTCTTTGAGAACTTCGAAGGCAACAACTCGGCCTTGCCTCTGGAACTGTCACCGCCTGTGCGACAGACCACCGTGGAAGCGTCATCCGCACCCGTCCCGCCATCGTCACCCTTGCAAACACCACGAGCACTAACCGAATCGTCGAACCGGAAGCACTCGGCCGCCAGTGACGAATCGGACGACGAGATCGACTGGCTCAGTCCTCGCAAGAAGCCGCGACCATCGTTCCCGACGTCAGCTACGCGCGCCGAGTCGTTGCCTAGCGTCTTGCAACTTCCCCCACCTCCTTCTCCGGGCCAGCTTCGTAGTCCACCGAAGAAAGCGTCGAGCTCGTCCGAGAGCACTGTCACGTCGGCTTCGACGCCACGGGCGATGCCATCACCTTCTGTTCTATCTCGCCCGACTTTGCCAACGTCCGTATCGATGCCCATGCTCGCCACGCCGAGATCTACGGCGACGTCCGTGCCGATGGTGCGCAGCCCCGGTATCCGTTTCCCCCCTTCCCCTTTTTCGACGAGGCTACCTCCAACTGGAGTCAACAACCCCGCTTTGGCGGCAACGACGACGCCGGCACGACCAGCGCAGCCTGCGACACCCAAGGTCTTGCCGACTCCTTCGATCATGTTGTCTATGTCCGAGGCCCTCGATCCTCAAGTTTTGGAACCTATTGCATCGGACGCTCCTCTGATGCCACCCCCTAGGTCTCCGTCTTCCTTGTCCCTGGCACCCCGAGCCGGTCCATCAAGGCCACCCATGCCGTCGCCGGCCCACACGCGATCGTACAAGCAGCGCAAGCAGAATCTCCTAACGACGCAGGCACAGCCGCACGGGCAATCTTTTCTCGTATCGTCCGGGATCCCTCGCTTTGTACCTTCGCCTAGCATGCCGCCGATCACCTTCAACGCTCCCATTGCCCTCCCTTCACCTCTTTTTGAGCCCCTCGACACCCCCACCACCATCGACCCGGCGTGCTTGCTCACTCAACCATGCGACGTCGACACCGCAGAAGACGACCTCTCGAACAGCTCAACCTCCACCCTCGCCTCCGCAGGCGATACGAGTTCGCTCAGCAGTTCGGGAAATCGGTCCATGTCGGAAGAGACATCGAAACGACTCGCCAACTTGCAAAGCATGCTCTCACGGTTGAGCATGCCCCGACCTCCCGCTGCATCAAGCGACGAAACGTCGACTCGTGCAATGGGAGGTGGTGCGCGCGCACCCCCTAGCAACCTGGCGGATCTGCAGGCGAGACGAGAGAGAACCAAGGCTTTGACGGCGCATTATCGGGAGGAGTACACGGTCCCGATCGCGCCGCCTGCTGAGCAGCCGAGTACGAGTTCGAGACGGCCAAAACCTGGTGCACCGCTCGTCAAGGAGCAGCAAGCTGGTGGGATCGGGATGGGTGCCCCACCCGTTCGTCGTGGCAATGCAACAGCGATGCGAGGCGCGAACGGCATCATCGATACTTCTTCGCGCGGGGGTCGACTGCAAAGTACTTCGAGCGCACCGAGCGTCATGGAAGTTCCTACGACGACAGTCAAGCAGAGTCGACGCGTGTCGGGAGGTCCGATCGCTTCGTCCACTTCGACGGCGACGATCGCTGCTGCCGCTGTAGGGGATGGTGAGATGTGCGCCAAACCCAAGAACAATGTGTTGCGGGGCGTTGTCGCGTTTGTGGATGTTCGAACACTTGAAGGTGACGATGCGGGTATGATCTTTACCGATATGCTTAAGTCGATGGGAGCCAGGGTTAGTCGACCATCTCTGGCGTTCATTTCGAAGGGGTTCAACATAACTGAGATGTTTGGTAACAAATTTGTCGCACAGGTAACAACACGCCCGACGCTTTCATTGACGCACATCGTCTACAAATCCGGTCGTCCGGGCACACTACAACGTTACCGCACCCACGCTGACCCCAAACCCCACCTCGTCGGTATCTCCTGGGTCGTCCGTTGCGCCGAACTGAACCAACACGTCGAAGAGAAGACCTTCCTCATCGAAGCTGGGAAGGAGGATCTGTTCCAGAAGAAACGACGTTCTATGGAACCGAAGGCTTTGAGCGCTTTGAATGCCCCTCCTGGTGCGCTGTTGACGGCTTCGACGAACCCGGGGTTGAAGGCGACGATTGCGGCTAGCTTGGAGAGGGCGAGAAGACAGAGTATGCAATTCGCTCCGAAAGGTTAGTGCTTTGTCTGTCGGGCGGTGTGCGCTGTGTGGGGGATGAGACTGATTTGATTCCGTTCGATCTACAGTTGGTTCGCCACTCGCCAAGCGGGTCTTCGTCATGCAGTTCGAGGAAAGTACCGAGGAAGATGCGGAAGGCACGGACGAGGCTTGAGGGGGCCCGCAAGTGAAAGACTTTTGTTCAGTTCCGCATTCTGCCTCCTTGGCACGAGTTCCATGATATATTTTTTGCTTTGTTTTGTGCCATCTTACGCAGTTCAGTCATCTCTGAGGATGTTTCCCACACCCTTCAAACCAAGCTTTTTTTTTCGTGACCATGAATCAGACAAATGTGAGTTACAAATTTTATAATATCAAGAGGGAATGCGGTAAGAATGTAATAATGGGGTAACGTAGTCATGATACTTCAATAAAGGGAGCTGACACGAGGGAGCAAGGGGTTCGTCGATCTGACGATGAGTGCAGTCGTCGGCACTTTGAGGACGTTATTCCTGGACAACTAGGGGATCAGCTGCTTACTTGCCTCCGAGGAACTGCCTCAACCACACGGGAAAGAAAGCAGGGAGATAGTTGCCATGGCCATCACCGGCGAACCAAATGAAGCCATTAATGGGACCAAGCAAACCGAAAGCCTTGAAATCCTCGAAGAAGCCAGCCCGCAAGAAGGGAGCGCAGAAGAGGGGGGCCATACCAAAGGCGAAGAGGTTGACGAAAGCTACCGCGAGCGGGTAAGGGATCGATCGGAGTAAGCCAGGGGCCGTGCGTTTGAGGTAGGAATAAGCAATTGTTCCGGCGGCTTGAGTGAAGAAGAAGGCGAGGGTCTCGCCCGAAGCGCCGTTGAAGGCGAGGTGGTTCATGTATTCGTGGAAAAGACCCGACGCTGCGAAGGTGACAGTCGCGGCGACGGCTTTAGGGAAGAAGGGACTCGGCTTCTTCTTTTGGGCAGGGCTGTCGCCCTTGCGCTTTAATATCTTCTTTTCGAGGGTGCGGTCGGGCGAAGGCTCGCGAGAGGCGGCGTTGTCCGAAGCTTCGGTCTCATCAAGCTGCGATCGGAAGAGCATGTCGAAATCAGTGTATGTAATTTGGTATGATGATAGGCCTCAAACCTACATAGTCGGGCTTGGAAACGGGACGACCGCGCGAGCGAAGCTCATGGCCATTTTTGGCGCTGACAGCGGACGAGGAGGCACTCGGCTTGCCGTTGTTGGCGCTCGACTTGGAGTTGCGCTTCGGAGGGGCCTTGAAGTGGAAGAAGACTCGAGATAGACCGTCCTTGATCGCCATGTTCCCTAATTTACGTTCGCCCCACCTCATGATCAGTCAAGCGTGCAGTCTACGCCTGCAAACGAAGAAAAGTTCAACTTACAGCGAGCCCAGAATTCACGGATGTTGGGGGCGGCGGTGGGGTTGTTGAACATGGGCGACATCTCAACTCCGAGCAAAATGCTGAATATGCAGATATCACGGAATCAGTTGACATTCTTCACGGCGAGGTATGGTTTGACGACAAACCCAAGCGTGCGAAGAATCGCTTCGATCAAGAAACCAAGAGTGCCGAGAATGAGCAGGGCAACGACACCGGCATATAGGAAGTAGGCAGGCGTTAGGGGCTTGATGCGAGCCCAGATCTCGGGAGAAGGGGCGAAGTCTTATTGACCAGTGCATTCGAGAACGATCGTCAGCCATCTGTGCCGGGTGAGGCGCGCAGGCAGCTACGGCGTTGGTCGTCGGGCAACTCTCCCCAGGCGAAGCCGGGCTCGGGCAGCGGACTCACAGAGCAAAAAGTTGACCATCACATACTTGAGGGCGCAGAGGCCGAGCGCCTTGACGTTCTCGAGGCGAGGGTTAGGCGATGTCGCATGTTCGTTGGGGTAGGCAAACATTTGGGCGATGGTGCGAGCTGTTGTGGCCCCATTGCAGCAGAGATCGAGGGCACGGGGAAGATGAAGCGAGTGTGCGCGCGTGTCAGCCCAAGCGCGTTTGCAGTTCGCCGTCGGCCCTCGGACACATCCGATGACGACCTCCGAGGTCTCCGCGGTTCGGCGAAGGAGCCCGCGTCCACAATGATGAACTTACGTAGTCCCCAGCTGTGCACCTCGGCGGTCGAGCGCAAAAAAAATACGTCGACGATGTTCAAGAAAGTGAGCATTCCCTTATCATGCATTTTGAAGTTGTACCGCAATTGAGCTTCAGCAAAGTATGACCAGATATTCGTACGCTAGAGACGAGCTAGGACTTACCCAGGCGGGCAATCCGAAATCCACAATGCCCTGCAAGCAGTCAAGTGTCGATGTTAGATAAATCGGCTCGTTTGCACTTTGTAACACGATAGATTATGAGCTTACAAGACCGGTTCGACCATATCCGAGGCTCGAGGGCCACACGAGGATCGAGGTGATGCCAGCAATCGCACCGACCGTGCGGATCGGGCCCTTGGAGAGGCGCGTAAAGAGGTACAATGAGACGGCAACCGCCTGGGTTAATCAAACGAGGTTCATTATTGGTTCAGTGATGCCGATCCCAGTGAATAAGTCAAGTACAGGTCCAATGAAAGCTTACGGCTACAAAGGCGCCGTTGTGGAGTCCGACGACGACGAGCTGGTTCCAAGGTGTGTGTCTGGGCTTGTAGAGGTGCACTTCATAGCCAGCATTGCTAGCAACGTTGAAAGGGGTCATTGAAGAAACCATCGCTCCAATATGGCGGGCGGGCGAGCGAACGTGGATGGGAGGGCAAGAGTCAAACGTGAGCAGGTGCGAGTCGCCGATCCGTTCGCTGGGCAGCGAGCGCTCTGGCGCTCTCGCACTTGGAGCACCCCTCTCCCGACCAATGACGCTGGTGCTGCCGGGGACGGGCGGCCGGAGCTCAGCAATTTCTCGGTCCGCAACAAGACTTTCACGAGGCTCGCGGGACCATATAAGAGTTTGAGATTTTAAATTCTGTTAACCATCGCTATAGGAGATTGTTCAATCATGTGCTTCAGTCCGTCGTCTTTTTGTCCTCTTCGCGGCAATGCTTTGCGCTCCTCCGGGACAAAGTTCGCCGGTCGCCGAAAGGAGAAAGCGAGGCCTGGCGCGGCCGCCTGTCGCCGTGGTCAGTATGTAGTGACCGGCGTTGGAAACACTCGTGTAGCAAGGGCAAAAGCTGGGGATGGTTTGGGGGCGTTGCTAGATAGCGTGAGACATACGCAACCCTGTGCTTTGAATCAGATTTTTCTTTTCTTCTCTTGAACGTCGAAAAAAGATAGAGGCGCACGGTTTCTCACGAGGGCGATGGAGTCGGGGCATCGAACCCGTGTGCGGCCAAATGACTTCGAGCCGATCGACGCCCCTGTTGCGTGCGCCTGGGGCCCCCAGATTGCTGACTCGGACGGCCGCGCGATGACTAGCGCAGTGCCCGCTCACGTCGTAGGCTGCCTTCCTGCGCACGCCAACTCGTCAGTCATGTCCGAGTTCATCGACTACTCACGCAAAGCCGGCGCCGACGCGACGAACGAGAGTCCGTTCGATGACGAACCACCTCGACCATCATCGCGGGGGAGTCGGTGAGTTCAACTCCACGCTACATCATGCGCTGCTGCGAGCCAGGACGCCGCCGACGCAGAGCGCGGGGAGCGGCAATCCCCCGGCCACCGACCCGCTGGCTGCCGTTCGCCGGGGAAGGCGTCCGACGTCAGACCTGTCGCGACCTAGCGGCAGTGGTGGAGGCAATGCTGCAACGCACGGTCGTATACAAGTGCAGTGGTTCAAACCATGAGAACAAGAGTAAAATAATTGATCCGTACTTCGCATGCATACCCTCAGTCGTTCGGGCAAGAGCTCGGCGAGCCAGAGGCGCAAGGTCAACTACGGCGACATGAGCAGGGCCGATCTCGAGGCCGAAGCACGCGACGAACGCCAGCATCCCGTCGGTGACTTTATGTCTCACCAACAGGTGATATCCAAGGAAGGGGACGAAGAAGCCGTGAGTCTCGCTTGCTTCTATATTCGCTGGTCGTGGTCCGATCCGGCTCGAATTGGCCGCTGCGTCCGCGCGAACTTGGCCGTAGCTGGCTTGGACAGCTCGCCGCGCGTGACCTCTACTGGCGCGCCGGAGGCCCGCAAGCTCATGAATCGACGCTAACCCGCATTCGGTCGTGTACCAACTCTCGTCGGCGGCGACAGTATATCGGAGGGACCAGCGCTTTCGGTGTCTCAGGTGCTGGGAGAGCTGGCCAGAACGACTACAACGAAAAAGACGACGTCGCGTACGGCAACTACCCCCAGCAGCAAGAGGCTGCGAACTACTAGTCAGTCGCCGCCCCCCTCCCTGCCTGCCCGAGTTCTCTCGAGTCTGACGTAGACGTATCGCGCCTGGCGACGAACTTTTGTAATTCCTACAGCGGAGCGGTGCAGCAACCGGGGTTCTTCAGTGAAAAGAGTCAACAACAACGACAATACGTGGATCCGAAACAGCAGTAAGTCAACGGTCTAGTTCTTCCTGAGCCGGTGGAGAAGGCTTCTGCGGCGAACCAAAGCTGGATCCGCGAACTGGCTGGCCGGCGCGCGAGCCAGCAGATGGCATGCTGACTTGAACATACTTCTGGCGCCTCCCAAAGCATCGATGCACGCGTCCACCGAAATCAGCCCGAAGATCTTGGGTACGATCCCGAGGACCACCATTTCCTCAACGACCACATCGTCCCCGACTACCCGACACAGACTTTCTTCCGCAAATGCGTACGTCCGGAGTGGAACAACGACCTTGTCGAAGAAATTGGCATCGTCTGATCTCTCCCTTCGTATGACCTTTTGTAATACAGGTCTTGACTGGATTCCAGATCGGGTCTTTCATTGGCACCACCGCTGGATTCAACCTGATCGCCGTCATGGCCATCGCCAGTTACGTCTTCAAGTTCATCAACCCCTTCTACAAGTTCAAGAAGCGCACCGATGTCGACAAAGAGTGGGAGCTTCGCATCACCGGCGAACGCTTCTCGTCTCGTGCCGAATACTACGCCGGATTCTTCGGGCACGAATGCGAGGCCCTCGATGTTGAGACCGAGGATGGCTTCGTGTTGCGTGTGCATCACCTTATTCACAAAAAGTTCAAGGGCCGCGGTCATCCCGTCATCTTGCAGCACGGCATCCTGTCCAACTCGGTCACCTTCATGGTCAACGAAGAGAAGTCGCTCGCATTCTGGCTGCTTGACCAGGGCTACGACGTTTACGTGAGCAACATCCGCACCAATTTCAAGATGCCGCACCGACACTTCAAGCGCTCCGATCCCCGCTATTGGGCATGGTCGATCAAGGAGATCGGCATGTACGACCTACCCGCCATCGTCGACTTTGTTGTAGGTCGCACCGGTGTCAAGCCCGCTTACATCGGTCACAGTCAGGGTACCGGTACCATGTTTTTGGCCCTCTCGCGCGGTATCCGTCCCGACATTGGTAACAAACTCTCGTCTTTCATCGCTCTCGGGCCCTCCGTCTACGCCGGCCCTGTGCTTCGCACCTTCCCCTTCTCGGTTATGCGCAGGTTCAAGAGCAGGGGTCTGTGGAGCCTTGTGTTTGGAGGTGAGCTCGTCGACGATACCGCGTCAGCCCAGCAATCTGAGAGCCCGCATGCTGATCTGACCACCATATTTTTGCGACGCCTGCAAAGTTCGCGAGTTCATGCCCATCTTATCGATCCTGCAAAACGTGTTGCCCAGTTGGCTCTTTGGTCACGTCGCCGTTCCCGTCTTTCAGTTCCTCTTCGGATTCGGCACCCAACAATGGCTCTGGCGACAAGTGCCCAAGTTCTTCCGCACCGTCGGCCTACCCAACTCGTCCGAGCTGCTCTACTACTACATGTCCAACTTTTCGTACAACAACTGCATCTTCAACACGCACTCGACCGAGCCGTGGTTCCCGCGCTCGTTCCCACCCCTTGCCATCTTCTACGGCACCGCGGACACGCTCGTGCTCGGCAAACCTCTGGTCGAGCGTATTCGCGAGTACGAGCCCAACGTCCGCCTGGTCAAGGTCGTGGCCCTCGATGATTACGAGCACATGGACATGATCTGGGGTGTTAATGCCGTCCCCGAATGCTTCCTGGGTATCCGCGATATGATCGAGGAGACCAAGAACGGTTACACGCCTGCACGACGTCCTAAGCGATCCAACTCAAAGCGATCGCGACGATCGTCGAGTCAGAACCGAGAGACCCGCGATTACTAGGCTGTAGATGAACACCGCGCTCAGCACGCGTTCACAACTATTTACCATGTTGCAGTAACGCCATCGATGAGATCTTTAGTATTGACCTCCCGAGGTTGACTTATTCCATGGGCCCTCTTAATATTCCCCGACCTCTCTTTCGTTTCATCGGATCTTGGTTCCCTTTGACCTGACACCTCACCTCACAATCGTTGGATATCTGCCTTGGGCTTTGTCATAGCTATATTGTATTGTAATCGCCGCCTTCTAATCGGTTTGGTAATTTCGTGACCGATTTCTCAGGGAAAGGGGAGAGCTTTGCGGTCTGGCGACCGGGAGCACGACCACAGATCACCTGCGCCTATCAACGATCGTCCCCCCGGCGGTTGATGACTGGTAAGGCATCAGTGTAGCCAGATATAATCGGCAATTTCGGAGACTGGCCACCTGCATCATCACTCTGCCGCTGGAAATCTGACGGCTGGCGGCGGCCGTGAGGATTCGGCGCGAGCCTCACACGCGGATCAGGTTGCTCATCCGCCTGCTCCAATTGTTCATATCATGCTTCAGGCACCATCGAACATTTTCTCGCTTGCTCAATCACTGCTGATACATCACTGCTGATACTAGTTGTACCTTTTGGTCTAAAGCTTCAGCCTTCCAGCGACAGTTGGTGACGGCATTCGGGTCGTTAGGAGGTTCGAGCACGGTGCTGAGCGATCGCTAATCGCCGAATGGAGAGGAGCTCAGCGAGTTGCCCGTCAGCGGCGGACCGGAATCCTTTAGATTGAGTCTTCACCAATCATTGACTCTGCTATCAAGCCTCGACTGTAGTTCGTGTCTCCTCTCCCGGGGCCAAAGATGGTGAAGAACCAAGTTTAACTCTTGTGAATTACCTTTTTCAGTTTGTCACTCTACGGAGGAGCCCGAAGCCGAGTCCTCTTAGGTCACAGTTTTAAACACAAAATGACTGAGTTGACGCGCAAGATCGCGCAAGATCGCGTTACCACCTACGGACGTCGCCCATGATTACAATTATTTATTCCCCGCTTACTTCGAAGGAGGAAAGAAGCACTGCTCCGTCCAGAGCTGCAATGAACTGCTCGAACAGGCGTGATTTGCGGTCTACGACGAAATATGACATCGAAAGACCGTGAAGTTACTACTCGGCGCTGAGGAAGCTCGATCGTCAAATCGACGAGGAGGCTGCGCAGCCCCCTATCCTTAAGAGTCGGCGCAGCGAGGCGACCGACCCGGTTGGAGATCAGCACGGGGGATCACCAGATTGAATCTAGCAACGGGAATCGAGCTTCAACGTCCCTCGATCCGCAGGGTGTCCGCGCTTCGAGACGGCTCCGGCGAGCACTGCGATAGCTGGACCCCTGAGATGTTCGAGTGGGTGAAGAGCCTTAATTGCGCAATATCCAGTCGGCTCTAGGAGGATGTGCCTAATGCAAGATCAAGGGAGCGACAAATTCCTGAAGTCACATCGCAGTACCTTCCTCTCTCTGTGGTTTCTAGGTATACGTTGCCTAGTGCTGGCCGACGGAGTCAGGGACCGGCGCAACTCACAGAGCTCCATGCGAGATCGCGGGCAGATCGCGGGCAAGTTGACACACCCGCAAGTTCTCGAGGTTGGCAAAAGTTGATTCTTAGTTAGTTCTTGCCAACTTTCGGCTCAAAGACGAGGCTCTTTCAGAGGGAGGGGGCCACCCCACCGGTCAAGACCACACTTTGAACCTCAGGAGGACCTGAACGTCGTTACTATTGAACGCGAACGCTGAGCAAGTTGTCCCGCTTCCACCTCTGCCACTGGCTCGAGCTTCAGGAAAATGATTTTGCGGTGGCGAGAAAACGAAGTCGGAGGTGGGAGAGAATCTGAGAGTTCAAACATGTCCTGCAGAACGTGAAAAGGGATTATTTCAACTTGTTGTGGCCATTGCTACACCCGACAGCTCGACATTGACACGGAAGTTGCGCTCGACCATCGAATGGAACGTCGGCGCCGGGTCTGTGAAACTCTATAACATTCATCGTGCGTGCCTTATAAAAGGGTTGAGCGTCGCTCCGCTTCCCTCTCGGTCAGACCTTATCGGTCGGCCTCTGCCACTCGCCCAGCCATGGCGTCGACGTCTACCGCGACATCACATTCATGGTCGAGAATTTATGACGACGATGGTTCTCGGTTACCCCACGCTGTGACACCTCCGGACGAGTCCGAGCCGTGGTGCTCGAGCACGAGTTGGCGCATGAGCCCGTGGTCGCGAGGCCCGAAGCAGCATCGACCCTCGCACGGTGCTGAAGCTCCGAGTCAGAGTGGGCCAGCTAGCTCGCATGCATCATCTTCAGTTTTTTCGACCCCCACTGCCTACTCTGCATCTCTATCCCCAACGAGTGAATGCAGCCGTCGTTCCCCGCAAGGTCCTGCAGCGAGTGCAACGCCCGCGTCCATCTCGTCGGGACACGCCCCTCGGGTGGCTCTCTCGAACCAAGTCCAACGTGAAAGCGACGCTCGCGAAGCCGCGCCGATTGCTGATTCGACGCCGTCCAAGCCGCGCGCACCACCGCCGACGACCCCGAGTCGGCGACATTCAACCCGCTCCGCTGCCACTGGTACTTCGTACACCTCCAAACTCAGCGTGGACGATTTTTTTGCCCCAGTTACAACCACGACGACGTCGATTACTCGCGGTGGTGCATCTCCGACGGCCTCGGCTGCCTCTGCGGCATCTTCAAACTCGCGACGGAGACGGAAGCCCGACGCCCGGACCGCCGTGGCGACACCAGGCGCCGTCGACTGGGCCAAAGGTGGGCAAGGCAGGTCACAGCAAGACGAGCATGAACGAACTTCGGCCGAGTATGAGGCGCTTCAGAAACGCTACAGCCTCAACTCGACCTCGCCCATCCTGCCCAAGGTTAAGCTTGCATTTCCCTTGATCACTTCGGACGAGGAAGACGGCTGGTCTACGCGCCCGTCCATCTACGCGGCATCGTCAGCGACGTCCCCCTCTGCTGCCGCAGCAGCAAGAAGCGCTGTTTCGCCCGAGCGCAACTATACTTCAACGACCACGACCACGACCACGACTCGTCGCACCGAGCATCGCACGTGGACCTATTCGATGCCGCCGACCTTGGAAGGAAGCATGCTGGACCTCACAGAAGAAGATTCGGACGTGCCAGACCGCCGACCGCCACCCACATCCTCGATCTCGAGCTCGACTCGCAGACAGCGCGCAAGTTCCGCGACTTCGGCACCGCCGATATCACCTACGTTCGGGTCTGGCCGCAAAACCGGTGCGGCTACGGTCCACCCTCCGGCTTCGCCGACCCCGGCCCGCTTCAGGAGCCTCGTCGGGCACTCATCACCCCTAAGGGCATCGCCGAAAGCCCACCGCTCTCGGTCATCATCGACGTCATCAATGAGGCAATCTGCACATTCGCTGGACCAGAGGTCTGGCTCGAGATCTTCACCCTCGGTGCGCAAGTCGTCTTCTACGACGCGTCGATCGTCCTCTCTGTGAATCATCGCTTCAACTATGCCAGCCTCTCTGCTGGAAGCGCAGAGTTTGACCTTATCCCGGTTACCCTCACAGTCGCAACGCTTCGACATTTGCTGCGTCCACGTCCTCCTCGACTTTTGCCAAGTACGGGTCTCGAGCTCTCACGACGACCCCCCACTTCGCCGGACCCGTCTTGAGTGCGTTGACGTTCTTGCTCATCAGCACGATGGCGTGTCTGGCGATCGGCTCCGTCCTCGTCTCGTCGATTGCTCTGACGTTTTACGACGACTGCGGCGAGCGCATCGTGGTTGTCAGGAAGGGAATCGAAGGAAGTCGCCGACGGGTTCGAGGCAGCATCGAAGACGTGCGCGCTGGCGTGGGCCGAGTCGTCGGTGGTGCTCGAGGCGCCGTCGAGCTTGTTGTCTGGGCCACGAGTGCCCAAGTGCCTACCACCTCTGTGTTCGATAACTTTGAGCTCGACCTGGACTATGAGACCTTTGCCGAGATTCGGGACGCTGTTACCTTCTCTTCGTCCTCGTCAACAGCGGCATCCGAGCCTGGAACTACGCCCGAAAGAGGACCTACACTGCGCAACAGCCAATCGTCTACAGCGCCCGCTTCAAGACCTCCTCGCGAACGACAAAGCTCGTCGACCTCAAACAGCGACTCTGGTATCTGGACCGAACACGAGGAGGACAATCTGCCTTTCACCGCGCCGTTCACCACACCGCATCCTTCGCGATCTGCATCCCCGACTCGCGGCGCACGAGGTGGAAACGATCAAGCACGTCCACAGTTACCTCCCCGACCGCCTTTGAGCATCCTCGTGCCGTCGATCATATTCGCTCTCACTTACACCATCTGGACGGTGCTCTCCAATTTCTGGCGCATGCAGACTGCCGACAAGCGGAAGGCTTGATCCACATTCATCAGCCTTCCTGTTCCTGTTCCTGTTCCACAACAGATCAGACCCTCGCATTCCACTCAGTTGTTGTCCTTCACCCCCTGCTTTCCTCTCATGTTGTTTTACGGTAGAGCAGTCACGTTGTTCAGTACACCTAGACCCGGCCTTGTTCGGACTTGCACTCGCATTCGTATATTATGCAAAGTATAGATTCGATTTGTTGTCTACTCGACCGTGTATCTTCATAGTGTACAAAGCGTGGAGCTGATGCCAGCTTGGGGTGACTTCGGAAGCATACCACTTCTGTGGCGAAAGTCACGACACCACTGGTGGTTCCTCCGAGATGACGGTCAGGTCATTTCTTCTTTGATCGATCTAGCCCGGAAAGTCGCGACCGCACTTGAAGCAGTCGTCCGTTGCTCAATGCTGTAGCCAGCCTTCCCGTCGCGCCTTCTCGATCACCTCAGCCCAGGGCTGTCGCCCCTCATCGCCGCGCGCCAACTCCCGGAAGCTGTCGATGTATTCGCCTTCGAGGTTGACCGCATACAAATGCGGGTACTCTGTCGGGAGCCAAGGTGATAATATCAGTCCAATCCCAAGGACTTTACATCGAAGGATAAACAAGTTTTTGAAGGTAAAACTTACCTTGGCCATTCGACGACTTCTCCCATTTGACAACCTTGAACCCGGCCAATCTCCCAAAGTCAACTTTGAGCAATGTCACGATCTGATCTTGAGGAAAGAACCTTTCCAAGGTGCCTTGAACTTGGTTGGCCGTTGAAAGATGGATGAAGCCGTCCTGTATCGCAGAATACAACCCATGAGCGGAGCGATGACGTCGTTGACGGCGTCAGCCTATCGCTCTTGCAGATCCATTTGATGTTAGTAATCACACCACTTGCCTTGGCATCCAATTCAGAGATAGCAAACTCGTGAGAAGCTGGAATTGGGATCGGGAATGCATAGCGTTGGTTCACGGTCGGATGCGTGACGAGCTTGTAGACGTAAGTCGGTGGGGCACTGCTGCTGGCGCCGGCCGATGCCGATGAGGAAGCTTTCGAGAACAGTCCCATCAGGTTCTTGAGCATTCAGCAGGTGGAATTGGCAGGAGGTAGGTTGAAGGTTGGTGTGGCGATGAGATAGTGGTGTAGCGCGAGGGTGTGGGGCCTCGCAGAGCCACGAAGCACGTGTTGACACCGGGGGGGGCCTTCGCGCGCGCGTCAATTTCAGCCGCTCATTATCCAGCACGTGCGCGATCGTGACGAACACATGACGCCGATCCCCAGTCCCACTCAGCGGTGAAAGGTTACAGTCGATCGAGTGCGAGCATGACACCCAGATATAGGAGCACGAGTCGATTGGGGGTGGTAAGCAGCAGTAGACCGACCCGACTAAACCCCATCGATCGCCGGTCAGACGGTGGCCGCGGCGACGGCGAAAAGAATCTGCGATTTGAAGACTCTGTTCCAATGGCTTGCAGAGGTGAAAGAGTCCTGCAGGTTCGCTGATGACAGGTACCGGCTCGAGGGTGTGAGATCCAGGGACCGATCCCGGGACTCATAAAACCTGTCGTGAATTTGACGGCGCTTCAAAGTCTTGGACTTCATGCTCTCTTCACTGCTCTGTATTCCTGAGACTGGGCCGCTGGGCCATACAAGCCCTCGGGCCCTCATACAAGGCTGGGGCAGGACGGCGGGCGCGGCGGGCGCCCAGGCGCGGCCCGTCAGTTTGTCTTGGCGTTTCGGCGATGCTCGGCGGGCGGTCCCCAGGAGATCTTCTTGTACTCCTCCCCCACAAGAGTTTGCCCGGTCCGGGGTAGCACCTCGACTAGAGGTCCGGTACATGACGCTTCGTCTCCTCACCCATCCCCATCGTCCCTAACCGAGCTCTGCGTCTCGACCGTTTTCCCATCACTGCTGTGGCCCTTTTTTCAGACGGTGGTGCTTTAAGCCAAAGATCGAATATGGCAGCCACCCGAGGACTCCTCTTTCAGCTGCTGCTGCTACTCGTGACGACGACGTTCGCGCCGCCGCTCCTCCTCCGAATGACTTCGACCGGCGTGCGCGCTTCCCCTCTACCACTGGCCCGCGCCCGCGCCAACATTATGCGACCTCGTCAACTCCAACCGACGGCTTCGAGCACCCTCAGCATCATCGTCATCCCTACGCAGGACTCTTCGTCGTACACGACCTCGCTTCCCGCGGACTCGGGCACCTGGACGACCTCGACGGCTGCGGCGACCGCGTCCGCGACGACGACCCCATCGCAAGCGCGAGGGCCTTGGCGCGGTGGCTCGATGCTCGACCAGAGTGAGATTCGGCTCGCCCGGGAGAGGGCAAGGGGCGGCGGCTCAATGGTCACAACCATTATCCTCGTCTTGATCGGGTCACTCGTACTCGGTCTCTTCCTTCTGCGGTGAGTCTTCGACTCGCTTCAGCTCGCCCTCGTTAGTGGCGTCGGCCGGGGTAGAACCGCAGTTTAACCGAGCAACGACTGCGTGGCCCCTATTTCACGAACCGGCTTGGCTTCGGTTCAGCGCCCTAGTCGGCTGTCAGCCGAACGGGTCAGGGGGTCACTCGAACATCGCTTTCATGGGTTTATCCGTATCGGACCGGGCCGGTCCGCAGAAGATAAGCTGATCTTCCATGTCCGTTCATTCCATGTACCTTCTTCGTCCCTGCGAAATAGACTATGGCGCGTGCAACGCAGCTACCCACTCTCATTCCGCTCCTTTTTCATCCCTAGCTCCGGGCTCAAGATTCGCTATCTCAACATCGACATTGCACCGGCCACTCCTCGAGCCCCCACCGGACCCCCACCAAGCTATTCGCGCGGCTTCCACGCCGTCTTCCGACCGCCCCGACGAGGGCACGACACGAACGGCGTCGCGATCGAGGAAGGTGGTCAGCGTGTAGGTTCGAGGGATGAGGATGACATCTGGGAGGGCGAATCGCTCGACGAAGTGCAGGAAGAGAAGGAAGGGCTGCCGAGATACGCCGTCGATGTCGATCTACCGGGCTACTCGCACAGCCTGGCACCTGGGGTGGCGCGCGCAAACGGCCTCGAACGACAAGCATCCGTTGGCTCTTCGGGCTCTGAAGCATCGACTGTGGACAGTTCAAGCAGAACGGAAGCTATCATGACCTCTAGAGAGTATGAACAAGCCATCAGGAACGCGCCCCAGGCCCCCGAACGGGCCATCACCCGGGAGATATCACAGATTCGCAACGACTCTTGGCCTCGGGCGGCCTGGAATCACGCTTCGTGGGTTGTGCCGGCGACATCATTGCGAGTGCGTGAAGAGTGACCCTCGTCAAATCGCGCCGGTTCGAGCTCGTGATCCGTGTTAGAATGAACGTGACGTTGTAGCAAAACCGCATACTCGGCTGTGGGCAGCGTTGGCTTGAGCGAACTGCAGTCCACACCACGCCCAAAACTCGAACCTGGATCACTGGTCAACGCTGCAGGGGACTTTCGCATTTCTCTTTTCAATTGATGATCAACTCTGGTCTTCCTGTTGATGTAACAATATATACACTGTTGGATAGCACACTATACTACCATCGTGACGTCCTCGGAGCTCTCGTTCTCGACCGGTGGAGCCCCACCATCGTCTTCGGGTTCGCTGAGAAAAGATTAGAAGGCTTTACGAGCAGCTGGGATTCGAGTGGTACACGATTCCCCACTCACTGTATTTCTGGACGTGATTGAAATTTGAAATTACGTAGAATCTCGGGCAGTAGACAAGTAGGATCCCGTAGAGGAATTGCTGCGGTGGAATCGGAACCGCAATCGGCCTCGGGGGAGCTGCAAGCAGTGCGTGGCCTCTTGCCTGTTACGGGCAGCGCCAAAGCCCTCAATTGAAGCTGAGGGAGAGGATCTCGAACCGCCGGGGAGCCATGAACGCCTCTCAGGGTGTTAATGCTTCGAGGTACACTTATTGCTCTAGGTACATTAACTTTCGTATCAAAGTAAACGCCCACTCCTGGCTTGGTCATCGGCGCACGTAATGTACAGCGCATTCGAGCGATTTCCGGCACAGCCGCGCCGAAGCGCTGAGCGCTGAGCGCCGATCGGCGAGCTGGAGTCCAAATCGGGCAGAATCTGCACCGCCGATTGCTTAAATGGTTCCCATTCGTAGAAACCGCCATTGAGCTATGAAAACCAGATGACTTGTTTATCGACAACGTAGGTACTAAAATAGGCAAGTACCGCCGAGTCATCGCTCGAGGAATTGGGTTTGGCCCGGGATTGCAGAGTGCAGGGCTGCTTATTGTCCGAGGATGGCCTCGCGAATTTGGCCCGGATGGGTTTTCGTGAATCCGACTCGCCGATGGTTCCTGCAACTAGGCGAGAACTCGACACTTGCCGATGCAATCTATACTTGCTCTTCCTACTCTCGCTCCCTGTACCGTCAGATTCATCGCCAGCTCGTTGTTGTACTCGACCTCTCCTGCTTCTCTAGTCGCAGCTTCATTCGCCTTTCCGAGCACCGCCGCCCAGGAATTCGTCCCTTTGCGCGAGCCGAATCGCTCAACTATGTCTCCTCGCCAGCACGCGCTCCAATTCCTCCTGCTCGTCACCGTTGCAGCTCCACTCTTTGTGCTCCAAGTGGGGGCGCAAGTCAATCCAGTCGCGGAGAAAGCTCTCCGATTTCGCCAGCGACACAATCTGACCGACGTTGCGGCAGACTCGACGCCCACCAACGGCACGAACACCACAACAGGGGACGACATACCACTGAACATTGGTCTAAGCGGGCCGTCTCTCTCATTGTTGACTATTATACTCCCCGCCGCGGTGGGTTGCTTCATTGTTGTTCTGTTGGTCGTCAAGTGAGTTGACTCGTTTGAGATCAGGGTGGACCCGATGTAGGCCCCTGTCCCATGCCAAGAATGGGGCCAGACCTGCGTGCGAGCTCAGGTAGCATTACAGTCCGGAGCGCACATGACTGACAAAAATCGGCCTCCCCTTCGTTGTTTACTCCACCAGGGGCTACTTGTTCATGCGAAGAGACCCCGGGGCAGTGCGAGACCTCTTCTTCCCTCGCGCCGGTCTCAAGATCCGATGGCTCGGCATCAACATCGCCCCAATAGCCGAACGACCTCCAAGCGGGCCCCCGCCACGATACTCTCGAGGTTTGCTCTCTGTGTTCCGAAATCGTCGCCAAGGTCACGATACGAACGGCGCGGCGATCGAGGAAGGGGGCCGGCGCGCGGGATCGAGGGACGAGGATGATGTGTCGGACGGCGAGTCCGGCCCTGGTGCACAAGAAGAAAAGGAAGGCCTGCCAAGTTACGCCATCGACACTGAACTACCTGGATATGGCCACGTGTTGAGATCAGATGCTCGTCAAGCCGATGCTACCGTCCTCCTCGGGTCATCAGCCATCTCGGTGCAGTCGGATCAGAACGGCGCGTCGACCGTCGCTGAGGAGCGCTTCGCCGGTTCCGTCGATTACGAGCGAGCCAGCCGCAATAATCCGGTCATGACTCCCCAGCCGGTCCTCTTGAGGGAGATGGCGCAACTTCGTCGACAGACGGCGCTGCAGTCGGCCGCTTGGGAGTATGCGTCGTTGAGGTGATCGGAGCGGAATTGCGACTCGGGTGGGGGCCGCTAGCGGCGAAACCACGTTCAAGTTGTTCACTACCCACTCTTGCATGTTGCCACAGTACCGCTACAGGTTTACATCGTCGTTTCCTTCCCGATATACGAATTCCATTTCTTCTGCACGCACATATTTTTCAACTAGTCCCCAGGGTACAGAGGCACCGGGCACTTAAGCTCTTTCCCCTTGTAGCATAGTGAAATGCACAGGCCTGCATTTAAGTTCGATTAGGCTGAGAATGAGTTTAGGTTCCCTCCTAGCTACGATTTAGCGCCGAGTGCGCAGGAAAGACACGATCTTAACAAAGCGCCTGTCTTCTTTTGTTTACAGCAAGTGCCGCGAGTCCCGGAGTCCCGGACCTTCGTATCAATAGGCGCGATTGGCGACATCTGACCGAACGGGGTCTGAGCGCGGGCGCGCCTCGTTACGTATTAATGCTTCCAATCGAGCATACCATTTTCTTTCAGATGCATACATGGAATACCTGATCGGTACATATCTTGATTGGTGTTGTCCATCACTATTTACCGATCTCACTCATCAAGTAGGGTGGCAGCTGTCTGAACCAAATTTTCGAATAGGCCTCGTCAGCATCAAATTGGACCGTTGCCGCGTTGAACGATCGGCGAGCCTTAGTCCAAAGATACCCTACAAAATCTGCGCAGCGAGGACTTTCGTACCCGTGCCTGGAGACAATTCGCGCTGCGACACGCGGAGGTCTACACTACGTCGAAGCCGATCAGATCCCCGTGCAGGGAGGGTTTTATGACGTGCCTTGAAGCTATCGCGGGATCGTAGGTAGGCAAGTGTACTCGAGCACAGCTCGGCACCCACAGCGGCACCGTAGGCAGCGATCGCGGGCGCCAGCAGCAAGGCCTGCGGAATCTCCATTGTACTAAAGGTTTGGTGCGAGATCTCGGCAGCTCTGCACTCCGCCTCAGTAGGGCATTCTCCGTGGTCGGCCGAAGCGAAAATGTGGCCAGGACGAGCCGAGTCGTCATATTATTCTCGGACTGAGGAGATGGGTCGCTATGGGCATGTAGCGATCACATCCACCTTGCAGTCACTTCACCTCTTTCTTCTACCTCTTTCTCCGTGGTACCCGCTCTTTCTCCGGATTGATACGAATGGTATTGCTATCGAAGAAGATGGTCAGCGCGCTGGATCGAGGGACGAGGATGACACGCGAGGGTTGTTTGCCTTTGCGGTGCAATGCATTGTCACTTCTAGGTTGTATGGAGCGATTACGGAGGTGGTACAGAAGACAAGGCAGCAAAGAAGAGAGTGGATCGAGAGAAGGTGACGAACGATCAGCAGCGCTGATGTAAGCTACTGGGCTACGGAGTCGGCACTGAGGATGTGCGAAGTGCGAGCGGGAGGGATGTGTACATGCAGGACGGAGGGGAAACCTCCACCAAGTCGGGAAGAGAACGACTACTGATTGCTTTGTGCTCAATGTCAAGCCCTTAGCATTTGACGACTTTGCTCTCCTCCTCGTCCCTCTCCGCCGGGTCGGCCTGGAAGCTCCTCCTCCTCGGGGTCGAAGTGCGAGGCAAAGTCATCGTATCATCCCTTCGAGAAGTGCCCTCGTCGGCGCCTCGGATCGCGCCTCCATCAATGACGATCGAAGGTGCCTTGGTCGCAGCATTGGGTGCCCCTGGATTCCTGTACGAGTACTTTGCTCGTGGGGGACTTGCACTGCGTCGACCGAGACCGAATAGCGCTTGGGGCCATGAACGACCTTCCCTTGCGCGGGTAAAGACGAGACGTACGAGCGAACCGAGGTAGAGCGTCAGGAAGATGATGAGGAATAAGACCGCGAGGACGGTGTAGGTGAAGCTTAGACGAGCGCTGGAGTAGAGCTTGAGACCGAGTTGGACTTGGATGATGGCGATGAGCATGGTGAAGCAACCCAGTAGGATGTGGGCGGCTCGACTGGGCGAACGGGTCGTGGTACGCTCATCTCCCAGAGATGTGAGGGATCCTACGCCCGGAGTTCGATGGGCAATGTGGCCGAGTGTGGCCTGGGCCAATACAGCGATGAGCAGAATGATGCCAAAGGCCTGATGAGGGTAGAGCGAACACGGATGAGCCAAGGACTTGGAGGACATATACTCGGTGTGCGCTCGACTCACCTCGTGGGCCGTGAAGACGGGACTTCCATCTCCGCCTCGAGATGCGTAGAACCCGAATGAGAAAATCAAGATCGTGGCCGGGACGACGACATATCCCTATGAAGACATGATGGGTAAAGAGGCTCGGTTAGCACCCGGCCGCAGACACCGTCGGCAGCAGATGGCCGGAGTTGCCTACCTGGACTGTCGAGTGCCACAGATACCAAGAAGGATTGGCTCGACAGTAGCGACCAATCAGGACCCCCATCGGGGCCAATAACGTCCAGACCACGACGCCGAGGGCCGCATGCGCCATGATGATCTTGCTCTTCTGTTGGAACCACAAGAGCTTACGCGTCAGACAACGGATTGTTCCACCCTGATCTTCAAGAACGCTTGCTCGCACGCACCATATCCGAGCTGGCCGAACCAGACGCTGGCGCAGACGACGACAAGGAGACGTACGGCTTGGTCATGTCGAGCGTGAACGATCCAAACATGCCCATGCTATGTTTCTGTGAGAACAGGATGACCGCGAAGTAAGCCAAAAGGTCCAGACCTGGTCTATTCCGCCCCTGACCCACATCGATCTGCGACGCAGGATCATCCGAATCAGGTCGATCCGATGCGGAGGCCCAAATGAAAGGTTGCTGTGTGTTTGATCTCGACACGCTAAGGTGCTTCGCTTGAGCAGCGGGATAGATGGTCTGATCGGAAGGGAATTCGAGGGGCCGGATAAAGGTCGCCGTGCAACTCGTTCGGATTTCCAGGGCATCGTAGGACCTCGCTTGCGAATAGATGTCGGTCCAGTTCGCACTTGAGGCGAGCGGCATCATGTGGCCAACCACGCTGCGAGCCGAGAGTTGCCACGCGGTGTAGGCCTCGTTCGGCCAAAGGATGACCATCGCCGAATCAGCCATGACTGTGCCGAATCCCTACAGGTAGAGCCCCCCCCCCCCAAAAAAAACAGCAGAGGCAAACGCGTTGGTCGCTTCTTGTGTCAGCAAAGGGATGTTCCGGCCGATCGGGAGTCGCTTCTCGCACAGGAGCGCTTCGCAACTCACCAGGGAGATCCATCCGATCGCATCCCTGCCTTTAGGGACGGTGAACGCAAAGAGCGCATGAGATGAGTTGGTCAAGACATCGAGCGTGAAGCCGGGGACGGTCGTGGAGGTGCCTTGGATTGTCGAGGGGTCCGCGGGTGCCAGAAGAGAGACGAGTTGCTGGATCTGGGCGTCCCTCGCGGCGATGACGGATCCGAATAGGAGGCCCGAGACGAGGAAAGGATGAAAGACTAGGCGCATGATGAGTCAGGTAGTGTGGAATCTGTCAAGAATGAAGCAGATAATGAGGTGAGCTTGGAATCCAACGGGTTGCGAGGTCTAGTGCTCCTTGGCGACAACGACTATTCGGAGGTGCTTCGTTTGTCCGTCGCGCTCGCGCAAAGAGGGGGCCCGTTCGAGCGAGCCTGCGACTGCTGGTTGACGATCAGGTCACGTGCCGTTGACTGATACCCAGCCAAATGCCGCGATGTAGTGACCTGAGACATGACACGGGGGACTTCAACTTACGGTACAGTGGATGAACAAAGAGGCAAAGGGTGATCAATGGGGTGCGCCTTGTAGAGGTGAGCGTTGAGGGAAAGAGGAGGTAGACAGCAGCGTCTCAAACCGGCGGACGAGCACGTCCGAGAGTCGGTGATTTGGCGGGCGACGAGCGGCCACGCGGGAGGCGAAGCCGTTGGTGCACCTCCTCGGAGACGAGTTGGGCCGACGCGCTTGAAAAGGAGAAGTCGAACCAGTTGCGCGTGAACTTGCGATGCTTAGACGGAGCGCGTTGATCGACCAGCGAGCGACAATTCAAAGTGATGGGAGAGGAGAGGCATCCGACACCCCCGAGCAAGATTGAAACGTACGACCAACTGCCGGTTCGCGAGAGGAGCTACAAAGCACGGGTCTCCTCGCCGAATGCAACGTCGTTCGCGCGCCGGAGCGTTCCAGCTGAGCGGTCGTTGTCTGGCGGAGAGTTCCGACGGGCCGGCAGGGCTCCGGGCCTTCAAGTTGCAGTGTCGAAACTTGGGAGGGCCCAAGTGCAGTCCCAATATAACCCAGGCGAGACTCCTCCGATCTACGAAGTCTGCGCGGTTCGTGAAGGTTCCAGAGGGAAGGGGGATGGTGCAGAAAGGAAGCCGCGACCTTTTGGACTCGGAACGGTAGTCGCGTCGGTGTTCGGCTCGCGGCGCCGAGGCCACGCGCCTCACAATTGGCATGATGCTGCCAAGCGGAGGAGCCTGTGGTTCTCTGCGAAGCGGAGGTAAAGTGTATTCCCTACTCTGACCACGAGTTCAATAGGTACATGAACTAAAAACAGGAGAATACCTACTAGCGAGTACATCAAGTTGCAGAAACACAGAGAAGAATCGGGAAAAGCTAGGGTCACGTGACCGGTTGTCCGCAATGGCAGCATTGCTATAGAAGTCAACGGGACCGGGACCGTTTCCGACGGATCGCGAGCAGCGGAGTCGACAGCGCTGTGACGGACGAATGGGGTCATTCAGATCTGAGGTGGGCGGGAAGCCGAAGCACGTCCGAGACCAAAGATGGAGTTGAACCATGAACGACCGGCGGCATGACGCTCGACGACAAGGGCGGCGAGGCCGTAGGCGTAGACCAGCAAGAATCCTCCAACGAAGCTTTGAAGACGGCAAGCAAAAGAACGGGATCAGTCAAACTTACCCCAACTGGATGATCTCGCTAGTTTTGTGCTGGACCTACACGATGTTGAGCACGTCGAGCAGACGGGTGTGGTGGCCGTTCTCGTTCACGCCGAGACGAATCTGCACCCACGAGATGAGAGCGGTGACCACACCCGAGATGGGGTGGAGGATGCGAATCGCCGGGCGAGCGTTGACGTCGGGTCTGCGGCGGATGGGCGCCTTCTCGGCTATGTATCCGCCCAGCGCTTGACCGAGGACGAGGAAGAGGAGGATGATGCCGACGATCTAGGAGGTCCCGGAACGAAGGCAGAGCGAGATGACAGTGGCGCGTTGCGTCAGCTCGAGCCACTTGTACTCTGAAGCTCTTTGTCCCCAAGTTCTCACATGGTGTACATCGCCGGCCTTGAAGATGCTACCGTTGATACCAGCCGCAGTGAGTCCGAGGATAGCTAAAGTCGTTCGGAACGAAGATTCGTCAGCGAATTGTGGCTCGAATTGCTAGCTGCGCTTTCAAGTGGCGGCACTCACAGATCGCAATCGTGGCGGGAACAGTCCAGAACCCCTACCAAACAGTGAAAATATCAGGTTGATTAGTATCGATCCGCATCCCGAGTCGTAGCTGGCTTGATCCCTCAGTGTTGAACGCCACCTCCGAGACTCGCCCGGACTTGCTCCCTTGACCTACCTGAAGCCTACGATGGTACTTGATCCACCCAGGCGTATCACGACCGAAACGAGCGACGAGTGCCGCGGCGGGCACAGCGATCCAGAACGTGATCATTGCGAGTAGAGCATGAGCCGTGATGAGATGGTCTACGTCGTACGAGGCGATACTGGGCGGTGGTCAGCGCGACTGCGGGGCGAGGGAGGTTTGAAGTCGATCGGCTGGTGGGACGTACCATACTTGGACCATTGACCAGGCTTGGCAATCGGAGACATGCTAGCATCATTCCCACGTTTCAAGATCGGTGCCGAACGGAAGCGGCCTTGATCATGTTCATGGTGGGCAAGCGCAACTGAGGCTGCGATCGTGATGAAGGTGCTCATGAAGGCGAACATGTTCGGGTGACGGAGGGAGATCTTCGGCCTGTCGGAGGTGGGGAAGGATTGCATACTTTGTTGGTGTGGGGTGATGATGGGGTTAGGTAAGAGAGGCAAAGGATGTGATTAGTTGGGTCGAGCTTGAAGACGGGGTCCGACGCGGCCGAAGGTGGATGAACCGAGACCGAGGAGCTCGGTTCACTCCACTGCTTGAGGACCTGTGACGGTGTGGAATGTCCAAACAAACATGATCGCCTACTCACGTGTGTTCGATGCTTGCGGTAGTGTTGCACTTGGATGCGATGGGAAGGAGCGCAAGATTCGATCCTGGTGAGCTCCTTCCGCAGGTAGCGATTGCGTCGTCGTGTCAGGAGAGTGTGGGGGGGGGGGTCTCCTGTCCCGAACCGCGCGATCTCGGCCGGCCGAGACTTGAGCAGAGGAATCCATACATCGGGAGCGCTGTCATCATCAATTCCAACGAAGACCCATCGGATGTGAAGTTGGAAATTCTGCTGCAACCTCTACGTCGAACCATCTTCCCACCCTGATGATCGAGCGATCGGCGCCTTCGTTCGAAAAGATAGGTTCGTCACATTTCCTTCATCAATCCTGCACAGAAAGTAGCGTACAACACATCAAATCGCTCTCGCCTTCCACTCCTTATTTCCTTTCCTCGTCAGTCAACGCATTCCTCAACAGTCCAAACGCCGCACTCGACAACGTATCAACCCCCAACGTCCTCGCGTCTTGCGCCAAGGCCTCAATATCCATCTGCATCTGTTGTTTGACGCGATCGTCATCGGGGGAAGGGTCGTCCGTCGTTGAAGAAGTGGTTGTAGAGCCTCGTCCGAATAAGGATAGACCGGCCGAGCGCCCTTTTTTGTACCAGCGTAGGGACTCGTCGGTCTTCTTTTGGGCCGAGAGTACGGTCGCGTACCTAAGGTCCCCCCAAAAAGAGCATGTCAGTCAAAGCGGCCCAAGTGCGATCGATTCCGGCTTTCGTTCCTCACCTCTGAGCAATCTCTTCCACGACCATCGTAGCCCACCTCTTCCTCAGTTCCTCGTCAACGACCTTCGCCGGCCCCGCAACATAATTCCTCAAATCCTTCAATATATTGCCCACGAAATAACTCGGTTCCAAAGGACCTCTCTTCGTCGATGCGCGGACTTGGGAAACTGTCGATCGGACGAGTTTGAGGTGTTCGGAACAGCGCTTGACGAGTATGGTGATGATTTGCGAAGAGAGGGGGGGTACGATCGAGGTCGTTTGGGAGAGGGAATCGCGCAGGACTGAGAGGGGGGAGTCGGAGGGATCTTCTTCGGATAGGCTTGTGTTAGTGGTGGAAGGTTTTAACAATTCCTGCGGTAGTCGAGGTGCGATGCTTTGATGGTACAGTTCGAGCACTTTGCGTTCCATCAGCGTCGAGTCGGCGATCAGCACCGTCAATTGACGCAAGGTCGCTTCCTCCGTCGCTTCGTCCGAGGGCGTCCCTGGTCGAGGGCTTGGAGCGGCCGAAAACGAGGACTACGAGGCGAGAGAAGCCACCATCAGCTACATATTGGTCGAAGATTGAGAGAGGCGGTGGCCCAACTTACCCTAGGACGTTCGGTCCCCTCGAATTGACTATGACCGGCATTGGGTGTCGCCGTGCCAGTGACGGAGAGGTTCATTGCATTCGCAGGCATGACATATCGAGGCACGACGGTGTTTAACCATGTCCTGTACCGACTCAAAAGCTGTGATCAATGCATCCTAGTCAGCACCTTCGACACCCAGCGCCCACTTCACCGAACCGCCCGTACTGACCTGCAGTGTCAACTTCCAAAACCTCCCATTCAACTCTTCCAGCCACACCTCCTCAGCCCAACACATCCTCAACGCCCTCCAAATCGCCTCACTCTCACTCATCACGAACATATCCCCCCACCACTCGCGGAGCCCACATCCAGAGCCCTCTCGACGCTGGTGACGATCTCCTTGAACCTCAACTGGAAATAAACGGGGAGTTGGAAGCGACGGAGGAAATCGACGTAGGTTGGACTGGTTCTCAATGCCGAAAGATGAGGTATAGAAGAGCAGTAGCCTTCGATGCGCGAGATGAAGGCTGAGGTGAGGACGTAATTCTGATGAAAGACGCTCGGACGACCGGCGGCGAAAATGACGTTCCCCAATTCGGAAATGAGGCGGTTCCCTACTTCATCCCAAATGACGTTCGAGAGGATGTCATATTGAGATCTTCGTCCTGTTGATCGATTGTTGAGTCCGTCGTCGGTTGAAGAGGTCTTGATCATCAGTCCGCCTCCGGCGAGCGGCATCGGTGTCGGGGCCGTGATCGTCCGCTCGGCGACGTCGAGGATCAGCCCGCACTCTTTCGAGATCGTCGCCAGGATACGATTGTACAGAGTCAACAATGGGTCCGTCGAAGCAGCATCCGTCGTTTCGCTGCTCGTGCCGCCGCTCGGGGACCGTATCGGCTCGTAGACATACGCAGCCGGGAGCGCGCGTTGATCGTCCGAGGGGATCAACTGAACAGCCGGGGCCAATTGACTCGAGCCACCTCTTGAACCAGTGCCATTCTCCAGGCTCTTCGAGACTGAAGGTAGTACAGGCGATTGGACCGAGGTCAATACGTTGCGATGGATGATGCGGGTGACCCAAGGCCGAACGACAATCTTGCGGATCGTTTCCTCGGCTTCGGCGATGGCGTCGAGCGAGGCGTAGATCTTGAGCAGCGATGTCAACTCTTCACGCGTGACGCTTGGAGAGGGAGCGGTGGCGGTGGATGGAGAAGCAGCGACGAGTACAGAAGTGAGTAGGTGCGAGAGGTCGGATTTGAGCGTGGTCGTGATTCGAGTGACTCGCTGGTGGGGGTGTCGACAATGTCAGTTTTGGGGCGAGATTTGCGTTCGGAAAAACAATCCCAGTGACGCCGTCAGCTCACCGGTTCCAAAGATCTGACAAAGGCAAGATCCCCTGCCTTGTTGATGAGGTAGAGCATGTGGTTGTACTCGCCCGCGATCCTCTCGAGTCGTTTCGCCGGAGAATCGACCAGAGCAGCCCTGTGAAATCAGCCCGGAATCAGCATCATCTCTTCCACCACAAAAAAAAAAAGTAGATGATTCTAGAAACGTACCCCTCCAATCCCGTTCCCTCACTACCCCCCCTCCCTCCACCCCTCTCTCCCCACCTTGCCCAAAGACGGGCAGCCTCAACCTCATCTCAACCTTGTCGACCCACTCATCCATCTCGAGCAACCTCCTCAGCATCGCCTTGTCCTCCCTCACCTTCTTGCGCTTCTCCAAAACGCCGCCCATATCTTGCTGCATGTTTTGCAACTGATCTTTGACTTGGGCGACTTCGTTGCGGATCGAGAGGACGGGGCGACGGATGGAGGTGACGGAGGAGGCGACCGAGGCGTGGCGCAGGCCGAGGGAAAGGCCGATGAAGGCCTCGTATTCGGTGTTGATCACTTCGACCAAGGAGCTACGGAGCGTGGCTAGGTAAGTTCGGAGCTGAGCAGAGACGAACGCTCGATCAGCATCAGCCTCAGCCACCGGGTACAAGGTACAAGCAGCGGGGACGACGGCAGAGCTCACCTCGGAGCGCAGTTCATCCAACGCGGTGTGGCGTCTGCCCAACAAGAACTCGGACGTATCCCACTCCTCATCCGGTGAGCTCGTCTGAAACGACTCGTGGCTCAATGGCGCGTTCGTAGGGAGGTCGACCTGCTCGTGCTGGCCATCGTCATCGTCATCGGCGCCTTCTCCGTTGAGGCCCGTCCTCCTCGACGCCAGTTGGTGCAAGTCGACGCTCGAGATCAAGGTCGTCAAGGTAGGCTTGTGCTGGGAGAGGTGAGGTGATGTCTCGAGACGGGACGAGGTCGAGAAAGGGTCGCCCATGCTCGACACGTGAAGCTGCGTCTCCTCGGTCGCGCCGAAGCAGTACTTCGTCGTCGCGTCGAGTCTCCCTGAAGGCGATGGATGATGTGGAAGGGCGCTGAGGCGAGGTCACGCGCAATCTCGCGCAACACATCCAGCGTGGAAAATGCGTGCAATGCAGCCAAACACCAAAAGACACTTTCAAGGTAGTAATGCGATACAGACAACAAACAGAAAAAGCAAAAACATGCAAGTGAAACCCCCAAGACCGTTCCTCTACATAGCACCAACAACCTCGTCCCCCTCCTCAACCTTACTAGGGAAATACGAAAACACCGCGCCGAACGTCTGTGCCCTCGGTAAAGGTCTGTCCTCGACGAACCTCGCTTCGTTCATCCTCATGGCGTACATGGAGCGGTATTTGTGTTCAAACGCGGCCATGGAATCGATTTGCGCGAGGAGGTTGAAGCCTTGGCCCTATGTGAGAACAAGGTGGTCAGTCATGGGACCTGATGCGGAGGAAGGGGTTCGACTTGACTCACTCTAGACCGTTCCCTCTCTTCCCTTTCTCTGATCCTTCTCTCGGCCATCTCCTTGTGCTTCTCCTCCGTAGCCGGTTCGTATCTGTACACAAACAAAGGATCCCGTCAAGATGGGAAATTCCGCCAGAGCTTCCCCCTCCTACTCATTCGAGCACTCACCCACTCCCATACCGCGACCGCTTCCCCTCCTCCTCCTCACCCCCCTTCCCCCCCTTGCCAGCCGTCATCGCAGAAGCCTTCTTCCCCGATCCCGCAGCCCCTACACCAGGCGCCATCTTGGGCGCCAAGAACTGCGCCAACGGGTTCGCCACCGTATTCGGTTTCTTCTTCGCTTGAGGATGGAAGACCGAACTCTTGATCTTGTTCATCTTGGAGAGATCGATCCCACTCGAGCTCGACGAAGAAGGCAGGGGTCGACCCGAACTCCCCACGCCAGCCGCGGAGGGTGTTCCACCACCACCACCGTTCCCCGTCGTCGTCGTTGTGGGACCAGGTGTTGAGACCGTCGCTAAGGGGGTCGAAGCTTTTGAGGATGCGGAAGTGACGAGTTTCTTGGACGACGGTCCGGGAACGGAAGGTTCGGGGTGCGAACGTTTCTTGGGTGAAGGGTCGGGTTTATCCTTTTCCTTGCCCTTCGCCTCTTGCTTTTCCCTTGCCTTGTCCTGCCTAATTTGCTTCCCCATCCCCGAACCCTTGTTCGTCGTCGTCGCGTTCGAAACCGGCGTTGAACCCTTGACCTCTTTGGGCTCCTTGTTCCCTTTACCACCCAACTTGAGCTTCAACTTTGGTAGACCTTCCTCCCCCTCCACCTCCACCTCCATTTGCCCATCCTTCTCCCCATCCTCATCCACTTCACCCACCTGCTTGACCCCCACTTTAGGTCCGACCACCTCCTCGAATTCGTCCCCCGAATCATCATTGAAGATATCCTCGACGTTATCAGTTTTCGTAGGGAGGGAAATCACGCTTGCTATGGGTTCGGGGACGGATGAGTCCGCGGGTGTGGTGGGTACGGGTGCGGGTGCGGGTTCGGATGGGCCGGGTTCGATGTGATTTGATTGCGCTTCCGATTCCGGAGCAGGTAAGGCTTCGACGACCTTGGTGTTCGTTTTGGCGTTCCCTTTACCTTTGGTTTGGTAATTTCGTTTAGGCCTGCCCGACAAAGTGACGACTTGCTCCTTCCCTCCTGTTGAATCAACGTCCATAGCGTTCGAAGAAACCGACGAAACCGACGCCTCGCCTCCTACCGATCCAAGAGCGTTACCCCGCCCCACCCCTCGTTGCTCCCCGTCCTCAATTCCCGAACGGTCCAACTCCACCGGTACATCAACGAGCCTCTTGAAACTCAAACCGCCTTGCGCCGTCTTCCTGATTATAGACTGAGCGGGGAGCATCACTTTCAAATTACTCGGTGGTGGGTTCGTCGTCTTTGGTAAGGGAGGTGAAGGTTCGACTTGGACTTTGGCTTCGACGGGTGATTGGGTTTGAGGTGGGGGTGGTGTGGGTCGTTCGGGTGGGGGTGGTCGTTCGGTTGTTGGGGAGACGGGGAGGGAGGGGACGATGGGCGGTCGAACGGGGTTGAGTAAACGTTGAAGAGGTCCTGCTGGTGGGGGAGTCGGGGTAGGGATGGGACCGGGCAAAGGTTCCGGTAATCTGGTGTCCACGATCGTAGATTGTTCTGGCGTAGGTAAAGGCTCAGGTGGTGGCGGCGGTGATGTAGGTAAACGGTCCACTCCCCGCGGAGCCTCAGCCTCTGGCTCAGCGAGCGATTCGGCCATCTCCTCCACCTCGGTGATCGTTTTGGTCGCGACTTTTCGAGGCGAGGGCGAAGGCGAGGGGGTTCGAGCTGGGGTACTCTCTCGATCGGACAACGGGGACGAGTCGGGATCCAAAGCTGTGAAGGCGGTTTTGAAGCCTGGTTCTGTAACGGTGGGTGTAGGGTGTGGAGGGGAGGTCGGTGGGGGTGGAGGAACAGAGGTGGAAGTCGAGGCGAGGGGGAGGGGGAGGGACGGTTCGGCCGAAGTTGCGGTTGCCGTTGCGACTTTAGGCGATGTCGACGCCACGGGTTCGACTGGAGGAGAAAGAGGACGTTCCAATGCGGTCACAGCCTCCTCTTGGCCATGCGTATTCTTGAGTTGCTCCGCAGTGTCGACCTCCATCTCGATCGGTTCCTCCACCATCCCCGCCTTGGGGTGCTTCTCAAAGGTCATCGATCCCAAGACGACATCCCTCGTCGCGACCGATGACCTCGCCGATCTCCTTCGTGCGATCCTCGTCGAGGGGGGTGTCTCGACGATGGGAACAGGGACGGGGTCGTGAGCTGGAGCTGATAGCGAGTCGGGACGGAAGCTCGACGCCAGATCTTGATTGCGGATTGATGAGGATCGGGTAGGGGACCTAGTCGCAACTTGTTCGGGTGAGACTGGTTCCACACTCGTCAAAGTCAAAGTCGATGCCACAGGCTCAGGCTCAGGCTCGGGCTCAGGCTCAGGCTCGGGCTCAGGTTCGACGGGGTCTTGTCTCGGACTCTGCGCCGGCGAACTCAACGGCGATGACGCTGCACTCGACGCATAATCGACCAAAGCGAGCACGGTCGAAGGAGTTGGTGCAGCCGCCTCGTCCTGTTTTTTGGGAGGTCGGGTCGGCGTCGGCGTCGGCGTCGGCGTCGGCGTGGAGGGTTTTTTGGGGCTGACGAGGGAGGCGATCCTGTTCGATCGAGCGCTTCGTCGGGGTGCCACTGTGGGGGGAAAACACCGGGGGGAAACACCGTAGTCAGTCAGTTGGGGTGTCGAGTATTGTGCAGGATAGGGCACTGCACTGACTGGTCCTCGACGGGCCGAGGGGAAAAGTCCGTCGGGGGAGAGACCGAGCTGGTGACGGGGAAGAGGAAGAGCTAAAGAGAGGGACAAAGCTGGGTACGTTGACGGCTGTTGACGGAGGACTCTGACAGAACCGCGCCGAGCTCTCTCGCACACACGCCTCAACACGCCTCAACACGCCTCAACACGCCTCAACACGCCTCAACACGCCTCAACACGCCTCAACACGCTGACCTGCTTCCTCCCCGCATTTGGCACCGACCACCATGCACCCCCCTTTGGCAGAACACCAGCATCAAGGCAAGCGCCCAACCCCAACCCCAACCCCAACCCCCCCGCAACGCACTCGACTCCGCATAGTCATACTGACTCCGCACACTGACTCGGCACCGACCGACGACTCCCTCCCGCAGGCTGCGCCGACTTCATCGAAGCGATCAAGCACTGCCACGACCAACACTCGATCCTCAAATTCATCGGCTATTGCAACGACCACAAGACCGCCTTGAACCTGTGTCTCGGGAAGGAGGTCCGTCCGGGCTCATCTCACGAGATGGGGATGCCAAGACAGCGTGCAGTGCAGGGGTCCCAGCTGACCCTGCTGCTGCTCACCGCGCTCACCGCGCTCATCGTACGGTGTGCATCTGTTGCAGAGGACGGACCGAGCGATCGAGAATCGACAACAAGCCAAAGCCAAACGACAGCTCATACAAGCCCGATGGGACCAGATCGAACGAGAGTCATGACCCTCACGAACGACCCCAACGATCCGACGACCAAGATCTGCCCCTTCTTCTCTTTCGCATCTGCAAACACCTCCTGTATCCATCCACATATACCACCCTTGTCCAATCCAACAACAGCATCTCCTTCTTGTGCCCGACCGCAGCACCCGAAAATACAGTTCCTGCCTTGCGCGAGCTACTCCTCTCTACAAAGCACCCCGAGAGCCTCAGAACCCGACCCCTTCGTCTCCCCTCACGTTCCCCATCGTGATCGCATAATGCCCCAACACGAGGTTCAGCTCCTCCACCTCGTCAATCTGCTCCAACTTGTTGACCCTGCACCGCACGATCGCACCCCTCAGCTTGGTCTGCAAAACCATAACCTTGCGGGATCCCCAACTGACCGTTGTATCTCTTCCTGCGGAATGACGTCTCTCCGAATCTGCTCGATCGTCCGACTCTCGGCTTGCGCGAAACCGTTCTCTTTCAATCGGGTGTTGAGCGATTCTAATGTTGGTGTAGACGATGCAGCGGGCAGGACGAGGTTCCTTGTCTAGTTGAAAGAGACGGACACGCAGAGAGCAGATCAGATCCCTCACTCCAGTCGAGGGACACGAAAACCCTGCCCGTCTAGGAGAACGATCCTCTCGAGTGGCCCAAACTGACCGCTAGATTCCTAATCATCACCTTGCCGAACGCATCCTCAAAGTTGAACGGATCATAACTGATGCACGAACCACCCGCTTCCCTGAACGTACTCGAGAACCAACGCAGTAGATCCGTCGTCGATTCGGCGGGCAGGTACACGAGCACACATTCCGCCAGGAGGAGCGTAGGGAGAGTTGGATCGAGCAGCGGTTCAGAGCGGGTTGGGAACGGGTCGGACGAAAGAAGGTAGGGTCCCAAGCTTGTGGTGAGGTTGCGTAGATCTCCCGGTATGAGCTTGTACGCTTTGGACGAGAGCGCTAGACCACCTTTCTCTAAGAGGCGAGCGGGACGCAGTCCTTAGCCTTCCCCCACATCCAATGCAACTGCCGACTCTCGACTGACCAATCTTGAGACTGTGCCCGACTCCATCCTTGAGCTCCTTCTTGGTAGCCACGATCTTCGCCTTCGCACTGGTCGCTTCCTCGAAATCGACCTCGACCCAGTTGACCACCTCCTCCCAACCTTCCAGAGTCCGGCTCCCCTCCGCTGCCTCCGAGATCCACTTGTCCCTCATCCTCCAGTACCTCGTATCCGTTCCGGCACCCATACTCAACACCTGTCGCTTACCCCGTCTGCCCAACTTGCTCCTCGCGACTTGCTCCCCCCCACTTCCCCTCCCACTTCCACTTCCTTCCCGACCCTCCCCCTCCGTACGACCACCACCAAACAAGAACCTCTCGACCCCCCTATCGACGCCCCAAGTCCTAGCATGCGTCCCCAAATGAATCAACACGGGTCTCCTCCACCCACTAGGCCCTGCGCGTCGGATGGAGGGCGGTAGGAAATAGGTCGTGTAAGGGTCGGAGAGGTAGGAAAGGGTAGAAGCGGAGTGGCGCGAGAGGAGCGCGTCGAGGTCCGTCGATTGGACGGCCTGGTTAGGGTTCGTGGAGCTGGGTGAGAGCGAGCGAGAATCGGAAGGGGTGGGGCGCATGGTGGGGTTCTTCGGGACGGGGAGCGAAGAATGGAGGTGGGGAGAGGACGAGAGGGGAACGAGCGTGCCAAGCTGGGCCAAGTGGGGGGGGGGCCACATCGGGCAAAGTGGGGGCCGTAGGGTTCGCTCTCATATCGATCAAATCCAACGAGGCAGGGTCTGATCATTCTGCTCGAGGAGATGACCCCTTCCTCTCCAATAATATGGCTAGGTTCGTCCATTGGGTCTCGGAATGCTCCCCGCTCGAGGTCGGGGCGAAACTTCGTCTCCAAGTTTTGCGCAATAGAGTACAACAACTCCATACATCCCCCACACACCATGCCTCTTGTACTTCCACTTACCCCTCCACCGCATCCTCCCCCTTGTCCCTCCCACTCCCCAGCTCCATCTTGGCCGTCCTCGCCCCAAAATGAATCGCCCTCTTCAAACCGGCCGCATCCCCCAAACCCAACTTGCCCGCAACCAACCTCAACAACCTCTTATCCCCCTTCCCCTCTCCCAATCTCGGATCGCACTTGATCCAAATAGGGAGCTTCGTACAGAGGTCGATCACGTGTGCAGCAAGGAAAGGGTACCGAGCTTCTTTGCCATGATGGGAAATGATCCGATCGTCACGACCTAGGTTACGAATCGGTAGACGATCGAGATCCATTTGCATTTCTTGAATCAGGTGAGACCAGGATCCATCGGAGGGGTTCGACGTAGGCAAAGGTCTTCCACCTGTGGCGGTATAGAAGGCTTTTCGGTGACGGGCGTAGCCGCCGAGAAGTTCGTCCGCGCCTAGACCCGATAGGAGCACTCGGGCTGAGGAGTGGTATGGTTGGGGTGGAGTTGAGCTGGGCTTGGGATCGGAGGAGGCGAGGTGGCCTTGACCTCGGGCGGCAAAGTAGAAGGCGAGCGAGATACTCAGATCCATGATGGTGCAGTGGGGTCTGCAGAAAAAGGTGAAGGGAGTCAGCCTCGACGTGGGTTGGAATTAATGGTAGGAGCGCACCTCATCAGCTCCATCACAGCGGACCGATGCTCCATCATCTCTTGATAAGGGACGTCGACCTCTGTGAACACGCACAATCTGTCAGTTCGAGTCGCAAGCTGGTATATGCTCTGAGTGATAAGACTCGCCAACGAAGTTCCACCTCCTCTTCGGTCTCAATCTCCTCAACTCCTTCCAACTCGCTTTCCCCGTCAACCGATCCGGCACATCATAAATCGACACCTCCTTATTCCCCAAATCAACCCCCCCTTCTTCCACCTTCAATTCCTCCCCGTCTTTCCGTCGATCCTTCTTCTTCTTCTTCCCACTCCCCTCTCGTTCCTTCGTCCTAGCCATCGACTGAATCGACCTCGGGTTCTCAAAAGCGACATTGATCAAATCGATCCCCTCCTCCTCATCCGACACCCGATCGACCAAACAAGCCAAAGTCGTACAATCCAAACCACCGGAAAACAGAACGGCGATACGGGTTTGAGGGGAAGGTGAGGAAGGGTCGGGATGGGGTGGTAGATTGAGGATTCGTTGACGGATCGAGAGTTCGAGAGCGGCTTCGAGGGCGAGGATCGCGCTTTGGAGCTCAAGCGGGACGGGTTGGGTTTCGTGTGAGGGGGGGTCGAAAACTTGGTCGGGGGTTGGGACGATCGTGAGGAGACGGTCGTAAGGGTAGAACTGGGCAAGTACGTTTCAGACAGGCTCGGTCGACGTCAGATTGGAGAGCGGTCGGACAAAGAAACCTACCAAAGAGTCTTTTGGAGCTTGAGCGTCCGACCTAAACGACCGAGGGGTAGGCACAAAGGTCTGCACGCATAGGAAAGGTCAACGATCAGTTTGACCTCTCCATGGGGAATTAACATCGCCGCTCACAGGAGTACCACTTTGCAACACTTCATTCAGGTCGAAAGAGAACAAGGCATCGCACGCCACTTCCTCCCACTCGCCAAATTCCGAATTGGGTTCGACCAACGGTGCGCATGAAGCCAAGATCAAGTGGGGCATGGAAGGCGTAGGACGATGCAACAAGAGCGACCTTCGTCCAAGATGATCTCGTCCGAACCAGAGCGTGTTTCGTGCTTTATCGAAGTAGAAGAAAGCGTAGGGTCCTTCTATGCCTTGAAGGACCGCGGGGAGCGCTCGAGGTCCGGCTTGTTGAATCTCGTGAAAGAGTCTTGAGCCGTCATTGTCGTGCGGACCGACCTGTAGGGCAGACGGTGAAGAATAAGATGAGCCAATTAGCCGTCCTCGTACTGAGCGGTTCCTAGGCTCAAGCTCGGGCACTCACGGTCAGTCCATCAAAAACTTCACCGTTCCAGAGCAAGACATCTCCGGTGTCGGCTTCAACGAAGGGTTGCGGGGCAACAACGTCTCCTCTCATATGCAACACCGATGTATGGAACCTCATGTCGATGGTGGTCAAACTTTCCTTGATGGCTTCCAGCTTGACTTGATAACCTGCCGAGGCATCCGGCCCTGAGTCGCCGAGAAGTGAACAAACGCCGCATTGGTCGCATCGGGACAGTAAATTCGCGAACACAGCTCTCGTGTTCTATCGGTAAGTCTTTGACTCACCTCGTGGCTGGACAGCTTCGGTGACAGCTCTCCACCATGCTGCACTGTGGTCTTCCACCTCGGACTCGACCTCCCCTCGAGAGTCTAGCGACGGTACTGGAACCGATGTTCCGTTCCCGTCACGCACAGCATGCCCATTCTTAACTTGGTTGTCAGAATCGTGATCGCTCAAGGGTGCAGTCGGTGTAGTGCAAGATCGATGCAGGACGAGCTCAGCTTGCGAAGCCCCACTGAGCACCGATCGAGTTTCGGCGTTCTTTACTGACCTGTAGCTCAAAGCGAACGCGATTCCACACATCACTCGAGCACCAAGAACAGCCAAGAACGGTTTGCCCTTATGAATCTAAGACGACAAGATGCGATGGGGGCTAACAAGAGCCGACGTCGCACGCTTTGTGGCGCCCGGCGATGAGAGTCTGCGCTCGGACCGCTTCTTGCTGCCGCTTCCTTTTACCTAAGTCTAACCAACCTTCTCAGTCAACACTGAAATTTAATAGAATATGTGGTATCTAGTCAGGCTTAATAAAACAAAGTGAGTAGAATACGATAAAATCGGTAATCGTTCATGCGCGGCATAGCCGGAAAGCCGCCGCGCTCGATCGCGTGGGCGTGGGTCATGTCCGATCGGAGAGGTCCGTGTTCCCATGGAAACGATGGCAATCTTCCAACATAGATCAAAGGACGGAAACGCCTCCAATCGTAGCATCTCATGTTGCCATGCTCGACGGAGCAGAGCGCGATCGTCACCGTGATCGGGGTCTCCTTTCTGTTAGCTCGGCCTCTCCTGTCTCGCGTTCGTACTATCGACCCTTCATGTGCGACCAACCCACCGACCACGACGACCGTCTGACCCATCCAAAGCGTCAAACTAGGTTAGCCTGTCTCGTCTTCGGGCTACCAAATAGTCTGCACGGTTTCTTCGCGCTTCTGTCCTCGCCTGCTGATCTCATACACTTCCCGCCTGGTCGCCCGCCACGAACGCGCCTCTGCATTGGCGTTCGGACCTACGTCGCCGCCTTCGCCTGAGAGGGGTTTCTTTTTTCGGCCGCGCTCACTTGTCTCGCTCGAGGTGCGTTGCACGACTTGACGTCTCGTGGCACGTGAGGATGACCTGTCTACTGAGGATACGTCCGCTCATTGACTCGTCCCGAACAACTACCGCCGAAACAGCCCAAATCACACGGCATTCGAGCGCCATGCGCCTCCCACTCCTCAGTAGCGTCCTGCTATTCGCATCCCTCGCCCGAGCGGCCCTCAAAGTAAACGTGCCCTCCCTTGCACTCGCCAACCTCTTACAGCCCGCCGCTCCCGCAACAATTCGAGGACAGACCGTCGTCTGGGACACCTTTGCGCTCACGATCCTCGCCAACACGAGTCATGCGGTCGTGTCATTCGAGATACCGGTGGGGGTCAATTTAGGCTGGATGGCCGTGGTGAGATTGGAACGGGGTCTTGAATCACGGAGCAAGGTGACTGACTCGTGGCTCCGATCCCGTCACGCTTCGAGTTCATAGGGCTTTGGCAGCGCTATGAAAAACTCGGCCATGGTTGTGCTGTGGCCCAGTCAGGACAGGTCACGCTTCGTCCTCTCTCCTCGCGCCTCCCCGGATGGGTGGGCACTCCCCGTGGCCTATACCAGGAACTTTTCGGCTTACTTTCAACAGGTCGACGCCTTCGACCTCATCTCCACCGACGCAGGATATCGCGCTTCGTTTATTCGACCCCTGACGTTCCCACCTTCTCAGGACGTGTTCCCCGCGACCGCACTCACAGCCCTCGCCTTGGACACACCGAATCCCAACCAGCCGATCATCGTCGCTTCATCCGTTGTTCCTCCTACCGCCGACGACCCCCGCTCTCCTTTCACGGTGAGACAAAAGCTGCTCAACCCGCGGAAACTTCGACATCCCACGTGGCAGAAGCAGCTCACACAACACCTATCACCATTGGGATCCGGACCTCGCAGATGCATGACCACAAATCCATTTTGACGATGAACCTTGCGAAGCCTTACCTCAATAAAAAACAATTGTCGTCGGAGTCTCCGAACACCGGCGGAAATAATAATTCGGGTCCGAGCATCCCGGTAGATACTTCGGACGACGAGGATAAATTCCCCTCGGACACGCTGGTCAGTCCTTTTTCCAGGCATGGCAAACTAGCACGTGAGACAGAAAATCGAGTTCGCACGGTCGTCTGAACCCGGAACCATCCTGTGCACCGATACAGCGACAGATCTTGATCATGGGTAGGTCCAATTGGATCGTGATCGTGCTTGAACAACAGTTATACCCCCTGACCAGGCTCCTGCTGACCCGTTGAACTTGTGGTGTCTCTACGCATAGCCCACGCAAATTTGGCGATCGTCGTTTGGACACTTGTTGCGCCTATTGGTATTCTTGTTCCACGGTTCTGCCGCGCCCATCCGAAATGGTTTGGATACGTGAGTTGACTGGGCATCCTACGCGCCTAGGCACCTAACCGTGGCTGAACCTCTAGTCTTGCTACGAAATCCTCTTGACAGCATGCCACTTTTCAGGTGCGTACCAGGCTTGCCCTGTGATATTTCTCGGCGTTCTATCCTGACTCACGGTCCAATCGGGTGATTAGGGATGGATCGTCTTCCCTTTCACTATCGTCATCGTGGTTTTCGGCATGCTCGCAGGCCATCCACCTACTGACACGATGACTCGCACTCATCAAGTTCGTTTACTCTAACGAGAAACACCTCAGAAGCATACTCTCTGATCAACCAAACCTTCTTACTCGCAGTTAATGGGCCTCACTCTCGGCGCGCTCCTACTTTTGCAAGTCACGTTGGGCTTACTGGCGCGTCGAACCCTGCCGCCGGTCGAGACGAGTGCTGCGCATTATGGTGGCACCAAGGTCTTCACCCGCTCGCTCCCGCAAGTCATCCATATGGTCATGGGTGTTTCCATATTGTTGTTGGGCTTTGCTCAGACTCAAGTCGGCCTTGCTCTGTACGCACACGGGACTTTGGCGATGCTGTACCTCTCCGGTGAGCCCTCTGGCTTCGGCTAGCCCTTTTCCATGCTCGGTGCACTAACTGCAAAGACCTTTTCACAGTGACGCTGGGGTTCGTTTATCAATAGAATGACTCGGTGTGACAAGGTGCATAGCTGACTTGATGGCTTTCCGTTTACGGATCCCACCATAGTTGTGCCGGCATCTTCCTGCTGCTCTTCCTCTCCTCTTTGGTCCAGCTCGTCAGAACGCGACATCGAGAAGGCAGGTCCTGGTCCAAGAGTATATTCGGTCTCGGTCGTACCTCAGCCTCGAAACCCCGCCTCCGCATCAATTTGCGACCCATGAATGACTCGCGACCTTCGTTTGTCATGGAGGGAGGACCCAACGCCCCCCCGGCGACACAACAAGAGAGACGACCCACCTCGCTTCAGTCAGGTCAGAGCATCCACTTTAGCTCGCTTCACGGTCGTTCGCATTCAGCGACGGACTACGACAACGATACTAAAGCGCTTGTGCCGAGGGATAGCTGATCCTCTCCTCGGTTGGTCGGTGGCCTGGAGTAGGGACAGGTTGTGATTTGGTCGTGTTCAGTGTGTGCTTGAGCCAACAACAAGCTTTGACCATATTTAAGATATTTTAAAATGAAAATAACATAATTGATCGATGCCTGAGACACCCGTAGAATCTAATCCGTGACGCCTTTGTGGGCCAGAAAACGCAAAGTCATTGCAGAGAGGCGTTGCTCGTCGTCAGTGACGCTTGGAGCTGAGTGAGTGCCACGTTGTCAGCACCCTGGAGCACGCTGCAACATGTATGAATTTCATTTAGCAGTCTGTTTTTTAGTCTTTTTCAGTGTTCTGAATGTGGCGCAAGCTCGGGGCGGGATCCAGTCGATTCGAGAGCTCCAGCCGTGGGAGCGCAGCTAGTTCCAGCATCTTTCCTTCCGCCGCGAGGAACCAAAACTACTCTACTGGACACGACCCATTGGGAGCCAGACGCGCCATTCTTCTTCTGCCTGTTCCTGTTCCCGGGCTGATATTTTGGGCACGACCATAGACAGAAAATGGAGGAAATCGTCCCCAAGATCCGAAACAAAGGACTCGCGGTGGGAGCTCGGCATGGGTGATCAGCACCGTCGGCGAATGGGCTCGCTCTTTCAGATGACACCACGCCGAGGTGGTCCAGAAGATGAATGGGATAAATAATACTTCTGGATTAAAAGCTCTGCATGTGAGAAAAAGTGTCTATGTATATGGTATATGCGAGATACCGTCGGCGTGGGCCAGAGTCAAGTCACACCCGGCGTTTCTTCGTTTCGTCACCCCTGTCGTCACCGTGTCCTGCGGCCAACGATCGCGATCTCCCCACTCCTGCCGTCGGAGAGGCTCCCGCCAAGAGCGATGCAAGGGAGGGCAAAGTCTCCGCCGAACGCATTTGCCCCGTCGGAACGGGGTAAGCGGGACGACTCGGCGGGAGAGGAGCACCAGGAAAGCTCGTGTTTGCTGAATTGATGGCCGGTCTGTAAGTTGGTGGGTGGGTAAGGGCGGTGATGCCAGGAGGGGCAGACGAGACCGCGTCATAAGGAGAGCCGCACGACGATATAGCGGGAGTTGATCGAACATAGCTCGGGGGTATGTCGGATTCGGGACGAGGGAATGGATCAGAGCCGGTGGGTCGTCTGAGGGAGGTGGTCCGCGAGTGCCGCTCGTTCGCCGGTGGGCGATGCTGACCATAAGTGACAGGTGTGCTGGAGGACGAAGGGGCGCAAGGCGCACGAGGAGCATACGTGGAAGCAGTTTGCCAATTTGGGGCCCAAGGTGGGGGGGAAGGTGAATGGGCCAGTGCGGGCAGTACCACAGAGGGATCAACTTCGCCGCCGTAAAGGAGCGACGAGCAGCGCTCCACTGTGTAGAGAAAGCTCGCCTCGTCTCGCTCGGTCAGAGCGGGGTCTTTTGCGGGCAAGTGCAAAAGTTTTGCGATTGGATCTGGACTCACGTTGATTGCGCTGGTCGCGTGTGAGATCAAACCCCTCCAACACGCCCAGAAACAGTCGCATCGAGGTGTGCGCATTGGACCACGTCGAGGAAGCGAGGGCGTTCGAATCTGCAAGGGCGGTGGTCAAAATTTGCACACGCGCCTCAAGTGAAGCGACCTGTTTTGCAATCGGAGAGCTGTCGGCACTACCGGCCGTAACAGGCCGCGGGGAGTGCGAAGGCGTCGGGAACGGCGGCCTCGATGGCTGATTCGTGGGTGGGAGTGTCGCCCATAGAAACGAGGGGGCGGGAGAGCGATTCGAGGACACACAGGATCCACTGTTTGGTCGACGGAGGTCGGGTATGGGCCCTTGTGGCGATTCTTCGCGGCGACTTATCGCGTGCGGCTCTATGGGCGGCGGCTCGATGTTAGCTCAGTCTCACTTCAAACAGAGGCCCAAACATAACCGAATGGGCACGCACCTCCCACACTGAGTTTGCATTGGTGTAGTTGAGCTTCCTTCTTCCATTTGGCGCCGGCTTCCTGAGATTGATTGATAGAGGATTCATTCCCACAAGGAGGGCGATCCCCGTCGTCGCGTCCCGCTGGGACATGAACGTCGAACTGCTCCTTTGCATCTTGGGGGGTATGAAATACGGCTCGAGATCCACAGGTCACCACTGAGGAAGATGCAACGCTTGATCGTGTGACGGTAGGTTGAGCTCCAGACAGGGCCGAGGGCCGAACCGATTTGCGTTTGATTCGCGACAAAAGTTCCGGTTCATCGCGGCGGAAGAACGGATGCTGGAACTCCCACGCGAGGCTCACATCCATAGTCGTCGGGGTTTGCGAGATGTTTGGCAGAAGATCGTTGACTTTGCTGCCAGAGGGGGTTTGCCAATGGTCAGGATCGTCAGCGGTGGCGAAGACGTAGCAGCCGCGCTCCCACGGCTGGAGCTCTCGAATCGACAGGATCCCGCGCCGAGCTTGAGCAACGTGGTAGAACGCTGAAAAGAACAAAGAAAAGACTGCTTACTGAAAGCCATACATGTTGCACTGACGTACGAATGAAGCGAAATTAGAGTGCTTGAACTGAGGTGAATCATCGTACAGAGGGTCAGCTGGCGCAGAAACCAATCGCGGGGGCGGGAGACCTCTCAAGGCCTCCTATAGCTCGCGGGTCTCTGAGGCGAGCCGCTATTGCTTCGTCTGGGCAGTGGCCCCCTTGTGCGCCGCAACAGTACAGATCTAGGTAGTGAGATCTCTCACTTACGTATTGTGGCAGCACCACTTTGGCGAACTCGTTCGGCCGGGAGACCCCGAATGCCTTACCGTCCTTCGTCCAGTCTATGAGCGAGTCGAAGTTGCTTCGTCCGAGCGAGGCCATGCTGAGGACGAGATTGTGAACGATCGATCGAGAGGTGTCCCAGACATCACATGAGCAAGAATACGCGTCAGCAACCGTTTGTCAGCGCCAGTGCTCAGATCACCCTCTGGACGAGTCTCCATCTATCGCGGCCTGACTTGCCCGCCGGCGACTCGGGCTGGGGGATAGGGGAGGGGGCCAAGTGTTGCGGGTCTGACTCACGAGTAGAGCTTGTGTATGAAAGCAGCTTGCGTTTTCTGGGATGTGGCACTTGTCGATTTTTTTGTCGCTCGCTGCACCGCACCCTCACCGCCAAAGGTCTCTAATTCATCGACGTCCTCTTCGGCGCCTCTCACCATCCCGCTTGCCGACTCGGCTCCGTCGTCATAATCGTCGTCGAGCAGCTCGTCACCGGCGTCGCCGTCGAGTTGACCATCCGGGCTCAACGATTCGGGAAGCCGGGAAGTCGATGCAACCGGGGGTGAAGAGTCCGGTGGTAGGCTACGAGCCGGTCGATGAATCATAACTTTGCCAACTCAAGTCCTGTTGAGCCACCCTGAGCGCGAGTTTGGCGCTGCGTCGAAACCGCGATCGTGCAGGGCCAGTACGACCTGACCGACCCGGGCGGACACAGCCTCGGCCTGCTACCAACTACTGACCGTGCTGCTCGGCGCACGCGAACAGTAGGAAAGCAAGTGCGGGAGCTGACAAAGGTGCAAGGTGGGTCAGGGATGGGGGAAGGGGAAGGGAGGGAGGGAGGGAGGTAGAGTACGCAGGTACCTATGTGAGATGCCTTATTTTGTAAAAAGCCGCGATCATGCTGATCAAAAACCGGCACCGCGATTAGGCTGGCGAAAGAGGAGATCGATGCGCTAAGCACACCTACCAATCCCTGATCCCTGGACCCTCAAGCTCGAGGAGCTTGTCGCAATTTTATTTTATTTTTAGTACTCGTCGTACGCGCAGTAGCAACTTAACAAACCAACCAATTATGCAAACACTAAGTCCGATGTAGGCGTACTGCCCTGCTCCGTCGCATCTTCTCCGTGTTCACCGCGGTCCTCTCGTTTATCACCGAAAGTAGGTAAAGCGTGAGCGTCAGACGTCCTCGGTGCTGCTAGCGCGAACCACGACGACGTCAGGCACCTCGCTGCTTAAATGCTGATCAGATCCTCGTGGCCCTCGGTGCGAGTCCACTTTCGACCCTGCGAGCACCGGCTGTCCGCCTCGAATGCGGGAGAGTGGTAAGGAAATGTCGGTATCGGTGCCTGTTTACGGTCTCGCAGCGGGCTTCGAAATCGGCTTCGTGGCGCCTACTAAGCGGACATTCTATAAGCGCGGCGTCAGATGGCGCCCCGAACTTCAATTGATTCCGAGCACGTGAGCGAGAACTTTCGTCCATCGATACCCAAATCCCCGAATTTAGGGGCTAATAGCTGAACTCTAGGGGAACTCCCCTGTCGCGTGGCTCAGCCCGTTAGGAGAGACCACCCACCACCACGTGAGTTGCGTCGGCGGTTTGTGCGCGCCTCCTATTCGCCAAGTCGCCGAAACATGGCCGGTCGCGCGGCCCTTGCGTTGAGCTTGGGCTTTCGGATTACTTCGAGCAATCTAATGATGTGTCTGAATAATCGCCAGCATACTTGTTGTCAGTTCAAACTTTCAATCAGGAGGTGGTGGCCCGGAGGGTGAGACTATGCAGGGAGGCTACGAGGTGTCCTGGGTGGGCTTGGAAAGCGGTACCGGCGACCGGTGCCTGCTTGCGTTGATCAACCCGGCAAAGGATCCAAACTTTGAAACTCTCGCGAACGACGTCCCAACTCTAATCACCCCGCCAATCATCGTGCGCGCTCCTCGCGCGCGAAGGCTTTCCGCGGGCGAGTGGGCAAAACAAGCTGGGCGCTGGACGCCGGCTGACCCGGCCTGCCCAGCGCCGTCTCAGCGCTCAGCGCTCAGCGCCCAGCTCCCAGGTGCCGTGAAAATCATGCACCTGGCTGACTGGTGGAAGCGGGTATGTACCTGTTCTTGAATATCGGGAGATAGCATGAATATGCTTGTGTACCAGCTGGAAGTGCGAAGGTTTCACTTTAGATATGCCAGGTATGGCAGCGCTGATACGACCAATTATTAGGCGTCGTCTGAAGCCGGCCTTTGCATAAGCTCGACCCCCTCCTGATGAGCTTTTAGCCTTTGCAAATTGGCGGCATAAAACACAGCGTCGTAAGGTGTTGGCATGTAGACACGGGGGACACCCGGCTCAGACTTCTATTTAGCATATCTCTCTGCGTATAGAGTACCCAGCGAGGAAGGCTCAACGTAGACAGCTAACTTTACTAACTTTTAAAGTAGCGCTGATCTGGTTCAAGTCCAGCAATCTGCTGATCCCCGCTGGAGACCGAACGAGTAGGTTCGGACTTCCGATAAACTCCGAGGTGGATTATGGCCTGAGCTGGGGACGTCTACCATTCCCCGCCGTGGCCAGGGGGGTTGTAGATACCTGGGTAGTCAGGGATTCGGTAAATGGACCTACGGGAGTTGGAGATGAGGTTAATGCGTCACTCTTACTGGGTGTTGCAGAAATGTTCTCGAGTGGTAACTGATGATGACCACGACTCAGTCCAATGAACAGGGACGAGAACAGAGTAAGGTAAGATTCCAAAGAGCTGACCTGATGATGACCACGACTCAGTCCAATGAACAGGGACGAGAACAGAGTGGCCAGAGACTAAGGGACAGACTCGCGGAAGGCTAGAAAGTGAAGCGTAATGCTAATAGGGAAGAGGGATTAGAGACTAGTAAAGCAGGGAGAATGAGTGACTAGGGAGTTCATGAAGCGTCGCTAGGCTCAATCCCAAGTACCATAATAGGAGCAAGAATCAGATGAAGGACGATACAACCATATGCTTCTAACAGGTATTTCCTACGGCGATCCAAAGCAAGCTTAAGGCGATGCCGACTCCAAGCTTGCTCGAGAATTTTGGTGGGAGCGCCGACACCGTGGCGCTGCCGCATCCATCAACCCCGCAGTCTTGGACACCAACCCTCTCCAGTCCAGGAAATCACTTTCCATGTATTTTTATCTTCGGCACCTCAAGACCCTTCAAACGCATGGACTAGATAAAGCCTACAGTCACTTATCCGAGGACCGAGACCGGGGGAGCTGCCGGAAGCCGACGCGGGCTGCGCGTGCCTTAGCAGGTGACCAACGGCGGCTCGTCGCCTGCTTGATACAGCCCTCCGGCCCCTGATAAACCCTTTCATGACACACGACTCGATGTATCAAGTCTTTAGGGTCACAAGAAGCCCTTAACACATCCTGTATCAGCCGTTCCGGGGCACGAAGAAGGCCATTGAGCCCCGCTCTCACCTTCTTTCCGGCTTGAAGTCGCATAGTGGGGTGAGGTGCGGTGGGGCTCTTCGGATCTGCACCTTGCTAAGAGCCATACGGAGTCTTTGAGGTGTGTGGGGCTTGGCTTCCGCTTAATCAAAGCGAGCTTGCCTGTTGCCCCTCTCCCGCCGAGTCGTCCCGCTTGCCCCCTTCCGACGAGGCAAATGCGTTTGTCGGGGATTCTGCCCTCTCAGGCTATAGAATCGCTCTTGGCAGGAGCCTCTCCGACGGGAGGAGTGGGGAGACCGCGATCGTTGGCCGCAGGACGCGGTGACAGGGGTGACGAAACGCAGAAACGTCGGGTGTGACTTGAATCACACCGTCGGTATTTCATACTCTATACATATACTCTTGTTCGCACGTGCAGAGATTTGATTTAGACGCATTATTCTTAGCTAATCACCAGTGGAATCCCGTTAAATCTACATCTATCTACATCTACATAAAAGAATGCACGACTTAAATAAGGTTCTCAGCCGCGCGCGCGCGCCGATCTTTCCTCCCCCCCTTCCCCCGCACGGTCCGGGAGGTGCGGGCGGAGCTCGCAACGACCTTCATTTACGGGCGCCGAGCGCCCCCCGAGCCCCTACGGGAAATCCGCGCAACCGCAGTTAACCGTGGTCGACTTTGGCGCGACGATTGACCTCGCGGTCGGCTGCCCATTTGCCCGGCGTCTCTGGTCTGCTCTGTCCCCGACCCCCCACCCAGTCTTTGTGGACTTTGTATGTCCGGTCGTGTCTCGCTCGGAACGTCGACTTGTCGAACTACGAGTCCTCTTCTTTCACTCGATCTGGAAGCTCTGTCGCCGTCGCCGATTCTCGTCGGATCTTTTGGAACCGATCACCGAAACGGACTTCGAGGGGTTAGAGGAAGTGGCGCGGGTTTGTTCACGGGTGTGATTTGTTGTTCAGCACCTAATGCCGCTGTTCGGCTGCCGGGATGACACCGACACCGCTGGCGCGCCGCATCACGTGACAGACGCCAGCCCTCGTCCCACCCGTCAGGCGGAGCTCCGCTGTAGAAGCAATGTCATACAAAGCCACGCGCTTGCCGTCCATTAAATACAATATAAAGTTTTCGCACTGCTTTACCTCAATATAAAAGTGGAGGAGAATACTGGGAACGCTGTAGCTTCGTTCGACTGGCCTGAAAAATACAAAAGTCGCCACAGAGCTTGTACATAACTTCTGATCGGAACATGGACACCACAGGCAGGTGCGGCAGACAAAACAGTATGCTGGTACATCAACCATAGGCGGCGCTCTGGGTCGCAACATAGTCAAAAACAGCGATTTTAGGTACATTCCTTAACTCACCTTTATATATAGAGAGGTAGTAAGGTAGTAAAGGGGACCACTTGCCTTCTTTCGGGGGGGAACAGCACCGAGATAAACACCTCGAGCGCGCCAAGGGCTGCTGTCCCCTGTTTCGGTTCTGGCTAATCGCCTTGGTCGCCTGATGTGCGGCCATTTCGGGTCGGGATGTGATCAGTCGATCGATTCGGGTTGGGGGGCGGAGGGGGCCGGGGTTTGCTACCCATCCAAATCTGGGTTGACTGCGTTCAGAGACTGGGGAAGCTTCCAGGTGACAACTTTTCGCACAGTTCTAGTACTTTCGTCAATCGGCCAAACGATGAGATTGTGTCGACATGGTGCACGGTCGTAAAGCCCGAAGGAATGAGTTAGGGGTGGGCGGGAAAGAGATGGACGGCGCCCGCCCACCGCTCTCCCTAATCTCCCAATACCCCAATGCTAGCAAACTATGCCTTGGATGCCCAAATCCAGCACCATGTGGCCCATGTCGATGAGACAAGACCGAACGCAAGTCGATCCTGGCCCTGCTGAGTGCCAGCGCTGACCCCTGGATCGTTCTAGGCGGCGTTTCAAAGTGAAAAAAGTCGAACAAAACTTTTCTTCGAGGAGGCGTGGAGGCAGAGTCAAGTGCATCAGCGTGGAGGGAGCCCGAGGCGACGAAATGAGCGACACGGGGCGATGAACACGGCACGGGGCGATAAACAATGCAATGACGTCGCCACCGAACGCAAAGGGCCCCCACCTCTGTCACCATCCTCTGGCCAGCTGCAGGCGTGCGTGTCGTGGAAAAGTTGGCAGAAGTTTCGCCACCCGCGCCAAAATCGTTTTCAAGATGTATTAAGGCCACTTGGGGTGCCCCTGCCGCACGAAAGTGCAACACGGCCCGACTTTTGAACGGGCTGGGAAGAAGTGAGTAGTGATCGATCTCGATAAGCCTTTCAAGCTTCAGCTGACCAACCCCGCGCTCTCGGACTTAAGTTTAGGTTTGTAAGAGGGGATGATGGGCTATGAAGCGTCAGTTGGAGGCCTCATGTAGGGTGTTCTGCTGTTAAGTACGGTGAGTCAGTTCGTGCGAAGTTTCCCTCTCAGTACGGTGAGTCAGCTCGTGCAAAGTTTCCCTCTCGCACTCGGTCAGTCGCACAGGGGGGGGGGGAATTAGACTCGGACTCGACCTCGCTCGATCCTTCATCATGATGCATCGTCGTGCTAATTGCATAATTTGATGATGGCGCGTGCACGCCTGGGGGGCATTTTAAACTTGTTCTGTTTCTTTCTTTTTAGTCCCAGACCCGACAGAAGCATGACTTCTACTGGCGCACGTATTTCCTCTATTTATTTTAGTCCGTAGTTCTTCTACCGCCTCGGGGCCCCTTCGACCCCTGAGCAGCCTTTCGTACCGGTGTGTGAGTTAAGTTACTTCCCAGCTGCAGCCATACAGCTGACCCGCCCCCACACCCCGCGCGAGAATGAGCCTCAGCGGGTCAACGGAGAAGGGAGGGATAGAGTGCATCTCAAAGGAGCAGTGTAGGTTGCAGTATAGAATAGGGTAAGGGGAGCGGTTGGAAGTCGTAGGTTAGGGCAGAGGCGATAGCTCAGTTAATGTGGTCCAGCGCCCGATAAGGGTCGTCTCTTTGTAGACCAGCTGGAATTCAAATTATCATTCTCATTCTCATTCGCGCCAACGCCACCGACCACTTCGCCGCTCTTGACCGGCACTTTTACAGCTCGCCACGCCATTATGATGCAAGCTCAACTACCGCCTGCTCCCCTAGGCCATTTTCGGGATCACGTGGGTCCTCATTAGTCAAACCACTGGATGGGCCTTGACGTTGGGCGGTGCTGAATTTGATGGCGCAATCGGCGCCGAGATCGCTGTTTTCGCATCGCGCATCGCGCGGCCGCCAATATTAGCGCGTTTTGTGAATGTCTGAGTCTGCACACTTCGCGCTCGAGGTGAGACAAAGACGTTTCTATGTTTCTTTCTTGCAAGTCAATCTGCACCAAATTGCTACACGGTGAAGTGGCCGATTCTCAAAGAAATCTACCTCAGGAGAATGGTCGACGTCATCGGTACCACCGAAATTAGAGAAGCTGGTGCACGGCATGCGGTTGCTCGTCACTTTTGATACGCATCCCCGATTCGCCAGGTGTCATAGAAGGGTGTCTCCAGCAAGTTGCCATTCTCGGTCCGAAGCCGCTCGCAGGTCACGTAGGTGATGCGCTGCAGGGTGAGCCAGGGGCGATAACTGCGACAACTCACATTGGGGAAATGATGTTCGACCAAGGAGAGTAGGCTCCTTCAGAACATAACCCCTTTTGCCAGCCATGACGCATAGACCGACCTTTCGGGTTCCGCGAACCGAGAACGAGAAATGGCGAGCGCACCGACCCCCTGAGACCGGCTATTTATCTCGGCTCAAGCATACTGATGGCGTCGACGACTACAAGACGGTAAGCCAAGCTAGGTGAGCCAAATTTTTAACGCTAAATTTTTTAGGTTAGTACTTCAGATAAATAATAAAATAAAAAAGGTAGTATTGGCAGTCGCCGAAGCCGATGGGTCGACGTCGTTCGTTGGCCCGGGAAGGTGACACGACCGTCTCAACGCGCGTGGCAAGCACGCTTGCGGAGGGAGGTTGAAGATCTGCCTCTGAAAAGGAAGGAACGTAAGGTCGTAATATTCGGGCTCCCGAGCTTCCGCACCTTCCTCCAACGGTTCTACTAAAGGTGATACCACGACCGTTGTAGAGTGACAGGTTGTTGATCGTAGCTCTCGCCAATAATATGCGAGTGAGTCAGTCACAAGTTCGAACGGTCGAGCCGATCGAGTGCTCGAGCTCGTCACATGTATCGTGATTGCAAGGTTCCGAAAAACGGCATGACAAAAAGTGTCATAATTAGAGAGAGGAGAGGGGAGACTATTATGTCCGTGACGTGCGTCACCTATGTACCTACTGCAAAGCGACGGGATATTCGAACATGTCACACGACAGGAGCACGATTGCTAGCCGGAACCGGCTGCGAGCTACCGAGGATTGCTAGTCGTGGCAGAACACGCCGCGGTTCTGAATCTTCGGCGACGGCGAAATTAAAACGATTGCGAGCCGGGCAGTTGAAACGTTGTCGAGGCCTGCTGTTGGGCCAGCGAAAACTGATCGAGCCGTAGGTTTCGCACGTTCAGAGTCGTTTCTGTGGCGCGATTCGGCGCAGTCGACGGGTCGTCTTCTAATTTCTTTGTCTGAGCTTGGACGGCGCGGTTTCGCCTCCCCGTGGCCGTGTGCGGCCGGAAAGTGGTGCCTCGCTCGATCCAAGTCAGTTTGAGACCTGCCCATTAGCCACCTCGTTCCACCTCTATCGTTGAGTGGTGATCCATCTCTTCGTGAGCTTTTACAGCACATCATCACAAGGACATCGACACTTGCTCCAAGCTTCGACAACAGTGCGTGCGTCCCCGCTGTAGCCTCACTCAGCCTGTGCGATCGCCCGAGTGCTTCAGGTCGGCCCCGACACGGCTCGCGGTGCGCTCGACTCTGGATACGCTCCAGGACGGCCTCAGTTCGGTCGCTCATGATCGGTGCGATCGACCGGAGAAGGACGCGCAACATCCACCCTCTGGCTTCCATCCAAGTCCTCACGGTACCCAAGATATCGGGCCATCTCAAGGCGAAAAGACACCGCTTCCACCATCCGAGTGACCCGTCGCTGTCGCCGGCTCGGACGCTGTCGCTACGGGCGCGTGCCGCCGTTGACGCCGTTGACGTTGACGTTGACAGCTCGGCACCGTCCCGCCAAGACTCGGCCCTGGCCATGACCGACTACGACCGATCGCTCCTATCGTTGGGCCCGTCTATCTTGAGTTCGATGCAGCATGTTCCGATCAAATCTTCTGTCTCGATCCCAGACCCTCGATCGCTGCATGCTCAACCATGGGCTTACCCTAGTCGCGAATCTTCGGGTCCGCCGAATCCTCCACCGTCAACGGCCTTGTCGCCTTCGCCTTCGTCGTCGTCGACCTCGCCCCGGTTGCTCGAGATCAGCTCCTTGTCAACGTTTGCAGCCGAGTACTTCGTCTACTTGTGGTTCGCTCCGCCGTTACCAAGCCCGGGGAAGCCTGCGTCGCTCAATTTTTCAAAACAACAGAGTGCGCCGACGGATCGGTTTCTCAGGTTCTGTCACGAGCTATTAGCAACCAGTTGAGTCCGGCATGGCCGCATGCTTTCTATGGATCATTTACGGTGTCTTGGACCCCGAAAACTTGCTGACAACGAGCGTCGTCTTTACTTTCTTGCTCTTGCAGCCCAAGTCAGCCACTCCGTCGTCATCTTAGCCTTGTTGCTCGTTTCACGGCTCAAGGCCCGCAACCAGATTACGGGCTCACCAGGGTCCGAGTTTCGTGCGCTCATCATTAGTCTCATGATTGCCAACAAGGTAGTGGATGATAACAGTGAGTGCATGTCGATCACTCGCGGTAGCGAAAGCTCGGACCGCACGAGTGTGACCAAGCTGAGGGGCTCTATCTGTGTCTCCCAAACAGCCTACACCGCAAAGACCTGGGCCGACGTCTCGTCTCTAGAGCTTGTGAGTATCTCCGTCATAGAAATCTGGGTCAACCAATCGTCGTCAGGATCTCGCGTGGCGTGCGGGGCCTCTGCTTCAAGACTGACTCCCCCGATCTTGCCCCATGCAGAAACCTCTCGTTGCTGGCGAAGCAGAGTTCCTCCAGGGACTCGAGTGGTCAGTTCACGTCACAGAACGCGATTTTAACGCTTGGGTCAAGCTTCTACAAGGGCACATCTCGACGAGAAAATCCCAACACGCTGCGCACTCCAGACCGCGCCTCCAACTGGAGCAAGGCTACTACAGAACGAAGCCGACGAGGAGCCCTCTTCCGTCGCGTCAGAGCCGCATCGAGCTCCATGGACTTGGTCTGGATACAACTGTCCAGACAGAATCAGACCACGGCCCATCGAAGCGACTTCGGCTGGTCACCGACGATTCCGTCCATTCAGCTCGCAGGCTGTCTACTGGGACGGAGCATGCCGCCGCTCAAGACGGGCTCCTCCTCACACCGACCGAGACTACTGCTCGCGGTGACACCACTGGATCGCCACCGACTTTCTCATTCGGCGCCGGATCGACATGGAGCCAGGCTTCGACACAGTCGGCCCCACGATTGCGCCCTTCGTCGTCACACTCAATGGCCGCGATGACGCTCTCGCCGTTGGCGGGCCACCAGCGGGATCCGCCAGCAATCTCTCATGCCCATGCTTTATCGCCGTCTGGCCGCATTCGACATCGCCATTCGAGGTCGATCCCACCTCATATCACCAGTACTATCTCACCGACTGGACCCTCGTCGTCATCGATGCAGTCCCTGTCCTCGGATCAGACGTATCCGCTGCTGGGGGCGTCTTCACAAGGTGGGAAGCGACGCGCCGACGAAGCTTTCGGCCACTCGACAACTCAACAGTCCGAACCAGAAGCGGTCTGGCTAAAGCGTTCGATCAGCGTTGGATGCTCGCCTGCGCCACCGCGAGCCTTCTATGTGCACCCTGCCCACATGTATCCTTCGCCCGCCTACTCGTCACCCGGAGCACGGTTGCTCTTCCCGACATCGCCACAGGCACAGCCTTACGAGCCCAACAGGCTACCGTCGGCTCGACGACAGAGCCACGAGTTAGTGATGCCCGCCGAAGGCCCCTTCGGAATACTCGCGCACGCGTACTCGCCTCACCCGGACATGGGCTCGCGTCGCTTCAGACCCGAGCAACTCGACTACTACTCGTTGGCAGCCGGCCAACGACATGGACACCTGCATGAAGGAGGCCAGGCCCCACCCGAGGTTCCGTATTCACGACAGAACCGCTCTTATGCGCCCACCACACCGTCCCATCTCGGTCTTTCCCCCTCGTCGCCGCGTCACGTTTCGCCGCGGTCTTGCCTTAACTCGGCTTTAACCCAGGCCTCCCCTCCGTACGGGTCCCAGCAAAAGTCTGCGGTCGGCTTCGCTTACTCCCCCGGTGATGTTCTAGCTCCGACGATGCACCGCTCAGCGAGTCGAGACGGGCCATTTTTGCTACAACGCTGCCGTCCACAATTCGCCAACTCGGGCCCTTCCGGTATCATCTGGACCCAGAATGTCGCCTCCAACATCTCGCCCTAAAGGGTCTGCACATTGTTTCCTCGTATTCACCGTCTGATTCCTCACCTTTGCATATTCACGTTTTGAAAGTCTTACGCGACCGACTACCTTGTTGTTCCTGCCTATTTCACTCAGTCTTGTAGCCACTTTCCATCGTCGCATTGCGCCTCGCCAGCCTACTTCACTTGTTTAAATCACTTTTCGTTTCAGCTCTTCGAGAGTAATTCAGGTTGGATCTCAAGCAGTCCGTTGGCGCAAAGGAGTTGACCTGGTCAAGATACCTAGGACCACAGTAGGCATCGCTAGTTTAGCTGTGCCTGTGTAACAGGATGCTGATCGTGCGAGCCTACCGCTAGAAAACTCCGGAGGCGACGCCGAGCACCTGACGGCGAACCAAGACCAATGACTCAGTTGTGGAACCCCTTGAGGGGGCCGAGGACCCAGGCGCGCAATACTGAGTGGCCGAGCAACTGGCAGTCGTGCACTGCTCGCGCAATTTATAAATGCGTAATCCTGACCTACGCTTGCGATAAAAGCCCGCGGAAGCGCGGCACCGCGCGATAGTAGACGACGTGCAAAGTAATTTTGAGTTTGTCTGGCGGACGTGGGTTAGAACTTACGAACGAGTACGCAGGGCCACTTTTCCCAGAGATAGGTGGGTAGCTCGTGCACCTTGGTCGGTGAGCAGATTGGATGCGTGTAATTACCCCTATGATGGCGCCACTTGGACATTGTGGACAGGGCTCCGAACCCGCCGAGGGCCACGTTCAATCGTCGACGAGCTCGAATCTTCGCGAATTTCACGAGCAGGCAGGTACCTTTTAAATACCTCCTAAAGATGGCTGTCACTGAACCGCAAGGAGCCACAATGAATCACAAAGATCATCTCTAGGTAGTGTTGAAGATCCTGAGGCATGTCAAGGCACACATCTACTACGTGCATAAAGTAAGCCCAGCTTGAGCTCTCAGCAACTAAGAGGTCTCGGTTGGCTCCCGCGAAGCTTCGGGGCTGCCGAACACCCGGCCCTTGCCCTTCTACCCGCCCAAGTTCCTGGGTGCGGCCGAACGGGCACCCGTCACTGCCGTGCTTGACGGCTGTCTCAGACTCAGATCGACGTCCAAGTTGCATAGTCGGGATCCGCCATGATGGCGGCGCGCGCGCGTCAAATTCGATGTGTTCCGAGACATCTCTCCGGCGCCCTATCGCAGCAGCACAGCAGCACGGCACACAGCCCGCACGAAAAACTTCTCGTTGATTTAGCGAGTTACCCTTGATGCTAGGCGGGATTGCTAGGTCCGGCCCTCCAGGGCACAAAGTTCACAAAGTGTAAAAGTGAGGCAGGGTAATCTATTGGTACCTATCCAGGTCAGTAGAGTACCTACCTAGCAAGGTCAAGTCGCCTACACGTGGGGCTAGCTCGGTAAAATGCTGCCGACGGCCTAACGCCCTGGCGCTCCTAATGGAATTCATCGCGGCGGCCAGCGCGCGCCGTTCCCATCGTCTTACCTATCTGACGGCTGTGACGGCGGTGACGGCGCCGTTTCTCTCGTCGGGAGGATCCTGGAAGCTTTTGTCATAAGCATCCGCATACTCTATCTTCCTGTCACGCAGGAGCAGCAGGTGCCGAGTTGAGTCAGGAAAGAAGCCGCAGCTTATTCATTATCGGCAGCATTATCGGCAGCGAGCTCGGAAAACCATCGGTGACGTCCGCCCGGCCGCGCATGAAAGTGCACAATTGCGCAGCTTTCTCGGCAACGTCTCGTTTCAAAACGACCTTTGGCTGGAGCCAGCCTGGGCTCGGAACGATTTACTGCGGGTTTCCATTCCACGGTAGATTGCATCGTGTTTTTATTTGTACCCTTGCAACCACCTTGTTGAACCCGCGAACGGACCCGCGGAGTACGCGTTGAGCAATTGATCGAGGCGCCAAATTAGCCGAGGCCGACCATTGCAGGCTTCCAACCAACCGGCTTGCACGTTTACAGATGGTTGCTGGACATCCGGTAAGCCTCGGAGTAGGGAACCTCGGTTCATCACCGGATGTCCATGGAATCACCTTGTTGTTGCTCGAAAGGGACCTTTCAAGCAGACGTTCTGATGCGGTGGGGGGTGCCTGAATTCGCACGAGTTGGAGAAGCGCGTCGTCCCGAATTGGACACCTAAATCCGCGGCAACCCCGAGATTCGTCGGTGGCCTAGATCTGGTCCGGATCGCGGGGTCAACAGGTAGTCTATAGGCGTCCCATGTGGCCTAGGTATCCACCTGCTTCTTTCTAGGTACATGGGTAGCTACCTGAGTGGGTCTCGAATTGCAATAGCTAATCTTCGGAGCTGTGATCGACGGTCGTACCCGCTCGGCTTCGGCTCCGAGTTCACCGCCGCCAGGCCCTCGCTCGGCCACGTCCGCTAGAACTTGAACCTTCGTCGAGGATCCCGCCGCAGTCGAAGAAGAGGAACTGTGGGACGCAGGTCTTCAAGCAGAATACCTCGCGAGCTACCGTAGCTCGTAAGATGAGTTTGCATTACAAGTAGTTGTCTAATTCACCGGCTCAGGGTGGCGCCAACGTTTGATCGAAATAAGGCTTTTCCACGCCCGCAGACTTTGATGCCGAGACTGGTCCCCAATCACGCGCTCCAGGCCAGATCTGTATGACTATCATTAAAGGGTAGGGGGAGTAGCAGTGGTGGTGTCCGTTCCACGCGGTACGACGGTCGGGTCGATCTTGCGTGTGCCGTCCATGAACGAGCGGCAAATGTCGTCCGTGACAGCTGCTTTGCGCTATGTGATGCAACACGAACACAGTCCCACTCGGTGTCAGTCCCTAGGCTCTAAGAGTTTGGCTTAATTCTGGGACAATTCGTTCTTACGTCTTGGAATCCCTTGACAAAGTCTTGCAGTAACTTGATCGTCATCGCCTTGAGCTCACCCGTCAGCAACTTGCCCGAACGGTAATCCTGCGATGAAGAAGCGGGCATTGAATGACTGTGTAAAGGGATGGACGGGGATGGAGTGCACATAGGATCTGAACCCGTTCAGTCACTCACAGCGGAGATACGAGCTAGCTCCTCGTCATCGTCCAAGAAGAACGTCAAGTACTGGTACGAGACATCGACGTCGGGATCCCCGCCGATCCGACGATGTTCCTCCACCGAGGTCTGTCCACCCGAGAATGCGTACTTGTTGACCTTGTCCTTGATCTGCTTCGCGGTGTCGGTCATGAAGATACTGGTTGAATCGATCGAGGCCGACATCTTGCTCTGCGCACCGAGTAAAGAAGGGATGAACTTGGCGTGAATCAACGCCGGCTTCTTGTACTTGAGACGAGGGGCGGCCTCGCGCGTCAGGCGGAAGTAAGGGTCTTGGTCGATCGCACAGGGGATCAGGCAAGGGACGTCGGTTTTGGTGCCAAAGATCTGGGGGAACGAGCTTGAGAAGGATGGCGCGGCCTGAATCGAAACAAAGTGCCACTTTCCAACGTTGTCCCTGAGGACCCGCCGAGGCAAAGAATGACCTTAGTACGCCTGATCTGAAGAGAGACTCCCCGTCTCGGTCTACTTACTCGAGCTTGAACCCGAAGGTTTGTTGCGACTGCCTTGCCGTAATCAACCTCGAAATCCGGACAACGTTGCGATAGAAAGCACCTCTGCAGGCCGAGAAAGATGTGGGCATCCAGCAAAGGTCAGTATGTGCACTTCTGCTCTTCTCCCACACCGTTGCGGCACTGACCCCACGTAGTCGAGGTCGGAGAAGATGAAGGTCTTTTCGAGCTTGAAACCACACGCGATGACATCCTTGGCGTTCTGGAAGGCAAACTTTTCCACCTGCTCAAGCTTGAGGTCGGGCTTGAACAAGAACTTCTCGTCGTCTGATTGGACTCAAGAGCGTCGACTGAGCATACTGAGAAAGCTTCCCAAGGACGTCCAGACGGGACCTACCCGTCAATTGTACGACCAAAGGAACGTCAAAGACCTCCTGAAGCCATTGGGTGAAGACAAAGGGGATCATATGGCCGAGATGCAAGCTGTCTGAACTCGGGCCTCGGCCGGTGTAGAGGTAGAAAGGTAGTCCTTTTTCGTATTGATCGAGGATAAGATTAAGTTCTCTGTGGTTTCGATTCAATGCGATATGAGCTTGGAAGAGTTTGGTCGAGGGGTGCGAACGAGTAAACTTGCCGATGGGAAAAGAAGGTGCCACGTCGCAGCAGCATGTGGGGTTTCCTCCCCGTGAGCTTCTCGAATCGCTTCAGCAGTTCGTCGTCGATCTTTCGGGTCCCAAAGTCTTTGATGAGATGGTCGTAGTCGATAGCGACCTAGAAAAGGCAAGGTAAGGGGACGGTGAAGAAGTCTGCATGAGAAAAGGGCTGTCCAAATAACGGAGCGCAAAAATGTGTAGGCGTCCCGGGGCACTTTGTGAATCCGAAGAGTGCGATTGCACGCGGGGCTCCCGGTACATTCCAAAAATGTGCAAGGGTGTGCGTTTGTGCATGAAGATGGCATAATGATCGACGTGTCGTAAATCGTGAAAGAGGCAGAAGAAACGGTCGAGAATCTGAGATGAAAAGCTCTAGTCTACTTTACGCACTTGCTTGCCCTCGACGGTCGCGCCTTGGACATCCCAGGGGGTGACGACTTGAGCAGCCGGGGTCTCGGACGATGCACCGGCTACTGCTTGTGCGTCGAGGTCGGCTTGGGCGGCAGCGGCGGAGAAGGGGTTGTTCGAGTCGGAGGATTCGAGCGTCGGGGAGGAGACCTCGATAGCGACGGCTTCGGTGCGTTGACTGCGAGGATTTGTCCGCGAACAGGCGTGAGACATCTTCTGAGCCCGAGTCGACGACAACAACTCACGGTGGGATTGGCGTCTTGGCTCCATCGGCGCGAGCACTGGCACGAGCGATTCGTTCGGGGATGCCCAACTCGAGCGAGGCCATGGCTTGTGCGACTGCGTCCTGGGTAGCCTCGTCGATTCGTCGACGCGAGGCCATACTCAGAGCTAGAGTCACACGGGATGATGGCGCATGTCAGTGTGGATGTTCCGGGCCGTGAGGGACCAAGGACCGCGTGACTGGTTCGCCTTCCCGCAGCGCCTAGTCCGGGAAAACACATGACCTCGAGCTCGAAGCACCAGGTAGGCGTCATGACTGTGATGGCAGTCGCACAGATTGAAACGATGCTCATCGCTCTCCTTCCGATGATGACTGTCAAGCGTTGACTCATGCCGCCTTCTCTCCGTAGCCAGCCTCCCAAGACGCAAGCTCGCCCGACCCACACCGACTGACCTTCAGGTTCATCGAGGTCGAGCTCGTTCAACTCCTTCTCGACCGTGTTGCGACGTTGCGAGTTCTTGCTCTGGCTCTCGGCCGCGGTGATCGCCGAGGGTGGGGGCAAGTCGACCGAAGCGAGGTCCCTCGACAGATCCGAAGGCGTGCGCTTGATCGACCCCGTGCGAGCATGCAGACCCGTGTTGGAGGAGCGCGAGCTGGAACTACCTGCGTTCGTGGAGGACGACATGGTGTGGCTTTCAGCTTGTGCGAGGCGGTGGGGAGGGCGAGGCGAGCGAGCGAGCGTGTTGTGACGAGGCAGAGGTGGGTCGCCGCACCGCGTGGCAGAAGTTTAATTTTTTAATTTTTTATGTGATAGATTTCAGTAACAGCATAATTATATTATACCTAGAAACCTTCGGAAAAGTCTGAGGGAATTTACACACACTGGCAGAAGCCAGTAGTGTAGGACTCATTGACCCTGCATCAGGATCAACCATACCTACTAAAACCCCCTTGGGTGGCTTACAGAGACACAAGGCGACCCTTGGACTCCTGGATAGACGCTCGAAGCTCCTCGAATTCCCGTTTCGGTGATCGGTTCCAAAGGATCTGACGAGAATCGGCGGCGGCGACAGAGCTTCCAGATCGAGTGGAAGAAGAGGACTCGTAGTTCGACAAGTCGACGTTCCGAGCGAGACACGGCTGGACACACGAAGTCCACGAAGACGGGGTGTGGAGTCGGGGACAGAGCAGACCAGAGACGATGGGCAAAAAGGGCAGCCCACCGCGAGGTGGACCAGGCACTCGGGCGCTTCCGAGAGGCACATTGCTACGGATTCGAGTGGCTGCAGCACAGTTCATGAAGCTACTTGCTCGAATCAAGCTATGCTGCAGCATCGAACGGGTGGGCCGACCCGAACTGTTCTCCAGACAAATCGGCCTCGAGCTCGCAACACCCGAAGCGAATACGGGACAAATTTTCTCAAGATAGAGCACAGTTCATGAAGCTACTTGCTCGAATCAAGCTATGCTGCATGCTGCAGCCATTTCTTGAGAAAATTTGTCCCGTATTCGCTTCGGGTGTTGCGAGCTCGAGGCCGATTTGTCTGGAGAACAGTTCGGGTCGGCCCACCCGTTCGATGTCTGCATCTCTGAGGCTGAATGGGTGGTTGGTTGACATCATGAAGGTATATCAATGGGCTGCTCCCCTAAACGTTTTTCTGTTCGTTACTTACTACACGGAGGCATCCCTGTTGAGGGATCGATCAATCGACACGATCTTCCCAAGAATTGTGACAACTACTTGAGCCGTGTCCTGGGCCAGGACCGCGTGGCCATAGTTACCTTCGGGTAACTTGACTATTTCATGGCCGTCGGCCTTCAGGGAACAGACGGTGGTGCGTTGTTTTGCGTATAGTGCGGCAAGTCGATCGATGTCATCGATTGACAGAGCTGTTCGTTCCCCATCCGCGAGTTGTGTTGGGGCTTCTTTCATGAGTGGCGATGGGATGAGTGGCGATGGGATGAGTGGCGATGGGATGAGGTGCGATGGGTAAGGTGTGAAGAGCAGGAGGGAGAAAGATGGAGAAGCCTGCGCCTCAGTTTAAACCGGGTTCATAGAATGTCGCGGAAGGTCGCGGAAGGCCGCGGAACGACGTGGAGTGAAGCCCAGTGTCGGCAAGGCGTGACATGCTTGTGCTCGGGCAAGCACCTATAGCAGTGAGGTTTATAACCGAGCTTAGGTCATTTAGTTGCAAACTTTACATCCACAACCTAATTTGACTTCGCGTCGAATTGAATCTTTCCCATTCCACCGAAAGGAGTCTTACCTTATTTTTTCCTCTCCGGAGTGACTTGTTTCCGTCGACAACTTGACCGGACAACAACACCAATACCAACAACGCCAGCCCTGCTGGTATATCACCTCCCCCCCACCGATCCTCCCGGCCGAGTCCCCGCTACCGCCACCAAATCCTACTCCGCTGCGGTCGGCGCCCGTGTCCTTGCGAAGCCCGCCCAGCAACGCCACCACCACCACCTCGATCGCGATAGCCTCCCACGCCATGATGCACGACATCGAAAATTGTGTCATCGTCAAAGCTCCACCCTCAACCTCGATCGAGCAAGTCCTCCTCGCGCTCGACGAACACTACCCCGCCCTTGCCGGCGCAATGCCCTGCGTCATCAAGAGTCAACGCGTCTTTCCCAAAGACGCCGACCTCGACACTCTGACTGTCAACGGTCTTACTGTCGGCAAGACTCTCTGCCAAGTTGAGAAGCTTTTTGCCTCTACTAAAGGGGGTGTAATTCAATGCACCCTTACGGGCTTCTTCTCGAACGCCGAGGGCCTCCGCCTCTTCAACGAGCAGATCGCTGCCTTTGGCACGGTCCTCCTTCGTCAGATCCAGTACATTGGGAAGACGAAGCACATCTCTGGGGTGTATGACTTTGTCCTCGCTCTTAAGGATGCAAACGCCTTGCCTCCCGCTTCTATTTCCATTGAATGCGACGGAGTTACCGAGCGAATCCCTCTGAGGAACACCGGCGGCATGCGCCACTGCGTCTTCTGCCGCTCCACGGCTCATGTCCGTAAGGACTGCCCTGTCGCCCCCGCGTGCAAGACCTGCGCAAGCACCTCGCACGCCTCTCAGCATTGTCCTGGCCGCCACGCGTCGAGCCCCCAGGGTTCCCCTACGTCACGTGCCACGCAAGCCTCCGGCGTTATCACCGCCGGCTCCGCCGCCGGATCCAATTTGGTTCCCGCGATATCGGTGCCGGACCGCACGACCAAAAAAACGCCGAGTGGAGCAGGATCTGGCTACCCAGCCTGAACTTTCGTCGAACAGCGCTCGTCCCCTGCCTGAATCTTCGTCGAACACTCGTCCTGAGTACTCATTCAATTTTCCTCCCCATGCTGCCACCCAAGCTGCCCCCCAGCGCTCCTCCAACCAGGGCACTGCCTCTTCCCTCGTTGCAAAATCCTCCGAGTCCCCCAGCTCAGAGACCATCTCTCCGTCCCCAAACCTTCCTCCGGCCACGCCAAAGACGATCATGACTCGATCCAAGTCGATTGCCGCCCCCACCACCCCAGCCACCCCAGCCACCCCAGCCACCCCTCCCACTGCCCTCGAAGCCTCCGTGCCGACTCCCGAGCCCTCTTCGCCCACGCCGATGCCCTCAGCCGCGCCCAAAGCCCGACCCGATGACGCCGATGCCGACGCCGATGCCGACGACGAAGCCAAAGACCAAGAAGTAACCACTGAGGATGTGGAAGACGCCATGGATCAAGATGATGAGCACAACTAAGATCCCAAACGTGTCTTTTGTTGCTGCCAACATGCAGTCCATCAATGAAGACCGTAAGCGTGCCTCTCTTTTCTCCAATCTCCGATCCCATAACGCCGATGTCTTTCTCCTGAGCGAAACTGGCCGACCTCCCCCTGATAGGGTTGCCCAGTGGACTCAGGAGTGCCGAGACTTGAAGCTCTCCGCTCTTTTCACTCCTTTCAACAATACTGCCATACTCTGGAAGAGTGACTCGCCGGTCATTACTATTGATCCCGAGTCGCCTCCCAACTTTCTTCGTGCTTCATTCTCTTTCCCGGACCGAGTCTCCGACGCCACCTTTCGTGTGGGCGACTCAAAAGTCCGGGTTGTATCAATATACGCGCCCTCCGACAAGCCAGACAAAAAACGCTTCCTCTCACACCTCAGGCCTCAGGCCTCAGGTCTCAGCAGCGCCCTCCGACAAGTTGTGCGCGACGACCCCTGGGCCCTCCCCGCCTGCGCTCCTTGTCGGGGGCGACTGGAATTGTGTTGAGTCCCAACTCCTCGATTCGGAGAACCACAATGGTACGAATTACGGGGGTCAGGAGATGCGCGACCTTGCCACGGCAAACAATTTCTTCGACGTCTATCGGCTCCACCATCCCAAAGGACGAGACACGACGAATCGCTCAGCGCTCGGCACGTGCCGTCGCCTTGACCGCATCTATGTCTCGCCTGACTGGATCGACCTCTTCCATGACCACAAAATCTGGGCCCCTGTCCTCAAATCGACGCACTCAATGGTTGTGGCACGGTTCCAAGTGCCGGGCGCAATCGACATCGGTCCGGGCAAATTCAAGCTGGGTTTGCACGTGATCGAGGGCGACGCGACCTGCGAATACCTCACTGCCACCGTCCGCACTCTCTACAACGAGGCCCTCCTCCAGACGCCCAACGACCCACCAGCAGCCTGGACGTCCACCAAACACCGGTATTGCCCGAGCTGCAAGCTCTGGCCTGGACATTCGCTCGGTTCCGACGTGGAGGATCGGAGGAAGAGAGGGCGGATCACTCGCGCTACGGCGCGGCCCTGCGTCCCCGCCTCGACCCATCTCTACCCATCTCTGGCGGGTCCCTCTTCCATCTTCATCCGCCTGCGCAAAGTGCGAGCACCCGACCTGACCCCTTCGCTCACGGTCAACGATGTTGTCCATTCCGACCCCGACTCGATGCTTGGAGCGGCCAGCGACTACTTCAAGGGGGTCTATGAGGACTGCCCCATCGATGACGCGGCCCTGAAGGCGATCATCGACGGCCTCGCTTCGACTCGCCTCTCCCCTGCGGACTCGCACAAGCCCGAGGAAGTGTACCCATTGGAGGAGATGACAAAGGCTCAAGAGGCGTGTGAGTCGAACTCGTCGCCAGGGCGTGACGGCCTCCCGGTTGAGTTCTACCGCGCGACGTGGACGGCCACCGGCTCGATCCTTTGAGACTTCATCAACTCGATCCCCACCGAGGGCCTTCGGCCTGGGCCGTCTGCCCGCCACACCGCCCACATCCACCTCATCCACAAACGCGGCGAGAGGGATCAGCTGTCGAACAAACGTCCAACATCGCTCATCAATGCGGACGAGCGCATCATCTCCCAAGCCCACAACCAGCGCCTCGCTCCCTTGCTCGAGTCCCTGATCGGCCCAACCCAGCGTGGCTTTGTTCCGAACCGTTGGATCGGCACGAACATCGCTGAGGTCCAGTGTCTCATGGATCCCGGACTTCCGGGCTCAACGCCCGTGTCCGGCCTGCTAGCGGTGATGGACTTCGAGAAGGCTTACGATCGTCTTTCCCATACGTACCTTGATGCAGTCCTCTGCGCTGTTGGCCTCGGTCCCAAAGCCCTCCAATGGTACCGAGCGACGTACACCAACCAATCTGCCTCGATCTTCCTCAACGGTTGGCTCTCGGCCGCTTTCGACGTCCTGTCGGGTGTTCGGCAAGGCGATCCTTTGGCTCCGTCTCTCTTCGTTCTGGCGATCGAGGGTTTTGCCTATCAGATTCGATTGAGGGTCAAGGGCATCGCGAGCCCAGGCCTCTAAACGATTCGAGAACTCCTCTTTGCCGACGACGCTTGCTGCGCGCTCCATAACCTCTCGGACCTCGACCATCTCAATCGGGCGATCGAGCTGTACGAATGGGCAAGTGCCAGCAAGCTCAGCAACGCCAAATCGTTCCTCTACCCCCTTGGATCGTTTAGGGATCGGCCGATCGCCCCAGGCCTCGGGACCTGGCGTCTCAGCGACTCGTAGTTTCGCTACCTTGGTATCCAGGTCGGGGTGGAGATCGCCGAGGATGCGGGTTGGGAGGAGGTCAAGTCCTCGACCATCGCTCGTATACGCTCTATCCCGATGTACGATCTCCCTCACGCAGCCAAATGTTCAATCATGAACATCTACTGCTACACGAAGATCCTCTTCTACAGCCGATTCCTCCCGGCTCCCAGGAGCGTTGTCCAGGAAATCGAGGATGCGGCCATGCTCGCCATTCACGGTCGAGCGTCGGATGGTACTCAGCGACGTCCGAAGGTCTCCCGGTCGCGCCTCTGCACCCCTCTCGATCACGGCGGCTTCGGTTTGATTGATCTGCCTCGGCGCCTAGCGATCGATCACGCCAAGTGGGTCTTCCAGCTCCGGGCCCCGGACGGCTGTTTCATCGGCCACCTCTTCGACATCCGCATTCGCCTCCAGGCAGCGAACCAGCCTAACCCTTTCATCTTGTCCAGACCGGCCCCCAACCAGCATCGTCGTCCTTGGATCTGGATCTGGTGGGCATACTTCTGCCATCCTCCTCCAAAATGGGACCATGCGGTGAGAAAGACGAGGAAACTCCTTCCTCCTCGTTGGGTCCGCTACTTCGAAGCCTGGGCGTCGGTGACAACGCTCAATCCCCCCGAACTTGTCCAAGAGCCACAATCTCGAGCGATGGGCAACGCACGTGCTCTTTTTCCCAGCAGGCCATGAAATTCAACTCTCGGTGAATCCGACGCTGTTTCGAGGTCCCGATGGCGAGGTGATGACGCCGTCCTCGTTCGTCAACGCGTCCAAACGCCACCACGCCTTCCTCTACCCTTCCATCCTCCCCAAGCGACACCAGGAGGTCTTCACTCTGCCGGAGCAACGATGAAACGCATGGTGGAAGGCCTTACGCAAGCTTCGCAGGGTTCACTCGGACGCCGAAGATACCGTGCACCTCCTCTCTCTGGGATCCCTCCATCCAGGTCGCCAACTTGCATCCTCAACCAGCCCCCACTCCAACAATCGATCCTTCTTCCGTGTAATGTGCCTCTCGGAAGCCCCCGAGTGCCTGGTCCACCTCGCGGTGGGCTGCCCTTTTTGCCCATCGTCTCTGGTCTGGTCTGTCCCCGACTCCACACCCCGTCTTCGTGGCCTTCGTGTGTCCAGCCGTGTCTCGCTCGGATCGTCGACTTGTCGAACTACGAGTCCTCTTCTTCCACTCGAGCTGGCAGCTGCAGAAGGCCTCGTTTTGAACTCAAGCCGAGTCACAGTGACCGCTAATCTAATTTCGATTCGGTCTAATCAGCCTCCGACTTGGCTTATCGCGCGGCCGACGGTAGCATCCACACTTTGGTACATTCGATTGAACATAACATAGCTCTAAAATTAATTTGAAGACGAACACAGACGTCCAAACATGCGACCGCTACAGCTGAAGAGCATGACACCAGATTGATTCAGGAGGCGATGCACCTTCCTTTCACGGCTCCGAAGGCTACAAAAGCCGACTCGGAGCCTCTAGCTTTGCGACGACCACCTCCCTTAGACCTCGTGCACGATCGCGACCGTCTGACCGAATTGCTTGATCTCGCAGTCAATCTCAGGAACACCCGTCTCATGAACGACGCACGCAAAGTCAGTCGTCTGATAAGATGGAGTCAATTCCGAAAGAAGCAGCGCACATGTCAGCGAGCGCAGATCGGAGCAGAGCGCATCGAGAGATTCCAGGCAAAACTCACCGCATCCAGAGCGATGATCGGGTGGTGCCACACATTGGGGTGGTACGAGATGCCCTGCGCGTGGGTCGCCGTGAACGCTCTCAGGGTCTTGAGGTCAGGCTGTCCATCCGTCTCGTTCGGCAAGCACACCAACACGAGGTACCGACCGCCTCCACCTCCCATCGGCACGAAAGCCTGACTTGAGAACTCGTGGCGTTCGAGCACAGTCACGGGCCATTCTTCCTTGCCCGTCTGGGCCGACTTGACCCCATTCTGCGCGTCGCAACGGAAGACACAGAAATTGACTTGGCCCTTGACGTCCGGTCGAGAAGAGGGTTGCACCCACGTCACGGGCGACAAGTGGTTAAACTTGAACGCCGTGCCAAAGTTGACGGGCTTGATCACGACGTCCTTGCGCGCCGATCGATGGTCGGGGTACGATTGGATCACCGAACCGTACTTGGCGAACGCATCACCGGTCAAAGGAACGGCGGGGACCTGCGGGACTCGGTGAGTCGACTTGGCCGGGATGGCTGGCGGGAGACCGTTCGGTCCGGATCCGTTGGTATCATTCAAAAGTTTGGTTGCCGGCGAGGGGAGCGGGCTGAGCCCCTTGTAGGAAGGGAATCGGGATGCCCTTCGGCCAAAAAGGCGAACACGCTTGACACCGCCATCTGTAGGGACCCAGAACCTCGGCCTCGTTCAGCTGGATTCCCAGTCCAGATCAAACTGCGCTCTCGACCCACCAGGATAAATGCTGAGTCGAACATGTGTCCACGCCTTTTCGGGGTGCTCGAGCTGGAAGAAATGCTGACGGTGGGGCCCAAGTCGTGTTTGACCCAAAATCAAGGTCCAGTCGGCATCTTGTGCGGGCAGTTTCTGTGTCGATGGAGAATCATGACCTTCGTCAGTCGACGAGTTTTGAACGACGGCGTCTGCGATGATGGAGAAACCTCACCTCGTCCGAAACGATTCCGTACAGTTCAGCAGATTGAGGGAAATTGCCAACAAAGTGGTTCGTGTCGAGATCGGCCCATTCCAAGTAGCCAGGCTCGGCACTGGTAATATCGTATGCGACGATTCAGAAACAGGAATTTGCGCATCCGCTTTGTGGAACGGAGACCGGACTCACAGCTGAATAACGACCCAATCGCCTTTGCCCGTCCCGAGACGCCCGCGACTCCTCTTGGTTTCCCAGCCATCACCCATATCCTTCCCTCGTCCGGGCAAGATCAAGTTGCCACCGCGACCGAAATGTTGATCGCTCTCACCCGTGACCATACCGCCGTTGAGGACGTGGGCCAAATCGACGGCCTCCTCTGCGGGTCCCGAAGGCGCGGGTACGACGGAGCCGTACGCTCGGAAACGACCGATGCCGCCGTCCGGGTGCATGGTTAGCTTGAGGTGGGTCGTCGGGGCCGAGACCTCGTCAAAGCGGAACAGATGTCGTTGTGCTGGTCCGAGGGGCGTGGTGGGTAGCAGAGGGGTCCACTGCTCGGCAGAGGGACCCGAGATGGAGGTTAGCTTCTGGTCGGTGCGTTGGATACTTGGATACTCAAATGGTGTAACATACGAGTGGGCTGCTCTCGGTGATGGTCTCACCCTCGGGGATACAGGCGCCCCATACTCCGCTGGCCGGAGATCTGTTCAAGTCGAGCAACCACGTGGGGGGGTTTCCGACGTTATCAGCTGATCCGTGCTCCGTGAGCTCGTCCGGTCCGATTGCGGGCCGCGGAGAGACTCAACTCGTTCCCTGAAAAGTGTCCGGTATCGATATCGCATCCCTGAAGTGTCCCCAATGCACCGAGCTTGATGATGACCCAGTCGTACGTCTCACAATGCCTCCTCGATTCCCAACCTGGGTGTTCTCGCAGTATACCGAGGCCAATTAGACTCCCAGATCCTGCACAAGGCGCCCTTCTTCCGATATACAGAGGGTAACTGACCATCGAACAAGGCTCCGTTGGGACCGAATTGGCCCTTCAGACTCTCACTCGGCTGTGTGAACGATACGCAGGCGGTCGTAGATGATTTCTGTCAGTGAGTGAGCTCGGGTCGGCCGAGCTTCGGCTTTGCGGGTGGAGACGACTTACAGGCACTCGCAGCAAGCATTCTGCCGGAGCAAAGAACTCGTCCGATACGGCGACGATCGCGCCTCCCAGGGCTTCCGAGGAGAGCTCTGCAGCGCCATCACGGGAGGAAGATCAACCGAGGGTCAGCCGGTGATCAAGTACCCGCGTCGTCCGCAGGGGCACTTTATAGACAACATATCCGCCATTTACGACTTACCGATACAAGTGCCAAAGGTCTGGTCAAACTGGTCGAGTGGAACCCAAGTCATGTCGAATGCAGCAACGGTTGCGGAAGAGGGCCGAGGTGGGAAGGAGACGAACCCGGAGCCGAAACGGCGGCGGCGGCTCATCTTGACCCAGCCCCGGAGAAGGCGGAGGACAGCGGCGCACGGTGATCGCGGAGCGACCGGCTGATTCCGCCGGTGCGCCTCGGAGGCCTGAAGGGAGCCTCCTATCTACTCATCCCGTCGAAATCGCATGGCTCACGGTTGCAGCAGCGCCAATTGTGTAATCTCTTTGGTGCGGCAAAGGGGGGGGGGGGGGGGGGGCTTTTCACCACAATGTCAGGCGAATCAAAAGCGTGAATCCCATCAGGCGATCGGCACGAAATGAAAGCCAGCAATGCAGTATGATATTAAGCTGAGACGAAGCTACTGATGTTGAAAGTAAGTGAAAGCGTCTTCATTCTTCATTGAATGAGATCAACGTAGAGCCCAAAATTTAGCCCGAAAAACATCACTATGCAACGAAGCCGCCGACAACATGGCGCTTCGAGTGATAATGTCCGCCATAAGCTGCGGTGGTGAAGAAGGGCTGCCGGGAGCTTAGGAGAGGAGGGCGCTAACGCTAACGTAGGGGTCCGTGTGGACGTTCACTGGAAGCTTGCCAGGTGAGCGGACGCTGACTTGGAGACTACCAAACGCCCAGTCGCCCCAACAGGTCTTGTGACCACACGCGGTCACGCACCGTCGGGAATTCGAAGGTCCGGGGGACCACTGCAGGAGCCCAACAGCTCCCCCAAAGAAAGGAGACCCCGAATTGAAGCCGGAGCACCACCGACTGCTGCTGAGGGTCACCGACTGAGCCTTTCGAATTCGCACGGCGGCCGCGTCTCTGAACCCGCTTCGGCCGCGCAGCGGGATAGGGCTGCATCTGACGCTAGAGGATTCCAAGTTTCGACGTTGATAAGGGACGTCGCATCGCCCCCCTAATCCCTTCTCGATGTTGGACAAGATGTATCTGCAGTCGTCATTTCACCTAGTAAGGCGCCTCCATAGCACTGGATCAGCCAATGATGCAGTCGAGAAAAGATCCCTTCCGCCTTTGAATGCCCGCCACATCGCGTACAAAAGTGTCTCACCTCGACGCCTCAGTGGTTCGAGTCTTACTCGTTGCAAACTTCCAACAAGGCAGGCGGGGTGCACGAATTTAATGTCTTACACAAAACTGAATTGGTTTAATAAAAATTCGATATTGCACGAAACGCATCAAGCGCCGTATCAAACGTGACAAAGACGAATTTTAAAAGTGAAAGTAGCGGAGGACGGTTTGGACAGATCTCGCTCCTGGCAGAGACAATGCCCAAGACTTGGGAGGGTCTAAAAGAGTGGCGAAGAACACTCCAACCGGGGGTGGAAATAATGACAAGGCAAACTGGGCAGGATGGAGCAGGACTATTTGGCCTAGTAAGCAATGTCTTCGAGACGACGCCTAGCGAGGCGCAGAAATCTGGATGTGTGTGTGCGAACCGTGACCTTGGTGGTGGCCGTGATGCTTGGACTTGGGTCGGTGTGACTGCGAGGGCTTGGGGTCTTGGTGAGTCTTTGGGAGGGGAGTCGCGAGAACAGGAGTCGAGTCACTGGGGTCGGGATTAGTCGGAGAACCAGCGGTGCTGTTACCGGACTTGTCTTGCGAAGAAGGATCCGAAGTTTCCGAAGAGTCGGTGGAATCGTCTCCTGGGGCAGCCTGAGGAGCAGTCGGTATTGACCCTTCAGAACCGGAAGAGCTATGGCTGACAAAGGAGTCGACAGGGGTATTGCGAAGCTTGCCGGGAAGGCCACCGCTAATCTTGAGGGAAGCGAAGTTCCAGTGGTTGCACTTCCCGAGTGCACAGGTCCCGCCAACGCGCCATGCACTGGGGCCGACTTCGATGTTGTTGTTGATGCCCGTGAATTTGATGTCGTTGATTTGCATCTCGGTCGAAGGAATTTGGCTGAGACTTGTCTTCGTATCGACCTTCGCATGTTCCTGGTAGTCTGAAATATCATTTTAAATGGTTGATTAGGGTTGATAGACGCTCAGACAGCACCAAGGGACTATTTTGAGGATTTGTACTTGCTCTGGTTGAACAGCACCCCGAATTTCCGCGCACCGCTGCACTACATTTTCACCCACAGGCTCAATCTTTTGTGAACCTCGGAGTGGACAGATCGCGAGCACAAGTGAGAAGCCACAAGACTTACACTGTTGCCCGAGTATGTAATATTCTGAACCAGTGCTTCCTTCACATTTGCGAAAGCCTTGACTCGGAAGCATTGCTCTGAATCCTCGATTCTGGAGTTTTCTACTCGCACGTCGGTGACGTGCTGATTGCTACAGGACTGAGACGGAACACTGTTTTAGGTAGGTACAGCGGACACAAGAGCGCAAAGGGCCGACCCACCTCTGAATGGACCCGATCGAAATACCGTGACCACCGAAGCAGTTGACGTAACTGATGAGGGTGTTCTTCGCACTGTTGAGGGCGATGCAGTCCTGAAGCCGAGCCGAGAGAGGAATGGTCAGGTTGAGTACTAGAACCAGGAGTTGATACCCACTTGGGAGCGCGCTCACATCTTGATTGTGCACGGTGCAATTGTTGACGGTGAGGCCGGTCGATGAGGAGACACCAAACCCGTCGGTACTAGATGGTTTACGAAAGACGGCATCTTCAGATACAATCTTCTGCAATGGTCCTCTTCGTGGAACCTGGAAGACGCCTCAGTGGGAGAGCAACTCACTTGCGCCCTAGGGCATCCCCAGCACGGTTATCGACGAGAACGTTCCTCACCAACAAAGGCTCGGAATTCTGGATAGAGACGGCTTGGGCGGGGGTGTTTAGGATGACGAGATCTTGGACTACACCGCTCCCAAGTATGTGGAGCGTAGGGGAAGGCTTCTGTTCTGCTCAACAGGGGTGTTCCGTTCAACAACATCGAGCTTTATCAGCTCAGGCTCATGGCTGGGTGGGTCAACCAGGGCCATTGGATAAGCTACTTACTACCGCTCTGTTGTCATTCGGTACGATGGACCACCTCAGGAGTCGTCAGTGACGGGTCAATCAACGCCACCTGTGTTCCACGAGCTCACGCTTGATCCTCCCTCGTCCCTGGGATCGATCACGGTCCGTCAGCGAACCTTGCCGAGCAGGCCGAGAGCAAATCCTCTCCGCACGGCCGCAGCATGAACCCGAACTTACCAGTATGCCTTTCCATTTGCGTTGACGGTGTGACCATTACCGTTGAATTGTAAGTTGTTCCCGCCCACTGTGCAGGTTCACATACCGGACGCGTTAGCCTCATGACCAAGTCGAGTAACAATCTCGGCCTCCCTGAGTAGACAAAGAAGGGGGGTCCCTGACCCCTCTTTGTTGACACAAAAACTGAGCTCACCGAGCATAAGATTCCCTTGCCAGTATTCTACCTCGAAATAAAGGTCGCCCACTGTTGAGATTCCCCCAATGAAGACCATGAGTCAATACCCAGTGATGCGGAACAAAGCCCAAAGCCGTAGACGACCGTCAGCGGGATGCTTACGGAGATTCATGACAACATTGTCCAACGAGGACTTAAGGTTGAGTGTCTTGCCACCGGGGATTTTGAAAGAGTTGATGTTAATGGTTCGGCAGTTGAGCGCCGCGCTCACGTCGTCGAGGGACGAGATGGTCCCCGTGCAGCCGGCACTTGGGGCAGACTTGGAACCGGAGGATTTTGAGGCGAGGGCGAGAGTGGGGAGGAGCAAAAGTAAGGTGGAAGGCATGCACAACATGACTTCAGTATACCCTACGGGGACAGAAATGAGATGTGGGAAGCGGATGAGAGGGAGAGAGGGAGAACGCAACTTGGCCACTAGGTCCAGTACTGCCTCACTCAACGGCACACCGACTGGTGACCTAACTCCGCATTTTCGAGGCTCAGGGGGTTGGAGGTACATGCTCATGAGGGCCGAGAGCCAGCAGGAGAGAAGCGCCTCTGTTGGCGCTTCGGAGACAGTCGTGAGTATTACTTCTTCAGGCCTCACAATTCATGGAAACCAGACCAGAGGAGATTATGATCGTACCGTCCATCACTAGCCTGATTTATCCTTCCAGGGAAGTACCCTTGATATGAGAGCACCTACGCTTAAGCCAGCTTGACGTTATACAGTTGTTTCAAGTGCAGTGGGTACCACCTACTTAAGAAGGCGATCGAGTCAATTTCTCCCGGGCTCGTCCCATGTTTCACCAAGCCACCGTCAGGAGCCAACGGCTCGGCGCTATAGATCTGAGACATCCCAAGGAGCGCTTTCACGGTTCGGCGCTCGGCCGTAGATCCGTCGTGGACCGACGGCAAGCCACCACCTTGCACCAAACGGCCAACGTACATCTGCCATGATTCACTATGAGACAACTGATCTCCGTCGCGCCGTTAGATCACGAGCGCCCGGCAAAAGCACCCTTACAGCGCAGCGCCGTTGCCGTTCGATCTTCAAATTTTAGCGCCGATTTCGGCACGTTTAGGCGCAGGAGCCTGCAATGCGGGGGTGAAGTGTGGTGCAGAGTGCTCTCTGAGGTTCAAGAGTCCACTCGGACCGCTTCCAACCAAATTACTTCGGAACTGCCACGGTGGGACCTGCAACGTCATTCGGGGTTATCTGTTCCTACGACGTGGTGTGCTCGATCCTCTACTCGGTAAAGGACTGCGCAACACACTAATAAGCTCCAGGGACTCCCTGTACTCCTCCCATAAAGCTTTTCCGGCGATTTCAAGTTGATCTCTCGGAAATTGAGCGAGATGCATAGTCTGGTGAGTTGCCCAGCTTCGATACAGTCCATTTCAAATCCTTCCCGCCAACGCACAGTCCCCCCTCGTCAACTTCTCAATGTCGCCCTCTTCCTCTTCTTCAACCCCATCTCAATCTTCTCCCTCACCTTATCCTCATCCAAAACCCCTTCGACATCCTTCTCGAAGAAATCCGCCGTCTTGTTCGCGTCGTGCTGGCGTTGGATATATTTCAATGCCGCGAGGTTGTAGCCGATGGCGTCTTTTTGTCGGTTGAGAGCGGCACGGAGGTGGGCTCGGAGGGACATCATCGTTTGCCGGAGGGCTCGGGTCGCGACGATTTGGGAGTGGTGCGTGCGCAGGAGGAAGAAGAGGACGCGTGAGGTAAGAGTGATTTGCCATTCCTGTTTTGGAACATGAAAAACATTTACCTTATCAGTTTCTAGCTCTTTCGGCCTCACTAACCTGCGACTGACCTTATGAGCCCACACATCGAGATGCTCAATCAATTGCGTCACCCTCGTGAACGGCAACACGAGCAGCGCATCATGCAAACTTGCTGCCGGGATCTTCCTTACAACCTTGAGCACATACTCGTGCGGACCGACGCCATCGTACATCTGAAAGACCGCATTCCTGGAGGGTACGGGAACCTTGGCTTTTTGTTGCTCGGACATCCCCGCGACTTCTCCTTCGTACGCTGCGGTCTGTTGTTGATCCAAGATGGACAGCTCGAGCGCCTCAATGATCCTCTCACCAGCCATCAACGTCTCCGTCGTCGATTTCGAAACGTCCGTCGCTTCAGGTCCCACAACCTCTTCCCCATTCGGAAGCACGCGCATCTCATCCCTATCCCCTCGACCGTTGAGGTTGGAATCGTACATTTCTTCAATCTCACGTTCACGTTCTTCTTCGAGGAAGAGGGGTTCGTCCGTCTTTTCCCAGATGCGAATGGATTTGTCGTGCGATCCGGTGATGACAAAGTTGGCGCGGTGGGAGACGGCCAGGGCCCAGATCTCCCCGGCGTGACCGGATAGTTTTTGAATGCATTCAAACTGTGGAGAGCAGGAGAGCGAGAGATGTGAATGACCATTCAGAATCTCACATCGGGATTGACAGTGAACCGACCTTATCCCCATCCCAATACTTGACCATCTTGTCCTTCCCGACACTCCAAAAGTAATGCGACCCCCTCTCGAAAGCGACCTGCATGATACTCTCATCATGCCCAAATAATGACCGATGACAATCGCCGAAATCCAACCCCCAAATTTTGATATTCTTATCCGCTGAACATGTGACGATCAACTTGGAATCCGACGAGATATCCAATGCCAAGACGGGCAACTTGTGGCCGTAAAGAGATAAGAAAAATTTGAGCGTATCGGCGTAGAATACTTTGACGGTCGAATCGAGCAACGAGACGGCCAATAACCTCCCGTCGGGGCTGTACTTGATCGCGAGGATGTCGTCCGTCATTTTGAGCGTGCGCGAATGCACCATCGTCAAGACTCGAGTCACGGGTCCATCGGCGACTTCGAAGGGGATCTCGCGTACTTCAAAGTCCCAGAATTTGACGTCCTTGTCCCCACTCCCTGTAACGAGACCTCGTCCGTCGGGTCGGACGTGCAGGGACCATACGGGACCGGTGTGCGCACTGAAGGTCTCGAGCAAGGTCGAAGAAGCCAAATCGTAGAGAAGCACTTCGCCCGCTTTGGTCCCCACAACGACATGTCGATCGCCGGGCAAGAAGGTTGAACAGATGGCATAGCCGCATTCCAAGGTTCGGATACACTTGGTCGTCTTGAGGTTCCAGATCTTGAGCGAGCCTTGACTGGCCGAAGCGATGAGAGCGTCGTCGGAAGAGACGCACAAGGTTCTGACGTCCGATCGATGGCCGGGGATATCGAGCGAATGCATCTTGACGGGTTCGACGGCGGGTGCTTTCGACGAGGCCGGTTTGGGCAGGGTGTACACCTCGAGCGAGTTGTTGGAGAGAGCGGCGAGGATCTGTACTTCGCCTTTCGTCTTGGCCGTCTCGGGAGCAAAAGCGAAACTCCTCACTTTACCTCCCGCACGAATGACGGACCAAACGGCCAATCGATCCCTCCATTCGATCTCGCCCTCGGCATTCTCGACGATCCCATCGTCCTGATCATCGTCCGCCGCGTCGTCATTGATTTGCTTCTCCTTGCCTTTGCCTTTCTTACTCGACTTTTCCCTCTCCCTCCTCCGTCGTCGTGCGAGTTTCTTTCTCAGTTCCTCCTCCGTGCGGAGTCGGAAGACGTCGATCGTCTTTTCGCCCGAATGGACGGCGAGGACGGGTAGGGTTGGGTGGAGGGTGATTTGGGTGATGTTGTGGGCGTGGGAGGTGTTGGGGAGATGAAGGGCGGCCAAAGGTCGAATGGCGCGTTTGAGTTTGGATGCTGTTGTCCGCGGGGCTTGTGACGATGTCGTGGTGGTATCGAGTTCGGCAGTGATGCCTCGTTCCAGCACGGGCGCATCGACTTTCCAGCATTTGACTTGGCCCTCTCCACCTCCTGAAACGAGGACGGCCGAGTGGGAGTCGTACGCGATGGACCACACTTCCCCTTGATGGCCTACGACGGTTTCGATGCAGTGCTGGGTCGAAAGATCGAAGAGCTTGATGAACGTGTCCTTGGACGAGGTCAAGAGGTGGGTCGAGGGGGGTGGTCGGGCCGAGGAAGGATCTTCGGCGCTTGGTTGCGCAGCTTCTTCTTGGTCCGAGGAAGTGGATCGAGGTGGTGCAGCGACAAAGATCAAACCGGTGATCTGGTCCCTGTGCCCTCGTAGCCTGAACAGACCGACTTCGGCGACGACATCCCAAAGAATGACATCGGTATCCTTGCTCCCACTCGCCAACCTCGCGCCATCGCGATCCCACGCCAACGCACTGACGGCACTCTTGTGACCGTTCAGAGTGACGATGACCGAAGCGGTCGAGACGGACCATATCCGAATTGAACCATCGGCGTATCCGACGGCGAATTGATCCCAGTCGACGGGCGAACGCGCGATCGAAGTGACGAGTGCTTTCAGGCCCGTTTCATGCCACATGGCGTGCTGTGCGCAGAACACGGGGGGGGGATCAGGTCTCGTTTCAAGTGAAATAGGTGAGAGACTCTATCTCACCTGCTCGCCCTTTTTGAGGTCCCATACGAGCACATCCTCGAGCGCGGGTACGTAGGCTCGTTTGCCGTCGTAGACGCTGTTGGACGACGACGACGCGATCACCCCGAACGACTCGGTCGGACCATGTCGCAAGTAGGAGCGAACCATGACCCCCCCTTTTGAGCTGGGTAGTTGGAGGCGGTTCGATGGGCCGGACGAATGTGCGAGCGAGCGAGTGAGTGGAGCTGTGCCGACCCCGAGTGCGAAGGCGCGGTCGTCGCGGACTTCGCCAGGACTTCGCAGGGGTGAATTTGCGCTCGGACCGCTTCCATCGGCGCTGCGGGGTGGTCCGTGCGCGCGAGAAGGCGTGTTTGCGGGCCGTCGGCCGAAACGGTCTGGCTTCGGTTTGGCTCGACCCCCTCTATAACGCGCTCTAACCCCCTGTGCCTTGTGGCGCGCCCCCGGTACGACCGAGCCTCACGGTGACTGTACTCGCCTGTTCAAACGGATTCAAGCCGCAGTGGATGCTCGTGTTCAAGACAAGGACCACCTCGTTCCTTCGCCATGTCTGCTGTGTCGGTGCCACGGTCTAGCACCGATCCCGATCCCGATCCCGATCACGATCACGACCACGACGGCCTCGACCGCCCCACCTTGAGCTCTACGACCCCACCAGCATCCACCCCAGCCGCTTCCACCTCCCAAGTCGCGCCCAGCTCGGTCCCCAGCCCCCGCTCATCCTCGGGAACACGGCTTTCCACACCACCGCAATCGTCGATGTCTGAGGATGAACACTCGGATGCTCCAGTCGATCGGACGGCGGCTGGGCGACCCGAGCAAGCACGCCCCTCGACCTCGACCTCGATCTCGTCAACTACCTCGCACCCACCCGCACCAGCACCAACCTCAACCTCGGCTTCGACCTCCCAACCAGCCTCCTCGTCCGCCGCATCGACCTCCTCCAACACCACCTCGACTTCAGCCTCGAAGCGCAGGGATCGCTCCACGTCACGCTCGCGTCAGCCAGCTTACGTCTACGCGGTCCTGCTCGTCGCCTTTGACCATCTCCAAGGTCCCATCATCGAGTTCGGCTACCCACAAGCCTTCGCCGACGACGCTTACCTCAACCGCAACCTCCCCTTTCTCGCACTACCCGATGGCGCGCATGCCGTACGCTGAACCGGTTCCTGTCTTCACCACGATCATTGAGCTGACACACTCACAAACCACGATCACACAGAGAGAAGAGGACTACTCGTACTTCCACATGCTCAACCCTTCGATCGCCCCGGAAACCCTGTTCGGCATCTCGTGCAACCGCCAGATACAGGCCGACGAACTGCTCAAGAAGGGCAAGGACGTCACCCGCTCGACCGTACAAAAGGCCATCGTCGTCCTCGCCAACAAGGTGGGCTCGAACGACGACATCTTTGTTGTAGGATGGGAAACTCGCTGATGCTTTATGTATTGGATCGTTCATCACAGCCCATCTTTGGACCGTTGAGGGACAAGCTAGGTGTCATCACCCGTACCTTCTTCGCCCAGCGCAACTTTGAGGACAAGTCCATACTCGTCGATCTCTATTCGTCGTTCGAGATTCAACAACCTTCACCCACCTCGTCGCCTAAACTGAGCGAGGGGGAGGCTCAGGAGAGGGAGGATGCGGGCATGTACATGGGTAGGTTCACCCGTCGACCTTCACCTTGCTTACCGGTCGCCTCGTTGCTGAAAATTTGAGCCTTGCACAGGCACCTCGTTGAGGGAACTCGTATACCGGTTCAGGAGCAAGACGTTGATGTTGGTTAAACTGCTGATGCTGCAGAAGAAGGTGCGCCCAGCCCGTCATAGCATTGGAACTGTCAGCAGACTGACACGATCGACGCTATGCAGGTCATGTTCTACGCTGCGCACTCACCGGTCGAGACGCTGTGCACGATGCAGTATTCCCTCGTCGCTCTCATACCCTGTCAGTGACTTCGATCATCGCTACCTGTATGGTGCCCGGCTCAAGAGCTGACCCACGCGCTTCTTCATAAAAGCTCTCCTCACCCATCTCGACGACGCTTCATCGCCCGACCTCGATGCCTTGGCGCAAACGCTCACCAAGCCCACATCACTAAAGACTTCAGATCGGTCAAGTCTGGTGCGCTATCTTGGATTGCCCCTCAACATATTCGGCAAGGTGAGTGCCTCTCGTGTTGATTTACCAGTCCGCGCGTCGACTGACGGAGGTGGACGCACGCAGGGCTCCTTCTTCCAACCTTACCTCCCCCTGCAACAAATCGACCTCTTACAAGCCCGTTCCTTCCTCGTCGGTACGACCAACTCGATATTCCAACAACAACGCGACTCCCCTATCGACGTACTCGTCCGCCTCGAGTCCGCAACTCTCGAAGTGCTCGATCCTAAATTATCGTATCTGATCTCGTTGACCGCGGCGGATCGGAAATGGATGGACGAGATCGTCTCGACGGTGGATAATTCCTATGATCCTACCGATCCTTCGAGACCCGTAGGGATGAACTTTATCGGGAGTGAGGACTTTTTGAGGGCAAAGTTCGAGGTGCGTTCCTGGTTGAGACTGATGAACGTGATGCAGATTTACTGACCAGGCATTGTGAGGCATATAGGAGTACATTTGCTCTTTGCTGGCGTGCATCAAGTTTACAGAGTTCCTGAAGCAAGGGGATAAAGGACAGACTCTGTTGTCTGGAAATGGTGAGGCGGTGTACAGCAGAGTGAATTTGGGTGGATTAGGGCCTGAAACGAACACTCTCCACAGAAATGGCTTCTTACAACGTCGAATCGTTCAACGATCTCTTTGTCCGCGCCTTCAAAGCCACACCGGCCTTTGCCGTATGGAACCGCACGACGGACGACGCCATCTTTGATCTCGTCGAGCCCAAACACCCCATGGAGGGGAAGACGAACCCCATCGAAGACGTCGGTATCCGGCTAGCCCACGGATTGCACGACCTCCACCTCCCCGAGAACCTTGCGCCTACGAAAGAGATGATCTCACGCGGCGTTCAACAAGGGAGCGAATCGATTTGGGGCGCTTATTCGTTCCTCAAGTCCGATATCACGAAACGACAAAAAGAATACAATGAACGACGGACCAACTCGATCAGTGGGTCGATCCCCGCCTCACCGCCTGTGTTGGATATGGCGGGAAATACTTTACTGGCTGGTGTGGACGTCGCCAAGACGGGTGTCGCGACCGTCGCAACTGGGATAGGATCCTTTTTGGCTTCGAGGAGAGTTTCGGGCTTGTTCTCCGGTCCCAAGAGCCCGACAACAACGACGAATGAATCAAATTCCCGTTCATTAACCGGAACACCGAGGCTAGCGACCCAACCCCCTTCCCCCCTGGATCTCAGAAAAACGACCGATAGCTCGTCGAACTTGTCTCCTTTCCTCGGGTCAGGAGCAAGCCCAGCACCACCTGGGTCGGGCGCGAGTTTGTTACCTTCCCCTGGGATCTCGGGGTATCTGAGACCTTTATCCACGGCTTCGTCGGCCACTACACCACCACTTACACCTCCGATCGCAGGTGGTTCGAACCACGCCACTCCTGCTGCCGAAGGAGGAGCAGGAGGTTTTTTCTCCTCCGTCAACCCCTTATCCCTCTTATCCCGCGCACGATCTCCCGAAATCACCACCTCCACCTCCACATCCTCCACCTTCCCTCCCACACCCTCCGACCGCCCTACTCCACCCAAGGAGCTCGAACTAGGCCAAGAACTCATGCCGCGCGACCTCGACAAAGAATACGCCGCCAAACAAGCTCGATCCGAACGTCGTCAATCAGCGAAGATCGTACCTGTACAATTGGAACTCGATGAGGGGGTGGTGGATGAGGAGAGGTTGAAGCAGTTGGAACAGATGACGGACGAGGAATTGACCAGGGCCGGAGTGCCTGGTGCTGTGGGAGCTGGGATAGGGGGTAGTGCGAAGGTCAAGGGGGTCGAGGTTCCTACGGCACCCAAGTTGGGGGGAGGGGAATGGGGTTGAATCACGAGCTCGGGCTTGGGTTGATCAGAGATATAGTTGACGCATTTTCGCCAAAGCATCAGAAATCACGGCCCTGAGCGTCGAATTGCGTGTGCTTCAAATGTTCGTTTCTTCAGGTTCTTCAGGTTGTGTCGAGAAGCAGAAGACGGAAAACTTTGCAAGTGCATCAAATACTAACAAACAATTGGTACAAACATCTATTCGGACTTAGTAACTCTATCACACGGTATTGGATCAGAAAGCCAGCCCGAACCGCCGACGGATCTCCCGCCCGACCGCACGACGTTCCTCCTTCGCTCCACCACGTCCACTCGTCGGATCTGATTGCAAGATGGATTGATTCTCGTTCGCTCTTCTGATAAGATAAGGCAAGGCTTCGTCGATGGAGGAATAAGGGGCCCATTTGACGACCAACGGCAGCAAGCCGCTGGGCTCGCTGACAGGAGCCGTTCCCGAGGGGGATAGGATGCGCGAAACAGCCGAGGTGAGGTTGTCGGACATACCTGGAAGGACGGAAGAATGTAGATAAATAAGTTTCGGTCGTTCCCTTGCAATGGTGGAAGAGTAATCATATTCGACTCACCCATGAGTTGCCCGAACACGAGCCTGCCCCTCAACTTGTCATCAATCTCTGCCGAGCCATCCTCCTTAAACTTGATGAGCCCCTCGTCCCTCAGACCGCCAATGACCTTCTGCACACTCGTTCCATTGTGCGTCGCAGCGAAGAGACCGATACCACCCATTCCAGGTGTCATCGTCCTAGCATCCTTCGCCATCTGTTCGACCATAACCGCCGCGCATCGATCGTAGCACGCGTCCGTCTCTGCCTTGGACGACCAGATGCAGCACTCCCCCTCGGCTTGACCTTGCTCGACCAACTTAGCATGCCTCATTCGTTCGTACTCGACGTAAGCTCCTCGAACAAGTTTGGCACCGAAGCTAAGGTTGTGGGCGCGTGCAAAGGCCATATCCGCCGCTAGTCGTTCGGGTGTCGAGCGACGATAGCATTGGTAGGTGTTGTAGACGATCGGGATTGAAGGACTGAGCACTGACTCGGCGGTGGTCGAAGGAGCGGCGTTGAATTCGAGCGCGAGCAAGGTCGCTAAATGATCGATCGCTTCCTGGTACCAGCTTTGTTCGGCGTCGATGAGCAAGCGCACGCCTTGCTCGCGAGCGGTCGCCGAAATCTGGCGCAGGCCTGCGTAGAGTTGACCAAGCTGACGGTGGTCTTCATCCGAGAGAGCTGGCGAGGCGGGGAAGGGGGACACGCCGTGTTCGGGGACAACGGTGGAGGGAGAGAAGAGCTGCATGGGGGAGGAAGATCCGACAAGCGCGGTCGTTGCACGGGCCAGGAGGGACGGATCGAAGATAAAGCCGGTCAACTTGATGGCAAGGAGAGTAGGTCGAATGTGAGACGCAGCTGTCGCCACGACGGGGGTTGCCTCCGAGCTGGAGCTGGAGGATGCCACGGTGGACGGAGGCTTGGGTCCAAAGACGGCCGCTGCCTTGAGTGCCTCGACGGCCTCTCGGATGTGCTTCTCGTTGACACCGACAGCTTGAGCGGATCCATCGACAGAAGCCTCGACCGAGTAGCTGAGCGATATGCCGATCTGAGGAGACCAAACGAGTGACGTCAGTCAGTGGAAAACCCATCTAACATCTCATCAGCTTCAGAAGCGGGCACTTACCCCTCGGTTGAGACAGTCTTCGATGAGAGGGCCGCATTCAGTGACGGTCGCTCCACCTACAAAAACATCGTAGAACGTGTTCTTCATAGTCTGTGTGCCGTGTATGCGCAATCGCGTGAGTCTGAGCGATGCCTTCTAACCACTCTGAAGCTCGACATCGAGACCAAGCGGGACTCACGAAACGAAAGATGCTCCACACCATCGGACCCACGAGAGGGACATTGTCACGCAATGCTTCTAGCTGCTTCAGGATCCGTGGCCCGGCTTGGACTAGCGCGGCTTGCTCGGACCCCAAATAGACGACGTATTGGCGCAGCAGCTGCTTGAGCGAGGCCTCATCGAGGTGCGAGGTCGAGGCGTGCAACTCGGCGGGGCTGAGGAGGCTGAGTGGATCACGAGATGAGCTGGCGAAAAGCGAGGAGTTGTGAGCGGCATCGGAGTACCCTGTGACTTGTCGGTAAGCTGTGGCGAGCGCTACGGCGGCGAGCACACCCGAGGTGGCGATGACCCCGACACGTGACCGTCCCGACCTGGACTTGTCACCGCTGCTCGCCGAACCAGAGGCTTCGGAGGACGAGGACGATGCATGTGGGTGAGACGAGGATACGTTCGACTCGCTCGAGTAAATCGTCGTCGAAGTTTTGGGTGCCGACGAGGTGTGCATCGACGAGTGCTGCACGAACCACGTGATCGACGACGGTGGTCGCGGCCGCGCGCATCGGGCCGCTCGTGTGCTCGCCCGACCGCTTATCGACGACGAGGCCGAGGTCGACGCGATGGTTCGTTCGCCGACGAAGCTGATGGAGCGCTTGAGGGACAACATGTCGAAGCGAATGGTGCAAGCAGTCGGACTTCGGTCCAGGGCAGTAGAACGGGGAAGAAGAAAAAAGAAGCGATGTTCGCTACGGCGGGAAAGGGGAGAAAAAAACTGGTCCGGTGTGAACCTTGTGCTCGCTGCGCGGATCGAAGCCGGCCAGCGTCGGCCAGTGCGCTCGGCGGCCGCCGGGCCCAGAGCGCGTTTTGGACAAGCTCGGCACCCTTCGCGAATCGTCGGAAGCGGCAGTGCCGACGGCGACCGCCATTGGCGATGCCGATGCTTGCCGAACTCGTGTCGATAGAGCACTATCCGCGTTTCCGAGGGCTTCGATAGCGACTGATGCCGAACATCCGTCATGGGTCGTATCGGCTGATTGCAGGCAAAACTCATCTGAGCCTCTTGGCCCCCCGTCTAGTGGACATTGCCCCCCAAGACCCGGCATTCTGCTCGGAGACTGTCTCAGCGCGGAAGGGTTGTTCAAGCTCGCCAAAAACGAAAGACTGGGTAAGATGACAGCTCCTAAACACACCAAAAGAGCACCCTAGGCCAAGTCCGTGAAAGTATCCTCTCCGTAAGATCAGTATTCGCCTTGACCGCTCGACGGCGCGTAGACCGCGGCCTGCTGTTGCGCCATCGCCTGCGCTTGAGCGAGCCGACTCTCGAGGTTGCGCAGCGACTCCTCCTTGGCGAGCAGCTCTTGACGCTTCTCGCTGATCTCGCGTTGCGACTTGAGCTCGATCTCGCGCAGCTTCTCCTCTGCGAGCACATGGGTGAGCACACACCATCGCGGTCAGCTGATATGTAGCCGGCACCGAGTCGCGGTGGCACTGACCTTCTCGTCGGAGCTGCTCTTCCTTGAGACGGACCGACTGGGTGGCGAGATCTTCGGGGAGGATCGAGCTGTCGGGATTATGATACTCTACTTCGCCTTCCACGCTTCGAGAGAGCTTCTCGGTACGATCTACATAAAAGGACATGTCGGTAATCATCGAACCTGGATCGATGGCACCCGGAACCTGCACTCACAGTTCTCGTAAAGGAAGTCCTCGGTGATCTCCTTGAGGTCCGTGAGGTGAGTTCCGAGCAAAGCCGAACGAAGGGCAGCAAAGTCGGAGTGTTCGGGATTGTCGATCTCGACAATACCCCAAGGGTAGCGACGCGCACGAATAACTTCACCGTCCATCTCGATGGCCTCTTCCGAACCGATGACGGCGAAGGGCAAGAGAGCCTGGTACGAAGAAGAGAACACGGGACTCGTCAACGCCTGACGAAACTTCGCAGTCCGCCCACGCCTCCACTGCTCACGCGAAGGTCACGGTTATCCGCAATGGTCTCCTCGTCATCCTCCTCGGGGTCGTAAGGAAAGTTGTAGATGGGAATATTGTAGTGGTCGATGTCTTGCATGACGCGCTTCTTGAATGCACGGATTTCCGAAGGCGTCAAAGTGTCCGCCTTGCCAATCACGGGTATCACGTTGACGCGGGGGGAGAGGCGCCTCATCAATTCGATGTCGAGCTCTCGGAGACTGTGATCGGCGAGTGATCGACGCGAACATAAGTGGTGTACCCAACATTACTCATGTACAGCGGTCCCCTCGGTCGACTCACTGGTGGCCGGTCGGGGTGATGAAGTAGAGCAACGCGTGAACTCGATTGTCCCTGAAACGAGGATTGCGCTTGATACGACTCTGCTCGGCCAAGATGTCGTCGTACTGGCGTTCGAGGTAGCCGGCAATCTCTTGGAACCTAGAGATTAGCGATGATGGGATCGGGGGAGAGTCAACATGTGATGTGTCCTCGACTTCACAACCGCTGCGGCATTGATGCCCCCCAAAAGTACTCACGCGAACTCATTGTTGATCTGATCTCCGAATCCGGGGGTATCAACGATCGTCAAAGAGATCCTCACTCCGTCCTCTTCAAGTTCTATATACTCCGCAAAAAAAACAGCCCGTGGATCCCCGATCAGCGAACTAGCGCTTTTCCCATGCCGAGGCCCCTGCTTTCAACAGCCCTGAGAGGATGGGCAAAGCTCACCAACGCTGACAGGCTTGATCCTGATACCGTCCTCTTGATGAGCCAACTCGGGACTGGGCAAATCCTTATGCACGAGGACTTCGGATTCGCAGAGGGTGTTGACGAACGTTGTTCGTCCGGTGCCGGATTGGCCTGCGTGGTGCAGTGGGTACAACACGGTGACGCGTGACATTTCCGATCAGCCCGGCCAGCGTCACGAGGGGCACACCACCACGGAGCTTTCGAATCTTACGTACCACATACGGCGACGGTGAACTGAAGTCCCTTCTTGACGGACTTGCGTCGAGGTGCCATCTTCTGTTTCAGGTAGTGCGTAATTCCGGTCGGATCGCAGTGGGGTTGACACGAGAACAGGGGCCGAGCGAGGAGGCGCAAGGCCGAGGTTGGGCGATGATCGACACGTTGGCGACCCCAAGGTTATATTTGTCCCAGAAAGGTATATTCCAGGTGAAGGAGTGAAGAGGGCCAAACAGTTGCGAATGGGAGGTATGTGGGGTTGACGTCCGAGCGTGGTGCGATAGGGGCATGTGGAGGGCAGCGAAACACATCCATCAATTCATGAACAAGCTTTGTACACACCAAGACCAAGACGCAGTGACATACCTGAGCTGTATATGGAGAAAGGGAGAGACGAGTCGGCGAAGCAGACCACAGGGCGAAGAACGAAAGCGGAGCGTGCACTAGAACCACGCAGGACAGGGGAGGCCTGTGCGCACTGCACTTGAGCTTGGACCCCGGGTACGATGACCGCCGCTAGCTGGACCTCGTTCACACTTCTGACAACGCAAGAATGCAACAGCTGATGTTCTCCGAATCTTCCGATCCCTTCTCGAGAGAAAAACCTGTACGCCAGAAAAAGTTGCTCGTCCTGCACAGCCGGGCAAAACGCGTCCAGAGCCGCCCCTCGAGCTCAGACGTGGGCTGTAGAGTAGGAAACAAAGTATGCAATGGCAAGAAGGCATCTCAACAGAGAAGAAAGGGGGAAAAGAAGATAAGATGTGATAGGCTGAAGCTCGCCAGCACATGCAGGGCGAGGGATAACAAACAAGCGACCCTTCGAAAAGTTGTCGTGTAGACCGACTGAGGGGTGGTAGCTCAAGAGGGAGTGGAAAGGAAAGGGCAATCATAAAGTCGTTAATAGAACAGGGAATGGGGAACACCTTTTTTGAAGGGGGGCCTTGGCGGGAAATGTCTCGTCGGAAAGGTGTCGTGCGTCGTACATAGGGTTCAAGAACGACTAGTGACCGTTCGGAGTCGACGGATCGGGTGACATGGCCTGCGCTTGTGCGAGCCGCGATTCGAGGTTGCGCAACGACTCTTCCTTGGCCAACAGCTCTTGTCGCTTTTCGCTGATCTCGCGTTGAGATTTGATCTCGGTCTCGCGCAACTTCTCCTCTGGGCAGGCGATGCAAGCATGGTCAGTGGTGATCCTTGCGCACAAGCGAAGAAAGGATAATACTGACCTTCGCGACGGAGCTGCTCCTCCTTCAGGCGCACGGATTGGTTGGCCATGTCTTCCGGAAGGATCGAGCTGTCGGCGGCGTAGCCCTCGGAACCCTGGACGCTTCTTGACAGCTTCTCGGATCGGTCTGTCAAGAACGCAGGTGGGACGCCAACGTCAGGAAAATTCAAACACGACGTTCATACACCACCACCTTAAGATAAAACTCACAGTTCTCGTATAGGAAGTCCTCGGTGATCTCCTTGAGGTCGGTCAAGTGGGTGTTCAGCAGAGCCGAGCGCAGGCGGCCAAAGTCGCTGTGCTTCGGGTTGTCGACCTCGACCACACCCCACGGGTACCGGCGCGCTCGTACCATCTGGCCGTTGATCTCAATCTCCTCCTCGGCACCGACAATGGCAAAGGGTAAGAGGGCCTGGAGGGTGGAGGTTGCACATGTTCGAATCAGCAGCCCACAAGATGCGTGTAGAGAGGTAAGTGAACGCACTCGTAGTTCGCTGTTGTCAGCGATCGTCTCCTCATCGTCTTCTTCGGGGTCGTAAGGGAAGTTGTAGATGGCGATGTTGTAGTGCTCAATGTCCTCCATGACGCGCTTCTTGAAGGCCAAGAGCTCTGTCGGCGTGAGTGAGTCGGATTTGCCGATCACGGGAATGACGTTGACTCGCGGCGAGAGGCGTCGCATCAGCTCAATGTCGAGCTCTCGGAGACTGTGAACAAAGATGCAACCTTCCACAAGTTATTACCCCATTCGTCGTAGGCGTGTGTACGACGGCTCTCATCTGACTCACGAGTGACCGGTCGGGGTGATGAAGTAGAGCAGCGCGTGGACTCGGTGGTCGCGGAAGCGCGGGTTACGCTTGATGCGACTCTCCTCGGCCAAGATGTCATCGTACTGGCGTTCGAGATAGCCGACAATCTCTTGAAATCTGTAAAACGGCGAAGAAGGAGGAGAGATGAGCATTTCCCCCCAGATCTCTCTTGCGTTGGTCGGTGCGTGCTCGTTGACGATGCGATGTGATAACTGACGTGAGCTCGTTGTTGATCTGGTCACCGAAGCCGGGGGTGTCGACGATGGTCAAGAAGATACGAAGTCCGTCCTCCTCAAGCTCTGTCAGGGTCAGGTTCGCAGGACGGCCCGACCAGCAAGTGTCAGCGGAGGCAGAGGGGAGAGTGTGACCGGTGGGGGGCGGTGGACGACCACTCGGACTGACCAACGTTGAAGGGCTTGATTCGGATACCGTCCTCCTGGTGGGCCAACTCGGGACTGAGTTCTTCCTTGTGGGCAAGGACAGCTGATTCACACAGCGTGTTGACGAAGGTGGTGCGGCCGGTGCCCGATTGTCCTGCAGCAGCACGTCCGGTCGAGCGCAGGTCGGAGAACGAGTCGAGCGAGAGCGAGAGCGAGAGCGAGTGGGACACGAGGGGAGGAAGAGATGACATGCATCAGTACATCATTTCTTCAAGCCGGTAGATCCCAGGTTCATAGGGTGATTTCTCGTCCCGCGCAGATTGGATGCGGTCTCAAGCACGGTGCAAGTGGGTCGAGCTCGACCGAGGACGTGGCCAGCGAGCAACACGGCGCGTGTCGTCCCGTGCCATCGATCAACCGCATCCGGCCTAGTACTGGGTCTGGACTCACCGCATACGGCAACGGTAAAGTGTAGACCCTTCTTGACTACGTTGCGTCGAGGTGCCATCTTGTAGTCGCTGTGGAGAGCGTGACGGTGGAAGCGCGGGCCGGGTCTGTTTCAGCCTGGGCTGGCAGCCGAGAGAGACAGATCTCACAGTTGCTGGCTAGCGCTATGACCCCCTCGGGAGACGGTGGCTCGGATTGGGTGTCCCCGCCGACTCGGAGTTTGGTCAGTTCAGATCGAATCCGACATATAACGTGTCATCACATGCGCAATCTAAGAATCTAACAATGAACATGCAAAATCTAAAGCGCTACTAACAACAAAGCAATCCTCTCGTTACAGGAGAACAACACCCCGAACCAAAAAACCAGAAACCCATCACACCGTATCCAAGCCCGTCTCACTTGGCGTCGGCTCGACCTTCTTCTCGCTCACACCCCAGTTCTCATCCGTCTCAGTCGTCAAGGGAACGTCCTCGATGAAACAAGAGAGGATGAACGTGATTCCGGAGAGGCCGATCATCACGATCCAGACCGTCCTCAAGCTCTGCGCGAACGCACGGCGGACGTGGAGTTGCACGGGCTCCGGCCTGTAATGGGATGGGAAAAGAAACAGCGTGAGCACTCCAAGTCGGTGAATTATTCGACGATGAAACAATCCCCAAAATAGTACTGACAGGAGATGAATGTCAGGAATGGCCGAGTAGGCGTACTTGGCATTGGCAAAGTGCGACGACACCACCTCGGGCGGGAGATGACGACTGAGCTCGTTCTGCAAGATCGACGCACCGAGCGAGATGCCAAGCACCTGCCCGAACGAGTGCGTGAAGCCAAAGAAGGCCATCTGAGAAGATATTGCCGCGGTGATTAGCGACAGGCTCCAGCGGATAAGCGTTCCGAGGTGATCGTGACCAAGCGTACGGCGTGAGGTTGCTGGGAAGGCTTCAAAGGTGCCAAGACGGGAAAGTCGAGGCACCCGTAGAGGATACCCAAGCCGACGCCCATGACGATCGGGCTGTTTTCACAAAGATAAAAAAAACAAACTGTCAGCATGCTGTAGCCAGAACGGTCTTATTGCGGGTTCCGGTTCTCGACTCACTATCCCGTCCATGCGGCTTTTGACGAATGCACGCGGAGCAAGGTCGTCAAGGCGAAGCCAGTGACCGTAAGCGCCCAGCCGACGATGTTCTGCAGGCGATATTTGCCCAAAACAACGACAGAAATACCCGCGATGATAGCCATGGGCGCGATTGTGCTGCAAAGGGAGAATGGTCGGGTCAGCACAGGTAAAATCCCTTCGGAGACGGCCGCAGCTCATTAGTAGCGCACAGGCACCTACAAGCTCAGAGAGAAAGTGTGCACTCCAGCATCGGCAGCGGTCGCCATCTTCACGGCTTGGAAGTAAACGGTGAGGTAGTAAATAGCCGCGAGGGCTACGATACCATGCAAGAAATTGGTCAAGAGGCCGAGCAAGCTCGATCGATGACGAAGAATATCGAAGGGAATCGTCGGGTGTTCCAACCCCTTTTCGAGCCACAGGAAGAGGCCCATGGCGAGGATACCTCCGATCAAAGGGACGAGGACCTTGTAGGAAACCCATGGGTAGGTCTCACCACCCCAGTTGAGACCAAGGATCGTTGCTGTCGCTCCCGCGACAAAGACAATGTTGTAGTAGTCGATGAGGGCGATCTTGCTCTTGAACGTTGTCTGCGGGGCTTTGACGCGGAGGAAGAGCATGACCAACAGGGAGGCGATACCCGTCAGGGGGATGTTGAGGTAGAACAGCCTATTGAGCAAACGGGAGGAAGAGGGAGACGGTCCTGTCAGCCCTGGGCTCTGAATGGGTCTGAAGGTCCTTCCACCGATAGGGTTACTCACCATCGCCACGCTCCGGCCGAAGCAAGTGCGCCACCGATGGGAGGACCAATCGCACTTGCAAGGGCCCAGACTGTTTGATAGGATGCACAGATTTAGTTTGGAATTGAGTAGGGTGAGTACGAGCGCCAAGGCACTGACCTGCGCCAATGATGGCGAAAAAAGCGCCTCGGTCGGCGAGGGGCACTAGGTCGACGACAAGGATCTCACTCTGGGAGACGACAAACTCTCTCGATCAGCTCTACCATCATTTGAATGAAGTTATCAATCAGATTACATACCATCGTCAAGATACCTCCACCTCCAGCACCTTGGATCGAGCGACCCAGAATCACCACCTCCATCGACCTGGCCGATCCGACCACTGCGGAACCCGTGGCGAACAGGAGCAACGACCCAAACAGGGTCGCTCTCTGCCCAAAGATGGACGCGAGGTTCGCCGTCCACGGAATCAAAGCCGTCGAAGTCAGAGTATATGCCGACCCGACCCAGGAGAATTTCGCGGATTGAAAATCAGCGGCCACTTTGGTGGAGACGTAGGTGAGACAAAGCTTGCCGTCAGCTCGACTCCCTAAGTATCTGAACACGGACGAGTTGCACCGTCGGCCCAAATCCATGCCTCTTTCTTACTCACTAGCAGGAAGTGCGGTCGACACGGCCGTCAAATCGAGTGCTGCCAAGAAACACGACACACAAAGGGCAAGGAAAACGAGCCAGAAGCGACCGCCTCGATTCGCAAACGGGTTTGGCTGCGCTGACGAAGCGGGCGCACCGTCGGCGCCCGCGTCGAGAACGTCGACGTGCGAAAGCGTTGAACAATCGACGAGAGAGCCATCTTTGACTTCGGCCATGTCCGTTTGGAACGGTGTGGGTGATATAGGAGCTAGCATCGTGGTATGGATAGACAACAAAAGCAGTTGCGGGTGAAGCCGAGTGAGCCAGAGGCGATGGGATCGACGGTCGGCCCGGGACAGGAACTTTCAACCGGGTTGCGCCTCGTCGTCGACTCGTCAGACGATGGCGAGATGGAAGGGAGAGCGTAAAGCCGCCGTGTCGTGTTTCAAAGAGGACAACTAGGACTTGACAAAGTGCAGTTCCCAGCTCGTGCAGTGCCTCCCAAGGCTCTTACTTAACGGGCCAACAAATAAAGCTTCGGTCTAGGCGGATAGGGTTGCCCATTTCCGTTCACTGGGCTGTCCAAGCAAAGGCACGTTGCAGCTGAAGCGCTGAACGGCGCCCCCCGCGTCCCGCGCCACACTGCCCACAAAGCACCGCTTTCGCCTGCTTTCGCGCGCCTCGCCCCCGCTTTCGCGCCTCTGACGATCTGACGGACGAGACTTGCCATATTTAGCCCGAGAATACATAGTACGAGCCCGTCTCGGACCTCGCCTCGCAGGCTTGGGCGGGGTAAGACCCGGTACAGCGGTGACGCACAAAGACATGAGACACTGTAGCATGGCCCCAGTGATAGTAAGATTTGCAACAGATGGAAACAGATGAAAACGACACGTGACCCCTGACAGCGAGAACAAATTTAAACAGCCCCCCTAAATCGTCCTCATCAAACCCTTTGATGCGCCCGGCGCAAATCAGACTCTTCGTCCGAGGTATCGATCGCACTACTGAACACGAGTGCACGACGTTTCGATCGAACTTTCTTCCGTACACCCAAGCACGCCCCACCCATCGCTCGTAATTTCCACAAGATCCATCCAGAGCTGAACCATCTCCCCGGCGCCGAGCCGAATCTCACTTCGACTTCACTCTTGATGCGTTCTTTGGTATCGCCCGAGGCATTCGACCCTGAAGTTGGTCTCGTTCGACTGGGTGGAGCGTTCGAGTTGGTCCGCGGATCCTCGGCTTCCCCTTCGTCGCTCGAGCCCTGATCGCCAGCGACGCTCGAAGAGATGGACAACGAGCTCCTGTTCCTCTTGACGCGCCTTGACCCATCTGTCGTCAGAGGCGTAGTTCCGGTCGTTCCATATTCCGGAGATGTCGGTGTAGCACCCAACAATGCACCCGAAGAAGTCCGACCGACGCCCGACCTGCCACTCCCGTTGCCCAACATCCCCCACACCCGATCCCAAAAACCTCGCGACGCCGTGGGGTCTTGACCCAGGTCCCCGTTCAACACAGACGAGCCGCGACCTCCATGCTGCTTCTTCCTCTTAGCCAACCTCTCCTTCCGTCTACGTTGCTCCTCGACAAGTTCGCGATAGCCTCGCTCGGCCATCGATTCCTCATTCTCCGCTCCCGTCCCATCGGCATCACCCGACCTCGACAATCCGTTGAGGCGCAAGAACTCGCGAAAACTAAGCCCGCTCACGGAGGTTCGTGGTGGGGAACGCACTCGTTTTGCAGGTGGTTTGACCGACATGGGGTTCGGACATGTCTCTGACGGTCTCTTGAGAGGTGCGTAAATCGACGAACACGGCGACGAGGAACGGGACGGGACCGAGGACGAGTAGACCGACGAAGCTCCACCATTCAGGATCGCCGCTTCGCGGTAGCTGTTGTGGATCCCCAGTGATGAAGATGAAGAGACGGTGCGGAGGATCGAGATTCCGGCGGTTGTGGCCCCACGAGACGGGGAGTTGGTGCGGGACGAGCTGCGTGATTGGTTCAACGAGGCATTGCGAGGCAGCGGGTGAGCCATGTAGCCCATCCGCGCCACGTCTTCCGCCGTCAGAGCAGATGAAGTCAATGGGGCCGGACTAAACAGGTCACTCGGGATCGCAGGTCGTTGGCGCGTACGCGACGAGCGGCCTTTCGACCGAATACCGCCCGAGATGCGGACCGATGACGAAAAGCTGATGCGGCGAGGCTGTTCAGACGAGTCCTCTGAAGGGTAGTGGGCCGAATTTGGATCGTTGTCAAGGGTCGAGGGTCGTCGATTGAACTCGAGGGGCGGCATCTCCTCGTCGTCCTGCCCGTCTCCGTTCTCTTCATCGGGGTCATCCGTGACCGCTTCGGCCGAATGCTCGCGTTGCCGAGCCTCCTCCGCATCCTCGTGGGACGGTGTCGGTGGAATGACAAAGATGTTATCGTCCTTCCTCGGTGAAGCTGAGGGCGTCTCTTCCTCCCGCGGTATTGTCTGGCCAGGAGAAGGCTCGGGTCGCCTGAGACCATCGGTAACCCCGGGCTTGGCGGCACGTGACAGGAGGCTCCTCCCTTGACTCGTCTCCTCGTCATCCTCATCCTCGTCATCCTCATCAGTGGACCGTTCAGGTTGTTCATGCGTCGTAGAAAGCACGGGTTGATCAACATCGATATCGTCGAGAAGGTCGTTGTGCATCAAGAGTAGTCGATCGAGCCCGACTTGGGGAGACGTGTGTGAACCGCCGTAGCCCGAGTCGGTCTTGGACGTGCCTAGTTTGGCCGGTTGAGCCAGCTTGGTCAGCTTGGTCTCTGTCATTGTAGCAGGGTAGATTATAGCATTTCAAAGTCAGGTGCTGTGTTGGAGGAGATTGCCACACTGCGAGAGCACGAGGAGATGAACTTACCCAAGGCCTCGAGGTATTGCTCCCTATCCGTCTTGAGCTTCCACGCGATCACCGCCTCACGATCACGCGATCCATGCGAGCCGGTCAGAACCTCGCTTGAAACCGATGCAGTAATTTCGGTTGGCCAGGCTACGGGTACGACGGCGGGGTCTGCGCCAGTGGACGCTGCGACGACGTGGCCAAGATCGTCGTCGGTCGCCTGGAAGCGCGTAGGGAACGTCGGTGGTGGTGGTGCAGGCAGCAGCGCCATCCTCCTAGCTACCACAGCAGCCTCTGGGGGAGAGGTGGCGATGAATGTGTAGACCAACAAGCTCGGTTGATGCCGTCGGCGAGTTGAAGTTGGGCCTGTGGGGATTCAAGCGTGGTGTAGTGCGAACGGAGAGAGGGGAACTGGCCGGCCGTCTCGACCGATCGACCCCGCTTTTGTTGAAGGCGGGGCCGACGATGTCACGCGACAGAACGATTCGAATGACCCCCTGTGCAAAGCACAAGCAGAAAAAACACCCGGAGAAGTGGCGTACTCTACGAAGAACTTCGTGGAAGCCGTCACGTCTCCCCACATCATTCTTCGATTGCCAAGCTCGCACAGACTCCGAGTCGACCGAGCAAAGTGGGGTCTGAAGTGGGAGGGGCTTTTATTGATCAAAACACAGACACTCACTCACACACGGTCAAGCTATCGTACAATGAAATGGCTTACTCCATGGAGGAGCAGAAGGGCAATAAAAACAAGATCGTGACATCGTCTTTCCTACCCAGGCTTTTTCGTTCCGGTTTTCGGGGTATCGCATCAACTCGCAAGAGTGAGCAATCGTCTACCACCCCTCATCGCGGCCGGACATGCCTTGCCTGGACTGGTAGCTCGATTGGCGGTCGCCGTACCTGTCGTTCCTTTCGTTCCTGTCACCTCGCGAGCCGTACGAAGAGCGACCACCGGACTCGCCGCCATCACGCCTGTTGAATCCACCTCGATTACCTCCGCCGTTGGCCCTTGAGAAGGGTGCCTGACGGGTGGCAAAGTTGGCTCGGAGGTACCTGCCGTTGATCTCAATGTTCTGCGCCGCGGCAATGGCGTCCTCAGCTTGGGACACGTCGGCATAGTCGATGTAGGCGATACCACGCGATCGTTGCGTCACTCGGTCGAGGGGCATGTGCACGCGCCCGATCTCGCCGAACTGGTCAAACGCTTCGCGCAAGTCGGCCTCGGTCGTCGACCACTCGATGTTGCCCAACCACACCGAATTCGAGGGGGGGTTCTCTTGTCGACCAAAGGAGGGGGTACTGGATTGGTTCTGGTCGGACGAGCGTCGCTCGCGGGCGGGACGCTCCTTCCTGGTGGAAGGGTCCGAGATCTCGAAGCGGGTCTCGCGTTCATCGATGACGGGGCTAACCTCGACCAACTTTTGCGCATGTTCGGCCGTGGTCAACTCGATGAAACCAAAGCTAATAATTAGGAATTACGGGAGAGTCAGCCTGGAAGGGGTGCGGCGGGCTTTTGAAAGGAAAAGTTGAGAGAAACTGACCCCTTGGATCGACCGGTAGGGTCCCGCGCGACTCGGCAGCTGACGATACCGTCCGCGGAACCGATGGCGGTGGCGACCTCGTCCCTCAACCAGTCGACGTCGACGTTCCAGCTCAGTCCACCGGCAAAGACGGTCCTGGACGCGACTTCGACGGGGTCAGGGGTCTGAGCGGGCGCTTCAGCCGCGGTGGCGCCGTCGTTGGCGGTCGCATCGGCCTGGGCCTGCAGAGGGTCGATGTAGACCTCGCCGGAAGACGACGAAGGGGTCGATTCGCTGGACTCGGTCGAGGCCAAAGGATCAACAGATGAGTGGTCGGCCCTGACTTCCTCCTCGGCGGTCGTCGGCGCGGTGGTGGCCTCGAGCTTGTCGTTCAGTCGCAGCGACGACGCGTTGAAGAGGCGGATCGAGCTGTTGCGAAGCGCGGAGGTGCGGTGACGCAGGTCGGCGAAAATCGAGTGAGGCGATCGGCGCAGGAGCGGAGGCAAGACCGAGAAGGAAACGAATGGTCAGTCGTGATGTTCAACAAATGGGTTGCAACGTGGAGAAGAAAAGTCATCCGACGCCATGGGCCCGTCTGGACGACGAGGATGGCATTCGCAGCCACGGGGAGCGGGGCGAGGGGGGGCGAGGGGGGGGCGAAGGGGGTCCATCTTCGCACCTCCCGGGAGCGTGCGCCAGCATCCCACCCCGTATGAGCCAACGGGGCAACAACCCAGATGCCACAGAACATACTCCAGAATCAACAAGCAGGTTCAAAGTGAACTCACTTGGTGTAACGGCTCTGCACGGCGGGAATGAGCAGTGCGTTTTTCTTGAGCGAGAGCGTGCGAGGAGCGGTCGATGAGGCACGCAGCGCCACACGGGCGACCGAAGAGATGCGGGCAGTGAACATAATGAGGTGGTGAAAGACGGTGGGTGGGTAGGTTGTGTGATTCTTTGAACTGTCGAGCGACGCGTCAAGAAGAACCGGATGTGGAGCGGGAGCAAACCAGTCTCGTCGGAACTTGGCGGTGGCACTCTGACTGGGAAAGCCGCGATCGGTAAAAAACAGAAAAGCTGCCTTAACTCGCCCGCGCGGGGGAGCTCATTTGGCTGGGTTAACTGACCTGCCGATCTGGCGATCGGACCCTATCGGACCCACGAATCGAAAATTATTGAAATTTTTCGAATCGAAAATTCGAGTAAATGATCTCACGTGGAAAGTCAGTCATCAAAAATCGCTCTCAACCGTGCTGAATATGCGCACCATGCTATTACAACACAACAATCCCCTGGCTCTGAAAACTCATCCTCATCGTCCAACTCGTCCCTGAAAGCACCAACGACGCACGATCCTCGCCGTCTTCTCACAGCTTCCTATACAGTCTCAACACGACCCTCGAGTTCTCCAAAGTTAGAGGATAACAATCGCTCGCCCCGATCGGCATCCGGTACCAGACCGAGTCCTCCGATCGCACGATCTCCCACTTTGGCCCTTCCTTCGGCTCGCCTTCTTTACGACCCTTGAATGAGACTCGAGGTGGGGCCAAGGCATGGTCCAACAGTGTACCTAGTGGGTAGGTCCGCCCTGAGCTTCCGATTGGGATCTGCGCCAATGCGGCCGATTCAACGATTAGGAGCAACGTCCCTTGTTGACATGCTTGCGTGAGGTGGGCGAGCAAGGACAGTGTCGTCGAGCGTGCTTGCAAGAGTAGTTCCGAGATTGTGAAGAGGATGGTGACGAGCTTGGCTTCGGCATAGGGGATATCTGGAGTGGGGAAGGCGGTGAGCACATCGGCTTGTAAGAATTTGATGGCCAGGCGCGCCGGGGAAAGGGTTTCGGGGTAAGACGAAAACAAGGCTTGGGATTGCTGTTTGATGATCTCGGACCAATCCGAGTTGTCGATTGCTGTGATCTCGACTCTGTTCGACCAGTCCGTCACGCGTTCCAATAACGAGACCAAGGCGATCACTTCGGACCCGGCGCCTCCACCGAGCATCAAGACCTTGACCGGCTTGGACTTGTCCTCCTCGGCATTCGACGTCGACACGGGTGCCCTCAGCGTCTCCTTAATATCAGGCGACTCTCTGTAAATCCTTCGGTAGATGATGGCCCTTGAAGGTACCCATCGGGCGGTATAAACGAGTCGATTGAGATCCGACCCAAACGCCCTAGCATAATCTTTCTCGTACAATGCCGACTTGACCGTCTGTAGTTGCGTCTTGAAATCCGGAGAGCTGATGATTGGCTTGGCGAGGTCGGAAAGATAAGCCAGGAGGGATTGTTCGGCGGCGGTGATGAACTGAGGTGACGAAGAGGACCCCGTCTCGTTCGATGAGCTCGAGTTCGAGGTCGTTGTCGAGGCTGAACCGGCGGTGGCTGCCTTGATGCGGCTTGTGGGACTGGGTCCAGTCTTGGCGAGCGGGTTTTGACGTATTGGCTTTCTTTGTACTTCTCTTGGAGCGTTCAGGCTGTCAAGAATGTGCGCAAAGATCAGCGACTGGACGTGGCCGACTATCCGGCTCCTGCTGACTGCGAAGGTCGGAGATGGGTGCGCGGTCACACTTCGGGTGCACTTACGATGAAGCCGATGCGAAGGTCTCGTTCAATTGAACCCTGTCAGAGAGCACCGGTCAGTGTCGTTGCACACTCAAGCGTTCGACTTGTTTCTCGACTCACATCTTGTAGGTTCGGGCCGTAAGCTGATGTCAGGCGGAGGCAGAAACGTGACTTCGGAGCACGTGAGTTATGTGGGCGGACCGGTCCGTTGCGACGGCAACGTCTGACCATGTTCAACAGCCGCCAACGATGAACTCCGGACGCTGCAGCAATCCATGAGAATATTGAATCCACATTACATACTTCCTGAACATACCACCGGGCTACACACGGAGAATCCTTCACCATACAATAAGCGAGGAAAATCTTCCCTCACACCAAATCGGTGGGAGCTTCGGCGCCGAGACCATCGCCTTCCCAGGTTCGAATGCCACCTTTCCCTCCGCCGGTCTTGGCCCCTTTGGCATTTCTCAATGACTGGATGTATACAAAGAAGCAACATTAGCGGACTGTCGGGAGTGCATAGTGAGCGAGGTGCTCGAGAGACCCACTTTGTAGTACGCCCTCATTTCATTTTTGTCCGCGAATTGGGTATCATTCGCTTCATTCTCTTCCGCCCACTTGAGTTCGCGTTCTTCCTGCATCGTCAGACCGTTCTCGTCCGTATCCGAAACCAGCGGCTTTTCGAGATCATCTCGACGGTTGATGGAAGCGAACCGTTCGGCCCAATTGATTTTGGAGTCTCCTCGGCGCCAGGTCGGCAAGCCGTCCGATTCCGAATATGCTGGTGCCCGTGATGCTGGGTCGACGTAGGTCAAGCGTTGTAGTAGGAGGTACCAGGTGTAGTCTGAAGATATCAGGAGGTTTGCTTCAGCATCTATGCCGCCGACGCTCCGTTGCCCGTTCGGAGAGGGTTTTGACTCACTCATGGTCTGCGAATTGCGCCACCTCTTGCAGACCAATCCGCAGCTCAACAGATCGAACATGTCCAGCTCGCCAAAGATCCTCCCATTGATGACGTTGGGGAACCTGACCATGGGGTCCATGGCATTGTTCATCGCTTCCGCCTTCTCCTTCTCCTTGGTCTTGTCCCTTCGAGGCTTGCCCGCTCCGCCTCGACGTTTGGCTCCGGAAGGGGAGGACGATCGAGAGGGGTTCCTCGACGCGGCCGGTGTTGATGCGGCTGAACCAGGGGTCGAGGGCATAGGGGTTTGGACCGAGATGAGTTCGTCATCGCCTTCGCCCAAAGCGGACCCTTGAGGGCCGTCCTCGTGAAGGGAGAGCGCCTGCATGGCGCGGGGCGAGAGTTGCGCCTGCGAGGCATGACGAGTCAACGCATCGTGAAGAAGATCCGACATAGCGAAGGACTATTCGCGGTAAAGATGCGTTCGTGTGGTTCGGGAGCGAGAAGTGCGCCGCGAGCGGGTGCGGAGGCGGCTGACTTGGGGTGGATGTGGGGCAAGGCCAAAGTCGGGTCCGGCGCTGGGCAGCGGTGGCGAGAGGCTGTTCGGTCGAGCTGGGGCTGGGGCTGAGCAGCAGTAGAGAGTGAAGGCACAATTTGCCACGGTAAAAGTGCTGGTGTCTGACCCCTGTACAGTGTATGAGCAACAGTGACGGACAGAGCGTCGTGTGAAAAGGAAGGGTAGAAGGGCAAGCCCCGGTTAGGTGTCAGGCACGCATGGGAAGGTCGGTGGCAGTTTTCGCTTTCGCCCGCGCCAAAATGGGTTTCAGGAATAGTAATGGCCATTATGGGTAGGTCTCCCATGCCGGTCTCCCCAAAGTCATACCGCTGCCAGTGCTTGGACTTGGCGTGGTACTCGAGTCTTAGACCCGAGAAATCATCGATCGACGTGGTCATTGCAATTGACTACATCTTCGCCTCTGAACCCATTTGATGGGATACCAACCCTCCCCTTGATTCATTCAGCAAGCACGCCGACGCTTCACTTGACTCTGGCAGCCCCCACCCCCACTCGAAGCGAGATTGGATCACTGGCAGATGGCAGATCAAGTCGCCGTCGCTGTCAGCCGTCCGGCCCCTGTCACACCTGCATACGGGTGCATGACCATGCAACTTCCTCTCTGGCTTATCTCCTCTCTGCACGACATTGTACAGCTATGCAACCTCGTGCAGGTTTGGACTGAATCGACCTCCCGGCGCGACCTGCTTTGTTGTGAAATCCCTTCCTTCGCCCACCGCCGAGTGCACGTCCAACCGTGATGGAGAAAGAGCAGGGCGAGAACCACAATTCACGAGAGGTGACCAACGGGATAGTATGCGGTGTGAAGAGCCTGTAACGGAGAGAGATTTCTGTGGGACACAGCGCAGGAACGTGCAAGGGGTCCGAAGTGAATTGAACAGCCCGTGAGGCTCAGGCTCCGACCTGGTGACACTGCCACATGTTCGATACGCTGCACTAGATCGAGGGGAAGGCCAGTTGTTTGACTAGCTGGAAGTGAAATGCTCACTTTCATGCTCATCTTTTTGTCCAGCCTGGCAGAACCAACTAGCGCGCTTGCCACTTTTTCGGCGTAAGTCTGTCGTAGACTGGAGGTGGCCCCACCCGGGGCAGGCTTGGCCCCCGAGCAGCGTTCCGTAGGGGCTTGTAATCACTCCAGGTATCGCGCAGATGACCTCATCGGGCCAGAGCAAGTCTTCGCTGCATATATTCAGCTCCCCCTTAGCGCGCCCCAAGTGTCAGCTACGAGTCAGCATCTCAAAAGCGCCTGGACCTTGGATCGAATCTGCGTAACATGAGCGTTTAGATTTGGAGAACCGGCTACACAAAAGAACACATCAAAAGCCACTGCTTTCTACTCGATCTCGATACTTGATATGTCACTGAATGCAAGCAAAGTGGTGGTGAAAACCAAAAAGCGAGGCCCCTTCCTGAAAATCTCGTCCCACGCTGGAGGTCACCATGACTGCGAGGGTGCTCAAGCGGTGGGAACGGTCCAGTGCTGAACGGAGGGCGGGGGATTTCGGATTGAATGCTTATGAGGCGGTAGTGTCTCCGTCCCCGACGTCGTGGGAGCGCCAACGACGGAGGGCTCCGTGCGAGCCGTCGTGGGTGGCCCCTGAGCGGTCTGGCTCGCGACTTGAGCAGCTTGAGGGGCGGCGTACTGCGTCATCGTCGGAGGCTGGAGCGCCGTTGGAGGGGGAGGAGAAACAGGCTGGCGCTCTTGCTCGGTACTGGCTGAGGTGCGTCGCCACACGTGGTCCGAGTCAGATTGAGCGGGAACACTGCGATCGAGCGTCTCAGGGCGAGTGCTACCCGTGGCGCCGCTGTCACGGTTGCGTCGAGCCCACCACGCTTTTCCAGTCGGCGACGCAGGCATGAGTTGGGATTCGGACGTCCTGTCTACCCCGTCTACACCATGATTGAGGTCCTTGTGACGGCTGACGAGGAACTTGGTCTTGCGGTAGTCGTCGCGACGAGTGCAGAGCATGATCGAGGCGATCGTCGTAAGAATGAGCGAGGTCAGGACGAGCCAGATCGAGTTGCCGACATGGGCGCGTACGATCCCGGGAGTATCCCAAAGACGGTTTCGGAGTGAGGTACTGAAGCCCAAGTGGATCTGTTGGCCAGATTGTCGGAGTGTGAGGCGAGTGCTACCGCCGGGACGTGCTCGGGTTCAACCACCCTGGGGACTTACACCGAACCCGACAAAAGTCGCGACCCAGGCCCAGAAAGAAAGCAGAGCCGTTGCAAGCATGGACAAGGGCAACAGAACGGCCATCATAAACGCGGCAAACGTCAAACCACACGCGACGGGGAGGACGACCAGTGCCTTGGACACGCGGCCGAGCGGAGTGGAGCTGATCGGAGAATTGGGCCAGCCACGAGCGTAGCCGAGCGTGGACTTGGTGCAGCCGTGAAGGCCGTTGCAGTAGCCCCACAAACCGTATCTCACTTGACGACCAGCGACTTTGGGGTCGGCTATTGCGGTACATCACAAATGGGGGAGGTCAGCCTCTTTAGCCGAAGTGCCTTGGCACGCTAATACTAGTAGGACTGGCACTGGGGCAAGCTGAGGCACTCACTCCAGAGCGAGGACCAGTAACCTCGCGCCAACACGATGTTGTTCCACACGGGGCAACTGACCGAGACGATGAGCAGAAGCGCGAACGACACAAACAGCAAGAACGCTGTGGTCAATCGAGTCGCACGCGTTGCTGGATTGACCATCGTGGGTGTAAGCTTGCGCCGAGAACTATGTCGTACCAACGACCAGGCGAGGTGGTGGCCAAGTGGGAAGAAACTTCAGATGTAAGCGTGACCTGGAACGCTGCAGTAACAGTCTTACGAGTCGCAAGAAAGCTCAGTGTATGAGGTATGGATCCCAAACAAGAGCTTGATTGAGGGGGCGAGATGGTGAAGGGCAGGCGACAGGCGGGCAGTCACTCGGAAGGACGAGCTCCTCTCCGCTCGGGGCTCCGACGGTCCGCAGGGTGCCATGACGTCAATCTAGGGTGAGCGATCGAAAGAGCTACCGAAGTGCCACGAGAAAATGAGACTCAATTTTCCACATGAACGCAAGACGCTCTTCAGGGGTGTATCCTCTTGCTAGGTCTCTTCGAAGTAACTTCGAAATTTAATGAATATCAACCCGGTCTAGCCCACCGGCGCACTATCGGCGCTGAGCGCAGCTGAGCGCAGCTGAAGCACTGCTGAAGCGCTGAGTACTGAATGACGAAGTCACGGCGAGTTGTGCCTGACCTCTTTGCCGCCGCCTCACCACAACCACCTGTCCAGTCCATTAAACTCCAACATGTCTACTCGCGCCCTCTTCCGACCCATCTTGACGCAGCTTCCTCGTGCCACCCGACGTGGCGTCATACCCACCGCTCACCCTCTCCTCGCACGATCTGAATGGAGCCCCGCTCAGTCGGCGCTACGCTCCTTCACATCGTCGTCGATCCAGTGGCGACTTCAGGACACCAGAAAGTTCGCCAAGGGCGTACCCATTACGTATGAAGAACTCAAACCCATCACCGAGGCACCGAACGATGTGAGTGTGCCCCTTGAGCTTGACGTGGCTGCTCTTGCCGCCCCACTTGGGCGTGTCCGAGCTCGACGACTTGTCTGCTGATGCATCGATCGCTCTTTGTAATAACCTGTTCATCAAATCCAGGATATTTTGTTGATTGGTGAGTGGTTTGCTATACCTTGTGTCGAGATGGCAACCAATCTCGCTCGTCGCTACGTCTGCTGATGCTGATTCCGTCATCTTCCATCCTCCTGGGACTCGTACAGATGTGCGTGAGCCCAACGAGGTCGTCCAAGGCACGATTCCTTCGGCCGTACCTCTGCCATTGTCCTCGTTCGAGAAGTCACTCTCCATGGACGAAGGTCAGCTTTGCCACTGCTTCAGACCGGAAGCTTTCTGGAGGGGCTCAGCTTGGGACATGTCGTGCTCACCGATTTGACTTTGGCTTTGATCCGCAACCAGGTGACTTTGTCAAGGAACATGGCTTCAAGAAACCAACCAAGTCGCAACCCATCATCTTCTTCTGCAAGGCCGGCGTTAGGGCCCAGACTGCGATCGACCTTGCCAAGAAGGCCGGCTATAAGCAGTCAGTCCTACCCACCGCATGTGTTTGCGTGCCCCTGAACCCGAGAGGCTGACATAGATGTGACCACCTGGTTCAGATTGAGAAACTACGAGGGCAGTTATGCCGACTGGATCGCAAAGGACCAGGCCAGCGCCCATGATGATGACTGAAAACCGTGCTATGACCGACGTTTGGAATATCGGAACCTGAAGAATATACTGCAAAAGTGGCTGGAATTGACCTCCTGAGATATATCGTCGTGGAGGCTCGCCAACCTTGTTGAAGTACCGGCTCTTATGTAAGACAAATTGACGCCCCGAACGATGGCGGAAACGACTGAGAGGGTCCTCACGAAAACTCGACTATGTGCGACCGGCCTCTCCAAAAATCCCCAGGACCCGGCATAACTTGGAATGCGCCTTATCGGTGACGAAGGAAAGAGTCACTTAGAAACACCGGGGAGAAAAAGACCGACCTTTCACCGCCGTACGGAGCCTGCGACACACTGCACCCTCGAATATGCCGGTGCGTCGATCAACTTTCGAGATCAATCGAGGGGCCCGAACCCTCCCGAGCCTTCGCGCGCGACTCGGCTGCCACAGACCGGAGCAGTGGGCTCCCTCTTGTTCTCTAGCATCAGCGTCGATGCCTGATTATCCACCTACGTGAGTCGATCATCATTGGCCGTGACTGTAACTGTGGATACAGGCCGTACATCACACTTGAACTGACTCGAGCCTGCACATTGCCACGTTCCATACTCGCTCGGTCCACGTCCGTGGCCGTTCTTCAGCATCCCGGCGCTCCACGTCACCGAGCCTAGTTTAGCAGTCCAGAGCTCTGGCGGTATGCCTATGATGGTCGAAGACGACAATAAGGACGTCCCTTGGGACGTCGAGGAGGAGATCACGTACGAGCAAGTCAAAAAATGGAGCGAGGATACCGAATCGGTGAGTCGAGTTCCTGTTTGCGGAGGCACTACGAGGGAACGATTGCGAACACCGCCGAGCTTCGGGGTAGGAGGGCATCCTTTTTCGAAAGAATTCGTGGGTAGCTGATCCCGGTTCTATTGCTCTTGTTAGGGAGTTATTCTCATTGGTTAGTCGATTGACTCCGGCTCGTCCCGCCTCAGCTCGCTCTTATCGTGTTATCATCAACCCCCTCGGCATCAAAGTTAGGAGGCCGACCTTTCCCCGATCCCCGAGACTGACCGAGGGGTCTTGTCTTCACCCATGGACAGACGTTCGAGAAGCACCCGATTTTGAGATCGGCCACATCCCCCATTCCAAGAACCTCCCTTTATCCATCTTCGAACAAGCCCTTTCCAAAGATCAAGGTGCGTTTGAGGGTGCCTTACTCGTCCACGATCGATGCGCGATGAGACCGACCTCACCGAACCTCGGGCTGTGTCATCCCTGCAGTTGATTTTGTGCGGACCTATGGATTCCCCAAACCTGGCAGCGAGGAAAAGATTGTTCTGTATTGTCGTTCGGGCAGAAGGAGTACGATCGCGGCTGACTTGGCCAGTGGTGCAGGCTTTTCGAGGTGAGTTGGCCGGTCCCGTGACAGCACGGAGGGAGTCGCTGATGATATTGAACGACCTGGATCGACATCCATAGAGTAAGGAACTACAAAGGATCTTGGCTCGAATACGAAGCCAAGTCGGGTGCTCAGGCCGGTGCTGCCAAATCGGCATGATCTAGGATTGGCGCAAGCATGCTCGAACACGTGCTCTTCGGCCCACGACGCTCGGACCTCCCCCCCCCCCCGAGTTAGGATCGGGTGCACCGTTCTTCTTGTACAACTTGCTTTCGTGGTTTTTGCTGTTGTACATATCCCCTTGCTTTTTTCTTGGACTTGTTCGCTGTCTTTTAGGGCGTCCTGAAACTTCCCGATACGGACCGGATTCCAAAAGACTCGTCCAGTTCGGCCGAGTTCACCGTTCGGGCGAGATTGCGATCGGGCGGACCAGGTCACGGCCCCCATCGCCGGGTCCTCCCCTCTTGACTCTCCGCTACGAATCAAGCAGTCCACACGATCCAAGAACTGGCACCCGGAGCCTAGCCCCAGTCTCCAGAAGCCATGCCACTGCACGTTGTCTCGCATCCGATTCTATCACACAAGCTGACCCAACTGAGGGACGCGAAGACGACTTCGGCCGACTTTCGTCGGTTGGTGTCGGAGCTATCGACCATGATGGCGATCGAGGCGTCGAGGGACTTGGAGACGCGCGTCGTACCTAATGTGAGCCCAGAGAGGACTTTAGATTTGTGAACAATGGCTTGCCACGTCTTCTGATGCTGATGGGTCCCTACGTTGTGTCGTGCATTGACCGTGGTAGCTGTCATCACCTGTCGCTCGGTTCGAAGGCCGTGAGATTGCCGCCAAGATTGGGATCTCGCCCATCCTGAGGGCCGGGATAGGCATGACTGATGGTACGCGCATGCATGAGCCACTGGATCTCATCCATGAAATCAGACACTGCAATCGCCTCTGAGACCTGAGAGCTAACCTCTCGGACCTCCTCCTGCCTTTTTCCCGCGCCCGCCCCCGAACACCCCCCGAACATCAAACGTGCCTCCCTGCCACCCCACATGCCACACCACCCCGGCCCCCACACTCACGCCACCGGCCTCGGTTCAACTCCCAAACGTTCGGCTTCCCAGCACTCCTCTCCCTCTTCCCAACGGCGCAGGTCTTCTACCTTGGCTTATTCCGCGAGAAAATATCTCTACAACCCATCGAATACTACCAGAAACTGCCCCCTCAACCCACGATTGACCGGCTCTTCATCCTCGATCCTCTCATCGCGACGGGAGGGACAGCGATCGCGGCGGTGGAGATGCTCTTGGAGTGGGGGATGAAGGTCGAGGACCTCAAGTTGATCGGGTTGGTCGCGAGTCAGGTGGGGGCTGATAACGTCCTGAAGGCTTTTCCGGGGTTGAACTTGTGGGTTGGCCAGGTCGATCAGGAGGTGAGTCCAAAGTCCAAACAGCAGCCGAACTCACGAATCAGAGCAGGCTTGGGCTCATTCTTCGACTCCTGGCTTTCGCCGATCGGCCCTCCTGAACTCTTCTTCTTTTGATTTTTTCGGCAGTTGACTGTGGACGGCATGATTCTCCCCGGTTTGGGCGACAGTGGTGACCGGCTTTTCAACACTGTGAGTCTACAAAAACGAAAATGTACAAAGTGCTTTGATCGACCGACCTAGCTGATGATGCTCACTTCTACGCGTTACGCTCTGTTGGCAGCTGAATCATTGAGTCTGAAACCGTCTTAGTATGAGCAGTGTAATACTAGCAGTGATGCCATAATGTGCTGTGTTCCATGTTCGATATCGTGGCGGTGCAAGGTTTTCTTTCCATTGCCCCACGATCGAGTCTGTTTGGACTGCTGATATTCCGATGCTCTCTGCCAGTACTTCAGCTGCGATCGTGAGCCTCGTGATAGGTCAGGCAAACTGTGAGGATGCGTAATCAATCCAACACTTCCCTTCAACGAGCTATGAGGGAACTTCGTAATTTGGCCCGTCCTCGTAGCCAAATCATGCCCTGTTCGGACTCGAGCGCGCCTAACCTGTCACTGCACAGCACGACGACGGCCCTATCAGGTTGGCAGTGAGACTTGACTCACGGAGCAAATAATCACAGACCGCGTTCTCATAGTAGCTGCTCTTTTATCCACACCATGTACCTCATGTCTTGAAGTGCTTACACCCTATCGGCGTCTCCGCCTTTTAGTCTACCAACAGTAGAAGAGTAGCAGAGCGAAGAGAGCACAATGTCCATATCACGACGGAACGTAAGAGGGAGGAAAAGAAAAGTGTAAACGAGATAAAAGACTATGCGAAGAGAAAGACGAGCGATGTATGTAGGGGTGTGTATGTGCGTAGAGAAGAAAGAGAGCAAGAGGTTGGTAAGGTGGGGCGATGAAGAACGGGGATCAGAGAATGATGCGGTTGAGGAGGTGCTCGCAACAAAACAAGTAGTGGAATTATGCGAAAATAAGAGTCTGTCGCAAACATCTCTATCCTTACTTCCTCAACACGCTCGGTGCATTCCCACCCGCCGGTCGAGCGGCTCCACTCGCACCCGAAGTACCGGTCGAAGGCCCCTGACGTCCACCCAAAACGGGTCTCTGTTCCTGCTCAACCTCGATGCTGTCCAACCTCATCAAGGACGAGGGGGTACCGTCGTTGCCGAAACGCATCCTGTTCCTCTGTTGTCGTCGTCGGATGATGAAGAAGCTGAGGTAGATCAACCCGAGGCCGAGAATACCGACGACGATGCCGGCGATCGCTCCGGCCGAAAGCGAGTCCTGAACCGTGGCTCGGTTGCCCGAAACAAAGGCCGTCGCGGTCGGCTTGGGGGATCGGGTCGAGCTCGAGACAACGGGCGCGACATAAGGAGGGGGCGAGGTGCGCGTCGCGTTTTGGAGGTGTTGTCGCGTGATGCTGTGAAAACTCTCGGTTTGGTCAGATCCAGCGCTCAACTTTAGTCGGGCAAGCGGCACGTGAAAGAGGCTGACCAAGAGCTGTCGGTGCCATTGTAGATGTACATGGTCTTGAAGAAGGCTTGCTGCGAGTTGACGTAGCTCCCAGGGGCGACCGTCATCAAGAGTGTGACACCTGTCGGACCGATCAAAAAAGGATCAACATCCACAACCTTGCCCCGTGCACAAAAGTATCCTGACGGGACGAGTTTTGCAACGCACCTCCGGGGTAGGTCGGTGCCCAGGTGTAGGTCGGTGAGTTGGTGGTGAAAGTGTCGACCATGCCGGCCGAGTCGAGGGCAATGACTGCGGAAGTAAAAGGGCATCTGTAAATGAGGGTGGCCAGTGAATGTGAAACATCGAGAGGAAAGTGAAGTACAAGTGACGGTGTAAGGGGCCGATCCACCTGTCCACGCCCAAGTGGCGGACGTGCAGGACGAGAGGTTCGTCGGCACGGTCGTGAAAGTGATCTTGAGTGTCGCGGAGAGGGGTCTGAGGTCAGCTGTGGCTCCCAAATACGGGCGATGGGTAACTTTCGCTTGGTCAGGGGCCGCTTACAGGACTGCAAAAGAGGAGCAAAATTAGATCAGCACAAGAACTCGAGCGCCGAGGATCCCCGCGTCGAACGTGAACTCACTTGGTGAGGGTGGCGGAGGTGGAGAGGTTTTGGTGCGACGCAGGGACGCTGTAAGACGTTCGAGTAGGACAGTGAGCGCAGGTTCACGTATCACTGCGAGGGTAGCGGAGGAGGGACCGACCAAGAGTCATCTATGCCTGCTTGCACGATCATGCTACCGGCATAGGCATAAGCGGGTGCATAGGCCTGTCCGAATTTATAAAAACCGACGTCAGGACCGGCAGACAGATAGCGAAAGATGTAGGAAATGGACTGACGGCGCCCGAGTCGAGTCGGACATTGACGATGGTCCCGGCGGGGTAGTCGACTTGCCAGTCGTAGGCTTTGGTGGTGAGGATGTATTGTTCGAGGTTGGTGTTGCCCTGGGGACCCACTGTGACAGAAAGGTAGGCAGGAAGAAGGATTTTCAGTCTCCTGCGTGCGTCGGCCATGGCCTCGGTGAGTTGGCTCGCGCGGCGGTCGGAGTCCGGACGACTGACCGTTGAGGGTGTAATAGGGCAATCCGCCTGTCCAGTTGAAAGAAGCTGGTTGGCAGGTGGTCAAAGTGGCGGGCGCCTGCAGTGTCAGGGCGGCCTGGAAGGTGTGCAGAGTGGTGTGGTGTGGGTGTGGTGTGGTGTAATGTGCGTGACGGGGGTGGGGCGGGCGGAGGTGGTGTGGGCGTAGTTGGGGCGTGTGTGTGTGGTAGGCGTGGCGCGGCGCGTGCGACGGCGAGGCGGCGGCGTGTGGTGGACGGGCGAGGTGAGTGGGAAGAAGCACAGGCGGCGATTCGATCGGACACACACACACACAGATCACGGGTGATGCAGCGTCAGCCAACCCGATCTCACTCTCATTCGGTAGAAGAGACGCACCTCGACTACGGAGGCACAGGCCAACGAGAGACACAAGAGCGGCGACGTTCTCGGTCGGGGGCGTTGATGTTGCGAGACCATCGTGATCAAGCGACCGGGGATCGTTCGTGCGACGGCGGCGGCGGGGCGACTGGCGACTGGGGCGACTGGTGTACGGGCCAGGGGAACGGAGAGCGATGCGCGGCAAACGAACGACTTGACTTGGCGCGTAGATGAGAGAGGACGAAGTGGTATAGCTTCTACAACGAGTAGAGCGTGGCGATGCGGTCGAATGCAAGGGGATGACGAAAGGGTACTGGCGGAGGTAGCAAGTACCTGGTGTCGGTCGGTGTGGTGTGTGTGTGTGTGTGTCGAACCGAGACCCGGAATGCAGGCCGCCCAGCGAAGCGCGTCTGCTCGCACGCCAGCACTACGCCAGCGCACGCCCCAAAACCAACACGCCGGACACCGCGAACCGCTCCTTCGGTCACGCTCGCCAGTGGCCACAGCACTCAGCTCGGCAGACCGAGCCGGCCGGCACGACATCTGCATTGGGTCAGAACAGTCTTGCAAAGAGGGGACCGTAGGCATAAAATTACAACACGAGTTCTTTTCTTTGGGAGCGACCATGCAATGTTCAACCCTGATCGCCCTGCCCTCGGCTATACAAACTCGATCACGCCCCGATCACGACACCCGAAAATTTTGGAAAACACCAACCTGCTCGCGTCATACGCTCGATAAAACCTTCCTCCGCCTAGCGAGCTTTTGTTTCTATGCCTATGGTATGACTCATGCTTAGTCCCACCCCATTGACCTATGCTTGGGCCCCCATACGTCTGAACTCGCTCCCGCGTAAGGCCGCTCACGTGATCCAAACCAAGATTCCAACACGCCCTCAGCTCCGGAACGCAGTATCTCCCCTACGATCGCAACGCTCACTTCTCCCAAGGTTTCTTGACCGCACTGAGGTCGACCTGACTCGGAGTGGGTTCCCCTTCGTTCAAGCGATCGGGAATGTCCTTGATGCCCGGGATCGGAGCGCCGGACGCGATCAGTGACGCGAGTTGGGTGAATGAGATGGGGTAAGGGGGGTTGTCGGGCGTGCGAGAGGAAGTGCTGGAGGTAGGCAGTGTCGATTCATTCGACTGTGTAGAAGGTGTAGATGTGGATGCGGGTGCGGGTGCGGGTGCGGGTACGGGTGCGGCGGAGGGGGAGGTGGGGTCGTTGTTGGACGGGCAAGACACATCTGCAGCGGTGACTTGATCCGAGGAGCTGCAAAGTCGAGGAAACGGTCAGTCGCACGCACACACCGTATGGCATGCATCCCACTGACCCTGCTGCACTGCGCTCCTGCTGGGCCCCGCGCTGAGCGCACTCGGCTGCGGAGGATGACTGTTGTTGTTGCCGTTGGTAAAATTCGAATGCCCGCTGCGAGAGTTGCTGAATCTCGTGCTCTGATGCGCCGTTGGCTCTGTAAGGTGCCAAGATGGACTCGAGGCCTTGCTGTGGAGAGGGTGAGGGTGTGGGTGTGGGGGGGGGGGGGAGGGGGGAGAGGGGGGAGAGGGGGGAGAGGGGGTCAGCTCGGGGCGTAGTGGGACCTACTGTGAAGAGGGCAGGAGGGTGACCGACCACGAAGGCGGGGTCTGAACTGAGTGTCGAGCCGTCCATGGTGCGCTGGGGATGGGTGCTACGGGAGAGAAGGAAGCTGACAGGCTGAGCGCTTTGGCTGGCTTTGGCAGGTCGTTCGTTCGTTCGTTGATCCGGGCGCGCTTAATTCGTGCTGGTTCTTGTGTCTGGTCCGCACTTGCGTCTCGACTGGACAGAGTCGACAAGGCTCAGTATCGCTCGTGAGATAACGTTGTGAGTGTGTATGCTATACCCCACTTTGCACTGTTCGCACTGCCTCCGTGGCGCTGCGGCCTCGGCTGATCGTCATCGCGATCGGCCTTCGCGGCGCACGTCGGCATTCGGCATTCGGCGTTCGGCCTGTGTTTCCTGTCGAGTCAGCCACTGAGCCCACTCTCGTTCATCCTCGCAGTCACCTGCATCACAAGCTCGACCTCGAGACCGGCGTCTACATGCTCCACCCCAACTGAGCCCAACCTACACGACGCGCAAGGCCCCGGTTCGGGTCCACCGCCGCATCGGCCATAACGCGGCCCTGCCATGTCATCCAAGACCGCCGCCGATCGTACCCAGCGTCAACTGCTCGAGCTGCTCCATGAACCGGGCAATCAGGAATGTGCGGATTGTAGAGCTAGTCATCCGAGATGGGCATCGTGGGACCATGGTCAGTGTGCTGACTCCTACCGCCGGTGTCTGAAGCCGAGAAGCCGAGACCGAGCTGACTTTTTTCCCTGCAATTCCTCAACTTCGCATCTTGGGCGCCCACACTTCATCTCTGCACCCCACGACCTCGTACGATGATCTTCAGGCGTCTTTCTCTGCGTGCAATGTGCAGGCCTGCATCGCAAGATGGGCACCCACATCAGCCGAGTCAAATCCCTCACCCTCGACGTGTGGTCCAAGGAACAGGTCGCCCACATGCGAGCCAGGGGCAACACCAAGTCCAACGCTTTGCTCAATCCGGACCCGAACACGAATCCGTACGTTCCATCGAGATGGGTCCTGGTCGTGTGGGGATAGTGGGCAGAATCCGCGGTGCTGAGACAAGTGCTCTTTGGCTCTGAACAGTCCACCGTCATCACTCGATTCGAATGAACGCGAATCAGCTTTGGAACGCTACATTAGGGCCAAGTACGAGTACAAAGAGTTCATGCGACCATCGACACCGCAAGCAACACCTGCTCCACCACCACCACCGACTGTCGCTCCGACTTCGACTCCCGCTCGGCCCGGGACGACACCACCCGATGTCTCAGCAGCGGACAGGCCCACTGTGAATCCGCCACCTCCGTCATCTGGCCCATCTCCAACAACGTTATCAGTACCAAACTCGATGTCGCGCCCAAGATCATCGACGGGTCCTCCCCCCGTCGTCAGGGTGTCGACCCCTCCCGGACCCTCCAAGCCAGCGGGAGGTCGAACGACCCCTTCGCCCGATCACGCATCCAAGCGCGTACGGTTCCGTTCCGAATCCCTCTCCATACCTTACCTCGACGACGATAAACCCCTCACAAGAACCCCTTCGCCTGCACGCGACCGGAAAGCTCCTGCAAAGGGGATCTTACGGGCTCGTCGTGAATACCGGGGTGCTTCATCGATCAGCGCGTTGTCGGTTTCCAACGTCAATGGGACGACGACAAATCGGTTCGGGTCGAGTTTCTTCAGCTATATGCCACCCGATGAGGACGATGATGACGAGGACGACCCTCCCATGACGGCGTTTCCTATAGCCCAACGATTGGTGCCGATGCATACGGGCAGTGCGATCGCGTACAATTCGCAACGAGGACCAGGTGTGATGGGGTATGGTCAACCCAATGGAGCTACTTATCAGATGCCGTTATCGAATCAAATGACCGGCAACACCAATCCGTTTGGTCAAATGTGGAATCCGCATCAGCAGCAGCCGCAGCAATCTTACCCCCAACAGCAACCCCAGCGGCAGCAACCTCAACAACAGCCTCAGCAGCAGCAAGCATACAACCCATTCAACGGATCCTCGACCTATCCATCCCCCTTTCGGCATGGTCCCCAACCCAGCCAGCAATCGGCTTCTTATACTCAAACCCAAGTCGCCCCTTCACAGGGTTCGATCTGGGACGATCTTGGCATGCTTGGCTCGATCGGATCCAACAGCATTGGTCCTACGAACAACATGAACGGCCACCATCCTCAACCCCCGCCACAAGCACCGCCTTCATCCAACCCCTTTACTTTCCAACCGAGTCTGACCCTCCAGACAGGGTCCAATACCTCGAACATCTTTCCTACCTCACAGCCCACGACTCCTGCGACCTTCACCCCTCTACGCCCTCAACTGACGGGTTTCATTCCCTCCTCCGATTTTGGCAAACAACTTGTCGTCGAGGGTTCTGCGAAGCAAAACATCTCGCAGGCATCGACCCCAACGACGTTTCAACCCACTTTCCTATCGACTCCGACGTCAAGTTTCGGTCCTCCTTCCCCTGCGGGAGGGCCTTCGGTCTCGCTTCTTCGTCCTCAGTTGACGGGATTTGTGCCTTCGTCCAAATTTGGCTTGGAACTCGCTCAGGAGAGTTCTCAAAAACTGGGTGGATCGGGATCTTCTCCCAGCGGCGGGTTCAATCCCTCGAATGGGAATGGGAACATCAATGGACATGGTCTCCAACCTCCCCAACCTCATTTCGCGGCCTACAGCAACGATAACGGAGGAGGATCAGGACCTCCTTCCCCCGCTCCGATGGGCTCACCCGCTCATTCATCCACCGTACAAGGCTTCTCGATCTCGTCGACGTCGAGCCCTTTCCAACATTCTTCAATGTCCGTGAACGGGAAGGGGAATTCGAATTCGAATGGGCAGACTTATTCGACGACGAATCCTCAGGATCCTTACACGATGACGAGCTTGCAAACGGCTCTACCTGCGCCGACATATCAACAACACCAGCAACAGTCATCGCAGAATCCGCCACAGTACTTGCATCAAAACTCGGGCTTCAATCCTTTCTTCGCCCAGCAACAGCAACAACCACTTGGGATGGGAGGCTTGACCCCTCAAAGAACGGGTACGAACCCTTTCCTGATGATGAATGGACAGTATCCTCAACAGCAGCAGCAGCAGCAACAGCAACAGCAACAGCAACAGCAACAGCAACAGCAACAGCAACAGCAACAGCAGCAGGCGACTTCGATGATGAATGGGGGTCAATGGAGGTAGTCGAGTGGAGTGATCAAGGCGATGAGTCGTAGCTCGTTAGGTTTTCGTGTTTCACGCATCTTCCTTTATCTCTCCAATGTATAGTTATGATATCTTGTTTTGCACCTTTCATTTGTTGTATTCATTTTCTGTTGTATACTCACTTTTTGTCATTACTATGCTACTCTGCATTCGAAAGAAAGACGAGCTCGGGCCAGTGCGGGCGTAGCACGCCACACATGCATCTATCGAACGCAGACATCGTATCATGTACTACTGAATTAGACGACGTGAAGAGTCTTGACCTCCCTCAATGCGCGTATCTTCTAAATCTTACTCCCCGGACAAGCCACCAGCAAAAGTCCTAACCTAACGCTCCAGCAGCGCAAAAGGAAATCTCAGCCCAGGTCAGAATCCGTGGACGCGAACGCGCGCATCCTCGTTCGAAGTTGTTCCAATGATCGCGAGAGCTGTTTATATGAAAACGATCCATGTCAAAGTCAAATCAGTGAGGACTTTGAGCGGGTTGCCCCAACTGACCATAGCAGTCTGGTTCTCGTCGATACACTGAGCAAGTTCGACAGCGAGTTGGCACCACTCCTCCGCAGGCTCGAGGTCTCGCACCGAAAACAAATCCAAACCTGCACCAGAAAACGCTCAGCGAGGTCCTGGGTAGAGTGTGCTGGCGAGAGTCTTGGATGACTGACCCCTATCCCACGTCGTAGCCACCAGCCATTGAACCTCGTCGCGCGGATAGCCAGTCTGCGAGGATTTATCGGTGATCAGCATTCTGTACCCCGGTGAATTCACACTGAAAATTATTGACCAGTGTTTTCACGAATGTGAGCGCATGCTTGACGTAAGTCAATGCTTGTCCAGGAGCGCTTGCGAGTAGCGACGAAATCATTACCCGCAGCCAAGCCCCCAGAGTCGGGCTGCAAGATTAGAGAGTGAGAGGTCATTTAGTTCCTGGTGATCAATTTGAGTTCGGAGTGAAACCGACCTGTCCAGATCCTTTCTGTAGAAGAGCGTATGCAGCGTCTTCTCGAGAATCGAGCCGAGCACATCCGGTGCGCAGTCGGCAGCGACGACTGCTCGAGCTGTGATCAATTTGATAGCGCTCAGAGACACGGTGGGCTCTTTAGCTGACGCCAATCTCTGTTGGCGTATTAAGCTAAACTCAGTTGAGTCAAGTCTTCGTCGCCCATCTGGACTTACAGAAAAGAGAGCTTCGACGTTCCCCCAATCGCATAGGCCGCTCCTCGCTTCGACTTCGAAAGCGAGCAGTGCCGAGGTCGCCACATCGTCGCTCTTTTCGCTGAGCGAAGGTACTGATTGGGCAAGTTCCTGCGTATCTCGCAGCAGCTTGGAGTATAACTTGGACTAGAGACGACAAGTCCAGGTCAGTAACGCGCTTCGTCGTCGATCTCACCTAGTACGCCTCACCTGATCGGAGGCGCTCGTCGCTGATCGGGCTTGAGCGAGCAAGCCAGAAAGAGTAGCAACGCGACAAAACACGATCGACCTTTTGAGCTTGGGGTCGTCTACACTCCCGCTCTCGAGCTTGAGATCCCCGAGACGGGCGACTGCTTCGTACATCGGTGTGATAACCTCGGCTGGCCAACGAGAGCTGTAGGTAGCGCAGATATTGTACCCTGATGTAATCATAGAACAAAGCATCAGCTCGAGATGCTTTTAATAGGCTAGAGGGTAAAGATAGTACCAGTCTTGAGGAGCCATGTTATGTCTTTGTCGACCGTGGGCAGATGTTTCCCGAACGACTCCCGAACAATATCAGTCGCCGCCACGAACTCTGATGTGATCAATCGCGCCAGCGAAAGCCTTGCGAGGTTGGAGGTATTCCATAAGCTTAGCCTTCTCGATTCGAGCACGAGGTTTAATCCGTGACGTACCCCGAGTCGGCCTCAGACTCTAACCGCGAAGCGAGCAACCGAATGAGGCTCCTATCTCAACAGAGAAGAGTGGTGGCGTGCGAGTCAGTGATGCAGTAGGAACCTCCTTACACCCCTTCACCCGACATACCGTACGGTAGTCAACATTTCGTTCTGGGTACTCCCTTCTTCTCCTCGTCTATAGACATCTAGTAAAGCTTGAAGTACGGCAGTAGAGAGGGCAGTGATCCCCGATTCATTGGCGACTTTGGATGCCCAAAGCAAAAGAACGTATTGAAAGTCCGGAGCTTTGATCATTTTGTCGAGGGCTTGTGTTGCTGAGAGGTGAACGAGGTAGGCGCGTGAATCCAGGTCTCGTCCCGCTCCTCACTTGCAGTGACTGACCTTTGTCAACATCCTGTTTCAGCGTGGCATGAAAGAAGCGAATGAAACAATCTTTGGCGTCCGGAGGGCGATCCGGGCGCAGGTTCATAGTTTGCTCGGCCCGAACAAAGTCCCGGATCTCCAAATAACACAATACCGCTTTCCTGATAATGAAAAGGGGCGTTGCGAGTAGAAGCAACTCAGCGCATCACTCGCTGCTCCGCGAGTCAACAGTCTTCAATGGACCGACCTCATTGACTTGGCATCGACCACTCCTCCAGTCTCTTTCAACAATGGATGCAAGCTCAGTCTGTACCATTCCGCTGCTTCGAAGAAAGCTCCCTTTGCCCGCTCTTGGTCCCCATGACGCCAAAAATAAGTTGTGGCCACGAACGCATAGTCGGCGGAGAGGGTGAATGCTTCGCTGAGATCTGTGAGCACCAGTGCGAAGCGATTAGCGCGCTTCTTGCAACACCCACTCAGTGGAAGACAGAGGGGTAGCTCACGAGTCGAAATATTCTGGAAAAGACTTGTCACTGAGGTTCGATCGTCGCTCCGCGAGTGCACCGTCACCGTCATTGCAATCTGCCGGATGATCCGGGACGTCGCTTCATCAGCAGGCGAGCACAAGTTCGTGACTATTTCTTTGAACATGGCGAAGTCTGGTCTGCGACTGTGTGATTTTAAAAACAGACCATAAGTCAGGGTCTCTTTCAATCACATTAGATAAGGACGAATGTCCTCACTGCGTATCATGATATCTCTGAGCGGCCGCTGATAGTCTGCCCCAAACCCCCAAAGCTCGTCAATGAAGCGTTTCCGCGAGTGCCCGCTCCACAACCCCTGAGACTGACCGAACACTGTTCTTCTCCAAGTCTCCCTCGTTCCACCAAGTGACTATTGCAGTTGTGGCTTGTCCGAACGCTAGGAAACGCACGGGATGGTCAATCAGCTATGCATCCGGCAAGTATCGTGCCCACTGGCGCAAGCTTGCTTACCCTGGCCCAATTCTCCCTCGCCAGCGTCACGTTCCATCATCAACCGGATCTTACGCAGCCACATGGATGGGGTCGCCTCGATAGTCTTCAGAACGAAGGAGAGGTGTCAACCATCGCCTAAAACTGGGAACCCATGCTGCAGGTGCAGTCCTCACCAACAACTGAGCTACCACCTCTTCCGCTTCGCGCCATGACTGGGTACGGGTGTGGATCTGGGTAAGCAGACTCAGGCTCGCGATCTACGTAATTTTCTTCTCATTAGCGTCATTCTGGAACAAAACTGCTGCCATCGTATGCCGACCTTGATCGCTCGCGCCGACTCGCTGCGCATGCCCTCCGCAAGCTTTATCGACCATAGGAGCCACTCCTTTGCTTTATCTTGCAAAGCAGCGGAAGAGGAGTTTTCGATAGCGAGCACTTCACGGGCGGAATCTAAAGCGCCGTGGGCGATCTTCTCGACCTGCTGGTACGCAAACGTGCTTGTTAGCTCATCCAACTCGAGCGGGGCCAGGGCAACTGCAGCGTGCAATTTGGCTTGCCTCGCGAGGGCCACAACTCGGAATCAATGACTCCAAGCGATGTTTGATGAAGTCCGCGACGCCAAATGCAGATCGACGCGACTCGAAAACGATCCGCTGAACGTAGTGACCACTGAGAGCTCGCACGTCGTCTGGCGTCGTATCAGGTCTGGATGGGGGTGCAACGGCGGGGGCATGTATTTCTTGCGCGTAGGTGGCGGCCGCATCGAAAAGGCGGGATAGTTGGATTTGCTCTCCCTTCGTGGATAGAGACTCGGCAATGGTCTTGTTAAGAAGCGACAGAAGGAGCACTCGCCCTGTGGACGAAGGTCGAGATGCTAAGCGATCAGTTTGCTGTCATGACGCGCTCTGGCCCGCCAGCGCTGACGCGCAGACCGACCTTCACTTGATATCGGTTCTGGAGTTCCAAGTTGAATCAGGAGGTATGCTAGATGCCGAGCTATGATGCTCAAGTTGGTTTCAGCTATGTTCTGTTCGTACCACGCGTGAAGAGCGAACATACCTCTGGCAATCATGCTGAGCCATTGCAACGGAAGCGAGTCACTGCTGACGTCTGGTTTGATTTGAAGCGCTATCCGCGGTGAGATTTCTGAAGTATACTGAGTGCCCGAGGTTGCCATTGTTTTAATCTCGGTCACTTTGTTCCACAGCATCACTCCGATCGCGTCAATTCGATCCTGCCATGAGGCTAGGGTGCCGCGTTCCGCCTGCGCCTCGGGCCTCGTGTCCCCCTCTGAATTGACATCGCGTGCGCGTTGTTGGGCAGGAGCGAGTCGGAGCTGCAGTGTGTGCAGCAAGCACTCTGCTTGTTCTAGCTGCTGACCCACGACGTCCGAGAGAGCTTGAGACGATTGAAGTGATCGAACTCCTCGGTCGTCATTGCTCTGCTGTCGAACGTCGTGGTCTCCGCCGAGAGAGTCAACGCCAGGAGCGGTGCCAGCGAAGTGTCGAACCAGACGGTTGAGTTCATCCAGCTCGGGCGCTGTATCGGCGCACGCGTGAAACCACTGTTCAATCTTGTCGGGTCGATTGTGATCAATTCGCGCTTTTTTGGACGGTCCCATGTGAAGTAGGTACTGCAGACGTGCGACTGATCGAGAGTTTGAAGAACCTCCCTCGAACTTCGGGTCGCAGACGGAAAGCCGTCGCTGCCGCTTGAGCCTGGCGTGGGCTTGAGCGCATTCAGCTCCGAGACAGGACCCGGGAAAGCTCAGCCGAAGGTGCGTCTCGAAAACCCCGTTTTTAGGCCGATTTGAACATCGAATTTCCGTATCCAAGGGGTGTATGTATTCCGGTGTAAGACCAGAGTTATGGTGAAAAGGTTACTCTACCATCAAAAATTACATCATGTAGCATATTACAAGGCATAAATGGGCCCGAAAAGTACAAATCTCCGAGACGCACATTGGGCTGAGCTTTCCCGGGTCCTTCCGAGACTGCTCCGAGCTGCTCCGAGCTTTCGGGTGACTATAGTGACTGGCCAAAAGTTCACTCCGATCGATCATGAACGCAACATTGCATTCGCTATAACTGGGCTTGAATACATGAGCTTCTCCCACTCCCACAAGTTGGAGGAGTACTACTCTTTTTTTGTGACTGCAAATTCCTTGGGCATACTAGTGACTCTATCGCACGACTGCATCGGCGAACTTTCATCGCGAATCGCCGCCGCCGCGAGCCGAGACCGGCCGGGGCTTCTCACTACTACTATTCGCACCTCAGGCGTACCTTCAAAGATACAGTGTAGACCGCGCGCGCGAGCGCGCCAAAAACCTCGATCCTCAGCGGGTTTCACACTGGGGTTGGTCGCCCAATACCGCGGTAGCCAGGACTCCACATCCCGGGGCCGTCAAGGGGACAGCAGTGTGTGTAGTCCAACTACGAGATTGTTGCGATGGGTCCAATCCCCTAAAAATACTTCCCAAGCTGCCACGTGATGCCATTTCGAATAAATTCGTCTTGTCAGAGTCTCGATGGCCTCCGAGCTGAGTCTGCGGCCCTGCGCCAGGTGCTTCACGGTCACGTGCAACCCGTGATCGAAGTCTGTTCTATCTGTTGAAGTCGCGACCAACGGCCAGACGCGCGCCAAACCGCACGTGCCTATTCCTCTCCTGCCACATCGCGAGCGGCAGCCGTACATCGACACTAGATCTTCCGACACGATGACTCACCGTTTCATTCCTGGACAGTTCAGACCACGCAAGCTGAGGCCGCAAGACCTAATGATCCTCCCAGCCTGCGCCAAGATCAAGGTCTACGGTCCCTAAGGTGGAATGAACATCGTTTCGACTAGACCAAGACCCACCGCATCATCAGCTTCATTATCATCGACGTCGAATTCGGCACAGACTCCTGCTCCCCTAGTCCCACTCTTACCGGACCCGGCATCCGCATCCGCTGCCGCTGTGGTCGAGTATAGCGACGACTATGGGGCAGACGAGGACGACGGCGCCGGAGAACGCTCAGATCTCGACGACAGAGCCATACACGAAGGCGATGGTGGTTCGAACAGAATTTTGCCAACGCACACTTCCTCCTATCCTCGAACCCTGCCGACTGGGCGCCTACGATTCACACAACATGTCTCAGATGACGCTGGACCGCCTTAGGAATGAGCTCCACTCCATCGTCACCCCCATTCATACCTTGGAAAGGGTGGACAGGACATACCTCGCTTTCCTTGTGCGCGAGGCGGCATTCAGCAAGCACGCACGACCTCGACTCTGGGTGCAGTACATGTCGTTTGTGGCGTGCCCAAAATCGCATTTGAATCCACGCATCGTTGAAGTCGAGAACGGATTCAGGATCGCCGACGAGGTGGCCTCGCCGCCGTGCGACTGCGAAGGCACACACGTCCTTTCCATTCTGGTCTATGGCGCCACCAGTCGTAAGCAATTCCGAATCTTTCTTCAGCTTTCTCTGCTGGGGAACGGGGATAGCTCGCTCACCTGTGTCTCCAATGGCTCCATTTGGCACAGACTTTCCCCACGAGGTCTCTTTCTGTCCTTGATCCATTAGTGACGATCCCCAAATCACATACGCCGAACGACTGGCTCAGATTGGCCTTATGAGTGCAACTGCCTCGAGACCGCTTTCTGCTTTCGCATTCCAAGCTCTACAGATGGGAGAATCTTGCTGGGTTGTTGATCCCTCGTCCGTTGATGGGATGTCCCAAGGGATGGATGATCATTATGGAAGATGCGGATGGGGACATTCAGGCGGGCTGGCGTCTCATTAGTTTGTAAGTTGAGGTCAAATTCAGCGCGATTCATGAGTCTTGTGTGGGCCGGTGCTAATCTATTCCCCTGCATGCGCACTTCTCTAGGATCGCGAGCCTCAATGGCAACGAGCACTCGACGAGTTCCGAGCATTGGCCGCACACAAGACTGGATCCGACAATCGCCTCTTCCACATAAAGGGTTCATTTGCCGCCAAACGTCCTGCAGGATTCGCACCAACACATTGAACCTGCCAAACCGGGCACCTACACTTGATCACTTGTTTGCGCGTGATGGAAACTTTTAGCAATGGCGCAACCAGGCAGCCAAGTATGACCCAAAAGCGACTACGCCGGACTTGCTCATCAGCGCGGCAGAAATATCGGAAATGAAAGAGGCGGTCGAGCGGGCGCTGACCCCGTCCAAGAAGGTACGTCGTTCAGCCTGATAGTCCAGAGAACGCCCTGCTCTGCCCTGATCCTCTAACATCTCCACTTGCGGGCATGCACAGAATCTTAGAAAGTTGCTGACGATGGCGCTGAGAAGCTCGGGCCTGGAAAACCGACGCGGCTCTTGTGGCGTGCGTGTGTCGTGTGTCGGCATAACGCTGTTTCCAAGATATCCAACCTTGAGAGGAGCGGCGGTACGTACGTATGGCTGTACCATCTTCACAACATCGTTGCAGTGTTTAATTACTGTCCTCCTCATTGGGGGTGGCTCGACATTGTAGGCTGTACTATGCCTTGGCTCTGATCAAGCACGTCTCAGAACAAGAACAGCCCGAAGCCAACATTGGGGTCTTGTAAAACATTGCCTGCAACCTCAAGCATCACATTCAAAACGCGCGTATAGGTATCAAATTCTCTCTTGTGGTCGACTCGACTGAACAAGTGTCTTCGCGCTTTCGCGCATCAATGTCCCTGTCACGTCGACGTGAACCCTCAACTTTTCCCCAACTTCGGCTGCACCGATGGCGAAGGCGTCCAGGTATCACATACTGCAGGTTACATAAGTAGATTGATCCTGCGCTTTAAACATGTCGTAATTTATTTTTCTACTCGGCGCTTGCCCCCACCCCTACCCACTGGCAGATCTAATTTGCAATCGGCCACCCACGTGTTCCACCCCAAGACACAGTGTTCAACACCTCTTCTTGCCTCCTCCTAGTTCCTTTTCATCTCATTATACCTTACGTGGCACAATAGAAGGGTTGTCTGCCACTCTGTAGGGCTTTCTGCTTCCATCCACGGAATCACTCAAATCGCCAAAATCGCCAAGGGGTACCACTGCACTTTTTACCGGTTTCTGGAGGCCAAAAACGTTAAGTGCTTCAAACGGACCAAAAGTCCTCTATTACCTCCCCAACAAAGGCTCTTCATGCCTCGAGTCATCCGCGCCTTCAGAAGAGCAATGTTCAGACCTTGATAGGGGCTGAAGGTGAATGTGCCGGGTTTAACCGTCAACTGTTTCAGGAACTGAAGCCGAGGCACGAAGTGCGTAAGTACGAGAGCCGATGATGATAGTAAAGATAGTTGGAGAAAGAAGATAAGCGCTAAGGGAGCGCGCGCGAGGCAGGCTCGAGACGCGCGAGGCGACTAATATCAACAACTAGTAACTAATCATAATCGGGAATACCAGTGGGATGAAACAGCAATATATTGACAAACTGCGTGTGCTTCGAGGCTGAAAGTCGAAAAAAACTATAACGAAAAGTTCGGGCACAGTGATATGGTCGCGAGGGTATTCTACTGAACCCTCCAAAAAGTTTGGAACAGCAGTACCTTCTTTCTATCTCCCACCCAGCCTGACCGAGTGCAAAACGTCAAGACGAACCTTGGTCTCCGGCATTTCGAGGCTGAAAGTCGGGAAACACTACAACGAAAAGTCCGGGCACAGTTAATATGGTTACGAGATCTTTACAATAGAATTCATTGAACCGTTCAAGAGGTTTGGAACAGCAGTACATGTTTTCTATCTCCCACCCAGCTCGACCGAGGGTTCGTGCGAGGATGCCGAGTCGGCTCTTTTGCCCCCCCCCCCCCCCCCCCCCCGCTAAAGTCAAACCCGGGGTTCCGCAAGGGTTTAGGTGACACCATGACGGTAAGCCGGGTCAGGGGAGAGTATTCGACGGATGCATCTCGATGAATGAGCTGCCTCGAGTCAAGCCGTCAAATACTATCTCATACCATGGGCAGGGGCGGTAGGCGCAGCGTGCCGTTGAGTCCACCCGATGCTCTGATTTTGAGCTCAAGAGAAAGTGTCCTTTGAAGGCCGGCATGAGGCTCAACTTGACTGCTGAGCACGATAGTGACATTCAAATCAACCTTACTCGAATTCGGCTCTCTTACATCCAATGTATCTTTGAGACTGGAGGGTGGATTATGAACACTGAGGTCGCTAGCCCGATAAAGGGGCGATTGTGTTGCAAAACCATCCTGGTCGCCTTAACCAGTACACCAAAAGTGAAGGCACCTTCAAGAGATGCATGCGCCGAATCCTCCTTGTTCAACAGATTGGCCCGATTGCACGTACTTCAGTCCACAAGGTCATGTGCTAGGCTTTCTGAGGTGCATCTGGTACAGCGCAGTGATACCTGAACTTGAGAGAATAATCGCCGATCGGCGATGCCCCAACTCATCGCGCATACAAACCCGAGCTAGACGCGTCTTGAAGAGTGAAGAATTATAGGAGTGAAATCGAGTGGCGTTGTCCCTTTTCAAGCGGCGTGCCTCTTCCGTATGCACTGATTTTCTCAGACACGCAGTCTTGCATGCCAAAACCAAAACAATTCACACTTATAGAGCAAGAATCTGTTCTCACCGGTCACTGGAAGGTTCCGCCAATAA